CGGAATATAAATCAATCTGTATATAAAGATGAGCCTCTCGTCGCTTATTATATTATATTAATCAATTACTAAGATTTATTGTATTAATTCGTTTTTAACCCCTATAGATCTAATTAAGCTATATATTATTTTAGTTTATTTGTTATAATAAGTAGTTATTAGTTATAAATAATTTCTCTTTATTTATTAATTATTAATATAATAAGTTCTATTTCTTTAATTCTTAATTTAATTAGTGTATTATTAAGTAAGTTTCTTTATAGTAATAAAGAGTATTGGATTATAATAATCTATTCTAATTATTATAATATATTTAGCTCTTGATATATTATAATATACTATGATAACACTTTTAAAAAGGTAGTATAAATATATCTATCTAAAACAAACTAGATATAGCTAGATAAGAGCGTTTGGATAATCTAGGAGATAATCGAGAAACTCTAATATTTATAGGAACTATAATAAATAGTTAAGTAAATAAAGAGCTAGCTTAAATAAAGGAATACTATAAAGTCCCTAGTAGACTAATACTAAAATAAGGGTTTATCTCTTATAGAGAATAAAGATAAGATTAAATTTAAAAATACTCTAATTTTCTTAATAGAAATAATGGCTTTTAGATTTCGTTTTTATGTTTCAAAAAGTACCGAAGAAGTATTATAATAAAAAGCAATATATTATAATAGCTCTATTATATATAGAGCTTATCTACTAATAAATATAATATTAGTATATTACTAAAAACCTTAAAACAGAATATAAAATACTAATATAGGCTTATTTTAAAAAACAAATATAACCTATAAAAGTTCTTTATTTTTTAGATACCCTTAAATAATATTTTTTATTAAGATAAGAAAAGGGGGGTGTTTATACTATTCTTAAAATTTATTTATAGCTTTACATAATATATATATATATACTATTTAAATTTTAAAATAGAGTAATATTTTTAGCTATTTATTATCAAAGATTATTTTAACTAAAATATATATAAAAAGGCCCTTAAACCATAAAAAGATCTACAAATAAATAATCTTAAAATAATTAATATCAATAAAACTAAAAGTCTTAGGAACCTACAAAGGGTTAAAAAGGGAAAAGAAACCTAGCTAGAAAGAAAAAAAAATTTTAGTACTATATATTAAAGTAAAATCTATTTTATAAATTACTAGCTATTCTTTAATTTAATATATCTATTTTAATACATATTTAGTATTAAGGATTAAAATATTATAATAGAGATATATTATAAAATACTATAATTAGGCGTTAAAACGCTATTTTTTTATAAATTATAAATTAATAACTTTTAGGTTTTTTACTATTCTTATTTCTTTCAAATAATATAGTTAAAGATACTATAATATATAAGAAATTATAAATAAATTATCGATAGAAATTATAGAATCTAATAAAGACTTTGATATTATAGTAGCTTTTAGGTTCTAGCTATAAAATAATAGTATTAATTTATTATTAGTCTATTAATATACTATCTTAATCTATAATAAATCTAAGAAATTCTGCTCTTTTCTAATAAAATATATATTTTAAAGATTTTACGTAAAATCCTATTTCTCTTATTCTTTTAAGGATTTACTAGATATAGCGAGTATATAACTTATAGTCTAATAAAAATATTAGAATATTATCTAAATATATAATATAGAATATATTAAGTAATCTTTATAAAGCGGTATAAATATAATTCTAGAAAATAGTAGAAGTATTAATTAAACTAAATAATATAACTATATACTTAAAGTAACTATAATATATACAAAATATAGTTTTCTATTCTTTACCCTTTTAAATATAAATATAGTAATAGATATCCTAGATATTACTCTTACTAAAGTATTTTATTCTTAAAAATTAATCTAAAATCTCTAAAATAATAAATAAAAAATATTAATTCTTTACTATAATCTTATTAAATCCCTAATAATCTATATATAGGTATAATCCTCTATCTTTAGAATAAAAAGGATTAGTACTCTAGTAAGACTTTTTAAAGGTCGAATTCTTCTATTTACAAGATTTTTATTAATATAGGTTTATAATATTTATAATTTATTTTATAATAAAAAGTATATTAGTTTATAAAATAATAAATAGTTATTTTCTAGTTTAATAATATAATCTTATAAATTATTAGATAGAAGGATTTATAATCGCTTTATTAAAAAAATATTAATAAATTAATATAGTTCTAATAATATTTCTAAAGAATAGGTAGTTAGTTCTTTATCTTTTTTATAGAATAGCTAGACTTCTTTTAGGATTTCACGATAATATAGATAATAGTATATTTTCGATATTCTTTTATAAGTTCCTAAACTAGTATTAACTTAATTTTAGTAGTTTTAAATTACTAATATTAGTTCTATAATAAAATATAGATATAATACTTAATAAATATCATTATTAAAAATAAGATTAGATTTCTTTATTTATAAAACTTTTTATTAATTGTAAGATAAAGGCGAACTATTAATTTAGTAGTTCTTTAAAAGTTAGTAAATATAATAAATATCTTCTATATATATTATATAAAAAGGGTTCTTAATTATCTACTATTCTTAATAATATTAATAATAGCTTTATTTTTCATAATTTATATTTTTCTGCGAATTTAATACTAATAATATTAATTTTAGCGTAAATATCTATATTTATATATATTTTAATTTTATTCCGTAGTAATATTAAAATATAAAGATAAATTGTAGTTCCTATTTAGAGTAATAGAGTTAGCTATAGAAGATTTAGATTAACTCGTTATTATTTTTTAACTTAATCTAAATAGCTATTTATATATTAATCTTTTATTTAATTTATTAGGATAGTAATTAGTAAAATAGATTTTATTTTAATAAATATAATATCGAAGGGGTTTTCTTATCTCTTCTAATTAGATTCCTTTCTCTTTCTTAGATCCTTTCTTTAGGTCCTTAAGGTTTATAGTTTAATTAATACTAATTTATCCAAAATTACTTATTTATAGATCTTTTAAGGGTTTTAGGGCCTTTTCGTTTTTATATTAATTATAGTAATCTCTAGTAATAAATAGCTAGGGATACTATCCTATCTTAGTTTTTAGGTAGCTTATATATATATTCTTATATATATTATTTAAGGTTATAAGTAAATTTCGAGAATATTATAAATACTCTCTCTTTTTTACTTTAGTAAAGAAAGTATTACTCTAATAAATCTAAAAAGGTATAAAACTCTTATAGATCCTACTTTAGATATTAATAGGCTCTTTATAGTATCTTATAATATCGATTTTAAGAGTTATAATATTTTTAATAAAAGAGAGAGTCTAATTCTTAAAATAAGTCTATAAAATATTAATATTTCACTATTTTTCTTTAGGTTTTTTAGTAATATATTAATACTATCTCTATTAATAAATAAGTTCTATATATAATAAAGCTAAAATAATTTATTATTTCTTATTATAATACTTCTATAGCGCTCTTTTAAAAATAAAAAAGAGATCTAAAAGTTATTTTTCTCTTTACTAAAGAGAGGAATAAATTAAGAATATTAGAATATTTTAAATCTTAATCTCGTTTTTATCTTTTGTAGGAGATGAACCCTAATTTTATTATTAATTTATTAAAGATTTAATAATATTCCTTTATTTAATCTAACTTCTTATTTATTAAACTATTTATTATAACTCTTATAGATATTAAAGTTTTTTGATTATTTCTTAGATAATTTATAGATCTTTATTTAATTAAAGCTAGTTAATTTCGGATAAAAAGGTTTATAATATCTCTTTAGGAGTATTACTTTAATATATTATAATAGATTAGGTCTATAAGATTATCCTATTTCTTTAGATAATCGAAAAAGAAGATTTAGAATTATAAAGAATATATTTAGTAAAGTATAAGACCTATTAATTAGATAAAGAAATAAAAGGAAGAAGTAAGAGAAATAATATATTTTTATTACTATTAAGACTAAATCTTATTTTACTAGCTAGATATAAGAGTATTAATTTATTATATAATATCTTCGTAACTCCTACGCGTTATCGATAATATAAACAATTAGGTCTCTATTATATATCGTGATTATTCCACTGTAGAGTAGATTAAGTAACGAGTTCCGATATCCTTCAGGATTATATGATATCACCTGATTCACCCCTTCCGTTAGTTGGGAATAACCTCATGCCTCACCATCTTTGTAGACCCTTTACAAGCTAGTAAGATAAGATTTAGTCTTAATAGTAATAAAGATATACTACTTTCCCTTGCTTCTTCCCTTTGTTTCTTTACCTCATTGATAGGCCTTATACCCTGCTAAGTATATTCTTTACACAACTAGACCGAACAAATTAGCTAAATATTAGAATAGTACCTAAGACACTATATAAACTATTAATAAAATAACTAAGTAGGGCTATTATCTATAGCGTAATTCGCGTATAATAATGTAATATACGCAACCACGAAAGAAACACTATCCTTCGTAAACTATAGATATAACCCTAAGTTAATCAGAGAACCGCGGAACATATAAACTATAGCAGAATCTACGAGATTACTAATTACTAGAATTAAATAGTTATATTTATGAATAGCTTAAGATATTAAATTTCTAAATTTATATATAAAGATATACTACGACTAGCGCTACCGGAGTAGCCTTAACTTAAAAAAGAGGGAGAAAGTCTATCTCCTACAACGAATGCTGTGGGTCCGACTCGAGGGGACGGCTATTATGGATTAGTGTACTTCAGCAAGAATGGTCATGTTTCTCAAAAGGCCTGTTATCGATAATATCCACGTGACACCAAGTGTGGGGGGTGGGGGTTTTACCTTTTTTTTTTTTAGGAACTCCGTTATCAAGCGCAGAAAGGATCATCTTCTCTTAATATGTGTCCTAGGTGCCTCTTCTTACCGGCCTGACAGCGTTCAACTGAAAATCGCAAGGGGACTTGAGGACTTGATACAACCCAAGAAAACAATATGAAAGTCATTACCGCCAACTTTGTGACATGCGCTGTCAAGGAGTGCAAGACATCGCCAACTTCCTTTCCTCTGCATTTCCATGACGCCGAATTGGAGCAACAAGAATTGAATTTTCAACCTGAATTCATCCGCAATATAATTCCTCGGATTGACTGGGAAGGCTTACGGGTCACTGCAAATGAGGTAGTGTCGTGTCTCACCCCCTCCCCCCCTCCCCAAGATGCACATAGAACTGACTTCTTTGTTTCTGGTTTGATCAAAATAGCTAGGTTTCCCAAGCCTCCCCGAATCCAAACCGGAGGGAGAGGCCCTCAACAATGAGCAAACACTCCAGGATTTGCACCGGCTGCTGATGGAGACCCAAGTCATGGAAGGGAAGTTGATCTGTGGAAACTGCGGCCACGAATACATGATTAAAGAAGGAATTGCCAATTTCCTCCTTCCCAGCCACCTAGGTAAGAGAAATATCATCAATCAGCAAGAGGTTATGCTCGCTAACGCCCCATCCAGTTTGAGTTAAGAGGGTTAGATGCCCCCCTACATTAATTATCCTGTTGATAGCATCGGCCCAATTCCATCGCCCAGTGGGTTTCTGCCTCATCAAGCATAGAATTCCTCGAATTTGTATTGTACATGGGAGTTGTAGTTCATGAAATCACCTTCGCTGAGACGAACCTCCAATGCTCACACCTTTCCATCCGAACCGCTCACCCGATCAACGCCAGCCCGAGACCAATGAACAAAAGAATAAGAAATAAACAAAGAGACTAGTACACGAAACTGGGTCTTGGAAACCTTCTCTCAATTGAGGAAACCTTTGCAGCCGGTCGAGCCGCAGAGACACGGGATTCGGTCGTCGCTGTCCCATTCTCTTTCGAATTTGTAATCGTACGTGAGCTCCTCGTCTAGTGAAATTGTCAGTATTGCTTGAGCGTACCACGTGAAAGTCCACGAACCTCTTTCAATGTCTCTGAGCGCGTAGATCACGATTCGTTTGCTGCCATCGACCTTGATGATTTTGGCAGTGCAGTTTGGTGTACAGCTATGGTTGATGAAGCGTGCGATGCCGCCTCGCTTTGTTGCATCAATCACCGAGTTCTCGTCGATTCGGAAAAGGTAGCTGCTGCCAATCCCACTCTTCAGATATCGCCTTTCTCTCATATCGGCGACTTGCTGGCGCACTTTCTCGCCCACATATTCGATGATCATGTCGTTGGCAGTGATATTCTCCTCTGCGTATAGACCCCAGTTGTGAATGGCAGACCGCGCAAAGCGGACAGGCTTCTTTCGTTTCTTAAGCTGGTTGAATCGAAGGACATCTCCTTCGCCACTGGAAGTCGGGAGAGCCTGCTTTTGTGCGTTGATATCCGCGATGAGCCGGCGATTGTTCACCCGCGTCGACCTCGACGTCGACTTGGATATAGTCTTTGCCGCGGCAATCCTTGCTGCCTCGGCGGCAGCTGCCTGGGGGTCGGCCTTTGCCATTGCCTCGCGCTCCTCTCGAGCCTTCTGGACCTTGATCCGATGTGGCAGGTATTTGGACTTTTCTGCCTCGAGAATTCTTTTCCGGCCGTCAGTCCGGGCGGCGCCGGTGGGGTTGGGAACATAATATCCTGGGATGCCGATCTTATCGTGCGTGGGTCCGATTGCCAGGTGGTTGAGAGCTTTGATCTCCTTCTGCCTCCATGCCCATGCGACAAGGTTTCCGATCTGAGATTTCGGCTGCTCAAGCAAGATGTATCGAAGGAATTGTAGATCTTCTTCGTCCTTCACCAGCTGCTGCCATCCATCCAGATCCAGGGTAGCCTTAACATCATCCTCAACCGTGGCACGCGGTTCGTCTTTGGACACACCCCAGTCAATCTCCGTTCTCGGTTCCTCGAGTGGCCCTGATTTCCACGTTTCACTCGCAGAAAGATCCTCGCGCACGACACCTTTACCTGAAACTAGGGTGGAGAATTGCTCCTCTCGTTGGGCATGGGTCGGTCCCGTCTCGATACCTATAGGTGCCCCCGAATGGCTACCTGTATGCTCAAGCTCAGTGTTCTCGGAGAAGTCGAGGCCAAAAAGTTCGTCGTCCTGTTTCTGTCTCTTTCGTGCATCATGCTCGTCGGTCAACCGCTTCCTTTTGCGAGACCTGGGAGAGAGCCCATCGAGTTCATCCGATGTACCCTCGAGATCATTTTGGCCACCTTCATTTCTTTGCAGTGCTTCGGTAGTGTCCGAGCGATATTCTGCATCCTGCTCAGATTCCGACGATGTAGAACTTGCACGGCTGAGGGGTCGACTCTCTTGCTCGTCGATATCTCTGGTGAGTGGGGTCCGTTGATCGTCATCGGAATCTTCATCCTCGTGCAATTGCTGTAGGCGATGATAGAGGGGTCGCACCTCTCTTCTCCGTAATGGTTGCCGGCGCCGTTCGTCCAGAAAGGCTGCACCCGCATGATCAAGACCGTGAGCTTTCCGTATACGAGGAAGCGCAAGCACATTGAGGTTTGAGGATCCCAGAGGATTGCTCCCTGCGGTGAGTTCGGACCGAGAAGCCGAGGTTCCTAGGGTGCTGTCGACATCAACCCGGAAAGTGGACCGCTTGGTGCCTTCTGGATCTGGGATTCCAAGCTTTTCCCTTCTCGAGGCATGTCGGCTAGGGTCAAGGTAGTCGTACAAGGCCGGTGCGGCGATGCGCGACTTGACATCTTCCAGAAGCTTGTCCCTCAGATCACGAATGATGGTAGACAAGACCTCCCGACAAGGATCCAAGTCCATGGCGCGCTGCTTCTTTTCCTCCTCAAGATCCAAGTCAGCTTCCCTCCTTGCCCCTTCTTTTTCGGCCTTGTCGCGTTGCTCAGCTTGAAGACGTTCGGGGCTAGGGCTGCGCTCGTAATGAGGATTGCCATAGGGTTGGCTTTCCATATTCATGATATAGGTGAACAAGGGTTGCATGTGACATAATCGGTAGCACCGGTCGGTTTCCTCCTCGCCGCGTCGTGAATTTTCGAAGATGATATAGTAACCAGTTTTGTCGCAACGGATGTTCTTGTAGCCGAATAGCTTGAGCCTTTTCCTCAGGTGCGGGACCGTGGTACTCAGGACGGGAACGTAGCAATGAGCAATGAAAATATAGGGGTCCCGTTTGATTTGGCTCAAGATCAGTGTGTCTTCGACCAACGACTGGACGGCAGGGGACCGAACGCCGGCCCTGGGCCCATCCGGGATAGGGATCCCCGGGCGCAGTGAAGATTTCCCCGAAGGTCCTTTCGGCGCTGTCGGTGGTGGCTCGTTCTTTGTCGCTGGCGCATCCGGTCGCGCGTCTGCGGCATTGTTCTTAGAGACCAGTCTTTGCGATTCAACGGCCTTTGACGCCATTCGCTTTGAAACAATTCCCCCGCGGTCCAACTCGACCCTGATCCGACGGGTTCCAATCCGCTGCTCTTTTTTGCACTCGAAATATGCACGCCTTGCCGCACTGGATGCGGGGACCGGACCCCCTCCTCGAAACGATGAGGTATCCTTGTATTTGATGGAACAAATCCCAAGAAACCGGCCCGTGACAGGATCTGTGTGGTTTTTCATTTCGCCGATGTCGCCAAAACTAGAGAAAAGCGCACTGATCGGAGCCATCGGTGTCAAGGGATCAAATCCGGTTACCACCACTTGGATGGGGGGGCCTGGTCCAATGCTCGTCACTGCATCATATGGCCATTGCTTCAAGTTGTAGGGAGCTGGGCGATATTTTGTTTTCTGTTTGCAGGCGGATCCACGGGTGTAATTGGAGATCGCCAGACGAGGGTCAGGAGGAGAACCGTCTTGGCTATTGACGAGGATATCCACATATTCGGGCTTTTTTCGCTTGTCCTTGGAAGATGTCCGCTTGTCTAGATCTGGATCATACACAGCCCTGCAGCCTCGGGCGACATTTTCAAGATGGCGTGTCTGCGACAAGGGGGTTGGTGGGGTGTGAACGGGGGTGATGGAGGACTTGGCGACTTCCGGGTTGGGTCGAAAGGTATTTGCTGGTGAATTGCCAGCGGCTGTCTTGGACTGCGATGGGCTGGTCGCTTTCCGGGGAGGGGATGACCCTGCATTGGTGAGTGGTGTCAGGGTATCAATATGTGACAGCTGGGGGTTCACCGATCCCCCGAGAAGTGAAGAGCTTCCATTCGAGGGTTTTGAAGCTGTAGCGCCAGCCGACTCAATGGCAACGATCTCTGATGGTGTCCGGGTCGATTCCTGGTCTCCCGATGGGGTTTCATGTGGAGGTCCGGACGCCGGTGCAGCCGAAATGAGCGTTGGGGAGTCTGCGGTTGTCTCCAAGGTTTGTTCACCATTATGTGTTTTGCCTCGTCGTTCCGTGGTCTTGAAGCGTTTCTGTTGAAGGACAGATGGGGCGGCTGGAAAGAAGTCTGCAAAGCCGGCCGAGGCGCGTGACATGGTGAGAGACGGCTACACGCCAGAGACGACCGTGGCGCAGCCAAAAGGCAGCATCCTTGATTGTTTCTCAGCGATTACAATCGCTTGTTGACCGAGGAGGGACCCGGCACGGCAGAATTGAATCGTCGAAAGAGGGAGAAGGAGAGAAAAAGAGGGAATGAATGACGCGACGAGACCAAAGGAGAGGGAGAAAAAAGGAAGACAGGGGAGAAATGAGGGGGTATAATAGACAAAGAGACAGAGCGTGTCAAATATTCCGATGCCGATAAACGTTTCTCAGGCCTTGGGAGAATGTAGAGGGAAAGGCTGAGCCAACGCGAAATTTCCAGAGTTTGCAGAAGGACAGAAGACGCGATCGGGCGGAAGAGAGAGAGAATGGTGGGGACAGGCGGGACTGAAGACACTCTTCAATCACCCTTGCTCTTTTCATTATTCCCTAGGTACCTCTCCAGGGCTACTGATTCTACTTCTTCATACTCTCGTCTCCCTGGGTATCTACCTAGTAGGTTGATTCTTTCACCAACTTAGCATCGGACTTTGCCACCTAGATGGATGGAACGTCCGGACTGTCTCTAGGTATGGTATAAATATAGACTGCATAGGAAAAAGAAATATATTTATATTTATATTCTATTTCATTCGATTTCTTCTGACTTCGGTAATTTGTATATGGTCCACGGGTCTGTAGAGAGATCTCCGTGAGACATGTCCCTGGGGCTTGGATACAGCCTCAGGCCACCCAAAAATAGAATAGATAGAATAGAATAGAATAAGACATTAGACCATTGAAAGTCAAAATCAAAATCAAAATATATCTATTATTGTCAGTCCTGGTATGCCGACTCTGAGCATTTGATCTCATCGGACGTAATTGATTTGGTACTATTCCCCTAGTAGAGGATATCGTTAGGGAGATCCATGGAGATCCAGGATATATATAGAATATATAGATATAAATAAGTAGAGTAGAAGTAGGAGTATGACTAGACCAACCTAAGGAACCAGCTGGATATGTCCTTTTTATTTTATTTTCAGGTACTAATATAATATAATATTTTTTTTTTCATCCAGTGGATCCCATTCCATTGTCTCACCAAGTGAGACATCTTGGCCGATTCCTCTTAGAAACTCGGGTGTCGCCTGAGAAGGCCCTTATTGGCGGTCAAGCTAATCATAAAACGCCCCTCCCCTTCTTCCCTTCCCTTTCCCCCCTCCTCTCTTTCTCTCTCTCTCTATAAATACGTTTCGGTGTTTTGTCTTCCTTCCTCTTCCTTGTCCCTCTTTGTCCTCTCTCTCTCTCTTTTACCCCCCCCCCCCTCTTCAATTCCATTGCTTGTTTTTGCTCTGGTATCTTCTGCCCATCATGTGGTACGTGGCGAGCTCCCCCTCTTTGCTTTTCTTCCCCTTTGCTTTTACTCACTGAATCATTTGTTTCTAGTGGAATATTCGGTTACATCAACTACCTCGTCGAGAGGGACCGCAAGTTCATCATTGACACGCTTCTCAATGGTGGGTAGCCCCGAATCCCTCTCTCTTCTTTTTTTCTTTCCTTGGAGGGGCCCACTCTGGCTAACTCGGCATCGGCATTGTAGGTCTTTCACGACTGGAATACAGAGGCTACGACTCGGCCGGCATGGCCGTGGATGGCAACAAAAGAAATGAAGTTTGTGCATTCAAGGAAGTTGGAAAGGTCCAAAAGTTGAAGGAGCTCATTGCGGAGAGCAAGCCTGACATGACCAAGACTTTTGAGTCTCATGCTGGAATTTCTCACACTCGCTGGGCCACCCACGGAACGCCCTCGCGCCAAAACTGCCACCCGCACCGGTAAGCTGTTCCTGCACGGGGAAGAGGAAATAAGACAAGAGAACGAGAAAATATTAACCTGGGTGGTCTTTCATAGCTCCGATGACACCTGGGAGTTTTCGGTGGTTCACAATGGTATCATCACCAACTACAAGGAGCTGAAGGCTCTGCTGGAGAGCAAGGGTTTCCGCTTCGAGACCGAGACTGACACCGAGTGCATCGCCAAACTTGCCAAGTACCTGTACGATCAACATCCAGATATTGAATTCACGGTTTTGGCAAAGGCCGTTATCAAGGAGCTCGAAGGTGCCTTTGGTCTGCTGATCAAGTCCGTTCACTACCCCCATGAGGTGATTGCGGCTCGCAAGGGTTCTCCCTTGGTGATTGGCGTCAAGACCTCGAAGAAGATGAAGGTGGACTTCGTCGATGTCGAATTTTCGGAAGAGGGAGCCCTTCCCGCCGAGCAGGCTTCCCAGAACGTTGCCGCCAAAAAGTCCGCCACGAGCCTCCTTGCTCCGCCGGACAAGTCGCTGTTGCACCGGTCCCAGTCGCGGGCCTTCCTGTCGGATGATGGTATCCCCCAGCCCGCCGAGTTCTTCTTGTCTTCGGACCCGTCCGCCATCGTGGAGCACACTAAGAAGGTCTTGTACCTCGAGGACGATGACATTGCCCACATCCACGAGGGCCAGCTGAACATCCACCGCCTGACCAAGGACGATGGAACCTCCAATGTTCGTGCGATCCAGACCATCGAGCTCGAGCTGCAGGAGATCATGAAGGGCAAATTCGACCACTTCATGCAGAAGGAGATCTTCGAACAGCCCGAGTCCGTGGTCAACACCATGCGGGGTCGTCTGGACGCCGTCAACAAGAAGGTCACCCTGGGTGGCCTTCGTCAATACATCTCTACTATCCGCCGTTGTCGGAGAATTATTTTCATTGCCTGTGGTACTAGCTATCACTCTTGCATGGCTGTGCGGGGGGTTTTCGAAGAGCTGACCGAGATCCCCATTGCTGTCGAACTCGCTTCGGATTTCCTCGACCGACAGGCGCCCGTGTTCCGTGACGACACCTGTGTGTTTGTTTCCCAGTCGGGAGAAACTGCCGACTCGTTGATGGCACTTCGCTACTGTCTTGAACGGGGTGCTTTGACCGTTGGTGTCGTCAATGTGGTCGGATCGTCGATTTCGCTCCTCACCCATTGCGGTGTGCACATTAACGCTGGTCCCGAGATCGGTGTCGCATCTACCAAGGCGTATACCTCACAGTTTGTGGCCATGGTCATGTTTGCTCTGTCACTGAGTGAAGATCGCGCCTCGAAGCAAAAGCGACGCGAGGAGATCGTGGAGGGACTTGGCAAGGTCTCCGAGCAATTCAAGCAGATTTTGAACCTGAATGAGCCCATCAAGGAGATGTGTGCGAAGTTCTTTAAGCACCAGAAGAGTTTGCTCCTGCTGGGCCGCGGTGCCCAGTTCCCTACTGCCCTCGAGGGTGAGTTGGATCTGTTCTCCTGCTTTACCGAGAGACCCATTATGCTAACCTAATTTTGTTCCCTCTCGGATTTTAGGTGCCCTGAAAATCAAGGAAATTTCTTACCTTCACTGCGAGGCAGTCATGTCCGGTGAACTGAAGCATGGTGTTCTCGCTCTGGTGGATGAGAACCTGCCGATCATCATGATCCTGACCCGGGACAACTTGTTCACCAAGTCCCTGAATGCATACCAGCAGGGTAAGTGCATTCTGCTTATATATACATATATATATTTGGAAACTGTTGATACTGACCCGGGCTTTTTCTTTTCTTTTATAGTCATTGCTCGCGGTGGCCGACCCATTGTGATCTGTAACCAAGATGACCCGGAGTTTTCCGCGGCACAGACCGAGAAGATTGTGGTCCCGAAGACTGTGGACTGTCTCCAGGGCTTGCTTAACGTGATCCCGCTGCAGCTGATCTCCTACTGGCTTGCTGTCGGGGAGGGCCTGAATGTGGATTTCCCGCGCAACCTGGCCAAGTCGGTTACGGTCGAGTAAACCAGGCGAGTGGAGGGGTAGACGACCGCTATGACATTGCTATCTTTAGGTGTTTGTGTGCTAGCTTACTCGGGAGAATGGACCTGTGTTTTTATGATATCGCTCTACCTGGTCTCTGTAGTTCCAGCGATTTTGCCGTCTTCGGACCGCCTTTGCCCCACCGGGATGTTTTCGTCAGTGAAACTCTTCGTATCTTCGTATATCAGGAATCTCTCCTGCCTTTGCATTGTTGTTGTTTGTACCCTCGATCCTAGTCATTTTATTGTCTCTAACCTCAGTTTAATCCACCATGACTACCATCAAAGGCCCCGGTGCTGCTCCGACCTACGACGGTGAGGAAATGAACCCCTCAGTTTCGGGAGACGTGATTAGTCCACTGACCACAGCTTGTTCTAGGCTCCGGACTCCGTGTTGCGATTGTCCACGCCCGGTGGAACACCGCGATCATCGAGCAGCTTGTCGCGGGCGCAAAGAAGACCTTGTTGGCAGCGGGCGTAACCGAGGACAACATCACGATCCAGACCGTTCCCGGCAGCTATGAACTGCCGTTTGGTGTCCAGCGGTGAGTTGGCAACCATGCCATTGCGATCGCAGTCCACGTATCTAACACCCCCGGTTCTTAGGGTTTATGCGGCCTCCCAGCTCCAAGCAAGCTCCTCCGCCGAAGGCATCAGTGCCACCGACTTGTTGTCATCGTCAACCACAGACCTGAGCAAATCCGCGACCCAGTCGCCGTCGGGCAGTCCGAAGAAACCGTTCGATGCCATTATTGCCATTGGTGTCCTGATCAAGGGCGCGACCATGCATTTTGAATACATTGCCGACGCCGTCAGTCACGGACTGATGCGGGTTCAGCTGGATTCTGGCGTGCCCGTGATCTTTGGGCTGCTGACAGTTCTCAATGAAGAACAGGGTCTGGAGAGGGCCGGACTAGGCAAAAGTGGCATGCATAACCACGGCGAAGATTGGGGCCAAGCAGCCGTGGAGCTGGGCTCCAAGAGGAGAGATTGGACCGAGGGCAAGATCGTTTAAAACCACTGCGAACCTGCATGTATGTCGACGGGCTAAGGACTACCCGACTACTGTTCATCTGAACCAATTGTGTTAGGTCTTCTGATTCTTCTATTCTTTTCTTTTAGCTCCTGTGAAGACGGCTGGTCTTCACTAGAATGCTCCGATTATCGTGCTGGAGACACAACCTTGCAGAACCATAGCATTAAAACTTCGCCGGATCTATCCATCAAGTACACGTTCACTCTTCCATATGGCCCTTATCTTCCTCTTCCTCGTCTTCTCCCTCCAAGGCCCGCTTTGCGGCTTTCTCGGCTTCCTCCACGAGCTCCTTGGGCACCTCCTCGTGTCGGCCCTTGGTCGGCCCGTCAACCGAGCTGATCCATGACATTTCCAGCTCGAATTCCTTGTCCTTGCTGTCTTCATGCGCAACGTAAATGATGCGGGCTGCTTCCTTCACACCATCCGTCAAAGACAGATTGCCGGAGCTCAGATCTAATTTCTCCAATTCAGCCTTGGCAGCCTGCCGTCCCTTCCCAGTTGCGGCACCATAATAGCCCTGGCATTCACTGTCAGCGAGGGTTAAGTCCAATGTAAAAGGGGCGAGTCATCGCGTACCCAGTAGAGCCCGCTCGGCTCGATCATGTAGAGGCCAGGCCCTCCTGCCTTGGCGCCTTCAACCTTTCCACCGGAGCCGGACTTCGGCCCACTGCCCACCTGGCCATCCACCGCCAGCTCTTCCTCGCTATCCCATCCACCAACAATGGCGGTAACACCGAATGGCCGTACGCTGGAATAAAGGGTGTACGCTTGCACATACCCACCTAGCCGATTGGCGAGTGCCGCAGTCGGGATGGGGCCTTTGTAGATGCCTCGCCATGAGGAAGCCTCATCCCGGGCCCGAGAAACGAAATGGCGACCGTCAGGGATTAGCCCAGCAGATACCTATGCGCCTGTATTAGAATAGGCCACAAGCGAATCATTTAACAATCTGATGGAGGGTCAAGGGGGGTCTTCTCACAATGCCGACATGGCGATCCACCGTCGCAATTCTCTTATTAGCACCGGGCTTTAGCAGCTTGCTCGTGATGATCTTTTCCACAGCCAAGACAACTCCATCCTTGCACCGAATGCCGACTGCGGTTCCTCCATTCTCAACTGCCTTGACGGCGTACTCGACCTACGGGACTGGTTAGCAGGAAGTGGGAAGGTGGGGCCTGGAACTGGATCATGAGCTTTTCAGGAGGACGCGCTGACCTGGAAATTCCGGCCATCAGGCGAGAAGACCGAGTTGGAAAGGTCATAACCTGTGCCAATTGATGTCTATCACAGAAATCCGTTAGCTGTTGGCTTCAAGTCGCGTGGTCTTGGGTAGACGGAGCCCACCATGATTTTGCAAGGATGTAGTCAGGTAAATCTTATAAAGAGAAAGACACGCCACAGATAGCAGAGCTGGAAGGGGGAGAGGAGTGGAAGGGAAGTGATAGGCGAAGCTACAGAGAGGGAAGCTCGGGACAGCTGCGTCACGGGAGTTGCCTGTTTGGTCACCTGACATAGCATCTGCTTGGGCACATTTGGGCAGCACCACTCATCTTTTCATCTTATATCCATAGCATTTTCCTTCCTCTCTAACACTATGCAGACCCCTCAACAGCTTATTCTTCCTCTCTGCTCTCTTGTACATACTTGGTTTCCCTTGACTTGACCCATGTCCTCTATCTATCAGTGTCCGGTCTGCGGGCACTTGTCCGATTTATCCCATGCTCTCGCGGTCTTCATTGAGAACCCCCACTGTCACCAGGTAGTATTGATGTCATCCTTACTTAGTTGATCAAAGTCCCTGACCAAGTGCAGTGTGGGTTGTCCGCTGCTGAGAGCCATCTGAAGGTGCAAGATGAGCTTGCTGCATTGTTTGACAAGCAAATGACGATGGAACGTCCACCGAGTAAAGAAGCAACAATCTCTTACAGCATCACTCAACACTACCACCATTCCTCCCACGTAGCTTTTCCCCACGCAAACCCTGTCCAGGAAGTGGCTGTTCCTTCTACGCCTGATCCCTCCCTGTCTGTCGATGGGATATTGGCTCAGCATGGGCTCAATCCAAGTGCTCTTTCTCCTAGCCAGCTGGATCTCTTCAAGCATGCCGATATGGAGCAGAGACAGCGGTTGGTCCAAACCTGGTTGCTGTACTCGAAACCATTGCAACAGCAGACCGAGACTTTGCAGTTCTCCCCCGGTGAAGACCTCGAGATGGCCTCTTCCGAGGAAGACAGCGATGATGGCAAGGATTATGCGGAACCATACATGATAAATGGATATACAGGCCATGTCCCTCCAAAGGAACCGACAACGGGGCAACCCTATGCCCCGTCCAGAGATCCTGTGTATCAAGATCGGGGATGTTGGCAGCATGCCGGGCTGGGGCCGATGGAATCACAATATGGGGCTTTTGATGAGATGAACCGTCATGATCCCAGATACGGTGTGGTTCCATTTTGACAACGATAAAACTCCAAGAAAAATGAACCCTTTTGTTTTTGTACTATGTCTACTGAAGCACCTTTGAGCAGAGTCAAGGTCACGTAGCTCCAAGGCCCTACTTGAGTATCAAGGGTAAAAAAAAAATTGTCACGATCTCCAACACAAAGGATTTCTTCTTTTCTAGATACATTTTCTGGGTCTGTGTCCATCAACTGCTTCAAATAAAATGCATAAACTGGGGGGGGGGGGGAAAGAATGCCATGGCCAATGTCAGTAAAAAGGAGTGTTCGCCATGGACGTATTATCATATGCCCTCCTCTTCGCCAACGGGCACTGCTCATCAAATGTCAGGATGTCATCGAGCGTCACGCTGAACATAGCGCCTTCGGAAATTAGTCAATTCGATAGGCTTAGTTGAAACGGCTAGCGTCAACAGTCTCGAGGTGCATTAGACACTGCTGCCAGGAATGGGATTAGTACCGTCAATACCCCATACCAACAGGAAAAGCCTTCAGTGGCTTACATTTACTCCTCCTCATCGAGGGCAGCCATGGCCTCGGCAAGGGCATCGGCAGAGCGCTTGACCTCATCGACAGCCTCAGCGGTACGCTTGACCTTGTAGCAGCCCTGGCCGGGGTGGGCGCACCACTTCTGGAGCGCAACGGGGTGGGCCTCGGCATGGGCCTCAGCGAGAGCCTCAGCAGAGCGCTTGACTTCCTCGACCGCTTCGGCGGAACGCTTGACCTTGTAGCAGCCTTGGCCGGGGTGGGCACACCACTTCTGGAGAGCAGCAGCCTGGACGGTGGAGGCGGCCAGCATGGCAAGGGCGACAGAGAGAAGCTTCATCTTGAAGAATGGGATGGGTGAAATAGCGAGAAGATGGACAGTAGAATTTGAATTTCTGAGAGAGAGAGAGAGCGAGATGGAGATCGTGTTGAACAAGAACTTGATCGAGAAGACCGGAAGGATTTTATATTCGTTCAACCGCAGGCCCCCGAGAAGTCCATACTCGAAGCTGAGCTATTCACAAAGGACTTATTGACACCCATAATCGTCCATGATCTCGGGAGATCTTATTGACATGGGAGGGGTAGAAGTTCAATAGAGTCATGGCCGGAGATGGAGGTGAATAAGAACTCCAGCGGCTGAATAACCCAAACCAGGTATCAATAAGAACACTTGGGATGGATGGACTGGGAGGAACAAAGAGGAAGATAAGATCGGGCCGGGGAGACCCACAGTCGCGCGATGCCGAGTCCATCCGGGCGCGCTTTTTTTCCGTTTTCCCTTAGTCTGATCCTTTCCCCCCCTCTGGATTCCACTCTCCTATTGCCCCAATTCCATTGACTTCCTCGTTGAATCTCCAAAAGAACCAGAGTGAAAATGTTCGCGAGAACGGCACAGCCTGCTCGGGTATGTCTCCATCGAATCGACCCTCCCCCCCCCCCCCTGTCCTTTCTTTGTCCATGTGTTCATGTGTCTGTCGCCCCCATGTTCGGCCTAACCGATATCTCTAGACTCTGCTTCGCAGTGCTTCCGTGGCGCCTTCCCTCGGTCGCTCCATTCCCGCGAGATGTACGCCATTGTTCCCTGCCGCCTCACATGATCCCAGAAAGCGATTGAATACGTGGCTAACATTGACGAACTAGCCTTTGCCAGTGTGCAATCGGACATTTTCAAGCCTACCAAGTACGGCGGCAAGTACACGGTTACTCTGATTCCAGGTACGTCCCCAATCACTGCTGCGCCGAGAAAAGGCCTTTTGCTTTCTTTAACTCTTTTGCCCCCCTCTGTTCCGTGCTGATTCGTGCTAGGTGATGGCATTGGTGCCGAGGTCGCCGAATCGGTCAAGACCATCTTCAAGGCCGACAACGTGCCCATCGAGTGGGAGCAAGTCGATGTCAGCGGTGTGGACACGGGCAACAAGCACTCGGAGGAGCTGTTCAAGGAATCCCTGGCGTCGCTCAAGCGCAACAAGCTAGGCCTGAAGGGAATTCTGTTCACGCCAGTGGAACGATCGGGCCACCAGTCCTTCAACGTCGCCCTTCGACAGGAACTGGACATTTACGCGTCGATTTCTTTGATCAAGAACATTCCGGGCTACGAGACCCGTCACAAGGATGTCGACCTCTGCATCATCCGTGAGAACACCGAGGGCGAGTACTCGGGCCTGGAGCACCAGTCAGTGCAGGGCGTGGTGGAGTCCCTGAAAATCATCACCCGCGCCAAATCTGAGCGCATCGCCAAGTTTGCCATGGGCTTTGCGCTCGCCAACAACCGGAAGAAAGTCACTTGTATTCACAAGGCTAATATCATGAAGCTGGCCGACGGCCTCTTCCGCAGCACGTTCCACAAAGTCGCGGAGAACTATCCCACCCTGGAGGTGAACGACATGATTGTGGACAACGCTTCCATGCAGGCTGTCTCTCGCCCCCAGCAATTCGATGTGCTGGTCATGCCCAACCTTTACGGTGGTATCCTGTCCAACGTTGGCGCTGCTCTCGTGGGTGGCCCTGGGGTGGTTCCTGGCTGCAACATGGGTCGCGACGTGGCCGTCTTCGAGCCGGGCTGCCGCCACGTGGGTCTCGATATCAAGGGCAAGGACCAGGCCAACCCCAGCGCCATGATCCTCTCTGGTTCCATGCTCCTCCGTCACCTGGGTCTGGATGAGCACGCGAACCGCATCTCTAAGGCGGTTTACGATGTGATCGGCGAGGGGTGAGTGAATCCCAATTCCCAACCTTTTAACCTTTAAAGTGATAGTCCCATACTAATCATTCTTTCCTACAGCCAAACCCGAACTCGCGACATGGGTGGTCAGGCTACCACTCATGAATTTACCCGAGCTGTTCTGGACAAGATGGAGGCGGCTCTGTAAATTTGAGCACAGACTGCCTGCCGTGAAATACTGCTACGACTGGGGATGGCTCTGGCCTGTTAGAAAGTGGATTGCATGCCATGGATCGGCCGGAGTGATCTTCATTTATGTATTATCTTTTTACCCCATTTTCGCTCGACTCGTCTCCTCGCAGATTTATAGCAATAGACCATTGTGCAATTGAAGTATGGAGAGCCTTGCATTGTTCTACATCATCTATATCCACGCGCATGCGTTCCCAGACGTTCTTCCGTGACTGCTTCACAGTTTCTTTCCTCCAGTGGCGGGCGTGACTCCTGGGGTGTGAAGTCCCCGGGCTTTTGGCGTGTTGTGACTTCCCGGCTTCCTCGACGGAATTCACTCGGGTCATTCAGCCGGCACTCGATAAAACATCTTCACCTGTTCGGTGAACCCCTCTCGCGCGAGCGCTTGCCCGAGTCGTGCTCCGAAACGACGTGGAGATCACTAGCTTTCTGGTAAGAGCGAGGCACCATGCGTGTGGGTCTTGCCTCACTAGCTGGGCGATTGTAATGTGGCCAGACATTTGGCCAGAAATAGGAGCAGGGTCACTTTGTCCCCCCAGCACACAGGGTGGTGTGATCGTCGCATTAAAAGGCTGGGCGCCTTTTGCGGCCGGTATACTTTGAGTTCGACTTCACGACTTTCCCCTTTCGTTCCATTTGGTCCTTCTTCTTCATGATCCAGGCCCGGTCACCTTTTTGGGGTGGGCCTTTGGCATTGTTCAGTTCCATGGCCCTTTTCCTGGCATCCAGGACGTTGACATCATCCATGCCATTAACAACCCCGGTGATATCTCCTTGTAAGCCACCACCACCGACGGTAAGGACCAGGTATAATTTACTGTTTTTGGTTCCGGGGTCATCTTCGAGGATACCGGCCCCAAAGCCTGCCTTCATTGCTGCGCCACTAATCATGCTGCGCTGGGTATCGTTCTTGGGGTAAAATTGGCAAACAGCCCGGCCTCCGCGGCGGAGGCTGGCGTAAAGGCCTTCGAAAAACCGTCGTAGGCGACCTTCAGGGCTAACATCACTGGTTTCCGCATTGCACAGCCACTGAATCGCACTGATGCTAATCGCGGCGTCGAATGTGCCAGGCCGGAATGGGACGCCTTGCCCGATATCGGCAAGGAATAAATCGCCTTCGACATCGCGCTGCAGTGCCACATCAAGCATGCTTGGCGAGATATCCATGCCGATCCAGGTGTGCGGCCCGCCTTCTTCGGAGGGAAGATCAGACAGGATTTCACCAGACAGACCGGAACCGCATCCGACATCGAGGATCAAAGATGGTGCTTTTAGATCGAGGAGGTCGAGGGCCCGATTGGTCATGTCGGCCTGGATATTGCGGATGCGGGAAGAGGTCGTGTACTTGCGGGATTCATTGTCATTGTAAAACAGATCGGGAGGACTGTGTAGAACGAATTAGCTTCAGCTGAGAGCAATGGATACAGTTGATCATACAGAACATCTTCAGGACGTGACATGGTGGCAAAGGGTGGGATGGGCAAGTTTGAAGAGATAGGAATAACAAGCGATTTTTTCTCTTCCTTTTTTGGGGTTGGAGATCGCCGTGGGGTGTCAAGCCTGAGGCATCAATATCCCCAAAGCGTCATCGAACCACCTCGCTTCTTTCCCTCAACCAACCCCCCGGGAGAGATTCCTGCACACCTTGAAGCCTACTGGATCAAAGTACACTCTCAGACATTTTATCATGTGGATTCTCCCGTTGGTAGGATACCTGGGGGTGATTGTTGGCTTTGTCTTTCTCACCCTAGCCATCGGTAAGGAGCTCAACCGGAATTCAAAGCATCCCGACTGACTCCCAGGCTAGCTTCCGGACTCTATTATCTGTCAGAACTTGTGGAAGAGCATACCGTGCTTGCCCGTCGGCTACTAAGTCGTTTGATCTATGGCATCATTACGGTTCAGATTCTCCTAGTCATTTTCGACCGCTTTCCACTGTTCCTATCCCTCCTCAGCGTCGTTTCCCATCTGGTCTACGCCAGCAATCTACGCCGGTTTCCTATTGTCAAACTCTCCGATCCACTATTCATTCTATCGTGTCTCTTGGTCGGCATCAATCATTGGCTATGGTTTCGCCACTTTTCCAAACCGTTGCCCTCGTCCCGGCGCACCGAGAATAATTGGCGTCAGCCGTATCAAGTCGATTACGACGAAATGCCATCCTTTTCCGAGGTAGCTTCATATTTTGGGCTCTGTGTTTGGTTGGTTCCTTTCGCTCTCTTTGTCAGTCTCAGCGCCGGGGAGAATGTTTTGCCCAGCATGGGCTCGGAATATGCTACCGGAGACCATGTTCCGCCAACTGGGTTGGGCCATAGCCGCGGTCCTTCTGATGGAAAAGCCAAGAACAAGGGCATGGCCAAGGCATTGGTGGATAATGTGCGAGACTGGGCCCGGGAAAATGGCGAGCTCATGGGCCTCTGGAGGGGAGAGCGGACGAGACGGTTTTGAACCGTGGAATAGTCGGGGATAATATATGTTGTGGAAGAACCCATGGGCGCGAATAAAGAAGCTTGTATCATATGAAACAACAAAAATGGCTTGCTGTTCAACATCGTCACCTCGTAGCTACACAAATGGCCAAATCACATAGAAAAGGCTGCACATGAACCGCTCGAAATCCAAAAGGCAAAATGAAAGACCAAAAGAGAGGAAGAGAAAAGAAAAATAAGAAGAAGGGGGGTATAAACGATGATCCACTGGAGTTCCATGACATCCCAAAAAAAGAACCAGAAAAAGAAAGAGAGAAAGAACAGAAAACCTTCAGGGCTCCCTATTTCGATTACCATTATCGTAAAGACATTCCCTTGCGAGTGTCATCATTGCACAGTGCACATCGTAAGTTGTCCAGGCCAAGCTGGTATGGCCCCCGGTGTATTGAGTTGCCAAGAAAGTAGGGTGTCGGAACAGACGACAAGTCATGGCAGCGTCAGGGGCATCTGCTTGAGCACTTTAATTGCCCTGCTGGGCGGTAGAGTCTTTAGAAGCTGGGGGCCATGCATCAGCGGGCGACATCAACGCCGGCATTCTCAGGCTAGAATCACCTACCGCTCTCCATGAAGAGCATTGAACTCTCTCGTCGCTTCGACTTGGCTGAGCGGGGATCATCGCTCGGTGACAACATTCCATTTAATGAAGAAAACGGACCAGAGGCTCCTGGCGGGGGTTGTACATGTCATTCTGGTAGGCCGGCTGGTCGTAGCTGGGCTGCATCGGGACGAACCCGGTATCATGCTGAGCTCGAGAGCTGTCACCTAGGTTATTCGGAAGATCCCCCGTGACCCGAAACGAGGTTTGGTTATACGAGGGCGTGGGAATATCCGAGAACATTTGGTGGCGGGGCGAGCGAACATCATCGGCCAACAGAGTGCGGTCGACCGTCAGCTCCACATTTGCTGGGGTGGGATTGGAAGAGTCGCCGAAAATACTGTCGAAGTCTGTGAGAAACATCGAGAACACCGGTGCCGGGATGTTGAGGGTAGGGGCAAAGACAATGCCCACGTTCCGAACCGTCATTTTGTTGACATCGGAGTTGTTCACGATCTCAATCAAAAACTGCGATAGTGCTCGCAGCAAGGCTAGGTTTGGTCCGGGCAGCCTGTGTACTAGTGAATGGAAGGCAGCGACTTTCTTCTGTCGACTATCGAGTTCTGTTGCAAGCAATTAGTGTTGGAGTTATTCAAGAGAGCAAGGCACTCCCTAGACATACCGAGAACTCGAAGGAAGTCCAAATGAAGCTCCCGCGTCAGCACGGTAGTTGGAAGCTCCCGAAGGTATTGCTTGAAGAGAGAAGCGACTGCATGGACGTCATAGTACTGATCGCCAGCTAAAAAATCAACATCGCCTTCGGTGTTGAATCGTTCCTTCAACGCTTTGACCACGACATTGGAGCCGCTCAGACGGAATATTCCCTCCTCAGATGCTGCTCCTTTGGCGTGGAGGTATTCAATACAGCGATAGGCCACCGCCGGCAGCTCGGCATCCACATTCTGTGGCGCACAGAATCGTACAGCGTCGGTCAGGGGTATTCCAAAGACAGCTCTGACTGGATCTTTCCGCTCTGCTTGGATGTTTTGGTTTGCCACGGCCACGTCATTGCTAGCCTGGGCCTGGGAGGCGAGATCAAAGGAGGATCGGGTACGGAAACCCCAGATGCTGCGCTTCTTCTCTTTGGTGGACGTGGCTGCTTTATTGCCCCAAGCTTCCACGTCTTGAATGACCGCACCATTGGTGGGCGCCGAGATAATCTTGGGAGACTGCAGCGGCGGATCAACGGCAGATTGGTTCATGTCTCTCAAGTCTGTCGAAAGGGCGGCCGGGATCCGTGGCGATCGAGGGGCCTGTTCGAGCGAAGACCCGAGAATCGGAGGCTCGGCCGCAACTGCATCATCAAAACTGAACCCTTGCACGAAGCCCCCAGCATCCTGATCTGGACTTTCGACCCCTCTGCCAGCTCTCCTGCTGCCGTTGCTAGCGAACAACTTCGATTTAGTTGCGGCTGCGGGAGGCGGCTGCTTGATTTGGCTCTGCGTTTGGGTCTTGGCCGAGGTGTTGCTGCGTCCCTCATTCTCGGACGAGGGGTTCTCCACGTATTCCATCAAAGCATCGACCCAAGCATCACGCTCGTCATCGCTCTCGGCGCAAAGTACATGTCGCACAAGCGCCGATGAATCCTTCTTCTTGGGTTCCAAGATCAGGAACGCATGGCGATATTGATTGTCAGAGTCATCATCGGCACCCGGAGGCGGCGTGCTTTGGGTGCTGGAAGATTGTGACTGTTTGCCAATCTGGGCATGGTACAGTTTAATAGTGCCCATGTGAGGACCACCCGGCGCCTCGAAGTATTTTAGTTCGGGCCCATGAAGTACAAAGTACCTCGCTTTCCAGCCGCCAAAGTTCTTCCCTCGCTTGGTCAGATATCCCTCCTTTCGAGGCTTTCCGTCTGGACCACGAAGTGTGTCAGGCCGTGATTGCACGTGCCCCCTGAGGAGGCTCGTCTCGTCGTCTCTTGGTTCGATGGCGTCGCTTGTCAAGAAATTGCAGATAACCAATGCCGCTTTCTCATCCATGGGCGTGTCTAGCAGGTTGTCAAAGTAAGAATTCAAGGCTGCGCGTCTCGCATCTACTTTGGCGGGGGAATGGCCACTGAAGATGCTTCGATCGGGCAACTTCCCAGGGAACGAGGACAATTGTCTTATCTGCTGGTCTAGCTGGGGCAAGGACGCAATGACTTTTTCCACACGCCAGAGCTCCGAGTTTTCGGAACGAGAGATGACGCTGAGAGTAAAGACGGGCTCCTCATCCAACGGCTTGGTGGCCATGTAGCTATTCCTTGAAGGACGTAGCCGTGAGGAGGATACCGTGACTTGAATCAAAGGAAGAGCATTCGGGGGCAGAAGCAAGCCGGGATACTCCTCAGACACCAATCCCTGATAGATGCTGCTGCCAAAAAACTGTGGGGAGTTCGGGCTGTCGATCTTGACTGTGGGATCGATTGATGGAATAAGGCCGGCGGGGTTCCCATTTGAGATATGGGAGTCTCCAGAGGTGAATGGCGGAGGGTAGTTTGTGGTCCGCGGAGAGAGGGGCAACCCTGAGAGGTTATTATACCCGGTGGCCATTGATGGGGACGCCATGGAATTCGACATGTCCCGAGGCATTCGAGGTAGGGGAGAACCGAGGGGTCGGTCCTCTGGTCTCGGACTCAAGGGTAGCCCAGGGCTTTTGGGAATGGAGATATTCGAACGGCCGTTGGAAGATGCCACCTGCGGAGTCCGGGAGTTCAAGATTGATCCTAGGGAATCAGCTCCACCAACATTTGGTGGCGATCGTGTTGACAGTTCCCGAGGGACTGTTTCTGGGCTAACCGAAGTAGCGGTATCCCGTGAGTTCTGAGACATCCCGGACTGAGTCGCCCCGGTAGAGCCATATGTGCCCACTTCATTCTTCAGGGTCGTTTCGCGGTCTCGATCATCTTCTTCTCTCGTCTTTCTCCTTCCGCGGTCCATGCCAAGCGTCTCATCCACTTCCTGGACATCGCCGTAATCAGAATCTGAGTCTGTTTCCGAAGGCTCCGTCCTAGCATTGCCGGTTTGCTGTAGCTTCAGGGGCGCAGGTGGCGGTTTGCGACTTGGCTGTGGAAGCTTGATTCCTTCGTTGTCAACGGGCGATAGATCGCCTCGGGGGGTGGAATCCACGACCACGGCCGAACGCATCTTCGATGTCTCCGACGGCAGGGACAAGTCATCTGGTCCTGATTCATTCTTTTTCTCGGCGTTCGCCTTTTCTAAAGTGGTCTTGGACGTTGATTCGGTGTAGGAGGCCAATGGCTCCGCCGTCGGTAGCGGGGGCACTGAGTCTTGAACCTCCTTGTGCTTCTTTTTGTACTTCTCCTTCTCCTTGAATGTGCGCTCAAGATCCTTGTTTAGACCAAGGATTAAAGTCCTTTGCTTGTCAACCAATTTCCAGAGCTGCGAATTTTGGGAGGCTGCATGGTGTTTCTCTTTCAGAAGGTGCACAATCACTGCCTCGGCCGAGCCAGCCGCATTGATGAGATTGCTGATGTCGGCTGGGCTTAAAGCGTTGGCGTCAAAAGTTGATTTCTGCGAGGCGGAGGATAGGGAAGAGATTGCGGAATCAATCGACGAGGTGCGAGGCAACACACGGCGTGGACGATCTCCGGGCATCGACTGAAGAGAGCTAACCGAGGATGTTGCAGATCGATTGGGCTCTGTTACCCCGGCGGGCTTTGGCATATTTCCAGGTCGGTCAGCCGTGTCAGCCGACTCTGCACTGGTCATCTCTGGTGACTGGGAGCTATTGGGGGCAGCTTTGGATGGGGGCGCCGGGAATGTTACATGAGCTGGGCGGGTAATGGGCGAGCGGTTCTGAGAAGGGGAGGCGTTGGCACTGGATCTGGGAGAGAGCGGGCTCTGGGACGAAGCAGAATCGTCATGAACAAAGGACCGGGGCAGTGAACTGGTGTGCAACGGAGAAGGCGTAATTTGGCGGGCAGCAGGCCCAGGGCGCGACGACGGGGTGTCCGATCGTGTTCCCATAGAATCCCGAGGGGGAAGACCGCTGTTCAGGGGCGGGTAGGCGGGCTGATTTTTAGCAGTCGAAGCAGACGGGGATGGCGAACCATCATCACCACTACCTCGTCGCGGGATCTGCGACATTGCTGCAAGGATCGAGGTTGCGCATGGGCCAGGGAAGGTTCACGTTGGGAGAACACGAGGCGAGGGCACCGGAGGGGGCGGGTAAGAGATCGTGGGTCTTCCCCCGAGAGTTGAAGCTTAACGCAAGAGAAAGCGGTGGCCAAGACAATGATCCTAGTTGATCCTGAGAAAGGGAAAGGAAGCAAAAAGAAAAGAAATCCAAGAAAAAAAAGGGGGGGGGGGGGGGGGGGGGGTTCGAAGAAGCAAAAGAACAAGTCAGATGGAGTTCACGCAGAACCCCCGGTGGAGCCACAGGGTGATCGGTGACAGCGGAGGGGCGAACCATTCAACAAGAACTCGACATGGTTCTTTTGTTTCCTAGTAGAGTTCATCTTGGAGGTTTCTTGGATTTTTTTTCTTTGGGTTCAAAGTGTGAGAGATAGAAAGAGAGTGGGAAAGAGAAAAAATGCTGTACCTTATGATTCTGGTTCATCTAGCAGTGATGAGCCATGGGGATGGCAAGGACTGCCAGATTTCCAAGGTTTGCTCTTCCAATTCACATCTCGGCCGTTGGGGATTGAATGATGTCATGTTCGTGGTGTATATAGTTTATGTATAGTTCATACATAGTTCATGTAGCCCTACATCGGTCATGCCAGATTTTGGTATACTTCCCAAACTATACATTCCAAGGTCCACCAACAAGGTCATAGAGAAACATAGGTAGGATAAATTCTTATGTTGCATGAATTACTCTTTCGAGATCTCTACCACCACTTTCTTTGCGGAGACGCCCTGTCGAAGAAGATCGATGCCTGTTTGGACCTTCTCCAGCCCTCCTTCAATAACCTCTGGATCTGGCTTGGCCTGAAACTTGCCGCTCGCTAAAGCCTGTGGGATGTATTTGCACCAGACAGCATCACCAACATTCAAGGCAAACATCCCTGGAGCCAGGCCATTCACTGTTCAGACATCAGCAACAGCGCTCCAAGCATGCTGAACGACACATACCAAAGACCCCTTGGACATTATCAGGGAACGGCTCTCGGGGTAGCAACACCACAGGGAGTTTTCCACCCCCGATGCTTTCAAGAATCTTCCCACAGGCCACCTGGGTACTTGGACTACTAATACAATCAAAGACCACATCGCCAGGTTTGAGGACCTTGGAAATCTTCTCAACGACACCGGGCTCCTTGTGGTCAAAGACATGAGTAGCCCCAAGATTCTTGACATACTCATGATTGGAGCTACCGGCAGTCGTTGCGACATCAAAGCCCGCTGCAAGAGCCAGTTGGATAGCCGAGCTACCAACCGATGAGCTCCCACCCCAGATTAAAACCGTCTTGCCGGTGTGTTTGGGCGCCAGCAATGGGAATGGGAGCTCGAGCTGGTGAAACAAGGCACTCGCGGCCGTGGAGACCGAGAGAGGGAGTACGGCAGCGTTGGCCAGGGGCAAGGAGTCGGGGACTGCAGACACCAGGATTTCCCGGCAGGTAGTATACAGCTGAAATCCCGCATTGGTGGCCTTTCGAGTGAGGAGACTATCGCAGTGGCTGAGAAACGTTAATCACAGGTCATCAGAATAGACATGTATCTTGACGGTCCAAGTTACCCGATCACTCTCTGGCCCAGTTGAAATCGAGTCACGCCGGAGCCAAGTTGAACCACCGTTCCGGCAACATCGGTGCCAAAAATAAAGGGATATTGCAATTCAAAGTAGGGCTGGTCTTGCATCTACACGCGGTGTTCAGTTGCTGGCCAGAATGATGTCTCCAACGGTTCTTACCATGTGGTCGGTTGGATTCACTGCGGCGTAGGCAACTTGAATAACCACTTCGTCTTCAGAAGGGTCTGGTTCAGGGCCAGGTCCTACCTCGAGAGGCCTTGACTTTGCAGGAATCCATGCTGCCTGGTTCGAAATTGGTGCCATTTTCGCCATTTCTCGGGGAATTGGAAGTTGGTAAATGAAGCACAAGCTGGAATCGAGCTTGAGTTATATAGAGATGAACCATGGATACCAAGGAAGAGACCGGTGGATTTCAAATGGCCTGGAAAAGCTGACTTGAGGATTGCTAATCACCAGAACGCCCCCAATGATCGATAGTATTGGAAGACAGCCCCGATGAAGTTGATTCATAAGCTATCTGACCTCAGGTGGGACTTTGGTCCATAATCACGTACCGACCGGTTATCTGACGCTCACCCATCAAAAACGCCCAAAGGCTGACCACGATCTTTCAAAGGCAGCTGGCGATTTCTCAGAAGGAGGGAGAACTAATCTCTACAATCCCTATTTCATAACGGGTGGATCTATGGATATGTTCATTGATTCTACTCGTGGTATCTCGACCCTTCATTTGGGCTCAGGTAGACCAGACCACCACACGACCATCAACTCCGCTGGCTATGGTACTGATTAGTGACATGCATACCAGAGGCAATGAGAGTGAACTTACTGCTGAAAGAGCGCGCAAGCCCGTTGGCCTCCCCGTAGACCCGCACGGTGTTGACGGTATTTTGGTGGGTCGATTGAAGCTTAGTATCCGCCTGGGTTTGGCCCTTGAGATCCATCTGTCGAAACATGTTCAGGGCAGACTCTTCCCGAGGACCTGCTCCAGCCCCGGACTTATTCTCCAGCGAGCCGGCAAGTTGCCATCCGTTCTCGTCACCACGGAAGCGGAACGGTTCACAGTCCTAAAACCATGCCGGCATCAACAACATGGCCAACGGGAATAGATGGAAGAAAGAAACTTACATGACCAGCCGCAATGATTTCATTCTCACCGTTCCAGATGAGACTGTTGAGCGGCAGCAGGCGGGTGGAGATGTTCAACATGGCCCGTGGAGGCTGCTCCGGCGCACTCGGGTACACCACCGTGACACTGCTGTCGTGACCCGTAAACGCCAGAGCATTGCCACTTGGGGAGAAAGAAACCCCCTGGATCCAGCCTGCTGAGTCGTTCAGGAATTCTCCGCAAATAGTGTTGAAGGGCAGACGCTCTCCCCATGCACTGGGTTCCGGGCGGGTATCGATGCCCTTGATGAAGCTCGAGAAGACCCTCGCATGGGAGTCGGTGGAGCCAGCGGCCAGGAGCACGGAATTGGGATGCCATGCAAGTGTTGTGATGGTGCTCCGGATTGGTTTCTTCAAGTGTTTCGAGATCCACCAGTCGTTCTCTTCTTCAAAGTAGCAGACTGCGATCACACGGGCTCCGGACCCGACGGCAAACTTCTGCTCCGAGGGAGACCATCGCACAAAGGTTGCTGCACGGTTGATTCGCAGCAAAACCAGCGTAGGCTTCCAGCCAGAAGGGGACTGCTCCCACACGTATGCGTTACGGTCTATATCGTGACTCGACAGTTCAATTAGCGATCACAAGCGATCACAAGTAGTGCTTGAAGACGGACCTTGAGAGCAGGTCACAATGCGGCCACTGTTGGGGGCAATATCAACCCCAGTAACCGTCTTCTCGTGGCCCTTTAGTTCATCACTGAGCGAGAACTTGTTGCCTGACGGGCGGTATAGCTCCACATTGTTCTCCCGAGCAACAGCAAGCGTCTGCTTATCGGACGAAAACGAGTGGTCTGCAATTGGGGAGTGGAATAGATGGTGAACCTGAGGTGCGGCCATGATGAGGGGACGACAGGAGGAGCTCTCTACCGTCGTGGGTTTGGGGGGAATGCGGGACAACAAGCCAGTGGACACGGGCGGAGGTGACAAGTGGGACAGTGTCACATGATTACCCACATTTTCCTCAATGATGCCCTTGTCTTATGTAACGGGTCACATGATCCGCAAACAGCTTTCTCGCGCGGGTTTGATCTCCTCCAGGGCTACCCCGACGACCCATTGAGCTCTATTTCGCAGTCTAAACCGGCTCGCCTGCTCGTCCTCGAATACACCACCTCGCTACAATTGGACAGAGCGTTCTAGCAGTCCGGAACCAAAATGGCGTCCAAGGGGGCATCTGTGACGGGAGGTGCTGACGGCAAGGCCGTGGCTACTGGACCGCCGAATCAAACGTGAGCTCGATTACAATGGGTCTGTTTTTCGAAGCTAAACATCCTGCAGGCTTTACTGTACCAATTTACCCGACAAGCTTCGGAAGTATGATTTGCGACTATCACTCTACACCCTCTTCTCCACGTATGGGACCGTTCTCGACGTCGTGGCCATGAAAACCCAAAAGATGCGGGGCCAGGCCCATGTTGTGTTCAAGGACATTCAGGCCAGTACCCAGGCAATGCGTGCGCTTCAGGGGTTTGACTTTTTCGGCAAACAGATGGTACGCTTCGTGCCCTTGTTGTAACGACTTTAGCGCTCACCAGGAACTTTTAGAAAATTGTCTATGCCAAGGGAACTTCTAGTGTCATGGCCAAACTCCGTGGTACATATATTGCACCCACCGCCGGCGCCGGCCCAACTGGCGTTTCCACCGATCTCCAAAAGTCCATTTTCAGCGGTCCTCCGGGCGCAATTCCCGCACGACCGACCGAGGTCAATGGAGAAGCGCATGGAGTGAAACGAGCTCGTGAGGAAGAAAGCGATGAAGAGGAAGCCCCAATGGAAGAGGATAGCGACGTGCCTATGGAAGCTTCCTCGGACGAGGATTAAGCATATCTCCATCCAACGCAGCCAATTCACAGGCCGCTGCTGGGGTGGGTTGACTGACACGAGAGAAAAAAACACAAAGTTCGAAATCTTCGCCTAGCACTCGCTGCATATGCAAGGTTCCTTCAGGCCGGGCTGGTCCCGTCTTGGGCAAAAAACTCGCGTGGGACGTGCAGGTTCACGCAATGACCCACTAGACCAAGCCAAATGAGAAGGTATATCGCGGGAGTGACACTCTGTGCGTCCGCAGTATGCGCCATGGCATTCGCCGTGTTGCATGGATGGACGAAAAAGGCCGGGGCACCAGAATCTGGATGGTACTACGAGAGAGAGAAAGAGAGAGAAAAAAAAGAGAGATGAGCTCCTGACACGAAGTCTCCGAGAAGAGAGGGCACATACGCCGAAACTGATCCCACCCATTACTCCCACACTCTTGAGTTCTTTCTTATACTGCTCTGGTACCACATATTGGTAGACCGCATCTAACCCTAGTGGGGCGTGGGTTGACCGCAATGCAAAATATAAGACGGGGACCCGGTATGTGGGCGAAAGCTGGATGTTATAGTCTATGTGTAAACTGGGGCTGGGATCACGGATGAGAGCTTCCTGCGGTGAAGAGTCAGGACAGGTAGACATATCCCTTGAAGCAAAGATAGCAGACCGGATCATGTTCCAAAGTCTCTTGGGAAGGATCGGCCAGTTGTTCGCCCGGGACCTCCGGGATGCATTGTGTGATATTGAGGCTGGTACCATTTGTCTAGTAGAGTTGAATTCGAAAAAAAAAAAAAAAAGGAACACTCCTATCAGCCTTCCAGGTCCAAAGAAAACCCCATCAGTAGATGCATGAGAGGGCAGGGATACCGTTGTGACGAGTCTCATAGACCAGCCCCCTTCCTTGGGGGCCATTTCGACCAGCGCTCGACAAGCTGCATCGAACTCCTCCACCGTCAGAACCGGAAAAGCAGATAGCATCCACGCGAATGTCAACCACGGGGGGGGGTTCCGAAAGCAGACAAGAGTCTTGGATGATTCCACGCGTTTGAATGTTCTCGGAGTTATCAGATAGCAAAATCAAAGCAAAGAAAAGAAAAATAAAAAAGAAAATGATGAAATGGCCGGATCAAGTAAATGGGAGAAGGTAAGAAGAGAACAATGGGGATGTGAGGTTGTGACGATCGGAGAGTCACCTCCACCGCTTGCGGACCCCTCCCGCATGCGGTGCATTCGACGCATCTTCTCTCTCTTTTTTAATGTTGCCTCGATGTCTTCTATCATGTCTCTCTCTCTTCTCGACATTCCTTTGCTTTTCCCTTTTCTCTTTCCCCTTTTTCCTTTTTCGTCTATTCTCCTGCTTTTTCCCTCGTACTGTATTCGTGCTTCCATTGTCTATAATCCTCCGTGATCTACGGAGTAGATTCGCTTGTGAATATCCCAGCTTCGGCGTAACCCTCCAAACTATCCCCCTCGTCTCGCTGGTCCAACCGCCCTGCGAGTCTCACCCAATTTGAAACGCGGGTCTTCTCCATCATCTCCGCGCTTCCTGCAGGGAAACCCTCAGTCCGCTAATCATCCGCCAAATTCCCAACCCAGCTGGAGTACGAGCTTGGGGCTCGGATTGATCTCTCCGTGGGCATCACTCGGGCGTGGTTTGACGTCAGTTGCCCGGGATCCGATCTTATCTGACGCTCAGAGAGAAGCTTGGACCCCCATCCCGCGGCAGGCCATTCTTCGTTTGCTCAGACAGCTGCGTGCTGGGCAACCGTCATTGAGAAACGTTGCTCGTTTGTATATCATCTGGCCTTCACCCCATGTTTCCCATGTTCTTAATTTGAACCTTGGCCTGGGAATATCTCAATCTACTTGTCTGGCACCGGGCGTCTGGGAAAAGTCATGGGAATCTCACAATCGACCCCAGCCAAAGACGAGACCCGCCGCTCCAACCGGCTTTCTAAGCCCTTTACCAAGAGCCTTCTCTCAAACACCAACCCGGTGCCTCTGGCCTGCCCCGAGGTTGAACCCCCAGAGCTTGCCACAGGGCTGATCGGATGGCAGAACCCGTGGGTTGGATCCCACATCCCCAGTCCCTCGGTTGAGACCAGAACTAGTGGTCCAAAGAAGCGGGACATTCCCCCGACACTGTTTGAATCAGAGGTGTCTGAGAACGACAGCAATCTTCACAGTTCGTGTCTTTATGATCAAAGTCCCGATCCGTCTTCGATTTCTCCAAGCTCGTCCGTTAGTCCTGCCACTAGGAGAGCTTCTTATCAACCCGAATGCGTGAGCACTTCTTCGAGATTCTCGGCTCCAGAACAACCCAGAAGATCCAACTCCATCCAGGCTCTTCCCCAACGACAGAGACATGCTGTCTACGACAGCAGAATTGAAGATGGAACATCTTCCAATACGCACTTTGTGGTTGGCAACCAGCGATTCTCGCTGACTTGCCGACGATCCTTACTGACACGGCCGGGTGTTGCTACTCGACGAACCACAAGTGCAATTCGACGGGTCCCATCACCGATTGGAGAGCCGGAGAGCTCCATCGATGACTCCGCGGAGTCAACAGTTTTGCACTGGCCTTTACCTCCTCGTCGAAGGCCCCCATTGCCGGTCCCACCTCCAGCACGGCCGAGCAGCCCTTCTGACTCGCGATATACTCAACTTGGAGCGCTGAAGCTGGGATCCCTACGGGTGGTCAATGGCTCGGCCTCTCCATGTCCCAGTGAACGCATTCCGTTGGATCAGCCCTACGTCCCAGGTCCTGGCTTGGGTCTTGGGGGTGTCGAAGCGATGGGCCCGCAAGGGTCTCTGCTGGAGATTCCATCGGGGTTCGATGTCAAGAGATCTGACGACGCCCCGGGCAGTCCCTTCTCATTCGAGAAGTCACCCACTATTGCTGTCCCATCTCATGCCAAATCCTTGTTCTCTGGGGACCCGGAGGATGAGGGGATTGGAATGTCCGACGACGCAAGGACCTCTGACAGCGGCAACAGTCAGCTGGAGAAAGATAGTGTGGACATGGGCATTGGTCGCCAAGGATCCCGATCACTCAATAAATCGGACAGTGGCTACAGCTCTGCAACTTCGGTCCGCTCTTTCCCACACAGCCGCACCCGAGGATCCTTTGATTCGCAGACGTCTGGCTCCTGCAGTACCGACAGTCCCAGGAACTTGTGGAACTCCAATGACCAAAGCTTCAGCAGACCCGGCGAAATGGTGCGCCAATTCAGTCTCCGCGAGGGTCCGCCTGGGGACAAACACTGGCTGCATCCAACGTCAACTCTCTGGTATGACCCAAGTGGTTCGAGTACGCTCTTTCCAAGCAGTTTGCGAGCGCGACGGTCTACGTTGTGTGCTCCCCGATATACAGAGTACTCCGCACAGCACGAGCCGAGTTTTGACTCCACTCATTCTGCCGCGGTGTTACCATATCCTCCTTCCCGAAGAGGCCAACCGGATTTGATGCGTGGTTCTTCGAATGGAGATTGGTTTCCCACGAGCCTTTTGAATGACACGCACGGTTCCGGCTACTCGCCGGGTCTCGACATGCCGTCTAGCTATCAACAGACGAGTACAGATGCCCAGGATCAACTTCGCAGATCTGCTTCTGAGCATCGCATTCACGTACCTAGCGATATGTGGGTCTCGCGAGTGCGTTCCCGGGGTAGATCGGGCGGTCGGGTGTGGAGTCAGAAACCTGGCGTCGATGTTCCCCCGCTGCCGACTATACTCTCCCCGGACCATCCAGATGGGGAGGAGGAAGTTGAAGGGTCTTTTTCCGAAGCCCATCGTGGCCGGTCTCGAAGCCGGAACCACAATTGTCACCGTCGCCGGTTGACGAAAGCACGCCCACAGACAGATGTTAATCTTTGACGGCTTTTTTCTTTTTCTCTTTTCTTGATTTCTCGTTGTTGGCGCTTCAATGCAGTCCTACGGTTTTCGGTGTTTTGTTGTTGTTGTTTTTTTTGTCGGCCTTTTCTATCTGGTTCTACAAAAGTTTTTGGGTACGTTTGAGGTGTTTATGGAGTTCACGGGTATACCCTTTTTTTGTCTCTCTGGCTTCTGAGATCAGAGAAGTCAATGTGAAGAGCCACTCGGCAGGATATCCCTGGAGCTCGCAGCAGGTGGATATGGGGCCTGGCAATCATGAAATCTTGGTCATTGAATGTGATCGGGTTGAATATGACTTGGTAGGAGAATGTGAACCGCGGTCACTGGCCTATCTCGGGTAGATAGCTAGGTAGTTCACGAGTGTATATCTCTTTATCTCTATTGCCCTTTTTGTCTACTCTGGCCTTTTAGTCAGCGTAGACTTCTAGTTATGTATATACATATATATTTTATCATGCCTTTCATGTCCTCAGGGCATTTCTCATATTCGTATCTATGTGTGTTCTCTAGACCCTTAGGAGCAAAGAGGCCATAGGTCTTATCATCTTTGATAGGTACCTACGTAGCTCTGTCTAGTCTTAGTAATAGACAAAAATGGCCTGTCCGAGAAATAGTCTGTCAGAACAAATATCATGTAAATCAAAATGCGGTAGCGCGCAAGTGACTTTCAAGAACAATGCACAATGCCCTGGGAGCAATTCTTGGGGAAATCTTAAGAAGTGGCTTTATACACGGATAAACACATTGGCATAACATATACATCAAGAGATATAGGACCCCAACTCTGCTCGAGTGATGACTGAAGTTAGCAGGACAAAAGCAAATCAATAACTAGTTCATTAATGAAAATCATGAGAAACCAACCAGAAAACTCATCGGATATTACGAATTCCTGGAGAGGCATACATCTCCAGTTGGCGGTGGCCTTTGCGCAGGAGATATTCGACGGCACCAAAATCCTTCTTGCTGACCGACCGCTGCTTGTCAAATTCGGCCCTACGCATGTCAGTCAGACATCGCAAATTTGGACAAAAAAAAGACATGGTTACCGGGCATAGTTCCGGAAGTTGGCCTGGGATGGCTGGAGGAAAATCCGCCTTAGCAAAATGTAGCGCGTCCCTCAAAAGAAGGGGAGAGTTGCTTACCACAGGCTTCTTGCGAATCTCCCGCAGGCATTGACGATAGAGTGACAACACCTCCCGCTGGAGACCGGAGAGTCGCGCCATGATGGCAAAGGAAGATGCGAAGGGAGAACTCCGGTTTCCGCCGGGTGTCGATCTTTCCCGGCCGAATGGAGCCCCATCTACCCCGTCTTGTTCAGTCTTGCTCTTGGACATCTCCAAACCCCAGCCATGGCTACTTTTTCAGTGAGTATTATGAATACTACTGGCTATTTCTTTGATTTATGAAAACCATAGAAATGGAACACAGCTGATTCTCTACTAGCGTCTCATCCGCTTCTTGGCTAAAGATGGTCACATCTACTACGGCGATGCTCTTCTCCCATCAGGAGTGAACGACATTGCCAAGGTAACTCAGGCCAGAGTCATCCAGGGTGACATCTTTGGTCCGTATCGTGTGACTGACCAGGTCGCCGAAGTGCGGATGCTCCTGGCGCCGTTGGCGCGCCAGGACATCGGCACTGTCCGCTGCTTGGGGCTCAATTACGAGCAGCACGCGAAAGAGTCAAACCTGCCAATTCCCAAATATCCCGTGCTGTTCTTCAAGCCAGTCACCTCGATCGCCGGCCCGGGAGATAATATCCCCGTCTCCCTTCTCGCCCAGGAGGGTGAGGGGCTGGACTACGAGTGTGAGCTGGTCGCTGTCATCGGCAAAGAGGCCAAGAATGTCCCGGAAAGCAAGGCTTTGGATTATGTCCTGGGATATGCCATCGGGAACGACGTCTCCCACCGAGACTGGCAGATCAAACGGGGCGGCGGACAGTGGGGACTTGGGAAAGGCTTCGATGGTTGGGCCCCGTTTGGACCGGGCATTGTCTCCTCCCAAGTCATCACGGATCCAAATGCTCTCCAGATCACGACCAAGTTGAATGGCCAGACCGTTCAGTCGTCCTCTACCAAGGACATGATATTCGGCGTGGCTCAGACGATCGCCTTCCTGTCCCAGGGCACGACCCTTTTGCCTGGAGATCTGATCTTCACGGGAACGTAAGTACTTCCCCTTTGCTCCCATAACCGATTCCCTGGAGGTACTGACTAGGGATCTGTTCAGCCCCCAAGGTGTGGGTATGGGCCGAAAGCCTGCCCTGTGGCTGAAGGATGGCGACTCTGTCGAGGTGTCGCTGGAGGGAGTGGGTTCCTGTGTGAACCGGGTGGTCTATGACAAACCTGGCCCGAAGCTGTAAACTGCATCTCCAATTGGAGTGCAAAGTCTGTTGTTCCGCGAGCTTTGGAAATTGTATATACGTTCACTTTTCGTCCATATTTTTTTGCCTTTACCTGCTTCATGCCAAATCTTTTGCGCCCTTAAACCCGTGTGCATTTCATGGAAGATAACGAAAAGAACAGTATACATGAGACAGGTCTAGTTCGTCTGGGCCCCGTACCCCTTGATCCTTTCGGCGAAAGCCCAGCTTTGACTCTCTAACTGTTCATCCTCCTTCAGATCAATGCCCTCCTGGGTGATCACTGCTATCGAATATTTGTCCAGACTCCGAGCATCCCGGTAGAACAAAACCTTCAAGCAATCCTTCAGGGCCGACACAGCCTGCTCCCGGGTGACTTCCTCGATGGGTTTCTCATCCGGGAACAACCGGCGCAGAATCGGGACCGCCAGGTGGGCACCGAAGCCCGTCGCCAGGTGCGGGGCCGAGAATGTTGTCCCCAGGAGATCGGCCGAGCTGAGAAACGGCTTTCCCTCCCCATCGAAACCTGCGACGAGGACGTGATTCCACAGTGGATTGAACTCGGAGCGTCTTTTATAGAAGACCTTAGCCAGATAGGTGTGCAGGTTCTTCGCGTTGAGCATGTTGCCATGGGTCGAGTAGTTCTCCCGGATATCGATGGATTCGAGGAGACGGTCAATGTATTGCATGTCGGATACATCGCCGCCGAACCCAACCACCGCTTGGTTGCCAAAAACACGCAGGCGCTTCACGTCAGTGAAGCGGGCCAGAGATCCGTACGATGCTAGATGGTAGCGTGTTAATTGAAGATGCCGAGACAGTGAGAGTAGCGGGTTTATGGTCAACCAAGGGAAGAACATACCCAAGTTGTCGGTCGCGAGAGCCACGCCTCCATTGAACTTGATGCCCACCACTGACGTTCCCGTCACAGCCGGCGACATAGTGTGTGTCTTGGGGCCGGAGGTCTGAAGATATGAATGGTTGTAGGCGCCGTAAACATCGTCTCTGGGCTACAAAGCATCATTAGCAACGGACGGTGAGGATTGGAGAGGCGATCAGCATACACGACCCCAAGCTTCAGGAAAGTGATTCATAATGGGCAGAGCAGGTAGAACGCAAGAGCGAGCAAATTTCGAAGACAGGTCCAGCGAAGAGGGGAGTGAAAAGGGTGGAAGAGCGATGACGATACGGTAGCTTAGGCAGTCGAGAGCTGACGAGAGCTCCACGCTGACTAAGCATACATAGTGCCGCTAAAATAATTACCTCCAGGACTAGGGAGTATCGAAGGTATATCCATGGTAGTAAGTAGGTTCTACTAGAGAGAGCAATTCATTCAAGATGCCTATGTGACATTTATTATGCCATTCCTGAACACGCTTTTTGACCCATAATTCCACGTTGCGGGTCAATTGAAAGCCGCCGGAACCGCCACCCCTCGAGTTCGTATCTAAAGTTTTCCCTACTTCAACTCCCTTCAGCTTAAATCATATCCTTATTCAAGACTTTCACAGAGGGATGGCGGAATCTCAGTTTCAGTTGGAGAGCTCCTCGCGTCTGTATCACGTCTATAAAACCTCCTTCCAGAGGCACTATGATATCAAGTCTGATGATCAGCCCCTCTGCCACGGGGAAGTCTCCTTGTTCACTCCCAACAAGCCCGACCTCATCCTTCACGCTGGAGCCAACAATCAAGCACCGGTTGTAGCGGTCTGCAAATTTCTCAAGCTCTCCGGCAGTTACAAACTGGGCCTCGGGGACCCTGACGACCTTCACAATGTCCAATGGGAGGATATGACCCGGGAAAACACCCTTGGCTCCAAGTACCGATTCGAGATGACCCTGCCTTCTTTGGGCGATGGCCCGGGCGAGCGACGCTCTTTCTGGTGGAAACGAACCCGTACCGTCGCAGTGGACGGTGCGGCGCCCCCTAAGTGGTGGAGTGACCGCAACTACAAACTGGTGGATGAGCAGACCGAGCAGGTCCTGGCGGTCTTCACAAGTGAAAGAACTTATCACAAGTGCGGGAAGATTCAGGTCATGGTCGAATACGGGAAGAATTTTGATACGATGATCTTCATTTCTTGTCTGACCATGTATGAGAAGGATAAACGGCGGGATAATCGCGGGGCTGGCAGCGGCGGCGGGGGCGGGGGGTAGACTGTCTGCTTCCATGTTTCATGTGTGTTGCACAGCTCAAGTCCTTGCCCCGAGAGAACCTCCCGCTTGATATGTAGTCTTTTCCATCCTGGGGCCGCCACAATGTATGTTCGCCGCTGACCCTTCTGTTGGTCGCGATTTTGGCATCTATGGTTCAGTTGATTTCATACAAGGCGAAGAGTTGTGCTAGCTCTTCGTGAATATCAGTGTACCCCGCGGCGCAAGTGGGCCCAACACTGCCAGTTCGCATTTCAGGCCTCTGGGGAATCACTTCCAAGGTCCAAACCTTTGGAAAAGTGATATTGAGCCATGATAAATATCGCTCGCTCAAGGATGAGGTTTTCTTCTTGTTTCTGAATCGGATGCGGGCCCTAGACGACTGGCCGCCGGAGAGCCAGAGACAAATTCAATGGTGTCTCTTTGACCAGAAGCCTTTTTATCTTCCATTTGGCGACGAAGGTCTTGCTGGGTTTTGAGAAGCTCTTCCTTAAAGCCCCACAAAGGTAATGTAGAAGTATCCCATACGTCGGCTGGCAAGGACGTGTCGTATTGGGACCGCTCACCGATACCGGCATGGTCCATCATTTTCATCAATAAGCTTGGGTTTTTCAGCGAGGAAGAGCTCGCCAGTTTGGAGTTGAAATGTACACCTTGTTTCTTCAGTGAGAGAAAATGTTCGAATTTTGCGTTCGCAGCAGGATCGGGGGACCCAGGAGGTGATAGAGGGATGTCCAGATTGGGGACCGGAGGTAGTGTCAAATCCTGAATAAGTGTCCGTGATGCCGCGAATGGGGAGGAGCGACCATTGGCCGACTGTTCAGCTTCTAAGGGCTGCACTCTCTCGATAGATGCTGGTCCGAGAACAGGGCCATTGGGAAGTTTATGGGTGGCCTCGGTTGACAGTGGCCGACCGCGTTCATGATGGATTGGAGTCGGAACTGAGGCCGAAGTTAGCGCGAAAGGAATCAACCCCAGTGACTCGGATGAAGGTGTACCTGTATTCGTGGGCGAGGCTGCAACTGGGGGCCCTTTATCACCCTACTGAATAGCTCAGTAACAGCATATGTATGGGGAAAACAATGAGATCCTCATACCTTTGAGCCTGACGGGGTAACCTTGGCTTCCACCTCGTCCTCGCTGCTGCTGTCGTACGCACCCAGGCCGAGCATGGTGTCGGAGATATGTCCAAATCTTGGCTAATTGGGTCAATCGCAAGGCGAGGCTAAGTGGATTTCAACCAGTAGAGATCCTCCAGCTGCTGATCTATCTAAATTGACCAGAGACGGAATCAGGATTGTGTGGAATCGCGAGAGGAACGAGAGATATTTGAAGCATCGAAGCTGCCGGGCGGGAGCTGAAGCGTTACGTAAGCGAAGGCAGCTGCCGCATCGCGTCAGACGTCTGCGTTGCTTCACCCGTCACTGGATCTCGTCAAATCATCTTCCTTCCTCTTTGCCCTTCTAATTCCTTGCAGGTGCTCCTGGAAAACCCAGTTGTTACTCCAACATCATTCCTTCCACTATGACCTCTCTCATGGATCACCCGTCTCGCGGTGAGACCATCGGCTACTCCTTCTCTCAACCAACAGCTGCCCCCGTTAAAGAGCATTCGTTTTATCCGTATGTCTCAGCCTTTCTGGCATTTCTATTGTTGATGCTAATGGTTTGATGCTAGGTACACTGACAACGGTGGCTCAACCCTGGGCATTACGGGCTCTGATTTCGCTATCCTTGCCGGCGACACCCGCTCCACATCAGGGTACAACATCAACTCCCGCATGGTTCCCAAAGTCTTCAAGATTGGCGGAGATGATGAAACTGGGGAAGGAGCTCATATCCTCCTTTCTGTTGTTGGATTCGCCGCCGACGGCAATGCCCTCAAAGAACGGCTGGACACCGTGGTGAAGATGTACAAGTATCAACATGGGAAATCCATGTCAGTCGGAGCCTGTGCTCAGCGACTGTCGACAATTCTCTACCAGAAGCGGTTTTTCCCGTACTACGTGCACGCAATCCTGGCCGGCTTGGATGAGGAGGGCAAGGGTGCTCTTTACAGCTACGATCCCGTGGGCTCGTATGAGAGGGAGCAGTGCCGAGCTGCCGGTGCTGCTTCAAGCTTGATCATGCCTTTCCTGGACAATCAAGTCAACTTCAAGAATCAATATATCCCGGGAAGCGGCGAGGGACACGCACTGGAACCCAAGAAGGCCGAGCCTCTCCCCCAAGAGACCGTCAAGCAACTGGTACGGGATGCCTTTACGAGTGCTGTGGAGAGACATATCGAGGTCGGTGATCACCTGCAAGTGATGATTATCACCAAAGATGGGGTCGAGGAAGTGTATCACCCGTTGAAGAAGGATTAGAGTGCGGGTCATTGTTGATGACCGCTGAACACAAGAACGACGAACTTTTGTCCCATGCCTTGGTCATTTCAAATATAATCAAAAACCAACGAAGACTTTTTATTTTAAAGATTGCTACATCTTATGTCATGCCCATATGATCGTTAAGCCCAGTACTCCAGAACGCCCCCACCATGCCGAATGATGAAATAGCAGAAGTCGTGGGAATCAGAAGCGCTCCTTCATTCGTGATGCGACCGTTCGAAGGTTGCCATAAACCTTGCCCTGTTACGTATGAGCAGAAGAGACCCCAAGTTTCTGCAGAATGTAGGGACTTACCGGAGGGCTACCCAAGATCAAACTAACAATCGCCTCTCGTGCAATATGGATGTTCTTGAACCCGCCAAGAATGTGGATCTTTTGGTCGGCGAGCACAACTCTTGTGCGACTTGCGTTCTCGATTGCAAATTTGGTCTTTCCATCCTTGCCCGCGATGCGCCCGATAGCGCGGCCCAAATGCTCTCCGTTAAGAGTTTTCACATCCTTGATTTCAAAAGTTTCAATGTACAAATCATCAAGACGGAGGAGAGCGATCGCATCGTCGATATCAAAGCCGAGTGTGAAGGCCTTGACGAAATCCGCGCCTTTCTGCAAGGCTCCCACGTCATTGGTAAATTTCGAGGTGCGCAACTCCACTGCTCGGCTCTTGACGTTCATCCGGACTTGCAGCTTTAGGTGCTCGACAATGGGAGGGCAGATCTTCATCCAGTTTGCTTTGAGGGGAGTCATGCGGTGTGGTGGGACGGGAACCTTGCGTGTCTCGATCCGATAGGCAGTATTGGTGTCCTTGGCTGGTGTGAAAACAGGACGGCCTTCTTCGTCAATGCGCATCTCATTATCATCGGCAGACTCGGCGACAGGATTCGAGGAGCCTTCTTCAAGCGTTCCCTGGGCGTCAATCAAAATCTCATCGTCCTGATCTATTTAACAGTCAGCTTCTGCGACTCCCGCAATTGAGATTTTCCACTGACCGAGTGCAGAATTTGCAGGCTGAAGCGCCGGGGCTTCTGGTTGGCGAAGAGCTGTAGGTGCCGGCATGGTTGTTGGGGTGGTTAGAAAAGAGAAAGAAAAAAAAGACCCAAGTTGTTATCGCAGAAATTATCAGTCCTTCCCCCCACCGCAAAAAAACGTGTGGATTTTCGTGGTGCAAACAAGACAAACCCCTATGATTTCATGCTTTTGCTTTCGCTCCCGTCTGAGCTTCGACACTCCCGATATCTTGGATTCACAGCCCTTTCTCGTGACTTGCTCTTGTTCATTGTTCTCTTTTCTTTTTAGGAGATCCAGGATGTAAAGGCAACGATGTCCGCCAATCTGGGACGTCGGCTATATGCCCATTTCTGGGAAACTGCAAATCCATTCTTTGGCCGCATACGAACAAATCGTATCTCTTCTACCCCCGGTACTTCGAGTCCAAGGACATTCTTCAACTCGTTCTTTGTCAATCACCCCAAGCGGCTTTCGACTTCCACCGGGAAACCCACTCACCTTACCAGAAGATTCGCCTCTGGAGGATTCCTCGTCCTCGTGTCTCCCAGTTCAGCTGCGGTAGAGACCAGTGCAGCATGCATCATTCCCCCGGGAGCGATTGCATCCCAGCATGTCTGGAAACGAGCTTTGCATACATCACACGATGACAAAAAAGGCGCCAACCCTGCTCGAGACCCTCAAGTACACAATGATGACGACCCTTCCTCCCAAACCGTCGAGCAGCCCAACAAACACGCCACCACCCAGGCATCATCTACAACGAAACCACCCCAGGAAACTTATTACCGCGCGCCCAGTAATCGCCACTTGATGGATCGCTTGCCGCATATGCCTCATTTACATCGACCGACCAAGGAAGAACTTTTGGCTGCCGCGAATGGGTTTTGGTCGCGCCTCAAGGTGCGATTTAAGTGGTTTTCTATACGAAGCGTGCGGCCATTCAATTTAGACGAGATCACTGCGTTATTCTCATGGGTTCTGCTGGGCCATGTGGTTTGGGTAGTGCTGGGAACTACGACCTTCTTCTCGCTACTGATTCTTGCAATCAACACAGTCTTTGCTCAGGGTATGTTTGGATTTGATATTCTGCACGACATTGGCTTCTGACCTCTTTCGACAGAAACACTAGCAGGATGGGTGGGCAACTATCTCACCAAGTCGTCCGGAGTGAAGGTCGTCTTCGAATCCGCAATCGTGCCCAAATGGAAAAATGGCGTCATCACGTTCAAAAATGTATTTGTGTCGAAACGACCAGGCCAAGGTACTGGTAACGTCAGCAAAGGCTCGCCCAAGACTGCCGCCGCCGCCGCCGCCGCTCGTGGGGACTCGGGGTCAGAAGATCCTCAGCTCGTGCCCGAAGAGGAAGATACCAACTACACACAGTTTGACCTATCGATTGAGACAGTGAACGTCACCCTGTCGTTTGCAAAGTGGCTCAATGGCAAAGGTCTGCTTCGTGATGTCGAGGTGAAGGGAATCCGAGGTGTCGTCGACCGCCGATATGTTCACTGGTCGGATGATGACTTAGACCCGAAGTCCTATCGACATGAACACAATCCTGGTGATTTTGAAATAGACTCCTTCAAAATGGATGATTTGCTGGTTACAATCTATCAGCCCGATGATTTTCGGCCATTTTCCGTCAGCATCTTCTCATGCGACCTTCCTCAGTTGCGGAAGCAATGGCTCTTTTATGATTTTCTTTCTGCCAACATGATGTCCGGGTCCTTTGACAACTCACTATTCACCATACATCCTCGCCAAACCCACGGCTTTACTGGTGCTCAACTGGACGATGGCACCGGAGAAGATGGCAGGCCGAGCCCCTGGAAAAAACACAGCAGAATCCGGGTGGATGGGCTTAATATTGACCACCTCAACCGTGGTGTCCCGGGACCGTTTTCCTGGATCCACGAGGGGACCGTCGACATTGTTGCCGACATCATGTTCCCCACGGAGAACGACGAAAGCTTGGCCAAGGTCATGACGGATTTCTACGACCGACTGGAAGCCACTGTCACGTCCAACCAGTACTCGGAGTCTCTACCTCAGCGTTCTGACGAGGAATCGGAATCTGCATCAAGTGCAAATCGGCGATTCCTTGCCATGGACCTACGCCTTCATCTCAACAACGTGCGAGCAGTCGTTCCCATCTTTACCCGGGATCTTTCTTACATCAACAACGCACTCATTCGCCCAATTGTCGCCTACATCAATTCAAAACGCACTTTTATTCCCATCAACTGCCGCCTGGTCAAGCGCGTCGGAGACTTTGACGGCAGCTGGACCACCTTTGATAGCGGCCTGATGGATGACCTGTCAGCTGCAGTGAGTGTCCCCTCTTTGTGTTTCCCATTTCCCAGTTCAGTGCTAATCATGTTAAAAGACCTATGATGCCTTTGCTCGCGATGTGGTAGATGATCAAGCCCGGAAGAGGCGGTTTAAAAAAGTCGGATTTTGGTCCCTTCAGCTGGCCGCCCAGGCCATCTTTATGGGAATGGCGGGTAACATCGCCTGACTTGTGTATTTCTCTTGGGCGTTCTCTCTTTCCGGGAGGGTTGGTTGTATTATATGGCGGTTGCATCTGTGGGAGTCCCGGGTCATTCCATTCATCGATTTATTCTCGTGATTTCTTAGACATGTAGATGTTGCCTCGATTGTATCCACAAGTACACACCCGCAGTTACCATCGTACTTTTTATATTGGATTCGATTCGATTATCTTTTTCTTTCCTATGTTTTTCGTGACCGGGTGTTTTATTGATCAGGTGGTCTTGTTGAATTAGCTAATTCTTTGCAGTCGGGTATCTACCCCGGATTCTCCGCACTCCAAGGGTTGAACTCTCGCGCTATCATGATCTGTCATGGCGAGTCTTCTCGCCTTTCTTTGTATTTTTGGGTTTAGTTTTTGGACATCTACTAATGCATGGGATGAAAGCAAGTGGACAGTGTCAAACGAACTCTTCGACTCGCTCGAGGAACTGGCACGGCTGGTTGACATCTCCTACTGTGTCGGTACTACCGGGATTCAAAAGCCCTTCCAGTGTCTCAGCCACTGTGCCGAATTTCCAGATTTGGAGCTGGTGACAGTGAGCTGCTTAATTTCCGGCTTGATCATTCCGCAAATCTTCTAACGGCTGCTCTGACTAGACCTGGAATACTGGAGTTCTTCTATCCGACTCGTGTGGCTATGTCGCCCTCTCTCACCCACCCTCTCCGAAACGCATCCTCGTCGCATTCCGTGGCACCTACTCTCTTACAAACACAATCATCGACCTCTTGGCCTACCCGCAGTCATACGTGCCCTACCCCGGCGACAGCCATGACCAGAGGAATGGGACCAAGCTCCCCTCAGCGCCGCGATGCGAAAACTGCACAGTGCATGCCGGGTTCATGACGTCCTGGCTCAACACTCGCTCCGTAGTGCTATCGTCTGTATCAGCGGCGCGGGAGAAGTTCCCCGATTACGAAGTCACTCTCGTGGGTCACTCGCTCGGGGGCGCTGTCGCAGCGCTGGCTGGTCTCGAAATGCGCCTGAAGGGCTGGGATCCGCAGGTGACGTCATTTGGAGAGCCGATGGTCGGAAATGGGGCTTTTGTCCAATTTCTCAATCAGCACTTCCAGCTCTCCTCAAAACACAGCAAAGCAACCAGTGACTCACCGCGCGACAAACATCTACGTTTCCGCCGTGTCACTCACGTTGGTGACCCGGTGCCTCTGCTTCCGCTTCAGGAATGGGACTACGAGGCGCATGCTGGCGAAATCTTTATCTCTAAACAGGACCTACCTCCCTCCATTGAAGATCTCCAGCCGTGCGTCGGGAATTGTGACCCGCGCTGCATTGCTGGGCCAGAGACCACTGACCTTCTCCGAACCCTAAAGATGGACCCGAGTATTCACAGGCCTGTTAGCGTCTCCAGCTGTCCACCCAGCCAAGATGACGTGGACCTTGAAACGGCAGACCAAGCCAAACAAGTCATCTTAGGGCAGCGGACGAGTCGCGGTCGAAGCAGCCCTGCAGACTGCGACCGAAACCAGGCCAACGGCCTGTTGCATTCTATCCACTGGGACTGGTCTATTCCCGCGCGATATCGAATCTGGCAGCTCTTCTGTGCCCACCGCGACTACTTCTGGCGGATTGGTCTGTGTATTCCGGGCGGGGATCCGACTGGATGAATTTCTTTTGAGTTAGGCTTAGATTCAATCCTGGTATTAAGTTGGCATGGCAAACATCTGCACAGGAGTTTAAATATATCGAAGATTGTCATTGATGGCCAAGGAATGAACTATGGCAACATTCTGAAGTACATGCTAAAACGGGGAACTGTGGGAGATGCTTAGGATTCCGCAAGGCGTTGGACAGAAACATGCCAGAAAGTCCAAAAGAAATATGTCAACATTCGACTGCAAATAAAATAGGAAGAAAGTGGCTATGAACAAGAAGAAAGTCGACCACTTGTTTGAGAAACAGACAAGTCCCGTTGCCTTAGCGGCCCCGTTCCAGACTGGGCACAATAACCGGACCATATTTAACCACGCTACTATAGGCACCGTCGCCTTGAACCATGAAGTCAGCCGCCAGGCTAAGCTTGCCGCTATGTGCACCGTCCGGCCGGCCATAAGTGGCGGAGACGGTTTCGGGGTCGTAGGCGACAATGGCGACGTAGTTGCGGCGGGCCATCAGCTTGCGATACTCGCGGGCTTGACCTGTGACGTCGGTCTGGAAAATCTCCATCATATCCTCTTTGGTGTCGGTAGGCTGAGGCGAGGAACGGTGGCCATTGACGGGGACATAGAGAGGCTTGTTGTGGCTATGCAGGAGCTTGATGATATAGGATGGCGGTGGTGTGTTCACGACGGGTGAGGCAATGAGCTGATACATGGTCTTGTGGTCAGAGGGCTGGGAAGGGTCGTGGACAAGCCCGGCGCCACAGACGTTGACGGCGCCAGATAGGAAGCTCATGCGGAGGGACTTTTGGTGTGCTATGCCCTGGAGAGTGCGGATGAGGTAGGTTCGTTCGAGATCCTAAGGCCGGTTAGTTTAGTGAACAAGGCAATTGCAGTAGAAAACAGAAAACAGAACACAACACCAACCTTGGATTCGTGGGTCCATTGATCACGTAGCTCGTCCATGAGATCAAACTCGCCGAATGGACTCAAGATACCACCCATAAGTCCGGATTTGCCCACCGCACGCTTGACAGAGTCAAATCCAGAGCCCACGACGTCTTTGGCTCCGACCACTCCGGCGACTGAGCTGGTTACCTTGCCTAGAACATTGTACGCGCCCGTCACAGCCCTCTTACCCGTAGTTACCGTGTGAGCGATATGCTCCGCCGTTTCCAGCCGTGGGTAGATGAGCGGCATAGAGATCATCCACAAACAGTGCTGCACACTGGGTGGCAGCATCGCAATCTTGGGGAAGAGGCCCTGATATGTTGGACCAGACATGACCTGATGGGGATTACGCTCTGAGCGACAATCAGGGCCGACAACAACCACGCCGGGACCGAGATATTTGACAAAGTGCCAGCCAGTTCCAGTGATGGTGAAAAGATCAATGTCGTTGTTGACGTTGCGGAGAATATCCAAGGTTGTATGGTGCTGGAAGAGGAGATACATCTCAATGCCTATGCGGCCAATGTTCTTGAACATGTTTGAGAACTGCATATGCTCCGGGTACGAGCCGAATCCATCAAAGCTGAAAGAATTTCTGTCAGAAAATGGGATCCGTGATGGGTCCAGGGCTGGGTTCACTTACATGTCATGGTCGTCAATTTGGCAGATATAAGGAATCTGCGCAAAGGACTCTCGCAGGTACGGCTGGTCAAAATGGCTGGTATAGTAATGGAAGTAAGCATGAGAGACATCTTGCTGGTGTGCTGCCGTCCAGGGGGCATTCTTCCTAGCCTCTTTTCCACTGATGGAAAGCCACTGTTTGAGGGACGCAATCTCCTTCCACATGCGATCTGAATATATCTGGCCACCTAGACACAGCTGGGCATGGAATCCTCCAATCTCGTTGTGCTTTTGCATGATATCTTTCCACATGAAGCCCACTCCACCCAGGCGAGCTCGCTCATTGGCATTAACATTGAGTGAGAAATCATTGCCAGATGTCGTAATGAATCGCCAATTTGTCTCGTGGCGGCCAGCAACGAGAAACTCGTAACGAGTGCAACCAAGGTGCGAGGTAATCGCGTATGTCCATTTGGCCGGCCCTGAATCATCCATCTGCAGGTCGATCTCGTATTTGTAAAAGGTCCAGCGCTGATGGGCCGCAATGTTGATTCCTTTCAGCTGCCTAGGATTTGGAGACAGGTCAACGCTCTGATGGATGTGAATTGTGGGCGGCTGTGCAGTGTCTGTGACCAGCAAAATGGAGCCCATCCATATCCCTCGTTCGAGATCCATGTTGGTGTATCGCAGATAGGGACCGAAATATACACCATTGGTGGGAGCAGTCTTGTACAAATCCATACCACTCGTAGGAGGAGGCCCTGAGAACCCTGAGACAGGAGACTGCAAGCTCTCAAATCCTGGAGTCATCGGAACGCCGGGAGACGCCATAGGCTTTCCAAAGGCCGAAAGACCCGGAGATGTAAGAGGATGATTGCTGTATACGCTTCCCACGGGTGACAAAGGTGTCTCATTGAGGTTCAATGGTGTGGGGCCTTTTGGAAATTCCCACTGAGTTGACTGTGTGGGTAGATGGATATAATAGTACTGCCCTGAGTTCGGATCCAAGTGTGCAATCCAACCCTCAGGAAGAGGTGGAGGAGACGCTGGAGAAGGTCCCGTGGGAGCAGGAGACATCACCTGCGACTGAGACGTCTCTTGATAAGAGACGAGCTGGCCATTTGCAACAATTTGCTGAGGCTGTCCTGTGTCCTGTTGTTGTCGCGGGTCATTTGCAAATGCGGGATGATCCTGCGTCGAGGCGGTTGGTGCCGGCGAAGGCGCGGTGACAGTAGCTTGGGTTTGGTTTGCTGTATGGCCTATTACACCCCCGGCCGATGACCCAACAGCAGCAGCACTTTGCTTTTCATTCGGATACCCGGTGTTCGATGCGGCAGGCCCGGAAACGCTCGAGTAGGCAGGAGGGGGAGAAGAGCTGATGCGCATTCGATCCAAGTCTTGCTCCAATGCGTTGTCCGGAATCCTGGGGGGTTGCTGTTGCTGTGGCGGCGTAGCCTGAGGTTGGGGTGGAGGGCTACTGTATTGACCAGGATGAGAGGTGACTGGCTGGTTGTCGGTACTCACTACTTCCGCGCCCTGGTAAACGGTAGGAGGTCCATGGGGCTGGGTCCCCGGCTGTTCAGTGGGGGTCCATGGCCGCTGCGGAGGCTGTTGAAAGGTGGGATGTTGACCCGAATATTGGTCGGTCCGTCTTTGCGCGGCTGCATTTTGAGACTGCAGACCGGCAAGTGTTGACGTACCTGCAATACCAGCCGCAGCATATCGGGCTTCAATGTCGGAGCCAGGCTGCTGGCCGGGTCCTACGACGGGCGTCTCCGGGGGTGGCGGCGATCCACGCTGGGCACGGGTCGTTGAGGTGGAAGCAGTGGAGCTGATCCGACTGATAGAGCTGTTTGAGCCTTGCGGGGGTTGAAGATTGGATGAGGGTCTCGCCGTGGAGCTCCGAGGAGGCGGATAGTACTGTTGACGGTAGTCATACTGATTTGCATCCGATGTTGCGCCAGCTGGAGGACCCGGAGTCAGGCCCGCCGGGGGCCGTGGGTACTGTCTTGCTGCCAAAGCCTCCCGGTCTGGTGCATCTGGGCCGGGAGAATCGGGCAGGGGTCTGGGAGCTGCACCGCGTCGCTCTGCCAAAGTGGCAGTTCGAGGCTCGCGACCATCGCGTGGCCGTAGAGCCGGTGGGTAATCCGGGATGTTCACCGAACCGGAGCCAGCCGGTGGAGACCCATATCGATCCGTTGGGCGCCCTTCATTGGAACTCGAGCTACGAATCTGAGGTAGTAGTCGGTCATCAGGATAGGGAAGCGGGGCATTTGGTGGACTTGAGTTGGACGCCGTGGAGGCCGACTCTCTTTTGTTGATTCGCAGAGGCTCGACAGCAGACTCATCCGGCCAGCCAGACGAGTTCAGGAACAGTTCTCCCTCTGGGTGAATCGCACGGCTCTCTCCGGGATTCATGGCGCAAGGCGATTCAGGGAGAGTTTCAGAGAATACCGGGTTCAGAGGGGAAACTCGTGGATGTGGCCAGGTTTAGGCCGCAGCGCAAAGGATGTTTCGCAAGTGCCGGAGGGGCAGCGGGGGTTGGGGTCAGGTTGGCTAGTTGGGCGCGAAGCTCACGCCAAGGGTCAGCAGGGAGAATTGAGAATCACACAAGGCCTCGAGACATGCTTTAGATGAGATTCAGAAAAAGAAGAAATCAACAGAAGAGAGATGATCAGGGGACGAGTTTCATGGGCGAGACGAACCCCGCAGGTGACGAGCGGATTGGCTGGGCGCTGTGTGATGAGCGTGAAATAGGCGCCTACGTGGAGTGATGTTCTCTTTGTGGTTCGTTGTATAGCCTCTGGAGATAATTATCTTCTCTACAGTAACCAGATCTAATCAGTCAGCCTCGGCGCCCGATCCATGGATCCAAACACCATGGTTTCCTCGAGGTATACCCATCAACTCCGCGCTCTCAAAATCCAAAATTCACCATCTGAAGCCCTTCTTGAGCCATCAGATCTGCCCAATCTATATCCGATGTATAGCCCACTCGCATCAGCTGCTCCAACTGTCGCTTGTAGATCACCTGGAGGATGGCTCGAGTCGTGGCCACGTTTCTCCCCATGCCATCTTCCTCATTCTCCATGCTCGTCATTAGTGCCATCAGTCTCATCTTGAGTTCGTTGGCGGATGACGTGGCGCCTGCTAGGAATAGTGGAAACACCAAAAAGTGCCGGTCGGCGCGCCGGGTGCACGTAGTTTTCTCGGCAATGTGCAAGATCGCTGCCGCATGGTGGTCGATTTCTCGGTCCGACGTGAAATCTGACTCGAGACGTTGGCCCGGCCACATACTGCTGTAGGAGAGCAACATGGAGACATGGTATAATGCGGCCGACTGTAATAGGGTTAGTATTGGGAAAGGCATGGATGCATTGGAGCAACGAACCTGCTGCAGGACTTCCCACGAACGACGCGGTAGGTTATCTTGGTGCTGATGCAAAAAGGCAATATCGGGAGACTCCCAAAGTTGCCCCATGGGCTGACGTATGTCGCAAATTTCTTGTGACCGCTGATTAAGATCCGAGAAAGGCAAAGTCTGTCTGTCCCGTCGAAGCTGGACCGCCAGAAACCCGAGCTGAGCGGCCAGTGTGAACATGTTTGAGTACAGGCGCATCATGACTGGTAGACTATCATGTTCACCTGGATATATTATGCTGTACCCTTCAAGCGAAGATGGATAGAGCAGACTCTCGGACCCAGGGAGCATCTGATGCTCGATGATGGCTTGTACAAATTCTCCGGTCCCTGCTCCACTGAAGAGAGCATACAGGTCAATATGGCACACCCACCAAAGAATGAACGGGTGTGGCTCCCGGCCAAACTTGGATTGGCGGAGAAAGGAGATATGGAGGAGACGAGAGATATGGTGGGACCAGAGGTTTGATCCATGCGGTTCAGCGGCAGCGACCTGAAGAAAAGTGAGTTTTCAATTCAGGGGGACAAGATTGAGACCAAAAAGACATTCTCACCTCATAAATAAGAAGTAAGAAATGCGTGAGAAAGAGCCCGTCTGAGATGAGATCGTCATCATTTCGAATGCTGGTCTGGAGCGATGGAAAGGCTTGCTGATAATACTGCAATGCATCTACATTTTGTCCTGTACCACTGTGCGAGAGACTCAGTGCGGAAACAGCCATTATGGCGTGAGAAAGCTGTAAACATTAACATGAGCACCATCGGGGACTTGCAAAATTTACTTACCGGTGGAAAGTGAGCGGCCTCCTGCTCCAGAAAGTCCACATTTAATGTTATGCAGCGGCCATCTCCACCATACGAGTCGTCGACCCCCTGGACACGGTTGTGGGGGAACAGTTGCCTCCACACAACATGGCGAAAGTGGCTGAAGAGAGCAATGCTTTGGGTATGCTGGTCAAGATGTAGATCCGCGACAGAAAGGGTATCATCATCGACAAGGACCGGCGAGGGAGGAGAGTCCAGGATCGGTGACAGAGAGAGTGAGCAGAGCGGATCAGAAATCTCCGAGGTTGGTGAGATTCTCAACGCTCTTCCGGAGGATGATGAACGCCGGGTGACATCTTCGAAGGTCTTCACAATCACCACATTGGGACTATCAACTTCCACATTGCCTTCGCTTTTGCACGTGCTACCCGGGCTGTCAGTCCTAGTACTTCTGCTTTCACTTGGTCTCTTTGGGTTGGATCTGTCGGTGTCATCTGCATACTCCGGCAGCGTGGAGAAGCTGTCTGGAGTCATCACTACATGGTACGTGCCGGGACTAGACAGTTCTGCTTTCTTCTCCCGCTCCTCATCCGATGTGAGCTGTGCAAAAAGTGGGAGCGGCTTCCCGATCGGGAAGTAATCAGATTGGTCATCACTGGAACAGGGCGAAGAGACTGTGTACCGGTTAGTCGGAATAGACATATGCTGTATGGGACGTCGGAGGCTCACGATCCCACACGATGTTCCCTTCTGTGTTCACATCGGCCATCCGGCCCACGATGCGAGAGGTGTCATCCCGAAACACCAGTCGTGGCCGGTAGTCACATATATGGCCTAGTCGAGTGCATTGCTAAATCGGTGAGCCAAGAGGAACTCTCAAAGCACTCCAAGACCATGTCGGGGAATGCATACATTACATTGCGGATGACCCTCATCACATTTGACTGCGAAGGAAAGCTTGTCAGCGCTAAAAAGATCCCATGACGGACAGGGGGGGGCATATCTTCAGCGGCTTACCTTTGCGACTCTATCATGCCACATACGCCCTCTCTGGTCAATGGACTGCTCTGAAGAATCCTGGGGAAACTAAATGACTCACTCGACATGTCCTAGTAGCCAGTGAGTTTCACATTTGGAGCGAAATCTTATGCCATGGGGCTTACCAGCAGCCTGTTCGAGAGCGAGGGGGTAGACGGATGCGCGGGGGAGCAACCGGCCCTGCTTTTTCGTCGTTGATGTCGGCCACAACCTCTTCCTTGGGGGCAATGATGGGCAGTCGAAGAGGAGGTTTGCCAGAGGCCTTGCTCCGTCGGTTTTGCATCACCAAGCTTGTCACCGTCATCAGGCTGATCGGGTGCCTGCGTCAATGCTGTGCGACACAAATCAGCATGGACCCACGCAGACTGGATTGCAACACCTACGAAGGCGAGAATGAAAGGATTGTCCGAGTATGTCGAGCGAGTCACCGATTGAGATATGCTCCGACACTCTCTGGCGGATTAAATTCAGAAAAAGAACCAAGATTAGACCAAATAGTAATCGAAATCCCAAGAGATCCCACGTGGGCACAAGAATCAAGAATCAGAATCAAGTAAAGCAAGTCAGGAATCCGGTGTAGTCAAGAGTGCCAGGAGCCTTAAGCCTTAAATCCCAAGGCTCACATCACGAGCAGAAAAATACGGATCCTGCAGGACGAGGGACGGGGGTTCAGGCGGCACATGGCTTACAGACACATGAGATAGCGCAGTCCTAATTTTCTGTTGACGGGGTGGCGAGACATGAAGGGGGGAAAAGGGAGAGCCGGAGAGAACCAGATGAACAGGTCAGACCAAAGGCCGGATGGCCGGAATAATAAGGCAGAAAAAGAAAAAGAAAAGAAAAAGGAAGGCCAAAGAAGACCAAAGACACAGCACTAAAAAGAACCACAAAACAACAAAGCCCTCGATGAGGCCAGGCCGGTCTCGATTCAACGGACTTGGCCGAGGATTAAGCGAGTGGCGGACTGGTTCCATTCATTGCATCTATGGATCTATCTCCCCCTCTCTTGTTGTCTCCTGACATTATTACTGATAACTCCACCTTATCGAGTTAGGGCCAGCGCCTGGTCGAGGACCCGCTGCACCGGCCCGGATCGTTCTCCAGCTCTCCACGTCCGCAGTGTTTCGCCGAGTCCCCCCATTCCTACGCTCCCCGGCAGCGTCAGGTATGCCAGGATCGCCTCGGCGCGAGCCTGGCGGATGGCCTCGACAGACCCATCCATCTCACGCGTGAACACCCCTATGAGAGCTGTCAAGGGCCCCGCCAGTTCCGATCCCCCGGTCTTCATCCACTGACCCACTCGGGTGAAAAATGAGTGGAGCTCTTCATACGTAGTCTTGGCGACCGGTCGTCCTCCGTGGTGGAGGGCCTGGTCGAGCGGACCAGTCATTTGGTCCACGTATTTTCCCAGCACTGTGGTTAGGTTTAGCAGGGGGCCGGCGCTAGGGGTTTTCTCCGTCAGGCAACTGACCTTCATTCGAACCGGTGGCGGGATTGAAACATTGCAGGAGGCACTGGACGCAGGCTGCAAGGGTGTCGTCGAGATTCGAGCCCCCATTCCAGGAATCCACCTCCATGGGGTCGGCATCCTCGGCCACTAGTTCTTCCACCAGTGGGGGCACAATTTTGAGCGCATCTGACATGAAGTTAAGGTCCTGGCGGGCCTGGGAGATCTCGCCTAGTGCCCGCAATCCATGTGGCCGGTACAATGCATTATTTCGCTTTGCCTCGCGCACAGCAATGGTCTGGGGTCGGGGAGGTCAGCATAGGAAGCGGAGCAAGAGTTATTTTTAACACATACTTTCATCAAATCACCCAACTCCTTCTTTTCTTGCCACAACTTCTGCGCTTGGCTGGCGAATTTCACCAATGCCTTTAAGACCACCTCTTTCCCGTCCCATGTCTTTCCTGATAGTGCTTTTTCTAGCACGGGCCAAATCAAGGTCGCGGTCGGGAGGTCCATCTCGGCGTCAAGCGAGAGGATCGCTTGGGCAATGGCCCGTGCCGCCGTGTGCTTGATCGCCCAGCGTGGAGAGTCCAAGTTGTCAGAAACCAATCCAATAATCTCGCGAATGTAGAGGGACACCGCACGGGACCCAACATTATCCTGCCATGTTTTTTCGAATTCTTCCTTGACGTGTTCATCCGCATCGTGCTTGCACACAAAAACAAATGGCAAAGCGGTCGCCGCGAACGCCATGAAGCGATCGTTGGATAACTTGGACGACGAGTGGAGAATCTCCGCCGAAATAACTCGAGGAGTAGCATCCTCGGCTGTCAAGTACAAGGTTTTTGCGTAGTCGATAGTTTTCAGAACTCGATCGTCCGACGCAAGCCGCAGAAGATAACCCATGGATGTGCAGTAGGATGCGCTGACGGTGTCGTTTCGGTCAACCACGTACTTGGTAAGGAGTTGAATGAATCGATCCGCGTATGGGCGAAAGAGTAGTGTTTTCATGCTCAGAAGCACCAGCACGCGGCTGCAGCCCACTTTTGACGGAAGACCCACGGCCGAGCGAAGCACATCTTCCAGCTTTGGGGCCAGCTCCTTCAAATTCGTCTCATCCAGGTTATCGATCAAGTACCGCTCAATCACTTCCATCATGGGTGATGTGCGGATGCTGGACAAACGCATCTTGTCAACGTCCTGGCTGGTGAGGCCGTATTTGTCTGCATTGAGATGGACATAGTTGACAGCCTGTGGCTCAAGAGAGCTGAGGGCAGTCAAGAACTTTTCCAAGATGCTGGGAACGAACGGATGGAGGAGTGTTCCGGGGCTCTTTTTGATGATTTGGACGAGCGCTCCAATGGCATAGCCCTGCACCTCTTCCACGCTGGAGTCCAGTCCCTTGTCACTCAGCAGGAACGGAATGGCACTCCTGAGCAGAGTGCTGGCGCGCTTCTCCGTACCACTCGTCTCAAGCGTGCGGATGACCGAATTGGTGATGGTCTGGCAGAGCTTGAGTGCGGCCGTTCGGACCGACTCTTTGATGTCGTCCAAGAGTTTGAAGGCCTTGCCGTAGATCTCGTCCAAATACCGGGCGTACTTCTCCGGGCGTCGACCCTGAATCAAGTCTGCAACGGCGGCACAGCTCGCTTGTCGAACGCGCCATTCTCGCCCGGCGAGCATGCTTTTGAGCAGGTCCTCCACGATCTCGTCGAAATGAGTATCAACAACGACGGTGGGATCCTTGACCAGGGCCTGCCAAATGGTGTTCATGGATCGTTGCACGTTCGGGTTGGGATCAAAGCGGTAACGGAAGAGTTTCGGGTAGATTTTAGGATTCTGCGCCAAGTAGCCATCAACACTCGCGTCAGAGAAGATCGTGCTAATTCCGAATCGGCCAAAAGCTGCTCGGTTGGTCCAAATAGCATTGTTTGACGCCAGCGACATGAAGCGATACACTAATGTCGGGTCTCCCGCTTCGGCTGCCAGATTCATGATGTCTTTATAGGTATTGACGGACGACCCTTCACCCGTAGGGAGAGCCCCAGGCTCAAAGAGCTGGGTATCTCCAGTCACTTTGCCGCCTCCAAGGTTGGAGCCCGTTGCCGTAAAGGAGTCAACAAGATCGCGCACCAAGTCATTCTTCAGCGCCTGATCGCCAATCTCGTAGACAAGACTGAGTCCATGCGCACCCGTCTCTTGCACCACCTCATCTCGATTCCCAAGGAGGCTGGTGAAGGTAGCTTGACACTTGCGCAGCCGCTCCTGCATTTCAGGCATGTGGCCACAATTCTTGACAAGAGACAACAGCCAAATGGCGGAAGCCTTCCGAAGGGATGGTTTGGGAGCAACGCAATCAGCAATGATCTTGTCACTGATTTCTGCAAACACGACACGCGCGACATCAGAGCGAGGAGATTCTGCATCAATGTCAAAGTCTTGGATCAGAGACCTGGAATCCCAGCCAACAGCGACGTCGCTCAGTGCTTCGCCCACTGTGAACTGAACCTCTGGGCTGCGAATTTCATGGAGACTGTAGAGCGATTCTAAGAGACCACGGAAGAGAGAGCTGTTTGCATCGGCCCGAGAAAATGTCAAAGTTAAGAACCCCAATGACACAATGGGTGTTTCGTTCTCCGATTTGGCGTCCCGCGTAATTTTTTCCTGGGCCTTCTTCCAGCTGGCCTCTGGGAGGATTTGGGGCGACAGGATTCCAGAGAGACTGAGTTGTCCAACGGCCGTCTGAGCGGTTCGCTGGAGCAAGGTATCCCGGGAGACATCGAGGATATCCAAACTCGCCTCAATGAACTGCCTGACCTGCACCTCGGGTACCTTTTCAAGGAGATTGCGATACGCGAGTCGACTCAAAAGATAGGCGAGCGCTAGGATCGCCCCGCGAACCCGAAGCACCGCTTCACCAATCGAAGTATTCCATGACTGGATGACACCGACCAGCTCTGTCACGAATTCTTTCAGCTTGTCCTCGGCAAAGGCAGGATGAGAGACCAGGATGCCAAAGGCCCGGGCAGCTACGGCTTGTATGTCTTGGTTGTTGCTGAAAATGGGTCCAGTTAAAGACATGGCTCGCGGGATCAACTCTCCAACAACGTCGTTGGGCGCAAGAGAGCAGACCTCCACGAAATGAACACCGCATTGCCTTGGATTCTCATGCCCTGGATCCACTAGACCATCCAGTGCGCCAGACAAGAAAGACAGAACAGAATGTTTGGCAGAGTTTCGTATGTACTGTCTTACAGCGCATCGGGCTTCGTCACTGGTCGAAAGGAGAACTTCGAGTTTGTAGTCCCAATCCTGCTCCAGTTCGACGGAGATACCAGACGCCGAGAAGGCCTCCCAAAGAAGAGTGTTTCGAAGGAACGAAATTGCCGGCACAAATGCCTTTTTGTAAGAACCCGACAACAACTGCGATGCGGCCACATCCTGGACCGTTGACTGTTCTTGCTTTTCTGAACCAAGCAGAAAACGAGTCACCTCATCAAAGCTCGGGAAATCAAACCAAGACTCGTCACGCTCTCGAGCCGATGAAGCATCAAGCCATTTCTTGTCTTTAGTTGGATTGAGGAGCCGGTACCAATATGGGTGGAGTCCTTTTTTCCCTTCCTCGACGATCTCCTGCTGTCTTTCTGGGCCCCGGGCGATGGCCATCAAATCGATCCAACGGGCAACCACATCTTTAAAGGGCAAAAATCGATTTGCAAATCGAACCGCGGCATACTGAACACCACGTACAACGGTGGAACCCGTATCTGGGTCAATATCTCCCGGCTGCATGCTCATTTGCCTGACTAAAAATGGTCGTAGTTGGTTCTGGAAATCTTGGTCATGGCTGTCTAGGGATGAGTTCAGAATGCTTCCCAGGGCCTGGTCAATGCTGACGAAGATTTGCGGGCTGGAGTCATCGGCACTCAAGGACGTAAACAGCCATCGTACAAGATCGAACTCAAAGTTCTCCACGGTGTCATCCCGGAGTTGGAAGTCGACCTTGGGAACCATGATGCCGATGCTTTCGTAGGCCAGCCCTCGCAAGCTCAGGTCAGTGGCGGGCAATCTCTGTCCGCTGGCTCCTGGACTCGGCCACCCCTGAGATTGAATGAAATCCCTCAAGCCAGCTATGAGCTTCGGCGCAATTTGCTTGAGGTCTGAGGGCGAACCCATCCGGACCACCCATGTTGTGAATGTGAAAATCTGGGTTCTTAATTTGGATGCCTGCAGGCCTTGAGATGACCTCGCAGCATCTGAGAGAAGACCATCCTCTATGAGCCTCAGAATTCTCTGAGGGTTCCCCGTTGCCTTGATCGACTTTCCTAGGAAGACCAAGATCTTCACTTGGAGTGGGGGTCGCACCCGGGGAGCTCCGGCAGGCATTTCGGCGCCAAAGTACAAATCATACAGCTGCTGCACGACATCGGGGTTTTCAAGATCCGCAGCAAATCGTTTGAGGGTCTCGTCACCTAGGTCGGCAAGCCGGGAGTTGGCATCAGCAGAGGCTATCAACGAAGGTAGAAAGCGTTGAGCATCGGTGAAAGCACCACTTCCGATAAATCGAAGGGCGGTAACTTTAGTTTCGGTCAGATTCAATCCACCCGTCGCAGATGGATTCCACGTTTCAGTTGCCGGAGCACCTTTGTTCAGAAACATATACTCCTCAGAGGACAAGCCGGAACACGTGGAAGACTCTTTGGGGGCTGGAGACAGCAGCAGTAGCTTTCCCAGCCAGAACGACAGAAACTGAGTATCTTCGTTCGACAGGCCGAGCCGCTGCTTCAAGCGCAGATCATCTTCACCACCCTTGGGTGGCAGCTTCAGCAGCGGTAACAGACGCAGTACCAGGTTGAACACAATGGCACCCTGGGTGGGCGATGTCCCAATCTCTGAAATGCCCTGGAGTAGGGGTAGCAGGATCTCAACTCGAGCATCCGAGCCCAGACGGTCGATCCCTTGCTGAGCATAGATCAGATCAAAATGCCGTACCAACTGGGACTTCTGCTCCTTGAATTGCTTCAGCAAAGCTGCCACGGGCAATTGAATCGAGGGAGCCTGGACTCTGGCGTTGACATGCTGGCAAACCGAGATGACTTTATTGCGCACCGCGACACTCTCCGAAGAAAGCTTGAGCAACAGCGGAGCTAAATATGTCTGCAGCAACGACTGTAGTTTCTCATCTGTATCTGCCATGGCGATTCTGAATTCCACCTTGCCTATCAGGCTCAACTCGCGAGCCTCGAGGCTCGGTGAGTCCGCCATGATGAGAGTACTGTGTAAAGTCGAGACAATCCACGACCATTGAAAAAGGCAAAAACACGGCTTTCTATAGGATCCCCGCGCCCGACTTCACGATAGGCACCAACACTCGCGTCATCTTGCCGGGAACTGCTTGTCCACTTGATATGGCCGGTGGAGGGACAGGTGCTGAGTCATTCTTTTAGTCAGCGAACCAGACACCACCTGCAAGGCTCCAAGGCTTCAAGGCCCCGAGGTACCCGTCTCGACTTATATGATTTACTTCCAGTTTTACTTATTTACAACATCCATCGATGTTATTCATCACCGGTAGGTCCGGCAATGTAGCCATGTGCTCTATATACAGCCGTGATAGTTCGTTTGATTCACTCTCTTCGTTGCTCGGCAGCCTCCCCCCTCAAGAATCTGCCCACCTCCCTCTCGGCCTCGGTCGATCGACCGTCATCTTTCTGGACGGTGTGTCCAAAGAGACACTGCCATAAGTCATCCTGTTTCACCAGTTCTCCACCCGATGAGCCACTCGCCATCAAATTTGTGAGGGTTGCGTCCTGGATTTCCATTGAATTGGCCGAGTCGATAGCAGTTTCGGTAAGACCATTGATCACGGCTTCATCACCCGGAGGACCTGCCGATTGTATTCTTTTATCTTGCTTCTCTTTCTCGATGATGTGAGCAAGTCGGCGAGCAACCGACAGCTCATAAATGGACTCTTCCACCGTGCCAGACACTAGATACATCCACACGGTAGTTGGGCGATGCTGGCCAATTCGATGCACTCGGGCAATTGCCTGCAGCTCAATCGCGGTGTTGATTAAGGGCTCACACAGGAAAACATGGGTTGCGTGGATCAAAGTCAAACCGGACGACTGGGCTTTGCCGTGCAGTAAAAAGCACTCAATCTAAAAAGACATATCGTCAGTATCTGCGCCGGGGGTAAGATTCTCGAAAGATAGCATACCGCTGGGTTGTTCTTGAACCGTTCAATGCCACCTGCGGTATCGACACTGCAACTCACGACCCCAAAGCGAGAGAATGCCCTTTGTAAGACAGCCAAAAAGCTTCTGTACTGAGAAAAGACAATGGACTTGGCTCCAGGATCATGCTCTCGAAGCCACATAACGTGGCGTGCCAGAGTATCGATCTTGGTTCCGAAGGAGCCATTGAGCTGTATGTTTTTGATTTCCCGGAGCACCCCCGAACTGATGTCACTGTAAAGAGCATTCTGGGAATGCTTCTCATGGTCGAGTTTGACTGGTTGCTCTTCTTCTTGAGCAACCAGCTGCTGTGGCTTGTATGTAATCTGGTGAAAGTCGTTCAGCTTCAGGGGCTTCTTGCACATCGGACAAGTTCGGTGTTGACGCCACCACATCTCCAGGCAGTCTTTACAGTACTTGTGGCCACACACGGTCAAAAGACCTGCAAAATAGTAAGTGATGAACGGCTATGGCTATGCCTATCGGCCAAACGACGATACTCACCAACTTCAAAGCTCGACTGGCAGATGATGCAAATCCTTGAACTATTTTCTGACCCGGAATCATCTCTCAGATGAATAAGATACCGTCTTTTGGATTTCAAAGAGGATATTTTCCCATCAAGAGCTTCCTCTTGCTTGAGCTTGGAAGCAAAAAGCGCATCATTCAAGGGCTTGCCAGCGCTTTCCTCATCGTATGGTGCGACCGTGTCCGAGATTTGCTGCAGATGACGATAATACTCGAGTCGGTTGTTCATCGTGTCGCGGAACATCTCAACCTCTCTCTCCAGGTTGGCTGAAGCCTTCAACTGCTCCGCGCTTATTTGACCAGCATTCTTTAAAACCAACGACACCATCTCAAGCTCAGCCTGGGCGCGTGAGCTTCCTCCGCTAGCTTGCCACTCAAGCGATGTGGCAAGGCTGCGTAGTTCAGTCACAATCCCACGGAGTGACCCAAGCTGAGCATCAGGCATAAGTTCACTGCGGGTATTCATGATTGAAAGGAAGAGTGATGGAGAAGGGCCCTCGCCCTTCTGGGCCTGAATGATACCAGCTTTGACTTCGTGAGAGATCAGAATGTTCTTTTGGCCAGTAAGAGCATCATGCCGATCAGCATACATGGAGCGCAGAGCCTCCATATAGACATACATCTCATCTTGATGTTTGGTCGACCGTTCATATTCATTGCCTTCCAGCTCTGCATCCTCCTCCTGATCAATCAGGGATTGCGAAACCAGCTTGATCATCACGTCACGCCATTCCTTGTACTTCGTGGCATGTTCGTTCAGCGCGGTACAAAGGTCTTCAAACTTGTTGAGAAGACGGTAGGACTCAAGTCCTCTGCTGTAGAGATAGGGCTTCATTTTCGGAATTTGCACGAATTGCTTGCTTTGCGTCTTTTCCTTGATGGTTTTCATGTAGCGCTCAACTTTTCGAGAGATGTCGGTCAACATCTCCTTACGAATCAGTTTCGCGGCCTCGTAACCATCCTCTTCCCTTTTCTCAAGGGCCTTGAACTCGTCAGACTCGGCATCGGTGAGCTTTGGGTCGGTCTTAATCTGGTAGAATGCATTGGCCGTGAAGAACACAGCAATGTGCTGGACCTCGAGGGCAGCCCGTAGCTTCAGGCGACACTGGCCGATGCGACTATTCTTGTCTACTTCTTCGGTCTCGTCATCGCTCAAATCGTTTATATCTGTGGCGTCTGCATCGGCATCTGCAGCACCGGCATCCACAGCATCGCCCCGAGTCTTAAGGCGTTGAATGCGCAATTGCTGCCTGCTGTCTTCAACCAGTTCTGTAGCATGATCTAATGCTCTCTGCCAAAGGGCGAGAGCCTCTTGGCGGCGCTTCGCATTCTCCAGCAGTTGACCGCGTCGCAGTTGAGATAGTAGAAATGCCCGCTCTTCAGTGCGGATGGCTGTCTCGGTGGACTCGATCATGACTTCCAGAACCTCGTCCACAGTGCGTAATGGGCCATTGCCTGCCCCCAACGCACGACGATTGCTTCCACTGACCTCGGGATGAAGACAGGTCTGACGGAGCCTCGTCAACCAAGTCCGCATTCTCTCGACAGTGCCGGGGTCTTCTGGATCCCAATCGCCCCGAAGAGGCGCACCTGATGCAGCAAGTCCGCATTGCTCACACATTTCCTCGAACAGTTGTCCATAGTGCTGCTCTTCCACAGCAGTGAATGGAGTTGTTATCACAACGCGCTTCTGTGGGGGCAGCCGAAGTTCATCGCGCACTCGATCTTTGCTATGCCGAAGAGCAATGGTACTGATAATGTTCACCAACACCGGCCCAAAACGCGAATACAATCTTTTCCACAGAGGATTGGAGTAACAGAATGGCCCATAATGTAGAAAGAGCAAAAGACCGAAAAGATCGTCTATGTTTCTGCGAAGCGGTGTCCCAGTCACAGCCCAGGCATTGTGTCGAGGGATTAAACGTGCCACCTTGGCTGCATTGCTAACTCCGTTCTCAATCATCTGGGCTTCATCCAGACACACGCGCCACCAAGAGATGCGAACTAAGGGTGTCTTCCTTGGCTCAAATCTCTTCTCATGGCGGAGACTTCGTTTCGGGGCGGCACCCGCGTAGTGAATCTCTCGAGAGATGACATGATAAGTGGTGAGAACAACATCGAAATCAGCAATCTCTCCCACAATCATGTCATCCGACTGCTCTTGTCCACGCTTGATGCCAGTATAATGGTGGACACGCAGGGCTGGGGCATGTTGTTCCAGCTCCTGCTTCCATTGCTCGAGAATTGCAGGGGGTGTTATAATCAACGTAGCACCAGACAATCTCAATCCGTCAAAGTCGGGCTTGAGTGCGGGCTCCACAGATGGTCGACGGTTCATACTCATCAAGGTGATCATCTCAACCGTTTTGCCCAGCCCCATTTCTTCTGCAAGAATCCCACCCTTTAGATAATTTGCAGCATCATACCATTGAGAGATATCCGTGGTGACCGTCATGAAAAGATGACTGAAGTAGCACGTGCGGCCATCGGCATCTTTCATTTCTTTGAAAGATGCCGGAATGCCATTTTTCAAGGACTTCTGAACAGGAACCACTCTTCCATCTTGCTGGATTTCCATTCCTTCTCTTTGCAATAGCCATCGAACGGCTCTTCTTTGAAAGGGGAAAAGCTCACAATCCAGACCGGGGCATTTGAAGTGTGCCGAGGCTTCTTCCGTGTTCGTGGGGACATGAACGCTATCGTAGAATTGTCGAGGGGACCAGGCTCGAAAATAACCCAGCATTTTCTCCCGGCGTTCATGCTGCTGAGAAATACCAGATGGGCGATCAAGACTCTCCTGCAGTACGTATTTTGTGAAGACTTCTAAAGCCGAATCTTGTAGATGAGCTAGATCGGGAATCTCGAGAGAATCTTTCCAAAGAACAACTGTCTCAAGGTTGAAACATTTCTTGTCTGAAAGTGGGAATAGTGTGGACTGATAACATACAGCCGGGACACGGCTATAATGCCGATCTGCGGAGGCGAGTGCACTGGCATGCTTGAGTTGTTCGAGTATACCAAATAGCCGCGGGTCCTCAAATTTGTGCGAGAAGACCTCTCTTTTTTCTTCATCTGCTGTTCTCAGTTCCAGCAAATATGTTTCGCGATCGAAAGTATCGTGCTCGGAGGCATTGTCCTGGGGGTTATCAAGTGGCCGATTACCTCTGGCTTCTATGAAGACAGGAACCCAGCTGAGCGAGTTTGAGGAAGCGCGATCATCATTTTTACTTTTGGACGGAGCGGGGTGGGAGAAATTCTGTTCAGACACGTGGCAAATAGTCAGTTAACGTGCCTCGGGTTTTGGTATCAAGTCGCGGCTTACCAGGCGCAATGCCAACCGCGCTAATGGAATGTAGCCCAAAGTGATTCCCGTGGCCGAGATCCCATTGCTTTGTCTCAGACTATTTTTGCCTGGCTTGGTAACCTTGCGCCGCTTGGTGGGACGGCCATCGGCAGTAGACGCTTCAGCATGTTCGAGGAGGGTGGCCAGAGACTGGGGTACAGCGTCTAGAATGAACGGGATCAGCATTTGAGCTCGAGACGCACAACTCAAAAGACGGAGAGACAGTACCTGTAAAATTGACTTCCGCGACAAAGCTCATAATGAGCTCCCGGTTTCTTCGCGCGTTCTGCTCTCGCCACGGAGAATTGAAAAAGAACCTTGGAAAGCCCATGCGAAAGCTGGAGGGTTATCTTATCATATACATGTCACGTGCTGATAGGAGTTATTCCTCGGTCCGAGTATTGATCCGGGCCTACTATCGTAGGCGTGTGGAGATGGGCAGTTGAGCTAGTCTAACAAGTTGGATTGACTGCACTTTCAGATGTCTAGCATTACCACCCCCCCACCCTCGACCCAAAAAAATTCAGGGGAAAACTGGTGATGTCGGATCATCCATATGCATGGCGAAAACAGCCGGAAGATCCATCCTGTCACACCGTCACACCTTGTGATGCCCTCTCCGCCACATGCTGGACAGTAGGACGGGATGACTTCGGGTGCCGAGTACCAACCAATGCCGCACATTTTGCAAGTGACATTTTCCAGTTCAATATGAATGGGGTCAGGTAGCCGGAACAAGGCAAGGTCGAAAGCAAAGCCAACGGTCTACAGGGGCACTTTCCGAAAGCTCTCCTTCTGCCGCAAATGATCAATATGCTCATTCGAGACTTCCACAATGAGGTCCCGAAGACCTCGATCCTCTTGTGGGGTGGTTTTGTATGCCTCAGCGATTGCGATTGCGAATTGCTCCTCATCCCAGTCTCTTGCAAGGAGAGCTTCGAATTTATCCCTGGCTTGAAGTTTCAGATGGGGAACAACGTACTTGTCCCCAATCTGATACGTCATGACGTTGAAAAGCAGTGGGGAAATGCCAATGCCAGCAGTTTCGTAGTCTAGCCCATACAATGAGCGGACCATGGCCTCGATGGCGCGCGGGTCGTCCGTGAGGTGAATCGCATGTTCCAAGGTCTCCTGCCATTTAAAGATTAGTCTTGTGGTGAATTGGACAAGATGTCAGGGAAAAAATCACAGCCCATTCTCCTTGGAACATGCGGAAGAAATATTTGGATCTCATGCAAAGCACTACCTTGTGCACTTTAAATTCCTGATCAGTAGTGCAGATGGTCATGTCGGCCAGTTTTCCGGAGTTGAATAGCCTGTTGCCGTTAGTATCCATCCTTTTTGGCCTGAGTCTGAGAGCTCACTCCTTTAGATGGGCTCTTTCCAGGCTGATAGTACTGGTTGCTCCCTTTTTGTCGTTCGACATCTTGCCTTGAGAGGAGAAAGAGTTGAAGATACTTGAAAGTCGATCAAGAGGGTTGGGTAAGTGTAGGGAGGTACTCAGGGAATTGAAAGAGATAGGTGGGGGAGAGGAAGAGGAGGAAGAGGAAGATATAGCAGAGGGTATAGGTGAATGAGAGCAAACAAAATCCACGTGAAGTGAGAGATAGAAAAGAAAAACGAGAATGCCTACCGAGGTAATAGTAAATTGAACAAGAGGAAGGTACCAGTGGAGGAGTGAGGGTGTAAGCGACTTTGGAAGGACAACTCTTGGAGAGATTGCCTCACGAAGTGGCTATGGGAATAAAGTAAATACCCTTTATGACTCAAGGCTGTGTACCATAAAACTCAAGCGTTTCCTACACAGTGTCTCTACGGGAGAATAAAAATCAGGTAAAGGTCATTAGCTGAGATGCCGCGGTCCTCGACCCAACATGCTTCTCACGCTATCTCGTCCCAAGCCATCCAGGCCATGAGAGGGTGATCCCATAGTCTTGCTGTTGGGATCACTGTCGTATGCCATGCCACCATTGACTGCTCGAACAGACCGTTTATACAACTTCCCATTTCTGAGACTCTCGAAATCATGCATAGTATCACCCTGCGAGCTTGAGTTTCCGCCGTTGACTGACTGATAGTGCGCTGTTCCGGACTGACTCGAGCGGAGCTGTGATGGCCCAGAGGTCAAAGTGTATGTGGAGATACCAGGACCCCCTGTTGCCTCGATATAGAGTCCTCTTTCCATCCAGGCATCAATGGTCAATTCGTTTCCAGTCGTGCCATATGTTGAGCTGACAACCAGCGGGTATTCAAACAAAGTGCTGGTTGATATGGAATTGTCCTCAAGTTCGACGGTGCTGAAATTCCCGGATGTGTGTTGCTGGTTGACTTGGCTACATCCTTGCTGATTGAAGATACCGTGGTTGGCGAATGACAATGTCTGAGACCACGAGAGGCGCGGTGAAGATGCACTGAAAGACCTTTCGGCAACAACACAGTACGCCAGAGATTCATTCCCTCCAGTTTGATTCTGGACCAGGCTTCGAGTTATGGTGAACCTGGGCGTCGGCGCATTCACCCGAGGAGCCTCGCTTTCCCGGTTCATGACAAGTGGTGCAGGTGAATCCTTGTCGTCGATAAACAAGAATATATTGCCTGTAATAACCCAATACGACCCCACAGCATCGGACAGGGTAGCTATTCCACCTGCAGTGATGTCCAAACCCCTTACATGAATCTCGAAAGAATGTTCCTGGCCATCCTGGAGCAGCGGAAGGAACGGGGAAATATCGATTTCGGGTTGGCGAAGATCAAAGGAGTCAATACCAACGATGGGACGCCAGAAACCCGGGGCTACACCCCCCGTGAAGATGACAGGGAATGGCCAGATCACCCCGGCAAGGATTCCATCAATGTAGAGCTGGATTTCCCGAAAGGGTGAGAACCCAGAAAGCTCACCCACCGTGCTCTTAAAATCTTCGGTGTCAGGAGAAAAACCATTCGACCACCAAAATTCTTCCTGAGACTGTCCCCATGCGGAGATGGAAACGATGGCTCGAGAGACTGCAGCCGGGATTCTGTGTTGAACGGTGGTGTTGTCACCAGGGACATGAAAGGCGCTTGGTGAATTTGACAGCGAGTTCGCTGCAGAAATTGGCAGGATTATATCGGCAGTCCTCGCATTCTCTTGGTAGGAAAAATGCGCTGTCAGCGTAACATTGAATGAGCCGGTATAAATGTCACTGATGAGGTTGCCCAGATCAAAAATCAGCTTCTGTGGCTCCTTTCAGAGGGCGTTGTATTGAGAAATCTCCTTGATATATGTCCAGACAATCCCCTCCGCCATGGGCTCGGCCGTCGAAGTCCGGAATACTTCAGTGTCTCCGAGATACATGAGCGCTAGTCGGTCAAACTGCCGCCCGCGAGAAGTGACCGTCAAGTTGATCCCGACAGTGTCAAATTCGCAACCTGGTGGCTGGTAATTGCCTGGATAAAAAGGTGTCAGGGGTCAAGGCTATCGTACAGCAAATCGATTCTCCTCACCTACGAAAGGCTTCCCATAACTTGCACCAAAGACATGTTCCATAAGCAATATCTCAGTATTGCAGCCATGGCTTTCCTTGGACGTGAAGGATACCGGATGATACACCTGGAAGACTTCCTGCGGACCAGTTGGGTTGGGGACTTGTAGAGGAGATTGGCGGTTGTAGCCTAAGCCCCAATGGACCGAAGACGCTGTTGGTAGGTGCCCGGAGAGAAACAGTGCGCAATACAACAGCAGAAGCATGAAAGCAGTGATATTCAAGCTCTATCTGGTCTTCTTTGGTTTGCTGGTCTCGCCTTTGGAGTCTAGTGCCCAATTACTAGGCCCTGGAGACATACTGCTGGACAAGACCCGAGGCGCAAGCCTCGTTGAATCAGAGCTAATCGCGTCGGATGTTCACTGTTATCTCACTTCAATCTTGAAAAAGACCAATCTGCACCCTGCAGATATAAGGAGAACAAGTGATAGCAGTCCACCGAGTGAGGAAAGTCATATGTCATTGACCATCTCAAGTCTGGGAGTTGCAAGAAGGACGGAGAGGCACGTCGTCCGACATGCCGAGTGGAGGCAAGTGGCACTGCGATGCAACGCTTCCACGATAACATCAATTTGGTCCTTCATCGAATTGTGTGCGACAATTTTCAATTGAATCCAAACTAGCCTATATGACCAGATTTGTATTTCTTTTCATCTTTTCCCGCCTTACTGTAGGAATCGCTCTATTGTATGCTTGAAACGATGATATAAAGTGCAACAGCATTTGTATTAGTCTAGCATTCCCACGACCAAGTATGGTCCGAAAAAGTAGAGAAGCACTTGTACATACGAAAGACAAGATTTGGTCAGAGACTCCCGAGTCTCATGTAAGCTAGAAAAATCACAACACGCCATATCCCATGCACAAGAGGGTTAAAACCCACTAAATTTTACATAAACAGACGCCAGGCACCGAGAATCAAAGCAGCAGTACCGGTACAGACACCCCTGAAAAAAAAAAGGTCAGCGTAAGTCGATGCAGCAAGGAAGTTGACCTGCGAACATACATAAGCCATTGTAAGGTCGAGAACTTGACAGCCTCAACTCGCTCCCTCAGTCCAGCAACTTCCTGCTCAATTCGTGTTTCAGTCTCCTTGATCCGCATTTCTTGACCGTTGGCTTCCTCGCGAATCCGGCCCTTTTCAAGGTTCAGATCCAAGCGTACCGATGCCTGAGTTCGCCCGATCTCGTCGCGCAAGCGTGAATTGAGCTTGGCAAGATCAGCTGCGATCTTCTCATGGGACGATCGGGTCAACTGTGCCTCAGTTGAGTCTGCATTGAGGAGCTCAGAGCGCAGTTTGGCAAAATCCACTTTTTGAGTATAGGTTGATCTCTCCGAGTCTATGAGATGATGGTTAGCGATGTAAAACCAGTGCAAATAGTGCCCAAATCACTAACCTTCTCGGAGAACCATAGTCCGGGTCAGGTTCTGGATAGACTCTTGAATGATATCGTTCAATACGCGCATCATGGCCACGGCCTGTTCCTCGCTGAATCCTTCTGCCTGGAGCCGCTTCACGAATTTCAGAGTATCAAAATGGTGATCGCGGGGCCGAGCAGGAGTCGCGTGAAAAGCGCGCTGGGCGGTCTTGAAGACCGCAACATAGACGCCGTTATATCGGATCGGGTTGCTGGGAGATTCCACAGACGGGCGCGCCGTGGTTGAAGATATAGAGGTTCGTCGAGCCGGAGATGCATAATGGAAATCACGACCTGATGCAGAGGCGACTCGAGAGGGCTGATATGGTGTACTGAGGGAGTGTATTTGTCGACTCAAGGGACTCCAACCTTGTGGAGGCTGTGGTCGTCTGGTTGCAAGTGTGGGAGGGTGCGAGGGGGTGACGGTGGGACGTGAAGAGCCGTTCCAAGTGAGACGGGGGAGGATGCTACGCGGCACCTCGGCGACATGTTTTTGGGACGCCATGTCGAAAATCAGAAAGGTTTGCAAGTGCGATGAATCGGCTGCAAGAGAAGCTTCCCTTGAATGTGCAGGAAGAGAATTGGGATGACTAACAGTCGGGATCGACACTTGCCCCCCGCAAAATCCCGGTGATGCTACACTTCACCAAACAAATAAATGGTCAAGGGCATTTGTTTTTAAGATCAAGGTTATTTCTTTTTCCCCCTTTCATAATCCAGGCAAATAGCTGAAACTCCACATGTATGCACTATCACAGGTCCCTATCCATTCATGGTATTCGGATATCCCGATGGAACCCGGCATCTATAGCCCGAAGAGCTCCTTCAGCTGCTTCATGGTGTCGGCAGGGCCATCGACAGCATGGCCGATAGTCCGAGGGTCAGCATAGATTTCGTGGTCATTTCCACCAGGGAAGGTCTTGTCTCCAAAGAAGTGGATGGTCTTGTACTCAACACCCGAGATGCCCTTCTCGGCCTCGATGTGCTGCAGGCAATACGTCTTGTCCCACCCGGTCGGGAAGACGTCGAAAGAAATCTGACCACCAATTGAGAAACTAGTTTGATATCAATGTCTTGTGCTCAATAATCCCAGGAGATGTGGTGAGTCCACTGAGACTTACGTGAGACCATAATCAGAGAACTCCTTTTTCAAGGCTTCCACAAGGTCCTTTCGGATATTGTGTATCTTGTCATAGCTAGTATAGGAGTCAGTCAAAAATCCCAGCCCAGGACACTGTGCTACCTAAGCAAGTAACACTATTGCAAGGATAGGAAACGTACGCCTCGAACTCTTTGCGCTCCTCAGGGCTGGCATTACGCCCAACGGGACTGATGTTGACCATGCCATTTCGGAACTCAATAAAGGTGCCACGCTTCCTGGGCAGTTTCACATTGGCAATGTATTTGAGGCAGAAATCCACCAACTCCTGGTACTTGTCCTCCCCGAGCCACTGGATGAAGCTGTTGCTAGACAGTGGCTTGCCCAGGCGGTAGGCAACGAGGCCATTTTCAGCAAAGCAGAAGTCAAAAAGAGTGGTGACATTGATGGAGGGTGTGCCGAGCTGTTCTTGCTGTTTCACCAGATTCGATCCGCCAACCTAGAGACCGTTAGGCATGAAAGTATATATGCGCTGAGAAGACACGAACAAATCCAATGGCACACTTGTGTCGCAATTGAGAGAGGAGCTCGAGCATTTCTGGCTGAACACTCTGCAGGGGAAAAATGGTCAGTAACCCGCTAGTGCCAGATCAGCGCTGCAACTTACTGCTCTTGCGGGGGTGAGAGTTTCGTCAACATCAAAGAGGCACACTGTTTTCTTGATAGGACGGTCCCCCAAGGAGGGATAGACACTTGCAGCTTCAGTTGCCATGGTGGAGTGCTTGGAGGACAATTGGGAGAGAATGGAACAGAGAGAAAAGCCAGGGGACGCGATAAACATACACCTGCGGGGTCATTTTTGGCCGCAAGCGGTGAGAGGCATCTAGAGGCCCCTGCCTGGTTGACTTGGCCAAAGTCTCTCTCGACGTTGATTTCTCGATAATCGCAGTATATAAATTGGATGAGAACATGTCTACGATACTCTAATTCTTGTTATCCATTATGACCTATCCTGGTCCCACTCTATGAAATGCATCGGACTTCTCTCCAGGACACAGTAGCTCTTATCGATAAGGAAACTATAGAGGGACGATATCGACACTCGAAGACCGAGACTATAGGTAATGCATTAGGTACATTTAGTGCTATCTATGTACACAATTCCCCGAGTGGCAACCGTCATGCCATCTAATATACTACTCAAGCCAGCTCATCCAGTGGAGGGACTTCATCTCCAACGCCCACGCAACCATCCAAACTCCAGAAAACTCCAGAATAAGAAAAGAGCTAGCGTCCCATCGTGGACTGGAATACCTTGGCAGCCAGCTCACTCAAGAGTCGTGTCCGATCTGGCTGGGGAAGGTCCAAGAAAACCTCATAGACACTTTTCCCCTTGGCGTCGCGGACAGCACCCAGACGATTCCCTGCCACAGCACCAGCTAAAGCTCCGGGGAAATTGCCCACGATGAATCCCAGCGCACCACCACTGATACCCCCGACCATCGACCAAAACCGAGAGGTGGGGCGGGTGCGTCTTTGGCCCTGGGTATCGTCCTCCTCGGCAAGCCCCTCTTCGCGCAGCATCTCTTCAAACACAGACCCGAATTGGCTCGAATCGCGCTCATTGCGGTCTCCTCCAAATGCGAAATTGGACCATGAGAATCCCGCCGCGCCGCCAGAAGGCACTTCTTCGTCTACCTCCGCTTCTGTCTCTTCGTACTGCCGAGCGGCGTCGTACTCCCGCCGGCGCGCAGGATCGGACAGGGTATAGTAGGCATCATTAATCTCCTGGAATTTCCGGGTTCGCGTAGGGCGTTCAGGTGAGTCGGCCGGCACTCGGTCCGGGTGGGATTTCAGAGATTCTCTGCGCAGTCTCAGTTAATAGGGAGGATCGGACAGAGTACAGTCACCAGGTGTTTACCGCTTGTAAGCGCTGCGAATCTGTTGCTGGGTGGCATCGCGGGACACGCCGAGGATTTTGTCTGAAACCACCGTTAGTCAAGGCGAGGGGCTGATTTGGTTTTGGGCGTCGGGGAGACGAACAATAGTCGGGACCTTTGGTTTAGTTGAGTCAAGTTAATAATGTCTCAAAGCAGAAAGACTGTACAAGTTTCACAATCAACATACTCGACATGGTTTGGTGGACAAGAAACGGAAATCAAGAAACCTGGCGAATTCACCGAAGTAGATCGACGCGGCTGAGCAGGTGACGTCGTTGTAGCCTGAGGCATATTACCTATTTTGGGTCTCCTTTCCACCCGGGAGGTTGTCAGGTACCCGGTACCTTCTGGTAGGTCAGTTACCCCGCTTACAATATTGTACCTAGTACTCGAGGGCTCCCCAGCCACCGAATTCCACCTACGAGCTACACAGGTGTCCCAGGGCACCGTTCATTCGTGTCCCCCCTGAGACCTTCAATTCAAATCTTCTCTAGAGGTCGACTCTGCCCTTTTACTTAAACTGTCAAATTTTTCAAATTCTGCCTGCAGCGTAAATCGGTGGAGCGAATGCACACGGCATCGACTTGAATTTGCGCATTGCAGCTCTTAGCGGCTGACCTGCATCTGTCGTTTCTCTGGAGTTGCCACACACGCCAAAGGGAAAAAAATTCTCAAGGGGCCCTCAACAGAATTCCCCAAGAACCTGGACATCTAAGCTTTCTTTTGTACCAACCATCCGTCGGGATTGGGACCAGTTGTTCGACGCAGAGAGAGCGGTCTTGAAGAGCAGGCGAAAGTACCCGCAAAGACAGAACAGGGAAAAATGGGTTGGTTTGACGGACGCTCCTCGTCATCCTCGTATTACTACGTGCGCCGCCGTTCACCCACCCGCAAATCCGGCTACTCAACCCACCATCCCCGACACTCGGCCTCGTCCATCTTCAGTCTTGGGGGTCGGGGAGGTGGAGGTGGAGGCCGATCCAGTCCTTCGGTCTTCTCTTCCTTCTCTTCCTCCTCCCGCCGAGCTCGGCCTCGCGAGGGCTTTGTACAGCGCTTGATCCGCTCCATCAAGCGTCTGTTCCGTGACATCTACCGCTACGCTCGAGAGCACCCCATCAAAGTGTTCATGCTCGTCATCCTGCCGCTCTTAACCAGTGGGGTTCTGCCCAAGTTGCTCGCCATGGTGGGACTGCGTCTGCCCCCAGGGGTTCTCCATGCCCTCGGTGGAAGCGCCCCGAGCACCGGCCGCGGCGGGTTCGGGGACATGGATGGCAAGGGGCTGTCGGATAGTGTCAATGGCTTGGTGGGCTTGGCCAAGATGTTCGCCTAAGACGACATGCGCATCCCCCTGGTCCCGACATTGATTGAAGCCACACGATTTGTTCCACAAGATATCAAGGACCCCAACTCATAACGACCGTTCATGATGTATTCCCCCGAGCTCGTCTTCGCTCTCGATTGCTCATGATTTTCCTACTGTTCCAACTCTGTCACGCTGTATGTCCTGTATTTGGAGGCTCGCTGGGATTCGATAGAATCAATTATGTTTTCGTATAAGAGAAATTGCGTTCTGCCAATTCCTTGAGGGGGGGTATGCTCCCCTATTTATATGCTATAGTGGAGTGTCGGTGCCCAATGTGCATGTTGGCCCCGTTGGACTGCCACACATCAGGGACTTTGTGTCTTCACCTCACTGGCAGACTACAGGACCCGCTGAAGGAGCGTTTCTGTAACCAAACGAGCTTATTACAGCCTATCAGTCTCTTGTTTTGCTATTTTGCCTCATTAAAGCCTTTTGATTTCAAACCATTGTATGTGTACAGTTTAATCTCCACTCGAGTAACTCGCTTCTCCTGTCTATAGATAAGAAGTACTTTTTTTTTGAAGCGAGAAACCCAGCGATCACGGCTCAAAAAGTGCCCAATCGCACACTTCCTTGTCTCCAATGTGGATTACGATCGTTGAGAACGTTTGTTGCGTCTCCTCGAGGATCCACCGTTCAAGGAAGCCTCAACGGGCTCATCGACCAACGGCACCACGGGCTCCGGAGAGTCCACCTCTTCGTCCACGACCGAAGTTCCCAGCACTCGACCGACAGTCCTGTGGAAGCACCAAACCGGGAGCTTGCACAGGACCGTGTCCCGAAGAGTAGGGCGCTGAATCTCGTCGACGTCCAACAGGAACTCCTGACGACCGTCGTCCTCAGTGTCCTCCTCCAGAAACACGTTGCCGACAGAATCGACAATCAGCACCTTGCCATTCTCTGCGACAACCCGCTTCCGTTCGCCGGTGGGGGCACCGCCTTCCGTGGGTGTGGACGTGCCGGAGCTGCGTGCGGTCGCCCGCGGTGCCTTGCGGCTTTCCTTGCGGTTTTCCCGATCCATCATGCGCTTCTGACGACGAGTCATCGCCACCGCTCCGGCCTCACCATCGGGGGCCGAAGCAGGAGCGGTTGCACCCAGCGAGTCAACCCCCGGGATACCTCGCACACCCAATTCATCACCCCATGCCGCACGGCGAGCCTGGCGAATGTACCGGTCGACGAACTCGCGCTGGCGTTTCCATCCCAGAATCAGGGCGGCATAGTGTGCACCACCACCGAAAACTAGAAACAGCCCGGCCAGAACAGAGCCCAGGCCGGGGCGAAACCGCGAGTAATAGTATCCCGTGCCCTTCCAGCGAGGGAATCCATGCTTCAGAAAGTGGTCGTAACGCTCACGATTGGGACCACGCAGAATATTGGCAACAAGGTTCAACCGCGCAGAGCGGGCGTGGGCTGTTTTCACTGCCGCGTCGATTTCCCGCTTGGATGGGCCGGAGGAAACATGGACCCCGGACTTCGTAGCCTTGCTCTTGCTCTTGTCCTTGGAGTGGTTGGCAATGAAAGCCCGCTTGGCCTTATCCGGGTGCAAAACGCGGGACTTCTTGCGGTAGGCCTTGGTAATCTGCTCCAGGTTGGCATTCGGGCGGATCTCGAGAAAGTCTGGATTCGAGAACAGATATTAGTCTCGCAGCATTGGAGCTCATGGGAAGGTTCTCGTACCGTAGAAAGTCACATCAGGACCTTCACTTATGGCCAGTTCATCTCGCAGACGAAAGATCTCGTAGTCTACGGGGAGGGAAAAGGGTTAGTCAACAAATGTGTGCTTTTTGGGCCATGGGGCAACAACACACCTTCTTTAGACCAAGCAGCGACCAGACCCACAAAGAGGAAACACAGAGAGAAAGCAAAGGGCTTCATGATGACAATGGAGCGGTCAATACCGCAAAGCCCAGCAACACAATGGGGAAAGAGGAACGAATGAGCAGAGAGGGATGCCGGATCAAGCACGAAAAAAAGCGGTCACGACGTGATCCACTTGCGCATCTCGACGTGGCCCAATGGAGGCATTCTCGAGGGCACATATCACAGATCATATATGGGAATATACAGTAATTATAATATAGAATAGAATATATTAATATATATATATATATAGACAGTAGATGCAGAAATTGAGAACTCCAGGGTGTTCTCATCTTCTCCCCCACGCCCTGTGGACTTGGGCTGAGGTTTCCGCAAACAAAACATCTGGCATGATCCGGGGCTATTCTTAGGTCAATCCCAAGCCTGACAAGACCTGAGAGACCATGATTATTCCCAGAACTCGACACTTCTGACTCGCTCACTGGTTCAGGGGCGAAACCAGCTGGGGCTTGACTAACATCGAAAGGGGGAAAAAGCCCCAGGCAAAAAAAAAAAGGTGCCTTCACTTGTCTCACACGAGCGTCTCTTTGTCTTCTCTTCTCTCCACTCTCCATTCCGCCATTTCCATCTTCATCTCTTCCCCCCCCACCCCCCATCTTGAATTCCTTCCAATTCGCCATGGCTATCCAAATCCCCATCGACGCCATTACGTCGCGCTTTGGCGACCGCTTCAACAACCTTCGCAGCCAGTCTCTGAGCACCCGGTTCGCCAACCTTCGACCTGTCTCGGAATTCCTGGACATCAAGCGCGTCTCGAAGCCCAACAACTTCGGTGAGGTTCAAAGCCGGGTCAACTACAACCTGTCCTACTTCTCCAGCAACTATGCCGTCGTGTTTATCATGCTCAGCATCTACAGCTTGTTGTCGAACGCGCTGCTACTCTTTGTCATCATCTTCGTCAGCTGTGGTCTCTACGGGATTGGCAAGCTCAACGGTCGCGATCTGGACCTGGGTTTTGCCCGCTTCAACACTTCGCAGCTCTACACCGGACTGCTGATCGTTGGCTTGCCCCTGGGTATCTGGGCATCGCCGATTTCTACGGCCCTGTGGCTGATCGGTGCGACAGGCGTGTCTGTGTTCGGCCACGCTGCATTGATGGATAAACCAATCGAAAATGCTTTTTCCGAGGAGGCGGTCTAGGTGGTCGGCCGCGAGCTCCTTTCGATATGCCCCGATGGGGAAGACCACCGGGGGCACGAATGGGGAGACACACCAGGGGGCGGGAGTGGGATGAGATTGCACGGGTGGAGGAGATTGAAAGTGATGAGGAGCACGACGAGTACGAGCGGGAGATGCTGCGGAGTGGCCGCGTGTCATACATGCGCCAGCTGGAGTATGGGGGCCGGGGGCCGCGTCGGCGGGACTACGAGGATCTGACCGACGAGGCCGAATCAGTGGAGGGGGCGATTACGATATTTACGACCACGAGGATAGCACGGTGGCCTATGCGGTTCAACTGGCCATGCGGGACAAAGAAGATCAATTGGTGGAAAAGGCACTGGGGCGGATTCGTCGCGCGCAGATGCTGGGAAAGAAGAATGTCCGGCTGTCACAACGCGAGCTGGATGCCCTGGAGCGGAGGCGTCTGCAGACAGACAATGGACGGCGGCCAAAACACCCCGGGAGCCCTACCACACCGACAGCGGGCCGGCCGGGGTCGCGGCGAAATGGATCGGGGGCTCCCCTTGAGCAATCCGGGCCATATCCACACTTTGCGCCTGACGCCCACAGCTCGTGGTCTCGGGGCCCTGGTGGCCGGCCGTCCAGCTCGTCATCTGGTCATCGTCCGCGGACTCCGACTACTCAATCCCTCCGACCCCAGCAGTCCAATTCACCACTGCGGCCGTCCTACCCACCCTTTCCTCCCAATAATCGTCCACAGTCGATGCATCAGCACGCGATGTATCCACGACCACTGCCCGATGATCCGCAATGGGCACCGCCCTACTACAAGCCCGTGCAGATGGCACCCTACATGGATCAGGCCCCATACCCGCCGCAGCCTCCCACTGATCATCGGTCAGGACCCACGGGCCGGATGAGCTATCCCTCTGGGGAAACGCCCTACCCGGCCCAGCATCGATCTCCCCTGGATGGACGCCCCTCGGGTGCGCCATTCCGGGGAGGCCCACCGGCCCAGTCCGAGACCGAGTCAGACGTCTCCAGCGAAGAAGAGGAGGAAACGGAAAGTAGTGAAGATGATGGGGAGGTGCAGGTTGTGCCAGTGGAGCGCCAGGGTCCGCCGGGCCTCCAGAAGCGCACTGTTTCTGGAGGCAGCCGGGGCAGTTGGCGGGCCCGTCGGTGAGGAATGTGTGTCTCTCTCAGGATTGCTCTCTTTTGCGTCTATCTGTTTTCGGGCCTTTGATCTTCTCCTTTTTTTTTAAAGGGCGTTCTTGGGTAGACTTGTTTTTTATTTCTTTTTGCTGGGGCTATATAGACCCATGGAATACCCCGAGAGAATTTGTGCTGCGATTATGAAGCCAAGTGGGGCCGGGCAGTGATGACGTCGAGGAAACTAGAGAATTCATTAAAGCCCTTGCGATCTCCATTCCTTGCCTTGTTTTTGCGCTGGGAGATCTTGGGTCTTTTCATTCATATCCTTCATATCCTTCATATCCCTCATATCCCTCTTCATATCCCCTTCATCCCACTCCCATCCCACTCCCCCTGAATCGGCTCATCCAATAGTGGGTTTTTTGGCCATCCGCCACTAGAACCACATCTTCCCCTTTGAATTTCCCAAATATCTTTTTTTTTCTTTTTTTACTTTTTGTGTGTTCACGCCTCCCGGTCGATCATTTTTTAGCGGCATCCTTGGACCTCCTGGAATGCGGTCGATCATAAATATCCCAGTCGGGTGAGTTGTGCTATTGACATGTTGACTCCATCGCGCGGAAGCGCCGGGATCGTGAGAACAGCCGCTGACAGCGAATATCGTGCAGACTCGGCCGCAACATCGCTCTTTTATCTTTTCTTTCCTTTTTCCAGGGCCACATTCCTTCGTTTCATTGCATTGAGAAATAGACGCGCATAGACTCGACACCATGTGGATTATTTCGTTTTGGGTGTTCCCGCTCATATCGGCCTGCATGTGGGTTGGTAAGGATTCTCCATGCCCCAGAATACCTTAGCGACGCCTAACCAGCTTCTTCCAGCGATGTTGATTGCCATGCTTGTGGTCTGGGCCGCCCGTGAAAACGAGCCGAACTATCCCAGCATGGAGAAAGGACAGACTATTGCGTATGTCTACGGATCTCTAAACCAACCAAATGGGCGCTGACTGCTGACACGGGTGACAGTTATATTTCGGATGTGGGCGCGTACGGTCTGAAACCGCTCTTCATCACCGGCAGCGTAATCACCGTGGTCTTCCTGGACTTGGCCTTCTTGTCGGAGCGATGGCTTCGACACGCCGGTCAGCTGGTGCCGAACAAGGGTTTATTCGACAAGGCCTGCGCCATCGGGTCCATTTTCTTCTCTATTGCCGGAGCTGCCGGACTCATTCTGCTGTCGATCTTTGATACGTACCGCCACCCTCACATGCACGATGGCTTTTTGATCATGTTCCTGTGAGTGACCCCCTAAACAGCCCCAAAACCCCGCATGCAGCTAACCAGTGACATCGGTACTTCCAGGGTTGGATATATCATCAGCGCAATCTTGATCTGCGCCGAGTATCTGCGCCTTGGCATCTTCTACCGCTCGCAACATCGCATCCTGATAGCCAGCTTTATCATCAAGCTCTTCTTCATCGTGATCGAGATTGGTTTGGCCATTGGCTTTGGTATCTGCATGCAGAGCCAAGACCGCGCCAAGAAGGACCCCGGAGCCATTCTCGAGTGGGTGATTGCCTTCGTTTTCACCGGATACGTCCTGTCCTTCGTGGTGGACTTGTTGCCATCCGTCCGCACCCGCACGCATCTGCCGCAGGGTGAAAAGCGTCTAGAGATGGCGCACGAGGGACCCAATGCGCCACACGGCGGCATGTCCCTGGAAGAACCCCTGACGACCGATTCGACGGGCCCGAACCACTACCGCGGCGCGCATTTCTAGACAAGATGTCGATGTTTATCTTTCTTCTCCTTTTTGTGTCATATTCAAGGGATGTGCGATCTGTTTATACGCACTCATGAAGACCATGTGATTTAGTGCATGTTATATTGGTGACATTTTTGCTGTGATACCTGGGCCATCGTTCCCTTCCCCTCGGTGTTTTGTTTTTTTTTTAGAGGGAAAGGGTCATTTGTGGATATTATGGGGATTGGCATGGTGATTTGTACATTAATTCTATCCAAGATAGTTCGACAAGGATCTCCTTTGTCTTTTGCGTATGTCCCTGAGGCTTTCCCTCCCGAGGTCAATCCCAACCCGGGCCCCAGTCATGATCGTATCTACATTTCCCATAGCAAAGTACACATACAAAGCAAAGCAAAAAAAAAAAAAAAAAAAAAAAAACCGCCCGCAAAGCCGCTCATACCATCCCAATGCGTTTACACCAGCAACTTGCGCCGAATACGCTCCTGCATCTCCGACGGGACCCCAATCCCAGCGAGATACTCGCGCACGCCGCCATAGCGATCAGCAAGATACCGGGTGGTGGCAGCGACAAAGCCCGGCGGACAGCGCGTGTAGTCCTCGCCGAGACCCAGGGCACGAATCTCACGCATGCGCTCCTCAAACTCGGGGACGAGCTCCAGTTCCGAGCGCACATAGTCGTCGGTCATGGCGGCCTCGGGCACCGACTCGCCCGCCAGCAGCAGCAGCATCAGCACCACCAGGCCCGTGCGGTCCTTGCCCTGCGTGCAGTGCACCAGGGCCGGGTAGGTATCGTCGCGGGCGAGCAGCTCAAACACCGTGCGCAGCTCGCTGGTGCTGGCGTCCAGCGTGTCCTGGGCGAGCCCTGTGAGGCCGCGTGGCTGCATGACTTGCTCGCCGATGAGGCGTACTGCGTCGGGGCGGTACCCTGTTACTGCAAGGCCGAGGACTTTGCTGGTTTGGGGTTGGATTGGGTTAGCTTTGGGTTGTTCTTTTGTAGATATGATATGAACATGGATATCTTCTTTGGCGTATACAAATGTCTTGAGTATATAGAAGGAAAAGAAGGGGGAACATACAAATAATTCACCCAGTCTAGCCTCCACAACAATGCCCGTTCAAACCCTTTGCCCGTAAGACTAATCCGGGTGCACTGGGCTCCAGGGATCGACAAGATATGCTCGTCTGCCCCGGGAGTAACAGGCTTCTCCGGGAAATCATCATCTGATGAAGCATTCTCTGCACGGCGTTTGCGGGTAGCCATTTGGTGCTCGGTCCTAAAAGAGAGAGAAAGAGAGAGAAACATGAGTCCACGCCGGGTCTCTCGACAACGCATGAACAGTTAAGGAGCGGGAGAAACGCACTGAGATCGCAAATCAATCACCGTAGAGATGTGCAGCTCCTCAGTGAGGCGTCGCGTATCTCGCTCCGAGGCATCGTCGAGCTAAGGGAAACAATGTTCAGCCTTCGGATCTCTCTGCCTAGTCCCTTGGTTGCGGGGGGAAGGGGGAGGTGTTACCCTGGCACTGCGGAAGAGAACACTTTCTTGCAAGATCCTGGGACGACCATTAGCATGGATGCTTGAGTAGGATTTGGAATTTCAAATCTTGTCAATTAAGGATCTCACTCACTGCGCGCCGCAGAATTGATTAACCGACCGACCAACGTCGCGGAAGTTGATGATGTTGTCAAAGGGCCGGTCGGGCGAGGCGAGGTCGATACTAGACTGGCGGGTCATGGTCGAGATTAGAAGTTATATTAATTAATTATGTATTCTACCGAGGCAGAGAACCCCAAAAAAAACACATAAGGAATAGGGGGGTGAAGTTTGAATATCCAAAGGAAGATGTCATCTCGGGAAAGAGTCGTGGATGCCCGGGAAAGAATGTGGAGAAAATGGCGGTGGACGTTGGGCATACATCGCCCTGTTTTTTGGGGCTGAAAGACTAGGGGGGGGGTTTGTTGGCATGGTATGTTTAGATCTGGGAGTACAATGGATCAACTGGAATGTCCTTTGTCGCAATATTTCTTTGTCTTGGGGCTTGTTATGCTTGGTTGAACGAACCGCCAGTCGGATCTATATCTTGGCTCCCCCGTGTACACTCGAGGTAGATCGCCAACTGTCAAAAATCAAAACTAAAGTCAGTAATTGACCTTTCAGGAACAAGAAGGACCAAAGTAGAATCACCTCAACTGGAAATAGAGGGTTCATCTCAGGGCCTGGTCGAATCATATTGTCGTTCAGTTCGGTAGCAACCACGCAAAGCTTTGGCTGGATACCACATGGATGAGTAGAAAACAGGGCAAATTGGATGGAGTGGAAGATTTGGTTTCATCAAATATCGAAAATTTACATCGAAAAGAAAAAAATAAGCAGACATCGTTCAAAATTCGTATATATACCAACAAGCAGAAAATAACCCAGAATCGCAGACTCCCGCCTGGACCCAAAGGCGCCAATGGCTATTAGAAACAACCTGAAAAATACCAAAAGACATAAAAACTGTACCAGTAGAAGACAAATCACATAGACACATAAAATAAATTGATCACAGATCCTCTGAGAATCGCGACTCCCGGCCGGTACTCACAGTCTCGCCGAGAGCAGGCGGCACTGGCAGCCCTTGTTCAACGGCGCTGTGACGCAGATCCTGAATTTCAGTGCCAGAGTCCTTGGGTTCGGAAACAGCCTCGGAGCCTCGCCGGGAGTCTCCCTCCTTGGTTACCCCGTTGGTCTTGGGCTCCTGGGTGCCACGCGAGACACTCTTCAAGAAGCTCCTTCGCAGACGGTGCCTCTTATTATTGCCATTCTGCTGAGACGAAGGACCCGTGCCAGATTCCCCAGTCAAACTTTTCGTAACCTCGTTATTATTGCCATTGCGGCTCGAGGATCCATTCTGCGTCGAAGGCAGATCGGTTCCGGTGACGGGATGTGAGCTCAGTGCAGCTCCGCGAGGCTCATCTTTGCCGGCCAAAGCAGCGCCTCCTGTGAATGCAGGTTCGCTGTCAGTGGGGAAATCAGGCCCGGGCTGGTGGGGATACACAGGAATCGGCCCGCTGGATCGACGAACGAGTCGATCGCGGAACCAGTTTTTGAGCTTTGAATCAGCCCGAGGACTTGTCACTGGCTGGATAGTGTGCATGGCAGACACCCCCGAACCAACCGCGGCGGCATCCCGCTGCGCAGTTTCGGTTTTAGTTATCTCGGGCTGCGCATCGTCCCGGGTGGGTTCTTTGGAGGGCGCAGCTGCAACAACAGCGGCTGCACCGGCAGTCTCCGGCTCGCCTGGAGTCTCTTCAGCGGTTGCCTCCCTCGAGATAGCAGTCTCGGGGGCAGCAGCGGCTTCCGGCTCTGCCGGTGCTTCCTGAGCTACAGCGCCTGTTGCCGTTGGGGCCTCCGCTGGGGCCTCCTCTTCGGCGGGCTTCTCGACACGAGCTCGTTTGGTTTTCCTCCGCCACAGGAAGATCCCCAGTCCTTTGCTTTCGCGCTTCCTCGGTTCTGTATGCTCGGTTAAAAGATGAAGTTGGTCAATGGAGCATCAAAAATACTGACCTTTGCCTCGCTTCGCTTCCGCCCTCATATCTGCTTCACGCTCATGCTCCACGGTAGCATGTCTTTGCTGCTCCTCTGCATCTAGACGCTCTTCCACATCATGCGCCCTCTGCTGTTCAGCTTGCTCTGTGATTTCATCAAGCGCAGGCTGGAGCCGCGAGCGCGCAATAGCCTCGACATCTGCCATGTCGACAAACTGTCGCGCGCCAATATTCACCCGGTCTCCCTGCGCAGCCCATTCCGTCGACTTTGCCTCTTGCCGAACTCGCTCCTGAGCAGCCTCGTCCCATTCCTTCTGAAGGGATGGCGGAGGGCGGCCAGTGTCCGTGTAGAGTTTCATCTCCATGTCCTGGAGAGCGGCATCAACGTTGCGCCGTGCCGCTTGCATGAGCATCTCACGGTCCTTTTGCCTCTGTTCATCAACCCGATTGAGCTTCGATCGCAGGCTTGACATCTGGTTCCGAATTTCTCTTGACTGCTCCGCATCGATCTGCGAGGCATCTGCATCACTCGAGGTTCTTTTGCGTCGAGTTGCCAAGCGCGACCGTTGTGGCTGGGGTGCAGTTCCGTAGTACATTTGATACTCGGCATTTTCATCATGCATGCGCGCGAGTTTCTCAGCAGCCCGTTTCTGTGCCGCGTCTTGCAGGGTCATGGCCTTCTGAATCGAGGCTGTCCCAGCTGCGCTTACCGTCTTTCGGTAGCGGAGTCGGTCTTGCCCATTTTGGGGTGCAGAGACAGCTGGGTCCAACTCCGATTCGTCTTTGGTTCCGGTCACATCGTACATGTCTTTGGCCATGGAGATTGCCGCAGCGCGCAGAGAATTTCTACGGTTCCTGTCTTCTATTTCACTTGCGACAGGTGGAGACGAGGTGTAGAGTCGCGCATTGGTATTGGCGATGTGATGGATCCGGCTTGCTTCCGTGGCACTGTCTAAGTGACCCAAAGGGTCTTCGACTTCCACATGCGCTCGCTGCGAGGCCCCAGCCGCAGAACGCGCATACGGCGAGTCGGACGAGATAACAGGCTCAGTCGGGGTGGGCTCGGCTCTCTGCCTAGTGATCGCGTACGCCCCCGTAGCGGCTCGACGGGCTCTATCCTGTGCTTGATGATGCCCGGTCGTTGCGCGGGCTTGGTCGGCGGAGATATCATGTTTGTGGCCCGTAGCCGTCGGGAGAAGACTCGTCATGCCTTTCTGGTCGCGGACAGCGAGGACCGCGGCTTCTAATCCTTCCGGGCTATACTGGGTGCTAGGCTGAGGAACCTCGGGGGGAGTGTAGTCTTTCACACACAAAGCAGCCTTCTCCGCAGCCGCCAGTCTTCCCGGGCGCCACACTTCAACCGGCTTAGTCTTCGCATGCGCGAGGGCGGCGCCGGCAGATGCATGGCTCAGGTTAGGAGTGCCTCCTGTAACTCGGGGATCTGTCGAGAATGCGCGTCGCTGATCAGCACGGGATGATACGATACAGCTTGAGGGGTTCGTGGCCAGGGGATAGATACTCACTGAAGTGCTGGGTGTCGGTTGCGCTTGGATCGCGAATTTCCGCCTTGCGTTGAGGATGCGTCACATAGAGCGCAGCTGTCGCGGCTGGTTCAAGAAGTCAGCGATCAGTGCGGGAAGACCAGCGACGATCCTTACCATCATCTGCTAACCGGGTCGAACCCGGCAGTTGCTGCGCCGTGGCCATAGTGGATGAGATGCGTGAAGCGAAAAGCAAATCATCCGGAGGAAGCGAAGATAAAAAGGGTGGGATGGAAGCCCGGAAGCTTCTTTCAGCCCCGTGACGTCGTTGAGGATCCGTGGGCTTGGGGCCATTGCATCATCGGGGGGAAAATCCCCCAAGCTCAATCCGACCCTATGAATCAATGAGAGCCGGTGCCCTGAGAGATCGAGGGTGGAGCTGGAGCTGGTACTTTTAGTTTCCGTTTTCGTCACTTCGTGTCGGTGACGTGGAGACTCGGAAAGCCGGGAATTTTCTACGCAGGGGGGTTTGCGTGGATCTACGTCGATCCTCCACACTGGGCCCATTCGCAACTCTGCAAGCTCCTCAATAATCTTCGCTTGCTCTATAGCTGACTATATTCAGTGCTATATTTCGCTGGTGGTCCACCATGCTAGACTCGAAAATATTTCACAAAGAAGAAGAAAGAAGAAGAAAAAAAATCACCATAGATGGAGCATCTCGAAGATGTCATGACGTGCAAAAAACGACCGATTTCGTTTGCCGAAGATATCTGCAAGATAGAGAATTAGCCCGCATCGAGATATACCCGCCCTCGCGAGTCCACTTACACATGGGGATGCTCAAAAGGCAGATGCCCACTTGGATGCTACCAACGATGATCATCGTCCGTTTCACGCCGCCATGGCTGAACCACTCATAGGCGTAAAAGGTCAGGACGAAGCTGAACATGTTTTTGAACACCAGAAGACAAGTAAATGCCTCGACCGCAATCTCGCCTAGAAATGATCAGCAACAGTTCAAGGGACAGACAGAAACTAATCCCACATACGATGTGCATCAACAATGTAGAGCGAGGCGGCGACGGCGCCCATCACCATGCCAATGATGATAAACGCGAAGAACACGTCCGGGATGAGCCATTTGTACCGCATCACATTGCTTGCCGTCCAGCCAAACCCATATAATCCAATTCCACTGAAGACCAGCTGGAAGACGACTAACAAAATGCGGAACTCGGGCTCGTAGCGGCCATGGTTCAGACGAATCATCACCTTGGTCATCGAATCGGTGAGAAGACCCGACAGGATGAGACCGATGATGGACCCAATGAAGGCGCCCGTGTATAGATACCCTGTTTGGTCCTCTTCAAACCACACGGGCGGGCCGAGAAAAACAATAGCCAGGATGACACCGATGAAGACGGCCCAGCCAATGAGGACACCTTGGATCAGGCAAGCCTGGATGCAATAGTTAGCTTTTGGCGGGTTTCAAAGAAAGGGAAAGCAACCGACTTACCCAGAGGATGCCTGGGTGGAAAAACAAGGGAAATGGTCGGAGAAGTAGCTTGAAGAAGTTCTCATCCGTCTTCCGTCCATTAAACGGCCTCAGGGATTTCCAGAATGAGTCCTTCTCGGGGACTCTTGTTGCAGAGACTTCCGTCCGAGAGGTACCATTCATTTCGCCCGAGAACACTTTGGCTTCTTCATTGGACATGTCACCGAGAGGGAGCCGGGACTCGGTGGATTCGCCTTGGCCAGTTTTGCGTTTGAAGTCGGTGTTCAGGTATTCCGGACGTCGAAATGCGGTCTCGGGCACGAAGAAGAACATGAGTGGTAGAGAAGCCCCGAGGAAGATAGCCAAAAAGTAGAAGGACCACTGCCATCCAAGGGATTTGGTGATCTTGCCGACAAACACAGGCGTCAAGAAAGCAGCCCCAAATAGAGCGACGTTGGAGACTGCCATTCGTTTCCCTCGCTCCTGTCAGTCGACCTCAATTAGCCCCAGGAAATCCGATAATGGTAATAATCAACCTTGGAACCTACATGGACAAAGTATAAATCGCCGACGCAGGCATTTACCAGAGCTTCGAAAGGAGCCAAGGCTACGCCTTGGAAGATGCGAGACCACAAAAGGCTTCTGTGATTCTTCCCGCTGGCACCGGCCCAGATGCAGCTGACAATCATCAAGATGTGCCCAATCAGGAACAAATGGCGTTTTCCCCAGACTCGGGCCGTGGGCACGATTAAAATGCCTGCGACACCCACGCCGCAGAGATGGTAGCCAGTCAGCAGCGCGGCATCTGTGAATGTAATTTCCTCATAGTCGGCAATAGTATACGTGTTCGCAGCCAGAATGGAGCTCAGCGTCGTGCAGAGCACCGTCACAAATGACAGGATTGCGAGAATGAGATCCCGTCGCCATAGCGGCCAGTTCTGGAGTTGTCGCGTTGATTAGTTTGTGCTGCTCTGGCGCATATCGTGCGTGTGCTCTCGGTAACATACCAATGGGTCGTTTGGATCATCACTCGGTTGCGGCACCAGAATGGTCGGCTCTCTACTAGACGAGTCATATTTGAGACTCGAGGAGCCGGGGGTCTGATCGCTTTGATCGCGATCTTCGTAGATGTCGGAGGTGCCTATCAAAGTGGACTATGAGCAAGACGCCAGGGAGAATGTGCCAGAGACAATCTCACCCGGAACCTGCGCAAGCTCGGTATCCTCCAACACCCCAAGTCCCATAATTCCAACCAGTGACCGGCGCTCAAATTATGGAAGCGGTTGAAAACGAGTCAAGAGGGGTAAAGCTCAGACACCGATGCCCCTTAAGCCGTCATAGCTCGAGTGCTTGGCACAGCCAGGAATGAAACAAGAGAAGATAGAGGGGAAGCGTTGTGCAAGAGAGTCAAGCAGGTACGGTGTTCGGCCAGGAACTTCAATAGCTTCAACTCAAAAAGAAAGCCAGTTCGGTGAGACCAAGTTTGAAAGACATCTCCGCACCCGAGAGCCATGCATGGTCCATTGAATGATTGGACTAAGTGGGGATCAGCACGCTGGCTGTGATCTCACGAATCCACTGGGACCGGAGAGACGTGATATTCAAGTGATCGGCAATACGGGCTTGGGCCGAGGCATCACATTCAGGGGTGCCTTACGCAGGGATTCCATTGCTCTGAAGTCGCAGTCTTCGCAGTCTTCGTCTTCAAGGTCGGGTGTCAATCAGGTATTGAGTTGAGACAGGCACAGAAAGAGAAAGAGAAAGAAAAGTCGGATATCTAGAGCATAAGCCCTGGGCATTCTCTCGAGTACAACACTCCACTGTGGAGACTCTGTGTATCAAGGCTGTATTGTGTCTGTGGTGGTAGAGCAACAGGCTGTGTGTATTAAGATTCACTCACAGACAAGGAACAAGGAACAAATCGTCCATATCCAACTACCATTCTTCTCCCATCAAACGAGGTTCAATGCCCCCGAGCTCCATTCCATGTCGCTGTATCTCAGTCCTGATCCTTTCCAAGCGGTCCTTTGGATATCGCTCTGGGTCCATGCGAGTGATGTAGTTCATCATCTTGAATTCGATTTTGATCGTCTCCAGAGTTGATCCTCTGAAAAATGCCGACTTAGCAAACTCGATGATCCAGTTTTCTTCCCGCTCGCCAAACCTGTACCAAGAGTCTTGGTGATAGAAGACCCGTGTAAAGATTCGAAAGACAGGGAGCAAGCAGAAGATCGGCATGGGAAGAAGACCACTGCAAACCTTCCCTCGTGTCATCCTCATTGGGCTTCCTCACTGGTTCCATCCGGTGTCTTGATAGCCGAAGGACTTGAAGCTTGGGAAAGTTCGAGATATCAATCGATTCCCTGGTATTCTGAACAACCAAGGAAGACAGATCAATGGATTTGAGTGTTTCCCTATGAATTCCGAGCCACGACTGAAACATGGGCAGATCGAGGGAAAACTCGAAAGGCTCATGCCTTTCCAACGAGACAAGAGTGTCTGGCTCGTCAGTCTCGAAGGCGAAATGGACCAGCTTTTTGGGCCATTGGATGATTTGGGCAATCGCATCAGGAGAATCTTGGTCAGGAGAATCTTGGCACTCACTAAGAGTGATGCAGTGAATGGCGCGGTTCGATATTTCTAGAAGTCATTAGCCTCGCTCAATTCATGAGGCAGGGAAGGGAGAATACCTGTGGCTCTAATATCATGTCGCCGTTGAGAGACTGTCGTGATCCAAACACTTCTAGTGTCAAGTGATGGAATACTCACATGAGCCACCACCTCTTCGAGAAAAGGCCATAGTAGCTGTTCGCAATGCAAAGCCCAAATCCGAAGGGCTTCCAACTTCTTTAGGTGCTGGCCAGCTCTTTGAATCATGACCCATGTGTGTGGCCCGTGGCCTTCGCATGGATCAAAGCATGGAAAGGGAGAGGGTCACACAGCGTCCGGTCTCTCCCACGGGCAGTCGTTACAGACTTCGGAGTTACGCTGTAGACCTTGAGAGATCGAAGTCTTGTCAACCAGCGGATGATATCATTGACTTCACCAAAATCTTGGCCAGGGGCAGGAACACCACCAGGGGCAATGTGAATCTCTAGGGATTGGCAAAGTGGTCGAAGCGAGGCGTTGGTTTTGAGGGCCCGATGGAGTGACTCTGCTTGTAGATGGGGGGCACAAGCCGTCCAATTTCTACCTCAGAAATGTCATGGTACAAAAAGCCCAGCACAACGTGGTAAAAGCTGCGGCATACAGACAGTAGCTATAGCTGCCTAGCCCTTTTGCGAGAATCATTTGGTAGATCATGCTCTTCATCCAAAGACATGTCAATGATTATGGTGAGCAGCTCATTAGGGAGTTTCAAGGAAAAGGAATCCTGTAAAGTGTCCTTTTTCAATTCTGGCACCCTGGTTATGGTCTGAGGAGCCATATTTAGCGATAAGAGAAGAGTAGCGAGAAGAAGCCACAAATAGTTCATCTAGATCCATGGATATAGATTGTATCGACCAACAGATAGGCCTGAGGAACAAGGCACCCATTACCACACCGGTTAAATCCACGCACTGCACATCCATCAATCCGTGGGTTAATACAGCAAGGATACATAAGTTACACATCCAATAGTGCGAGACCAGTCGAGGTATCAACTCAACTCAGTTTATTTAAAAGCGGGGAGCTCAACCGTGTTTATTCGGTTGCTTATTCTTGTGGAATATTCCCAACGGTTGGCTTTCTCTTCTTAAAATCCCCCAATCCATTCTAAGACCCCAATCATGAAGCTCACTCAGATCTCTATTGTTCTGGCAGCTCTGCTGTCTATGACTGCTGCTCAAGGCTTGAATGACCTGCCGGACTGCTCGGTACGCACCGGCCTCCAGGCCTCCAGATCTCCAGATTCTTTGAAACAGGCGGCTAACAGAGTTGGTCCTTGTAGAAAGACTGCGCAACCAACGCAATCCCGGCAAAATGTGGCATTGACGTCAAGTGCATTTGCACGACCAAATCCTTCCTGAATGACATCTCCTGCTGTGTCGCGGACAAATGCTCCAAGGCGGATCAAGAAAGTAAGGAGTTCCAGGTTTCTTTTCATGGTTTTTACTCGGCCACCTACTGACCTTGGTTGTTCTTCGTGCTTCAGAGACCCTCAAGGCAGCCAAGTCCATCTGTGCCCGGGGCAACGTGCACGACCTGCCTGACTCGGTGGAGTGTTCGAAGACTTCGTCCTCGATGGCTACCGAGACTTCGAGCGGCTCAACCTCTGCCACCGATTCATCGGCTTCGACCACCGGGTCTTCGTCTGCTCCCAGTGCGGCAGCAACCACTGGTGGTGCAGCACTCGGCCAAGCCAAGGATGGCTCTTTGGTGGCTGCCGCAGGAGCCGCCGCCTTTGCGATCCTTGTGTAGAACAGACTGAAGAAGCTCAGACGGATCAACGAATAGTGTCATGGGTCATTCAGCATGATGGGAATTGGAGAAAAGGCTTGGGCATTAGAATCCCTTTTGGTGGCTGGGAACTTTCTGCCATAGTGCATCTCTCGATCAATCAGGCTACGAAGTAATCACGATGTTCTGGAGATGAAAGAAACACAGTATTTTGGTATTCATAGTACATTTGGAGCGCAAGTAGGTAGGTGTCAATCGCGCCTAGCCCCTTTAGTTTTCGCGAACGTCTTCGAGCAGCTTGGTCAATCTCTCCTGGCGTTCTTCGCGAAGCGTCGCGAAAACCTGTGAACAGTCAGCTGCGACCCTGTTGAACCTGCATGAGTTCCACTTACCCAGAACCAAAACATCATCTCCATGAATCCAAAGGTAAAGACCACCCGGTTTTTCAAGATATCAATACCTGACACCGCCGCGGCAGTGGTGTACGAAGATACCAAGTGGCTACCTCTGCTCTGGTAAATGAAGAACGACAGAGCCGCATATACCACGAAACGAGTCGCGGCAACCGCAATCCAGACATTCCAGTACATCGTCAAGGACTTGGTGATATATTCCGGCAGTCGCGAAAGGACTTGGAGGTCCTCGGCCGGGAGGTTCCCATTTCGCAGGGGTCGAATATACGGCAGGGCTTCGTCAAGGGCTTCGTGGAACGGAAGGTTGGACAAGAGAACGAGGTCGATCAGAGCTTCGACGCCAAGCAAGACGGCACAAAAAGTGAAGGGGGATTGTTGTGAACTCGTCAGGGAGGGAAAATCCTTGATTGCCATCGGTTAGCACGGCCAATTAGGTACCAACCGGACGCATCAACAGGGAATATCAGGAATTGCATACAATTTTCAGGGCTTCCCCCATCATAAACACCAGATCCGAGGTGGTGATCAGTGCCGGGTTCTTCACCAGATACCCGGCGATCACCATCAGGAGCACGCCATGTGCCTGGATTAAGAGCTTGGATGAAACAAGAACCATTTCCTCGAGATTGACAATGACCCCCAGGAATTATCAGGGGGCAATGGTTTCGAAGATGGAATGACGCGTGGGAGTGTCGAACGACAGGAAGTGTTTGGGTTGGGCCAGTCGGCCTGTGGGGAAAAGATCCAGCTCCGAGATCTCCCCCCACTACGCACGTCAATCCGCGAGCATCACTCGGCACTGGGTCCTTCGTGTATGCCTTTGGGCTGAGGTAAGCTGCTCTAGAGCTGCAGCAACTAACGACTAAGCCCCTTCATCATGGCCGAGCCGCGCTTCAACACCGAGCGCCATGTCAAATACTACCTGCGATGTCTCAAGACCTTCCTGCCGACTCTCTATACCTCCAATGACTCGAATCGCATGCTCCTTGCCTACCTCACCCTTTCCGGTCTCGACGTACTCGGGGTCCTCCACAGCAAAACGACTGCTGAAGAGCGACAAGGGTACATCGACTGGATCTACCACTGCCAGGTGCCTTCGGGTGGTTTTCGCGGGTTTCCAGGCACAGATTTTGGCTTAGAGAGCCGAACAACCGAGAATGAAGTGTGGGACCCGGCCAATATTCCCGCGACGTTTTTTGCCCTGGTCAACTTGCTCATTCTGGAGGATGATCTGGAGCGCGTGAAGCGAAAAGAGTGTCTCCAGTGGCTCCCCAAGGTGCAACGCGCTGACGGGAGTTTTGGCGAAGTGCTCGGTCCAGGTGGGCGAGTGGAGGGTGTCCGCGACCTGCGATATTGCTGCTGCGCCGCGGGAACGCGGTATATTTTGCGAGGGAAGGCTGGTAAGGGACTGGAGGATGTGGAGGACATCGATGTACCAAAACTGGTTTCGTTTATTGGGGCGTGTCAGGTACAGTGGCTTCCATTGTTTCCCTTGACTTTGTCCTGACATCAAACTAGACCTATGACGGCGGCATGGCTGAATCCCCTTTCCGGGAATCTCATGGTTTGTACTAATTCCTTTGCTTCGTTGGTTACTTTCTAATGACACGATGCAGGCGGCCACACATATTGCGCGATTAGCTCGCTAGATTTCCTGAACCGGGTATCTAACGACGTTAAATCAGTGCCGCTGCTCTCGTTTGGCTCTAAAGAAAATGAAGCCTTGCTTGCGTGGCTGGTTTCAAGGCAGACAGCTAAAATTAGCGAGAGCGAGCTGGACGAAGATGGGAGCGATACTCAGGATGAACAATCAATTGACACTATAGAGGCAGACTCCCGGATCAGTGCGCTACCGGATATTCAATCTATAAGCGCTGATACCATACTGTACGCCGGCTTCAACGGCCGGTGTAATAAGATCGCAGACACTTGCTATTCATTCTGGAACGGAGCAACCCTGCGGGTATTGCTACCCCCTATTGCACATTTATCGGTTATTTGCTTACACAATCTCTAGATGCTGGACCGGTACTCTTTGATTGATGGGGATAGTAATCGGCGATACCTCCTTGAGAAGACACAACATATGGTTGGTGGTTTTGGGAAAGGGATCGGGGATCCGCCAGGTAGGAGGACTCCAAGTGGTGTCGGCTCGGGAGAATATGGCTGACCGAATTCAGATCTTCTCCATTCATACTTTGGCATGGTGTCGTTGGCTTTTCAGGGTGAGGCCGGGCTAAGCCAGGTCGATCCCACGGTGGTGACTAGCAAGCGGACGGTGCAGCACCTAGAGTCACTGCCGTGGTGGCAATGATACCCGCAGCCTTCGCATTCACGCAGTAACCCGGAAATTATGCTTACAAGCACAAGAGTGCTCATGTGTTTCTTTCCATTCGAGTACTTCACCGGTTTGGCCTAATGCCATTGATAGTAGGCCGGCCAAATCCATCACTCGCCTGGCAGATACATGAGAGATATATAAAAGAAGTATCAAAGCAATCCTGTTCCCACATGTTGTAGTAATATGGTATATTGCCTATCCAATCCATTTAGGAAATGTATCAACAATGGCATACAGAGTTCAATCATCTTCGATTCCCACTCGCTGGCCTGAATAAATTACATCTAGCATTTAGCAGGATATTTTCAAATAAAAGAAGAAGAAATTAAAGTGATATATGCCAAGCCTCGAGTCTTATGATGTCCTCGGGCGTAGAGGCGCTACATAGATACAAGGCCGACGGAAGAGGTATTTGACCCAACACGAGAGGATTAGCATGGATGGACAGAAAGATATTTTTAAAGTCTTGGAGTACCCACTTTGCATGCTATTATTATAGAGACAATCAACTAAGAACTTAGTGACTTCATGCCACTGTGATCCCTCAATCAAATCTGAAACAGGCTCAAATTTCCACCAGGGAATGCCTCGTATAAGACACCTAATTATAAGGAATTAATTCAAGGAGCCCAGAAAATATAGTAAGTATTTGACAAATAGTATTTCTTTGCTACTAGCATACTAGCATACTAGTAATGTGACTATGGTTAAGAATATCCAAAGCCGTTCGAGTCCACAGCCGAGTCTCCACACGGTCCACGTTCCCGTTGACATCTTGGGAACTTTGTATGCGGCTTCTCACTTCCCATCGCATTCTCGTCCCAGTCCAATCTGGAATCCCCTTCTTCCCTGTTGAATTGTGGATTCCCCCCCCCCCCCCCCAATAAACCCCATACCGACTCCGCCCTGATTCCTCCGCGTCCTCGTTGAATGGCAACCCCCCCAACAGCCCAACGCCTCCACGGTCACCCATCCCCTTTACGCGCGAAGATCTCCGTGAACGACGGCCATCTCAGAGATTGAACTTAACACATGCCGCCCAGGACGAGAGCGGGGGTTCAAAGCCAGAAACAAAAGGAGAAGGTGTGTTATGAACTCGGCACGCGGGAGCTCTGCGGTGGCAACTCTTCGGGCTCATCCTGCTGGACTCTGGTCGCGTGGGATTTGTGGACATGCGGCTGACTTGATGACCTTTTTTTTCTCGGTCGCGCACGACAATAGCTTGCCAGCTCCTACAATGAGTTGCTCGAGTAAGCGTTTCCTGTCCGCCCTTTCCTCGATCCCTCGTTTCTAACCTGGCCTTGCGACAGGGAGTTTTCATCCAAGGACCTCCGCAGCGTCGGAAACTATACTCTGGGCAGACTGATTGGCAAGGGCTCTTTCGGCAAAGTCTATCTTGCGTCGCACAAGCTCACCAATGGCTCCAAGGTACGACGGGTGGGATCCAGCCTCAGGGGGAGGGCAATGCTAACGGGTGCTTAGGTGGTTCTCAAATCCTCCAGCAAAGAAGACACCAATCTTGCGCGCGAAATCCATCATCATCGCCAATTCCTCCATCCTCATATTGCGCGACTCTACGAGGTTGTGGTGACCGAGAGCTTGGTTTGGCTGGCCCTTGAATATTGTCCTGGTACGTCCATCTACGCGTGTGTCAAGGGGGAGGGTATGAATCTCATAGACCGACGTTTATTTCAGGCGACGAACTTTACAACTATCTCCTCCGCCATGGCCCCCTGCCCGTCGAGAAAGTCAAGCGGATTTTCACCCAGCTGGTTGGAGCCGTCGCCTATGTGCATAGTAAATCTTGTGTGCACCGTGACCTGAAGCTGGAGAACATACTCTTGGACAAACACGAAAACGTCAAACTATGCGACTTCGGGTTTACGCGCGAGTATGAAGGAAAAGCGAGCTACCTGCAGACCTTCTGCGGGACGATCTGCTACAGCGCACCGGAGATGCTGAAAGGGGAGAAATACGCCGGTGAAAAAGTGGATGTGTGGAGCTTGGGCATCATTCTCTACGCGCTCCTGGCGGGCGAGCTACCTTTCGACGAGGATGACGACCAGGTCACCAAGACCCGCATTCTGTCGGAGGAACCGACCTTCAACGACAAGTTCCCAGAAGAGGCCAAGGCATTGATCAATCTCCTCCTATCCAAGCGACCTCTGATCCGACCCAGTCTGGAGGACATCCTGGCGCACCCTTTCCTTGCGGAACATGCCTCTGAGCAGCTCGCGATCCTAAAAATCCCTCGACCATCCCCATTTACCACACCTTTGGAGAAAACCACGCTGCAACGGATGAAGAGCGCAGGTGTCAACATTGACGAAGTTATTGAGAACGTTTTGGCTCAGCGATGCGACCCTCTAGCGGGGTGGTGGTCACTCCTGATTGAAAAGGAACAGCGCAAGGAACAGAAGAGAGAGCGCAAACGTCGAGAACGGGAAACCGAGGCGAAAAACCTTCGACGGCTTAGTGCTGCTAGTAGCCGACTGGAGAAACGATCATCGGCTTTAATGGAGGTGGAGGAGGAAGGCCAAGCGGGTTCAAGCAGCCAGATGCAGGAGCGCGGGCGACGGGACCGACGAAGCTTGCCATGTAAGTTTATACCTGTCTGGGCTGAACTGGATTGTGCTAACAAACCTCAACAGCCCAATTAGCGGTCCCAGAACTTCCTGCACTCCCAGAGCCGTTGCCAGTGCAATCGCCCGAGTCCAACACGCCACCAGCCCGGCCGGTCGATAAAGAATCTGTACGATCCAATACGTCGATGCGACGACGGCCCGTTCCTCCACCCAAGGACAAGCGGCGGTCAAGACCGAGCATGCTTCATGTTAGTGCCTCGCAGCCAGAATTGGCACAGCATCATGGTATCTTCCGGCGTCGCACCAATCGGCGCCACCAGTACCCAATCATCAGCCAACTGGCGTCACTCAAGCACTGGTTTGTGGAGTCAGCCAAACGGGCCAAATCCCCAAACGCCAAAGCAGGCTCCCGCAAATTCCTCTCGGAAAAGCTCAGCCCCGCAAAGGGGCAGGAGGCTGGGAAGAAAGCTGCTGCTGTGTCCCCGGCCGGCAACGCTTCAGGAGAGCTGGTGACGCCCACCCAGATCAAACGAGTCTCCAATGGAAGCAGCTTGGCTCCTAGCAGCGCTTCTTACCGTCAAAATCGTCACTCGTATCCTCGCCAGCCACGGCCCCTCAATACCAGTCACGCTGGTAATCGTAATTCGCTTTCGCCATCGCCGATAACACCTCGGGGGTCGTACCGGCGTTCATCAACCGGTTTGCGTGGTCGCAAGTCCACGTCGTCGTCCGTCTCCTCAATCCGCAGTATCCATCATACCCGCGCTCACTCCAAGGCATCGTCGATTTCCTCCAACAGTATGGACACAGCATCAACACCGACCGCCCGGATCTCCAAATCACCCCACTCGTCTATCAAGGTTTTGCCTACTACCCCCGGTGCTTCCTCGCGCTTTCCAAGCAACATTCGGCTGGTACGGGGACCCGGCGGGGCGCCCCGAGATCCGGGTGATAGTGCCGGCCAGATGCCGTCCGCGTTTAGTGAAGCGGCGCCGGCACCAGTACTTTACTCACCCTCGTCAAGTTTGGTGTTTGCACGGCGTAAACGGTCCGCTTTCAAGGGTCCTATGATTCACACGGCCAACCTGATGGTGTCTGGTGGGATGGTCGGCTCGCCTGTTCCCGGTCAGCCAAAGGGGGCTGGCGAAGCTGAGCCTGCAGCAGCGCGTCCCGCCGCTCGCAAGAGTCAGATCATAGAAGAGGAAGAGGACATGGAGGAGATCGAGGAAGAAGACATTGAAGAGGTAGATGATTTCGACGGCTTCGAGGAAGATCCCGGTACACCTGGCGATGCAGTCATTCCTGAGGACCAGCTTGAGGATGATGTCGCGAAAGCCTCGGCCGAACAGACAGATCCCGCCTCAAGCCGCAAGCCAGCACTCGCGCCTGCGCCGGAGCTCGAATCGAGTCCAGTCCGGCCTCCACGCTCATCTTCGCTGCGTTCACCACCACCAAAAGCTGCCGCAGCAGTCGCAGCGGTGACCGGGCCTAGTGAATCGACAGCTCAAGACACTGCTGGCGCCAAAGCTGCCGATGCTGCTGGTGATGCGACTAAACCAGCGGATTCCTCGAACTAAGGGTTGCTTTTTTTTTTTTTTTTTGCATTGAACGCGGGCGTTTGTGGATCCCTGGCACGATCTCAAATCCCACAGTTGGCTAGACGATAGATCTTTTGTTTTTGTTGTTTATACCCCCTCTACACAGCGCGTGTTTTTCCTTGTCTGAATTTCTTGATCGGTTGGCAGGTGGCTCTTCCCTTGCTCTCTTTTCAGTTACTTGGTTACTTCCTTCTGCTATACTCTCTGGCGAGCCTTTTCCTTGGTCTTTCTATGATTTCGATCCCTCGTTCGCTTTTTTCCCCTTTCATGTCAGATACCTTGGTCATTTCCCTCTCTTTGCATGCCTACACTATCCCCTATAGAATACTGTCCTTTCCAGGTTTCAGCCCGCATAATGGTATTGCATTATTCTCTGAACAGCTTACTTTATTATTTATCTTGCTTGCATAAAGGCATTGTCTCATTGCATATCCAAAATACTATAGAAGTCTGCCACCATACTCCCTCCGTTGCATCATACTCCAAGTCCGAATATCGAATATAACCACAAGTTCGTCTACCGCTCCAGATGAACCGGGACATCCTTCTCGTCCTCAGCACCAATCCCAGCGCCAGTCTCCACATCCTTCCCACCCTCATCCTGAAGCCCAACCGTACTCTCGCCCACCTTGTCCACGGTATCTCGGTACGCGGGAGCAAAATTGACCGCCACCGCATAGGTCCAAGCGACAACCATGAACTGTGTGTCCCGTGTCAGTAATCACACTACTTGCGAATCTAGAAAACAAAAAAAAAAATATGACAAACATACCATCGTGGGCACAATCATGGCGAAACCCGTGTCATTGCGCATATCAGCGACATGGCCCAGGATCGGGGGCACGACTGCTCCACCGCAAACACCGCCGACAATGAACCCGGAGCCGCGCTTGTAGTGGCGACCCAAGCCGCGGATGCCCAGGGCGACGATGGTGGGGAAGCAGACGGACTCGAAGAAGAGGGTCATGAAGAGCATAGCTATTAAGCGAGAGGGAGAGAGTCAGCGGGTTTCTTTCAAGAGTGTTCCAGTATTTATCCCGTATCCAGCGTACGGATAAAGAAGTTGATGTATATTATCGACGACAGAACCGTGTCGAGCACTCACCAATACCCTTCTGTTCCCTTTGCGTCACCGACGCAGCGAGGAAAGCCACTGTGCCTGATAAATATACCAGGAACACCCAGCGGGCTCGCGCATACTTCATAATGCCCGAGCCCAGGAACCGGCCGACAGCAAAGGCGCCTTGAGCACCGGCGAGCAACTTGGCGCCTTTGGCGTTGTCGGTGCCGGGCCAGGTTTCGGTGGCATAGTTGATGAAGTAGCCGGCGATGGCAACTGAACACAAGAACGAGTCAGCGCAATAAAGATAAGAATGGACCATGGAGAATGGGACATAATGAATCAAGACCAAGATGCACATACTCTGCGCACCAGTATAGGTGAACTGGGCCAGTGTCGCGTGGAACAGCTTGTACTGTTTCCAGAAGGGCTTCTCCTGCTCATTGACATGGGTGGTGGCCACCTGGAAGGCCATGTCCTCGTCGGTGACCTCGGGGATATTGGAGAAGAAAAACACAGCTGCGAGGCAAAACACGAAGATGCCAATGGCCAGGTACACCCACTGCACGCGCTGCAGGGCATTAACGTCGTCTTTGGTCTCGGTGAAGAAAGCGTATGAGCCCAGCACGGGGCCGACGACGGTGCCGATGGCGTTGAAGGCCTGGGCGAAGTTGATTCGGATTTCCGAGTAGCGGGGTGGGCCGCAAACTAGTGAAAAGTTAGTGTATACCTCTCTTTTTTTCTTTGCTTTCCTTCCTCAAAAGGGGGTAGTAATCTCTCACCCGTCAGGTATGGATTGGCCGCCGTCTCCAGCGACCCCAGACCCGAACCGATCACAAACGTCGCGCCACAGAACCCGCCAAAGGACTGGTTCAGGCCCGCGGGCCACATGCATAGCGCGCCGATGCCATACAGCACCAGCCCGAAGATGAAGACGGTCTTGTATCCCCAGTGACGGAGCATCCAATTTGCGTAGCCGAGAGAGGCCAGGGGGATAAGCGCTGCGCAGCGGTTAGTTTAGTTATTTGTTGATAGAATTATTGTAAATGACTGCCATACCCAAAATACGCAGCCTGGAGCCCGGCGGAGCGGCCGCGGTTAATATGCAAAGTGACTTGGAAGTGCTTGTTGAGCGTGTCCAGCAGGCCATAGGCAAAGCCCTAAATTGCAGTGAGCGATGAACACGATCATAGAATAGGACCAATAATGATAGATGATGTTGTGATTATTACTATAATAACTATAGTAAAAATAACAATATTCAAAATCAAAACAATATCATGCGGGAACATACCCATAGGAAGAACAACGTCGTCACCAGGGTCAGCGGCCACAAACTCTGGCGCAGCGTCAAAGTCGCCGCCGATGTGGTCTTGCGATTGTCGACGCGGAAGCCGGAGCGGCTGTTGAGGAATTGTTTGAGACCCATGACAGGAATATAGAATGAAGAGAACCAAGAATCAGCAGAAAAAGAGAGCCCGAGGTCGCAATCCAGGAGGGGGGAGGGCAAGGAGTAGATAAATACCCCGGAATATCCCCCCTCCTTACCCCCTCAAAGAAGGTCAGAAAAGAGAGAACAAAGTTAACATCTCACGGCCGTCATTTCTCCGCATCTCCACAAATCCGGGGAGAGGATGGCAACGGCAAGCAACCAGTCAACGCCCACCGGAGTTGCCCCGAGGGTCAAAACTTGGAGCTTGGCGGACCAGCAAGTGGCGTCGGTGTTTTAAGGAAAGTTGATCGCGAGCTGGCCAAACGTCTTTTTTTTTTCTTTCTCATTCAGAGTCTCTATGAGCATGATCGCGTAACATATAACTGTTTCTTTCTCTTTCAATGCCAGACACAAACACAGGCCCAAGGTCTATCTATCCTCTATGCCCGTCAAACTCATCGGTAAAGCATACCCTTGCACCATGCAAGCCTCATATACCCCCTGCTTACGACCGCTTCGGCTTTACGCCGTTCTGGGTCGGCGCCACAGACACGCGGGTGTTGTAGAGACGACGCTCAAAAAACTTGAGGATTTCGTCGATGAAAATCACCGGCGCACTGATCACCAACACTGCCTGCCACTCCGTCCAGTCCAGAGGCAGGATCGAGAACAGGCCCTGGAGGAAGGGAACGTAGAGGATGGCAAAGTGGAGGGCCATGGAGAGCATGATCGCGTAAACCAACATCGGGTTGTTGCCCAGGAAGAAGGTCAGCAGGGACTCGCTGGAAGACAGAGCGTTCATCGCGTTCAGCATCTCAATCACTACAAGGATCGAAAGGGACACCGTCGACGCGGACTTGGCCATGTCGTTGCTAAACATCTCGCAACCAATCTCGGGGAACTGCGCCGAGCACTTGTGGAAGTGCGACTGGAAATTTGATTAGCAAATGAAGCAACAGAAGAGAAAAAAAATGTATGAACGTACCAGCTGGTAAAAAGAAATCTGCGGGCCCTCGTGGTTGTAAACAAACCACCAGACGTAACCAAACACCGTGGCGGCACCGACGTACGTGCCAATGACCATGTAGCGGAACAACAGCCACCCACCAACAAGGGGCTCATCACGGCGACGGGGAGGACGCTTCATCACGTCGTGGTCCGGAGGGTTGAACGACAGCGCCGTCGCAGGCAGCCCATCGGTGACCAGGTTGACCCACAGCAACTGGACGGGAATCAACGCCTCGGGCATGCCGAGGGCCGCGGTCAGGAAGATCGACACGACCTCACCAATGTTAGACGAAATGAGATACCGAATGAACTGCTGGGTGTTGCTGTAGATGGATCGACCTTCCTCGACGGCGACGGTGATGGTCGCAAAGTTGTCGTCCGCCAGAACCATGTCAGCCGCCAACTTGGCCACGTCGGTACCAGTCCCCATAGCCACACCAATGTCGGACTTCTTCAGAGCAGGCGCATCGTTGACACCGTCACCGGTCATCGCAACCACGTGGTTCAAGGACTGAAGGAGATCAACCAGTTTAGACTTGTGACTGGGTTCGGTACGTGAGAAAAGCGATGCGGTCTGAACCGCCTTCATCTTGTCACTTTCGCTGAGACCGTCAAACTCCCGGCCCGTGAAACTCTTGCTCGTGAGATCCTCGTTCGCACCGAACACGCCGATCTGACGACAGATGGATTCGGCAGTGTTGGGGTTGTCACCAGTAATTACAATGACCCGGATACCGGCGGCGTGGCACTTCTTGATAGAATCGACGACCTCCGCGCGCGGGGGATCCAACATCCCAACCAAACCAATCAATGTCATGTTCTGTTCCAGCTTGGCGTAATCCTCAGGAGTGGAGGCGCTCTTCAAAAGAGGGTTTCCGGCAATGCCGTCGACACTGGCGATCGCCATAACCCGGAGGCCTCGGTTGCCGTACTCAACCACCTCTTCGGAGAGTCTCTCCTGGTGCCTCTTGTTCATTGACACCTTGGACCCGTCGGGGCCTAGCAGAACGTGAGAGCAACGATCCAGGATTGTTTCCGGTGCACCCTTTACCAGCAGCTTCTGTTCCCTGCCCTCGCCGACGAGAACGGACATACTCTTGCGGTCGCGCGAGAACTCATAAGTGGCCTTGAGAGGAAGACGAGATTCGTAGTGGGCGCTCGCAGCATGCAGTCTCTCCGAGGCGGGAAGCTTGAAGATATTTTGGTTCTGAGCAGCGTCGTTGGTACCGATCTTTTCCACGAGAGCGCGCAAGGCTCCCTCGGTGGGCTCTCCAATGCTGGCGAATGCTCCATTTTTGGCATCGTGTGCAAGGGTCGCGGCGTTGCAAAGCGCGGAGACTTCGGCCAGTTGTCTTACAGTCGACGAAGAGGCAGCCGGGTTCTCCAAGACCTTGCCATTGAAGCTAAGTTTACCCGTGGGAGCAAAGGTAGTACCTTCGACATCAATTTCCTCCACGACATCGCCGGTGTTGGCCAGGTAAACAATCTTTTCCACACTCATCTGATTCGTAGTCAGGGTTCCAGTCTTGTCGGAGCAAATGACACTGCAACTGCCCAGGGTTTCCACCGACGGCAAGGATCGAACCACAGCATTCTTCTGGGCCATCTTGCGAGTTCCCAAGGCGAGACAGGTGGTGATGACCACAGCGAGACCCTCGGGAATGGCTGCCACACCCAAGGAGACGGCAATCTTGAGGTAGTAGATGGCGCCCTTGGTCCAGCCACCGAAGGAGGGATCGTTGAAGTTCTCATAGTTGATCACCCACACCAGAATACAGATGACCGTAATCACCTTGGCGAGCATGTCACCGAAGTCATTGAGCTTCTGCTTCAACGGGGTGGGCTCAGAGATCTGGGACGTGATGCTGTCGTGGATATCTCCAATGGCAGTGGATCCACCGGTCAACGCAACCAGAGCGGTGGCATGGCCGTTGACAACTGTGGTTCCCGAGAAGAGCATGTTCACCTGGTCCTGCTTGACTGCCTGGCGGTCCTTGATGACGCGGGTTTCCTTGCTAACACTTTCACTTTCGCCCGTCAGAATAGCCTGATCAACACGGAAACTGTTGCTGTGGATGGAGAGCAGTCGACAGTCGGCGGGCACACGGTCACCCACGGCGATCTGAATCACGTCTCCGGGTACCAGGTCCTCGGCCTTGACCCGTCGAACCTTTCCATCACGGATCGCCTTTGCTTCGTTGGCCGAGTATTCCTGAAGAGCTGCAATGGCCTTTTCCGCGCTACTTTCCTGGGTGACGCCCACCACGGCGTTAAGGATCAGAATGGTCAGAATCTGTCAACACACCAATTGTTAGAAAATCTGTAGTTTTTCACAGCAAGTCTGAGTTCGACACATACCACAACCGGGTCCACAAAGGCGGTCCAGTCGTCGCCCTCCTCAAAAAGAGCCAGCACAAAGGACACCGCGGCCGAGCCCAATAGAATAAGGACCAGCTGGTCTTTGAATTGTTCCAGGACCATTTCCCACAGGGGAGTCGGAGGTTCTTCCTCTAGGGCTAAAAGCAAAGTCTATTAGTGCTGGCAAGCGTCTCTCTTGTTCATGTTTCCCCAGTACTCACCATTTGGTCCATGCTTCTGTCTGGACTTCAACACCGCATCTTGCGAGAGACCAGACTTCTCCGAGACATTGAAGTGCTTCAGCGCTTCCGCTGGGGTAGAGAGAAACGAGTTCTCCATGGTTGCAGACACACTCGGCGAGCACAATCGAGGTCGCGGAGATGTGGAGAGTCGGGGTAAACAGGGAAAGAAAAGAAATAAAAAGGGGTGATTTAGCGTCGATACATGGGTGGCACAGGTGGCCAGGAAAAGTCGGAAACAAGAAGATACGCGCCGAGAGGAGACGCAGCAAGACTATAGTAGTAATTACCCAGAAACAACGAAGATCCCAGAGGCGACGCAGTGGGGAAGAAAGCGAGTCAACGTGTTCTCATTTGGCTGAGTCAGGCAGGGGGCTGCAGGGCTGAGGCGGGTCTCAATTCCCAATTCTCCGCGCTTCTACTGTACGACACCAGGAAAACACCTGGAAAAGAGAGCGGTTCCTCGACTGACCGTCTGTTCTTGCTTCGTCACTTCCCAGCTACCCAGTGTCCTTCATGATCGGGGCTTCCTCGTCATACTGGCTTGCATCAACTCTCAACCTCCGACGCTACCAAGTGCTGGGATGAATTATGGGGCTCCTCCAGGCTGCATCTTTCTCTTGCCTATCAGTGGCACCTAGTGGGGATTGGATCTTCCTTGGCAACTCATGGTCTCCGAAAGACATACAGTCTGCACCAGCAACATAGTCGATCTTGTCAATCGAGCTAGTTGACTTGTCTCATGCGGCGATTGGAAGATATTTGCCCTCCCCCCGACTGGCTCCGGCTCTGTGATTGGGATTTTTGTAGACCACATCTGGTGGAGTGTCTGACGTACCCTGGTTGAAAAGATTCTGCTTGGGAAGACTTGTGCGAATCCCATGGAAAAGGACCTTTAGACAATCTTTGCGGATGTCTTTGCGAATCTCTTTCAACCCTTTTCTCTCTCTCTCTTTTATTGCCTTTATACAGTTATTTTTCGGATAGACTGATATCACGAAACTACTTAGATACTCGCGAAGGGAAGGAAGTCCGGTGGACAACAGACAATGTGCACTTGGAGGAGATCCGCACCCTAGATGGAGCATTTCTATAAGGCTGAAGCTCGACAGACCCTGATTGCATCATCGGATATTGCTCATCTTCCCTGCAGAGGACTTGCCCTGGCAGCTGGTGCTAGTGATATCTCTGGCCTGACTGCTGAGGCATCAACCATGAAAAATAAAGTGACGAGGGTGTCGATTACAGTTTAGATTAGATTCTTTTTTTAATGTAGGATCCTGAACCCTTTTATTCAATTCATAGGATCAGTCCATCCTAGTTCATGTCTGGATCGTCACAGGAATTCTACTAGTTTGACTGCCCGACTCAATAATTGTATACTAGAGCAATAGCTCATAAAAATGTCATCCTAAATCCTAAATCCTAAATGAAACGTTAATAATCACATTAATATATAATCTCTTTCCTGCTGTAATCTACGTCTGACAGTGACCATGTATACTCCAATTCATCAGTTGGCTGGGCGAGCTACATCATAGCGACTAGGGTTATTCTGCTGGAAGGTTCTACACTGTTGCATCATCACCCCAGTGCCCCTACAATCTTCTAATATCCACAAAGAATAAACAACTCATTTCTCGTAGAAAAGAAAAAAAAATATCAACATAAAATCCAACTCAGTCACGAATCCCCTTTTTCTCAGTCGGCCAGAGTTGTCACGATAATCCCCCCGTCTGATCTGCAGGGAAACCCGGGTTCTTCAAGTCCTAGAAACATAAACAAAAACAGTCTGGAGATATACCTGCCAGTAGTCATATTTTCTTTTCACCAAGATATCGTAGAAACTAATAAATTCTTATTATGCCGGTACCTGCAATAGAGGTGTAGAGGCCGAGTACTGTAAATACGGGGGGTGTCGGCCCAAGTACCAAGGTACCTCCCTTAAGCGGGTGCTGCCTAAGTGTGGCCAGGTACCTGATACGTAATTGTGTATTGTGATGGAACTCTCTCTCTTGTCCCCCAACCCTCCCTCTCCCTCTTCCCCCCCCACTTGGTCTTCTACCCATCATCTTCTCCTTCTGCATCTCCAAACTCCCCCTATCTCCTTTTCCATTTAAATCCTAACTACAAACCCATCCATCCACTTGATCTACATTTATCATGGGTTCTGAGGTATGTCCCCTGCTCCAACCCCTCCATCTGGCGCTCTCTGAGCTGTCACCGCCATCGCAATCCCACCCCATTCCTCTCCCCTCGCGCCTCCCTCCATCCAAATCAGTGAGTGATAGGACACTGGCTAATATCCATCTCTGCAATGCAGCGTGAGAAGTAAGCATCCCATCGTCTGGCTCCCTCGAAGCCTCGGAACTCCACCTGGCCGCAGAACTGACCCCCTCATCAGCAAGACGTTCCTCGCGAGGCTCTGTGAGCAGGCCGAGCGCTACGATGGTAAGATGATCTTCGAGTGATTGGGCTGGGCCCATATGCTGATGTATGGTGTTTTGTTGCTCAGAAATGGTCACATTCATGAAGGTTAGTAGTGGTGCTCTGTGTTGTTTATTACCAGGAGATGTGTGCTAACAGTCGGACAGGAAGTCGCCAACGTATGACACCACCTCTCCCCCACCACCTTCGGGTTCCTCTGCCCCCTCATCGGGTCTGTGTTTGACATTTCTCGTAGATTGGCGGCGAGCTTACCGTGGATGAGCGTAACCTGCTCTCCGTCGCGTACAAGAACGTGGTCGGCACCCGCCGTGCCTCGTGGCGCATCATCTCCTCCATCGAGCAAAAGGAAGAGTCCAAGGGCTCGAGTGAGCACGTTGGCATCATCCGTGATTACCGCCAGAAGATTGAGACCGAGCTTGAGAATGTGTGCCAGGATGTGCTCGACGTTCTTGACGACGCTCTTATCCCCAAGGCTGAGACTGGCGAGTCCAAGGTTTTCTACTACAAGATGTGGGTTCCTCTGGAATGATGCACCATATTTATATGGTCGGAATGTCGCTTTGCGACCATACTGACTCTTGGAACAGGAAGGGTGACTACCACCGTTACCTGGCCGAGTTCGCCTCGGGTAACAAGCGCAAGACCGCTGCCACTGCCGCCCACGAGGCTTACAAGGTATGTTTTGTCTTACTATCGCCATCGCGGCTCTTCATTTCCTTGGGGTGGCTACTAATTGTGTAATAGAACGCCACCGACGTTGCTCAGACCGACCTCACTCCCACGCACCCCATCCGCCTTGGTCTCGCGCTGAACTTCTCCGTCTTCTACTACGAGATTCTGAACTCTCCGGACCGCGCATGCCACCTCGCCAAGCAGGCCTTCGATGACGCTATTGCGGAGCTGGACTCGCTCTCCGAGGAGAGCTACCGCGACAGCACCCTGATCATGCAGCTGCTGCGGGACAACTTGACCCTGTGGACCTCGTCGGATGGAAACGAGGGCGAGGGTGCTGCCCCCAAGGAAGAGAAGCCCGAGGAGGAGGCCTCTGCCGCCGCACCCGCCGAGGAGAAGCCTGAGGAGGCCAAGCCGGCCGAGGCCGAGTCTTAAAGGGACCAGAGGGGTCGCGACGAGCCGTGTGCCAATTGGTAGCGGGGTGGGCGTTCGCATTTCTTCCAGGACGTGGGTATGCTTAGTCGCTTTGTTTTCACCGGCAGCGGGACTGGGTTGGACCGGCACACATCTCTTGCACGTGTTCGGGACCGCGTGGGTCGGCCGGCGGAGTTTGATATTCGGTTGACTCGAGCGAAGAAAAGGGGCTGAGTGGAATTTCTCTCTCTTTGATTGTCTCTATTCCCACTCCAGCACGATTCAATGTGTTTATTTTCCAATTCACCCGGGGTAATGCATGTACCCGTAGAGCGGCTTGACTTGAATTCCCTGGAACTCGCTGGCAACATAGGTCTAACAGTAGTATGTATTTACCAGACCCTTGGGCGGACTTGTTGCCTTAGACTTCTGTCATCCCGTCTATGACATCGACCTGTTCTTCTACATGCATCAACGCCACGATCACCCGTTCGACAAACGCTATGGAATATAGCCCACTTTGGCCGTCTTGGCCGTTCCTCGTTCCTCGAATCGCATAAGCATCTGAGTATCTCCCGTGCAGGAAAAGCCCAGCTACCCACCCACACCCGCAAGACCCTGGACCGCAGAGCGTATTGCGACATTCACAGCACGTCCAGGATATTCCACCGAGCCCGGTTCGTCCAACACGGGACGAATTCCCCAGACAAACACGGGCCCAGGAGAGGAGGAGCTGCGAACCCCCCCCCCCCGCGGCAACCAACAGCTTTAGGGCCATGTTTGTGAGCGTCGGGGAAGAGAGGCTTGGGGTGCGTGCAATTGTCGCGCGTCAAGCAAGCCACCAAGACCACGGAAAGCGAGGCTCGTGGATTTGACAGGTCTCGGTTTGGCTGTGGCCTCCCGACTAGCCGAAGCGATGGCATGGGGGACCCTGCTTAGGGTCTTTGGAGACGGTCAGTGGTTTGGTTCAGAGCCTCAAATGGGGGTTTTGCTGAGAGAGGGAGACAGTGCGAGGGTTTGTTGACCTTGTTACAGGCCGCCTATTCCTACAGAAATACTCCCTTCTGTGTCTGTGTCTGGGTTCTTGGTATAGTTACTACCTGAACCCAAGAAAGACTGCCGGAATGAATGACTGATCTATCACTCCCCTTCTCCCTCGATCAGATCAAGTTCCCCTAATTTCTGTCTCAAATGTTGTTCACAAGCAGATGACAGGCCTGCCGAACTATCACCCGCCACATGACAGACCACCCGATCCTTGTCCCCACGCAGCTATATCGTGCCTAATACCGGGCATCCCCCACCAGCATCGCGCTCCAGTAATTGGGCAGAGACAGTTGCATTGGGTACTCGAATCCCGTCGGGAAAGAAGCTGAAGCTGTTTCTGGTCAAGCACATGAACCCCCTTCCCTTTTGCTCCTCCGGTTCCATGTTGTTGGGAATTGTCAAGGACCACATGGGAGAAGGTGAGACGGGTGTATAAATTCAGCACCAAATGCCCCCCCATCATCGGCAGATTGGCAACGACCTGCCTGCCCTCGGATATTCAATTTGTCGTGGTAGGAAGGATCATTCGAATACTACATTCCACTTGAATCCTCCTCCTCAGAACCACTGGAGACACTACAACCCTAATTGTAATCCCATCCCATCAACATCTTTATACTATAGCCATACACAACAAGCACATACCTATACATATATGCTCCCGACAATGACAGCAACAGCAACCCTAACCTCAGCCTCAACCCCCCTCCTCCTCGAACCAAACGCTCTATATCTCATCCTCCTAGACCGAGGCGACACCTACACCTTCCACTGGAAACTCTACCTCACCACCAATTCTTCAACTTCACCCACCGCCGGCCAAATCTTCCACATCACCAACGAAGCAGGCCTCACAGCCTGGGAATACGAAACATCCCCAACAACCGAGCTGCCCACGTCGCGACGACTGCTCCTCGCCTTGCAGGTCGGAGTCCTGGATCCGGTGCTGCACCGCGCGCTGGGCGAGCGGCTGGCGCTGGTGCCGCTGGCACTGTACTCGACGCGATTTTGGGAGCACCTCAGTTGCCGGGTTTGGGTGAAGGAGGCGCTTTTTGCGCTGGATGATGAGGGGTATGTCAGTCTTGGGAAGAGTGTGCGTGAGATTGAGGAGGAGGCGAAGTTTCTTGGGATTCTTTGCAAGAGTAAATGTGAGAGGCGGGTTGGTCGGAGTGTTGGGTGTATTGTGTGAGCGTCTTTTGGTGGGAATATATTGGAAGGTCGGGTCTATGCAAGACATATGGCGTGTCTATCATGCATCCTTAAGATGCTCTAATACAAATTTTGTTTTGTCTAGCCCAGGGAGTCCTACTTGATACGAGCAGTGTAGAAGAATGAAGAAAGCAAAGCAAGAACTGAGCCCTGCAAAACCCCAGCTCAATCAACTATATACATATCTCTAGACTCGAACATATGAAGATCAAAGGGTAACATTAAGTCTCTAGAAACCCTAGGTATAGAAAGGAAAACAGACCCCCCTTCTTTTACAATGCGTATTTCCAAGGATCACCAGGGACAGAAAGAAAACAAAAGCAAAAGAGAAAAAGAAGGGAAAAAAAGAGCTAAATCACATAAAGTCGTCATCGCCCAGACCATCGTCCCCATCGTAGGCGGTGTTATCGATCTGGTTGTCCCGGTTCGAGACCAGCGAGACCTTAGTCTTAGCCGCCTTGGTCTTCTTGTTGCCCTTGTCGGCCGCACGCTCCTCACGCATCTTCTCATTGCTAGCCGTGGTCAGGGCACTGCCGATCTTCTTGATCTCAGCACTGGGCAGCTCCTTAACCAGCCGGCGGGTAAACTCCTGCGCCCAGATCGAGTACTGCGGCTTCTTGGAGTGCGGCGTCAGCAGCGGGATGAGCGTGTCCGACAGCCGGGCGAACTGGTCCTTGGTGGTGGGCTTGAACAGCGGCATGGCCGACAGGTCGACGGACTTGGTGGGGTCGGCCGTGTCACTGACGACGACGGCTTTGGGCGCCCCGCGGTTGCGCTTCGTGTCGACCTCCCCGAAGAGGTCCTCGGCGTGCTTGAGGTCCGAATCCTTCTCTGTGCGCCGCAGCCGCTCGCGTCGCTCTGCTTCGTCCTCGCTGCCGTCCAGATCATCGCCCGCATCCGCCTCCTGCCGTCGCTGTTCCCGGTGCTCTTCTATCCGCTGTGCCTTGGTCTTCTTGTTGGCGGCTGCCGCGGCCTTGGCCTTGGCCTCGGCTTCTTCGGCCTTCTTTGCTTTCTCGCGCTCTACCTCCGAATCTTCGGCGGCATCCCAAGAGTCAAGGACCTGAAAAGTAAGAAAAACACCACATGTCAGTGTTGCTTCAAGCATATCCCCCGTCCCTCTCTCTCTTTCTCAAATATTCTGCCCGAGGGCATGCGCGCAATGAAATCACGGGTTAAGCCTTACATCATCTTCCTCTTCGTCGTCGAATCGACGGCGGGCAGCAACAGGAGGAGGCGAGGTGCTCTCTTCTTCTTCGTCTGTGCCAAAAAAAAAAAACCACAGTAATTAGCAGGAGAAACAAAGAGGTAACCGCGGGGTCCACGGTAGATCATAGATCGTATCAGGCTGGGGATAAGAACATACCCCACTTGGAAGGCGGCATATTGGGCAGACAATTGACGGGAGACAAAAGCAACCGGAGAGGAGACTGCGCTGTACGCGGGGACCGGAACACAAGCCAACGCTACAACAAAGAATGGAGGGGCAGGGCAAATTTTATGTGGGACACTTATCACACGTGATCTCGGCGTTCTTGATGCCCGATGAGCGTGATTCTACTCGACAACTATACAACTCATTCAGGGGTGGATATAAGATAAGATCTACAACATGTGTAAATGGACTGGTTTCTTATTCAAATCCTATTAATTTCATAATCATCACGGGTGATGGCTCTTCAGATCATGCCATCCTTTTCGGTGAGCCAGACATGGCCCACTCCATGCTGCCAGGGCCGCATTTACAGGTTGACCGAGGTGCGGAACTTCTGGCCAGCGTAGACAGCGCTGTCACCCAGCTCCTCCTCAATGCGGAGGATCTGGTTGAGCTTGGCCAGACGCTCAGAACGGGCCGGGGCACCGGTCTTGATCTGGCCGGAGCGCAGACCGACGGCGATGTCGGCAATGGTGACATCCTCCGTCTCACCGGAGCGGTGGGACACCATGACACCCCAGTTGTCGGCGTACGAGTCCTTGGCGGCCTGGATGGACTCGGTCAAGCTACCAATCTGGTTGACCTTGAGCAGCAGGGCGTTGCAGGACTTGAGCTCAATGGCTTTCTTGATGCGCAGGGGGTTGGTCACGGTCAGGTCGTCACTGTAAAGGGCGTCAGATAGGATTCATCACCAAGAAGAGTAGCAGCAACTTACCCAACAATCTGGAAGTCCGAGGTCTTGTAGAAGTAGCTCCAGGCCTCCCAGTCATCCTCAGCGAAGGGGTCCTCAATGCTGACAATGGGGTACTTGCTAGCCAGCGACTTGTAGAGGTCGGCCAGCTGCTCGTAGGTGAGCCACTTCGAGGGGTCGCTGTCGGGGTTCTTGAAGTCTAGGTCGTACTTCTTCTCCTCGGTCTTGTAGAACTCGCTGGAGGCAACGTCCATGGCGATGTGGATCTTGCCGGTGTAGCCGGCCTGCTCAATCGACTCGGTGATCAGGTCCAGAGCCTCCTCGGCAGTCTGGATGTCGGGGGCAACACCACCCTCGTCACCGACGTTACCAGCCGACTGGCCGTACTTCTTCTTGGCCAGAGCCTTGAGCTTCTGGTAGACCTCAGCGCCCTGGCGGAGAGCCTCCGAGAAGGAGGGGGCAGTGCTGCAGGTTTTGTCAGTTACACTCTCCAAGAGAAAGGTCCAAGTTTCTATTCTCGGGTCACTCACTCAGGCACAATCATGAACTCCTGGAAAGCCAGACGGCCACCGGCGTGCGAGCCACCGTTCAGGACGTTCTGGAAGGGAACGGGCAGGACGTAGGGCTTCTTGGTACCGGCCAGGTCGGAGATGTGGGCGTAGAGAGGGACACCCTTCTCGGCGGCAGCAGCCTTGGCAATGGCCAAGCTGACACCCAGGATGGCGTTGGCACCGAGCTTGCCCTTGTTGGCGGTACCGTCCAGGTTGTTGAGGAAGGTATCAACCTTGGCCTGGTCCTTGACATCAATGTTCTCCTTGATCAGGGCAGGGCCAATGGTCTCGTTGACGTTCTGGACAGCCTTGAGGACACCTGGAAAAGTCAAAAATGTATTAGTTTCTGCCGGGGAGGGTCATTGGTCTCTGGTATAATGCAAACGAATCACTCACCTTTTCCACCCCAGTGGGTCTTGTCACCATCGCGGAGCTCAACGGCCTCGTGCTGGCCTAGATTATATTATCAGCAATGCCGTCCTTAACATTTTGACAAGAGAAAAGGGGCTACGGACCAGTCGAGGCACCGGAGGGGACAATAGCGCGGTGCAGACCGGTCTCGGTGACGACATCCACCTCAACGGTGGGGTTGCCACGAGAGTCGTACACAGAGCGGGCGTGGATCTTGGAGATAGGCATTTTGGAGGAGAAGCTGATGGGGAAGAAAAACAATCAATGGAGGAAAGAGAGAAAGAAAGCGGGAGGATATATGGGCCAAGAGCGCGTGACTAACGGCGGGGGGGAAGCTTCACCGATGGCCCAAAAAGAGGGCGAACGACGAAGGAATGAGGGACGTGATTTGTTTGGGCTCTGCTACTGGGGCAATTGACCATTGCCGCTCATTGCAATTTCGGCCAACCTGGTTGGATGACTTCCTGACACCAGAATGGCCTCAATTGGAGGGGAAGAGGGAGAGGGTATAGGATGGTGGGGGGATATGCGCCCGACGTACCTTGGAGATTCACGGATGGGGAGAGAGGAAGATAGAGAGAGAGAGAGAGAGAGAAATGGACAGAAAATACCCGAGAACTCTTACAACAACCAGGATCGTCTTGGGTTAAATACTCAACCCCTCCGATTCTTTCCAATGGTGGGGCACTTTGGCTGATCCGGGCATCTGCGATGGTCAGCTACGAGATCACCCGTCCCTCGGGACAAGCTGGAGCAAGCTGTGACGAATCTCGGGTTTCCCCAAGGTACTATCCAGATACCCAGTACTGGTGAAGACTCTCGAGTATTCCAAACTATTCAATGTTTCAATGTATAGTACAGACCTACACTCCTACACTCATGGTAGGGTCTGGAGAACACTGCCCCGGAGTGTATGAGGCAATGTATGAGAATTTCATTTCTCCCTGAGATTTTAAGTCACATCACGGACATGACCAACGCAAGAAAACGGCCCCGGGGACGGGGGACATCCCACGTAGCATCCGGATGAATGACGAAAGATAGTGAGCCATATTTATGAGGCTACTACTTTCTTGTCTTTGTGCCTGAGGAATGCATGCTTAATAAGAGACAGTATGATAATCACATGACCATGAACGCGCCGTCAGGTGACCTCATGGAAGCTCCTCGACGGGCAGCGCTGAGAGCTCCGCCCAGGTTGTTACCAGTTCCCGATTCAGCTACACTCCATTGATTCAACAACCAGACCCCTGAGTTTGGGTTTTGGCATCGCCGTGAATTTGTTTCTGATCGATTCGATTCCTCTGATCAACTCGTCCAACCCCCCGTCAACCCGTTGATTGTCTGCCGTTTCTCATCATGAACGGCGCCAGCGACCCCGAGCGAGAGCAGGCGCTCGAGGATTATAAAAAGAGCTTGCTGGAGCTGCGAGAATGGGAAGCTAAGTTGAAGTCGCTGCGGATGGGAATCAAGGATCTGCAAAGGGAGTTTGATGTCTCCGAGGAGAACATCAAGGCACTACAAAGTGTCGGCCAGATCATCGGCGAAGTATTGAAACAGCTGGATGAAGAGCGATGTACGCTTTGCGGGTTTGCAATCACAATCTTGGTACCAACAGCTGACCGGTCACAGTCATCGTTAAGGCATCGTCAGGGCCCCGGTATGTCGTCGGTTGCCGGTCAAAGGTGGACAAGGCCAAGATGAAGCAGGGAACACGTGTGGCCCTGGACATGACGACACTCACCATCATGCGCATGCTCCCTCGTGAGGTCGATCCCATGGTCTACAACATGTCTCTGGAGGATGCCGGGCAGGTGAATTTTGCAGGAATTGGTGGTCTGAACGAGCAGATCCGAGAGCTGCGGGAGGTGATTGAACTGCCACTGAAGAACCCGGAGCTTTTCCACCGAGTAGGAATCAAGCCTCCTAAGGGTGTTTTGCTCTACGGTCCTCCGGGTACTGGCAAGACGCTACTTGCGCGGGCCGTGGCCAGCTCGATGGAGACCAACTTCTTGAAAGGTGCGTCCATGACAGAACCCCTTGGGTTCTGGGATTTAGCTGACTATTTCTCTTACATTGTAGTGGTTTCCTCCGCTATCGTGGATAAATACATTGGTGAATCCGCCCGATTGATCCGTGAAATGTTCGGCTACGCGAAAGAGCACGAGCCCTGCATTATCTTCATGGACGAGATTGATGCTATTGGTGGACGACGATTCTCGGAGGGCACATCGGCAGATCGAGAAATCCAGCGAACACTGATGGAGCTTTTGAACCAGCTGGACGGGTTTGATTACCTCGGGAAAACCAAGATCATCATGGCCACCAACCGTCCGGACACGCTGGATCCCGCGTTGCTGCGTGCCGGTCGTCTGGATCGAAAGATCGAAATCCCTCTCCCCAACGAGGTGGGTCGGCTGGAGGTTCTGAAGATCCACACGAGCACGGTGCAACTGGACGGCGACATTGATTTCGAGAGTGTGGTCAAGATGAGCGACGGTCTCAATGGTGCCGATCTTCGCAATGTGGTCACCGAAGCGTATGTCACACACCTTCGCCCGTTCTCCCGTTTCTACTAACATTCTGGCAGGGGTCTCTTTGCGATCAAGGATTACCGGGACGCCATCAACCAGGATGACTTTAACAAGGCCGTGCGGAAGGTGGCCGAGGCCAAGAAGCTGGAGGGCAAGCTGGAGTACCAGAAGCTGTAGAGGATGTAATTGTATTTTGTTCTCCTTGCGAGCCACTGGAGAATTCTCGAAGCATGCTATACATGAAGGAGTTGTGATGTCTTAAATCAGTAGAAATGATATGGAGATGCCTCGGCGCCTACCCAATTAACACTTGACTCAGGGGGGCAGCTCTGAAGTGGCTGTAGCAAGATGTAGAAAGTATCATGCTAATGATCCTGCGCTTGTAGTGATTAACCTTGAAAGGTGTCTATGTAGTCATGGTCGCGTATAGCACCCGGGCCTGCCCCTGGAAGTTGGCGATCGCCACTTCCCCGGTTTCCCTGGCTCCGAGCTCCTCTCTCTCTCCATCTCTCCATTTCTCCAGCTGTCTCTCTTTCTTCTTTTCTTTGTCCCTTGGTGTCCAGAGTCTGGATGGAGAATTTCCTACCTTCTTTTGCAATCTCATCCCCCCCTCTCTCCTCCCCCCAGGCATTCGCTGCATCCACATTTGATTTCGCTAAGAGTTCAGCCTAAAACCAGCTCTTCGGAGGACCTCGTCATCCCACCCTGCACGGCTCTTTTCAGGCCTGTTCGCATATGACGCTTTGTCACATTCCCATTGTTTCTCTCTCTCTCTCTCTCTTTCTGTGGTGGGGGCTCCACTCAATAAAAGGGCCAGCAAGGGATGGCCTAAATCTCCATCTCTGGGGCAATCGAGTCCTTGTTGACACACCCGTGGACATGAGCTAGAATAAGACCGAGTCAACCCGTGGTTGCTATCCAAGTCCATCCAGTGTCTTGTCGGCCTAGAATTCGCCTAGGACGTTATCAATAGAACCGGCGCAACATTCGACCACTTCACCCTCCCATGTCCCTTGTACGAGGTACCTAGTCACACAGGTCCGATATTTAACGAAACGCAAAGGGGATAGTCGAGATAACCATGCCGGCCCAGGCACCGGAATCTAACCCCTCCCCTGGCCCCTCGTCACAGGATGGTCAAAACGCCCCGAGCAGTACTCTTCCGGAGTTGGAACTATTGTCACGCCCGGCCGATCTCTCTCACAAGGTGGCCAAATTTTTCGACAACGAGCGCACCCTCCCCATGTACAAAGACAAGCCCCATTTTGCCCCGCGGCGTTCACCCCCAAAGCGTCGGTGGAGGCGGCTGCTAAATGTCTTGGGGTTGTGTGCCTTGGTGCTTCTGTGGTACTACAGATCAACCTTTCCATCGTTGAAGAGCTTGGGATCAAATGACCGAGGAGTCGAGCTGTGGAAGTGGTCGAATAAACTGGATAATGGCGATCCCTCTGTGGATCCTACCGACTGGGATGCGAAACGAGAGAAGGTCCGCGACGCGTTCATTGTCAGTTGGGAGGGCTATGCAGAGTCGGCGTGGGGTAAGAGAGAACTCTTGATATGGTTGCGGAGACTGTCAGTGTGATAACAACCTCTGAAACCAGGCTTCGACAAGTACAGGCCGATGAGCAACAACAACAAGAACCTCGTCACCGGCGGATTAGGGTGGATAATCGTGGATTCCCTAGACACCCTGATGATTATGAATCTGACATCGCAGGTTCGCCGTGCACGACAATGGATCACCACGTCGCTGCAGTACAACCAAGACCAAGAAGTGAGTGTATTCGAGACGACCATCCGCATGATGGGCGGCCTCCTGTCCGCGCACTATTTGTCTACCAAATACCCGGACTTGGCCCCAGTTTCCGACGATGATGCTGGTGCTGCAGGTGAAGACCTGTACATTGAAAAGGCTACCGATCTTGCGGACCGACTGATGGGTGCTTTCGAGACAAAAAGTGGGATTCCACTCTCGAGTGTGAATCTGAACAAGTCGACCGGGATTTACTCGCACGCCGACGGGGGTGCCACATCTACCTCGGAGGCGGCCTCGGTGCAAATCGAATGGAAGTACCTTGCCAAGCTGACCGGAGAGGCCGAATACTGGCGAATCGCGGAAAAGGTGATAGAAGTCATCGATGGGGAAAAGGCGCAGGATGGCTTGGTTCCCATAAACATCCATCCCGACACGGGCAAGTTTAGGAGGAACAACATCCGTCTTGGCAGCAGAGGCGACTCATACTATGAGTACCTCATCAAGCAGTACCTACAGACATCCGAGCAAGAACCCGTGTACAAGGAGATATGGGATGAGGCGCTGCACGGGGTCCGCAAACACCTCATCGCATTTACAAAACAAGCGCAGTTAATGATCATCGGCGAGCGGCCCTCTGGATTGGTGAAAAAGTTGACTCCTAAAATGGACCACCTAGTTTGCTTCATGCCCGGAACCATCGCGCTCGGTGCCACCGGCGGCCGGCCGCTGTCCGAGGCGCGCAAGTCCCCCGACTGGTCGCAACAGCGCGAAGACGAGATGCTCATGTCCCGCGAGCTGATGAAAACCTGCTGGGCGATGTACCGGACGACGGAGACGGGGCTCGCGCCCGAGATCACCTACTTTAAGCTGGACCCGGTCCCTAAGATGATGGCCGACGTATACCCCGAGCCATCTACATCGGGGCCGCCCCAGGAGCTGCGCGGCATCTCGCAGCCCCTTTCGCCACAGCCTGATGGCTCGGAGCCCTGGCGCCAGGACATTGAGATCCGGCCCAACGACCGGCACAACTTGCAGCGCCCCGAAACTGTCGAGTCTCTCCTCTACATGTACCGCATCACCGGCGATGAAATCTACCGCCAGTGGGGGTGGGAGATGTTTAAGTCTTTCATCAAACACACTGCCGTGCTCGAGCAGGTCACTTCTCTCTCGACGTCAGGGAAGACCTACCGCATCAAGGGCTTCACTTCGCTCGGCAATGCTAACGCTGTGCCGCCCGACAAACGTGACAACATGGAGAGCTTCTGGATGGCCGAAACTCTCAAGTATTTCTATTTATTGTTCTCGGACCGCGACTTTATCTCTCTGGAGGAACATGTGTTCAACACCGAGGCGCATCCACTGCCGAGATTCAAGCCGGGAGGTGATCTTCGAACGGGGTGGAAGCGGCAGCCTCGGAACTAAGATACGTGCATTCATCTGATGATTTGGCTGGTTTGGCTGGGGTAGCTTCTTTGTTTTCTTCTGTCAAGTAGGCGTGATATATGTTCAGTACATGAGTGCATTTGGAAAATATACAAGTTTTTTTTCTGGTTATTCTTTACGCCCAATATTTTATTTTTCTCGTATTGAAGACCTGCAACAAGAAATGCATGTCTAGATAAGGAATTTGATGTTCAACCTTGGAAGGTACCAAGATGTCCCGTGCAACTGTCTTATTCTGTAAAGCCAAGAGAGACACACGATGCAAGATATACTAGGCCACCACGGCTATATGAAAATGGTAAATCACGTCGAGACCTACGCACTGCTTTGTCTAGCGAGCGCAGAATCAATCAATTTCTTATATCCAACCACGGCATCCTGGATCTCGCGCGAGGTGAGAGCCTCGTGGTCACCATGGGCAACAAAGATACTCCCCGGACCATACAAGTAACGCTTGACGCCCGGGCGGACGCTGAGGTTGGGCACGTCGGTACCGTAGTTGACGGTAATGACATCGAAGCCCTCGACGTCGGTGTTCATGTCCTGGGGCGGGTAGGACTCGCGATGCGAAGTGAAATCGACGACGACGTCGGCATCGACATCGTGCGTGGCATCGGCGACAGCACGGCTGATAATTCCCCGTGCCTCGTCGGGTGTGCCGGCCGCAAGCCGCACAGCGACATCAGCCATGGCCGCAGCCGGGACGACATTCGTTGCGACGCCGGCGCGCACGACGCCAATGTTCAGGGTAGTAGGCCCGTACTTGGGAGAGGAAGGTAAGCCGCCCAGATTGGCGGGGATATTGCCGAGGACATCGACGCGGGCCAACGCCGGCAGCAGCGCGGACACGGCGCTATGCCCCAGCCACGGGTAGCCGGAGTGGGCGGCCTTGCCGTGGACGAGGACCTGGAAGCCGACCATGCCCTTGTGGCCGGCGACGAGGGCGGCCTCGGTAGGCTCGCCGAAGACGATGGTGTCGAAGGCGCTACGCGTATTGAGGGCCGAGTCTGAGAACGTCTTCATGCCGTCGCCGCCGATCTCCTCGCCCACGACGAAGAGCAGGCCTAGCGGGGCGGCGGGGTGCTCGTGTAGGGTGTCCAGTGCGGCGAAGATCTGGGCTGCGACGCTGCCCTTGGCGTCGACGCTGCCGCGGCCTGCCAGGACAGGGTTTTCTGGGTCATTGGACTTTTGGGAGTCTTGGGACGCCGAGTATGGGATGAAGGGTGGGACGGTGTCGATGTGGCTGGTGAGGAGGATGGACGGCGGCTCCGAGCGTGAGGCTGGGTATGCGTAGATGTTGTACCGGGGCTTGGGGGTGTTGGTCTGGTTCTTTTCCACGGGAGGCACCTCCTGCTTTATCACGGTGAAGTTGCGGGCCTCGAGGAACCGGGCGACAAAGATGCCGACATCGTGCTCGTTGCCGGAGATGGACTCGATGCTGACAAGATCGCGGTGGAAGGACAGCAGAGGGGAGTCATTGATGATGTGGTCAATGTCTCTCTGGCTGCTACCGAGGTGGTTGGGCTGGGAGGACGAGAGTGCGTCCAAGGGCTGTTGCTGCCCATATGCGGGGTGCGGAGAAGCTGCCGCGGCGATGGCGGTCGCCGCGAGATACCAGGCGGACTTCATGGGTCAATCAGGGGGGTTCAGAGGGTAATTTAAGGAGTTGGGAATCACGATTGGGGCAACCTCTGAGAGCTGCTAGACCGTACAAGACGCAAACGCAAGACTCACGCCTGCGATGCACCGTCGATCGGGCTGTCACGTGATTATATATTCGGCGAGAACAGCGAGACAAGACTTGGAGCTTCCAATAAAGTATTTGATTTACGGTAAAGGCAGAATGAGAGGAGAATTCTCGTCTGACTATCAAATACCTCGGGATGATTGATTCCTCGAGTGTCTCTACAATACCCATCATCTTGAATACTACAAACATGACAGCGTATACCTGCCTCGGGAATCCCTGACAATGAGAACACCGGGATTGCTCCCCATTCACGCTAATCAACTGGATCTTCTCCCTTGGCCCCCATGATCGAAGGTACCTACACCTACAGAGCCCGGAAAATGATGCCGACAGGACAACACCCCTGCCCTCGGAGGGTATGACGTTGTTGTTTGACGGACACAAGCCTTTTTATCCCCGGCAAAGAGGTGCCGATGTCATGGAGGGATTATGCTATTCAAGTATAAAAATGCCCAACACAGACATATTCTCTTAGCGGGGTGACCTTCCAAGCAGAAGGGATCTGCAGACCCCGACGCTGATGACCCACCCATGTCTTTGACGATGAACGTTCACACGCGGAAATTCGGCAGTCGGAGGGGCAGAAGTAGCCCGGATCATCGGGCTGAAGAATGGGTCGCCTTGGATATAAAACACGTCCGAATTCCTCATTAGAAATGGTTATTCGCACGCCATCTCATTCTGCTTGTGTGCGGTTGATTCGCGATATCGTCTCCGATATTTCATTTCCATAAGAGAGCGGCATCTCCACAACATGGAGCCTCAGGGCAAAAGACTACTTGCAGCAATTGTCGATGACAACGCGCGCAGGAATCCAGACAGACGGCTTGCGGTCATTCCGCGAGGACCAGAGCTGGCTGATGGGTTCCAGGATTTGTTCATCAAGGACTTAGCTCGAGCAGTGAACTTCCTGTGTGGGTGGATTGAGAGGACGGTGGGACCGACACACTCCCAGGAGACGTTGGCGTATGTAGGGAGCAACGATGTGCGCTACTGCGTCTTCATTTTGGCATGCCAGAAGCTTGGCTACCAGGTAGGAAGATGCTCTCGCTACAAGTCCACGGGTGGCTTCACAGAAGCTGACAAGCAGGTTTTGGTCTTGCACAGGCTTTCTTACCTTCTACGAGAAATTCAGATGAGGCTCACCTTCATCTATTGAAGGCGACAAACTGCAACAAGTTCTTCTATGGAGAAGAGCGACAGGGTCGAGTCCTTGAAATCCAGTCGCTCTCTCCGAGTATGAACATATTTCAGATCCCAAGTTTACATACAATGCTTAAAGATGAGAGTGGACTGCGCGTATATCCAAGTAAATCCTTTGCGGAAGTGGAAGACGAGACGTCGGTGATCATCCACAGCTCGGGGACAACCGGTATGTCGATGAGAGGTATCATGCCGAGAATCATTGCTAAGATCTGCCTTTTCTCCAGGCATGCCAAAGCCGGTTTATCTGACAAACGGCTTTTTTGCGGCTCTGGACGCCCTGGCTTTACTTCCATGGCCTACAGGTCGTCAACCGACTCCGTTCTTCCACCTGGCCATGAACGACCTCCTGCTGGCCACGTCGCCGCTTTTCCATCTGATGGGGCTTCTGGCCTTTGTCTTTGCTATGTTCGGCCAATATTCTGTTTTGCTTGGTCCTGATAAGCCACTCTCGGTCGAATACTTGACAGACCTTGTGCGCTTAATCCGGCCTACCCGCGCAATCTATCCCCCGTCCGTCCTGGAGGACATGAGCCATTCTGAGGAAGCACTGACCTGTCTAAAAGAACTCCAGATGGTTTATTTTGGAGGGGCCCCACTGGCTACCGAGACTGGGGAGCGAGTGCGCCAGTATACCCATCTCGTCACCGTGATCGGGTCCAGTGAAACCGGCTTCACGCCGTCGCTAATACCGGAAGATCCTGCTGATTGGGGGTACTTTGAATGGAACTCGTCAGTCGGTATCGACATGCAGCATACGGGCGAAGGCCTGTACGAGCTGGTCATTTTGCGTCTGCCAAATGCCCGGGATATCCAGAGCATCTTTCACACCTTCCCCAACCTCAATGCGTACCGCACCAATGATCTTTACACCCAACACCCCACGAAACCATATCTGTGGAAGTTCTATGGTCGACAAGACGATGTGATTGTGTTGAGCAACGGCGAGAAGTTCAACCCGGTCACAATGGAAACGATCATCGAGGGACACCCGCTCGTTTCCAAGGCCGTCGTGGTCGGCCAGTCCAGATTCCAGGCCGGGCTTCTCGTGGAGCCAAATCCGAAAGTGCCAGAAATGAACCCCAAGCTTCTCATCGATGAGATCTGGCCAACGGTGCAGGTTGCGAATCAGACGATTGCCGCCCACGGTCGGGTAATGAAGAGCAAGGTTGGACTCGCATCCAAGACCAAACCATTCAAACTTACGCCGAAGGGAACTACCCAGCGGCGGGCCGTGGTTCGGGATTATGAGAAGGAGATTGATGCAATCTATGCAGCGGGCATGGAGGAGGACTTGAATGTCTCTGTCCCGGAGACCCTGAATCAAGACAGTATCACCGACTTCACGCGCCAAATCATCGCACGAGTGCTGGAAAAAGACCTCTCAAGTACCCAGGACTTCTATGGTGCAGGATTGGACTCACTGATGACGATTCAAGTCTCGCGAGTGTTGCAAAAAAGCTTGCAACGGCGTCGACCAGATTTGAAAGCAGGCCTGATCACGCCGCAAACAGTCTATGCCAATCCAACTACGGAGCAGTTGGCCCAGGTCATTGACGGTATTCTACAGGGAAAGACTCAAGCCGGTCTCCCCCGAGCAGAGAAAATCCAGCGCTTGGTAGAAAGGTATACGGAAGACCTTCCTGTCAACCACGAGGGCGAAAATTCTCATCAGATTCGGCCCGTGTCACCCACGACGATAATCCTAACCGGGTCGACGGGTTCGCTGGGCACTTACCTCCTTCATGCCCTGCTCAGCAACCCGTCCGTCTCAAAGGTGTACTGTCTGAATCGTTCCGAGGCCAATTCTGGGCAACAGAAGAGCTTCGAAGAAAAGGGCCTGGATCTCGATGTTCGCGACTGGAAGACCCGGATCGAGTTCTTCCAAGTCTCATTTGGCGAGCCACGATTTGGGTTGGACGAAGCCAAATACCAAGAACTACTGGATTCCGTCGATACCATCGTCCACAATGCCTGGAAAGTCGACTTCAACCACGCCGTCGAGTCGTTCGAAGAAACCCATATCAGGGGTGTGCGCCACTTCGTGGACTTTAGCCTGAGCAGTCGACACCATGCTCATCTCCACTTTGTGTCCTCGATCAGCACCGTCGGCGCCTGGACTCCTGAGATGGGATCAGCGATCCCCGAGTTGCCAATGGACAGTTCGGTGGTTTTACATCAGGGTTACGGCGAGTCCAAGCATGTGGCCGAGTGTATTTGTCTAGAGGCATCGCGACGATCTGGCGTTCCCACGACGGTCTATCGCGTCGGGCAGATTGCTGGACCAACGACCCCTCGCGGACAATGGAACCCACATGAATGGCTGCCGACGATCATCGCGACCTCCAAGGCCATGGGCAAAATCCCCAATCGACTGGGGCCGATGGCGGTGGACTGGGTCCCGGTGGTGAGTGGTAAAGAATGTTTTCTTTTGATGGGATGTTTTCTTTGGGTATGTAATATGCTGATCTATTCTACTCGTCTTCCAGGACACCCTCTCTTCGATCATGATCGAGATAGTCCACACACGTCATTCCGCGCCCAGCAAGAATCCCTGGGCGGTGTTTCATCTCACCAACCCAGAGCGAGCCGAATGGACGTCGCTCATCCCTGCGATTCAAAAGCAATACCCGGTCGAACCTGTCGAGTTTGCCGCTTGGGTGGCAGAGCTCGACAGTATCCCGAACCCCAGCAGTGCCGAGGTCGCCGAGAAACCGGCTCTCAAGTTGCTGGACTTTTACCGCGGACTCCAAGACGACGCCAGTGCCTTGTCGGTGACATTGGATGTGCAGCGCGCCAAAAAAGCGAGCGTGACTATGAGGTCCTTGGGGCCCGTCTCGCCGACTCTCATGGTGATCTGGCTGCAGCAGTGGCAGTTCTAAGCCTCTGATTTTGTAGAGACACGGCACGCATTCACTTGCCGATTTCGGGGATCTCGCTTGGTCGCCCAATCATTCGAGTTGCCAAGCGGCTCGGCTAAACGCGTGAACTCGGTGGATCCCCGGTGGCGGAAGGATGAGAAGAAAAATAAGCAAACGCAAAGAACAAAAGCAAAGAACAAAAGCAAAGACACAATTGATCTATCCAATACGTGCCGGCGACCTGTCCAGCTCCCCGAGGTACTTTTGTATAAGCCAAGAGAGCCATGTGGATCTGACGTCGGGTGCCAACCCACTAATATAACATGACATGATGATTATTAGTACGGTTATTAGTAGTACTTACTTTAGGTACACCCTGTGTATCAGTGTATCTTGTATAACACTCAAGACCACTCAGCAACACCGTGAGACCATGGATGTGCTCGATCCTTCAGGGACCATACCCAGCCAGATCAGATGGGAGCCATCAAAACTGAGATCTCGGACTAAGGTTCTTATGTGTTCGAGCGGGACCGTCCACGGTTACACAGCGTCGCTCTGACGTCTTTTCTTCTTTTTGGTCGGTGCGCGCACAGTCCCCGAAGAACCTCAAGAACCGGGCCGAATGACGATATTGGCGAAAGAGAAACAACCCTCAAGACAGACCCGACGGGTTGGGTCGAACATCATCGGAGGGTCAGCTGGAATCCACTCTGGTCTGGACTTGTGCCGATCACTTGATCCCACACACACAGACACACAGAGAGAGAAAGGGAATGAATTCGAGAGTTCGGGGAAGGTCTCCAAACTGGCCGAGATGCGGTGTATCGCATCTGTGTAGCCGTTGGGGTTGACACTGCAATTGCCCATGTCGATAGGCCAGAATGGAATTGAGAGAGAAAAAGAAAAAGAGAAGAGAGGAGCCCAAGAGCGGATCCATGGTTCAGCACTTGTCGGACCCGTGGAACTGAGGTTTTTGGGGGAGAAAAAAGAAGATCTTCTGGAAACAAAGCCCCCGCTAACGCTCTTAGTGTATCCTGTTGAGCCTGGACTTCTATCGGGTTTTTCTTCTCTTCTTCTCCTTCACTCTTCACTCGATCATCTGCGGAGGGATAAGAGAGAAAACGGACCGAGAAAAAGAGACAGAAAGAAAAAGAACAAAACCAGGGTCTGAGTCACACAGGGATCTCCCTGCCCGTTTGCCGAGTAAGTAACAAATGCCTTCTTTTTCTGCCCAGCTGGTCGCCACTTGTTTGGTCCACGTCTTTTTCTCTTTCTCTTTTCTCGCTCTTCTCCCCTAACCTTTCTGGCTTCAGTTCCCGCCATTCCGGCCATCACACCGCCAAAGCAATCAAGGGCATGTGTTGCTCAAATTGATAGTCTTTTCCCGGGGCCTCATGTTGAACTTCTCTCTCTCCCGACTATCCACCCACCATGTTCAAACGGTCTCATCCCATCGACACGCGCGACAGTATCGAGGGGGACTCGCCTGCGTCGCGCCAGCAATCACCTTTAACCATCAATACCTCTGCCCCTGCATCCCCGGCCCTGTCGCTCTTTTCTGCGACAGGCCATAACCGAGTGTCGAGCTCGGTCTCGTCGCTGGTTTCGTCTTCAGGCCTAGGGAATTCCATGGACAGCCCCAGTCGCAACCACTTGACGGGCGTCAAGGAAGAGCCCTTGGGCCGCGACTCGCTGGAAGATCAATATTTCCGTATGTTTTGATGACTGTCGCATGAAGAACCATCCACTGACGATGTTCAGAGCACTTTGACCACGGCGTCCCCGCCGATGAGCCATATTTCTCCGACACCCCAGATAACTATGATCTCAGCGATACCGGTGTGGAATTTCCTCATTCACAGAAAAAGAGACGCTCCGACAGCGTGTCCATGAAGGGCGTGTCGCGCATTAGTTCCCACATCTCCACTATGTCGACCCGATGGAAGCCCAAGCGGTCCTCGGGTCTCACCGAAGACGGATACCCAGAGGATTTGCGATCACGCGCCAATTCCGCCGCATCTTCTGCGCTGGCCAGCCCGGTGGTGAGCCCGGTGAGTCGGGTTGACTCACAGATCCCCCGTCCCCGGCGCGGACCATCTTTGAGGAGTGCGCCAGCGAATCCAGCGCGCGGCCCATCGACATCACCAGAGCCAACAGCCTGAGTCAAGATGACAATGATTTGCCGCAAGCGACGACCCCTCTGCTGCCGCCGTTCATGGGCGATGATCCGACGAGCGCGGTCGCGTCGCGAGTGCAATCGCCACTGCAGTCTCCGTCTGTGGCGGATGTCACCGACGTGGCTCAGGACCCGATCCCGTCCGATCACCGGTTTGTGGGCATCCCCTCACCGCCGCTGTCCTCCAAACCGTCCGTGGCCTCGTTTGGTCGTACCCGTGCAAACACCGTTCGCACCGTGTCGAGCGAAGCCCCTCCCTTCATCTTGTCGGATCCAAACGACGAGTGGGCGAATAAGCTGGGACATGCCAACTTTACCATCCAGCCCGAGCCGTACGTGCCGGCGATGTGTGATATCGAGTGTCTTCAGCAGTTGCGCGCCAACTGGGATCTGGCGCGGTGCAATTTCGCCAAGCACCTTGTGCGCACCGGGGAACACTACGGGGTTACGTCGAACATCTACAAACTCACCGGGGAGAAGTGGGAGACCATCAACCGGGAGTGGCGATACCAGCACGACGCGATGCTGAGCCAACTCGGCATGGCCCTCACTCTCACCCAATCGGATATCCACCCCTGCGAGCAAGTCCGGGTTCCACGTCTCCACGACAATGACAAGTTCCCCGAGATGGGAGATGAGGATATTGTCGGTCCGATGACGGTTGCCCCGGCCACTGTGATCGCCGGCCCATGTCGGACCAAGTCTGTGAAGAAGCGGAACTTCCTACGCTTCTTCCAAGACCTGGTCGGCAGACCTTGAAAACTTCTCTCTCTCTTTGTCATTTTTTTTTCTCTCTCTTATATTCCTCTGCTTCCGAGCGACCCTCCTACGATAATGATGATAGACTCTTCAGCGTGGCGTTTCGAGTTTGATCCACGCTGGTCACGACTAATGTCTCTCCTTTCTTTCTTTCTTTCTTCTTCTTTTTCTGTCTCCTTGTGTTCGGATTGATGACTCTTACGACTTCCGGCCCGTCTGCGACTACTGCTCTCGCCTCGGACCATGCCTTTCCTTTTGTCTTTTCTGTCGAGTTCGAGTCACGTTCTTGTGTTTTGTTTTTTGTTGTTCTGCTGGGTTGAGCCCGTCCACTCCTTCTCTTCATATACCCCCCCATACACTATATGATCACATTTGTATTCCATAGACCTGTCATACTCTCGGAGAGAAACACAAAAGCCTGTCATCTTTTGTATGTATATATCTGGTTTATGTACTAGGGGACTATTGCGGAGGATAATCAAACAGTCTGTACACAATACACTTTATTCCAAAGACCATAGGCTTTCCACTCCTGCATTGAGGCCCGACCACGCCCTAGCCAGCACCAGCGCCATGGCCAACTGACGCAGAACACGAGCCCCAGCACAGTGCTGACAGCATAAGAACGGTATTTTCCAAGACTATCCACGATAAAACAACAATCTAACTTCATAAACCCCCTCTCTCGCTCGCAGCCTCAATAGCAGACCCTCATCACAATCCCCACACAAATCCCCCCCACCCACCCATCACCAGCAAGAACAGCAAAGAGCTCGACGCGCGAGGGCGCCGAGCTCGGCCCCCGTCCGCGGCATCCAGTTCCAGTCGGCGAACACACCACAGGGACAGTGGCGGGTGGCTGGCTGCGTTGGGCGCCACGCTGGATGATTGATGATTGTGGGGACACGTGTTTGGTGTTGCGGACTGAGCTGCAAGGGTTGGGGGTGGATTCTTCTTCTAGTAGTAAGAGTAGTGGTGCTGGTGGTGCTGGTGGTAGGCTCAGATCCTACTGATGTAGAAGGTAGAATGGACACTTTCGCGAGAAGGAATTGGGGGAGATGTTGTGGCGGACTGAGGGTTATAAGCTCTCGATAAGTTTATTGTTGTCTGTGCAGACGAGGTGTGACAGTATCAAGTTATAACAACACTCTGTTAGTACAACCACCTCCAATATCGAAGATAACCTTCCACTATAAACGTGATCAGATGGGAATAATACGCAAATTCCCGGCAGATTCTTGTTGCTAGAACTCGTCCAGATGTACTACCGCTTGCAGAATATTGTTAGAGAGCAAGCACTCCTCGGTATTGAGGGTATAGACGACTTCGAGACGAAAGGAGAATGGTAAATGGAGGCACGGGGACGGCGGAGGAGCTGCAGACTGGCCGGTTGCGAATGCTCGGGGCTAATGAGAAGGAGCTGTGCGATGCATTTGAGGAATTGGTCGAGGCGTGTGTGGAAGGGAGTGAGGATGCTCAGAAGTTTTTCGTGAAGGGCGTTGGTCGGGTCTGAGGATTTTGTTTGGTGGTTAACGATTATGCCAGTGCTTGTCGTGGCAAGAAGCTGGATCTTGGTTTGTATGCTATGTTGGCCATGGATCTATTTCGGTTTCCAACGAAGTAAATATCGCGCAAACACGGGATACCCGGTGTTTCAAGTGTCTATTTCTGGCCAGTATACAGGTCTATGCAGATAGATGCCTTCCGTACACATATCACATGCTGGACAAGTGGTTCAAACCCAGTACTGCCCCCACAAGTTCCTTGCCTCTTCACTGCCCTGGAACTGGAACTTTACTGGAACGATATCGGCGAACCCTTCGTCGAGAGTAGGTTCCTTGAAACGGCGTGCAAAGTCGCCGAATGCAATCCCGGGCAGCGAAGCCCTGGACTCGGGGTTCTAAGAAGTGTCAGCATAAGCAAATGATGAATAGATAGCCGCCAACACATCAGAGCAGAGATAAGTGGTCACTAACCAGTTCCTTGTTGGCAGCTCGGACAGCGTTGTTATGCTGGCACAACCCGGGAGAAGAAATAAACTGCACACAGCGAATGGGGACATCCAGTTCTTTTGCCAGGGCCGTCCAGTGAGCCCTGATCTCTGGGTCGGCATTGGTGTTGTCTATGCAATCAGTTGAAAGACCAGACAAGAACTTCTTTATGATCTTGACGTACCGACAGCCACAGATTTCTTCTCCTCAAGGTGCTCACGAGCCACTTTCAGACACTTGGGGCGCTGTCATACATCAGCATTGTGGTTCACCAACCTCATATAGATACGCACTGATTTGAGAATGTCTTGATTCACCCGCTCGTAGCCGAGTGGTTTCAGGTGGTTCCAATAGAATGTTGACTTGCCCGCACCCGGGCTACCACAAAAGATGACGAGCTCGACGGGATGCATGCGGGAAAAGGGTGACGGGCCTGGTGCGCAAAGTAGTTAGCATTCACCACCCTTGAAGTATCTGAAGAAGCAGTGTTCCGGTAGAAACACTTCTAGCTGACAACATACCGGGCTCGTCTGGATCGGGCTTCATGTACGACGTGGGGTCAAAAACTCCAGTCACTGGCGCCGGCTCCTCGCCGAGGAAAAACTCCTCTGGTGTTTTGAATGCGATCCCGATATTGGTAGCAATCCCACTAGACACAAAGTTAGGTCTGCGGCCTGGGTCAGAATCGAGGAGCTCCTACCGATCCACTGCCGAATGATCACCCGGCCGTCCCGCGGCATCGCCAACAAAGAATGACCCCGGCAGATCGACGCCCGCGATATCAAGGTCATAGTCATCCAAGAATTCGCGCCACATGCCCGGCCGCGGTTTTCGATATAGTGGGTCGGTCGTGGCCGCGTAGACGCTCAATGGGATATCAAGCTCGGTCATAACGGCCGTAATTTTCTCTTTAAACATGGCCAAGCTCTTCGAGTCGCTTCGTCCACCCTTTAGATCTTTTTGTATGCTGATCTTTTTCTGGTTCGAGAGGATCACTACCTGGAAACTGGGTAGGAGTCAGCAGGGCTATAGGAATTTCCCAGGTTTCCAAGCGCACCCTTCAGAGTTAAGTTCTCGAAGACGACCGGGTACAGCAGCATGCCACCATCTCCAGTCTGTTGCTGACTTGGGGAATACATTGCCCGACGCGGTTTTAATCACGGTCGAGTCCTGTCATAATTTTTCTTGAGTTAACGCAGTGTCCGATCCGCTACTTGCGAGGATGACTAACTAGGTCAAATGCCGCTATCTTTTGGCGCTCCGCAGGCGGTTTCTGGGCTTGCTTTTCCGCTGTATATCTCCCAACAATGAGACTGGTACCGAGAACGCGCCATGTAAGAGGTTCTGGTTTCTTCTGGGAGGCAGGTGTAAAGAAAGAGGCAACGGATTTCTCTGTGGAGGCAGATGTCGTCAGTGGCCAAGGTCATTGAGAACTACGTGAGTGCTCATACTGTTCACGGTTGAGTCGACTTTCCGGCGCAGTGGGGGTGGGGAGATTGCGCGAGTGGGGGAGGCGGCTCTTTTAGCTCCCCCCTCGGCCATCCTCAAGGTTCTGGTGAGAGAAAACGTGGTGATGGTTGAACTGAAGATGAGGGCTGGTTGTGGTTGGGTCTGATTCCAGCTGAAGAGCTGGTGGGAAATCCAAGGACGCGCCAGAACGCGGTGGCTTCACGAAGTCACATGCTCCAGCCAGTCTACCATGAAATTCTTCAAACTACATGCGTTTAGTTACTATGATAGTCTTATGTTAGTTATGATAGTATAGATAATCCTTGAAAATAAAAAATAATGCTCCGCTGATTAAAGTTACATGACCTCCCTTCAACGCCATGCTGGAGATCGGGTATTCATTGCACGCCCAAGATGCCTAATCAATGCACAAAATCCTTACTAGGGTGCACTACTTCGCCCGTGTATCGAGAGACAGGCGATCCGCCTGCTCTAGCCGGACGGCCGACCGCAATTGCTCCCGTAGACCAAACAGATGCTGTGAGGCCGTCTTCATCGTCTCCTGGTTGCTGCCGTCCTGGACCGTAATGGCGGCTTGTAGCACATAGCTGCCGCTCTTCTCAAGTGGTGCCATCTCGGAGAACACCGGGAGCTGTCGCCGAGGCTCGTGATACTCGTGCTCGGCCGTAGGATAGTGCAGCACGCGATGCAGGAAGATCACGATATCATTGTGGATAAACATATCCCCTTCGACCACATACTCGGTCACGAAGCTGTGAAAGTTTTTAGTCTCCAATGATCATGCAATCAGCCAACCGGGCACTAACCTGTAGCCCCATGCATTCATCGACGGCACGATATCCCCTCGAGGTAGCAAGGCGCTGGACATCACTCGAGTAGTCACTGCGGAGCGAGTTCCCGCTTCAGGGATATCTCGAAACTCCAATTTCCACGGCTGACGCTCATAATCATAATGAGAGTGGGGGCTTTCTGTCACAGACGGTTTGGCATCATCCATGCCAGCCATCTGGATATCCGGGTCCGGGGTCGGGACCGGGATCGGGGCCGAGCCAAAGTCCCCCTCAGAGATTGGGCCCACTACTTGGGTATAGAACATTCCTCCATTGAGCATCTTGTTCAACCGCTGCAGGTCCCCTGATTGCAGATCCTGACTGGCCCCCGTGCGCGCCGTGACCAGGCCAGGTTTGCGGTAAGCCTTGAAAATCAGCCGCCGCTCGAGGCAGTGGCGGGGTTGCATGGCCGTCAACCCGGCCAACTGCTGCAGAAGCTCATGATGCTGGTGAACGGGGACCGAGGCGAATAGCAACAGCTCATGCATGATGGCCTGATGCGACACAAATGTGAAGGGGGCGGGTGAAGCCGGAGTGGTTTAGTCAGGGTCCAAGCTTCGAGTGGCGCAATCCACGCTTATCAATTTGCATCAATAATCGGTGGGAGGGGAATTGGGTAATAATGACTTTTCGGCTTACCTAGTGAAGATCCCCGACAGCCCCGGGGAGGGAACGTGTGTGTGTGTGTATGTTGCAGGACGGTCTTGCCCAATTCTGCAGTGAAACCCGCCCCTGCTTGGGGAGTTTTGGAGTTTTGAAGGTGATTTTCGAACCCTCCGATTGCGGGGAGGTCCAAGCTGTGGGATGAGATGGCCAGATAACCTTGAAGCAGGCGTTTGGCAATATCGAGTGATTATTGGTGCATTGAAGCTCCCTCAGAACCAGAGGAATGGGGGGAGTTCACCGGATAAGCAGGTTGGGAAAGGATCGGAGATGGGGGAATCGTATGCGGGGGATCACAGAGTACGGGGGGAGGGACAAGGTGTACGCGCAGACATGGGCTGATCCTGCTATTTGTGGAGGCAGTTATCAAAGGAATAGAGAAATAATCGAAACCTCAAAGAGTGACACATGGGATGCTCCAAACTACCGTGTAAAATCCAGTGACTTCGGCTGTGCCTAATCCGGTAACGGACCAGGCGAATGCTTATCAACCCTCCCTCCCTCTTCCTCTCTCGCTCTCGCTCTCGCTCTCTTTCTCTTCTTATTCTCTTTCTCTCAATTAAAAATTTCTCTCTCTCTCCCTTTCCATCATACACACTCTCTCGCCCTTCAATTCAACTATTTTTTCTTCCAACCCGACTCAAGTCGTCTTCGCGTCGCGTCTGCTCGGTCGGTTCGGATAGTCCCGGACCCCGTTGGATTTCGCACAACCCGGTGAAATTGACCATTTCTTCTCTTCAACCTCCCACTTTCCACCTCCCCATCACAATGCGTGCCACTTTCGCTCTGCGCAACGTCGCCCGGACTCCCCTCATCCGCTTTGTGGGCAAGCGGACTGTCCCTCGTAAGTGATCTCGTTTTTCTTTCCCGCCAGTCCCGAAGCCATTGGCCCAGACTAACTCGTTTGTCACACAGAGTCTGTGGACCACACTCCTCGAGTTCACCCTGCCTCTCCCTCGGGCATTTTGCCTGACTCCTTCGCCGCCTACCGTGTGAAGGCTCAGCAGCACGGCCCCCTCGGGCGCGCCTCGTTCAACAGCACGATCGGGGGCCACTCTGGCCACTCTCTGGGCCCGGTCCAGGCGAAGGCTGGTGAATTTTTCGACCGCGCTGAGCTGCCCTCGCGCTTCGGTCGCCTGCCGTGGTCCGAGGCGGAGATTGAGGCTGTCGAGACGGGCGGTGCCAGCATGTTCGCATAAATGCCGGCTCTGATCGCGAACAACCCTCTTTCTTTTGTTTCTATTATTTTTTTTCTACGTCATATACATATGTGTGATGGGGTACGCCTCTCATGATGGAAGTGGATTAATGGTACGCTGCTGAGCAAAGTGGCCATGAGGCTGATCCCGACCGAGGGATTCCGAGGCCATTGATGTTCCTCGAACTCGACCACGACCTCGGGTCAGCCATCCTTCGCAAGCAGCCATCTCTCTGGGTAGAGATGGATCCTTGCCGCTCTCTTGTTTCATTTTCTATTCTCCCGTACTTGGCGCTGGTTGGATTTGGGTGTTGCCTTCTTTTTTTTTTTCAGCGCAACATACAGTTTCTTGTCGGAAAAGCGGAGTTGTGCAATGTTCTGCATGTCCTTACATAGATTGTTTGGGTCTTGGATTGGAGGTTTTTGGTTGTGACAGGCTCTGGGAGCAAAGCAATGGAGAATTCTGCAATTCTACAAAATCTCCATGTGGTCAATATGGTCAATATATGCATCAATGTCGACATCGACATATACTTTTAAGCATAACTACCAAGATTTGAGCTGAGGTATACATGCCGTACTAAATGCCAGGTTAAATGTAAGCTTCCTCTGGCACGTGCATTCCAACCTCTGGCACTTCACACCGTGTCAACCTCATGGCTTCTCACGAGAAACGCCTGGCATTGCAGGAGACCGACGAAGCCGGTCATCCTACTGCCACTTATATCTACTCCAGAGATGTGGCGCCGACATCTGCGGGGAGGGTGGATGTGATGGTGAGCAGACATCTCCTTAACTGTCGAATGCAGTCAATGAGCAGCATGCTCTCGAAGGACTTTGGTATCTCGGCCCTTCTCACTGCTAGGCGATGACCCAGCTACCCCGATTTTGATGCAATGACTCTATCCCCAGGCGCTGCAATGTCTTTAACTCGCAGTTCTTGCTCCTTGTGTTGGTTGATCTAAACCATTACCTCGTACCATCGATCAGGCCTTTGGATCTAGCCATCTATATTTCAAGCAGTCTTTTCTGATAACACCCACCAGGGATCATCTTCAGCGTCACCATGGTCGACTAAGCCCCTAATCGATTCGCTCAGTGACATCTTTCTTCCATCGGGCTACCCGCAGAGTGTCAGCGAGGACTACCTTCCGTGAGTCGAGTTTAACATAAGCCTCAATATCATGTCTGGAGAAGGGAATACTAATTCAGACCATAGATATCAAATCTTCGTGAGTATTGAGGTCCTCAATCTGTCTTGTCTTCATTGGATCGACATGCATCCAATGCCCGAGCAATCCTCGAGAAACCGGTCTAACGCACATTCACCATGTGCTGTGTCTCAGGACTCCCTGCAAGCATTCTGCAGCTCGATCGCCGGACTCCTATCCTCCCGAGCCGTGCTACAAGGTCCGTCCGCATCCATACCTCGAAGACCGTGTGATTTCCCAACTCCAACCCAAGACTAATCAAAAGAACAGGCGTCGGCGTGGGCAATGCCAGCGCCTCACCTACCTCCGCCCTGCTACTACACATCCTTCAAGACACATCAGGCCGAGTGGCAACGATTTTCTTCGCGCACCGGGTAGGCACGGCACTCGAGCCCGAGTGCAAAACCTACCGGCTGGCCGCCGACGTCTTCAACGACATCGCCATGATCCTGGACTGTGTCTCGCCCATGGTTCCTGGCGGAGCCATGCGCGTCAGCGTCCTCAGCACAGCTGGAATCCTGCGGGCTCTGTGCGGAGTCGCCGGTGGCAGTTCCAAGGCGAGTCTGAGTGCGCATTTTGCGCGGTGGGGGAATCTGGCCGAGCTCAATGCCGTAGGTTGAACTTTTCCATCACCTGGGTCGAGCTATGGTAACAGTTACTATCAATTGTACAGAAAGATTCCTCTCAGGAGACGGTCATTTCTCTTCTCGGCATGCTGGTAAGAGAGGTACATTCGCGCTTGACAGCTCAAATCTCATAACTGAGTTCTAGGTCGGATCTGTTGTCGTCTCACACATCACTGGTTTCCGTACGACGTGGGCTGCCCTGCTGGTTCTGCTGGCCTTGCATCTCAGCATGAACTATGCCGCCGTCCGCGCCGTACAGATGACAAGCCTCAACCGGCAGCGAGCCAACATAGTCTTCTCCGCGCTACTGGACTCGGACTCTAATCTTGAGCTTGCCACTCTTGGATCATCCCCAGACCCAGACTCCGACTCGGAACACCAATGGAAAATCCTCACGCCAGCCGACGTTGCCCAACAGGAACGCATCTTCCACCGCGATGCAGTCCTCGAATGGACGCAGCAGACACCATACCCGAAGACACATCGTCTAGGCACCGCGCAGATTGGGGTACCCTTACCAACATTCTTCCAGCCAGAGCCCTTTAAACAAAGCCGGTCCTTCCAAACAGCGATCCCAATAGCTCAAATCACAGCCCTCTTCGCCGATGAAGCATATCTCCTCTCCGTGACACGCGATTCATCCACAGCGTCCCCGAAATGGCACGCCGCTATCCTCCTCAAGAAACAGTGTTCTGTCAGAGCGCAGCTCAAGGCCTGGACACACGCTCTGCTAGCTGCACGCATCTTGGCAGAATCATTGCCGACACAGCATGCTTCTACCACCAAGCATGCTGCTAGCCTGCAAGAATCAGGAATGGTTGTCGATGTCATCGCGCGCTCGCTAGCCTTTCTGAACCAACACGCTCGGTTCGAACGCTATGTGGCGCGGCTGGCGGCGGCCGGGTGGAATGTTGAGGTTGCGGCGCTGGAGACTAGGGCTGGTCGCAGGGTTTCTTGCTCGGAGGTTTAGACCAGGATAGATAGGGATGTATTAAATGGCCCTGTTTGGACTATGTGGGCTATATTACCTTGCTAGAGGGGTGTAGGTCCCTGGGATGGTGTCAAAAATTGGACTTGGTAGGTTGTGTGTATTCTCAATTGATCGGGATAATCAGTCCAAGAAGGACACCTACAATAAAGTAGAGAATCGACTTTATTTGCTCTACAGTTCCATATATTCCGTAATAGACATCACATAGGAGGATGTTCTCGGAGTGGTGGTAGCCCTAAGAGGTCATCCGAGACATAAGTACCACACAAGTATCACAATAGTGGAAAACAAAGATTATTCCATGTCCGCACATTATGGAAGGAGATTCAACAGGTCTATTGATATAATGAAGGTCTATACGTCTTCCAAGGTTAAATTTAGGGTTGACTGCCGACATTATCAGTGGGCACCGATTTGAATTGGGACAACACAGATTAAATCTTACGAAAAGCGTTCAAGACATAAGAACCCATTTGTATATAGATATACAGTGCAAGAAGAATATCCAAGTCAATTACTTCTGCCAGATAATCAGGGGTATCAAGTCTATATTGATTGCAAATAAAACCCACGCCACACCAAGTACCGTAGCAAGCTATCGACACAGATCCACCAGCCAGCAGAGAGAAAAAGAGAAGAGAATCACAACAAGAAAACGCCAGGAGAAGACCCGACCCAGAGTCTTCCAGCCACTCTATGATAATGTATATGTGTGATGAAGATTTCCTTTTGCCCTCTCGCAAAAACCAATCAAGGGTTCACAGAAGGACATGTCCGAAATCCAATCAGAAAAAGAAAATAAAATAAAACGCCGGTTTCATATGCTTTCGATGCATCGTGCTCTCATGCACCGCCAATAAATGCTCGAAAAAGGGCTAAGATCAGGTCGTGTGGTGATGCATTGCAAAGTTCATGGGAGGGGTGATGCAAGTGGAGAGAGAGGAGGAGAGGAGTGATATCGTCAATGGTGTCGTTAGGATTTTTGGCGTGGAAGAGGGATGGTGAGGGCGTGAGGTAGAGACTCCCCAAGGTTGGAATATTAAACCGATGGTTGCACAACCTCAATTTCAGTCGTCGACCACAATCTTCGGATCCCGAGAGCCGCTGCTTCCTCCAGACCGCTTCTTGAAGCCGAGCTTCATGCCCATCTTCTTCCAGGGGTTCTCGGTACGGAGCCGAGGACTGGGCATTGGCAGATGGGGCTCGCTGGCGGGTGGAGTGGTCGGAGGGGTCATAGGTTCCTCGGCGGTCGGGCTGGATTGCGGGCTGGATTCATCGGTGAGAGTCAACGAGTTGGAGTCGCCGCTGGTGCTCAGAAGGGCGCCTGAGGTGCGTTTGCCGACGGCGTGCACGGCGAGCGACGGGTTAGATCGACCAGCCCCAGTAGCCGGCAGGTCCTTGTTGGAGGATTGAGGAGAGGTCCGTCTGGTGTGACGCGACCGCACCCGCTTCATAGGCGTTTCATCCAAGCTCGTAGTCGACAAGTTCATGGATTCGTCGGGACCGAGTGGAGGGCCAGACAGGGGAGCCATCGAAGGCGAGGCGGCGTGGCTGTTGAGGAAGGGCAGGAAGATGGATTCTTCCATAAGGTCGTGGATGCGTTTCACGGCCGAGTCCAGCGTCTGAGGGGCCGGCGGCGTCGTGACGTGGGCGTGCCGCAGGAGAGCATCCCGCACTTCGCTCGCCAGGTTGATTTCTCGTGGGGCGCCCGGGAAGATGTAGGCTGTCAGCAGACGCTGCCAGAGCATCCGCAGGTGCTGGCTGTGCGGAGAGTCGAAGGCCAGGGCAGGCTCGCCAGACTGGGTGACCAGGGAGTCGTAGGTTTCACGGTAGCGTTTAGCCTCCAGAGTGAATTCCAAGGTTTCCAGGCAGTGATTTTGCGAGAGATAGGCCATGAAGGCACTGAGAGTGTAAGGCGGAGGGGCCACGTTGGCCAGCACCTCGTCGAGCGTCGGGCGCAGGGAGAAGGCTCCCGCCGAGACGGCCAGGCTGACCGGTCGGGAGCCAGAGGAGTCCATCTCCTCGTCGGAGTCGCTGTCGGAGGAGGTGGGAGACAGTTCAGGAGTGGTAGTAGGAGTCAAATTCCGAAAGAAGAGCGGAGCCAGAGTCTTCTTTTTGAGCATGGCGTACAGCGTACGACGGGGACCTTTGATCTTGGAGTTTTTTCTGACCGGGCCTCCCCGGGGTCGTCGACTGGAATCCAGTTTCGATTGTAGGAAGAGGAGGGTTATCGGACGGAGAGTAGTCGCATGGGGGAGGGAAGTTGAGAGAGAGAGAAGAAGAGAGGAATCGAAATCCGGCGAGATTGGGGGGGGGAGGGGGCAGAGGGGAGAGAAACCGATATAATACAACAGGGCGAGACGACGCAGGCCTGGCGTCAATCGGCAGCAACCAATCATAAAAAGACAGGAGAAAACGAAGAAAAAAAAAGGAAAAAGAAAAAAAGAAAAAGAAAAAAGACTCCACTTTTATCCACTCGGGCAGTTCTGGAATCAGACCATTCGCATCGATGCGCCCCAGTGGAGCACAGTGGCGACTGGGAATATTCGATTCTATTTTGTATAATATATATAGAATATAATATAGAAGATTATTATGATATTCTATTATTCTGTGAGTGATACTATGCTTAAAGAAATAGAAATATATAGATATATGAATATATGAATATATGAATATATTAGTATAGAATATATAGAATACTGTATTGTATATACATTATCTATGGTATTATCTATGGTATCCGGTCGCGGAATGTCCTCCTTGCGTGGCAGTCGCCTTGAAATGTCACGTCATGTGCCGATCGGGTTATGGACACAAGCTTTTCTCCTTTTCGCCTTTCTTTTTTCTTTTTTGGTTCGCTGTATGTTTCTCTGAATGTATTTTCTCTCTTTCTATAGAGAAACATTTTCTCGAGTGTCCTGATCGACAATTATGTGCGCCGAAGGATGGGGCAGGGCATAGATCGCAATCCTTCCCGGTCGGGGATCCCCATCTCGTACACACCGGGCACTAGTTGAGGGAAATCTGAGTATGAGAGATAAATAGAGGGAGATAGAGAGTACAGAGAGAATATTTGAGTATGTCTAGTATCTAGTATATCTACAGTAGTCAATCATGGATTGTATGAAACACTGCAGATATAGATACACAAACTGTTCATTCTAGAATTCTCCGCCGAAGCAACTTTAGTTTCTCGATCGCCACTTTTTTTTTTTTCTTTTTTTCTTTTTCTTTTTCACCCCCTGATTTCTACCGGAGTTGGAATCCCGGTGATCGTCTGTTGAGTCCGCGCACGCCATGCAGATGCCAAGGACCTATTCCCCCCGAACCAGGCGATCTTTGTTCCTATTTTTCCCGTGCCCGATGTCCAGCTCTCTCTCTCTCTCTCAGCTCAGTGAAATTTTTTTTTCTTTATATATCTCTCTACATATTTAAATCTGCACTGTTCCAATCCTTCTCCGACGCCAACCGAGAAAATCCAGAATTCCCGAATTTGCATTCCAACGGGTCCTCGACCCCACATATCGAGATAACCCATGCGCCATTATGATTGGTTGGGTGTGATAAGACTGCGCTCACCTGATCTGCTGAGCGTGTCATCGATGATTCGATGGTTCGATGTATATTCCATGTACACCATGTATATTCGTATATACCCCCAAGTCTGGACTCTATAGAATCATGCCATAAGATCATATATTATCATAATATATCTAATCACATAATCCCATCCCATTGCTCTCCCAAGGTTACTATTGATTCCTCGCTAATTCTCTCCAATTTCCTCGTACTGTATGGCTCCCCCCCAAGCTCCACAATTTCCCCGTCGAAGAGAATGGCCTCCCCACATCGGGTGCACGGGGATGCCACGCCCTTACAGACGGACAGCGCACTAGGGGCGTCTCGAACAAGGGACTGTATGCACGACATGGAAATAGCGCCGAGACTGCGTGGGGGTAAAAAGGACACATATGAAACTATTAGTACTGCTATGATTATTACTGAGAATTGAAATTAGGTGTGTTGTACAATCTTCACAATGTCAGGGATGCCAGTCTCAACCCTATCCGTATCCGTGTGGCAATCTTTAGCAATCTTTGGCAATCTTGGGCACCCTTGGAAACCCCGTACCATCTGATCCTAAGATGACCTCAATGGCATTCAGCAAGCGCTCGATTTTGTCTGTTCCCCTTCTAATCCTAAATAGGATCCAAGTAATTCTCTCCCTCCACTATCTTGCAACATACATGCTATGTGTACCATCCTTAGTTTCAGATTAACATACATTTGATCCAGCCCACCTTACTATAGTAGAGTCAGTCCAGACTAACACTGATCTTCCAAGGTCCTAACCTTCTAACCCCTTTTTTCCCCCTACTAAAGACACTACTTTCTCTAGGGCGCTACACTAAACTCTAAAGAAGAACCGAAGTCGATCAAACGGAGTCCCACGGCACGGCTGAAGCCGCAAATGACTTCATCGACCCACCAAGATTCAGGGAATCTTGATTTTTTTTTTCTTCTTTCATCTTTTTCAACTGGGAGAACCGCTGGCCCAAATATTGGATATCGACCGCGTCAATGTTTCAGAATCGGGAAATCGAGTGGAGCCTTTCTTTTTTCTTTTTTTTTTCTCGCACTTTTCTTTGTTCCCTATCTCGGCGCTAAATTCAGATCCTTGATAACATCCACTTATCCTTCCTATGATAATAGTGGTACATCATCTCACATGCTGCACCGGGTTAAAGGCGTGATTGACTCCTACGTAAGTGCAGAAACCATCAAGAGGCGCAGAGATTCTCCACTGCAAACAGGGTGATTGTCTCTAGCTTCATTTTTTTCGACATGCTTGATGTCAGTTTGATCTACACACTAGCCCTCCCACGGTTGGTTATGGTTAGGAATAGCGTGATCGGTTATAATACCGATTGATCTCTATGCTCTTTTCGATGGACTGATGGACTGATGGACCTACGAATGACAGAGTAGATGGCTCAGGCAGTTTAATTCAAGTAGTTTAATATTTGGGCCCCGAAATTGACAACGATCTAGCTCGGTTTTACATGGATTATTTGAGTGCATGCTCTATAAAGCTATCTACATTTGAATAGGTACTTTCAAGTATAGACAGCGACCCAGCAAAACCATCGTGTTTGATACTACGTAAACAGACCAGCCACAACCTCCCCCAACTGAAGATGGAAATCCCGAGAAATGATAATCCTCATGAGATTCCTAGAATGACACAAGGTTTCTCCCCGGGCCATACCATAGGCTCATGGCTGGAGAAGGGGTCCCACGACTTATCAAAGGATACCTGCAGATCTATCAGAGACCACGTCAAAGCACCCCCGAACATGCCAAACGCCTCTCTTCTCTGCTTTCCTGCCTCTCTGTCTAGCCCCCACAGACACTCTGCAGGCGTGTCGCCAAGCCACGGCCAAGTTGCGTGCGGGGAGGAGGAACAATACAAGCTGAGTGGTTCGTCGCCCACAGAACCCGGTCGGGGATCGACCAAAACGAGGGAACATCACCGAGACTCTTACGACGAACGAGGTATAGGAATCCCGGATCCTTGCATACCCAGCAGAGTGGTAGTTTGCTTCCTCTGAAGCACCTTGAGGGTGTAAGGTCAAAAGTACTCCAGTCTAGGCATAAGTCTCGGCAACGCCCTACGGGTGGGTTTCTGTCTGTCTTGGCTGAATCGACTTTTTTCTGTATGCCTTTCTTCCCCCTATATTCTGTGCATTGACCTAGTTTGGGATCCTCCTGGACCATGACTGGTCAGCTACTGTCAATGGTGTCGTGGGATCCACTCGTTATTGAATAATGAGGGATATTCGAATTCCTCTTTTTATTATTATTATCATTCTCATTATTATCTTGTTTATATCTTGTTTATTCCTGTTGTAGAAATTGACCCTTTAAGGCAGCAGAATTAGGGCTGGGCAGCGCCAAGTGACACGGCCGAAGTTTCGCTTCAGCGCTTAACGTCACAATCCACGCTTCAGAGTCAAGCCTATCAAGAAATAAAGAAAATAAACTCATTAATAAAGAAAGAATGTATGTGTAAGCGGAGCTGTATCACGCCATATATATATATATATATATTCATATATACCTACTGTAATGAAAATATGATCTAATCAACAACGCAATCCTACACATTATACATATTCAGGAGGTTAGACCCAAGGCACCACGCAGTACATGAACTACTCAGACTAAATCAGAGTCTGGGGATGATCGACTCTGCACGCACCACTCCACCGTCCATGCCTTCCCCCTCTTCTTACGCGTTTTACCCGTTCAGGTATGGCATGTCAATCATGCCATCTGCAGAGCCCGGGCTAACCCCTAAAACTGGATTTCCCCCCGCAAGGGAGGGGGGAAAGTTCGAGACCACATCATATTGTCATCAGTAACATTAGTGGAAGAAACGCAGACGATCCTTGCCACAGTGGCGTGGCATGATGTGGCATATCTGTTGCGTAACGGGCCACAGCTATGTACAGTATACATGTACTTTGGGGCTGCAGGCAAAAAGAGAACTAATATTTACATAAAGGTTTATCTAGAAGGGAAATAAGGGAGGTACAGGTGAAGAAAAGAAGGTTTGATGGGCTCATTGTTTGATGCTGTGTGATGTTGCTCGAGAAATCTGCATTGGTGCTAACAGGGGGGGGGGATATTCCCTCGTTGATGTGATAATGATGCGATGTGATGAATGAAAATTGGGTTGCTGCTTAGATAGGGGTGTAGTAAAACCGTCAGTATTCTCTCTGGGCCATTTCTGAACTATCTAGCTCTGAATGTGGGGGTAGGTAGGCATTGGATATCGAAGATTAGAGAAGGTATATATATATTCATGGATATATACTAAGATATAAGATACTCTCCTTCAATCCAGCCCAGAAATTTGCTTTATATATTTGACAAATAGACCATACGCCACCTAACAAAACGAATACTGGTGAATGTCCTTAGCCTGAAAACCAACATGGCCGAGAAAATATATAGAGTACAAAGTGGACCATTCAGAATACTCAAGACAAGCAAGCAAAAGCTTCAGTTTGGCCTGAGAACCATTCTAATCAGGGTTCTTCATCTACGTTTACATATGCTGCCATGAAGTTGACTGCAACCTCACCACTAAAGCCTCTCTATCCTAACTTGCCCTACTTTGCAGAATCTACAATTACGAGATGTCAAAAAACAATTTTAAAAAAAAGAATGCTATCTTATGCAACACACTACCAGAGACAAAAACTCGCTTCTGAAAGAGCAAGGACAAAACAACAGGGACAATTATAGACAGGGGCAATAGATCCGGATGGGGAAAAAGGGAAAACAACCAGAGGGGTAAACAGAGACACAGAGGGAAGGAGATAGGAAGAAAGGGGAATCCGAAGAAGCAAGAGAGAAATATATGCAACATGCCCTCCTCCAAGGTTCTAGCAAAGCAGATTGTGCAGAGAAACCATGCAGTCCGAAGACACTCTTTTTGCCCGACTGACACGGACAAGACGAGAGTGAACAGGTATGACAAGGTCGTGGAAGACAGCCGGGAAGAAAGAAAATAAACCAATGCCGAAGAGAAACGAGGAAACATTAATATGGCCGTCCCACTGATAAACAGGACGATTTGGAACCCAGGGCTGTTCCCAGTGTCAAAGCTTCTGATCCTGGTCGACCTCTGCTCATCTGTTCATCCCATCGCATGGCGCTCGGGCGAATGAGCAACTCATGCTCGGACATTGGGCCATCAACAAGATTGTCAAACCCCATCTGTGGAACCCCAGATCCCGAGGTAAGAGAATGGCAGTCGCCGGCAGGGTGTCAACCGTTGAGAAACCGATTCACTTGCAGGAAGACGAGGAGTGGTATTAAAAGGCGCATGTCGGAGTAGTGCGAGACGAGCAAAATAGAAAACACAAGGCAAAAAAAAAATCTCTCAAGTTCGCCGTTCCGAGCCGTAGCACCATGAAAGAGTGATGAGACGTAACATCAATCGGAGAGAAAAAAGGTCGTTGTGCCCACAGTCGAGCTGTAGGCTAGGGGAGTCGAATGGGAAGAAAGAGTAGGTCTAGAAGGGTGAGAGGAACGGGGAAGGCAATCCAAGTTCATCCGCAAGGCGAATGCGCTCAAACCTGGTACCAACCCAGCGCCAGAATGCCCTAGAGAAGAATCGAGAAAAACAGAGGAAATCCCATGCCGACTTTGTTTATTCTTGAAAGGGGAGGGAGTGGCCGTTTCTGACATCAAGAGGGCAGAAAGCACGGAAGCGTAGCACGGGGAGTCCGAATGTATCGCCGCATCATTTTTGGTCGAATTCAACCTGAATCCCAGAATGAGCTGGCTGCCCGACGCAGGGAAACAAGACAAGCCGGGAATCACCTACCGCAGCACAGAGCCTTCATCATTTTCTGAACGAAAGTAGGCTGCGGGTCATTGTTCCCTTGAGTCCCAACAAACTGTTGACTGTTCATCCCCTGGTTACCCGGGCTCCCGATACGGCCCGGAAGATGGGCGTTCGAGTTCTGAAACTGTGCTTGGGTGGACGCGGCTGGAGTCGTAGCTTCCAAGCCCCCGCTCTGACGTTTGGGTGGCATCCCGCCGGATACGCTTGGGCGCTCGCGCGTCTTCCCAGCCCCGGCTTTCGCTGGAGAAGGGGGCGGGGGCTGCGCGGCGTTTAAACGGTCGGCCGTGACCCCAGGACGTTGGCTGTGGCGAAGCTGGTTCGCGTGGTCGCGCCCCGTTGAGCCCTGATGCTGGTTGTGGAGATGCGCTTGCGACGAATACGACTTGTAGTCGTACCCGCGTCCGTTGTTCAGCTTCATCCAATCGTACTCCCCATCTTCCACTTCTCCAGCGTTCTTCAGGGCTTGCGTCAAGAGGTCGCGGAGATAATCGTAGTCTGGTGTGTCTTCAAACCCGAGATTGCGCACATAGCTCAAATACTTGTTGAACTCTTCTGGGGAAGGTTAGTTTTGTGGATAATAAGGACAATTGACGCAGATAGTGACCTACCCGGGTAGCCATCGCAGAGGTCTTTGATCGCCGTGGTCTGCTTCTTCTCGCCAATCTTCTCATACTTTTGCTTGTTGGTCGCCGCCTTCAGTCCCTGCCAGGGAAGACCACCCCTCAAGAAGTACATGAATACGTGCCCCAAAGCTTCCAGGTCATCCCGCCGAGATTGCTCACGGCCCAGATGCGTGTTGATACTCATGTACCGAGCAGTCCCAGACAGAGACTTGCGCTCACGGTAGGGGATGTGCTGCTTGGTTTTGGGATCACGGTATTGCTTGGCCATACCAAAATCAACGACATGAATGACATTGGCGGCTTTGGTAGAAGGCCGGCCAATAAGGAAATTATCAGGCTTGATGTCTCGGTAGATGAGATTCTTCTCGTGAATTGTCTGGACTCGGGAGAGCTGTGGGAATGGTTAGCCGCAATAAAGGCCGAATTCTGATTGCCTGTTGAGACGCACCATCTGCTTGGCCACCATGACTACGGTCTTGGTAGAAAACCGGCGGTTGCAGTGATCAAAAAGGTCTTCGAGACTGGGACCGAGAAGATCAATGACGAGGATGTTGTGCAGACCCTCCTGCCCGAAATAGTAGACATTAGGGATGCCGGCTAAACAAACGGTCAGCAAAAGGGGCCAGGGAAAAAACGAGACTAGATGCTCAGATACGTACGGCATCCGACCAGGATCTTATAAGTCCGGTATTCATCACGAAGCTGGGGAGCATCGCTCTTGCGAGGTTCCTGTTCTGGTCAGCCTGGGAACTCAGCCGCGTTCGGGGGAGATACAGCCACGTACGAATTTGATAGCCACCTGCTGGTTATTCAGGAGGTTGGTGCCCTCAAAAATGACACCAAACGAGCCTTCACCGATCTTCTTGCCCACGCGGTAGTGGACACCCACGACGTTTGACGAGGAGGATGCCATTGTTGAGTAGGCCCAAGGATAGTCGACCCAGGGACAAAACCTTGACGAGACAATGGATTCAAGGGCACGTGATTAGACGCTATCGGCACTGGGCGCAGTCAGCACATGTGTCGACCACCGCCGAAATTGGGCCACCTACACCGCAGGGGATGCCGAGATGGCAACCGGAGGAGTCCAATTCTGCCTCAATGAACCCAGTCACTTTGTCCACGAACTGATGGGCCGGTGCACGCAGGATCGGAGAGACGGGACGGCCGACCGAGAAGGGCGCGAGACGAACACGGATGAGAACCGGAGGATTAGCAGCGACCGGGACGATACAGGGCGTGCTGTGCAGGAATTGAAGTCCTCGGTGGTATTTTTTTTTTCTGACGGTCGGAGTCACGAACTGGGGTTCGAGCCGAGAGGTCCAAAGGACTTGCGGACGGGGCGCCAAATCGGGCACGTAACGGGGAAGGCCGAAAAGGCGATAATCAGAGGGAAGGTGAAAAAAAAAGTGCAAGAAAAAAAGAAGAGTACGCAGGGTACTCGCACCAACTGCGAGAGCACCAGGTTCCAGGGCAGGTTCCAGGGCAGGGGAGAAGAAGGGGTTTGGGAAGAGAAGAGAGGGAGAGAAAAGACAAGAGGGAGTATCGGGCGTGTATTTGGTACGGGGTCACAGCGTATTGTGACCAGAAACCCTGGAAAGCTTTAATTACCCTGATTCCTGATTTCTCAGGATTCCATGGACTCTGACTATTGGGTTTATGGAAAATATGAAAATATCATTCGAATTCTCCCTCGAATTCTAATTTTATTAGTGAGAGCCGCTGGGAAGAAAACTTGAGAAAGAATTTCGAGAGGCGCTTGCGGGTTCGGCCTGCAGCAGGTATAGGGATGGGATTTCTAGTTATATCTATATTACAGCTGCTATAATGATACTCACATAGTACTGATAGTAAAGAGGCAGATACTTCAACTGAAATCAACAAAAATACGTTGAATTTTTTTTGTCTCTCAGGGGATGTCTGGACTCGGTCTGGAATGCGTTGGAGCAAGCGGTAATTTTACGCGTCTTGGCAACTGGCAGCTTTGATCTTCTCTTATACTCGATATACTCTCTACTATACTATATGCTACACTATATACGATGTCCCAGTCGATATATATCAAAATTGATTGTCACTCAAAAATGAAGAGATCAATACAGCCCTCATCATGTACAGTCTACGATGACAGCGGATTACCAGCGATATTTTTGCACTTGACACGTCCACGACCCACCGGCCGATCCCTACATCATCCACTCCTGAGTCGGGATGGAGACCTATCGAGGTACAATGCAGTAGTGCAGACATAGGTACCTAGGGCTACGTAGCGTTTGATCCATATTCTTCTTGCTCTCGACTTCCTTCACACAGAAGCCCATATTGTTCATACTGATACAGTACCCCTCACACCTAAACAATTCGAACGTTGTCTTCTTTTATATTAATGTTTTATAAGATATAAACGCGAGGAATATCATGCTTGGCGTAGAGGACCCGTCAATCCTCATCGAATTCGAAGAAGCAGAGAAATCCAACCCAAGCCCACGGAAGATTATGGAAGACCGGGTTATCTATTCCTCGCGACAGTCTCAGCTTTGCAAAAGCCCATGGCCGTCCTATACTATCAGACTTTGGGGAGGCTCGCTTCAGCTCAAGTTTCTATATCGAGACCCCGAGGTAGTATTACGGATGCCATGGGATCACAAGATTGATATTTGGATTCTAGGAGTTTTTGTGCGTATATCAACCCACACAAGACCTAAAATCTCCAATACTAATGACATTTGTGTAGGCCTGGGGCCTTTTCGAACAGAGTCGGCTTTTCTATACTCGAGATTCAGGTAAAAACAGGTCAGACAGTCACCATCTCGCTGGGATTATAGCGATCCTTGGACCGCCGCCGAAAGACACCGTTCAAAATAGCGAGTATGGAAGGCAGTTTTTCGATCGCGAAGGTAAAGGCCCAATGATGACTCCAAGGCTAGTTTGCGATCTCCTAACGAGAAAGTGGCTAATGAGTGAAACCTAGGCAATTGGATAAGTGCCACTGAAATCCCCTCCAGAGGACCGAGCTTCTGCGAAGGAGTTACTATGGATCATTGGTTGAAATCATCTCAGATCGAAGCGAGAGTTGTCAGAGAAAAAGGAAAGCGAAGGGATCTTAACCGTAGTAGACCGGGAGGAAGGGCCGACGGAGATAGATTACCCATCCCAACTGCTGCTATCACTTACACTCCTCGATTGTTTCTTACATCCTAGTCCTGGGACCTGCAAGTAGGTTGTACTATATCAGAAAAGATAAACAAAGCATTAATTACCCTTAGCTAAATACCACCAGATCCAACTTGAAGGTAATTTAGCAGTAACCATGCGAGAATGCGAGACCAGCCCAGAACTTGGTAGTACTTCAATCAGCAAATGTCACGGGGGTTGGCGTGCACAATACGCGAGTTGTGGTCTTCTAGAAAAGGTGGTTTGACGTCAAACCCATTGGCGTGATGAAGATACGCCAGTTTCGCACCGAGGGGCTCATCCTCTGGCGGCCATCGTATAAGAGCCCAACCACGGCTTTTCCCATGTCGGAGCACATAGATTGGAACGATGGTGTTATTTTCGTGGGCCGTGAGAAAGTTGTAATCAAAGTGATTGATGTCGACGACGATGAATGTCCGGTCGCTCCATACATCAATGACAAGAAATAGAATCCGAGGGTCGCTTTCCCAGCCGGGGGAAAACTCGCTGACAACTTCGCTGGCTGAGGCGCGATAACTGTGAGCATACAATTCGCTTTGCAATGTTGTTTACCAAGATCTCTTTCCGTATATCAGAAAGGTTGGCCATGGATGTAGGCAACCGCAGGTTTTAATGTTCGCACTGAGGTGTATGTAGTTTGGGACTTGTTCGAAGTGATGACTTTTGGGAGGTGGATCGGAGAAGAGAAAGAGAAAGACTCTGCATGATTGAAAGAGCGAGGGCATAGAATCATTCCTTCTTATATCTGTCACTGCCGGGAGTTACGCTAATCCTAAAATGACAAGTATGTAGGTTCAATACACTCGGTCTACTCTGCAGGATAACTGGATTCTCGCAAGTTAGACACAAGAGTAGATACTAGAGAACCCCCCCGTCTATTCATCTTCGGGAATATCCTCGGCTTCACTGCCCAGTTCATCCTTGATAAGATCCTCGTCTTCGTCCATGGCTTCGTCAGCATCTTCATGCTCAGCATCTTCGTCCTCATCACTGCTTGAGCCGCTGCCGTCACTATCACCGTCACTGCCAGGGTCGTAATCCTCTTCCTCCTCGTCCTCCTGGTCATCGAGCTCCCGCTGGGCTTTTTGAAGCTCGCTTTCCTCGTCGGCACCGGCACCAGCACCGCCGGTGCTGGCGGCTGCAGCATCTTCGACTTTGTTCACATTGTACACCTTGGCGCGCCGAGCCTCGGCCAGACTGGCATCCTGCAGACCGTGTCGCTTGATGTAGGTGTCGATGCCGCTGAAATTGGCCTGATCGATCATAGAGAATTCAAATTCCTGCGTATCTGCATCGGAGCCGGTGGCCGGGCGGGCCATGATGTTGAGATTGAAGGTGCGCTGGAGAACAGACGTATACGAGACCGAGTCAATGGTGTCGAACGAGAAAAAGAGAAGCGGTTTCTTGAACGCAAACAAAATCCCCGTAGAGAGAAGGAAGAGGTAACCTGGTGCAATGGAGGAAAGGTGTTAGTGGATGCTTGTTTCTTTCCTTGTTTTCACTTTTCCCTCAACCATAGGGATGTCATGACATACCTTCTTTGCTACCGCGGAATGCCTTAACGTGGTATGCCTTCTCACCCTTCCGGTGCGCCTCGGGCATGGCGCTCACAAACTCCCTCTCATCGGGTCGCACAACGCTGGCATGAGGCAGATTTTCGTTGAGGACTTTGCGGATCAATCCTTCGGCGGTCTCGCCCTCGTTGTGACCAACCTGTTGCCCGGTCCCCAAGAACGCAGCCTTAGCCGGCCCATCGGCGACGGTAAACACCATAGCTTCGACAGCCGGCGTGCCGTCGGGGGGTGGTGTGATCCCATCCGCGTATTGGGGAATGATGCAGAAATTGAACTGTTTTTGCGTCTTCTCCGGTACGGGAAGGGACTGGGCATGTCCTAATGAGAGACCGAAGCCACATTAGCTTCTAGTACCATAAGAAAAATAGAAAAATGCCAAACTCACGGATCTGGTCCATGGGGACCCCGAATTCTATCCCCTTCGTCGTCTGATTCCTGGCCCGCAGGTACCTGCCCCCGGCAGTGACCTCGAGCGTGAACTTCTTGCGCTGTGGCACGGCGAAAGAAACATCCTGGACGTAGAACTGGACCGGCACATCTACGCCCTTCAGGTCGACCGACGCCGGCGCCGTCTCCCGCGAGTCTCCATTTTGTAGTTTGCGCTTCTTCGCGGCAGAGCCGTCACCAGTAGGTGGCGCGAGCGGGAGAGAAGTAGTAGTCGTATTCCTGGCCAGCAGGGTGCAAGTGTACTTTGCGAGGTCCTCAAACAAAGGCGTATGTTGCGGGGTGGTTCCTAGACAATCGAATGGATTGACGGGTCAGCGGATGGTCGACAGCGCCATCGGAGGGAGTGTGAGCGTTTCTGGGCGACGCACCGATCGCATCGTAGACTCGTTTCTTCAAGGACGGTTCTGTCGCGAGCGCCTCCTCAATGGCGGCGATGGGGGCGCCGCCGGAATTTATCGTGGCGAAGGCCATATTAAATGCGACTGCTATTTCCCACAAGAACAGCAGTGCAGGGAGAGGTTGAGGGAGGAGGGGGGGGGGGGGTGTATGGAGAAATGGGGATGAAATGTCGAAGGCGCGACGGGGCAGGGAAGACCCGGCGCACCCGTATGGATCAGAACCCTAACTTGTGCAATTTTTGGAAGAATCCAAAGATCTAAATCTTCAAATCTTGGGTATTATTCCCCAAGATAATATAAATAAATAAAGAGGAAATCGCATGTAGAATCCCAGACTAGAATACAATGGAGTTTGTACACAATGCTACCTTGAAAAAGCCACAAATATTGTCCTCCGTTCACACCAATTGTTGGGCATTAGCCTTCTTGCCCTTAGAAGCAGGACCAGACACATGAGTTAGGCTCTTGTTCAAGAAGTTGTTGATGAACCTGCTTGTCTCCTTGTTCATGATCCTGTTCCCGTCGGCATCCAGTGACGACTGCCTCTTGGCCAAGCCCCTCGCCTGCGCCCGAGCTCTCAGCTCCCCACGAGGCGTCAAAAGAGATTGGCTTTGAATATACTCTTGTCGATAGGCCTCTATGGTCTTCTCTCTCACGTATTCGGGGTCGTGTCGTGACCGGAACTTGGAGTACTTGTTCCGCAGCTCGTCAATGATGGTGGATGGGAATGGCGGGTTGTCCAAAGTCGGCACCCAGGTCTGCGTGTCCACCTCAACTCGCAAGGTGTCCCATTGCCCGTCCTTGATCTGTGGAAGTTCTTCCTTGGGCCAGGGGATTTCAAGGCCCAGGCCGGAGATGTACCGAGAATACCGCGGGGTCTCGCTGCCGGGTGGGCGTTCGTAGAAAGGCGGGCCTCCGTAGGCATGCTGTATAATGTAGTCTCGCGTCGAGCCCGGTTGATCTTTATCTTCCAGCGCAATAACGTGTCGAACGTTATCGATCGGTATGGGCATGGGCTGGGGCATAACGTCGGACTTGATACCCATTGAGGATTTGGCCCATTCGGGGACGGCTATATCAGCCTGCACGAAAGCCATGGGTTAGTATTTCGGATCAGCGGGGGGTGACCACGCCAGACATACCACATTGATATCCTTGACGAGAATCGTCTCACTGTCCGCGTTCACCTGGGTAACTTCATTGATCTTGCCCTGATCCCGTCCTCGGATCACACAGACTCGATCTCCGGGGGCAAAGAGGATGAACTTCCGACGCTGGTGCCGAGGAATACGCGGCGGGTGCATCGTGATGGCGTCGAGCGCACCGAAGGTAGTGGAGGCGAGACCGACATCTCGCTTGGGAGCCAGAGCTCCCTTTTCCCAATCCTCCCAGCGGGCGGCTTGGGAAGCCCGGATGTTATCGATCGTGGCTTTGTTGTATTCCTTCCGAAGTCGCGTCGTGTCCTTGCGTTCCACCAGACGCTCCCTTTCGGTGGCCTTGACAGCTCTCCGCTGGGCCTGCTTCCTGGCTGCTGCTCCCCGCTGAATAACTTTTTGCATTTTGTGCGTGGTGGCCCAGCAATGGCTGAACGTTGACTACTCCGGGAGAGTGAATGCATCCAGTGGAAAATTGCGGCCACGATCTGACCACGTGATCATATAATTTATGTAAGCAGTTTCGGGGTCTTTTCGGACTATATCGAGAGTAGCACTAGAAGTACTACCAAGTATTTGGTTTATATCGGTTACTTTCTAACAACTAGCAGAAGAGACGTATATTTGTATCTACTAGATACCTGGTGAGCTCAGTGTTTTAGGCAACAAACGTGCCGATGTCCTCGCGAAGTAAGTAGCAGTGGCGACTCCAGGGCACAGTTAGTAGATGGAGATTAAGGCTAGATACACTAGAATAGAACAACTTTTCCTCCCAGTGGTAATGCTAAAAAGCCTTCGCTATATCACAGTTGGATGTTATACAACCTACGGAACTCAACCATCCACGGTTGCAGATTCCAGCGTTCATCCTGCAAACAAAGCCCATGTGCCATCAGGGATATCTCCTCGGGATTCAAGTCCTTGAAATTGCTCTTCAGAAAGCCATTGGTTTCCTCGTAGGTAAGGCCAGGGGTTCCACCCCTTCTTTGTCGACGCTTCCGTAGCTCATCAAGGATTTTGTCGTTAAACTCGGGTTTTTTCATCTTCTTCCATTGAGACATTTCCAACCACAACTTTGTTAACCCAAAAACATCATTCTTAAAAGCATCGTATGGCATTCTGTTATACATCTCTGAATTATATAGATATTAGCCACTGAGACATCCAGCTGGTTGCATTTCGCATATGAGGGATGGGTAGGGACAGAAAAAAAAAGAAAAGAAAAAAAAGAAAAGAAAAGAAAGAAAAGGCATACCTGGACCGATATACAATACTGTCCCAGCACCTTTGGTGAGAATGCGCTCAGGTGCAAAAACAGCAAGATCCCAATCGATCAACCAGAATTTTCCTTTGTCGTTAAAGAGAACATTCTCGGGCTTGATATCCCGATAAGCAATGTTCACGCGATGAGCAGACAATAGTGCCCGCCCGATCCCATAGACGGTTATCTCGACATTGAAGTGCCATACACGCTGGTTCATCAGCTTCCACAAATCTGTGGTGCCTCTGTCCATGACTTGAACGGATTCTTTAGAGTTGCTGGACCAGAAATATTCCCGAAGCTGCATCACCCAGGGACTCTGGACTTGGTCTTGAAGGACAGACTGATCCACTCCCCCACCTCCCATTGATACCTTGATCGCTACGGGCAGTGGTTTTCCGATCATATTATTGTCTACCTTGCCTGGCATGTCGTAGGTAATTGTACCGCTCCAAACGTCGCCTTGGCTACCATCGCCCATGTGGTGGTCAAGTTTCAGTGTTGCGACTGGCCCATAGTCATCCTCCATGACATATTTTGTAATCCCGTTGGTCTCCTCCTTTCTCCCATTGAAAGAACAGGCCTTAGGGGGGCTCTTGCCATGACTCACGCTAGGTAGCGAGGCATCGTGACGAAGGGTTCGTGGGGCAAGCGTGGTTTCATTGTCAATCTGGGCTATCTCGCGGAATTGGGAGACTGGAATAGAGGCGATTTGAGGGATTAGCAGGGAATAAAGTCCCCATAATATTAGGGAATTGAAAAGGCGCATCTTGAAAGGATAAGAACGATAGGTGTTGAGTGGAAAAGGGACGATTAACTTTATGACAAGTTAGGAGACACAAGGAGCTCGGGCAGTGCCCACCATACATAAGAGAAGCACTTATATATGCTCCTCACTCCTTTAGTTACTTCACATAATTTTTCAAAAAATAGCAGCAGGTATTGAGACTGGGATGGAAGGATCATAAGGGGGCCAAAATGGGGTCTAGTTTCATTTAGGTACTACTATATAGTAGTATTTGCCCTCCTACTCCACCTGGGCGCACCCCCGATATGTATATGCCTTATTTACCGTCTTGCCTACTCCTATAGCTACCTACCTCACGCGAGTCGACAGGCCAGTATATACGCGATATATCGGCTAGTATAGGGGACAGAATGAAGAGTTTTTTTTTTACACAGAATTATCATATAATATTAGGTGGGTCAAGGTGGGTCAGGGTGCCAGAGGGCAAATTTACTACTTATGGCCCCGGTTGGCCCCATGTTGGTCTATGTAATTGAGAGGACTTGGAACAACTTGACTCCCATCTGCGATGATTCTTTTGAAAAAGATCACGCTCATATATTTTGGGTTATCTTTGAATCTCTACTGTGCCATCATATGGATCCTATCGTCCACATCCACGTCACTCCTCCACGCCCGGAACTTTGGTGCAGGCAATCTCAGCTCAAACATATGGTCAATCTCGGCGGCAGTGCGGCCCTTCATTTCTGGAACTGCCCACCATGTCCCCGCGAGTGACACCAAACAGAGCGCAGAGTAGACAAACCCGGTCTTCGCACCCAAGTTGCCGGCATCGGAGTTATAGATGTATGGCAGCACCACACTGAAGACAATCGTCAGGCCATTGACCGTCAAGTGGCCAATGCTCTGGGTTTTGGCTCGCAGACGCAGTGACGAAGTCTCGCCCACAATTGCGTATGAGGCAGGCCAGACGCCCATACCGCAGACCACGATGATCGCCATCATGGTTAGGGAAGTATACCTGTTGTTTTGGGTTAGACACACACATACACACACACACACACACACACACAGAGAGAGAGAGAGAGAGAGAGAGAGAGAGAGAGAGAAAGAGAGCTAGAACACAATAAAACTCACCAGACAGTAACGGTTCCTGACCAACAGCCTGCTATACCCATCCCCAACCAGAGGGCCGTGGTAATCGACAGGGAGATCATCGTAAGAATCCGCCGACCGGCCCTACTGGCAAGCCATATACCCACCCCATTCGCACTCAGACCCACCGCAATGCCTACCACCAGCATGATCATACTCTTGCCACTTTCCATGCCCACAACTTGCAAGAAATAGCTTGCACTGGACAGGAGCGAAAGCCCAAAGAGCGGAGGCAATCCTGCCGCAAAGGCAGTAATCAAAGAGCGGCGTCTATCGGTGCCCCGAAAGCAGTCGCGATAGGGGGTAGTGTGCTTCAAGCCCGTCTTTACTGCCAGAGACTGCTGTAGCGCCTGGACCAGCTGTCCACAATCCTGAGCCGCGGTATGTAATTTCCGGAGGGAGCGGTAGGCGCCAGCAGGATCCTGTTTTTGGATGAGGTAGGCGGGACTTTGGGGGATGAGGATGGCCATGAAGAACGGGATGGCGGAAAAGGGCCACATGGATCCAAAAGCCGCCAAGTATGAGTTGTGCGAGTTTCCTTCAGACGACATGAAGATCACGATGGCGCCCACCAGCTGCCCGGTCAAGGCAAAAGTCGGGAACAGAGCCATAGCTGACCCACGGAGACTGGTAGGGACTGTTTCCGAGATATAAGTCTGGGCGGTGGTGGTAGCCACGCCCAGGGCGATTCCCTGGATGATTTCGCCGACAAGAAACAGGCTCCGTCGGGCATTGAGGCCCTCCGGCAGATTCGAGACGTAGATGATGGTGACGCCCACGGCAGAGAACACACTAGCCATGGCCAGTGGCCATCGGCGACCTGCACGATCCTGCCAGGGGCCTGCGAACAAAGCGCCGACGATCTGTCCAACCGTGCTCATCGAGCTCCAGAGAGACAGCCACTTGGAAGGGATAATGTACTTGCGCGTGGGCGCGTACCACTCGCCAAAATCCTTTTGGAACTGCGGCGCCGAAGTGATCGATCCCACGATGACATTATCATAGCCCGACAGCAGGACTGTCAATGCCAGGCCGATCACGTAGGCCACGATTTTGGGATTATGTTGGATCGCTCGCAGGAGAGGCTCGTTGGATGTGCCGTCCCCGGTGCATTTTTTGATGCTAGCATCCGATCGTTGACTGTGGTCGGACCCTGTAGATTCATGATCTGATTCTTCAAAGTCGCGACTATGGTCGGGCTGGCCATAGAAGCGTTGGGTTTCGGTCTCTTGGTCGATCATGGTGGACAGGCCTGCGGCTCCAGGCCTGCTCGAACAGATTGCAAAGTCCAGAATGATTCCATTGCAGAGCCGTGGGTAAAGGATATATGTCTAAGGGGTGTATAGGAAGTTAGACTTCTCAGCCCAAGAGTTGGGGGCGGATCCAACCCATCGGTGCGGGTGTGCTCGTTGCCCTTCTGTACAATTTGTACGTGATTCGTTGAAGAACCACGAAGGGTAGGCCTAAGGGGATTTCAGGTATGAGGGCTGCCTATCACAAGAAAAGCCGTGGGTCTCTTGCACAGCAAGCGTAGGACAAGTCACTGCTTAAACCGTGAGCATGAGCCAGGGTCAGGGGCTGAAAAGCCCATGTCGATCTTTACGGGATTTTGAGGTTGAGAGAAATACAATACTTCAGTTGAGAAATGCAATGATTCTTCTTTTCTGGGTGATCGCTCTATATTCTTCAGACAATATCTGTGATATCTGTGCTGTTGATAGATTCAAGTAAACCCGGCTCTCTGGGACTATAAACTATTTCCTAAACTTGACGATCATCTGCTGGAACGCTGAAGGATCTACAGCCAGGGCTGTGCGATTTTCTACTGTAACATAGGATCCAGGTTCGGCGTCGCCGGGATCCACGGTATCATTGAAGTGAAAAGAAGCAGTGAGGCATGAACATTTCCATAACGACATAGAGGCTGGGTTGGCTCCAAGGCAAATCACCCTGCCGTCACCAGCTCTTGAAGCATCTCTGTGGCACGTCTGCGAATGGTAAAATGCGAGTCGCCCTTATATTCTTTCAGGATCGCACCGGGAATGCGTTCAACCATGTATTGCCCCAGTGAAACTGGAGTGTTGCAGTCTTCTGTCCCATACCACATTCGGACATGTGTGGCGGTGATCTTCTCCAGCTCGAGGCCCCAGTCGGATGTCAGAATCTGGCCTTCGTCCACAGTGGGGCCGGCGCCGTTCCGGTAGCTCTCCCTCAGAGTGGCTACTAGGGTGTCCACCACGTCGGGTCTCTCGCAAAACTCCCTATCCGAGGGATTCATGCGTGTGGCAGCCCCCTCGACAAACCCCTTCAGCTTCGCGGGATTGGGGTCTTGGGCGGGTCCGACAAATGAATAGTCTAGCAAGGCACGAGCTAACCAGGGAGCATAGGCCATTGAGTTCAACAAAACCCGCAGCTCAAAGGTCACGCCCGGGGTACCCAAGTGCCATGGACCCATGCCAGATATGATGCCGACCCCCAGCAGCTCGGTTTCGGGTAGCTGGGATGCACAGGCTAAGGCATAGGGTCCACCGGCCGAGATGCCGAGCACATAGTATTGTTGTATGTTAAGATGTTTGGCAAGCTCTTTCATATCTGCGGGCCAGTCAAGAAGTTTACGATTCGGCTGGGGAGAAGAAAGACCAATGCCAGGTCGATCCACCCCGATGACACGCACGTTCAACTCGCAGCCGGCTTGGTGGAGCGACGCAGCTTCTAGGCGCGACCCCGGGAGGCCATGAAAGACGAGAACCGGAGTCGCGTCACTAGCCTGCGAGCCAAATTCTGCAAACCCTAACTGACGCCCGTCGGAGAGGGTGGCTGTTTGCCCATGACGGGCCTGGAGAGATGGATCATGGAGAACAGAGCCAGTCATGGTTGATGTGGCTGCCACCAGCTGATCAGAAGCCCACACGAATAATACCTTTGGTTAACTTCAGGGGGTTGGCAAATTGTTTCAATTGAATTTGTATTGACACCCAGGTATCAGCTCCCCAGGCAGTTGACCTCCTTTTCGTGGGAGATTCGAAGTCCAGGATTTTGGCCCCTGTTCTGTTTCCTCTATTTTTAGTCATCCACTCCATACTTCCAATTTTGGAAGGTATTTTTTTTTACCGAATACTCTGGCAATCTCAACGGTAAATCAACCGCGACAGGCCAAGCACTTCCAGGCACGGAGATTTCTAAAGGGTTAGAACACGGGTGAAAAAAAAAGTTGATTATGACGGGAGAATCTTTCCGAGGGGCCTGCCAAAAAGCCCATGTTCACAGGCTGTGTTGGGCCCCTGAATTGATTACCAGAGCAAATCAGAACCACTGTAGACTAGGAAAACTTACACCAGACATGCACTTGTAATGATGTGCTTATATGTTGGGCGCCTCGAACTGGAGAATTGATCATTGTCCGAAGGAGCGAAGATGCAGGAAACGATCGGAGCGATCGTCACTGGACAGTCGAGTCAAGCATTTGTGGTTGAAAAGGTTATCAGTTCAGGCAACCACTTCCAGTGCATTGGTTTATGCAATTCAGCTTTGCAGGTATATCCTGGTCGAGTTGGACATACATTTCAGTGGAGTGGAGAATGAAACCGGTCTGGTAAGGCACAAGCACTGTATGAAGTTGTCAAATGTCTGTGACAGACACCCTAATTCCTTGAGTATTACCTACTTTAATATATATATATATATATATATATATATCGAGGCATAGAGCAGTGATTTCTGGAGTCGCATTGGAATATTTCCCTTACCAGGGCTACGTTGGAGGCTCTGTGTAGAATGTAAGTGTAAGGTATATCACACCAACACCCATGAGTTAATACTCATCGAAATAATCCCTTGCCTTCCCCAAAACTGAATAATTAGCCAGAAGACCAAAACCCCAGAGATTTACCCAGGAACCAGTTGGATCCCCTGAGTCGATGATATCAGATCCAGGCAGATATCGCGACGTCACTGCCACGGTGGCTGTGTGCCTTGAGAGGACAAAGAGTGGGCCGTGACGCGGATAGAGCGTTTTGCTGGACTCAGCCACACATACACTGCTAGGGCTGGGGGTATTGGTAATACCCGCACGGAGATGGTTTCAAGCCAGTAACCATTCCCGTAATGTGAATTTCCTTGTTTTCCTGGACTCAACAGTGGAGATGATTGTCAGTTGAAGAGGAGGTTCAGGGGGGGAAGAAGGAAGAAAAGTACAAAAAGGCACAAAAGGTCTCGGCCAGGGGGGGGGGAGAAATCCAAGACTTTCATTACTTACCGTACTGCCACCGCCCTCTTGTCGGGCTGGTATCTTTCTCTCTCTCCACCTCCAAATCATCATCTCTTCTTTCCAACTTCTTCATCGGAAAGTCTTTTCTTCCTCCCTCAGATCCTCTCAGGCTCTTATTTTTTTTTCTCTTTGCTTTCCGAATAACTACTTTGTTGCGCCTTTCCCCCTTATCACAGTATGGAACAACTCTTTTCCTTCCCTGACCCCCCCGATCCTGAACTTGTCCCTTTCCCATCTCTCTCCTGTTCACCCTTTAATTCTCAACCCCCCGCGTCCTCATCCATCCCTCTGAATACTTTCTGTCTGCGGGGCCCTCACTACCTGCCATTCCTTATTTCTCCCCCACTTATACTGACTCTTGTTTACCAAGATGGCTGAGATCCGTCGCAAGCTCGTCATCGTGGGCGATGGTGCCTGCGGTAAGACCTGTCTGCTCATGTAAGTTTCTTGCCGATACCATCCCGGATACCTGTCTTTTCTTTGGGCTTCTTGATTTCTCGACCAGTGGACTGACAAATACCCTTTTTTTACAGTGTTTTCTCCAAGGGCACCTTCCCTGAGGTGAGACCCCATCGACCCTTGTGATTCCGATTCCGATTCCGATCTCGATTCTCGCCCAGGAATCAAAATGAATAAAAAAAATTACCTTCCTAGTCGAGTTCATGATCTGACTTTGTGACTGCTAGGTCTACGTCCCCACTGTCTTCGAAAACTATGTCGCCGATGTCGACGTTGATGGCAAGCACGTTGAACTTGCTCTTTGGGATACGGCTGGCCAGGAAGATTACGACCGCCTGCGCCCCCTGTCATACCCTGACTCCCACGTTATCCTGATCTGTTTTGCGGTGGACTCGCCCGATTCGCTCGACAACGTCCAGGAGAAGGTGTGTGCTTCCGAGCAACCCCCTCCCAAATACCTGAGGCGCACGAGTCTTTTCCCGGAAGACAATAAAATGCGCTTTGAGATGGAACGCCTGCTGATATACTTTTCCAGTGGATTTCCGAGGTTCTCCACTTCTGCCAGGGCCTCCCCATCATCCTGGTTGGCTGCAAGATGGATCTGCGCCACGACCCCAAGACGATAGAGGAGCTTACCAAGACCTCCCAGAAGCCCGTCACCCCTGAGCAGGTATGTATCGATGGCCTCTTTTTGGCCTGGAACTTGGCTAATTCGTCGATGCAGGGTGAGGAGGTCCGCAAGAAGATCGGTGCCTACAAGTACCTTGAGTGCTCTGCCCGCACCAACGAGGGTGTCCGTGAGGTCTTCGATGCTGCTACCCGTGCCGCTCTCCTGAAGGTCGGCAAGGGTAAGAAGGGTGGCAAGCAGGGCCGCGGTCCCTGTCTGATCTTGTAAAATAACCAAATCCTTGGTCCGGCTTTGAGCGGAAATGAGCCCAGAAGCTGAGGGCCAGATGAATTGATCGGGATTTTGTTCTCGTGGAACGGGGGGCTTCTGGGCCTACATGGCGGGATGGATCAGCCCGAGGGGAATCCTCACCGCAGTTGGTCGGCCTTGCGTTTCTTTGATTTTTCCCTTTTGCCTTTATTTTGCAGAATTTGTCTAGGGAGGCGTTGTCTTCATCATAACCCTGTGGGCTTTTCTTTTTCCTCTTTACTTTTCCTCCCTCTCCTCTCTCCCGGCCCCATTCGTGGATCTCAAATGGCGCAAGACCCGTCTGGGGCTGTATAATCCTCCAAGTGGCAGCCATGAGAAGTAGTGCCGGGCAGTGAATTGGGCAACACCGTGACTCCACTCCCTGTGATGGTAGATGAATCCTGCCGCTTCGGATAACCCCACCCCCAGCGAAGAGCTCCTCTATTCGGTTGTTTCTTTTCTTTTCTCTTTTTTTTGTCTGCCCTCCTTATCATAATGGTTTTGTGAAGGATAATGCATGGAACTGCTGTTTATCTGGCTTATAATGCATCTATACTATAGTTCATGGGGTTATAGGGATGATATATAGAGAGAATAAAGGACAGCTCAGCTACTTGAGTTTGTAAAGTAGAGTTATGAGGACGAGAACAAAGGGGATTGATATCCTCATAGATATAAGACTTTTCCCCGAGAGAGATGATCTTTTATCTCTCCAGGCCCCCCTTCCGCCTATATCAACTTGCCCAGGTGAGCTTTACCCACTTCATCTATTAGATCGCAAGATGACCTAAAGGCACCAAAACAATTACCAAAAAAAAGGGCCGAGGATCACCGGTTTAAACTAAGGAGACTCTCAAGATACCGGCGGGCATCCATGCCTAACCCCTCGACCAGTTTCGCTGGCGCCAAGTCTGCTGCACGCGAAGACCCCGTCAGGCCCGACGACGCGCCGCCCAAGTCCCGGAAGAAGCGAGCGCCGCTGCTGACCCGGTTGCTGGCGGTGGTGGCAACGTAGTCACTCGCCTGGCGGACGAGGAAGGCTTCCTGGGCTGGAGGGGGTTGAGACTCAAGGAAAGAAGAGGAGGCATCGTGATGGTGATGATGATGGTGGTCGTCGTCGGTGGTCACGGCAGAGAGAGCCGCGGATGAGGATGCGGAGGATTGCGCGGGTGCCGGGTGGGTGTGCGGGACTCGTACCCAGACGATCCACCAGCCGCGACTGGTTTTGCACGTGCGTTCGAGTTCCTGCGGGCGCGGCCGGGTATCGGTGTACGTGGATAAGAGGCGGTGGTGGACAGCGAGGCTCTCGACGCGGGACCAGGGTGGTGCGGTGGGTGTTGCGGGAGTGGGGGATGTAAAGGAGGAGCGGGCTGGTGAGCGGCTAGGCTGGGGAGGGTGTGTCGAGGGGCCAACACTGGGGATATTGGGGATAGAGGAGCGGATGGTTAGATTGTATGGGTCATAGACCAGGTCGTAGATGGGTTGTGTGCGTGGGGAGATGCGGGAAGCGGCTGTGGTGGGCGAGGTTGATGCGAGGAGTGGTTTCTGGAGTGGGCCCAGTTGATGGTGGATGCTTGAGTAGAGCGACGGAGAGGAGAGAGACGGCATCTCGGTGTCGAACAAGAAGGTAAACATGAATGGTTGGTGCTGTTGCACGCCAGGTGTGAGCAAGATCAGCCAGCTAATTCGAGGGTTCACATCCACTTACCACATAGACCACTGCTTGCAGCTGTTTCCGATGTCCATCGGCAGCATCTGCCAGCCGGACATGTAAAATTCTGCGCATTATCCGACTTTTGGGTTTGGGAGGATCCAACTCGGACGCTGGACTGCCTTCTTCCAAATCATCCAAGGTCTCCAGATCGTCTCGAGGTCCGAGTACGAAACGACCCTGGGCATTGGACTTCGCTTCGTTGTGATGCTCATTTGTTTGAGAAGATTTGGTTCGCGAGGACTGCTCTCCATTGGCAGAACTGTCATTCTGTTTTGATGAAACTCCGGCCGTGGGAGGGCTCCCTGAGGGCGAGGACGTTGACTTGGCCGAGAAATTCCACGAGCCATATCCCAGAGTTAGGTACTTCATAACTGTGTCTGTTCCAAACCCTGACCTCTCGCTTCTTTGGTCACTGGAAAGAGACGAGCTTTGGTTTTTGTCATCGGAGGGATTCTCCTCGACTGCCTGGATTGGCTGGGGTGCCGCTGTCACTAGCGGACGAGGGATTCCTGGTGTAAAGCTTCGATCTGGGGTAGAGGGGTGAGGTCCTCCCTGGTCATCTGTGATATTTTGACCACCAGATGACTGCTTTCCTCGTGGCTTCCGTGGTCTTCGACGACGCAGCGAGGTTGGGTCCCGCCCAACACCATATGCCGCATCCCCATGTCGGAATACCCACTCCATCCACTGCGAGATGTGTGCCAGAGAGGGTCCGGAGATGGCCCCAACACCGGAGAAAATGACGCCGTCAGCGGGCCGAGGATCATCATCCAACCCAAGCCATCGACTATGATTTGACTCGGTTGTCAACAAGGGGCTCTCGGACGAATCGCCGAACCTCGAGACGACCAAGTCCACCAATCCATCTATTCTCGTCACAAAGTCTTCCAGTACTTCTCTTTCGCCGCTTCCCCATTCCTCCTCTCCCACTCCGACGCCCAATTCTCCTCCAGCAGAGAGTTTGATACCGTTATAGATATCCACGATGGGGTTTCCGGACAAAAGCAGTTCCCACTTCCATGCAAACTTGTCCCAAAAGCGGTCGAGAAGAAGACAAAACGAAGACCTGCCCACACGGCTGTATAGATCACCCAAGGAGAAGTCATGGTGGAGAAGGAATATCGTATGTGCGCGGCGTAGTTGCTGGATCAAGAGCTGCGGAGGGCTCATTTCCCTCGACGAATATTGAAAAACAGGGGACTCAGTGGGATCCGATAAGGAGCCATGGGCTGGATCAGCGGGCAGCCGAGTCAAGTCCACGGACTGGTATGATCTGAGTTACAATGTTGGTGCTCCTTGGGGACTCTTACTACTTACAGCAACTATCCACCAATCCTTCTCCAACTCAATGAGCACAACTCGCGTTTGATCGGTCTCGACATACTCCAGTGCTTTCCCTGCCGAGAAATTGCTGTAGAATAAAGCCAATAAGCCTTGTGCCATGCGCGCGAGGATGTGACGCCCACCTGGCGAAGCTCACCATGCCCTGCGCCAGACCTATTTGGCGCAATCTCTCGTTCTTTTCATGGCCCACAGTTTTTCCCACTTCCTCTTCGGTAGTTGATTCATCGACATCCTGCAGGCGATTCGACCTCGAAGTGTAAAACACGATCTGATCCTCTAAGGTCTCGTCGGTGGGCCCGAGGGTCGGGTTGTAGATCGCAAGGAAGGAAAGCTGCGCGGGGACCACCGATCCAGAATCGCTTTCTGGCATGGCATCGCTCTGCAGCGTCTGCAGTTCACATCCAAGAGGTATTGCAAGTCGCAAGCAGGCAATGGGCGATCCAACGTGGGCGATGTTATCATCACGTGGCTTATCGATAAGTCGCAGCTCCGCAGCTCCAGCTTGCTTTCGCCGACAATTGCGCAAGGCATGTTTGCGATTCGAGGGTTTGGGGGCTTTAGCCTCTGCCAGCGACTATCGGCTCCATGGGGATTTCTTTATAGGTCTTATGCGACCAAATCCTACGATCCGCTGCGGATTCTGTTCTGCGGCTCCGACGAGTTCAGCATTGCCTCCTTGAAAGCTCTCCACGCCTATCATTTGAAACAGCCAGACCGCATCTCCTCGATTGATGTGGTTTGTCGACCAGGGAAAAGAGTTGGAAGAGGGTTGAAGAAGATTAGAGAAGGTACGGCCCATTTCGGACGCTCTGTCACAGCAGTCTGATCTGACGTTTCGATTAGTGCCGATCAAGGAGGCCGCATCTGCTCTGTCTCTCCCAATCCATGAGATTGATACATTTACAGGATGGGCAGTAAGATGGTCTTATAATATAGTAGAGGCATATTGAGTTGCTGACCCTATTAGCCCCCGGTTTCTTCGAATGGTCCTGTTAACCTGATCATCGCGGTGTCGTTCGGTCTTTTCGTACCACCCCGTATACTAAACGGTGCCAAATATGGAGGATTGAATATACACCCTTCGCTACTTCCAGAGTATGTGATTATCAAGTAACGAAGCTTAGACAGGAATTGGCCACTGATCGTGATTGATTAGCTTCCGAGGCCCGGCACCACTGCACCATACGCTGCTGGCCGGTCGAACCACAACTGGTGTGACACTTCAGACCTTGCATCTCAAGAACTTTGATCATGGAACAATTCTCTCCCAAACTCCAGCCCCAGGGGTTGAAATCCCTAACCCCAATTCATGCACTGTTCCAGAGCTACTAGATCTCGTCGCACCGCAAGGAGCGCAGCTACTGGTGAATGGTATCCAAGAAGGACTTTTTGTACCGCCAGTCGCAGATGGAGGGTGGCAGCCTGCTGAAGGAAACGAAACCATAATCCACGCAGCCAAAATCAAGCCCGAAGATAGGCACATCGACTGGACGAACTGGTCGTCGGTCGATATCCGCAGAAGGATTCGCGTTCTCGGACCTCTGTGGAGCAAGGCCCTCGTTGCAAGCCACTCTGCAGATGGGTCTCCATCATTCCAACAGAAGCGAGTGATTGTCACCGAGACAGAAGAAGTAGACCCACCCCAGGGGAGCGACTCGTTCGCCCTTCTGCCCGGTTTGCCGTTTGCAAATGGCCCACATCCCGCCGAGGCGAAGAAAGGACGATCCCTCTATGTCTTTACTCTGGACGGCAAAGTGCTCCGTATCAATCAAATGAAAGTGGAAGGCGAGCAAGCTGCAGATGGACTACGGGCTGCCATCAAGGCTCGCATGTTCGGTGATCGAACTTTCCAGTCGGGGGGTGCTGAGTTTATACCCTTTCGCAATCCCCTCGCATGAACAGATACCAGCCCCGAAAACATGTACAATATTGCTTGAGCAAATAAATAAAATAAGATACGCTTGGCATTGGAACCTGACAAGCCATTATCATTTCTGTCGCTAGTTTCTTGCCATTTTTCTTAGATTGCAAACCCAGCATCTAGGAATGTCAGTCATAAGCCGAGCCACAAGCTCTCTTTCTTGGAGAATCATACCGATCTGAACCGTCTGGCCGGTTATAGAAGGATTCTTCGCGATGTTGATATACATGTCTGCATTATCTTCCACCTCGGGCTGCGGAAGTTGCACGTTAGGGAGGATTAAAGTCAGAATCCCGATGATCAGTTGTACATACCACCCGCTTGAGAGCCGCTTTGCTCTTATAATCCTCGATTTTCTCCGGAGAGAATCGCTGACCCTGCCATCGAATGAGACCCTGTGTTTTTGACGACGTCAAACGAGACCCTTGGGTTTCTCACTTACCCACTCCGTGAGCAAGAGACCGGGCAGCACGGCATTGACCCTGACCTTGGTGCCCTGGGTTTTGGCAAGACATTTCATGAGGTGGATTGCTAGATCGTGGTATCAGCCCTGGGGATTAACTACGCTCTGAGAGCCAAGAAACAGAGAGTTGACGAACCTGCTGCCTTGGTCACAGAGTACGGCAAGCTGCTGCCACTCGGGGTGACTCCCTGAAACAATAGTACCGGGTTAATTCTTTTTTTCGGAGGCCAAGTTAGCATGAGGGTAGAGACATACCGCAGTCGACGATGTGATGATGAACGCGCCACCTTCGGGATTGGCATTGAACGTGGGCAAAGCCGCCTTGAAGAGGTGAAGACTGCTCTTGACATTGACCGACCAGCACTGTTCATTGGTTAATATGCTTTAGCCCAAGAATAAGCTCGCCGGGTGTGGGATTAGCTACCTTATCCCAGTCGGCGTCATCCATTGCATCCAAATCGGCAAATTCGGTGATCTTTGTCCATCCCTATACAGTTCCCGCAATGGTCAGCCTCTAAGGATACAATAGTACTTTGATTAGGCAAAGGAATACTGACAGCGTTTGAAATGATGATATCCAAGCCGCCCAGTTGCTCGATGGTAGTGTTGACGGCGTTGGCGCAATCACCTTTGGACTCCGGCATCCTGCAATCAGGATGGGATACATATGTCAGAGATTTGGATTCCTCTTCATTAAATCGGAAACTGAGAAGCCATACACCCTGGATAACAATCGTTTTGACGCCGTACTGGCTCGCGATGCCCGAGGCCACTTTCTCGGCATCGTCTCGACTGGACATGTAGTTGATAGCAACGTTACTCCCCTCGGCGGCGAACTTTTCGGCCACGAGGGCACCAAGTCCTCTACTCAACAGCAATTAGCTAAAGCATTAGCGAGAGAGATAGACAGGAACAGAGAGGCGTTGCTGCTAACAACACAGGCATCCATACCGGGAACCTCCGATGATCAGGACATTACGGTCCCGCAACGAGTATGGCATGGCGAACGATATCAAATGGGCAAAAGAATATCGAATGATTGAGTATATGAGGAGAATCAAAAGCTCGGTGCTGTCAGGATTCACGCTGAATTAAACATGGAAGACTTCCGTGATGCGGGGCGATGCGAGCGGACTTCGATGCGCTGAAAGTCTCCCACGGGGTTGTTCTGGCTTGATGATACAGCACTATTGATGCTTGATATGTGCCAGAATGGGGGCTATTGGAAAAAATTATACTTGAAACTATTTAAGCAACTCAAAAGAATAGCCGTGGAGGAATGAGGTAGACTATATTAATAGCTTCAGGTAAACATGGTCATGTCTCTACCTCGGCATGCAGAGAGAATGAAATGCAGTACGCTTGTATTGCGCTGTGGGTCATGACTTTCATATTCAGACTGTCGTAACTCGTGAAATCAATTAGGTATACATAGTCATTGAAAATCTTCAAAATAGTTTTTCTTTTTGCCAAAAACTGCTGACACTCAGAGAACAAGCCAACCCACGTACTCCGTCTTCTGCATCCCCCACCAGGCTCGTCTTCCGCCCAGGCCAGGCCATTGTACAAAGAAGCGGTCGGCAACCGGCAAGAGGAGAAGGCCTGAGAGACTCAAATTGCGAACTCGCGCCCACGACTCGACGAAAACAGTGCGCAGCCTCGGGATGCGCGGGCTCTGTGAGCGGGAGAAAAAGCGGTGGATACACTGCAAGAAGCGAAGGAGTTTCGCGGCGAGCATGACACAGACGGCCGTGGCTGGGCCATTGGCGAAGATAATGTCAGGGTAAGGCGAAGTAAATTTTCCCGGCAGTCGGGGCTGATCCGGATGAAGGCCGCGCAAAACGAGAAGACATGCCCAGAAGCATTCCAATGTAGAGAACGGCGCTGACAGGTAGGACTGATGGACCTTTCGCGCACGCGGGACTGTCACAACACTGTAGCTGTTGGTGTGCGCCGTGGCTGGTGCGTCTGGTTTATGCTTGTTCTCAAATTCCACCGCTTTATTCGCGCTGAAGCTATCGCCCGAGCTAACAAGGTAGGTTCGATAGGTGTATAGGGACTGGTCGAGCTCCATGTGATCGAGCATGGAGAGCATCTCAGTCGTGTGGCCGCCACTGCCCAGAACCACGAGTAGATGAGCTGGAGTATGCTTGGGACGGCATTTGGCGACAGCAGTGTTGTGGGATATCGTTAGGGCGAGGATTAGTATCTAGAAGCATTGATTAGGCTGGATACTCCAACTACGTTGCGAGGACACTGGAGACACTTACAGCAATGGTACTAACGCCAAGAAGAGCTGCTGAAACCAGGATCACCCCGAGGAGACCCCAGGGAAATGTGAAAGCCATTGGAGCAAGCTGGTTGCTTGTCCTGGAGATTGGGGATTGGGAACTAGGGAATTATCAAGGTGGAAGGGTCATGATCAAAGATGGATCAAAGCGATAGATGTAGAATCAAAGAGCATAAAGGACAGAGAGCAAGTAAAAGAAGTGAAAGAAAGAGACTGCAATTCGAAGCGCGTCCGCACGTGGTCCGTGCCGCTCGGTGATTATTTTTCGTGTTGTCTTAACTCCTTCGCCCATTCTCCCTTGATTCACCTCTCCTCTTCTTCTCCAGCACCGATGCTCCTAGCAGGAGATGGCACCTCTCTTCTCTAATCGCCTGACCTGCTTTTATTGTGGGCGACGCTCCACTCAGTCTCTTCGTGGTGTTCGCAAGTTTCGCTGCGAACACTGCGAGGCCGACAATTATCTCGACGAGGTGCGCTTCCCCACTGTTTATCCCAGACCATCCCGATATATACTAACTGCTATCGCTCGATGGCATAGAATGGAGAAATCACAGATCCGCCTGCGACGGAGACTAATCCAACAGTCCATGGGCCTGATGCATCCAGCCCGCCCTTCGAGACGGCCGAGTTCACAGACTCTGGATTGTTTTGTTCCACATGTACTCGCAATCAGCACCTCTTTACAAGCTCGCTAGCCTCCTATTTTCCTTCACCAGACGACCCCATGTACGCCGTCTATGAACGGGATTATCCCGAGTTCCGCAGAGGTCTCGAGGACCGCTACCCACAAGTGTGCGACGTGTGCGAACCTCGAGTCAGACAACGCATTCGCCAAACTGGATATGAAGCCAAGGCAGACCATCTGCGCCGCATGATGGATCGCAGCCGCGCGAGCAAGGCTGCGAGGCGGGCCCGGAACCGGAATTGGAGGAGTGTACTCGTTCTCACGGGCGCTCTTGGCTATTGGAGCAGTGTTGTTGGCCAGTTAGCATGGGATGTGATGAGTGCTTTGACCGCTATTCAAATACCAGAGGGCTCCGACACATCTCCGGTGACGCCTCCGTCTTGGGTCTCTTGCGTGAGGCGGACAGTGGAGATGCGCCGCGTTCCGGGTCAATGCGCCTTTGACTTGGCCCCATCTGCAGGGTTGGCACTTGTCGCCGGTAGTCTTTCGCTCTGGTGGAATCCAAAATTGCGCATGAAGGTAGAAGGAATAGGTGGTCGATTTGCCGGTTTGGGAGAGTACTATAAAGTGCAACTGATCGCCTTGGTGGTGCGATGTGTGTTCTGGGCAGTTCTCAAGGACCCATCGGCCAGCGGTCTCGAGCCTACTTTGCCTCCAGCTTTGCATATGTTTATGATTATTTTTACTGTTTTGGTGAGTTTTGCTTCCCTCTTTTCCCCCCTGCCATGTGCTAATGTGACAGTCTGTTGGAATTTCTCGCCGTGTGGTCAAGTACGACACTCGTCCGCTGGTCGATTGGTCGGATCATACTTGGGAAAATGCTCCCCTTCGTAGTGCTGAATCGTCACCAGTATCAGCCGCTCGAAGTAAACCGACCGGCCTCAAGCCCAACCCGAACATGGAGCGAATCGGGCACCGGTTTCCAATCGAGAAGCTGGGCTCTCCTCGGCCTTCTCCCGAGCAAGCGCCTGCCATCCCTACGCCACCCCCGGAGACTGATGACATGGACTGGACACCTTCTACCCAGCAGGAGATTCGCCCGACTGTGAGCGTTTACCAGCGCAACCAGCCATCTGTGTTTGATGGCCCTTCTCCCTTCCACGGAGCTCTTCCGCCTGCTCCAAAACCTCCAGCATGGAATCTGCGCACGCAACCCTCGACCAAGCCCCTCGAGCAGGTTGTTGAACGCAATCCATTCCACCAAAATCCTTCTCAACCACCGAGCCAGTGGCAACATAAAGATACCACTTCGGAACCCGTTTTTAAACCGCCCAAGTTCTTTCCCATGAGTGATCATGACACTTCTACTGGACTGGAGACATTGTTTGACCGTGCCTTCACAATTCAAACGGATGATGCTCCTAGGAATAGGTGGGCTCAGCAAGAACCGAGTCACAGCTCTTATCCCAGACACGCGCATAACTTTCTCATCATCCAATATCTCCGTCTTGGGCTGCTGGTGGTTTCTATCAGTGCGTGGACTTTGTCTCAGAATCACCAGCTTTCAATCCCCGGCAATTACATCGAGATCGGTGCTCTAGGAAGTGCAAGCCTTCTCGCGGGGTTTGCGCTCTTGGAGGCTGCGAAACGGCCGCTGGCACAATGGAACGGCATGGAAATATTGGTGTATATCACGGAGCTCGGGGCGGCAGTTCATCTGGGAGCCCATCTGCCAATGGTCTCCTTTGAGCGAGAGTATTTTGATCGGTACGGTAAATTGCTCTTGATTTTCATGGTGGCACAAGAGGTTTTGGGTCTTGTGGCCTTCTATCGGGTTTCAACCGCCACCAGCGCGGATGGTCAGTCATCGGCGCGGCCTGCGTCACAGCATGCATCACCCCAGCCGCAACCACCACAGCTAGATGCTCTTGCCTTGTCTCCATCAGAGCCGGCCGATTCTCCATTTGTACCTCGATCTTTTGGTTCGCAATTGTCGGCCCCTCCGCTTTCCTTCTCGTCTACAGCAGGGACATCCAGCTTCTCTTCAGCGTTGCCTTCTGTGCCGCAAAACCCACAATACCGACTCTCTTCGTCTCAGTCCCTCAACTCTCTGTCTAGCCACCAAAACAGAAACCCGCACAGCTTTACCATGAAGTCTCTTAAGGAAAGCGAGCCTTCTTCAGATTACGAACAAGACTCGGACAGCGAGACCGTTGCCACTACTGCCACCACGCTCACTGATGCCACTACTCGCAATATTCGGTATGGGCGCAATCCCAATCTGGAACACAACCCTCCCTTCTCCCCGAGACGGAGTGAATTGGGCCCAGGAATCGGTGGTCTGAGCCTGGAGGATCGACCTGCGCCTCGCCACATGACTCGCAGCCAGACGCAGCAGGGACTCATGGGACGGCGATTCCCATCCCGCGCTTAACAGTTGCACCTTTCTTCGTCTTTCCCTTGTTTTCAGTGCTTTTGTCTTTGCTTTATTTCTCTTGTGGAGTTTCCCTCATTTGTTCTTGTTTACCCTTCCTGGTACTATATTGGCCTGTTGCTGCTAGATTTGGCCATGGAAGTGTTGCTTTTTTTTTATCTTTTTCATGGGGTGATCTGCGAGCATACCGATTCATAGCGCCGGCGATTTCCTTTCTATTTTTTTTTTCTGGTCGTGTATATAGGTCCAAGCTGCCTATCCGCCAGTTGCACATATGTCTCTGGGCTATTCTTTTTCTATCTTTTCCTCGACACGCATGAAATGACGATATGAGCAATATGAATATACAATTTTATCTTACAAGAGAAAAGAAAGAACCAAGCTATCCAATCTTGAACAGGGCTGAGGAGTGTTATCATTCTGGAAACAACCTCATGTCAAGCTAAACGTATAAGACGTCCTCTCATTGATACCAAAAACCAACCCAATCGTATTAGCTCGTCTTATAATTTCTCATAAAAGGCATAACCCCCGGGACTTCCTCTACTCAGGCCTATTGGCCCACTCTCTCTACATGGGCCTCAGTAGCCTTGTCTGCTCCCGACGTCGAGCCCCGCTCAGGGTCGTTCTTGTGGGCGAGAAGCTCTGTGACGCCGAAGAGCTCGTCCATTTTCTCTAGGGACAGGCCTGTGCGGAGATGATTGGTGATTAGCGAGCTTCCATGCAAGATATACTAATATACCACGCCATGAACTGTATGTCTCGGGCTGCAAGGTCCAGACTCACCTTTCGTCTCGGGAATGAAGAACCACACAAAGACACCCATGGAGAAACAGAAGCAGGCGAAGATAATGTATGTGCTTGAATTGACCCGAAACATTAGCAAGGGCACAGTGGTTGCAGTGCAACAGAAGAAACAACATAGACCAACTCACCCATAACCATTAGCCCCAACAGTAGCCAACATATTCGGCACGGCCCTCGCAACCACAAAATTAAACAACCACTGCGTAGCCGCCCCAAAAGCCACATTGAGCGAGCGCAGCCGCGCCGTCGGGATCTCAGAGACATAGATCCAGCAGACAGGACCCCAACCGAATTGGAAGAACCCCGCAAACAGGAAAATGCACACCAGCGCGACGTAGCCGGCGGGCATGACGGGGGCTCCCGATACGGGGGGTGCGATGCGGATGTATAGTCCGATGTAGAGCATGGCGAGACCCTGGGCGACGGAGGTCCAGAGGAGCGAGCGGCGGCGGCCGAGGGAGTCGGCGACGAAGATGAGGAAGACGCCGCAGCTGACCATTTTCACGATGCCGTAGACGCCGGTGGCGAAGAGGTTTGTTGCGTTGCCGTTGACGCCGAGCTAGATAATGGTATGGTTAGAGTTTGCTCTTTTGTTTTTCTTTCTTTCTTCCTCTGCTCGTTCATTCAAGAGGCCTAGAAGGAAATTTGTAGCTCACGTTCTTGACTGGAGATATTGTTAGCAAAGTTCTCATTCACTGAAATTCCCACAGAGGGAGAGGGTATGCGTACAGATCTGAGGCGCATAGTAGTTGATAGCATTAGTCCCCGTCATCTGCTGACAGACCATCAAAAACAAAGAAATAAGAGCGCGTTTCCGATTGCCAGGGATAAGCCACATCTCCTTCATAAGATCCCAGAAGCCCGAGCCGTCGATGAGCGCGCGCTCCTGCTCAAGTTGGGTGGCAATGCCTTGGAACTCGTCCTCGACATAGGGGTGGTCAGGCGGCAAGGAGCGTACCATGGACAGCGTGGCGCGGGCCTCTTCCCAGCGGTCCTGCTTGGCCAGCCAGCGCGGCGACTCGTTGCACAGTAACATGCCGCACAGCAGCAGCACGGCGGGCAGGCCCTGCATTGCCAGCGGGACCAGGTACATGGCAGGGCCTGTGATGTGCAGCAGTGAGCCGTAGTTGATCCAGAACGCGAGCATGATCCCCGTCGTGATGAAGAGCTGGTAGAGACCCGTTAGTCCGCCGCGGATTGCGCGCGGTGCGTTCTCGGCGACGTAGAGCGGGTTGATCATTGATGCTGCGCCGACGCCGAATCCGGTTATCAGACTATATCGGGCATGAGGTGTCAGAAAGAGAATTGTTCTATATGTGGTGGGGAAGTTGCAAGCTCACCGTCCAATGTACATGGCCTCTAGGTGGCCGCTGGCTGCTGTCTGCATGATAATCCCTATGATAGCTACCACAGCAGCCCCGAGCAGGGATTTCTTCCGACCCCATCGCTCGGCCACTGGGGATGCAAAAAGGGCTCCGAAGAAGCATCCCGCTTGGAGAGTGGAGACGATATTGGCGGACAGGTTGGCTTGGCCGACCTTGTCGAGGCCTTCTAGACCGTAAGTGCTGCAGGTTGACAAGTCGCGTCAGCATGGAGATCTGAACAGCAGAGAAACAGAGAGACTTACCGTTCGAATGGGGGCATCGTAAGGACCCCGCCAATAATGCCCGAGTCCATGCCAAATAACATGCCCCCGAAACATGCCTAGCAGCAAGACTGGACATAAGCACGGATATGGTTGGAGAGGGAATACATAGAAGGAAAAGAGAACCCACCGAGCAGGCCAGCATATACACTCTCCATCCGTAAATCTCCTTAGGATCCGTTCTCATCGCCTCATTGTGAACGATCTTCTGAAGGAACCACGACATAATGGCGCAAGAGGTGTACGTGCGACTGAGCGTTGACCAAAGAAACTGAACTAAAAAATGGCTAACCAAACCAGCGACAGCGGCCGTCAGATGCGGGGGACAAGGTGCTCAAAGACGACTCTAGGAGGACAGCCAGCGGCCATAAAATCTCAGAGCTAGGACGCCGTCGGCTATTGATATACAGAGTCCAAAGCAGAAAAGCAAGAGAGCAGACAGCAACCCTCTTTTGTAGTTGTCATCCGCACTCGTATTGCCTTGGCTGGGTGCTCGGCCTGTTAGAAGGAATTCAAAACACCAGACAAAGCGAGCAGTCAGGGAAGAAAACCTCCACGAATCCGAGCACGCAGAGGCAAAGCTCACATGGTTTCATGGCTGGAGCTGGGGGAATAGGGTTTGAGGATGGCATGCTCCCCCACGGGGATTGAGCCCCCCCTCCAGTGGAGTAGACGATCCCTGTGAGGGAGAGTCTGATGGGGTGGATGAGGTCTGTGTGTTGAAGGGGAATTTAGCCGGCGAAAAAGAGGAGATGTTGCGGGGAATCAACTTAGGGCTAAGCCGGATGAAGCATAGAGACTCTGGGCATGACAGACACAATACAGACGATGCTCAAGGGCAAGGAGAAAAGAAGGGAGACAGTGTGAGACGGCACACAAAGAGCATCACAGAGAATTCAAATTCAATTCTGCATTCGCTTCGCCAGCCACCCTGGAATGGTCGGCTTCTGCTCCCACACGCTGCGCCAGTCCCTCTGCCGGTTTTGGTCGGGCAGGGCACAAACTGCCGAGACGAACCAACACTCTTGTCCAGGTACCACGTTCATTGCCAGAGACGGCAGCAGTGTACGACCATGGAGAAGGTTCGAGTTCGGATCTGCGAACACAATCCGCCCTGTCCGCGCAATGCCCGACTGCAACTCAGCAATGCCTACCGCTCCTACCGAGGACACGACCAGTGCAGAGCGCATGTCATGCACCGTCCCCTCAGACGAGTCCACATGATTACTCAATGGTCCCAAGATGCGGCCGTTGTCGCTACGACACCCGTAAATAGCAAAGGCGCCCTCGGATGTCTGAAGGGCTCTACCGGTGCGCACGCGGTGTGCGCGCAAGTGCCAGTTCCCGTTTTCCTGTGCTGGTGGAATCAATATAGTCTCGACCTCGACATCCGGCCAAGGATTCCAGCTTGAAACCAACGTAGGTAGACCGTCAGGATCTGGCTGCTCGAATCGGGCATCCAGCGCCAATCGCCGCGTCTGCCAGATCTCGCCCCCGTCTTCCGATAATGCCAACATGCTATCGGGGGCATGCTGCTCCAGTTGATATGACCCCGTGGGTACAGAATATCCAAAGGCAGAGCTGTATGCGAACTTGCCGTACTTGGCTTGCGTCGCCTTCACTGGGTAGTGACACGCCTGTCCAGATGACAGCAGGAACGAATGCCCGCCACACCGGACGGCAATGTGCTTGGGGTATTTGAGAGCTACAACTTCAGGTAAGTCATCGCTCGGATAGGGCTCTTCTGGGGCCGCCCAGAAGGGATGCGTCTCTGGCAGCGCCAGGGGGACGAATGAGAGACAACACCAATATGGCGATCCAGGGGAATTGTAGTTCTCTGTCAGGGACATATTGGCGTACGAGTACCCCAGGTTAAGAGTGCCATCACTGTTAAATATATCCGCCTGAGTAGCCCACCACCGAAAGTGGCGAAGGAGAATTCCCTTCACCACGCCCCAGGTCAATGGGGCCGGCAATTCCACGTCTGCAAAGCCCAATGCGCCCCAGAACGCAACCATGGCAAAGCGATAGGTCATAGACCGGCCGAATGGAATAGCGCTACCTGTTCAATAGAAATCCCAAGGGTCAGCACAAGATTGTCTATATGTCGGATCCTATATCACAGATTGCAGCGGGAGAGTAGCGGCGTACCATCAGGAGCAAAGTAGTGCACAAAGTCCTTGGCGAATTCTCTAGCCCGGTGCCGATACCGCTCAGCACGCTCAGGATCAAAGTCGCCCGCCAGCTTTGAGTAAAGAAGCTGCAAGAATTGGATGGCAAAGGACCCGGAATAGTAATCCATCTGGTGATGGCTCTTTGGACCGTCGTTACTCCAGCCGCCTCCCACATGGAATGATGCCAAATGATCCATATCGGCTTCAATGCGAGACAAAGAATACGGAGCACCGTTCCTTCGGAGTCCCAGGTTTGCAAACACACGGAACCATAGCCTGCATATACCATGTCAGTGTTATTGTAAATCTCTAGATAGCCAAGACCCTATAACAGCGACGAAACCATCACAATAGCATACCAATTCGTATTGGGCATCTCTCGCGCATTGATACTAGCCAACCAAGCCGCCACATTCTCCTGTTGCTTGGGTGTCAACGGATCCCAGAACACATGCGGCGCCACAGCGAGAGTGTATCCGATGGGACACATCTCCACCATCCGCTGATCGAGATCTTCAATATCGCCCCAGAACTCAGGGCTCTCTGGGTCAGTCCCGTTGATGATGCCCTCGCGCCAGCGCACAGCGTCGACGTAGTCATATCCACCGGCAAGCAGCGACGCAAGGCCCCAGAGTGGGCGGGCAAAGCCCTCGATCTGGGCGCCACCTTCGTCGAACCGGGTCGTCGACGACCCTATCTTGACACGGCTGCTGCCGGGCGTGAAGTGCGGAACTAGGGGATCAAGGAGGGCGCGGCAGGCATCTTGGAGGTCGGACCGAGTGCGGAAGAGCGAGGTGCTGAAGGTGTGGGAGCGTGTTTGGCCATTGGCTTGGACGGACATGATCGATTTGAGTATTTAGTGTTGGATTATAGGGTGTCTGCCGATAATGTATCCTGGTTATATAGAACTCTTCCTCGGCTCCTTCACCGATAACAGACGCACGAGAATGAACGGACCATTTCCAAGACATCGGTCTTCGCAGCGAAGACCCCTGCAGCTTCGGCCATCGTGAAATACGGCGTCTCATGGGATTTCCTGCCGGGTTCAAGGCACTGCGTGGGGGCAGCCTTGCATTTACCCGGTGACGATGTGGGGAGATCGCGCTCAGGACGCCAGAAGTGCTGGGCGAACAGCGAGCTCTCTGTAGCGCACCGAAGAGATGTGATAAGTGGGAAATTTGCTTCCACCAATCGATGGGAATAGCCAGCGCTTGCTGGTACACAAGGAGCTGAGTTAAAGGATGGAGCTGGATGTCATAGAATGTGATCATTTGGATGGGTATGTAACAAGCTCGCCAGATCTTACACGACTATAACACTACTATACATCGGCACCAATGCCATGGTGCAGCATCAATTAATCACCACCCAAGAGACCCCCCAGGTACTGCGCGAATTCGTGAAGGAGGGCATCATCAACACCCTCCGTCGCGCCGAGACCCTGCCGCAGCAGCTCTGTCCACCGTGCCAGAGTGAATTCATGCAATTTCTGCCCGTTCAGGGCTTGGTGCATACGGCTGGCTTGCTCAGAGGCAGTGGACGGGTCCGAGGAGACGGAGATGTGGCTCTCAATAATGGCGCCGTGTTTGAGGCGGAGGAATGCGCGGGTCTGATACAGATCTTAGTACTGGAGAAACCATCGGAGCGGTCACAACTCGAAACTTACCGAAGAAGGGAGAGAAATAGGTAGCGGTGGGCGTTCACGAGGACCCTCGTCAATCGGGTATGTTGAGAAGGTGAACTGTGGAGTTTGCGTGTACTTCCACTCAAGCGACTGTGACCGAACAGGTTAATCGTTTAATCCAATACCTTGATTGCCTTTTTAAAACACTCACCCTTAACTCGGTAATCCCCTTGCTAATGTCCTCCTGCTCGCTCTGCGCCTCCCCTACCGTGCCCGCAACCCAGCTGTCCCCAGCAAAGATCTCCGGCTCATTGGCATGGGCCCGTTGTGCCCGTAGCACGGCATCAGGGTGAACCGCATACAATCGAGCGAATTCCTCGACCACGCTGCCCATAACACCCTGCATCGAGAAAAACGAGTCGGCAAGCGCAGCAGAAACATTCGCCACTGGCGACCGGACGCTTTCCACACCCTTGGCCTGGATATACCCACGCGCCGGGGACCGCAGGAACCGGCCGAGATCGCGGATATTGGGCGAATCCAGGAGACAAGTGCCGTGGTGGAGAGCGCGGTGCCGCGTGAGTTTGAATGCAGACCCAGAGATTTTGCGCGGGACATGCTCCATAGCGTCACTTGACGATGCCTCTGTCTGCGACATCACAATATCGTGTCGTTCGTTGACGCTTGTGCTGGTTGCGCCGACCCGATGCAGCGCGCGGACCACCATCTCCGCGTGCTTGTTGCGCGTGAACGACGTGCGCGGTGAAATAACACTGTAATTGAGATTCCCTTCATCGTGGAAGACGGCGCCGCCGCCAGACCGCCGCCGAACATAGAGCGCTGCTTCGCCCTCTCGGGCTGCGCGAGTCCGGTCATTGTGCAGGGCACGGAGATCCGTCTCGAGCCATGGGTTCTGATTGCGACCGATCACGACGCAAGGTCTGTTGATGTAGAGGAACAGAATGCTCGAGTCCGCCGGAGCATTTTCAAGTAGGAAGTGTTCAATCGAAAGGTTCACGTAAGGGTCGGTGGAGACCGATTGGTAAATCTGGTGTCTAGAGGACGGGCGGCGGGCGAGCTCAGGGAACCGGTGCAGAGCATATGATGAATTGAGTCGAATCCCATTCTTCAAGCCAGGCAAGGGCGACAACCATCGCCAGGGCAGCATTGCAGCGGCGCGCAGGACGAGGGACGATCAGCGCCGAACCGCCGGCCGATGGTCGGTGGCGCTAGTCCCAGATAGGAAGCCGTGGATGAGTCGATTTTCTGCAGCGGGAAACGCATTTTTGTGATTTTTGTGTGACCAACTCCCGGTGTTGTGCTACTTTGCATTTTCCCTTGGCCTCGGGGTCTTCCATTGCTTACCCCTCTGTTTCTTCTGTATTCCCAAGGTTTCCTGCTTGGTGAGAATCGTTCAACATGTCGACGTGGGGTGAACATTTCCGAGTCACCACGTAAATGGCCCCCAGTCCCCTCTTTGAGAGGACTCCTCAAGCAAATTCACTGACACTTTCATGTTCTAGCTATGGCGAGTCCCACTGCCGTTCTGTCGGCTGCATCGTCGACGGCTGCCCGCCGGGCATGCAACTCACCGAGGACGACATCCAGCCGCAGATGACTCGCCGCCGGCCGGGCCAGAGTGCCTTGACGACCCCGCGGAACGAGAAGGACCGGGTAGAGATTCAGTCAGGCACGGAGTTTGGGGTGACCCTGGGCACACCCATTGGAATGATTGTGCGCAACGAGGACCAGAGGCCCAAGGACTACGGCGGCAGCACGATGGACCTGTTCCCCCGCCCTAGTCATGCCGATTTCACCTACCTCGAGAAGTACGGCGTGAAGGCCAGTAGCGGTGGTGGCCGCAGCAGTGCCCGGGAGACCATTGGTAAGTGTTTTCGATGGTGAAACGTTGAAGATTTCGGATGGCTTATACTTTTTTGCTGTAGGTCGTGTCGCGGCCGGAGCCATCGCCGAGAAGTACCTCCAACTGTCGCATAAAGTCGAGATCGTGGCGTTCGTCTCGTCAGTGGGCAACGAGCACCTCTTCCCCCCGACAGCGGAGCACCCATCCGCATCAACCAACCCCGAGTTCCTGAAACTAGTCGAGACAATCGACCGGCCGACAGTGGACTCGTTCGCACCGATCCGGTGCCCGAACGACGAAGCCGGCGCGCGCATGACCAAGCTCGTCGAGAAATTCCGCGACAACCACGACAGCATCGGCGGCACCGTGACCTGCGTGATCCGCAACGTGCCCGTGGGGCTGGGCGAGCCGTGCTTCGACAAGCTGGAAGCGAAGCTGGGCCATGCGATGCTCAGCATCCCCGCAACAAAGGGGTTCGAGATCGGGTCCGGGTTCGGCGGCTGCGAGGTGCCGGGCTCGATCCACAACGACCCGTTCGTCGCTTCCGCCGACGGCGCGGGCCTGACCACCAAGACCAACAACTCCGGCGGCATTCAGGGCGGCATCTCCAACGGCGCGTCCATCTACTTCCGTGTCGCCTTCAAGCCGCCCGCTACTATCGGCCAGGCCCAGACGACTGCTTCGTATGGGTTCGAGGAGGGTGTTCTCGAGGCCAAGGGCCGCCATGATCCCTGCGTCGTGCCCCGCGCTGTCCCCATCGTCGAGACGATGTCTGCCCTCGTCGTCATGGATGCCCTTATGGCTCAGTATGCCCGTGAGAGCGCGAAGAACCGGCTGCCCCCGTTACCCAACACTATCTTGCCCACTAAGCCGACCACTTCCCCCAACGGTGCCCCTGCGTCGTAAATGTTGTTTCGGGGAGGTTATCCCTGGAGGTATAACGTTGATTTGCCGTATATTGGTCGTTATGTAGTTATGGAGCCACGAAAAACAAAGAAACTTTATAGATGTCATGTATGTCACTGCAATTCTTGCCTCCCTTCTCGGTGTTTATATCCTCAATGTTACCTATGGAAATTGCCAATACGAAGGTCTTCGATCCGATGTGCACGAGAAGTGTTTCAATTACCAATATCCGAACAACCTAGCTGTGCCGTAAGACCAGTAGATAGTGTACATGTACTTGAAGACATACACTACTGACAGACAGTTTATTCAAACATCGAATCCACTTTGTACGAGCACTCAACCACCCGTCATCTAAACCAGCGCCATCCCCTTCACTCCATGGAATAGAGAAACAGACCTGCCAAGCGATATCTCGTCCTATCCACCTCGGTAAAGACAGATAGACAAGACATCCAAAACCCCTGAATCGAACTATTTCAAGGGTCACACAGCATTCAGAACTCGCTTGGATATCAAAAACCCAAAAAAGAAGATAAGTGACGAAGCATCAAAACAGAACCCAAGGGTGTATGTGCGCCTGAAAGAACAAGAGCGGGCATTCCATAAACCGTGGTAACATCAAAACAGAACTCATCTTGTGTACAAGTATTTCTTTCGAAGGAGATATGAAAGACCATGCGAGGCCAAGCCGGATAAAGAATCACAGAAAACCAGCCAAGAAACAAACAAACATTAACTACTTACTCGACGTGTTCCCATCAAATCGTTGTTGCTGCGACTGATCGACCGCTCAGAGATATTATCCATGTCTCTGGCAGTAGCGTTAACGACGCGAAGCTTCTCTCGGGGAACTGTATACGTCGTTTGGACACGGCGACCTTCTGCAGCACCTTCGATATCCCAGTCTTCATCATCGATCTCTTGTTCGTCGCCGAGGTAGCCGGGAGCTCCTAGGAAGAGATCGTCGCGCGTGGACCGCGGCGTACCGAAGACACCATCCGACATTCTCTTGCTAGCATTCCAGTCTTTGGCGCCTTGCTTGCGTCGGAACAGTTCTGCCGAGGCACTGACTGTTCGGCGGGGAATATTGGATCCGGCACTATTACTTTGTGGGCCCGAGCCGATCACGGTGCTTCGGCGATCAATACCAGAGGCCAAGCGCACAGTATTAGCGTCCGGTTGGCCGGCTGCGCCACGGCGGGTGAGAGTGAGGGCTCGTCGCATGGTCTGCATCATCCAGTCGGATGCCTTGGGTTTCGATGCTGGCGGCAGCTTCGAGGGCGAAGATTCGGGTGGGATGATAGCGTCAATGGGGTCGAAGAGCAGTGATTGGTTCTCTGCCTGATGCTGGGCAACAGTGGTCTGGGCGGTAGAGTAAGAGTCTGCCGACAAAGACTTCTCCGACAGTGAGTGAAACCCATCTAGGTCGCTGTGCGCCGTTTCCTTGCTGTGCGTAGATGCAACTGCCAGTTGCTCAAGTGAGTGGCGGTCACTGCTTGCCCAGCTCAATGGTCGGTCCACCAGAATGGCCCGCGCCTGCGAGACTTGGCTTGTAGTTTTAGCGGAGAATATCGAACTCTCTGAGAGGTTCGTGGATGTACGATCACTCTTGGCTGGGGAGGCCCGGCCATCTGCTTCGGCGGGTCCGATATCCTTTCTTCGAGTGTAGAAAGGGCCCAGGCCAACGCCGAAGATGGTACTACGAGGAGTTGCGAATGGTGTATCTGAAAAAGGATCACTTTGCTCGGACGGCTGGGGCTTGTCTCCGGAAGGAATAGTCGCCATAAGGCGTTCTCGAAAGATAGCTTCATCCTCCTCGCGCTCGTCAATGGGATGAATATCGCTCACTGGATCACTGCGCCGGTATTCAGTGTACCCAGACAACCTATGAGATCTGGAATTCATGAACGGGCGGCTGTTTCGGGAAGGACTAGGGGCGTCCATGAGCAATCCCGTATTTTCCGCTGAACCATCTCCTTGATCTTTCCACGCCGGCCGCGCAGCGTGGCCGCGATTCTCAGACCAAGGATAGGCTTTGGCAGAATCTGGCCGTTCGCTCATTTGAGAGCTGCGAATGCTGCTTGCCTGGAACGGGTCGTCCCGGCCCCAGAAGTGAGCACGTTCGGCGCCCAGGGCTAATTCCCGAAGTTGTGAATCGCGGTTTCTGCGCACACCTCGTTTGCGGTAGTAGTTCCAAGCAAGAAGAGAAATGGCGATAGCAGCGGGAACCCCAAGACCCAGGCCAACCCCAAGACCAGCCTTCTGCGACGAGGATAGAGCACTACCGGCACTGGCTGGCGACGGGGCTGTGGAGTGAGCCGAAGGATGAGAGTAAGAAGAAACCCAATTATTCGAAGTCACGTTGTAGAGAAAGACCTGCGCATTGGGCTGGGCTGCAGACGTGGCCCGCTTCGAGGATGGTTTCGGGATGCTGTAGCCTCCAGCAATCATCATAACTCCTCCCGGAAGCATTGCCGCAGCATGTCCAAAGATCCCTGCGCCCTTTGCAATTCCAGGTCTTTGCGACGATGGGATGGTCCAGGTCCATTCACCAGTTCCGCCATACTCCTCTCCGAGCTCCAAGACCGCGAACTGGGGGTCAGCAGGAATACCGGTGTCGCCGACCCAACCTCCAAGCACAAAAACTTTCTTGCCGTCCTCGGAGAGAACTGCAGTGTGGCCTGATCGAGGCTCGATGGCCGCTTTGTCACGAACCACCAGCTCCGTTTTGGGCTTGGTGTCCGAATTGACCTTGACGAAACTCCAGCTTTCCTGGGGCAGGGAAAAGACTGCAAGTTGGGACATATTCAGAAAAGCCTGCTGGGTATGGCCACCAATAAACAGGAAGTCCTGTCGCTTTCCTGTCGAGGCCATTGAATAGGCCGCCGGCAGCGGAACGATCGCCATTCCCGCCTCGGCGACGGGGGGTGTGCGGTGGCCTGTCGTTGCAGCATTATACTTGGTGCTATGAGATGAGGTAGGGCTCAAAACCACCATGGCCTGGGAGTAATTTGCCGATGATATCCAATTTTGGTCCGTGGTGTTGTGGAATGGGCACATCCCACCAAAGGCATACATGGAGCCGTCACTGGTATTGCTGGAGGCGAAAGCGAACCCGGCCGCCAGGTAGTTTGGTTTTGTTGCTCCCTCGCCAGGGTTGACTGGCAACTGCTCCCACGTCCCATTGCCCGTAGCACTGCTGTTGTCTGGGTTGAAGCGCCATAGTGCCGGGTTCTCCGATGAGCTCTGGCAATCGCCTGTATAGACCGTGACGGTCCCATGGTCATCGATGACGGGGATAAAGGCCGAGGACTTGTCAGAGCGTTGGAATGGGGTCGTTTCCAACAAGGTACGATATGATGGACTGTCGGTGTTGATGTTGGTAGACAGGTTCAAGGAGAGGAACTGCGTCTTGCCGGCAGCAGAGGTGCTGGGCTGGAAGAGGTATGCCAATGAGTCATTGTGTTTCGGGGAGAGGAAAACTGAAGAAGGTGTATATGGGATGGCCACAGCGACATCGAGAAGAGCCAGCAAAAGGGCAGAGAGGACGAAGCGAGAGCGTTTTGGACGGGGACGGGGATCCATGGTGTCGCAATGTGAGACATTCATCAGAAGGGATGCATTCCACGATCGACGAGCATGGCCTGCCACGCGGTTGACAGAGAAGGCGCGATGTCTATACCAGGGCAGTCCGAGACATGGTGCGATGACAGATGCAACGACCAACGATGAGAAGGAAGAGATAGAGATGGGTTTAGTGTTTGGGATACATCACAGTGTAAACACCTATGCCGAACTCGGAAACTAATCGAGCTCGACGCCATTACGTTTTTTTTTTTTTTCTCGATCGACACTAAACAAAGAAAGAAAAACCAGCATCTCTTCGCAGAAATGATTGCCGAGAATCAGATCGACTGATCAACATGGTTGCGCGGGCAACGGGGGGATGTTGGGGGGCGATTGCGTGTGAAATGGCTTGGTGGGAAGTATTTACATGGTATCGTTTCTGCCTTGAAGACAATTGAGTAGCAGTAATGATAATAATATCATTATTACTATCATTATATTAAAAGATTCAAAACAAAATATACAGAGAATGATCGAATACTCAGGGATCAGCTAGTCGAGATGCTCCCGTTGGGACCAGAGAGATCCTGGAGATCGCGTGTTTCACCATTTGACCCCTCCAACCATTTATTTCTCTTCCAACCTTTCCTTGCCTCTGCTTTCTCTTTCTTTGCCCTCTGATCTCTCGACCCTCAACCCAAAGCACAGCCCACCAAGATGATGAAATTCGCTTTTGGATTTCCCGAGTGGATCTCCTTTCACACGTCCCATGGATCGCAGCAGGTTGGCATGCCAACCACAAGTGATTGCTTCTCTCTCGTGTAGCCGGTTCGCAGCTGGCGCGCTGGACCGTGGATGATTGGGATCCGGGCCCATGTCGAGGGTGAACACCTGAGACTGAACTATTTTTCAATAGAGATTTACCGCTTGGTATACACTATCCGTTGAGGTCAATGGCTATCGAACAGCACGTTTCAACGTGGAAGGCTGAACCCGTGTACAACGTCGCAGTCTGCCTTGGAATACTCAGCAAAGATCCTGGTAGGCCACTCTCATCGTGCCTGTCCATCCCCAGCAAGGATCCTCCGCTATGAATGTCAGGCCCGACATTAAGCCGGACTCGGCTTGATACGGGTCTCATACTCCCATGTTACCAATAACCCACTACATGAACCAGGTCTGGGCAAAAGACTCAATATTCAATAGCGGGTTCAAATATGATCACAGCCAGGGAAAAGAAAAAAAAATAGAGTGAAAGCCTATCTACCCACAGCCACCTGTGTATACGGGCAGGAAATACACCTCATCGACGAGTTTAACCGGGTTTGGTAAGGATGAGCCAAGACCCGATGGGCTCTGACCGCAAAACGAAGCTTGCGCAGGAATTCAAGCGAATGCGAAAGACATTATGCCAAGGATCTGCAGATAAACCACGAAGGATTCAAAGCCCACAAACCCCTCCCCCTATCTGGTTTCTGTCGCGTCACGGATGATCATCTCAACTGGACCCCTCTTGTATACATCTGTGCCTGCGCTCTGTGTATCAGGTCGGTCAGGTCGGGCTGTTGGATTCCAAATGTGGCTCCAGGGGACGTTAATACAGAGTACTAAGAGAGACCCGGGCGCACCACGCCCCATGTCGGATTTGCGGGAAGGAGACAAAGTATTTTTCTTGTGTGACACGGGCGTGACGATCAATGCGGGCATGCCCATCTTGCTTTTCTCTCCCCGAAGCCGCAGATCCCTGACTGACTCTGGGGACTATTCCTATCTGGGTTGACAGAGTGTGCATTGACGCGTGGGGAGAGACGCTCGGGGTCATATGTAACCCCCAGGTTTCTGGGAGAGCCAGAAAGAGGCAAAGAGGAGACAAGAAGCTGATCCGCAAATTGATGCTGCTCGAGGGTTGTCATTTGCGGAGTATTTTAGTCGGGTATTGGCATGGGGAGGTGGTCCAATGAACATTCAGAGTCTGGGACTCGGATATGGTGCCCGAACCTCCTTGCGGGGGTTCTGTGCTGGGATGTGGACTGGATACTCAACAGTCTACCTAAAGGTGTATACCAAGGCAAACCTTGGAAAGGCACCCGTCAGGCATTGATCTGATGGGTCAATCTGATTTCCCTGATTTGCCAGAATGCCTGAAAAGGCTCCTAAGATTGCCTAAACAGGACATGTCTTTCCAAAAAAACTAATTTAGGGCCTAGACTGTCTGCCCAAAGAGGTAGGTAGACCTAATTCTCCATGGATGACGTAGCTCTTTCTGTGGAAGGTGTTTTACCCCCAACGAGCATCTTGCAGAACGACATCTATCTTAATATTATAGCATAATATATCATTATATATTTAATATGAAAATATGTAATATAATTATTATTATAATACAAGCACAATAATAGATAGAACTGACACTGAAGAATCCTTGAAATATCCCCGGGTATATATCCTCTGGACCACTGTCCCAGCGAACCAAACATTGTGGGGCTTCCCATCAAAACTTGCGCTTGGCCCAAGGCCTCCCTCTCTCTCCCTTGACGTTGATGCCCAGCTATTTCGGTTGGCAGAAGTTAAATTATGATGATGATCAGTATTATACGGGTCACCGTGCTGTCGGGAACAGACGATTGGTGGAGTCGCGCAGACTCGAGCAAGTGTAAGATGTGGCTCCCTGCCTGTCGACCAAAGAGGCGCTTGCACGAATCATCCAACTTCAGTGGGTGTCGATATCTTTATATATTGGTAACCATGGTCCATTTCCATTTACCATTGGAGGCTTAGGGCGTCGGCATAGATGATGATTATACGGGGGAGGGGAGTCTGGATTATTGCCGCCGAAACCGGTGGATCTAAAGAATCAAACATCGCAAGACCCAAAAAAGGCGGTGCTCGAGTCCTCGACGTAATCAAAGCTGGCGTACCAGGAACCGGCTCTTGGCAAATCCGCCACGCATTCCAGAGAAGGGAGAAGGGAGAATTGAAATATAAAAAGAGAGATATAAAAAGAAAATGAAGATCAAGTCTGCAAACGGACTCACGGACCATTTCAGCCCCACCAACATTGTATTGTATTTCATTTCACTGCATTTCGTATCAGAATTGTTCTTGATTTCTTGCATTTTCTCTCCCACCTTCTCCCCCTCTCTTGCTCTCTCTCTCTCTCTCTCTCTCACTTCTTGTTTTTCCCGTCTACACATTTCTTCCCCTTTTCTTTATCTTCTTCTCTTTTCCTCTGTTTCTTTCTTGTCTTCTGTCTTGCCATTCATTTGGTCATTCCTTGCCCTGTTCCTGGACTTCCGATCTCGCTCCTGCCGACAACCTAACGCCGGATATTTATAGCATTTGTCCTGCGCTCCTTTTTGCACTCGAAAACACGGGGGATCCGAGTCCCCTCGTGTCAGTAGCAGGTCTACACTCAATCCTCCTTGCGATTTGTCCGGTACACGGTTTCGTGTCTCCATCCTGTCGAGTCCCTGAGAGGGATGCCGGTCCATTCGGCTTCGCCCTCGGAGCTTCTCGTCAGCTCGCCGTGAATCAATTGGAGTTTTGGATTCAATGTGGGAATAGGAGGATGCTCAACGGAAATATCGGCACCGTCGGCCCGCATTCCTAAACCTCCCCCCTCAACATAACTCCAAAAAAAGAAATTTTCAAAAAAAAAGGAAGGACAGAGAAGGATGAAAATGACGGAACGCCGGCCCCCAATAGCTAGTCTGGAGGAGTTGGACCAGGCGCGGAATGGTCATGTTTCGGGTGACAACCCCAGACCCGACGAGTCGCTGCAATCATCGTCTGCTTCGATCGACAAGCCCGATGACCGACCGGCCGCTTCCAAACCATCGACCGCCAAACCATCCCTGACGACCGACATGACCGAAGCCCAGGCCTCCCTTCGCCAGGCATACCCCCACGTTTATAGTTCCTCCCGCACATCGTCGACTCGAACATCGTCGAGTTCTCTACAGGCCTTGAACGAAGATACCGTCGTCGATGCCCGGTCGGACCTTGGCAATATCCGACGCAGCCCCCGGAGGACCTCTCGAAACTCCGACACGCAAGATTACCCCGTCTACCCCGATCAATCCTATGCCGTCCTGCAGTCTCAAGTACATCCGACCTGGCAACCCCACCACCTACGGTCGCGAAGCTCCTACCCGTCCCATACCGACGTTCCCGCTCGGTTACCCTTTCCCCGGGTGGCTCGAACTGCGGGCAACACTCCAGTGTCGAGCCCAGGGCTGTTCTCGATGAGAAGCTCTCGCTCGACACCGCCTTTAGGATCCGACGATGAGGCTGGGATAGGGAGTCCATACCTCCATCCTACTCATTTGCAACCGCCGAAAGAAACCCATACGGCCGAAGTGGATCGGGATTTGGTCACCGGAAACAAACTCATCAATCAATACGAGATCCTCGAGGAGCTGGGACGCGGAGAGCATGGCAAGGTGAAACTGGGCCGCCATGTGACCACCAAACAGAAAGTCGCCATTAAGATTGTACAGCGTTATTCGAAGCGTCGTCGGTTGGGCAAGCTGGGCAACCCGGAGGATAAGGTGAAGAAAGAGGTGGCCATCTTGAAGAAAGCCCGCCATCCCAATGTCGTCAGCTTGCTGGAGGTCATTGACGACCCCAACCGGCAAAAAGTTTATATTGTGTTGGAATATGTCGAGAATGGCGAGATTGTGTGGCGGAAAAAGGGTCTCCGAGAGATTGTTCATGTCGATAAGCTGCGGCTTGAGCGGGAACTGGCTGGGATTCCTGACACTCCGGCTTTTCTGGAGGAGAGCCACCAGTTCATTCGCACTGCCCAGCATTTGCGTCGACAACGAGAGAAGGCACGGGAGCGGGTTGAAGCGCAGGCCGCGGACGCTCAGCAAGGCCCGATTCCGGCTTGGAGTTTGGAACATGGGGCGGAATCTTCAGAAGAGGAAGACGAGGATGGCGGAGTGGCGATGAGGCGATCATCCAACCGCTCTGTTGCCGTTGTGGATAACCAGAGCTCCCCGAGCCCATCTTCCGCCCACGACTCGTCTCTGGCTGCACTCGAGGGGAGCATGTACGGCACCTACACGGACTACCCCTTCGAACGGCGCTTCAGCACGGCGTCTAGCAGTTTTGGGTATGCTCCGTCTGAACCTGAGTGGTCCGCGGATGGCGATGACATGTCGTATGTCCCGTGCTTGACCATTGCCGAAGCCCGCAACGCATTCCGGGATTCGGTTCTTGGGCTGGAATATCTGCATTACCAGGGCATCATCCATCGTGACATCAAACCAGCCAACCTCCTCGTCACCAGCAGTCACCGGGTCAAGATCTCCGATTTCGGTGTTTCTTACCTGGGGCGACCCATGCGGGATGAGGAGGAAGAGCAAGTGGGTGAGACTGATGCTGCCGAGTTGGACGATGCCCGTGAGTTGTCCAAGACGGTTGGCACTCCTGCTTTCTACGCCCCAGAACTCTGCTACACTGGAGACGATTTTGTGGACACCATTGGATCGGTGCCCAAGATAACCGGTGCAATCGATGTCTGGTCTCTCGGAGTTACATTGTATGGGATGATCTTTGGCCGTCTGCCATTTGTCTCAGATGATGAGTACAGCATGTTCCAAACGATTGTCAAGAAAGAGGTCTTCATTCCGCGCAAGCGTCTGATCCCCGTTCGGGATGAGTCCACTGGTGTCGGCCAGTGGAACCGACGGAACACTGATGAACTCGTGTACGAAGACATCGATGATGAACTGTACGATCTTCTCCGGCGGTTGTTGACAAAGGACCCGATCAAACGAATCACGCTCAAAGAGATCAAGCATCATCCCTGGACCCTTCACGGTCTACCCAACCCCCGACTGTGGGTGGAGGAGACTGACCCTGGCTGGCAAAGCAAGGGCAAAAGGATCGAGGTGTCCAACGAAGAAGTCACCAGCGCCGTCAGCAAGGTTCCTTTTATCCAACGCGTTCGATCCAACGTGGCAAAATGGTTCTCAGGCCGGTCCAAGGACAAAGAAACACGCAAGCGCCCATCAAGTGCTACGCCGTCTTCGGAAAATCTTTCTATCGCGTCCAGCAGCAGTACATTTGGGAAAGCCTCGCGCCCGTCCAGCCTGCGAGGAGACGAGGAGCCCTTCCGAGTATCGAGATTCGGCGGCCAAGGCGAACACCCGCTGGCCCAAAGCGTCACTGCCAGTCCAGTGGACGAAGAGGACTGGAACTCTTACTTTGATGCCGGATTAGCACCGGCGATCAAACCTGCTCCAGTTCCCCGGCCCGGCCCTCCCAGACGTGCCAAGTCCTCAATGTCGACCACAGAATCCACAAAGACAGTACGGCAATCCAGCTTCGATTCACCGCCGGGCGCGTGGCCACGCATGGGTGCACCCTCAATCCTCGAAGCCCTGGGGACTACCAACTTTGGTAGCCTCTTCAGCGGGGCTACTCGACGGGTATCGCGGGGTTCGCAAACTGGCAATAACAGCCGGCGCACCTCTTTCTCCAACGAGTCAGCATCTTTGGATGGAGATCGTCGGTCTGAGCCGAGTCTTGCCGTGAGCAATGCCTCGGCGGTTGGCCAGGTTCGAAGCGCTGGTCTATGGCAGAACGAAACCCCTCCACCGGCCAGCGGCCTGGCTCCTCCCGTCTCGGGGCACAGACGCAACCGATCCCAGCAGCTTACAGGTAAATCCTCCGCAGAATCATTCCACCTTACCAAGGAAGCGCTCCTACGGCGCAGGAGGAGCGATCTCGAGCCCACCGTCGAGCGTAGCTCTTTGGCATCCCGAGTCGAAAGCGCCATGTATTCAAGCGACTCTCTCAGTTTACAACCAGTCGCTCCTCCGGCGGATTCCACGGGGGCTGCCGACCCCCCCAGTGGTGGCCTCACTACATCGACCCCTTCCGCTGCGACAATATCTTCCTCATCTGCCGACGACTTTACTAGCGGGATGTCGCAGAGCGCTTCTCATCCCAGCATCCCGTCGGTCATGTCAGGTGCTTCTTCTCTTTCGGGTGATGGTATGTACTCTCAGTCCAAGGACAAGGACTCAGACGACTCGAATCAAGTACCATCCATTCTTCGCACGGGTGAGACCGTCAAGGCACACTGCCCCAGCTCTCCGCGACTATCGGAAGAAGACGAGTCGAGATACTACTGCGATGACGAAGATGAGGACGAGTCAGAAGACGAAGGTCTTGTCATTGGGAAGCGAAAAGCACCTCCCAGGGCCACGAATCTGCCGACACAGGCTTCCACCTGAGTGGACTCTGTTACCCTCATTCCTGTTTACTTACCTCGTCATCCACCTCCTTTCTATTTTCTCTCCACCTTTTCACCTCGACACTTCCTGTATACTGTGAAGTTGTTGTATATCTTTTTTTTTCTTTCCGGTTCCTCACAGGATTGTGCGTGGAGCTTGTGACATCCTAGAGTTTACTGACATACATCCCACACGGCTTGTACATATACATTCGCATCGGCAGCATCTACTCTCTGTCGCATTGCGATCCTTTCGTGTTCTCTTCTGGGCCTCCAGTGGAGGGGCGTCTGCATGGGTAACCTGTGACGAATGTCCTTCCCCTCGGCCTTGTTTTTTATTTCACTCGGTCAGCCTTTTTCTTTTCTTTCTTTTTCAGCTCCGCTCTGCCTGGGGCGAGCTTGGATCATCTGTTCCGCTTCTTACTTGTATGTAATGTTCACGCCGGGCGGAATTTCCGCGAGCTCTTTTTTTTCTTCCCTTTTTTTTTTTTTTTCCCTTTGCAAACCCTTCTTGAGAAATTTTGGATGGGTGGCTCCCCCGTTGGAGGGGGATGCCTGCATGATACATGATGTTGGGTTCTGTGGTGCTGGGCAAGGCGTGGAGGCGTCGATTTTGTGCGATGATACGTGATGGATGAACATTGGGGAGATTGGGTCTTGATGCCCATCCCACTTTAAATATGATTGAATTGTCTCTGACTTATACTTGAGTATACTTGCCCTCGGTCTTTATTTCTCCTTCCACCAATAACAATCCCGGTCTTGGACAAGTTCTCTCCACGGAAATCTACCCCAAACAACCCTAGCAGTCGAATACTTCCAGATTAAGTGAGCGTGTACTGTAGCCCGTCTGGCGTTTCACTAGACCAAATCAGAGAGCTACTCCGGATAACTATGAAAAAGCCAAGGTCCTCGTCCTGCAGACCCCATGGGGAAACCAACTTCCTTCAAATCGAGAGCCACAAAAGAGCCTGGGGAACTGCAGTATAAAAGGGGAGTCTACCTTCCATAGACATGATCTACTCCATCGTCAAAAATACCATTTCACCCAATACTTACTACAAAATAACCAGTCCCCAGTCTCTAGCTATGCTCATGTTCACCTCGCTCCTCCTAGCAACCTTTCAACTTCTTCTTCTTCTTCCTCTCCTTCTAGTACTATCACTTCTTGATATGTTCTTAATATCCTGATACTACCAGACAACCCCCTCCGGGTGGTCCACAACAGACATAGACACACTGGCCTGGCAAGTCTACAACCACACCCTAGAAGTGTGCAACACCTTCGCAGAGAATTGACTAGAAGTCGCCATGGTCTCCATCGGCAATGAGATCCGCAACGGGCTCCTCTGGCCACTAGGCGCAACCACGAACTATGGGAACATCGCACGACTGCTGCACTCGGGAGCATGGGGCGTCAAAGAGTCAGCCCTGGCCACCCCGCCCAAGATCATGATCCACCTCGACAACGGCTGGGACTGGTCCGCGCAACAGTACTACTACAACCAAGCCCTGGCCCGCGGGTCGGCGCTGTCATCGACGGATTTCGACTACATCGGTGTCTCCTACTACCCCTTCTACGGCGCGGACGTGACGCTCTCTGCACTGGCCACCAGTCTCAGTAACCTGCACGCGACCTACGGCAAGGACGTGCTGGTCGTCGAGACGAATTGACCGTATGCGTGTCCGGCAGATATGAAGGATCTCCTGTTCTCTGCGGCGGGCCTGCAGTCGTTTCTACAGAGATTGGGTGTCGTCGTGGACAAGGCCCCCGGGGCCCTGGGGGTTTATTACTGGGAGCCGGCTTGGGTGCAGAATGCGGGGCTGGGGGGTAGCTGTTCGGATCATTTGCTGGTGAGTTGGGAGATGGACGCGGTGCGCACCAGTCTACGGACACTCGGGGGGTTGTAGACCTGCAATGCCTCATTGTTCCTGATCTCTTGATGTAGATCTTAGGTATAGACAGGGTATAACCAGGGCTAGCCCTGTCACCTGACCACAGGAGGACCGACGCTTGGGAAGTTGACAAGGCAGTGCTGTCCCCAGGCCATCCCAAGTAGGTAATGAAGAGCTCGTGCTGCGACCAACCATCTTTCTTCATTTTTGCTTCGCCAGCAAGGCTGAGCAGACCGTTTTGCCCTAACGGTGGCTTGGGTCCGACTATCCACGAGAATTGGCCCCCAGATCTCTTCATCGGGCATAGTTCGTGTCAAACGCGACCGAAGCTCAGCTGCGTGGCTGTGTTTAAAGCTGTCTGAAGCCCAAGTTCCACCGAGAATCTGCGATCTCCAGGGAGATTCAGATAAGGAACAGGAACCACTTGGGAAGTAGATCGAATAAAAATAGGTCGGGAAGGAATCTGGCGGAAAATTACATATTTCGAGGGTTTTGCTGCGTTATCGGGCTCTGATGCAATGTGGGGGAGACACAGAGACTTGTATTCCCACAGACCGCCCTCACGTGAAACAAACCACTTCATCCCCGACTTGTTCTTCCTCTCCATCTCCCCGTGATATCTTGGAATCTTTGGGGAAATCGCTGGACCATGCGGTGTTTCGACTGAGAGATTGGGCCACTGATTCTCGTTGCCCGAAATCCTCTGTCCTTGGGTCTTCTTCCCCCCTGGACACTGCGAATGAATGACATCCCACCTTCCCCCATCTTTACCCGCCAATCTCCCTGGTTCGCTGTGTCTTGGGCCCTGACATAGTCCATTCTCTCCTCTATATAACCCTCCCATTCTCCCTTTTTTCTCTCTTTTATATTCGCTCCCTGTCGCCGTCGCTCCCCGCATTTGACCCGCGCCTTATCGCTGTCCGACGCTGATTAGAGCCTCATCCACACTCACGATGGCTTCCCACGATCAGTCCCAGAGCGCGGGCCCTTCCCCGAAAAATATGAAACATCGCAGCGTGAGTCCGTCGCACCATGGCCAACACGGACTCAGCGCGGACCCTTCCATGGCTGCATTTGCGCCCTCCTTCGACAACTCCAACTCCGACCCGAACATCGGTGCCGACTCGTATGGCTACTCCCCAAGTTACCTTTCCGGGCCACCCTCGGCGCAGACATTGGCTCCCCCAACCAATCAGGCCTTCCCTCCGAGTATCAATACCAGCAACATGCCGATGTCGCAGTCGTTCGAGGCGAGCCTGGTCAACCAGCTGGAGCAATCCTCGTCCGGTCTCCGGCCGATGCAGCCAGATGAGAACTTCTCCAATCTTCTCCATTCCAATTCGGCGGACGTGGATTTCTCCCTCTATCAGAACCACAGCCCCAACAGCGCCACAACGTCCGAGTACGACTCGCTACTGCTAGACCCCCAAATGCACCAGCGCCAACAATCAATGAACCAAGCCATCAACCCCGCCGACCTGGTCAGCCCAATCTCGAACCCCTCGGCTTCCTCCCATCACTCATCGCAAGACCCGCAGCATTCGTCGCCGGGCCCCATGTCCCCCCCCGGGTCCACGCCGGGCACGTACTACACACCCCAGCATTCGCGACACACCTCGCTAGATCCAGCCACCGCGGCCTACCTTAGCGCCCAATCGAACACTGATTGGCAGTCTGTGGTGAACAACTCCGCTTTCCAGGGTCATCGCAGGGCTCCCTCGGAGGTGTCGGAGGTTTCTTCGGCCAACCACTCTCCATACCTATCTCACCATGAGTTCGATGGGATTGAAAACGATACATCCCCTTCCCTGGCGCCCCAGAACGACCCCACCCTCTATGAAAATACACTGGGGATTGAATCGTTCACACTGGTCGAGCAGCAGCAGCAGCAGCAGCAACAGCAACAGCAGCAAGGATTTAGCCCTCTCCACAGCCCGTATATCTCGCCGCAATTAGTGCCACAGCAGGGGCCAGAAATGGTGCCGAGCGCGCCTTATCTATCCCCTGCTGTCACTTCTCCATTCCCTTCTGCTCCGACCGACATATATGGAATGCCTGCAGACGACGGGATGAATGTCGCGCAACAGAATACCGCCGATATTGGGCAAGCTTCTCAGATGGCGCCTCCGTCGATTAATGTGGAGTTTGCTCCGCCGTCGCGGGATCCAAGCTTTGGTCCCTCCAAGCCTACGACAGACCTAGACTCGCTGAGTCCTCCGGCCATGCGTGAGTCCCCGTGCTTTACCGAAAAGAATGAACCTGAAGTACTAATTGCCGGATAGGATCCCGCATGCGCAGCAAATCGGACCCTTATACACACCCCGCTTCCCGTTCAAGGTCTCCCGCGACTTCGACGACGAGTCTTGAACCTCGAGCGCCTACCTCACCACGCTCGCTGTCACCTATCGGGTCAGCCCACTCACGCAGTAATCCCAGCTCGCGAGACGCGTCACCATCTCGTTCTAACCGACGCCTTTCGACATCCTCGATTGAGAGTCGGAACTACATCTTGGATCTGGCCGATCCCCAGCGGCCGGGGGCGGCGCCTGATAATTCCAGGCGAGTCCAGAAGCACCCGGCCACGTTTCAATGCACGCTGTGCCCGAAACGATTCACGCGCGCCTACAATTTGCGATCTCACCTTCGCACCCACACGGACGAGAGACCATTCGTTTGCACCGTGTGCGGCAAGGCCTTCGCACGACAACATGATCGGAAGCGACACGAGGGCTTGCATTCCGGGGAGAAGAAATTTGTTTGTCGGGGAGACTTGTCCAGAAGCGGGCAGTGGGGTTGTGGTCGCCGGTTCGCTCGCGCAGATGCTCTGGGTCGTCACTTCAGATCGGAAGCAGGCCGCGTGTGCATCAAGCCACTCCTGGACGAAGAATCGCAAGAGCGTGAGCGTGTCCTTCTTGATCACCAACAACAGCCACAGGCATCCGGTCACCTCCAACCCGTCCCGCAACCATTGGTCATGCCCAGTGTCCCCGGAATGGACAGCCAGACCTCGGGCAACTTTGTCCTACCGGCCGCGCTCCTTGCGCAGTATCCTGCCCTCCAAACCTTGCAGTGGGACCAAATCCCTGCGGCGGGTGATGAGCCGGGTGAGATTGGAGGCCGCAGCAGCTTCGATGCCAGCTCTGGCGGCGAATTCGGTTTCGACGAGGACGAGTCTGGTCTCAGCAGCGTCTCTGGGATGAGTGGTGGCTACGGCAACACCCAGGGCAATATGTTTGGGGTCAACAACTCCGGCCAGATGTTGGGTGTCAACCCAGGGGATCCTGGGTATTCCGACCAAAAATGGGGTGGATGACAATGAATTGGGTGGCTGATGGTTTATTGGTTGCCATTTTACAATCTACGAGGCCGCAGCAGAACCCCTCCAAAAAGAAAAAAAAAAAAAAACAAGAACAAAATGTTGTCGAGGGTCAATCTGTATGGCCCCAGATTGCGTGTTTTCCTTTTCGCGTTCGGCCTGGATAGAAAAGGGCTTCCGGCGTTTACATACAGGAGAGGAAAGAATTTCAGGGTATTCCTGCCCAAGGTCGGCACTGGGGGTTCTTTTGATTTTGTGATGTTCTGGGTAGTTGTGGACTTCTTTTCTTTTTCTTTCTTTTGATTTGATTCTTTCCCCTCACTCTCCATCGTGGACTTGCGACTTCTCTCCCCCGCGGTCGGCATTCTCTTGTTTCTGTTTTCTTTGGGTCATTTGGTATCGTTTACCCCCTCACGAAAGCACCTGTGCTGCATTTTTTTCTTTTCTCCCCATCATACCCTCTGCTTTTTTTTTTTTGCTCTCTTTTTCTTTCTTTTTCTTTCTTCATATTGGTGTCGTCTGGATATTCTAGTTGCAGTGAACATTCCTTTCTGTGCTTACCAAGGTCATTGGTATATCATATCATCTGAATGCATTGAAATCAATACCAATTGTGAAGCTGTGATGATCTCGTTGAAACACTGTGGGGTTCCTTGCTGTCGTATATATAGCATGAGATCATGCTCTTGTAATGGAGGTGAGTATTGTAGCTTGCTTTTCCTACTCGATCTCTCACAGGAGAACTAGAAGGCCAAAATAGGGAGGGAGTTTCCTAATTTGGAAGATATCTATACAGGGCTCTCGGCTCCATGTGACTCTCTTCGAGACAGTATATCAAGAATCGGCACAGTTCTAGCGTGGAACTAAGCACTACTACTAGTAGTAGTCTTGGGGATCGATGGATATTCATGGATGAGAAATAAACAAGGCCCTGGAAAGATGCTAACCAACTCATCTATCACTATCTACGACACAGCCAGCGAAACCCAGACTGCCAGACTACCGCGACGCCGCGACAAGTTTCTGCACCTGGTCCAGCCACTTGCGCGAGAACTCCTCTTCAGTGAAGCGGCGCGCCGACCGACGAGCACGCTGCCGCATAGCGACCTTCTCTGGCTCTGGGAGTGCCAAAGCGGCCTCAAAGGCCGCGGCGAACTGTTCCTCAGTTTCGGCGCGGAACCCCGTGGCACCATCGCCGAGATCCACGACAATATCCTCGCGGGGCCCGCCCGAGTCGTGGGTCACACAGATGAGGCCGGCGGCCTGGTACTCGACGACGCAGATGCCAAAGTGCTCGTTCCACATGGCGTTAACGCCGACGGAGGCGGAACCAAGGTTCGACAGTACGGCGGTCCAACTGGCGTCGCAGAGGAAGGTGGTGTGGTCGCGGATGCGGAGTTCGTGCGCCAGGAGCCGCAGATTGTAGATGTGGGTTTCGTCTGGGCTCGAGTGGCGCACCGAGCCGATGAGGACTAGCTGGGGCTGTGGTTCGCCAGGAGTTTGTGTGCGGTCTTGCAGGAACCGCGCGAAGGACCGCAGAACCAGCGGGTGGTTCTTTTCGGGTCGAAACTGTGCGATGTAGAGCAGAAGGGGTTGACGTGTCTTCTCGCTGCTGGCGTCCACCGCGATGCTCGATTCCAGCTCGGAGACAGCGGTTGGTGGGAACACCACCGCCGGCGATGATGCAGTCCCGTCGCCGGTACTGGTGTTATTATGACTCTGGTCGGCTCCCCACAGCGTACGAATGTGGGCTGCAGTCCACGACGAGTTGCACATCACTACATCCACATGCCGGCCGACCCAGCCGTACAGCTGCGCAAAGAACTGCCAGTATCGTCGCTTGAGCGCGCCTTTCCACCCTACTCCGGCGCCGGAGTTGACCCCCTGGACTCCACTTTGGTCGTCAAGAGAGGCCAGCATGTCAGTCGAGATGGTGGGATAGTGGACATAGGCGCCCGTCGGCACCGTAGGGAAGAGCCACTTGCACAGGGCCAGTGTGAAGGCATAGCCCATGGTGTCGACAAACACATCCGGTACCAGTAGCGTAAAAGCATCGTAGGCGACCACCAGCGAGCCTAGTGACTGGCCTAGCAGTGTCATGTACGGGTAAGAGCTGCTGACCACGTACTTGCGCGTGGTGAGGTACAGCAACACCACCGTCGGGGCATGGAGCTGGATATTGAACCGGTTCTCGACCCGCTCCAGCATCGCCGCCTTGTTCACCTCATGGTCCCCCGTGTAAATGGCGCAGATCGCCTTCGGCCAGCGCTTCTGTGTTGAGCGCACTGCCTCCCAGAGTACTCGTTCTCCACCGCCGCCGGCATTGCTGTTGGAAGTCGTAAGCCCCAGACTTCAACACAACAGGCACAACGGGTCGACATACCAGAAGGGATGAAAGAATCCAATAATCCCATCCCACTCATCCATCTTCGATCCTTCTTTCTTATTGATATCCCCGCCACCGCTAGTCCCGCTGTCACTGCTACTCGCAGTCCTTACCCCACCGGGACCGGAGCTATCCACCTTCTCCCAATCCTCGTCTTCCTGGGCCCGGCCTTCTTTCGCAGACGGCGCCCGGGATTCCGCATCTTCAAACCGCGCCCGCGCGATTACATACTCACGGCGAGATCGTGTTCGTGACCGGATGAGCCAGCCCACGGCACGAAAGACAGAGCCGAAGAGAGCACCCGCGAGCTTCGGCAGGAGGAAAACGGTGGCGCTCAGGATGAGAAGTGAAAGTATGAGGCTGGACAAGAAGGCCATGGCTGAAATCACCGGCGATAGCGCATAGTAGGAAGCGTGGAGGAGGCAAGGGAGCTCCCCTCTTCCGATCAACAGCGCGCAGATACCATGTTGGGGACGCGTCACATGACGCGCTCCCTTTCCACTCCGCCATTTTGCATGTCGCGGACTTTGCGCTGCTTCGGCTGGACGTCGCCATGAATTCGCTCCGCCCGCTCCATGTCCTTCGCTCAGCCCAGCTTGCCTCGCCGGTGACATGCCCACAAGTCCGTCACTTCCACCCGACCAAACCCGCTCGGTTAATCAACGAAGTAGTGGAAACCTCCACCGGGCTCATTCATGGCGTCCACTCCCTGTCGGGCCTACCATGGGTTGCCTCTATACCACTCACCGCTGTGCTCGTTCGAATGGTAGTCGCATTACCACTGCAGATATACACTCGGATAAACAGCCGCCGTGATCAAGATCTCAATCCACTCTTGCATTCCTGGCGCGAGTTCTACCAAAAGCAAGCCCAGTCGCAGCGACTTGGAGCAGCTGCCGCCAAAACTAAAGTCCAAGTGTCCATTCAAAACCGAGGACAACAACTACGCTCCCGCTGGAATGTGTCCAGCTACTACCGACCAGCCAACTTCCTGCAGGTGCCCATCTGGATTTCGCTGATGGAGAGTCTGCGCGCCATGTGCGGCAACGAGAACGGCCTGCTGTCAATGTTGCATGTGATGTTTAAGCGTGATTTTGAATCCAGCTCCGCCGTCGGGTCTCTCCCTTTAAATATCGAGCCGTCTCTCGCTAACGAGGGAGCGCTCTGGTTCCCGGATCTGCTGGCCGGAGACCCCACGGGGATCCTTCCGGCTGTTCTGACGGCATCGATTTTGCTGAATGTTCGGACCGGCTGGAATACTACGCCGCTGACTGAAGCCGCCGATATGCCCGCGCTACAGATGTACCGGGTCTCTTTTTTCAATGGACTGCGGGTATTCATCCAGGTCCTCGCGCTCAACGTGGGGATTTCTAGCTGGTTCTACGGCATGCCGACCGCGCTCATGATCTACTGGATCACTAGTACCAATGTTGCGACGTTGCAGACCATGTTGCTGGGAAAGTACATGTTCTTGCAACCGCCGTTTCCTCCCTACAAGAAAATGTACTATCGCTACTCCAGACCGGGCACCTCTGATCCTTTTATGACGAAACTGCGGTAATCGGCTCCACGGAGAAATCCCGAGAACACATGTGGCTTTCTGCTGCACTGCTTCGGTGATTATGGCTCTGATCGGCTCTCGCTGCATTACTTGCTGGGGCTTCTGGAAAGCCACTGGGCAACCGGGGCAAGGCTGAGCAAGCATCTCGGCATTTACTATTGGGATGACGCCTAAGCATTGAGTCCTTGTCGTACCAGCTCGAATTGAGTCCATTGGGGTTAGGTTAATCGAGTGGGACCTTGGATCTGGAAACAGGCAGGGCCTTGGCAGCTTTCCCACTGCAACTATGCCATCCCGAGCAACGGCCTTACAGTCCGGAGATGCAGTGTAAACAATCTGTATATTAAGAGAAGCTGTGCTATCTCATACATTCTAGTATGTATTCAAAAAGATTCAATGATTTTCACCTTTATAGAAGGGAAGAGAAACCACATCTAGCCATCCACCCTTGCCCTCACTCGTATATCTCACCCACAAACCTGGTGGCCGGAACGGTGGGCAGCCCATCCAAACGAAGTATATTGTACGTCCCACTCTCGTAATCACGAATAGGCTCCGGCTCCGGCATATTTGCCGGACGACACGTAAAGCCATGAGACAACAAAAGCCCAACCACCATAGCAGCCTTGATAACACGGATAGCCTCATCATCAAGACCCCCGACCTCTGTGCGCAGAGTATCCCAGGAGAGTATCTCGGTGGTATCATAATTAGCATACCGAATCCAGCCGTCCTTGATATGGAACTTACTCATGAACTCCTGCAGATAGTAGAGGTTCAGACCGAACGGGCCGATCTCGGCTTCGGCCCAGTCAATCACCCCAATTAGGTGGTTGCTAGTCGAATTGACTATGATTTTGGTCGCCCTGAAGTCCTGGTGGAGTAGAACCATGGGGAGAGATACAATTGCTGGTAGGAGGTCGATTGATTTTTGGGTGATTGGATGGAAGCGGGTTGGTAGGGCAGCCAGTAGTCGTTGTAGATCGTGGGTATACTGGTGCTGGAGGTTCTCACGGAAAGATGGGTCAACCTGCTGAGGATTTTTCCAAGATAAAGAGCGAAGAATCTTTAGTCAAGAGTCAGTGACAAGATTTGTAGATACTAAACCAAACTAATAAGCCAAGTAAACGAGATAGGGTATCAGAAGACGAAGGCAACATACCGCGCAATATCCCCAATCAATTTCTCTCGCCAGGTACAAAACTCCAGTGAGTTCTCCGGAGAACCATGCTCCAAAAGAAATTCCAAGTGGCCAATCCCCGACAAGCGACTCAAGACATAGACGCAGAGCGGTTCTTGCTCCATGGAATAGACTTCTGCGGTTGAGCCCATTGTGATGGCTGCGGTAGTGTTGATTTAGAGAGAGGTATATGGTTGAAGATGGAAGAGCAAGTTCAATTGAGTCACAAGCTACAATTTTTTTTTTTTTTTTTTTCTCGAGGGGAGAGAGGAACAGGCGATGCTTGGTCTCTGCTCAGCTGTGCCATAACAAAGCAGAAAGTGCAGGGATTCGACGGCGCAACGCAACGTTCACTGGCTGCTCCCCACTCGGACAGCAAAGGCGCGGCTCTGCGCATCTCCTTGACCGCAACTACAGAGGCCAATGCTGCGGATCCGACTCTGTTTCTCTGGATGGCTTGAAATCTATACTTTCATGCACATGAAACGAGATATACATGTCTGGTGCTTCAGATTCGAGTAACATATCAATTATGTACAGGACGATGTATCAAAGAACTAAACCCGGGTATGGGGCAAACGCCTTCCCATCAGAAATCTCAGGGCACAAATAGTGAAGAACATCCGGTAAAATCCAAGGTTACCCCCAGAGATTTGATTTGGGTATTTCGAACCAGGCATGAGACCGTGAGCACGTATTGGGCGTCACACAGCGACAGACATACAACATACTTCTAGAGCTTGGCCTTGGGGTTCTCCTCGGCAGCGCTTGCTTCTTGGTTGACCTCGACGGTGCGCGAGTCAGGGCCTTGACCGAAGAAAATGACCTCAACAGTGACATCGTCACTGTAAATTATCAGTAAACCAAAAAGACATGGGAAAGGGTATGGAGGGGAAACATACCGGTACCGACGAGAGTACGGGCTGGGCAGCGTCAGCAACGCACACAGCATCTCCTTGTCCTTCCCGCCCATGGCATTGCGCACGAGATGGGTCGCTGCATTCTTGTCCTCGACGACGAATCGGCTGGGCTCACTCGGCATATCGTACTGTTGCTGGCGGATGGGACGACGCTGGCCTTCGGCCGAGGCACCTTGGGGGTGTCGACAGGCAGTTGCTTCTGTCCATCGAACCCGAACCATCCCTGCAGCCAGGACTTGCCAGTGCCACCGGCAACGCCAGATTGCTGATTTTCGATCCATTGACCGACCAGACCAACGACTTCTTCGTTGCTCAACATCTCCCACAGACCATCGGTGGCCATGACGACAAAGTCACCCTGGGAGGGATCCATCTTGGTGGTGGTGACGATGGGTTCGGCAGTGACGTAGGGAGGCGTCTTGAGATGGGGACTGGGGCTTCGTCCGAAAAATTGCTGCTTTATTTTGTCTTGAACGTCTTTGCTCCACTTGTAGACCGCGTCGCCGAAAGCACGACTCGGCTCTAGTTGGCCCAAGATACGACCGTTCCGGGTGACATAGGGCTCGCCGGGGTGCTCTTCACGCAGACGCTTGATCTCAGACGGCGTGCCACCGGTTTGATCTTCCGACAGCGGCGTAGCAGACCACTTCCCGCCGGGGCCACGGCGGCCGAGAACGGCGCGTGAGTCACCAGTAACAGCAACCTTGAGGTTCTGGGACTGCGAATCGTAGAAGCTCAGGAGAGCGCATGAGCCCGAAAGAGCGGGCGCCAGGAGCTCAGCCGCGGCCCGTCGTGACTTGGACTTGAGTACTTTGTCCACGCTCTCGTGCACAATATCGTGGTCCAGACGGACGAAACCTTGCTTGATAGCCGCGTCCACAGCCTCGGACGATGGTATCAGAATCGAGGAGTCGGCAGCCGCAGTCTTGTAAGTGATGTTGAGTTCACGGGCGACATACGAGATGAGGACATTCCGCAGTTTCGCAGACGTGGTCCAGCCCCTGGTCGATAGTTAATGCCTCATCCTCCCTTCCTCGAGCCATACACCACTCACGAATGCCCATCGAATACTGCCCAAAACATCCAGTCACTGTTTGTCTGTCCATTTTTCGAGGCAGCGACCGATGGTGAAACCTGAACGATCTTCTCGGCGTGGTCGTCTTCAATGGGCGAATTGCTGGGAACCTGAACAATGTCGTAGCGCACCACACCCTTACCCCGATTGACGAGATATGATTCCTCGTTCTTCCGAAGTTTCTCCGTAGCTTGTTCTGGCGTTAACATCCCCACGACCCGGCGATCGGAATCATCGGTGTTCTTAGAAAGCGGCTGGTCGCTGGAGAGCGTAGCGGTGTAGAACTGGTCGTTGCCCACGAGGACAGCACGCTTCGGAGTCTCGGATGGGTCCTCTGCGTAAGCAGAAGCGATTGCACTGGAAGCGAATGCTCGGACCTGGGTTGCCATCGAAAGGGCGCTGTCACCTTGATAAGCATACCATGCTCCGGAGGCGACGGCGGCCGAGATCACGGCGAGGGAGAAATTGCGAAGATACATGGAGGATTGCAAAGCAGCCGGAACAAAGGATGTGCGCTTTCCGCTCGAGTATGGTCGTAGACCTCGCACCTGGTTGTTGGAGAAGGACAGCGATCCTGGCCGATTTCCGGCTGTCCATACTGGGGCACGCCGGGCAATACGGAGCGCCTGAACAGCCACCCGACGCATTGGTTCTGCGAAGAATGAAATGACTGAAAATTTCTCCAGCAAGGCTAGGCTCAAGCTGGGATTTCGGTGATCGAAACGGCAGTTGAAGTGCCTTGGGTCTTGTTTGGTGCTGGCAACATTTCCCACGGCCGGTCACGTGTAACATAGCTTCAGGACCACGCTAGTCCCAATGAAGCTGTGTCGTCATTCCCCGCGGATTTCGATTTGATCAGAAATATTTCTTTGCCCTCCTACAGCACCGCCCGTGAGGCTTCGCGATGTCCTCTCGCGCCATCCGAAAGCTGCAGAAGCAGCGTGAGCAACAGCTGCAACAGGAACCCGAGCAGCAGGATGAGTCAAGCGAGGATGAGGGCCCCGCGCCCAGCGAGGCCGAAATTCAATGCCTTTGATCTCTTGAATGCCCAAGACGAGGACGAACCTGAATCTGAGGAGGATGTTCAGGAGCCTATAGTCCAGCCGTCAGAGCCTGTGCCCCCACCAACAAAGCCCAAAAGTGCCAGCAAGAAAAAGAAGAAGAAGAAGGCAGCCAAGGCTCTGGAGCAGCCCGCTACGGCGGCGGCGAAGCCCCACGATGCGAAAATGGACGAGATCGATCGAGCACTCCAAGATCTGGCGACGGATGGGCATGCATCAGTTGGTGTTGATCCGTCAGTAGTCTCCAAAGACACTCGCGATACTTCGTTCCCGAAAACCACCGACGAGCTACTCTCGGTTGAGCCCAAATTCCTAAACTCCATGAACGAGATGCGCCGGCTGTTTGGGAACGTCGTGTTGGAGAACTTTGATCAGCCAGCCGACACAGGAACAGGCCGTCGTCGAGATCGCAACCGGGAGATGATCGACCTCGGCCAGGCATTGTCGGGGAGATACAGCCCGGCCAGTAGAGGTCAGAGTTTGGCGGGTATCACACTACGGCGAAACACTCTGATGCAAGCCAAGGACGAGTGGCCACGGGCTCCGAGTGGGGGTCTGGGCATGGAGACAGTTGAGAAGCTCTCTGGTGGGGATACACTCTACCGCATCGTCCACAATGCGGCATACCAAGACGTACAGAGGCAATTTGAAATCTGTGTGGAGTCTATGGACCCACAGAGATTGATTTATCACCTTCAATACAACCCCTACCACATCTCCACACTGCTCCAGGTATCTGAGATTGCCAAGCACCAAAGCGATCATGCTGTGTCCGCTGATCTCCTGGAGAGAGCCCTCTTCAACATTGGGCGTTCAGCCCACTCGTCATTTGGCAATCTTCTCAAGGAAGGCCGATCCAGACTGGACTTTGTACACATGGAGAACCGAGAGCTGTGGCTGGTCGGCTGGAGGTACATTGCGAATTTGGGGATGAAAGGAACATGGCGGACCGCCTATGAATGGGCGAAGCTCTTGCTCAGTTTGAATGACAATGATCCCTATTGTATCAAACTATTGGTCGATCACTTGGCGCTTCGCGGCCGAGAGTATACACACTTTGTCGAGCTGTGCACACAGACGCGGTTCAGTCGTGATTGGGCCGAACTGCCAAACATTCAGTGCTCACTCGTCATGGCATATCTTCGCCTGAACAAGCCCCAAGAATGTCGCCGGCAGCTCCACCTCGCCATGTCGCGCTACCCGTGGGTGTTTAGCAGGCTGGCCCAAGAGCTTGATCTTCAGCATATACCTAAGCAGATCTGGGGCAAGATGCCTCCTACTGGAGCCCACGAACTGCTCACGGAACTCTATATTTCTCGGGCGAAGGATCTCTGGAACACTCCCGAGGCGGTTTCTCTCATCATGGAAGTCGCCGACACCCTTTCCGGCGAAGCAGAGCCCATTGAACCACCCACGATCACGTTGGATCTTGCCCGCCATGTGGTCCTGTCCGACATTCCTCGTGTGACAACCCATCTTCCCACTCGGTTCGTGTCTGGCCGTCTCTCTGCTTCTGATCCTTTGCCACCATACGAATCCGACGCTTTCCGTCAGCAATCCGACCCTACTCCGTCCTATCTATCGCAGGTTCCGGAAGGCGGGCGGCCACAGTGGCTTCGCGATCTACTCGATCAGTTAAACAACGGCGCACTCCACTTCCCGCGTTTTCGGGGTGAAGGGGATGCAGCGGAAGGAGATGACAACGATAGCCTTAACGAAGAAGCCCTGGATGCAGGCGAAACAGAACGAGCCCATCCATCAGCAGAAGATCCACATGCCTTAGAGCAATGGCTCTTGCAGGATGGGCTGCAGTCGCTACAGATGTTTCTGCACCAGTACGGAGTCGACCGGGGTAATTGGGGAGAAGTGGTGGATTATGCCCCGTTGACGGACTATCTGGAGGCGCTCGAAGCGATTCCGTCTCAGAACCAGCAGCAGTTGCTGCACGGTTCGATCAAGGAAGTGATTGGGGATTTCGCGGTCAGCATGCTCGAAGACGAGCTCGAGATGATGGCTGAAGACCATGATGGGGAGTCATGAAATAGAAGTCACCAAATGTATTTGATACACACTGTACCTCCCCGGTCTCATTTCAATCCGTCCATCTATTTATGCTCACAACCATACGATGGCGGAGAAATATAATTGCATTCCTGCAACCTCCTGGCTATCCTGCCTTCTTATCCCCCTTTCAGCCAACGAGTAATGGCCATGAGTCGAACTCTATCCCTTCTAATGGGGTTCAGGTTTCGGAGCTTATATGTGAATTTCCATCCTCGTCTCCAACCACACACGAGGTTCTTTTCGGTTCTTCACTCAAATAACCAATGTCCAAGGTTTCAGTCTGAGATTTGCATGGAAAGACTAGACGGCTCGAGTAAATTTATTTTACTGACATGTTATTTGGATACACAAGATGACTGATACTTCTCAGGCCAGAAGATTCCCAAAGAAGACTTGTACCGATACACCAGACACCGATGGCTGTAAGCAAACCTGTATCATTTGAACATTGCAACGATAGCTCACCTGAACACATTAGATTCAACGAGAAAAAGGGAGCTTTCCAAGTGCTATGAAACATTCAACCTGGAGCAACTTATCGAAATGGCAGTCAGTGTCTGCGAGGGATCTCAACAGCAGCTGGCAGATCGCAGACAGAAGGAATATTGACATGATTAAATAGGCGCCAAAACTGCTAATTCAATACATGTCGGGATTTAAGAAGATTTATAGTGAAGAAGCATGAACGAACTGCGTCTATACTTAGAAGTAGATAACGCTGCATTGCATAGAAATCAATCGATCTGATTGGCCACGATAACCGCAATGCAATGCAATTGGACAATCGGTGGCTGAGTCAGCCACAGCTCCCCACCTGCGCAGGGCTCTGTTTTTTTTTTTTTTTTTTTTTTTTTTTTTTTTTTCTCCTTTTTTTGCGCGTTTCAACAATGCTTTCTCTTTGTCTCTCTTTGAATTGATCTCAACTTGAACCTCTCTCACTATAATCACCAATCCCACTCCACGAGTGCTGTTCTGCTCGAATTGTTGCTGTCCGGGAGTACTCCAAACAAGATTGTGTCATAGCCGCATCGCAAATTTCTCCGCCCCATCACCGAAAACAGCCAAACTCCTCACCTTGCCCTGCAGCTGAACATCCCCCCTATCACTCATTTTCAACATGAATTTAGACGGCCAGGTGCCTCTGACTGCGCGGGAGGCTGCATCGGGTCTTCTGGGCTCGGTGTCGATGACCTGCTGGATCTTTTTACTGGTATGACTTCCGCCCATACATTCTGATCGTCGCAGGAATCGCAGAAGAAAAAAAATCAAAAATCATGGTAAAATCGCAAGTAAAAAATCTGACTCGGTTTCCACGCAGGTTCCCCAACTCATCGAAAACTACCGAAATGGCAACGCCGAAGCCATCTCTCTCTTGTTCGTGTTTGTCTGGTTCGTCGGCGACGTAGCCAATCTGGTGGGCGGGCTCCTGGCGGGCCTGGTCCCCGTAATCGTCGCCATCGCCGTGTACTTCTGCATCGCAGATGGCGTGCTGATCACGCAATGCCTGTATTACAAGGCGCGCAATACGCGCCGCGAGGCTCTCCGCCGTCGCCGCTCCTCTACCGAAACCCTTGACCCGACGACCCCCCTGCTAGGCCGCCGCTTCAGCGACAGTATTCCGGCGCCCGCATCGCGGCGCCGATCGTCGGGCTCGTTGCGCGGGCATCAGGGTGCGGGGCGGCGTGAGAGCCAGATCGAGGATACGCTGGCCAAGATTGTGGAAGAGAATGACTATGGTCACAAGGCATGGATCAAGAACTTTCTGAGTGTCGTCGGCATCTTTGTGGTTGGTATGGCTGGGTGGACTATTGCCTGGCAGACGGGCATGTGGACTCCTGCGCCGCAGGAGAACCACAAGACCGAGGATATGGCCACGGGAGGCCTGGTGCTGGGTTATTTCAGCGCTGTATGCTACCTGGGGTGAGTGAGATTGCGCTTTTTGAATACTTCGTGACGGTGGCTACGGGCCTCAGCGAGTCAATGAATTGGGACTGACAGCGTTCTACAGTGCGAGGCTCCCTCAGATCTACAAGAACTACTGCGACAAATCCTGTGAAGGTATGCTCCCCCATACTCTGAACCCATTTAATACGAGTCTATTTGGTGCTAACCTCTTCTCAGGACTGTCACTTCTATTCTTCATTCTCTCTCTGTTGGGCAACTTGACCTACGGCGCAGGGGTACGTGTAATCCATACTTCCATCATCCTCCGCAGCATCTCGAACCAAAAGACTAATTGAATCCCCCTTTAGATCATGTGCCACTCCAACGACAAGGAATATGTCCTCACAAATCTGCCTTGGTTGATCGGCTCCTTGGGAACAATGGTCGAGGATGTGATCATCTTCATCCAATTCCGTGTCTACGCCGTTCCCCAGGATCTTCCCCCTTCGGCAGTATCATGATCTCTATTTATGACCTCATTTGCTTATACGAACGCACCCCCTGATCTCTCGTATATTCTTTTGTTTACATGCTATGTGTTGTGCACTTTGGGCTTTTGCGATATGTTCTTGGATTGAACACAAAAAAAGTTGCATGGGGTTGAGTGGAGCTTGCTTTCTGGGACTCGAGGCGAACATGGCGTTACTTGCTTTTTGAGCCGGCGAGCTTGTACTGTCGATGTACATGAATCTGCGTGTCGCGGTGTTGCTGATGATCGCACTATGAATATATAAATCATATACTACCATCACCTGGTTCTTGTAGGAAATACTAGTCGTCCCAGGGCAAGTTGTACATAGATGCCAACCTCGGTAGACATCTAGCTCTACACGGTACCCACACCGGAATACAGGGCAGTTTTCACTTGCGCATGGTCGCATCAGACATGACATGGCAAAGCTAGGCTAGTTGATCCCAGGGCAAGAACACATCATACATCTACCTGCCAGACAAAGCCTCTTGAGAGATCTCCGTCCAAGACAAATCAGAGGTTGTGCCAAACGTCATTCTTCAATTCCCCTATAATCCTGGAAGCAACACTAGTTTCGGTATCGCAGCGGCCACCGATCGAGTCTACCTCCGTCACTGAGCAAGACGGAAGCATCCCGAGCACCCAGTCTCCATTGAATGTCCTTGTCCGTTTGAAATCTTTTGCTATTTTCTTTTTTTCCTTCCCCGAATTTAGGGCTTCGTAGTGGGGGTCGTGGAGTATCGAGTACAAGAGAGAATCGTCGAGGTAGCCGGCGGGCGGCAGCGGGAAAAGAGGCGAGGGAAAAAGAAAAAGGAAAATGAGTTCAATTTCGGTATGGTGCATACGCTTAGTCGAACAGACCGAAGCCCATGTCCTCGTCGGACTCCTCCTTCTCTGTAACCGAAGTTAGTCACCTATGTTATTGTGTGCGTTGGATCACCAGTTTTCAACTTACCCTCCTCCTTCTTCTCCTCCTTGGCGGCCTCGGCGGGGGCGTCGGCAGCACCGCCAGCGGCGGCGGGGGCGGCAGGGCCACCGGAGCCGACGTTGGTCAGGAGCTCCTTGATGTCCTTGCCCTCGAGAGCCTGCAAAGACAAACATAAGTCACCGAACTTGAATCGACCGTATTCGGATGTCGCAAAAAGACAACGCCGCACACAGACGACGGGAAAGGCTCAAATAATTACCTTGGCGAAGATCGAGGTCCAGATGGGCTCAACCTCCTGCACCTTGGCGGCACCCAGGAGGGTCTGGAGCTTGTCGGCCTGTATTGAAGATTCGCAGTTAGCTCAAGACTCGCACATATTTGCAGGCATTGCGATTGCGATCTGGTCCTCCTCTACGATCAAAGCGATCAAATATCCCACAGTATATCCCATGGGAAATTCTTCGCGATATCTTCGACCCCCGCCGCAATCCCAACCAACAATAAAACCAAGATACGTACGGTGACCTCAACGCCGTCATCGGCGAGGATGAGGGCGGCGTAAGAGCAGGCGAGCTCGGCGGTAGACATGGTGTCGGGTGGTGTTGATGGGTGTCTTGAAGAGGATTGGGGATGGGAAGGGAAAAAGTGAAGAGATGGGAAGTACCTAAGCCTACCCGAACAGGGCAACCGCGGGTGTGTGGGAAAAAGCCCTCGCTTAGGGCTTGGCTCAATCAGGATTAGCGTGACTGTTGGCCACTAGTCCCAAAACGGGACGATGACCTAATCCCGTAGTAACCCCGACCGTATCTGCCGTATCTCTCGCTATCGCCAATCAGTCCAGACCTGACATCACATCCCGTGGGGTTCGAGTATCCCGCAAGTTCCAAACCTTCCTCTTTATTCTCGACCTTCAGAGTTATTCTCTGTCGCTAACTGCTGATTATCCTATCTACTCACTCTCTGGCCACTCCGCCAACTCTTCGGCCATGGAGTCCCCCGCCATCCCGGTCCCGCTGGATCCGCGCGAGCAGCCCATTCTCGAACGCCTGCTCCGAACCCGCGACGCCCTCCTGCTTTTGAAACAGGATAAATCCTCCTATATCAAGTCCCGCGATGTTCTTCCACTGTATGAAGAGGTGAACGGTGAAGTGGAGAAGCTCAATTCCGCTCGCAAAGAGCAGGACCGCCGCTTGATACACAATCGACGTGAGTGAAGTGGGCAGTACATAATTTGGTGGAATATCGCTGAAATTGAATACTTTAGTGGACTATGTCTTGGACGACTGCTTCCAGTTGATTTCTCTACTGTTTTTGACTGTTGGACGGAACAATGAAGCTCCCGCAGTGTCTGTCGCTCGCTCATTTACCCCACTATCATTCCGTGTTCTTGTGGCTAACCCCCTTCTAGATACTCGTTGGCGACCACAGTCCAGGTATATCATTTTCCGTACTTTCAAGTTCATTATACTAACCTCTTTAGCGTCTCCTTGACCATCTTGAAGAAGCTGGGTTCTTTAGCGCGAAAGACTTGAACTCAATTACGAAGACGCTCCAGTCAATGCGAGAAACCCTCGAACGGGGTCGCGACACCTATTCTCCGGCTTTGCTCACATTCTTAGAGAGCCGATTGGAACAGTGCCAGCTTTCATTGGACAAGCTGCAAAAGGAACTGGCAGCCTTGGCTCCAGGTTTAGTACAGACGCATGAAACCCTGGTTTCAATTCTGCGGTCTACTTCCGCCGTCAATACTCGTTCAAAGGTGCGAATACATGCATTTATGAGCTGTGCCGTTCGTCTGCTAACTATTTCCTCGCGGTACCAGTTCTCGGCCACGGAAGTGAACGGTCTTCGGGAGCAATTGAAGAAGATCGAGAAGTCGCAAAAAGATGGCAATTTCGTGGATGCCGATGGCAACATTCTGGCGGGGCAAGACGATCTCAAGTCTCTGATTCAACGATGTTGGAAGTGGACTGAGATTGTACTCGAGCGGTACGATTTTCTGAAAATTTACCAAGAGATTGTCATTCGCTGATCTGGATTATAGGGAGGGCAAGATTGATGAAAGATTCCGAGAGCAGTACGAGCGACTGTTGGAAATCCGCAACCAATTGGACCGGTTGTCTGTGACACAAGCTTGGTCGCTGCGCGAAACAGATCTCTTCGGGTACCAACGAAGACTCGACCGAATCGATGAGGCTCGAGTGAACGGAAACTTTGTTGATGCAGAGGGACAGCCAGCGGACCTTCATGCGCAGCGGGTAGGAATTTCTCATGTGCCAACATCCTTCTATCGCAGTCTCTTACTTACTGGTTTTCTGGCAGACCTTGCTTTATCTCATTCGACGCAGCTATGCATACATTTATGCGCTTTTGATATCTTCTGAGCCTGTCTCGGAAGCCTTGCTGCCCGTTCACAACCAGCTTCAGACCCTTCGGCGGTGTTTGATTGAAGTCAAGGAATCCGGTGGTGTCTCGAATTCACGCGAACTGTACCCCTATAGCATGAAGGTATGTGTGAAGTGATCAACATCTTTGTTTCGTGTGCGCTGACCAGAGCAGCTCAACTCGATTGACAACATGCGAGTCGATGGCAAGTTCTACGTGGGCCCAGACATTCCAGAAGGACAGGGAAGCGTCAATGCCCTGCTCGCCGAATGCTACGACTTGGTCTGGGAGCTGCGCGCCGCCGTGGTTGACGATGAAGAGCGGTCTTAGAGACATCTGTGTGCATCTCTCTGTTTTCTATCTTGTGTTATTTCTACTTGTGTCCATGAAGGACTGGCCATTTGGTGTCCTCGACTTACAGTGATCTGTGACTGTGGTCCGAGATCTACCTAATGCTCGATTTTGTTTGATTCAGATAATCCCTGGCGTTGATATGGTCCAATTACGGGCCTTTTGGTCCCTGTAGGTAACCTGATATCGAATTGATGATTTTGGAAGTTCCGCTTGTGACTATTAAATTGTCATATCTTGCAATATAGCAATCAATATCAATTATTTCCATTCCTCCTACTCCTCTTCATTCTGTCTGGCGAATTCCACCGATCTAAAAAGACCCGACATCGGCGGATCAACGGGCCAATCAGGACCGAGGTAAATAACCAGCCTGACACCCGAAAAAACGGGCTCTCACACCGATTTCATTATTAACTCTTTTCTTTCCCCAGTTTCCACTTCATAAACGAGGTTGAGAATGGTGAGCCAGCTTGTTTGGCAGCGGGCTGCCTCTCGCGGGGTGAGTAGCAAAGTTTTTTCCCATCAATGACTCGAATGCAAACTGACTCGTCGGTGTAGCTGGCAGCACGCCTGTCCCGACCCTTGACCCGTGGCTTGGCCACCGAGGCTTCGTCGTCGCGCATGCCGCCGTATCCCAAGATCGTCCGCAACCTCGAGCAGGTCCGTAAAGTCCTGGGCTCTGAGCGCGCCCTCACCCTGGCCGAGAAGATCTTTTACGCGCACCTGGCCAACCCGGAGGACTCGCTGCTCACCGGCACCAACAATGGCCGCGATATTCGGGGCACGGCCAATCTAAAGCTGAAGCCCGACCGTGTGGCCATGCAGGATGCCTCGGCGCAGATGGCTCTCCTGCAATTTATGTCATGCGGTCTGCCGTCGACCGCGGTTCCTGCCAGCATTCACTGCGACCACATGATTGTTGGAGAGCGCGGTGCCGACACTGATCTACCGGAGTCGATAAAGGGCAACAGCGAGGTGTTTGATTTCCTCGAGAGTGCGGCGAAGCGCTATGGTATTGAGTTTTGGCCCCCCGGTGCGGGCATCATTCACCAGAGCGTACTGGAGAACTATGCCGCTCCCGGACTGATGATGCTGGGTACCGACAGCCACACCCCCAACGGAGGTGGTCTGGGTGCGATTGCGATTGGTGTGGGTGGCGCGGACGCTGTCGATGCGCTCGTCGATGCCCCGTGGGAGCTGAAGGCACCGCGCGTCCTGGGTGTGCGACTGGAAGGCCAATTGAGCGGCTGGGCGTCGCCCAAGGATATTATCCTGAACCTCGCTGGCCAGCTGACTGTCCGCGGTGGCACAGGGTTTGTCATTGAATACCACGGACCGGGTGTGGAAACGCTGAGTTGCACAGGCATGGCAACCTGCTGCAACATGGGTGCCGAGGTGGGTGCCACCACTTCGGTCTTCCCGTTCTCACCGAAAATGGTGCCGTACCTGCAGGCCACGCACCGTGGCCACGTCGCCGAGGCCGCCGCAGAGATTGCCTCCTCGGGTCCGCAAAACCTGCTGCGTGCCGACACCAAGGCCGAGTATGACCAGCTGATCACGATCGACCTGTCGAAGCTGGAGCCACACATTAACGGGCCGTTTACGCCCGACTTCTCGGTTCCGCTATCGAAGTTTGCCGACACTGTGCGCGAGAAGCAATGGCCCGAGACTTTCGGGGCGGGTCTCATCGGTAGCTGCACCAACTCCTCGTATGAGGACATGACCCGGGCGGAACATCTGGTCAAGCAGGCCTCGGCTGCAGGGCTCAAGCCCAAGGCTGATTTCTTCATCACCCCTGGTAGCGAGCAGATCCGGGCTACCCTTGACCGCGACCAGACCCTCAACACTTTCTCGGAAGCCGGTGGCACTGTGCTGGCCAACGCCTGTGGGCCCTGCATTGGCCAGTGGAAGCGCACTGACGGCGTTCCCAAGGGCGAAGACAACGCCATTTTTACCTCGTACAACCGCAACTTCCCCGGCCGCAACGACGGTAACCGCCGCACCATGAACTTCTTAGCTTCTCCCGAGGTCGTCACAGCCCTTGCTTACTCTGGGAGCACCACCTTCAACCCTATGACCGATTCTCTGCCCACCCCCAATGGTGAGACCTTCCAGTTCCAGCCGCCTCATGGCTCCCAATTGCCCGGCGCTGGCTTCGAGGCTGGCAACCCCAAGTTTCAGCCCACGGCCGCTGTTCCGGACGCCAGCTGCGACGTGATTGTGTCGCCGACATCGGACCGCCTGGCACTGTTGGAGCCGTTCGCTCCGTTCCCTCGGGGCGATCTGTCGGGCCTGCAGGTGCTGTACAAAGTCAAGGGCCAGTGTACGACGGACACAATTTCTGCGGCCGGTCCCTGGCTGAAGTACAAGGGCCACCTGCCCAACATCTCGGCGAACACGCTGATCGGGGCCGTCAACGCGGCCACCGGCGAGACTAATGTGGCCTATGACGAAAACGGTGCGTCGCACTCGATCCCCGAACTCGCCGAGCAGTGGAAGGGCAGCGGCCGCGAGTGGCTGGTCGTCGCCGAGGACAACTACGGCGAGGGCTCCGCGCGCGAACACGCCGCGCTGCAGCCCCGATACCTGGGCGGCCGGGTGATTGTCACCAAGAGCTTCGCCCGTATCCACGAGACCAACCTGAAGAAGCAGGGTGTGGTGCCTCTGACGTTTGCCAACCGCGAGGACTACGACCGCATCGACGCCTGTGATCGCGTCGACACTGTTGGTCTTTACGACGTCCTCAAGGCCGGTGGCCAGGGCGAAGTGAAGCTCCGCGTCACCAAGCACAAGACCGGCGAGTCCTTTGAGATCCCGGTCCAGCACACCCTTAGCAAGGACCAGTGCGGGTTCATCTTGGCGGGCAGTGCATTGAACCTGCTGGCTGGCAAGGCCAACTCTCAGTAAGAAGTCCAAGGGTGTGTTCTCTTTTCTATGTTTTTGTATTCTCTTGGAGACTTGGCAACCACAAAAATTTCGGGTTCGATCAGGAGTTGATCTGGTGCTCGATTGTATCTAGGGATTTAGATTTTGCGTGTTTGTTGACTAGATATCCAACCAGATGTATTGTATTCCCTAGATGTGACCATCCATTGCAGGAAAGTATAAGTATGCCTTACACTATACTAGCAACGTCGGGAATCCCCATTCCCGAAGATTCCAACATTCCCGCTGCGGGGCTCGCGCTAAAGAAACCAACAGAAGACGACAAGAAGACATCTCAGGCTCTCGGTATTTCCTTTCTGAATATTTCACTGTTTCTGTCGACACAATGGGATCCCGCAATGGCACGAAAAGGCCGTGGATCGAGACACCGCTCATTGAATCGGCGACGCTGTCGCAGCAAGCAGGATGGTGAGACTACCCACGGTCCATATCTGGTGGAAGTAGAACATGACGGTACACTGCAACAAAATAATACTGACAAGCGATTGGAACATGGCAGCAGAGTCTTCTTAAAACTGGAACTCCTCCAGCCATCCGGCTCGTTTAAATCGCGGTAAGAAAAAGATCCCACACCCTGACACCACCTACCTACTTACTTTACTCCCAACATACTAACATGTTTTACCAGAGGAATCGGCAACCTCATTCTCTCGACCCTGAAAGACCCCGCCAACGCCGGCAAAAACGTGCATTTCTTCATCTCGTCCGGTGGCAACGCCGGCCTGGCCGCCGTGCATGCAGCCCGCGATCTCGGCTGCCCGTGTACAGTGGTCGTCCCGCACAGTACGAAGCCGTTCATGATTTCCAAGCTGCAAGCTGCGGGCGCGACGGCTGTGATTCAACAAGGGGCGAGCTGGTTCGAGGCGGATACGTTCTTGCGCAAGACGTATATTGATCGACCGCAGGAGGGGACGGCCGATGATGCCGGCAATGCTACTACTAACACGGTCAACGTCTATGTCCCGCCCTTTGATGACCCGCGTGTCTGGGCTGGAGCTGCGACGATGGTTGAGGAGATTGCGGCACAGTTGCCGCCTCGGCCGTCTTCGGAGTCTTCTTCTGTGTTTCCGGCCGATGCGATTGTGTGCAGCGTCGGCGGGGGTGGGCTCTTCAATGGGATTGTCGAGGGCACGACCAAGTGCCTGCAGTCTTCCTCATCATCTGTTTCTTCGGAACATGCACCAGAAAACAAGGTGCATATTCTAGCTGCGGAAACTCAAGGCGCCCACTCCCTAGCTCATTCGCTGCACGCGGGTGAGCTCCAGTCACTGTCCGCTATTACCTCGCAGGCCAACGCACTTGGCGCTTTGTGCGTGGCGCGGCAGGCCTTTGTGAATGCAACATCGCCTCCGCCGGGAGTGCAGGTGACGAGCGTTGTGGGGTCGGACGCCGAGGCTGCGAAGGGTATTCTGCGGCTGGCGGATGAGGCACGACTGGAGGTTGAGCTGGCGTGTGGGATTAGTGTCGAGGTTGCCATTGGGGGCAAGCTGGCTGAGGTTCTTCCTGGCTTTGGGCCGGAGAGTCGCGTTGTGGTGGTTGTTTGTGGTGGGAGTAACATTTCTGCGGAAATGATTGCGGAGTATCGGCGGCAGCTTGAAAATGGGTGGGAGTGATGGTGATTACAGGTGGTATTTGAGGGTTGAGTGTATAAAATACATGGATACTACCTGTTGGTGTAGATCTGGCGGTAGTGCGTCTGCAGCCAGCCACTTCCGGACCTATATAGATTTGTTTACCCAGATGTGATAACGCATGGATGCTACCCAAACGGATGGCATAGAGCGAACACGAGCGAGCCCAGCCATAGTAGCCGCCACTGATGCAGCGAGATGTGATACTTAGTGGCTACTATGCAGGGCTATTGGCAGAGATTTGACATGGAAGACTCACAAAGAAACTAACCATTGGGTCAAATTTCTACATCGGAAGTATATACAATGGCTTCACTCACAGAGCTAGTGTCCCATTTCATACCAGTATACCAGTAGATAGACATAAGAGACAATATTCCCACTGATCAATCTTCTTACGGCACAAACAACCCATTGAAGCTCCACTCTCTCCTTGTATACTCTTGGCTTTGGTTTCTGTTCTTGCGGACCTCGGTGATTCCTCGCGCCACACGCGTCTTGGTCTGAATCTAGCCCTAACCCCGCTTTGTATGGGTGAACGAGGTGACTCTGTTCCTCGGTGGCTTTGAGCTGGTTTTATTGTAGTTGGTTTAGGATAAATACAATCTTGTAATCTCGATATTGTTTCTGTCAACCGGAAAATATAAGCTACGCTGGGGAGACTATTCATCTGCACTATATATATCTGATCTAGATCACTACCATTGCGCGGTCCAAAACTAGCCAAATCACTCCAACTTTACCACAGCCTCGAACTCAGTCCCTGAAAATCCCTCAGATAAGCACCAGATCCAGCTGAGATTAGCTTCCTCGGTTTATGCCCCATGCAGCAAGCCCCCGAGACTCCCTCCCCCAGATTTTTCCTGGCGTGTTAGCGAGGGTGTTCGCGCTCTGCAATGTAACCTCGTATTGTATAGGCGTGAGAGAACCTAACTGTTTCTGTGATGCTCTTCGTCCGCGCCAATCTACAGGGACTTGAGCTCCCCGCAACTATTTGCTCGGTCATCCCATCTGTTCCTATCCAAGTCACGATGGCTCCATCTTCGCGCCGCGGCGTGCAGACCGAGAACCAGCGAGAAAAAGCCACTTCGTATACAGGCCCAGAGCCAAAAAAAATGTGGACAACAGTGACAATGTCTGGAATTACCAACGAGATCGAGCCAACAGCATCAGTAAGAAACCTATAAGTATGAGCATGTCTCCCCAGCTCTGATCCATCTCAGACCCAGTACCTCAATCCAAAGCAATCGACTCAATCTACAACAAATCTCTTACTTTCTTCCTTTTATACTCCAAACCTCAACATGCGTTTCATCCCCGCTCTGCTCGCCCTGGCCATCCCGCTGGCCATCACCGCCAGCCCTATCCCCGAGGAAGAAGCACCGCGTCTCCCCGGCGCCAGCCCGGCTGACCCGGGCGCCCTCTTCGAGCGCGCCACCCAGCTGTGCAAGATCATCAGCAGCGATGGCGACGTCAAGTGCCGCGCGAAGCCGTCGTTCAGTGGTGCCGTGAAGCATTCGTTCCCGAATAACTCGGTGTGGTATTTTAAGTGCTATAAGTCGAGTGATTGCTATAATGGGAACTGGTATGTTATATCAAGAAGAAGAAGAAGAAGATATCAAGAGGAGAGAAAGAAGATAGAATACTGATATCTTTATGTAGCACCTGGGACTACAATGCCGACTATGACTGCTATGTCAATGGCTACTATACCAGTGACAACTGCAGCGTCAGTAAGTTGGATACATCCATCAATTCCTAATTACCTGACTGGACACTGACTGACCTGTTTCTCTTTCTTTTCTTACACTTTCTAGGTAAGCTGGGCAAGTGTTAGACGGGGGTTTATACCCGCCTCTGCCAGACGTGACTATAACCCGTGTGGGTGATCTTAGTGGAAGTTTTGGAACAAGGCCTCTTACTGGTACTCGAGAGTGGACAGAGATTTGTGGTGGTTCTTACAGAATAACTCACAGACAGGAGTAGTTGAGTAGTTGACGTTGGAATGAAATGATGATCCGCCTGTTACTTGAGAAAATCTGGACAATGGACTTCATTCATGATCATCGTAGCACAAAGAATAGGATCGGAGCAAGTCTAAAACTCGTGCACGCAAGATGCTAGTAACTCGTAAACAGGAGGGGGCCCAACGCTCAGACCAGAGGAGAGGAGGAAATGGCATTCGGACAAAAAAAAAGCCAGCCCAACAGTAATAAACAGAAAATCAGGGCCATTGCTCACTCGCTATCGCTGGCACTGTCATGTATCGAGCCTCCCTCGGCATCATCCCGAATACCCTCGGCCAGAATATACTCGGTCTGTTGGAGTGTCGACTTGATCTCGATGTTATTGAAAACGAGATCCGCCGGCTTCTGGCCATGCTTGTTTCGTACTCGCGGGTCACACCCGGCCTCACACATCATCTTGACCATCTCCAGGCCCAGCTCGGCGTCCTTGTCGTTGGCGTAGCGCACGGCGATGTGTAGTGGGGTGTCCTTGTCCATGCGGGTGAGCGGGTCGCATTCGAAGTACTGGATGTCGAACAGGGCATCCATGACGTCGTCTGTAAAAAGAAAAAAAAGAGAAAAAGAGTTAGATGGCTGGAACAGGGCATACAACATAAAACGTAGGGAATGTGGGAATATTGGGACTCCAGGTTCAGGATTGGCTCGACATACAGCTGCCGTACAAGGCGCAGATGTGCAGCGCATGGTTCCCCAATGCATCTGCCACCTCGTTGAAAAACTGTGCCACTTCCTCGTTGGTCTTCTCGCTCATGCCATTCAGGACTTGCTCGATTAGGTGTGGCTGGTCTCGGCGGCATGCCTCCACGACCAGTTCGCGGGGAGATGCGCCCTGGAGCGGGGGTCTGTCAATGGACATTCTGGACATGAAGTGAGATATTGCAACTCACCTCGTCGTCTGCCATTGTAATCTATAAGTGTCGACGCCGGGTTCTCTCAGATACCAAGCGATGCGGCGGTTGCAGTTCAGCTGCAAGGGTCAGAGCTAGTTGGAGTTTAGGGTGCAGGTTGAGAGTGCAGGTAACCGGACGATAGTGCGGGGGAGTGTACTTGGTAGCAGGATGGAGTGTCGTTCAAGAATTGTAGCAACTGTGACTGTATATACAAACCGTTGACATGCATTCCAAGCTCCGAGATGACCCCGTGTTGTCCACCGGATTATGTGATTTTCCGGGTCCCCCGCTCTTAGCCGCGCGCGTAGATCTTTTTGAAGCTGGTGATGCTTCACGGTCAAGCAAATTCCTTCCTCTGTGGCAGAATCTACTCCTCTAGGGCAACGTGACAATCTCCGTTCTATCGAGATGTTGGTTTGTCTGTAATCCACGGGACTCTATATCCACCCACTCCAGGCCCAAGCTGACTCCTTCCAGTCTGTCCCCACTGCGGCAATGCCCTCACGATTTCCCTGGCGGATTCGAGCTCGAGACATCCCATGGGTACCAGCCGATTCGAATGCCGGGCCTGTCCATATGAGTCTATCCTGGATCGCCAGTGGTGCGAAGACACGGAGATGAAACAAAAGGAAGTGGAGGATGTCTTTGGCGGCAAGGAAGAGTTTGCCAATGCGGACAGTGTCGGCAGTGAGCTTCGACCGACATTTCTGGTTATTCTACAGGGGCAATGACTGATTCTGTGTTTCCTGTAGCGCAATGCCCTGCGGAAGGCTGCAACGGGGACCGTGCATACTTCTTCCAGCTGCAGATTCGAAGCGCTGACGAACCGATGACTACATTCTTGAAGGTATGTCCTGCTTCCTACATGCATGAGCTGCCTGTAGCCGGACTGACACCTGACAGTGTACTACGTGCGGCGCGCGGTGGAGAGAGAATTGAACTCGCAGAAGAAGAGAAAGGCAAAAAAAAAAAAAAGAAAGAAAGAAAAGTGGGCGGGTTCAGGACAAGCAATGGCGCAAGGCATCGAGGATTACATTCCATCCATGGGTATAAGTACAGGCGTTGGATTTGCATACCGAAATTGAGATACCCCGATCAGATTATTTTTGGGTTTACATCGCATCCTGTTTCCTCAGGCTCCCAAGGTTCGATGGTTCATACACTACATACCTACCTCAGTACTATACACTGCACTAGTCCCACTGGAGAGCCCGACTTTTAAAACAATCCCAATTCTCAGAGAGGGGCCGATAAGCGTGGCAAAAGAAAGAAAAATCTGTGGTTTTTTTTGGATCTGCATATCCTATTTTTTTTTTCGGGCGCGTCTGCCCTCGGTGGATCCACAGGATGGCGGTGACGGTATCTGCCCCTCGCGGGGTTCATTGATAGCGAGACAGCCAGGGAGGTAAAAAGAAGAGAAAGAAAAGAAAGAAAAACAATGCAAACATGAGATTGTACCCGACTGAAATTGTTGCCCAATGTCTCCATTGCAAGGCCCAGTAACACTTCGGCCAAGTAGAATCCGCCAAAAAAAAAGAAGAAAAAGAAAAAGAAAAAAATTCGGTGGAGACGCGGCGAGGGAACCAGGGAAACAATGAGCCACCGAGTCACCAGTACTTCTTGGTACAGCATAATTCATAGCAAAACACAAGTACTCAGTACTCCCACCAAACAGCCCACTTTGCAGATTTTGCGTAGTGGGGGGAGGCAACGGACCAATCAAAACGCGGCACCGCCCCAGGGCTTGAGCCCGCTGACTCTCGCTTCCCCCCCTCCTCGCCTCCCATAAAAGGCTGCCCCTCCTCGCGCTCGCACAAACTCTCTTTCTTTTCCTCCCCCGTCCGCATCAGTGAGTTATAACCCGCCCCCTTTCTCCTTCCTTCTCTTCTTTCCTCTCTTTCTTCCATCCTCGCTGACTCTTCTTGCTCAGTACCTCTACGCGTTCTGCCGTAGTCTCTGAGCAGTCTCCCCAGATTCTTCTAGTCGCTTCCAAAGAACTACAAGGATTCGCTCCACACCATCACAATGGGTAAGGAGGACAAGACTCACATCAACATCGTCGTTATCGGCCACGTCGATTCCGGCAAGTCGACCACCACCGGTAAGTGCCTCTCCCCCTCAATGCCCCGCGTGCACGGTGCTCATGCTGTTCCTCAGGTCACCTGATCTACAAGTGCGGTGGTATCGACCAGCGTACCATTGAGAAGTTCGAGAAGGTATGTCTTTTTTTCCCTAGGTTTTTTTTAAAAAAAAAAAAAAAAGTGAAAAAATGCGTTAAGCGAGTCGGATACTAACTTCATCCAATAGGAAGCTGCTGAGCTCGGCAAGGGTTCCTTCAAGTACGCCTGGGTGCTCGACAAGCTCAAGTCTGAGCGTGAGCGTGGTATCACCATCGACATTGCCCTCTGGAAGTTCCAGACCTCCAAGTATGAGGTCACTGTCATTGGTAAGCTACTCTATCTCTTCTAATGATGTTGGATCCCACGCTAACTTACCCCTCCCACAGATGCCCCCGGTCACCGTGACTTCATCAAGAACATGATCACTGGTACCTCGCAGGCTGACTGCGCTATCCTCATCATTGCCTCCGGCACTGGTGAGTTCGAGGCTGGTATCTCCAAGGATGGCCAGACCCGTGAGCACGCTCTGCTTGCCTTCACCCTGGGTGTCCGCCAGCTCATCGTCGCCCTGAACAAGATGGACACCTGCAAGTGGGCTGAGGACCGTTACAACGAGATTGTCAAGGAGACCTCCAACTTCATCAAGAAGGTCGGCTACAACCCCAAGTCCGTTCCCTTCGTCCCCATCTCCGGCTTCAACGGTGACAACATGCTGGAGCCCTCCCCCAACTGCCCCTGGTACAAGGGCTGGGAGAAGGAGACCAAGGCCGGCAAGTCGAGCGGTAAGACCCTGCTCGAGGCCATCGACGCCATCGAGCCCCCGGTCCGCCCCGCCAACAAGCCCCTCCGTCTGCCCCTCCAGGATGTCTACAAGATCTCGGGTATCGGAACTGTTCCCGTCGGCCGTGTCGAGACTGGTGTCATCAGCCCCGGTATGGTCGTTACCTTCGCTCCTGCCAACGTCACCACTGAGGTGAAGTCCGTTGAGATGCACCACCAGCAGCTCAAGGAGGGTCTCCCCGGTGACAACGTCGGCTTCAACGTCAAGAACGTTTCCGTCAAGGAGGTCCGCCGTGGCAACGTTGCCGGTGACTCCAAGAACGACCCCCCTGCTGGCTGCGCTTCCTTCAACGCTCAGGTCATCGTCCTGAACCACCCCGGTCAGGTCGGCGCTGGCTACGCCCCCGTGCTGGACTGCCACACTGCCCACATTGCTTGCAAGTTCTCCGAGCTCCTCGAGAAGATCGACCGCCGTACTGGTAAGTCGGTTGAGAACGCTCCCAAGTTCATCAAGTCGGGTGATGCCGCCATCGTCAAGATGATTCCCTCCAAGCCCATGTGCGTTGAGCCCTTCACCGAGTACCCCCCTCTGGGCCGTTTCGCCGTCCGTGACATGCGCCAGACCGTCGCTGTCGGTGTCATCAAGAGCGTTGAGAAGTCTGCTGGCAGCACTGGCAAGGTCACCAAGGCTGCCCAGAAGGCTGGCAAGAAATAAGGGATTTGCGCATGACACAGAGATGCCGTGATGAATTCTTTTCCTTACAAAAAAAACGCTTTATGGATGGAGCTAGACTTTGCTGTGTAGTTTGAATTCTACATACAGATTCGTGACTCATGTCATTTTCCTGTGCACTCGTAGCTCAAGTAGTAGATGAACTGTGAGCAGCTCGTAGATTCTGTGATCCTGTTGTACTGGACTTGAGAATTTTTCCTGAGTGGTGGGGCTGCATGCCCGATGATTTTGGAAGTATGGTACCCAGGAGTACTCAGATGTCCACCTAACTATGTATGAGGACTAAGTACCTCGCTGTACTCTATGGTATATAAACACTTACGGCTACCTGGATCCCATTCAAGATTTTCGGTTTGATGTTTTATTGTATATGCTCCGGTCAATAAGTATCCAAGACTATATCTGATTCCCATTGCCATCTTCATCCCCATCTCATCCTGAAGAACAAGTCGCTTGTTAGCTGCTCTATGGATGGTTCTGAATGTCCGATAAAGAAATGGACCGAGTTCCAAGATGTATTTGCAATTTGTCGGCCGCAGTGGATTTCTGAATTTCTGTATAGTCAGTGGGGGTTTTCTGTTAGTTGGCATGCAGATTTCTATCATGGGAGTATTTATCCTCGATGGACTGTTTGGGTTTCTTATCGAGGTACAATCATTGAAATATAGTGTCGCGGTTCCTGGGAGATAATTGATAGTAAAACTACGTGTATGTGCTTCCTGTGGGCAGGTCTTTCTTCTAACGGGCATTCGAGAGTTGAAAGCTAGTTCTTTATCTATTTCGTAGTTGATCCTGTTCAATCAACTACTGTACATCTTCAACGCTATCAACAGATTAACCATGGAATTTGGGGTATCATCGGAGCAGACAGTCTTACCATCCCTGTAGACTACATCTCAAGACCAGAGCAAGCCGCAAGGGACAATAGACAAATCACTTAGTCACTGTCCTCCTCATCATCTGACTCCTCCTCATCCTCCTCTTCCTCAGCAGCACGTCTAGAAGAGCGTCTCGGCGCCTGTGACTGACGCCGCTGCTGCTGCTCATGTCCACCGTTAGCCCCAGCCTCAGCACTCCCACCCCCTCCTCCTCCGCCTCAGCCTGCCTCCTCACCCCAACAACCCCCAAACTCCTCCCCAAACGCGCCTCAAACTCCTGCTGAATCTCCTGCTCCGCCATCGTCCCATCATCATCACCACCACCATCCCGACCATAAACCCGCCGCACCAACCCCGCCACACCCCCGGACCCAACCTCGACCTTACCCCGAGGCCCGACCATGTACTCGACGACCTCCTCGCCGCCGTCCATCTCCCGCGTCTTGATTAGATATCCCTCGCGGCATAGCCGCTGCAGTAACCGGTCTGTGCGGTCGATGGGCGTGTAGGTGTCGGCGTTGGTGCGTGCCAGGTACCGCTCGAGTTTCTGTTCGGCGAGGGAGCCGCCGTTCAGCGATATCACGGCGATGAGGAAGGTGTACAGCGCTGTGTAGGTGCTGTCGGTTCCCGAGGAGGGTGCTTTGGGTGGCGTGAGGATGGCTGGCGTGCGGTAGGCGGGGGGAGCGTGCTGGTTACGATCCAGGCTTTGTTGGTGCTGGAGGGTTTTTCGACTTTTTGGGCCGCTGGTGGGGTCGGTTAGTATGTGTAGTAGTCGTGTAGTAGAACAGTGTTCCGGATAGTAGGGGATAGAGGTGTAGGTATAACAGAGCAGGAACACTGAGATAGAACTCACCTCGTCGCTGCGTCACAGTCACCTTCTCCCGCGCCGGCAACTCCGTCATCTCCATCCCAAACCGCGTCCGTAACTCGCGCTGCGCCGCCTCAAACACCGTCTTGAACTGCCGCACCCCTTGCTCGCCCAGCACCTTGGCGCTGATGTCGCCGCGCCGTATCGTCAGCCGCGCGTACTCGCTCGCCAGCGCCAGCCGCACCATCTTCTTGACCAGGGCATCCGTGGTGGTCGGTGCGCCGGTCCCGCCATCTTCGTTGCCGGAGGAGGCGGCGCCGGCCGAGGACTCGGGTTCGGAGGTTTGGCGGCGGCGGGCTGGGGACTCGGTGTCGGGGGGTCGGCCTGGTTTAGTTAGCCTTTTTTTTTCTTTACCTTTGGTTTATGTAATAATGGTGGTAGCTGTGTGGTGATATTAGTGAGAGATAATTCAATACTCACTCTTCGTTTGCGTGCTAATGGCATGGTGAGGTGTGCGGTGGTGAGTCGATGGAAGACGCGACGCGATTGAATGGGCCAGTGATTGTACCGCATCGAGATTGGCCCGTGCGAGCTTATCGAGTAGATCTTTGAGAGTCCACGGGTATAACCGTGGGTTTTTCTTATACGTTCTTGTGGATTTTGGCATATAGGTCAGTATGACAAGCATGTAAATATTATCTTGCTTAAATCTGGTTCTACCAAAATGTATTGGTGGTCTTGGATATTGCAAAGTAGCGAGCAATGTATCTCGGCGCCGATCACCAAGATTAAGTACGAGGTAGCAAAAGAAAGCACAAGAGGAATTAATTTTCTCTAAAAATGAAAACGCCACGGCAAGAGAGACACAACAGTCTAATCACTGGTGAACCTTCTCATTCACCACATCCTTCTCCTCCTGGGACGTCTGCAACCAAGCACTAATCCACGCCAGCGACTCCTGCGACAACACAAGGCTAGTCGTCACAACCGCCTTACCCGACGCAACGACCCCATCCCCACCACACTTCTTGTACTCGGCGCCATAGATATCAAAGACATGGCCCTTGACCTCGCCGGCAAAGCGCACGGGGAACCCCGCGCGATGGTAGAGCGAACCGCGCAGCTTCTGGGTGTCTTCCTTGATGAACGGGAAGCGCGAGTCGATCTGCGTCAGGCCCTGGTCGCCGAGGGTGTCGGCGCGCGCCAGGTACGGGGCGACATAGCTGTAGGGGGTCGAGAAGTAGGGCAGCACGGGTTTGGCGAGGCGGGTGTAGCCGTGGTCGGCGTATTCGAGGGATTTGGCGCCGTAGGGGTTGGTTTTGAAGAGGGAGATGGAGTCGGAGACGAGGGGGTAGGAGGTGAGATGCTGAGATGGTGTTAGTGAAGGCTTTTTTTTTTCAGTAGGGTTAGGGTCTGGTTTGGACGGACAGTGAGGAATTGAGAATGCGGCGTCTCGCCGTTGACTACTGGCTGAGCCATGTTTTCTGCGTGGGGCATCAAGTCTGTGTAGTGTGTAGGAAGGAGAGTGTGTGTGTACAAGTCGAAGATAGAGAGTATTGTATGCAGAAGAAGAAGAAAGAGAGAGAGAGCGGGAGAATATAAGAAACAGGAAAAGAGAGCTTCTACACAAGAATCACATGTGATTGCGCATTATGCAACTGCGGCCCAAGCGCATGTCCGGCTCGAACTCAATGTTTTATTCTATTATTATTGTCATACATTGATGATATATTAATGATATATTATATCATACTATTACGGTGTTATTCTGTTGCAACTGTGCCTGGCTCTAGCTATACTCGACGTATACACATTCAACTACCTGAGAATAACTGCCCCCATTGCGTCTCTTAATATCGAGGCAATAAATAGCGATACGTAGAATTGCCACGTCCAATCGCATCATCTCGCAGATAAGAAGTTGATATTTCATGTGATTGGGGTATCATTCTGTCTTTCTATATTCGCTTCTTGTATCCTCTTTTTATACTTAATTTTTAATTTTTAATTTTAATTTTATATTATATTATATTCTGTATATTGTATGATACTCTTTTCATACATTAGTATATGATATGATCACTGATCCTTAGTCAAGATATGACGAGCTCGACTTGTCTCACCAAACCTTGTCTCTCCCACTCTTCCCGTACGATTGGCAAATGGCCCCTTATCATCCACTGTATCAACCTCTGGCGACGTTCTAGGCAGCCGTGACACCTGCCGATCGGAGCAAACTGGGGCCTCCGATTGCGCGAGTCCAGGCCATCCGGTCAATGTGATCCACCCTGTGGACGAAGTTGGTCTGAGCGTACAAAAGTTCGCCTCAGAGGTGGGGGGGTTGACTTTCCAACTGTCAACACTTAACCCCCCTCCCCGTTATGCTTTTGACCGTCCTGCGCGACGGTTCGGGTGATTTGTCGGTCTTTTTTTTTTCTTTCACTTTTTCTTTCGCCGAAACTCGGCGGTTGTGGTGTCATGCAGCTTATGAAACGGTTGACTTGACTAGTCCTGCTCCTGGGTACATCTCCATGGATGTAGGATAAGTATTTTCAGACACGGCTGCTACACAATACAGTGGGAGTGTGTGTGTGTAGTACAGAACTCTCGGGGTCTGATTTACTATTTACTATTCTACTATTCTAGCCGATGCACATTCAAATCGATGATAGCAGTACATAATGATCGAATCAATCTCCAGATCGAAGAAAACAAAAATCTGATGAGCTAGCAGTCTGGGCAGAAAGGAATTGTCGATCGAGGGTGGCAATGGCAAACCCTGCAGATCATCTGGGATCGCGAGCTTCAGCTGAACTATACTGTGCTGGACTGTAGACGGGGGGCTGGTAAGACTATCAGTTCAAGTTGAGAAATTCTCCGGCCTCGTAACGTCCCTGTAGACCCCACGCTGGAGATAGCGAGATAGCCAGATAGCGGGGATTCCTACTGGGGTCCAACGTCGACGCATTGCGAATTTATGCACTAAACACAATCATGCAGGTGGCAACGGCGCCATCACATCTTCCCTGGTTAGTAGGCCATCGTAAGGATATATACACCACCACCGAGACCGGGGCGCAGAATGGAGATCCCCGAGTAAATAAACCAAACAGATCGAGCATCATGTCGACGAAGCTCGTCATTCCTGTGGTCGCCAAAGAATCAATTCACATGCGCTGATGGGTATGCATTGGGATCTTTCCGTGGAGATCGAGAGATAAGCATGCGCTGGGAATAGGATGGTAGGACATCCTCGAACTACGTACGACACGACACGGTCCCAGCGAACTTAGAATGGGAACGGGAATGGCGTCGAAGAGAGGCATCGTCCCACTGTAGTCCCACACCAGTTCGTATACACCCCGAAGACTATCACTTCATAGTGCAAGCAATTCAACAAGAGCCAACAATAATATCAAAGGAATTCATATTTTCCATTTCATTCAAGACGGGCGCCAGATCTTGAGTGGCGCCCCTCGTTAAACTGGAGTTTCATCGATACATTCCCGATTCTGTTTCCAGCCATGGTATATGTCTTTCCATCCCATGCGCTTGCAGGGACCGAATGTGCTCGATGATTTTTTGCCCCTCGCCTTCACCTAGAACCGCGCTCAAAACGACAAAACGCCCCAGGAAACCGTTTAGAAACCTAAATCAACATTAGAATTGCAGGTCGCGGTAGAGATCCTGGGTATCACATACGCAGAGGAGTGAAGAACCAACGGTTCTTGCCGCTGGTGTATCGGTCCTCAAGGGCCTTCTTGATGGTCTTCTTGGCGTCCTCGCGCTGGGAAACCTCCTTGAAGGTGTCGGTCGAGACGACACCCTTGAGGCCCTCGAGCTCCAGAGTGTAACGGGTGGGCATCAGGTGGTTGTAGTTGACGACCTTGATGAAGGGCTTGATGCGGCTGCGGCGGTCGACCAGCTTCTTGCCCATGCCGCGGGTCACCTTCAGGGGGTAACGCTCGATACCGGCGACGATGGCGTACGAGAAGGGGTGCGCCTTGGAGCCAGTGTCGCTAGGCTGGACAATGACGACCTGTAAAGATTCAACATGACTGGTCAGCCATTTTTCCTTCCTCTCTTCCTCTCTTCCTGATCTTGCATTCCCTGGAAATTCCGTCATATCCATATAGTCTCAATGATTCCAATGGCATTCCATTCTTCTTTTTCATTACTTCTTCTTCTTTCGCGGGGACGGGACGGTTGTCGTACCTTCTTACCGGCGTAACGGCCACGGGTGATGATGGCCACACGGCCCACTTTCATGACTGTTATAGCATTGTCGTTAGCATGGAATTGCGCAAGTCAGTCTGGACGAAAGATACGAACACTTCATTGTGAAAGTCCCGGTGAGCGGCGAGGTTTGGCGGGTTGGTTTGTCGAAGTGCGGAACAGTCAAGATCGAAGTGTTCGGGTTTTCGCTTGGGCAGAGGGTCAGGGCACGATTTGTGTGCTGCTGGCTGATTGGTTGCATTACCGACGGCGGGCCACTAAGCTCTTTCGGGGGAGTTTCCCCATTGGGCCCGGATCAACCGGATCAACTCCCCCGGAAGGAGCTGCCTCACCGCCCGCCATTTGTTTACCTGACAACCGTCGCTGCCCGCGTTGCTATGTGGCTAGCACTGATGTGTACGTCGTTGGGTGGTTCTCTCCGTGGTTTCCGTCGTCTCATGCTCCACTTCGTTTCTCTCTTATCAAGCAGATCTCCCGGTGATTGACTCTCCCACATCGCCTGTGTCCTGTGATTGTCAGCGTATCTGTTTTGTTCGTCCAGCGACTTATCCCTTTCGAGTTTGATATGCCTTGACGACTTCGTTGTTTTTTGAGTTTCTTTGAACACATTCTTCAAGTACATTCCACACCCACTCCTGTCAATACCTTCCTGAGACATCTTGTTTCTTCACGAGAGAAGTCATCATGCCGTCCCAAGAACGGGACTCTTCTTCCCGTGACCGGGAACTCGTTCGGCATCAGCCTACTCATACCGAGTCGAATCGGCTTGCGGTTCCAATGTATGTTGCGCGCTCTCTTCTTTCTCACTTTCCTTGATGCCCTCCATGAATGATTGGAAACACAAGCTGAAACGGCGCAAACACAGGTGGGATAGCTCGGATCCCGACCGTGCGCCTCCGCCGCTGCCGTTGAATCCTCGTTCAATGAGTCCGGCGACAAAGTCCAATGTCTCGCCCAATATCCAGGCCGTCGCGGCCAAGTTTGCAGACAAGCCGAGCGAGAACGCTCCGAGCTCTTACACAACAAACCCCATGCCACTCAAATCCTCATCCCCCGAGAGGTCCTTGGTAAAGGGCCACTACCATAAGCGCATGCAGCCTCTACAGCCCGGGGACTCCCGTGGGGACGCGCGCTCCGAGTTTATGAACTACCTTGAGAGTCGTTCTCCCGAGAGACCGCTCCGGACCTCGGTTGTCGAGACGTCAACCAAGCAACAGGAGACGACCAAGTCCGCCGGTTCCCCGACGAGCCGCCAGGAATCGGAGAAAGAAACTGCCAACTATTCGGTCGCTAGCCGGTACTTATCCCGGCCCATCCTCGGAGAGAGCACCCCTCCATCAGCAACCATGCTGGCCCTTCAAAATATGCAGCTCCCAGTAGAGCCCGACCCTCCATCACCCTCTAAGCCTCCCAAGATGATTTCCGCACCTTCCTCATCACACGAACCCACCTCCCACAGCATGGAGACCCTTTCGTCTCAGATTCACAGCCTTACCGATATCGCGAGTAATTTGCAGCGTGAAATGTCAAATCTGAGCCGCCGAAGCAAGGACAACGCCACCGACTTGATCAGCCTCAAGGCCGCAACGAACTCCCGTGATGAGGACATTCGCAAGAGTCTCAAGGATTTGTCCAGCAGCTTGACCACCAGGTTTCTGGAAGGTGATATACCAAGGTTTGATCTCGGTGATCTCTTGAAGCCTATCGACGGGATTAACGCCAAGGAACCGGATAGTTCTCCCAACTCGAAGAGAAGCTACTCTGCACCACGCATGCCGAGTCCAAACCCCTTTGCCACGTTGGACCGCGACGTGTGCGGGTCACCGGCGCCGATCTCCGACGGCTCAGCCAGCATCGCTCTTCTCGAAAAGGTACTGCGAGAAATGGCCACCAAAGAAGGTGAGGAGAAGCTGTTGGAGCTGGTGGACGAGATCAAATCACGACCTGCTGCTACGCCCTCAGATAAGGTTGCAGACACGAAAGTCACAAATATGCTCGAGGAAATCTTGAACCTTGTGAAAGAGGACCCAACCAGCAGGGCACTTGTACGTTCCAAAGGCATTGCCGACAACCTCGATAGCCTCCAGCCTGGCGATGACAACATCGAAGGGGCTCGACCTCGACCACTTGGGTCTGTGGAAACGACAGCGCTTCATGCGCTCGCAAAGCATGAGGGCGGCGAGCGCTCGGAGGAAAGTTCAGATGAAATCCTGAATATTCTCCGAAGTGTGAAGAATAGCGTCATCGAAGGAGGTGGAATGACAAACGGAGTCAAGGCGTTGGTTCGAGAACTGCGAGGTGAGGTTCTGGGCATGGGTCGGAATCTCGCCCGGAAACTGGAGGACATTGAGTCCAACCGGGCCAACGACGAGCAGCAGCGGTCCCAAGGCCCTGGCTCCGAAGAGATTGCTGCTATCGTTGAAGACAGCCTCCAAGAGCTCAGGGATCAGCTGGCTGCCACCATGAACGAAAGCCGACATCACTCTTCAGCACTGTCCGAGCTGCAGTCAACCATGAACAGCGCCGAAATCTACTCTGTTGTTAAGAGAGCCCTGGATGAGATTGAGCTTCCTCAACCCCAATCCGGACCGCGGGGGGCTACCATGGAGAAAGACGACATCCTCGAAACTGTGCGCGAGGCATGGGAGACTTACAAGCCTGAGATCGAACTTCAGAATTTTGGTCTCGAGCGAGACGAGATCTTGGACTGTCTGTCAGAAGGGCTGAAGTCTTATCAGCCGCAACATGAGCAAGCTGTGACCTACGATCAGGTTCTAGCTGCTGTTCAAACTGGGCTCCAAAACTTCGTGCCGCCGATGCCGGACCACCCGCCATCTATCAGCAGAGACGAAATTATTCTGACCATCCGCGAGTGCCTTGAGAAGCCCGAGCCTGCGACGAGATCCATGGACGAGGAATATCTCAATTCCATCCGTGACGAGATTCTCAACGCTGTGACTGGGTCCTTGACTACCCAAAGCACGCTTAGCAAGGATTCCCTCGACTCTGGTCTGGGCCACGATGAGATTGTGAGTGCCATCTCGGATGGACTGGAGGCTCATTTTACGGCAGCCAAGGAGATTGAGGAGCCGCGCATCTCAAAGGTGGATGTTGTTAACGCCGTCAACGATGCTTTCAACGTCCAGCACTCTGCCCTCAGTACGAGTCCCCAGGCCAACATTTCTCGTGATGAGATCTTGCACGCCATCGCTGAGGGCATGGAAACTTCAATGAACAGCGAGCGATCTGCTCTTAGCACCAATGCCGAGCCAAGCATTTCACGCGAGGAGATTTTGCATGTCATTGCCGACGGTATCGAGAGCTCGATCACTGCCCAGCAGGCTACTCTCACTGCCAACTTGCAGCCGAGCATTTCCCGCGATGAAATTTTGAACGCCATTGCAGATGGTGTTGAAGGTTCAATCAATGCCCAGCAATCTGCTCTCACCCAATCAACCATTTCGCGCGACGAGATCCTCCATGCTATTTCTGAAGGGCTGGAAACCTCAGCCAACGCCGAGCGATCCGCACTCAGCACCAATACAGAGCCCAGTATTTCTCGTGAGGAAATTCTGCACGTCATTGCAGACGGCATCGAAAGTTCAATTGCCGCTCAGCAGTCTGTCCTCAACAATTCCCAGCCAAGTATCTCTCGCGATGAGATCTTGCATGCTATCACCGAGGGACTCGAAATTTCAGCGCACGCAGACCAATCTGCATTGGCTACAAATGCGGAGCCGAGTATCTCTCGTGGTGAGATATTGCAGGCCATCGCCGACGGGATCGAAAGCACAAACTCAGTCACCCGGGAAATTGAACTGAACAAGGACGATCTCATGGATGCTATCTCATCGGGTCTTCACGAGGCAACCAACTCTGCGAACGCCAATGTGGGCGAACAAGTCTTGGAGAGACTTCAAGATCTACTTGATGGAATGAAGGAGGAATTCAAGCAGTACTCCACCGCCAACGGAAAAGATACCGAACAGGTCCTCGACGCCATCAAGGATGGCCTGCACGTCGTTCGGAAGGAGATCGAGTCGTATACCCTGACAGCGGCTGACATCTCCGGAAAACACGAGATCATTGACACTGTCAAGGAAGGATTCCGACTCCTCCAAGCCGACATGGAGAAAACAATTACAGACACGTCTTTGTCCAATGAATCCCGCGGTGTTCCGGACACCCCGGAGCTCCTCGATGCCATGGAAAAGGAATTCGAACACCTACGCCAGACTATTGGGACTCTACTGGTACGAGACGGCGCCCCCAGCGACAAAGACGAGATCTTGGATGCCATTCGCGACGTTTTCGATCCGCACAAGAACCGAGATGACAGCGAAAATGTGATCAGCGCCATCAAAGCGGAATTTGAGAACCTTCGTGACCGTATCGATATGAGCGTTGTTCGTTCAGAACCTGGGTCTGAGAAGAACGAGATTATTGCTGCCCTCCAAGAGCATTTCGATACCCTGCGGGACGAAACGTCGCAACGAAAAGACGGCAACGAAAGCATGCTTTCTGCCACCAGCGAACTTCTCGATGCATTCAACGATGGCATCGACTCAATCCGTGATGACCTGAAAAAGGTTTTGGACAAACCCGCCGAGTTTGACAGCGCGGAGATCCTCGACACCATCAAAGATGGCCTTGCCGACCTGAAACTCGAAATGGATTCTCTACGCCAATCTCAAAAAGAAAAGGATGACGCCAGCACGACTCGCGGTGGTGAACTCATGCTTGCCCAGGACTCGGCTCTCGGAGGCGACGTTGACAGCCTGAAGACCCTCATTACCCAACTATATGACAAGGTCGAAGCCATTGACTCCACACCTCGTGCCGCTGAGCCCTCAGAAGATTCCTTGAAGCGTTCACACCTCGACGAGGTTCTTGTCGCGCTTCAGGAAGTCCAAATCACTGTAGCCGATATTGGTACCAACCGAAATGTCGAAGGGACAGCGCGCAAAGAAGATACCGACGCCATTGAAAATCTGCTCATGAGCACCAAGGCCCAAATTGAAGACATGGTATTTCCGTCGCCGGACGAAATTGCAACCTCTGAACAAATCGGTACTCTAGAAAGAATCATTCGCGAGGCCAAGGACTCGATTGCTGACCTGTCTGCTCGTTTGGAGGCCGAGGCTCCGACCAAGTCTGAAATTGGCACCCTGGAGGGGCTCATCAAGGATGTCTGGGTTGCCTTGGACGAGTTGAAGGGCAAGACCAAGGATGGCGAGGAGGAACAGGAGGAAGGATCTGAAAAGCTGCTTAAGACTGATCTGCAAACCGTGGAAGCAATGATCTTTGAGGTGAAGTCACAAGTTGATGAGCTCAAACTCCCCGACGTTGAGACACTCCCTACCAAATCCGACATTCAGGACCTTTCTGCTTTGGTCACCGATTTTCGAGAGAAGCTGGAGGCGGAAAATGAGCAGACCGCGCAAGGCTTTGAGGCCCGCAAGGTTGAGCACGCTGGTTTGGCCGAGAAGATCGAGGAGGCCAAATTTGTTGTCAGCGAACTTGGCGATGACCTCAAGAGAAAGCTCGACGGTAGCAGTGAAGGGCTTTCCGAGCTCAAGCAAGTTCTCGAAGGCCTTGCTGTCACCGCAGAAAACTTCAGCACCGTCGAAAACATCAAAGAGCTCACCGATCTCATTAACCGCGAATTCGAGCGGGCTCGTGGAGAAGAGGAAGCGGGCAAGCTTGAGAAGGAGGAGCGAGACGTTGCTTCCATGGTCAAACACGACGAGACCCGGGCCGCCATCATTGTTGAACTCGGGGCTAAGATCGACGAGAAAGTCAGCGAAGTTCTGGCGAAATACGACGACGCGCATGCTTCGCTGCACTCCAAGTTCTCCGAGTCCGAGGAGCGGGACCTGGCGCACACCGAAGCTGTCACGGGCACCAAGGCCCTCGCAGAAGATATCAAGCTTGTCATTGGTGCCATGGGCAACAGTGTCAATGAGTCTTGCGAACGGATTGGCGTGGACACCAAGACACTGTTTGAGAGAGTTGAAGAGTCTCAGCACCGGATGGAGGAGATGCATAACGAAGCAAAGGCGCAGCAGGAGCAATCTCGAGCCGATACGGAGAGAGCTGCTGCTGCCACTGACCGCGTCGAGAGCAAGCTTCTTGAATTTCACCCCCAGATCCTGGAAACCGTCCAACATATCCTGGAGGTTGTTAGCCAACACTATGACCACTCTCAGAAGTCGGCGGAGGAGTTCAAGACTGAACTGTCGTCTTTGCCTTCGACAATTCCCAACCTCCTGCCTGCGCTGCCTCCCGCTGAGTCGGATCGTAGTCTTGACTTGGGCACTGAGAACAACCCCGTGCACGACAAGCTTAACGATATCCTGGAGCACGCCAAGAACAATCAGGTGCACGAGGTTCTGAACACTCTCCTCGACCACTCGAAGCACGATCAGCTCCACGAGAAGCTCGACCGGGCCCTTGATCAAGGTTCTGGCTCGAATGAACAGATCTATGACAAACTCAATGAGCTCCTCGACCATGCAACCAATGGCAACGGCCCCGTCCATGAAAAATTAGACGTTCTCCTCAGTCGCACCTCGAACTCGACGAATTCGATGAACTCCGAGCACTCTGTTACGCAGATGATGAAGCTGGATGAGATGCACAAGGACATCATGGAAAACTCTCGCCGAATGAACGAGATGTTCACTGCACAGTCTGTCATGGTTGCTGAAGAGAATGAGCGGAAGCGACGCGAGGCCGAGGATGCTGCCATTGCTCTCGAGAGGAGAGTGGCTCAACGGGAGCAAGTCGAGGCTGACATTGTTGGCTTGAACGAAGAAAAGGACTCTCTGCTGAGCATTATCCACACTCTGAAGGCTGAGAAGGAAGAAATTGTGAAGCAGAACGCGAAAATGAGCAAGGATCTGTCCGGCCTTGAGACGGCTCTCGAGATCCGCCATGAAGAGATGCAGCAGATGGAGGACCGTGCAGATGGCCTGGAGAAACGTATCCTGGAGGGTGTACTTGACCATGCTCGCACTGTGCTCCTTAGCCGATCGAACAGTGTGCAGTCCATGAATCTGAAGAGAAACCGCAACTCGCACACTGGTGCCCGCAGCCCTAGCGTGACAAGCACTGCTAGCACCGCCAAGGACCCCAGGGACTCAAGGGACAATCGCAGTCTGCTTGGCAACGGTGTGGGGATGGCTCTCAAACGCCGTATGCCGACCTCGCTGCAATGTGGAACGACCGCAGTCCAGCCCAACATCGGCAAGGAGCGTCGTATTCTCAGCTTGAGCCATGTTACGGGCAACCGGGGCGCGGAACGTCAGGTTAGCGCCAACAGCGGCATCACAAACCTGAAGCGCAGTCACTCGGTCAAGTCCAACTATTCGCTCCGCAAGGCTTCATGGGGTGGCCGAAGCTCCGTTGCCAACAAGGAAAACGAGGCCTTCCCCGAGGAGGAAGAGCCTGAGAGCGGACCGGAGAGTGACGCTGGGACAGAGCGGAGGACGAGCTACACTGGGACGTGCACTGATAGCATGATGTACGGAACCGAAAGTGTGGTCTCCGCTCATCGTCGTGCTAGCGGTATGAGCTCTACCACCGGGCTTGTCACTGCCACGGGCTCAGTTGCTGGAGAGGACCACGCAGAACAATTGCATCACGGGCCAGACAGTGCATCTGAGTCCGAAGACGATGCGCAGACCGCGCGAGGGGATGATGACAACGACGAGCTGCACGATGCTCCGGAGGAGCCAAGTTCGGAGTTCAATCAGGCAGTCGAGGCAGAGGTTCTGAAGTTGTTGGCGCCGCCCAGTGACAGCGGGCTGGGTACGGATATGGTTGTTTCCTCTTCTTGAGTCCTTTGATGTTGGAGTTGGGAGAAGTGATTGGTCTTTTTCTTTTCTTTTTCTTTTATGTTTCCTTTCACATATACCACTCGTGTTGTGTTATTGGTTTTGTATGAATTCCTTTTGTGATTAAATGGTTAATGAAGGATTCTTTCTTATTCTTAAATCTTGATGCTCATAGTTCATACTCCGATGTCTATATCGCCTTGTCGAATTGTTTCGTATATGATCTCCTCATAAAACCCTTTCTTTTCTGGGTAATCTATTTTATCTTAATTTCCCAACAAAATAAACCTATCTCGAGCTGTCTTTCAAACCTCATGGCATGGTGTGTGTAGAAGGTGTTGGTCTTGTCTTTTAGTTCTCTGTAAAAACATAATACTTGTGCGGTGTCTTTTATTTGATCATGAAGAAAGAAGAAGAAGAAACAGAGGCTGACTCAAACCCCAACAGACTAAATCCAGTCATCTATTTGAGCAGTGGGGTTGTCGGTTGTCGGGTGCAGGGGTCAGGAGAACCCCGGGTTAGGGCTGATCGATATCTCAAGGATGTACTTTCTCCGTGACTCAACCACGAGATTATGTATATTCCCTAGTAAAGCACATCAATGCCACAGAGGGAATACTTGTCGGCCGATTATATATTAAAAAATTCCCTTAAAATCATGAGACAAAGACCTCCGCGTGCCATGAAATCAGGGGATTCAATCAGGTGATGCGAGTGTGTCATGTGACGGTGACGTCCCAACAATTATGCCTGAGGCAGAAGCCCCATCAGCCGAGGCCGCCAGCGTCAAGCCGCCCGTCTTTCTTCTCTTTCGCCATGGAGCCCGTCTTTTCTTAATTCAGGGTCTCCAGAGCATTCTTCATGGTAGATTCAACAGATTGTGCCACCTACTTCTTTTGAACGTACCGACCTCGGCACGACAGCTACCCGCCCAGCTCTTTCTATCTACAACCCCCGGAAAGCTCTCCCCACTTGGGGTAAGAGGAGAGAGGAAGAGAGAGTAGTCCCGGAAAAACGGCCGACAATGCTGGACCCCTTCCCACAGCCGCCGGAATGGCTACGGAGCTTGACAGAGCCATATGCCCTCCGGTTCAATAGCCCGACGCTCCCCGACCATATCCATGAGGTGTTGCTCGCCTTCGCCTTCTACCAATTCATCCACTCGTGCCTCTCGCCATGGCTGTCGCCGATCCTCTTCCCGCACCACTACCCCCAATTTAACCGCCGCACCAAGGTCAACTGGGATATCCATGTTGTGTCGCTGGTGCAGAGCACCCTGATCAACGCTGCAGCCTTGTGGGTCATGTTCGTCGACCAGGAGCGCCAGTCCATGTCGGCCGGCGAGCGGGTCTTCGGGTACACTGGCGCCTGTGGCATGATCCAGGCATTGGCGGTTGGCTATTTTGTGTATGACCTGATTGTCAGCATTGTCTATGTGCGCATTTTCGGCATTGGTCTGCTCTTTCATGCCGTCAGTGCCCTATGGGTATTTAGTCTTGGCTTCGTAAGTTGATCTTGATCTTGGGTCTTTTCCCCCAATCAAAAACCCAATTACTCTCAAAGAAACCAGAAAGAAACAAGTTGAGCGCTTGTATCTTAAATGAATACGCTAATTGGTCATTTACAGCGGCCCTTTGTCAACTTCTATGCCCCCGTCTTCATCCTCTACGAGCTCTCCAGCCCGTTCCTGAATATCCACTGGTTCCTCGACAAGGTCAACATGACCGGTAGCCGCACCCAGTGGTACAACGGCATGCTCCTTCTCTTCGTCTTTTTCGCATGCCGCCTGGTCTGGGGCACCTGGCGCTCAATCTCAGTCTACTGGGACATGTGGTATGCCCTACAGCAGACATGGTCGGCGTCTTCGTCATCGTCTCCACTCCTGGAACCGGTCAACATCAACGCCCAGGTCTTCCACCCGGTCCGCGATGGCAGCATGTGCATGGACGAGACATGCGCGCGTGCCAACGCCGAGATCACGCGCTACGCCGAGCACACGGCCGCCGGCGTGCCTACCTGGCTGGTCGTGACCTACGTCGCGTCCAACATGATCCTCAACTCCCTCAATTACTTCTGGTTCGCCAAGATGGTTGAGACTGTGCTCAAGCGCTTCCGTCAGCCTCCTGCTGCTGCCGTTTCCGAGGAGGAAAAGCAGAAGATGAAAGAGGCTGGTCGCCCTCTTGCAGAGAAGGTCCCTCCGTCGAAGGAAGATTTCGCTCAGGATGTTATCTTGGAGGCTGCTGCCAAACTCGAGAAGGAAGAGAGCGCCTTGTTGCAAGGTGATCTGTTGCCGGAGCAGATCTCCTCGGCTGTTGATGCAAAACTGGGCGAGGAGCTGCGGAGGCGCAGGGCGGAGTTGGTGGCTAAGGTACCTTTGCCTGGGGCTTGAGGTGGGTGTTTGATGTCTTGATTGATTTAGTGATGGCAGATGGGAACAGTGCTTCTCTCGGGTCCTGTTCTGGAGTTTGAGCGTGCTGCATTATCTTGGTGGCTTGGTTTTCTGTCTCGATCACAGTGTGCACCATTCTTTTTTTCTTTTCTTTTTCTTTGATACTTGATGTTGATGCCTTGACGTCCTGGTCGTGTCACTTATAAATAGCACTATAGACGGCTGCCACTCGTCTTTCGGGATTGTATTGAGAACGGCATTCAAGATAAAAAAAGAGGAATGATCAGGAAATTAAGGGATCATCAGGCAAAGAAAACAATTAAGATAAAATTCAATTTCGATTTTGAAATAGTTAATCCTCCGGACAATGCCCTAGCTACACCAGACCGAACACCACACGAGCGCCCATTATAAGACAAATATTACAGAAAAAAGAAACCCACGTTTTTGACGCAGAAACAAAGACAGAGACATGGGCACACGCCTTAAACCTAGCGCATAGCCGTGGCCTCGGGCTTCGCCAACATGTAGCGTACTGCCTCTTTGGCAACGGAGGTGTCAAAGGCGCCGTCGGTGCCGCCGCGGCGGAATTCCGGCCCACTGCCATCCTCGCCGCCGCCGCGAGTGGCTTCGCCGAGGATGGTCTCCAGGTCGCGGCGCTGCGAGTTGATCCAGCGGCGGACAAAGGTCGCGGGGTCCTTGCTCAGCGCCGTGTAGAAGGAGTGGCGTGCACGCGAGTGTGTGAGGGCCTGGATGATGAGCGCGATCTGCTCATCCAGCGAGGTGATCTGGCGCATGCTGGCCGCGTACTGTGGGTTTTGGGTGAGAGCCATCATCTTGGTGCGCAGGGGGTCTTCGACCGCGACGCGGATGTCGTAGATGGTCGGCGTGGCGTTTTTGTGGAACTCTTCGTCGACGCGAATGGTGTAGGGGAGCTTGATCGGGTCCATGGGGCTGGTGTGGTGGCCGATGCTTTCGGGGATCTGGGGGAAGAACATCTGCTCTCGGCCAAAGATCTGGAAACAACGTAGTCAATAAATGTGATCGTGGAATGAACGCGTCATAAAACAAGAAAATACGTACCGAGCGGAGCCGGTGGTCGCAGCGCACTTGCCGCTTCTCCTCGTCTTCCTGGAGCTCCATGGCGCGAATGTAGTCCCAGATTCCAAGCACGATCCCACTGCGAGTCTCTTCTTCGACATCCAATACTTCAGCCAGCTCCTTGCTCAGCTTGTATCGCTCAGGCGTTTCATCACGAACAAGACTGAGGGTGACATTCAAATTTTCCTGCGAGGCGCGCGAAAACTGCAAGCTGTCAAACTCAGCACTGGGAGGTGCTGAGGTCGTGTTGGGTGGCAGCTGTGGTTTGGTCCAGTTGACAGGCTTGACCTCCTCGGGGTTGGCCGTGGGTGGCTTATCGAAATCGACCGTAATAGTCTTGAAGAATTGCGAGAAGCGCTGGTGTTCCTTCTTAGACGATGACTTCTTCGCCTTGTCTCCTTCAGCGGCGTCATGGTCCATCGCATCTTCATCGGCCGCCTCGCCCTCGCCGCCTTCCTCATCACTATCAGGAACCGTCGGGTCCGTATCATCGTCGAGTAAACGTCCCTCAATGCGCATCTTGTATCGGCCGGAGCCCGGGTTGCTACCGGCGCCTTGCCACGGCTGATCCTCAACGGTATTGGAGATCCAGATACGCATAGTCCGGTACTTTTTGACAGATTTGCTGATCGAATCCTGGATGTCTAACCGCTTTCGCACAACTGCAGCATCCAGGCGCTTTTCCAAGTCGCGAAGACTTTTGTATTGCTGGACGCCCTCGCCGACGATCAAGTCTTCGATCCCGTCGGGGATGTTCTTGTCGGTCGGCTTACGGCTGCGGCGGAGGGCAGCTTCATTGGTATGAGCCATCGCACGCTGTGCGGACAGATATTGCGGATTGACCGCGTGTTGGGGCATGGGAACTGGCATCGCGCCTAGAGATTGGGGGAGTCAGGTAGAGTGTGGAGTGGGAAGGATGAAAGGGGACAAACCTGGACCGGGGGGGCGACGGGGCGTGGCTGGGGACCGCTGGGCAGTCGCGGGGAAGCCCCGCGCGTAATTTGGCTGCATTGGAGCATTCATTGCCAACAAAAACGCAATGGGAGGATGGGGGGAGGGTGGAGAGGAGAAGGCGGAGGGTGTTGCGAAGTCGCGATTCTTTCGCCGCGCTTTACCCGATTCGGAAATCGCAACAATTGCCCCAAGCTGATACCCGCCCAGAGCCTTAAACATACAGATAGAAGGCTGTACTACTAGATGAAATAATTGAAAACTAACAAGATCGTGCATAGGCTCAATTATTCCCTATGAACCCAGAGGTCGTTGCATTTCCACTTCCCACTCTACTCCAGGAGCGACGCCTGGTTAGTATACAGCCCTTCCACCACATTGCTCAGTTTCTCGATCGTATCCAGAGCGGCGTCGTATGCCTGGTCTCGTTCCGTTTCATCGTACACGATCAGACACCCCGACCCTTGGTCCAGCACGCCAATGATCACCTTGTCTAGGATCATCTGCGACAGCTTACGCTCCACTTGCTGCGTATCCAACCCAACCATCTTGGCAATGTGGTCCAGCTCCACTCGGCTGAAGGGCTCAATCACCTTGATCAAGTTCTGCTCCAGCATGGCATCGTAGAGACGACGGAGGTGGTTCCGGATAAACGCATCACTGCCAAGTTCGTAGCGGTAGTCTGACAAAGCTTTCTCGTACTCCTCCAGAGATCGGTTGGCGTGGGCCCGCGCCACGGCCTTCATGGCCTCCAGACGTGGACTAGCGTACTTCTGGGCCTGCTTCGAGCCAAGCAACTGCGTGACATCATCCACCAAGTTCAGCATGATCTTGCACAGGAGCATGTATTGCAGGGCCGCGGTGGCCAGATCCCCTTCGTCGAGCGAGTTATACCCCTCCAGTGCCTCAATGAAGTATGAAAAAGCCGTGTTGAAGTCCTTGTCCTCGGCGTGCAGCATACCACTCTGCATATCAAGGCTCGCCTGCAGGTTAGGCGGTGTGTAAACGGATGCTGCTGACGTTCGGGATGCTGTCAGGGCGGCGCGGGCCTTAGCCTGGTTGCCTAGGGCATGGTAGACACGCGACTCGAGCAGCTGCACCTCGACCAGCATGAGTTTGTCATCCAAGCGCTTGAGCTCGCGGAGAAGGGAGTTGATGAGGGTGAGAGCATCGTAGTAGGATTGCTTCTGCATGTAAATTGCGACCAAGCGTGCCTGCAGGTTTTGTCGGAGGAACGATCGTCGCTCAGCGATGGCCCAGTCTATGCATGATTGGATCACAGCGCCTTGGAGGTCGAGGGTATTGGGGATTTCGCTGATGAGGTCCAGGAGCTGACGGACTAAGCAGGATTTCATTAGTACTGATTATCTGCTGGCGTTGATGGTTGTCACTTACCCAGCTTGGCCGTCTTCGCTTTGGCAAATGACGAAAAGCTGTCACGGCTGGTCTTGATGAGATCCGCAATCTCTTGCGGCTTCTTCGCATCCCGATAGAGCTGACCAAGCCCAATTAACGCATGCTCATAATCCCGCGACGAGGCCTCTGTCGACCCCGGGCCTTCAGAGAGGATCTTCTGATAACCGCTGGCGGCCTTCGAGGGGTCCTTCTTCTCCAGATCCCGGACTTCCTGTATCCGCGAGGAGACCTGAAGAGAGGGCATGGTAAAGAGCGGATTTCAAGTGATCGGGGAAAGAGAATCGAGTGAAGACAACAAAGATAGGATGGTGGATTGAAGGAGAGTTGATAGCGAGAGAGACGGGGAGCTCGAAGCTGGGCAGCTCAGCGGCTTCACCGCCCGCTTAGCAAAGCAGCCATCAACAGAGAAAAAAAAAGTTCCGTTCTTCTTCTCTCTGCAATTTTTTCCACCACAACACTATGGTGAGTTTTACTTTGTTAATTTTTCTAGAATATAAATATACTAATCTATTTTAGAAAATCAAAGCTCTTTCCCGCTCCACGGCCTCACAGCAGGCCCCCGGGTCTGCTGTGGTCCGCCAGTCGCGGAATCTCGACCCGGCCCAGCACCCGTTCGAACGGGCTCGAGAATATACGCGAGCGCTTACAGCGACCAAAATGGAGCGCATGTTTGCCGCTCCATTTTTGGGTCAAATGGGCAATGGGCATGTGGACGGCGTGTATACCATGGCAAAGGATCCCGGCTCGCTCGAACGCTTTGCAAGCGGCAGTGGCGACGGCGTGGTTAAGGTGTGGGATCTGACAACGCACGAGGAGATCTGGAATACTCAGGGACACGAAAATATGGTCAAGGGATTGTGCTGGACGCCCGAGCGAAAATTACTGTCGTGCGCAAGTGACAAGACCGTCAAATTGTGGGACCCATACAACTCGTTGCCCGAGGCTCCGCCGTTGGCATCATACTTGGGCTCCAGTGCTTTCACCGGTGTCTCACACCACCGCACTCACCCTTCATTTGCCGCTTCTTCGTCTTCGATCAATATCTACGACCTATCGCGGCCATCATCCACGCCCTCACAAACTTTGCATTGGCCCACCAGCGTCGACACCATCACCTCGGTCTCGTTTAATCAGACTGAAACCTCAATTCTCGCCTCAACCGCGCTTGATCGCTCTATAATCATGTACGATCTGAGGACCTCTTCACCCGTGCAAAAGTTGACCTTGAGGTTGGCATCCAATGCCATCTCCTGGAACCCGATGGAGGCCTTCAACTTTGCCGTGGCCAACGAGGACCATAATGTTTACATTTTTGACATGAGAAAGACCGACCGGGCCTTGAACGTGCTGAAGGACCATGTGGCAGCCGTTATGGACGTCGAGTTCAGCCCCACGGGTGAAGAGCTGGTCACGGCGTCGTATGATCGGACGGTGCGCCTGTGGAACAGAGCCCGTGGCCACTCCCGCGATATTTACCACACCACACGGATGCAGCGGTATGTTTGCCTTTGGTTGGTTAATTTAGGTACGACGAATGCTAATTTCTGCTACAGTGTCTTCTCTGCCAAATTCACCCCGGACAACAAGTATGTGCTGTCTGGGTCAGACGACGGCAACATTCGCCTTTGGCGTGCCAATGCATCAGACCGCAGTGGAATCAAGAGCGCGCGCCAACGCTCCAAGTTGGAGTACGACCAGGCCTTGATCAAGCGATACTCGCACATGCCCGAGATTCGACGCATCAAACGCCAGCGTCATCTGCCCAAACCAATTAAGAAGGCCGGCGAAATCAAGCGTGAGGAACTGGCTGCCATTAAGAGACGTGAGGAGAATTTGCGCAAGCACACCAAGAAGAGTGAGCTATCGAAGAGACAGAACGAGCGTGAGAAGATGATTCTGGCTCGAGAGCAATAGAATGGTCAAGCGGATGCGAGCATGCATCCACTTCAGCCTAAGGCTGCTATTGGGGTTGTGCAAGTCGATACTTGCTCCTGAGAGTTTATGCGCAAGGAAAGGCTCGATCTACCGTTATATACATCATGCCGACTTTCCCCCTGTCTCTCCAACATGTGCTGCTCAACCTCATGTGCCGATAAAGATGTGTCGGTGAAAAAACAAAAACAACGGCTTTTTTCAGCTGGTTCGTCTATTTCCCTTGGGCATCCGACCACTAGGCTGGGGCAGTTTTCTCCCTCGAAGCTGGGAATTTCGGCGGCCATGGCTCACGGCGCTATCAATCCCACTCAAATGCCGAGCAAAGCGCTGTACTGCCACTGGTAGCACGGCATACCAATTTACCAAAGCCGCGAACGCGGGCAATCGAATCACTCCGCCACGACCACTATCAATGGCAGCCACCACGTCGCGCGCCACCTCGACAGTCTCCAGAACCGGCGCAAAGAAATCGTTGGGTGTGCGCACCCAGTCAAACAGCGGCGTCGACATCTGCCCGATCTCCACTAGTAGCGTTTTGATCTGCTCATACCTCTGCAGCTCGGCTTGGATTGTCCGGTGCAGGGCGCTGAGTCCGGCTTTGCTTGCGGAATAGTCTGACAGCCCGGCCGGAGACAGCTGGCCCAGCACGGAGCTAACTGTGACGACGGTACCCCCGTTCTCTGCTGATATCATCCCGGGTACGAAGATCTGGTAGAGGTGGAATGCTGCGAGAAGGTTGGTGCGGATAGTCTTTTCAAATTCTTCTGCCGGCAAGACCAGAAGCGGGTGGCCGTTGATCCGGGCTGCGGCGCAGTTGACCAGGATCGTCGGAGGTCCCAGCTGGTACCAGTAGCCAACATGTTAGCATCATACAAGTTCCGAACAAAATAAACCAAAGCATTGAACCGAACATAGCATCGAGATGTTCCCGAAAAGAGTAACAACCAAGACAGTAAAAAAAAAAAAAAAAGAAAAGAAGCAATAAAACTACGCAAGGGAACAAAGAAAGAAATGAATAACCATACCTCTTCCACAATCCTCCTCTTCACATCCTCCAACTGCCCCCGATCCCCAACATCACACCGATAATACCCAACGCCCTCCCCCAAAACCTCCTCTTCCTCCTCACTCGACCCCAAATCCGCAACATCCAGCACGGCAACACTAGCCCCGCGCATCCCATACATCTGCGCAATCAGCAACCCCAGCCCGGACGCACCACCCGTAATGACAACGACCTCATCGCGCGCGACATCAACCGCGCGCGGCAGCCCGTACGCGACGCGCTGGTTGACGATGCGCAGCACGAACAGGAGCGTCAGAAGCAGCGCGTAGCCGATGGCGAGGACGAAGGCCGGGTCGGTGACTGGTGTGACTTGGGCACGGAGACAGAGAACAAGGATCCAGGCGATGCCTGGGTTGAGGATTGTGCGGTGCAGGACGCGGAGGCAGAGGTCCAGGGTTAGGTGGTGGGACCATGGTTTTTGGGAGTGGGTGCTCGGTGAGGGTGGTTTTGCGGAGGTGGTGATTATTTGTGGGGTTGGTGAGGCCATCTTGGTTCTTCTTTTTTTTTCTTTCTTTCTTCTTCCGAGATAGATATTGTGCTCTCCAATCCAAGGGGGTGGGTGACTCGTTCTTGGGCTGGAGGTGTAAAAGGTTGGTTTTCGGGTTGGCGTGATGTGGCTGTCACGGACTCGGTTGGTCCCAATGAGCCCTCAGCTGGGTGACTAGAGAGCTGTAGAAAGCAATAATACAGTCAATTCATGGCGTGCTGCCATCACACAAGGAATAGTGGTAGTTCTCGAGACACGCGAGGTGAGAAATAGATGTTGGAGACCCGGTCAGCTTTTGCGGGGCTGATAACGCAGATAAGCGCAAACTACAAGGACTCCAGCTCACAGCCAAGTCGACAATCCATTCATCTAACCGCAGTATCAATCGAGGGGACTCAGCCCTGAACATCCCGGGCCGTTCCAACCCGCCACTGTAGTAGTCGCGGATCGTAGTAAGCCCAGAGACATTGGGCCAAGTCCCGTCAGCGATTGCAGGGGTCCAGGTAGAACAAAGACATGGCACAGGCGAAAACAGAAGAAACAGCAGAAGAGAAAGAAAACTCCTCGAAAACTCCGGTCCTCCAGACACCCAGTCATCATCATGAACATAAAAAAGACATGGCGGTCATCTCTCAAACTCCATTCTCAGACTCCCCTGTACCCAGACAGAAAAATTGGTCGTTTCAATCGTAGCACGTTTCTCTTCGGAGATTCTGACAATTTGACAAGGCATGGCGATTAATTTCTCTTCCGTTGAGTCCCCTTTTCGGTCGTCTTGGTAACTTTGGTCGGCTTGGTCACCTTCCCTCTTTTGGCCGGTCCGTGCAAGGCGTGGCTGAACGTGCTGCAGTCGGGATCCTCTCGAAGGATGTCAAGGTCGTCGGATGGGGGACAGAAGCCATTGCCAGCCCGTGGGTAGACACGGTGGTCTTCAACATAGTATTCCTCGTCTTCCTCCTCCCTTTCCGCTGCCTCGGATTCCGCCCGTTCAGCAACAGATGGGAAAGGCGTCGGGGATCTGTCTCGAGTTCGGGTAACAGTGCTCTCAGAGGTAGACTGATCCGCAGTCGAACGAGCCTCAGATGCTTGACGAACAGGGGCGGTGCGAGACCGACCCTTCGCTTTCGGCTTGCCCTTGGTGGCAGCGGCCTTCGCGGCAGAGGGCTTCACTGGGGCCGAAACCGCGCGAGTTCGCTTGCGGGGGCGAGTGTCGGCTTCAGGGTCATTTTCAACGGCCGGGTCCTCTTCCAATGCAGCAGTCGTGCGACTTCTCTTCTTCAACTTAATCTTGGGCGCGGTGCTGGGGACAGCATCATTGGCCGGTTGGCTCATCGGGGCTGGGAAGGCAGAAGCCGGGAGTTCATGCATGTTGGCAGGGAACATAGGCACAGACGGATTGCGGCTGGAGACGTTGACAAGAAGCTCTACCAGTGAGGCGTGAGAAAGGGCCGACAGGTAGGCTCGCCGCTCGTCCGCAGTGAATTGATCTCCACCCAGCTCCAGCTGGGGTACCTTCTGGCGAGGATGCATGAACTGGGACCGCTTCTGCGTCTTGCGGGGCTTGGCGAGAGGCCTGTTCTGCTCGTCCGCCGGCTTCTGTGTGGGTTTGCACTCGTGGCAGTACCATTCCATCTCTTTCACCCGAATGACCTCGTTGTCAATCGGCGGATCATGGCACTTCTGATGCCACGCGGCATTGCACCCATCACAGAAGACAATGGCATTGGTCGATGGGCTGTTTCCCCTCTGGCAGCGGGCGCACACAATGTTGGCGTCCTTCTTGCGGTAGACTCTCTTGCGCTTGCGAGAGGTCTTGGAAGTCGGGGCGGCCTCTTTGTTGGCTACAGCATCGACCGAGCCATACGCGGCGGGTCGGTTGGTCACTCGGCCGGATCTGGTCGTTCGAGATTCGGCTGGGGCAGCACTCGCCTCTTCCTCCTCCGTCTCAGAGTCTGGTCCAGCTTTGATGACGTCCTCGTCGTTGCCGGCACGCGACCGTGCCCCCTTGGTCTTGGCGGGTTTGCGGGGAGCGGCCTTCTTGCGGCCCTTGGTCGCAGCCTCACTGGTCTGTGGGGCCGGGGCAGGTGCGGCTACCGGCTGGCTGCCGAGTTCGTTTTGATCCTGGGTGGTACGCACTGGACCAGGCTGGATTCCAGACTCAGTCTGCAACTGAAGGGAGTCCGGGGTGGTGGTGAAGGTGCCAGACTGGGCACTGGACTGGGTCTGTGCCTGGACTGACTTCTCAATGAGAGAAGCGGAGACAGCAGGCTCGATGGCCGAGGAAGCCATCACCTCAGGTGCACCTGAGGTGATGGTGGTCAGAACGTCAGGCTGGGCAACGGGCTCAACCTGGGATTGGGGCTGGTTCTGGGCACCCATTGACGGACGAGATAAAGGAGAAAGGGAAAGGTGCACCTTTGGTCTCTTGGACTGGCGCCCTTCCTCATCTTCATTCGTAAACAGAATGCCGGGCTCATCAGCCTCGGTCATTCCGAGCGGGATATCCTTGACAATGACATCCTCTTCGAAGAGCTCAGTCGGCCCTTCGGGATTGATGTCGGGGGGAGGTAGATCGACAAACGCACTCGAGACCTTCATCTTGAAGACTGAGGCGAAAAAAAGAGAGAGAGAAACAGAAAGAAACAGAAAGAGAGACGGTGATAGTGGCAATGAGAGTGAGAAATGGATAGAGTAAGAGGAGAAGAGAAGCGAAGAGTTGGAAATGGTTAAGGGGGCGGGGGTGTAGTGAAAGGAAGAAGGAGAGAGAGAGAGAGAGACGAAGTAAGAGAAGTGAGGGGATTATGTGTATGTGGGTGCCTTGGTGAATGGGCGCCTGCCCTGTTGAGGTCAATTGCCATTGGAAGCGAGGCAAGGTCTGTATAGTGTCACGTGATTCACATTGACTCTATTCAAGATTCCAGTGTATTCATTCTTGTCCTTGACATTATCTTTGTTCTTATATTTCAGATGGTATCAACTGGGATGCTTCTTCGGGATTGCTCCCAGTCCCGGATGTACAATGACTCTACATTTCCAACTCATCAGATTCATGACACCACCCCCTCCTTCTTCAAACGAACAATATCCGCCTCGCTATAGTCCAGAATACCACCCAAAATGTCGTCTGTATGTTGACCAAGTGTAGGAGGTGGAGTACGAATACCCGGAGTCGCCTCGGAGTATTTGATAGGGGTGTTGACCAACTTGATAGGACCGCAAGCGGGATGATCGACCTCCGTCACCATTCCCCGTGCCTGGACTACAGGACCGAGTCAGCATCAATGGCACACCACATTTTCGAGTCACATTCGTCAAAAAAAAAAACATACCATGCGAGTGATTCAGCGTTCCCTGGATGTCATTCACGGCCGCATACGGCATCCCGCTTCCCTCGAAGATCTCGAGCCATTCCTGCGTCGTCTTGTGTCGGGTAGTGTTCTCGATCAGACCATCAATCTCGGCTCGGTGTTGAACTCGATCGCTGTTGGTCACAAAACGGGCGTCTGTCTTCCACTCGGGGAAGCCCAGTCGGTCGCACAGCACGCCGAAGAGCCGGTCATTCCCGCCACCAAACAGAATATCTCCATCACTGGTCTTGTAGCTCCGATAGGGGACAATAGATGCTGGTGGTAGAATTCCAACAAATTAGTTTATCGACGGGCATTGTAGATTCATCGATGGAGTTTTTGGCTGCTTACGATGTGCCGTCCCCCATCGCCCAGAATCCTTCTTGCCACTGATAAGTGCAGAACTAGCCAGATTCGAGAGGGTCGCCACTTGACAATCACTCAAGGAAGCATCAATATGTTGACCCTTTCCTGTGCGAGCGCGCGCAAGCAGAGCTGCCATGATGGCATTGGAGGTATATAGCCCAGTGGTAAGGTCAGTGACGGCTACGCCAACCTTGACGGGCGCACCGTCTCGAGCGCCAGTAATATGCATCAATCCCATTTCCGCTTCCACCATGACATCGTAACCGGCCCGAGTGCTGTACGGACCTGTCTGGCCGTATCCGGTGATGCTGGCATAGATCAATTTGGGGTTTATTTCCCGTAGTGTCTCGTAGTCCATTCCGTATTTCTTCAGGCCGCCAGGGAGGTAGTTCTCAACAAGGACATCGCATTCTTTTGCAAGCTTGTGTAGAATCTCGACGCCTGATTTATGCTGGAAGGATAGCCCGAGTGATTTCTTGTTTCGGTTGACCTGCGTACCCCATTAGCACATGGAATGTATCCATACTCATTGCCAGGATTTTCTCATACTGCTAGGTAGTAGGCACTTTCGCCGGGTCCATTCCGCGACGCATCTTCATATTTCGCATATGGCGGGCCCCAAGCGCGAGTATCGTCGCCGCGCACGGGATGTTCGACTTTGATCACGTCCGCTCTATATCAGGGATGTTCAGCATGTTGAAATCAACAATAAAAAGGGCGAAGATCATGCAGTTGCAGGCTTCATTGGGTTCGCATACCCTAGATCGCCGAGAATCTGAGTACAGTACGGCTATAGAATCCCATAGTTAGAAATATATTCCAGGAAGACAGTAATGGCATTCGCAAACTCACTCCTGCTAACACCCGGGTCATATCAAGCACCCGAATGCCCGCCAAGGGCAGCGATTCATTGACAGCTGAAGCTGCACTTGAGTAGTTCCGCCACGGCGTCGTGCGCCGCAAGGCATTGTTGGACCAGCATGAGCCTGATCGACGGGCAACCGCCTGGACTCTGAGGGCGACCGTCATCGTCATCTGTCAAACTATGCATGGATCAGAACAAGAAAGAAAAAGAACAAAATAAGACAAAAAAAAAAAAAAAAAAAACAGGCGCAAGATGAGGGGAGAATTAAATGCGAATTGGGGTAGACCGAAGCTCCGCCAAAACGCCGACACCGCTCGGATCGGCCACCGAAGCCGAGGTCGACCGACTGCAACACATCTTCGCTTTGTTTCCGACAGACAACCCGCTACGATGTTCACAGGTCTGGTCGAGACGATTGGAGGTGAGTGTTCTTTTGCATGAGATAACAAACCAACCCAACCCATCCGAGTGTCCCAGGCTGATGGATCCCCCGTAGTCGTCACGGCCCTGGAGCCCCTCGACACCTCGACAAGCGGGGGCGGGGGCACATCGCTCACCATCTCCGACTGCGAGGCGATCCTCTCCGACGCGCATCTGGGCGACAGTATTAGTGTCAATGGTACCTTTCCCCGTCCTGAATACAATTGGGACACAATTTAAGCAAGTACAAATTTGAAAAGGGACATGCCTTACGGTCACCGAATTCGACAAGACCTGGTTCAAGGTCGGCGTCGCACCAGAGACACTACGGCGCACAAATCTTGGATCCCTACAGACGAATTCTCGCGTCAACCTCGAGCGCGCCGTCTCCGCGGATACCCGCATGGGCGGGCACTTTGTGCAGGGCCATGTCGATACCGTCGCCAAGATCCTGTCCGTCACGCCGGACGGGAACTCGTTGGTGTTTCGGCTGCAGCCGCGCGACAGAGCGGTTCTGCGCTATGTCGTTGAGAAAGGCTACGTCACGCTGGATGGTGCTAGCTTGACTGTTACCAAGGTGGTGGACGGGGAGGACGGATACTGGGAAGTCATGCTCATTGCCTACACCCAGGAGAAGGTCGTCACGGCATCCAAGAAGGCTGGAGAGGAGGTCAACGTGGAGATTGACATCGTGGGTAAGTATGTCGAGAAGAGTGTACAGGGCTATTTTGCTGGCACGGCTGGGGGAGACTTTACTGTCTTGGAAAAGATGGTGTCTCGCATCGTTGAAGAGAAGCTCAAGAAATAGAAGAATACGTTTTAAGTTACGCTGTTTTTTTTTTTTTTTTAAGGTAATCTTTTGTTCCCCAAGCATCAATCATCCTTGCATCTTGCAAGTACATGTACACTGAATCCATTCAAGGCTTACGGGTATAATGGGAGGCTCTTTTCGTAACGCCTGCATGCTGAACTGGCTGAAGAGGCGAATTGCCCCATTCGAGGCAGGCATATTAAAGGCGAGCTTTTCGCACCCCGGGCAAGGCAAGGTCTTGGCCTGTTATCAGACAGGGTCAAGTGATGCCTGATCCACAGGAAACCAAACCAGAGCACCAAGTATCGGTCTGCTTGGCCCAAGCGCATATCGTCGGAAGTGCTGAATTGCAGATCCGTTTCGACCATCGAGGTGAGACCCTGGCCGAATAAAGAGAGACGGTGTTCACACCTTCCTTCACTCCTCCATTGAGTCGTCCGAATCCTCTTCCGGCTCGGCGCCCTCATCTTCATCCCCAAAGTCATCACTGTGCCAGTCGTCATCGTCCATATCAACATCCTCCTCCTCATCGTCATCCTCTTCAACAGGTTCGCCCCTGGCCTTGGCCTTAGCCTTGTCCTGCTTCTTCCGTTCAATGTTCTCCTTTTGCTGCTTCTTCCTCTGCTCTTTCTCCTTCCGCCGGACATTCCAGCTCTGGTCCATGGATTTGATTTCCTTCTCCGATTTCGTAATGAAGTCGTGCCACATAATCTTGCCCTCACAAACACCCTCTTCAACCTTCATCAATCGGAGCTTCAAGCGCGGGCCCAACTCCACCAGTTTCACCGCACGTTTCTCGACCCCGGGGGTGTTGGCGGGTTTTTTCTCGCCTTTTTCGCTAGCCTTTATGCGCTGCATCTCCCGCTTGTTGAGGACTCTTCGGGTGGTGCTCTCCGCAACCTCCACCTCGGCGTCGGTGTCGAGTTCGGTCTCGCTCGCAGATGTATACCCAGCCGCAGACGGGTCAAGGAGGTAATCGGCGGCATCTTCCAGCTTGCCAAGGTTTGGGACGGCAGCCTTCTTCTTATCGCGGTTCCGGATCTCTTTGGGGTCCAGCCGGCGGATGCGTTTCGGGACTCCTGTCTTTTTTGTGGCGATGGCGTAATGCCGGAGACTCAACATGTACGAACCTTCCTCCTCGGACTCGGAAGGCTCTCTGTTCAGCAGCATGACACGGCGGATAGTGGACAAAGGCGTGGCTTGGGGGTTGATCGGAGGGAAGAGGGATTGAAAGATGGTGGTGGTGAGAGTCTCGAGCCGTTTGGGAACTTTGGAATCTTCCGTTGCATCCGCAGAACTGAAGTTGTTCATCACCAGCAATGGTGGTGTCTTATGATCTTGACCGCCGCTCCGCGGGCGCTTCAGTGCCCTCTCGACATCCTTGCAGAGCGAATAGTTCTCGACTTGAAAGTGGAGCGTCGGACCCCGAGGCGTGACCGCGAGACGCATGTTGGTGTTGCCCGTCCGGGATTTGGAAAACAGAAGAAGATGTGTGACACCGAGCGGGCCGGTCATCACTGTATAGTCGCGCAGCCGGTTGGATTTGCGTTCCTAAAGAGCTGAATTAGACACCGTTCGGTAGAAGAGGCGTATTTGTGATTCGTACCTTCAATCGCACTGCTGTATCGGGCTCCATCATCTGGCGAACATCCTTGACCAGCTGGCTTACACTGGTGCCAACCTGAGAGCCACCTACTCGGATGACCATGGACTTCGGGGGCTTGGCTGTAGAAGAAGCGGCGCTCTTCGCACCGGCCGAAGCATTTTGCGCGCGAAGATGGGTGCGCTTCTTGACACGTCCCTTGGCCATAGCGAGATCTGTGAAACCAAGACAAGAAACTGGAAAAGGGAAGGAGATCAAGCGGCTAAGTCGGATCAGCTCTGGAATTTTTTTTTGGAGACAAAGATTAAGGCGGAAAAGTATGGCGGATCAACAATGTTGCGGGCCCACAAAAAATATTTCTGTGATTGAGCTCGACACTTTCTTTTTCCTGGTCAAACCACAGCAATCAAAATGCCCGCAATTAAAAAGCGCAAGGTCGAACGTGAGACGCATGTGGATGTGGGGGCCAGCGATGCTAGCTCTCAAAATGATGAGAGCTCCGAGACTCCCGCGGCCCCGAAGTCGTTCAGAGAACTGGGGATCATCGATTCACTATGTGAGGCCTGCGATACACTAGGATACAAGGCGCCGACGCCGATTCAATCCGAATCCATTCCCCCGGCGCTACAGGGTCGGGATTTGATCGGGCTTGCGGAGACAGGAAGTGGAAAGACAGCCGCCTTTGCGCTACCGATTCTACAGGGTAGATATACTTCGCGGCTTCACATAATTTTGGATTATATACTGATGGGGACATTCATATAGCACTCATGGATAAGCCGCAATCCCTATTTGGGCTCGTCCTCGCCCCAACCCGAGAACTTGCATACCAGACCTCGCTAGCCTTCGAGGCTCTCGGATCAACAATCAATGTGCGAACCGCAGTAATCGTGGGGGGGATGGACATGGTGCCTCAATCAATCGCGCTAGGCAAGAAACCTCATATTATCGTCGCAACTCCCGGCCGTCTACTCGACCACCTGGAGAACACCAAAGGATTCTCGCTGCGCAACCTCAAGTATCTGGTCATGGACGAAGCAGACCGACTGCTCGATATGGATTTCGGGCCGATCCTGGACAAGATCCTGAAAGTTCTGCCACGGGAACGACGCACCTTCCTGTTCTCGGCAACGCTCAGCTCCAAGGTGGAGTCGCTGCAGCGGGCATCGCTGTCCAACCCGCAGCGGATATCGATCTCGTCGAACAAGTACCAGACCGTCTCGACGCTGCAGCAGTACTTCCTGCTGCGGCCGCACAAGCACAAGGATATCTATCTAGTGTATTTGCTGAACGAGTTCGCCGGCCAGTCGGTCATCATCTTCACACGCACTGTCCACGAGACCCAGCGCATGGCCTTTCTGCTGCGTGCGCTCGGATTTGGCGCCATCCCGCTACACGGCCAGCTTTCGCAGTCTGCGCGACTGGGTGCGCTCGGCAAGTTCCGTTCGCGTAGCCGCAATATCCTTGTCGCGACTGATGTCGCTGCTCGCGGTCTGGATATCCCATCCGTGGACCTGGTTTTAAACTATGATCTCCCGACCGACAGCAAGACGTATATTCACCGGGTGGGCCGAACCGCGCGTGCAGGAAAAAGTGGAGTCGCAATCTCGTTTACCTCGCAGTATGATTTCGAGATCTTGAAACGCGTTGAGGGTGCACTGGGCAAGGAGCTCCCGGAATACGACGCCCCCAAGGACGAGGCCATGGTGATGGCGGAGCGAGTGGGTGAAGCACAGCGCCAGGCCATCATGGAGATGAAGAACTTTGACGAAAAGCGAGGGAGCAGAGGAAAGCAGTTTGGCAGGGGCAAGCACTCTCGTGAGGAGATGGATCGCGAGGAGGGCTGAAGTGTCCGCAATTTTTGCCCGATGTCTTCTTATGTCTTTTCTTCATACGAATGGCTGGCCCACTAGAGACAATTTGATACGACGTTGCTACATAGACGGGTTTTGGATATTGAGCATACATAAATTTCATTACTGCATCAGATGATACCGAATATTTTCTAGGCCTGATCTCTTCACAGTCAAGTGGCCGAAAAAAAAGTCGTAAATTATGCTCGTGGAAAATCTCATCAAGGCGACATGGTAATGCCCCAATTCCCGGTGCAAGCGTAGAAATCATAAAACTGTCCATTGGAAGACTCGTTGATCGCCTCCATAGAGAATCAAGAAAGGTTCACTTAGGCAGTGCCTGCCTCGCGAACAGCATTGGCGACCCGAGTGGCGAGATCATCCGCCTCAGATCGGTTCGCAGCCTCAGCGTAGACACGCACTGCATCCTCGGTACCACTGGCACGAGCAAAACTGCGGCCCTTATTATACCGGGACTGCAGGGACTCGATCTTCTCTTGAAGGCCAGCCGGGGACTCCAGCTTGCGCTCCGCATCGTAAGCCTTGAAGATGGAGCGGTCGTTGACCTCGACACGGACCAGACGGGAGGGAAGATCAGTGTAAGTGCCCAGCCACTCCCTGGGGGTCCAGCCTTTGTGGGCCAGAATGGCCTCGACAACAAGCATATCAGAGAGGGCATCGCCGACGGCCTGGTTGATGAGGTCAGTCAGAGCCTGGAGGCATTCCAGGGAGCGCTGCTGCGCCGGCGACTGGGGCTCCGTGCTCTTGATAACCTTGAGGGCGGTTTCCGAGAAAGTGACCGTGCCGTGGCCGTTGGCCTCAAAGTAGACGCCGACGTCGAACCGCAAGGCTGCGTGGTGGAGATGCTTTACGCCGGTGTTGGTGCAGATGATGGGGAGCTTCAGCACCTTCTCGATGTAGTCCGTGCTGGCACCGTTGGCGTAGGCCGTCTGGACGACACCAATCTTGAGTTTCTGGGCAATGCCCGCGCTCCGAGCCAGATCACCGATGAAAGAAGCCGCAAGAGTGGCGATGCGGTCGCCATCCAGGAGTCGGAAGACGTTGCTCTCATCGAGGAAATAGTAGACCAGGCGGTCGGCATCGCCGTCCAGGGAGGCGCATCGGTCAAGCACAGCCGCCTTGGAAGAGGGCGGAGCGCGCTGTTTGGTCTTGACGTAGTCGGCACCACACTAAAAAAAAATTCAGTCAGTTTGTCTTGCCTACTAGGTAGGTTCATAGGAGGTCGACCGGTCACACCCACCTCGAAGTTTAAGCTGTCAGGGTTGATCACGTCGTCGTTGACCACCTTGATGTCGAGTCCCGAATCCAGGAACTTCAGGAGATCCCTCAGCTTGGGCCCGCCAACACCGTTGGCGCAGTCAACAGTTAAGGAGCCCTGCACCTTGACACCCCGCATGACCTTCTTGAAGGATGATGCGAGCTTCTCATAATACCCTTGCTCGGTTGGTTCGCCATATTCGTACTGTGTTCCGAGGGTGTTCTTGCAGCGCACGACGTAGTGCAGCTGAGGGGTGGTCATGAACTTCCAGTCAATAAACTCGACCTCGGTTGCCGTGAGGGCAGCACTCAGGACGCCGACGAGACGAGATCCGGAAGCACGGGTGTCGCGAGCGAAGACCACACGGGCTGGGTTGGTCATCTTGACATCGATTTCCTTCACCAGTTCATCGTGGACATCGGCGATCTTGTCCAAGGGAGCATTTGCGAGCTTTGTCGCATACGCCTCCCACTCGGCCTATTTGTGACAGTAAGTACAGACATTCAGATCGGTCATTGCGGTGCGAGTCGGTCTTACTTCGAGCATCTCACCCTATAATCATTGCAGTTCGTCAGATACGGTTCTAGGTCTCATGCGCCGGTGCGGCGACGGGGTCGACTTACCATCGGGTCAATCAGCTTGACGCCATTGTCCTCCGCGGGGTTGTGGCTTGCAGTAACCATAACACCAATCCATTGTCCGCTGAGCTTCTTCGATCGCAGACCCGCAAGCAAGCCTACAGCAAAAACAACGGTGTTGAGGAGATCACTGTGGATGGACACCGGTCAGAGAGAGTCGATGTCAACAAAAGGACGATCTCGCGGGGTTCTGGAGTGGAGCGGGGCAGATTTCAAGGAAAACTTACGCTTTCATGCGAAACTGTAATGTCGCGGGAAAAAGAAAGTCAGTTCATCGCCTCGGCAAGAATCCAAGCAACGCGACCTACCCCTGCCGTGCCATACTGGAAGACCTTTCCCTCAGGCTTTGTGTACTGAAGGGCCGCGTCTGAGATTGCTTTCTTGATAGCCGGAGACGCCATTGTGGCGCGAATACGCTGCGACCAAGGGGTAAAAAGAAAACACTGAGAGGTGATCACGTCAAAATAGAGGCACTTTCAAACAAATGGAGTTCTAGGAGGGTCGAAGTTGAGAAATGAAGGAGAAAGTACTTGCGAAAAAAAAAGGGAGGGGTCTGGGTGAGACACTTTTTTTAATTCTTATTGCGACGGCCTTAGCGGTGAGCCAATGGCGGGGACCACAGCCACCACGACGGGAGTGCGGGACGTGGCAATTAACCCCCGCGCCAAATGCCGTGGAAACAAGGATGCTACAGGAAACTACAGGTAAACATGAACTACAGGCGCAGTCAAGAACATCATATTGCTTTCTCTCGAACTAGAACTCACAATATTCAGGGTATAGAGAGAGAGAGAGAGAGAGAGAGATAAATATGAGAATACGGCCATCAACATTCTTCTCACACCTTGAGTCTGTGTCCAGCAATGTCGTCTTTCGCATCCTTGATCAGGAATCTGTCGGGCGCAACCGATATGTTAGTCATTGAAATACTCCAGGCCGAGGGGGGACTCACGAGTACCACCAGGCAGTGGGGACCACTGTGCCCAGATGCCAGAGGCTATGTGCATCAATCAATCCATGCCACGGAGCAAAATCCAGCAACTCGAGACTCATGGCCAAGATGATCCATGCAACAATCATACCAGGCCAGGCAGTCCAAAACTTGAGATACTTCTGGTACCGGACAATGCTGAACCCAGTCCACAGGATATTCTGGATGATGCCGACCACCACATTCGCCGCCATGTTGTACGTGTAATCCCATGACCAGAAGCTGAGGTAGCTGACATGGATCACATAGAGGAGAATGCAGATGGTTGTCCAGAGGCGACGCAAAGTGGGGCGGTAGGGGGGAGTCTCCAAGTCCAGGCGCAGGATTCGGATCACCGCCAGGTAAAGCCCGTACAGGACACTGGCCCCAGCCGCGAAGTAGTCCAACTTCTCCGTTAGAGGGAAGTCGCGCGTGTGGAAGAGCATGCTAAAGGTCCAGCTGGCGAGCCCAATATATCCAAATGCCATATAGTATTTGCGGAGGGAGTGCCAGGTAGGGATCGACTCTTGGACGCGCGACATGCCCTGCCAGTGTGCCGCGAAGTTTAGGAATGAAAAGAGCACCGAGAAGGGCTCCTGCATCCCCAGGATGCGACGGAATGGCCATTTCCCATGGAACTGGACGATGGGGGTGATCATCGGAGGGTCTCGAGAGACGCGACGGTCGGTAATGACATGTTGGCAAGTATAATCACATTCGGCAGGGCAGGTCCATAGCAGCAGACGATGGTGCAAGGCTGAAAGAAAGGTCAGGAACCATAGAAGAAAGAAAATAAGCAAAAAAAAAAAAAGGACATACGTAGCACTGAGTTGCCGTGCTGGCAATTTTCCGTTTTACAAATCTGTGGCCGTCAGCCTGGCTGTTTGATCGGGTCCGGGGAAACCACGTACCTCAACACATTCTTTGAAGTCGGGGAGGTGGTCACCCAACGACGCGGACGATTGACCAACGAAAGTCGCGAAGAAAAGGAAAACAAGTAGACTGCTGAGAGACAGTCTTCCAATGCCCAGATTCATTCTGGTCAAGGAGCGTAATACGCGTGAGTTGGAGAAGAATGAATTCCAGGTGTTCCACTGAAAGAGCCTCGCCCCATGGGTCTTGGCAGGGGACGGGGAGCCCCCAAATGTACAATGTATACAATGTATACAATGTAGACAGCCCAGAAAGCCATTGACCCACCACATACTAGATATTGACTGTCTGCTCTTTAATATTTGCATTGAACCATGCTGTAATCACACATGTGGCCAGATACAGGGGTTTGAGTGGTTTTTTGGGAGCTGCTACAGTCCTTAGGCGATGACCTAACCCCTTTGTCTGCGATTCAAAGTCACTAGGTTGATCCAAGGTTAATTGGAGTTGTACTACGAGACTTAATTCAATTTGGATTGAAGTGCATAAAAGCATAGTAGCTCTTCAGTCGGCATATCCCTGGATGTGTATATATCGCGCTTATCGATGCCACACACAACCCTAATCAAACAAGGGCTTATCGAATCACGCTTTTCATCCCAACCAGGCTTAGCGTGGGCGGGGAGATTGGAGGTGAGCTTTTTGGCTTGCGATAATCAGAAAAAAAAAAGTCGATTAGATTGAAGTCTCTTTCATCATCCTCGTTCCTTTTCCCTCTTTTTCTCACCCTTTTTATCCGATCTTGTACCTTTGATCCTAACATCCTAACTTCAATTCCGTCATGATGGATGTATCTGAGACCCCGCAGGCTGCTGGGGGCATCTCCAGCAGCGCCGATCGCATGGTTGGTATGGAGCATGCTGAAGTGCGCTACTTTACGAGGTACGAATTGGTCATCGAAAACACTTGGCTATCATACTAATTGGTTGGCTTTAGCTACGATCACCATGGTAAATTATCTTGATATACGAACCATTTCAATGGCGTGGATTGGACTAACACCCTGGGGGGTTTTTTTTCTTGCCTTGCACAGGGATTCATGAGGAAATGCTGGTATGGAAATACAATCCGACTATCATTTAATATGTTTCATGACTGATCCCGTTGCTTGCACCTCGAACAGAAAGATGATGTCCGTACGAGATCCTACCGTGACTCCATCTACCAAAACCGCCACATTTTCAAGGATAAGGTTGTCCTCGACGTTGGGTGTGGAACAGGTATCCTCAGCATGTAAGCCGCTCCTATTGCAACTTGCAACATGCAAACATGCTACGGATTGAGGCTAATCCTCTATGCGTGATAGGTTCGCTGCTCGAGCGGGCGCCAAGCATGTGATCGGTGTGGACATGTCCTCGATCATCGAGAAGGCCCGTGAAATTGTCGCTGTGAACGGCCTGGCCGACAAGATTACTCTCCTCCAGGGCAAGATGGAAGAAGTTGTTCTCCCGTTCCCCAAGGTAGATATCATCATCTCCGAGTGGATGGGCTACTTCCTACTGTACGAGAGCATGTTGGACACAGTGCTGTATGCCCGTGACACTTACCTTGTTCCTGGTGGCAAGATCTTTCCTGACAAGGCCACCATGTACGTGGCTGGCATTGAGGATGGCGAGTACAAGGACGACAAGATCGGATGTATGTAACGCCCGCTTCTTCCGTTTCTTCCGATACTGACCAATTCTAGTCTGGGACAACGTCTATGGATTTGACTACAGCCCGATGAAGGAGATCGCCCTCACTGAGCCGCTGGTCGATACCGTGGAAATGAAGGCTCTTGTCACTGATCCCTGCGCCGTCATCACTCTGGACCTGAATACGGTCACCTCGGCCGACCTGGCGTTCCGTGTGCCCTATTCGCTCCTTGCGCGCCGCAACGATTTCGTCCATGCCCTAATTGCCTGGTTCGATATCGAGTTCAGCGAGTGCCACAAGCCCATTCGCTTCTCTACGGGCCCCCACGCCAAGTACACGCACTGGAAGCAGACTGTCTTCTACCTGCCCGATGTCCTGACTGTCGAGGAGGGTGAGTCTGTGTCCGGCTATCTTGAAAACCGTCCCAACGACAAGAACAAGCGGGACTTGGACATCACTTTCACGTACAATTTCGAGACCCCTGACCCGACTCGCTCTGCCCAGGGCAGCTGCTTCTACCGGATGTATGTACCCATGTGCTTTTTCTCTTACTGTTCTTCCATATGCTAATGTTTTCTCCCACCAGGTGCTGATTCTTTTGTCCCATCTCTCAAAATCTCTGATCTTGGTCATTTACCATGGCATTTTTCATTTGATGTCCCCCCCCCCCCCCCCCCCCCCCACGTGATTATGGGGGCAATTGTTTCAGCCATCGATGTTGTGCAGCATAGCATGGGCACATATGGATTCGCACCGGCTCGATCGAGCTTCTGTTTTCTTGTTTCGGCGTTGTGTTTTCGGGCGGGAAATGGCATCAGGCGCGATACGGAGAGATGATTGTGAAGCTCCTCGAATTTCCAAGTCGATACCCCGAGTCGATGCTTAGTCTAGCAAACGCCGACGCTGTCATAGTTTCTTTTTTAATGCAGAAATGGAAAGACAAATCGATTCACTCGCTATTTCTCGAGACTATAGCATTTAGTCCGAGTGAACCCACAGTAAAAACTAAATGCCAAGCAGATGGCGTGTCGTCGGTAACGGACAAATCGCTATCAGATCCTCGGCTCATTGCTGCCCCGCAATTCTTCGTTCCTTGAGCTCCTCTTTTGCCGGATTCCATCCTTTCTTTTATTCCTAGTTTCTTGGTGTTTGAATTTTTCAATTGCGCATCTCGTCTGAAGCTGAAACCAATTCCATTGCACAATCACCCCCCCCCCCCCGGCTATTTTTCACCATGTCTGCCCCAGGAGCTGGTCATGAATTTCCCGCCCAAGAGGTGTCTTGGCAGAAGCGCGATGTTCTGCTGTTCGCCAACAGCATCGGCTGCAAGGCCGACGAGCTGCAGTTCCTCTACGTACGTGAAATTGACTAGAAGTGTCATTGTTCGATTTGGTACCCCTAACATTGATCTAGGAGCTTCACCCGAACTTCTCGGTCTTCCCGACCTATCCTCTGATTTTGCGTATGTCAATGGCTTTAAACCCCCCCCTTCTTCGACTTACCACTGTTCTGCAGCAATTCGCACTAACATATCTCCACTACCGTAGCCTTCAAGCTCACCGACCAGGAAGTGACGGATTTCTATGCGCGCCAAAAGGCAGTTTCCATCCCTGGCGTTCCCGCCTTGGACCACCGCCACGGTGTCGATGGCCAGCGCAAGCTCACAATCCTGAAGCCACTCCCGCCCACGAGTGTGGGCCGGACATTCGAGCTGCGCAACAAGGTCATCGGCGTCTACGACAAGGGCAAGCCTGGGACTGTCATTGAGACGGAGCAATCAATCGTGGACAAACAGTCCGGCGAGGTGTACTCCAAGACTGTGTCGAGTGGGTTCCTAGTTGGACAGGGTAACTGGGGTGGGCCCAAGGGTAAGCCCGTTTTTACAATTAAAATTTCCGGTCATCTGGAATGCTGCTAACTTTTCTGCATAGGCCCGAGCACGGTCAACTACGCTCCGCCGCAAGGAAAGAGCCCGGATGCTATCCATGTTGTCCAGACTAACATGGAAACGGCCCATTTGTACCGGTGAGTACTCTCCATACCCAAAATTATTCAGTTACAAGATTTGTAACGCTGAACTTGGATATTAACTCTGTTTACTAGTCTCAACGGGGACTACAACCCCCTCCACGCCACACCAGAGCCCGGCCAAAAGATGGGCTTTGGGGGAATTATCATCCATGGCTTGTTCAGCTGGAACTCCGCAGCCCACGGCATCTTGCGGGAACTGGGGGGCAGTGACCCCGCCAATCTCAAGGAGTTCCAGGCGCGCTTTGCCTCGCCCGTTCGGCCGGGTGACAAGCTGACCACGGAAATCTGGAGGATGGGCAATGTGGAGGATGGCTATGAAGAAGTCCGCTTTGTCACCAAGAATGACCAGGGTAAGGCCGTGCTGAGCAATGGTCGGTGTCTGTTGAAGGTGACCGGGGCCAAGAGCAAGCTGTGATTTCGCCGTTAGTAACCTAGTTTTGTGTTTATATGCATATTTCTCTTTGGTCTAGAATCGAAGTCGTACTGCGAGCACAGGGACTTTCGAGATGAAGGGAGCCTCGAGTCTATACTAAATTTATTTGATGATTTTCTATGGAAAAAAAAAGTAATAATTTTACCCCTTGCTTAACATAAGGGCTTATGATGATTTCTTTTTATCTACATGTGTTGGGCGAAAAGAGTGTTACCCCCAACAATGACTAGCAAGGGTAAAGGCAGGTAAAAGGTAATGGAAAAATGTGTATGTTTTTCTCTTATCTCCAAAGATATAGACGATCAACATTAAATACGTGTTCTTCTCAAGATATCGTTGAATAGTTCCGTTGATGGTATCTAGATGTGACCACGTGATTTCAATGCCGAGGCCGAGGATCCGGGGATAAAAGTGTCAAACGTCGACTTGCTTCACTCCCAGCTTTTCTTGCCTCGGACGGTGCCAATTGACTATACGCAAAATGAATGCGTATCGTCTGAAATTTCCCAGGGGAGCTGGGCCCTGGAGCCCTGTCCGGTATGGTGTTCAATAGCTCCGTTTCCTCGTCATCGGGCTTCGGAGGCTTATGTACTCAACCAGACCCTTGAGCACAAGATCCTATCATCTTGGAAGTCATAGCTTGGTATGTACACTTTTTTTAAAAAAAAATGCCATACTTTAGTTGTGACTCAACATAACTGACCGGTCTCCCTGGCTTGGCTGCTAGTCCCAGACAATTAGCCCTCGACATGCGCTTTCTGGGAGTGCAGCTAGGGACTTGCCATCTCTTGCTGGCCGACGGCGGATGTCGAGCACTCAGTGTTTGATGGATTCAGAGCTCCCTGGTCCTAGAAGATGGACCAAGGAAGAAACCATAGCTGAACATGTGATGGTTCAACCAGAAAATCACCGTCCTTTGCTGTTGTGAGTTAGCTCCCTGTCCAGAATAACAGGAAGAACAAAATTGAAAAGTTTACTGACTCTGGCTGTGCAGTGGTCGATTCTGGCTTAGGTGAGTAACCAGGACATGGTCGGTAGTGTGAACTCGAGATGACGAGCCTGCTTTTTGATATCCAGGGAAAACTGCCAGTGCTCGACATGCGTTAATCCTGACACAAAACAGAGGATGGGTGACACATTTTTGGTATGAGCCCTGCCAACCATCCTAGATCGGCTTCCTCAGTATTGATATCTTTCTCCCCCCTAGATTGACAAGGACGTCACCGAAACCGAAGTTGTCCACAATGACAAGGGCGTCGAAATCGAGTGTAAGTATTTCATGAACATGTTTCGCCTCTATCACTAAGTCTTCCATAGGGTCGGATGGTCATCAAAGTGTCTATTCATGGGACTGGCTCCTCCCGCATGAGAACCGGTTCCAGCGTACGGTGAACCTCCAACGTTTCATGGAACGAGCGCAGCGCGCTAGGTATTGTCTCCTTCTGAACTTTCCATGATGTTTTGTACACTTCTGATGATGTTATTTTAGGAAATTCCGGGTGGTCGATCCTATCATGGACCCAAGCCCTACAGTCTCCTATGATCAGGTCATGTCAGAGAATGCTTCTTTGCTAGATTGGCTGGATAAGATTGTAAGCCATCTTGCCACCTTATGCTTATCCATCTTCTATAAAGTATTCTGACTGCTAACATTTGGAAAGCACACTTTTGGGTTCTGCTTTGTGGAAGGTGTTCCTGTCACACCAGAGGCAACCAAGACTCTCATTGAACGGATCGCGTTTATTCGACACACCCACTATGGTAGATTTTCATTTTTCAACCCAGCATTCATCTTGTTGCTAACGGAAACTTTTAGGGGGTTTTTGGGACTTCACTGCCGACCTCACATACAAGGACACAGCATATACCAATGAGTTTTTGGGCCCTCACACTGACAACACCTATTTCACCGACCCCGCCAGGCTCCAGCTTTTCCACCTCCTCTCCCACACAGATGGAGAAGGTGGTGAAAACTTGCTTGTCGACGGATTTGCCGCAGCCGATGTGCTGCTAAATGAGAATCCCAAGCACCACGCCGCCTTGATGGCCCACAAGCACCCGTGGCATGCAAGCGGGAACGAAGACGTCTGCATCCAGCCGGTCCTGCAAGCCCCGGTGATCCAGAGCCATCCCACCTACCGACGAGTCTATCAAATCCGCTGGAACAACTACGATCGCGCACCCAAGATAGACTGGCATATCGCGGAGCAGAAACTCTGGTACGCGGCGGCCTCTCAATTCAATAAGATCATCAACCAGCCACTCATGCAAATTTGGACGCCGCTTAAACCGGGCACTGCTCTAAGTGAGTGATCTCGCTTCCGAGTCGGTGTATGTTCGCTGATTTACTGATTTTTTTTTCCTCTCTCGCAGTCTTTGATAACTGGAGGATGCTGCATGGGCGTTCCGAATTCACTGGCAAGAGAAGAATGTGTGGTGGTTACAGTAAGTTTCAAAAGAGAAAAAGAAAGACTTATCTCTCCAGATTCCTGCCGTTTTCTGCTGTCCGTAGTACTGATGATTGTGACCAGTCAACAACGACGACTACCTTTCACGACACCGCCTCCTCAAGTTTGGCCGAGAGAAGGTATTGAACAACCTTGGGAACTTCTGGATCAAGAAGGACAATCCGAATTCCATCTACTAAACAGGACCTTGCGCCGTGGCAAGCGTGGGGAGGAAAAACAATATATGGTTTGTGGTGTATAGCACAGAGATACAGTATAGGGCGCCCTGATAGATTGAGTACATAGTACATACGCGGTGTTTCCTTGACTCTCACAAATCCCCACCCCGATTACTCAATAGTGAAGTGTAGAGTAGGAGTTACAAGGGTCTTGGCCGGGGAAGGGTTGATTTGTGATACTATCACGTGATCTAGCTGACGTTGATGGGAGCTCGGCCACCGACAGCTCGGCTGATCTTCCTCCCATCACCTCCCACCTACAATCCTCTTACATTCTCATCTTAGCATTCCTCTTTTCTTTAATTCCCCTCCCTGATTCCCTAATCTCTCTTCCATCCACACGCCCATCATGTCGACCCTTGAGGACCTCGACGACCTGGAGCGCGAGCAGAAAGACAAGAGACAAGATCAAGGAGATGGCGATGGCAAGAAGCCCGAGGGGGACAGTGATGCCGAAATGAAGGACGCGGACAAAAACAACGAAGAGGAGGAGCTGCTAGACGACGAGATTCTCCACTCAAGCACGGCAGACATCGTCAAGCGACGACGGATGCTGGAGAACGAGATGCGGATCATGAAAAGCGAATTCCAGCGGTTGACACACGAGCAGAGTACAATGCGGGAAAAGGTCAAGGATAATCAAGAGAAGATTGAGAACAACAGGTACGATCAAAGCCGTCTTCCATGGCTCCCTCAAGGCCCGCGAAGCTCGCGAATCCGAGTCCTCGATTACTGATAGTGATGTGCTTTTTCCCCCTACAGACAACTACCATACCTCGTTGGAAACGTTGTTGAGCTATTGGATCTCGATGTGGAAGAGGAGGCCGCAGAGGAAGGCGCCAACATCGACCTGGACGCTACTCGCGTGGGCAAATCTGCGGTCATCAAGACATCGACCCGCCAGACTATTTTCCTTCCGCTTATCGGCCTCGTCGATCACGAGAAGCTCAAGCCCGGGGATCTAATCGGTGTCAACAAGGACTCATATCTCATCCTGGACACACTACCCGCCGAGTATGACAACCGGGTGAAGGCGATGGAGGTTGATGAGAAGCCCACGGAAAAGTACACAGATATCGGAGGCCTGGACAAGCAGATTGAGGAGATCGTCGAAGCCATCGTATGGCCGATGAAGGAGGCGGAGCGGTTCAAGAAGATTGGCATCAAGGCGCCCAAGGGTGTGTTTTCCCCTTCGGACCATATCAATCTTACACCGACTAACTCAAACCTCTTTTTCAAAATTTAGGTGCTCTGATGTACGGACCTCCCGGAACGGGTAAAACGCTACTGGCACGAGCCTGTGCGGCCGAGACGAACGCGACATTCCTCAAGCTGGCCGGCCCGCAACTGGTGCAGATGTTCATTGGTGACGGTGCCAAGCTGGTGCGCGACTGCTTTGCGCTGGCCAAGGAGAAGGCGCCGTCGATCATCTTCATTGACGAGCTGGACGCGGTGGGCACCAAGCGATTCGACTCGGAGAAATCTGGTGATCGTGAAGTGCAGCGGACTATGCTGGAGCTTCTGAACCAGCTGGACGGTTTCGCCTCGGACGACCGAATCAAGGTCCTGGCCGCCACCAACCGTGTGGATGTTCTCGACCCGGCACTGCTGCGTTCCGGCCGTCTGGACCGCAAGATCGAGTTCCCCTTGCCCAACGAAGAGGCCCGTGCCAACATCCTGCAGATCCACTCGCGCAAGATGTCCGTGGAAGACAGCGTCAACTGGGCCGAGCTTGCCCGCAGTACCGACGAGTTCGGAGGTGCCCAGCTCAAGGCTGTTTGTGTCGAGGCTGGTATGATCGCCCTGCGGAAGGGCTCAAGCAAAATTGGCCACGAGAACTACGTCGATGCCATCGCCGAGGTCCAGGCCAAGAAGAAGGATACCAACATGGGCATCTATGTCTAAGAACCATGTTTTGATCCTTTGTCTCTGCCGCCTTTTGTATCTCTTTTTCTTTTGTCTTTTTCTACACTTTGTGTCTGTCATGCCATGTACGTACCATCCTCGGCTTCAACTGGGCCGGTAATTCGCTATGCATGCGGGCGTTTGCCTCGAGTTCTTTGCCACGAGGTCCATCTCTATCTACGTAGCAAGTACCTCGATAGGCACTAGCCATGTCCTGTAGACGCCTCATCGTGGTGGTGGCAAGCATTCGTTGTAACTCTTTGTGTCAGGCTGAAGCTCCGTTCATATCGCTTTGCCGTCAACCCGACTGCTGATATTCTGATGCAGCCAGCCTCTCCACTCCTGGTCGCCGATGATTGATCTTACACGGGCCTCAAGCCACTCGGTATTTCCCCAGAAGCCCCAGGAAGCCTGGAATCTACACCAGTCGACCAGGGCAGTTTCCCAGTGGCGTTTAAATGTATCCCAGGGGTACAAGTCCGGGTCATTATTCTGAAGAAGACACGCGTGGTACCGCTTCAGCAATCGGCTCTCACCATCACACATCGTCAGCTGCTCGGGCAGAGGCTCATCGACATCAACAAGCAGACGCAGCGGCACCGAGCACGTAAACAATTTGGCGAGGTCACAAACCCCCAAGCCCAGCCCGACGTACTGGAAATCGAAGAACGCCACCGCGTCTCCATCGGCCGTCGTGAAGAGATTCTCCGACTTGACATCGCCGTGGATATACGACTCTATTGGCCGTCCACAGGGGGTTAAGAACAATGCGGCCATTTCGGCAACGGATAGTGCGGATCCTTCTGGGGGGATGCACATGGCCCCTGACCACTCCAAGTCAAGGTCTCGCGCTAGCGAAGCGTATTCCTTCTGTCGAGTCGCCAGGTACGTGTACCCCCCGTTGAGCCACAGCCCGCGCCCGGACTCTTTATCTGCGTTCTGTCTTCGTCTACGGGATTCTTCAAGCGGCGGCAGGACATATTCGTCCCGAGTCGCGGGCAGCAGCAGCCCCCACGAACGGGCGTGGAAGCCGGCCAGCCAGCCCAGTGCGGCATGGACCTGGGTGGGACTCAGCACGCTCCTTTTTTCGCCTGCGACGGGGAATCTCGGCCGCAGGTCGACCATGACGGTGGCCATCAAGCCCTGGAGATCCCGCGCGCCTTCCTGGCCATGATCCATTCCGCGCGTCGAGGCCAGACACTTGGCCACGGCGATATCATCTCCCAGCAGTGGGACGACCGCGCTATAAAAGTACTGCTCTACCTCGTAGCTCAGCATCTTGCGCAGATGGCCCTCATCTTCATCATGGCCAGTGCTTTCCCTCGGCGGGGAGATGAGTTTCAGGATGAGAGGGTACGTGGACCCGACGGAGCTTGATTCCACACCGCACAGCTGGTTGAGATGTGCTGCTGCTTCGGCGGTGGTGGCTCGCGCCGTGAGCGCGCATATGTGCCCGTACCCTGCCCACAGGGTCTGTAATGTGGTGCACGCGACCAGGTCGAGCGAGTGCCATGATAGCATGATGCTGGCAACGCGGTCGGGACCATTGGCCGGGTGAGGGGCCATGCCGAATGACTCGGGCCGAGGGGAAGTAAGTGGGTTGTCAAACAAATTACCACACCGCAGGCCACGACCAGGATTATGTCCTTTGGTGGATGTTATTCCACTGTTAGGTTGGGATGTACAGTAAGATATGGCTCGATGGAATCCATAGTGGATCTGGAAATGCCGCTTCTGAACTACATTAAAATGCTCATGTCTCACGTGATATCGGACAGTAAATAAAGGGTGTGAGGTGGCTATTTCTGGTCTGTAATTCAGCGTCTCATTTATAGACAGCAATCAAAACTCTAATCAGGTTACTCGTAGAGTGAATCAATTCGATGACGTTGGTGTTTTGAGATTGAGTAGGACTATTCATCGGGTATTTCGGGCCTGACTCGGTTTGAAGTGTGTCTCCCTGGGGTCAGAGAATTTCAGGCCACGATCTGCAATCGTCTGGCCACACACAGCCCCAAAACTTGAAACTTGGAGAAGACTACATAACGAGTATCATTGCTCTAGCTAGATACGGAAGTAAAGGCAAATATTTATTATAGGCGAAGGAATGAGACATAGATGTTGGAGAATATACAAATGTAAATATGCATAATGCAAGAAAAGAAAAAAAAAAAAAAAAGAAAAAAGAAAAAAGATAAAAAGAAAAAAGAAAAAAAAAAAAAAAAAAAAAAAAAAAAAAAAAAAAAAAAAAAACCACGCGGTGTATCAGATGGAAAATTCTTCACTCTTAATTTTTTTTTTAAATTAGAAACAATGACATCGTATACAAGATTGGGGTCCGTAATTAGGCCAGGGACACTGCCAAGGTCCCCCCTGCTTAGACCTCAGTACCTCAGTATACCTGCCAATGCGAACACAATCTTCTATGGGTAGAGCAAATTTTGACTAGCGCTCCTTCATAACATCTGTCTTGGCTACAATCCTATTGATAATAGATAGCCCAATGGTCAATAACAGACGTTCTTTGCACTGTTGGCTTGGTCATCTCATCATCCGCACGAATCTTCCTAAGCGTAATTCCCCTGATGCATTCCTGTGAGAAAGAGTGGCTATCACTTTTGGCAGAACCGCTTTTATACTCCACACCCGTGCTTACTCCTTGGCGGTGGATGTCAAGCCTAGACTCAGTGGCTACGACGCACACTATATAGTCCAAGGTATGAATAGACGTATAGACTTGGACATGCCTCTTGTTCATAGTAAGAGTAAACCGCAGTCTCTCTACCTTCCATTGCTGGGACACGCGAATAGATACCCAATATGGAAGGACAAGGCATATGTAGCCTCGTGCTCCACTTTCCGATCCCTCGAATCCTGGGGCTAGGCGTATACTTCAAATCATTGCCTAAACGGAGAATTTGCCGGGGGGCCATTTCCACACAGTAAGATCACCTTGGGGGAAACAAGTTCATCTTGTCCCGGGGATCTGAGAGAATCAGCGGGTAGGGGCACAAAAAAATAGAAAATAAAAATAAAAATAAAACTTACAGCCATATTATACTTTGCCAAAATCTCTTTATTCTTCTTTTCCTTTTCCAGGACTGCCTGGGGAGAGGTATCTAGCTCGCCACGATGCTACACCACCTGGTCCTCTCAGTCCTACTCCTACTATTATGCTGTCACTCTTCTCCGTTACCCTCAGCAGAACAAGGGTCCTCCCTAAAACCGCGAGCAGGCGTTCTCCGATCCAGCGTCACCAGCCCTTGGCCGGCAATAGAAAACACCGAAGAAGACTACCGGATCCAATATTGTTTCCACACGACGGGAGACAAAGACATCGACGGCAAAGTGGCGGGCTGGTTTGCCCTGGCGATTGATCTATGGAAATCGCCCCCGGTCGTCGTCAATGCAGGACGCATCTTCAAGTTCCCAATCGAGTACAAGAAACTCTCGTCATGTCCATCCGTATCCAAAACCAACCCGTTCCTGGCCGTCTATGTCACCGACGGAGACCAGGTCTTTACCACGCTGGACTACCACGATGACAAGGAACACAAGATGGAGATCGGTCGCGAGTTTCTGGACATCGATACCTCCGATTCGAAGAAGCTGCATAAACGCGTTGGTCGCATTGCGCACGAACTGGGGCGGAATATGGGCCTCCCCAATGATAACCAGGTCAGCTCCAAAGAGTATGAGATCGATTGCCGAAATGTGTATGTTGACGCCCCCACACCCTTTCCCTTCTTTTTCTAGTCCCCTCTTGGCTAATCCGATTCTATAAATCAATAGAAACGGCTACGCAGAAATGGAAGCCCGCGACAAAGACAAGGCAGACAGAGCATGCTCGGATCTCAGTGTCGCCGAGGAGCTCGGGTGGAAAGAGGCGATCCAGCTGGCGCCATTCACGAAAAGGCAGATCGTGTCTTCCCCTACCGGTCCTTGGTATTGGGATTACTCTAAAAGGAAATGGAACAGGCGATGGGATTCCAGGTCCATCATGGTGTTGTCTGCGACATCCTACGGACGAAAAAGTCGGTTGACCAAGACGCGCAAGAATGTCATGCGCATGAAAATCAACCATGACCCTCCTCCAGTCAACTGGTATAACGGCCCGTCTCTGTATGATCTGGAGGCCCTGCTGAAGTTCTACCACGCCGGAAACGCCTTGAATAATTTGAACGGACTGGTTCACCAGGCTGGCTTCAAAGACTTCTGGTCTATGGAAGAATGTGGGGAGGATCCGCCGAAATATGCGGGAAATCGGGGAATAGGCTTTTAAATGTATATATAGATATATATGAATATAAAACGAATGATCATGTTACTTTTGCTGCGTATTCTTGTGTCACTTGGGTTTCTTTTGAAGCTGGGTTGAACTCTGTTGGGGTTAAGCTTAAAAAGGCAATCAACAACTAACTACCTGGTCTTTGCCTAAAGGTAATAATATGCCTTACATAGAAAGAAACTCGGTCCTAACCATTGGGCCTACCTACATACCGAGATAACATGGCCACAGGCAAGTATTGAACAATTGAAACCCATCGCTGGTCTCACCAGTCGTAGACTGGGCCCACCAACACGACGTGGACTGACTACAAAACACATTCCATGGAAGGGTTAGGGTTAGAAAGCCATTCATGTAAAGAGGCACCAGGCAACACTCAAATGCAAATCTCATTTTCGTAGCACCATGTAACAAATCAACGCAAACACATGCAAAGGTCATGATCCATGTAAATACCCCCTCTCAACCCCAATTCATGTCCTCATGTTTTCCAAAAAGAAAGGATCAAGATAAGTTCAGTTCTTACCCTGGGTATCCTTCAGAGTAACTATCTGGTTCAGCACAACGTGGTCCGTGGTAGACTCGCGATCGATAGCAAAGTAGCCCACACGCATGCCCTGGAAGCGAATGGAGTGGGGGTTCTTCGACGAATCAGCGGCCTCGGCGCCACCCTCCTTAGGCCAGGGTCCGGAGCGGCTGATGTCGAGGAAGCCGGACTCGAGGAAGGCATTCGGGTAGATGCGCTCGGAGTCTGGGTTGATGTCGGCGAGGAAGCCGGCCGGGTGGGCGGAGGGGTCCTGGGATTTGAAGAGCGGGTTGAAGGCGCGGATCTCGGCGCGGATGGGGCTGTTCTGCGCGGAGGATTCGCCGACCCAGTGGATGAAAGTCTTGGGTTTCTTGGGGGCGGCGCTGTCGGCGGGTTTCTCGTATTTGGCGTGCACGCACGTCACGGCGCCCGACGCCGGGTCTTTCTCGAACGAGGTCGCCGTGATGGGGAACGGCACCTTGAGCAGGCCCACAGTCTTGCCCGGGGCCAGGCGGAAGTAGTCGGGCGAGTCGACCTCGCGGAAGTCGGAGCGCTCAATGTACACGGTCTTGGTGAAAGGGAGTTGGTGCGACCCAAAGGCCGGGTCCTTGGAGAAGGGGACTTCGAGCAGTTCTTCGTGGCCATCCGGCAGGTCGTCGATCACCACCTTGAGCGGCTCCAGCACCACCATCAGCCGCGGTACGGTATTCTCCAAGTATTGGCGGACGATCTGCTCAAATTTAGACACCTGGACGTTGGTGACGGCTTTGGTGACGCCAACATCGTTGACGAAGGCCAGAATGGCACCTGGGGGCACACCGCGGCGGCGCAGGGCAATCAGCGTATAGAGGCGCGGGTCGTCCCAATCCCGCACGTGGCCCTCCTTGACCAGCTGGATGATCTTGCGCTTGGAGAGCACGGTACCAGTGATGTTGAGACGGCCATACTCGCGCTGCATGGGGCGGTAGACCTCAAGCTTATCGCAGAGCCACTCATACGAAACACGCGAGAGCTCGAACTCAGTCGTGCACAGCGAGTGCGAGATGCCCTCGATGCTATCGCACAGACAGTGCGCAAAGTCATAGGTCGGGTAGATCTTCCACTCGCCACCCGTGCGGTGGTGCTGCTTGTCGCCATCCATGATGCGCCACGCGAACAAATCCCACATCTGCGGGTTGGGGTCCTCGATATTCTGCTTCATGCGCAGGGCCGCCTCACCCGCCTTGTACTTGCCGTCACGCATCGCCCGGAACTCTGCCAGCGACGCCTCGACCGGCCGCGAGCGGTGGCTACAGGCAAAGCGCTCCTTACCACGCTCACCGTCGGCGCCCTCACCGCGCTGCGCCTTGATCTCGGCCTTGGTGCAGTGGCACACGTAGGCACCATCACGCCGGATCAGATCCTCTCCAAGCTCGTACAGCTGCGCGAAGTTGTCACTGGCGCACGTCTCTCGCACGGGAGTGAAGCCCAACCAGCTCACGATATCGCGGATGGCCTCGTAGTACCGCTCCTCCTCGCCTTCCGGGTTTGTGTCATCAAAGCGCAGAATGCACTCGCCACCGTGGTGTCTCGCAAAACCAAAGTTGACTGCAATCGCCTTGCTGTGACCGATGTGAAGGAACCCGTTGGGTTCGGGCGGGAACCGCGTGCGGATCTTGGGGATTTTCTCTGACAGGGGCCTCTCCTGGTACACGTCCGACAAGAACCCGACCTTGAATATGGCATCCGGGTCTCGCGGTGCGGCGGGCTCCTTGGCGGGCTTGGGCTCCTTGGGTTTGGAGTCGGTCTTGGGTGGCTTGGGCGCGTTTTCTTTCTTCTGCTTCTTCTCCAGCTTCTTCAGTTCTCTCTTGGAGGGTCCCTTGGGCTCCTTGGGCTCCTCGACCTCCTTGGGCCGTTCGGGCAACTCGGTTGGCTTGGCCGGATCCATTGCGATTCTGCTGGAGGCAAACACAAAGGGAATGTATTTTTTTTTATCAAAGGAGGGGAGATGCTTATCAGTCCCCATTCGCTTATCGGTCCGATGAACCCCCGGATGAGTCATCACAGTCCTCGGTGGCCTCGTAATTCGGGTATCAATCTCTACCTAATTAGGGGCTATCGTGTATACCTCGAGAGCTAAGTCCATGGACAGTATCTCTGGACTATGCAATCTCAACATAAACACTTCATTACCACCAGTAGCAATGTACAATATGGTACAGAATATACAGACACCTCAGTGAGTAAAAACACACAGCTCGCCATCTCGCGCCAGACAAGACCACCCAGAGTGATACCAAACCCAAAAAAACACCTCAGCGTCCTCAAACACGGGCACATTATGGACAAGAGGAATAGAACCAATGAAAATAACAGGTATCATGCAACATGTACACGGCACAAACAAGTACCCACGCCAGAAGGGGAAATAGAAAGACAACAAAGAAAACAGTAAAAAGACATTGAAGACAGAATCAAAATTCGACCAGATGCGGGGTATATGGCGTATTATCGATACAAGAGAGTAAACAAAAAAGGAGATCGGAGGGAGTGACTTTTGGCTTTAAAAAAGCTGTTTCACGTCGATCAGGTCCGAGTTGCCTGGACGATCGCGCTCCATGTGAAACCACCAGTCCCGGCCCATCTTGTGGTTCCAGGAGCCAGTGCACGTATCCTTCTCCCACGGCAGGGCCGGAGACGACGTGGAGCTCATGGGAGTGATGGGGGTGGTGGGTGTTGCCGGGGCCGTACTCGTCGTAGACCGACTTCCAAGACTGCCCCAACCGAAACGCGGTGTACTGGTGGCCGGTGACGGCGGGTCCTCGGGCGGCGGTTTGGGGGTGGTTTTGTCGCCGAAGCAATTCACGCCGACTCCTGCGGCGTAGGAAAGAGACTGGTTGGAAGCAAGCAATTGCTTCCACCCAATCAAGCCACCCTCAGATTCTTGTCCGGAGATATCAGGGCGCAGCAGGAATCGGGGGATGGACGCCCCTGTCACAGGATCCTTGAGTCCCGCACGACCCATGAAGGTTGGCATACGGAACTCATAGATTGTCTTGGGTCCGTCGTGATTCTCGTCTGGGATTTCATTCTTGTACCGCTCGTAGGCAGCCCAGATTCCATAGTCGTCTATCTCTTGCTCGGGTTCCTCGTCCAAGGAACCCAACGCCGCGTTATCGGGCACAAATCCGTCGGAGTAATCCTGAATTACGACTGGCATACCCTCCTCTGTGTCTTTGGCGGCCATGTCGATGAAGGTCTGTGCGCGAATCCGGGAAGAGGTCAGGTTGTTCCCGGCTGGCAGGGCGAGTGGTCGAGTGTTGACCGAGCCGTGGGAGCTGCGAGGCAGACTATATCGATCGGGTCGGAGAAGCGCCTGGCCTTTGGTGATCGGCCGGCAAACAGCCTGGAGCGCGCCGGGGGGCTCCACGTCGGAGGGGGCGCGGAGAGTCCCAAGACGAGGGAATCCAGCAGAGAGAATGCTTTGGGCAAGGTGGTAATTAGGGGCGTCCGAAGGTTTGGAGGATTTCTGGAATGGGAGAGAGTCGAGCTGGGTGAGCGCGGTGCCGGAGTCTGGACATGCGACATCCCAGTGGAGGTATTTGAGACTGGATGATGCCAAGATGGGCTGGAAGATCATGCCTTCGTTGGGCAATGTCGGGCATTTTTCTGGCTGGACAATCTTGAATCGTTCCAACTGGGTCAAGGACGCTAGAATCTTGGAAATCGCAAGCAGCGACTCCACATTCTGTTCCACCAAGACCAGCGACTTGAGCGACCGCGATTCGGGCCGTGAGGTATACTGTGTAAGACCGGTATCGGTGACACCGGGCAGGTTCTCCAGGCGCAATGATTCGAGGGATGGCAGACATAACAAGGTGTTGTCTGCAACCGCGTCTTCTTTGAACGAAGAAATACAGAGATTCCGCAAGGAGGGCAGAAGGTCAAGCATGCGCAAAAAGATGCTGGGCTCCAGCGCGCCCTGATCGTTCAGGTCGTAGAGCATCAAAGTCTCGAGGTTCGACCAGGAGGCATGGTAGTTAAGGAATTCGAACATCTGCGAAGGACCCAAGCTGCCCGGGCAAGAAGTGCTGCGGGGAGAGACTTCAGCTACTTCGGCCGCCTCGCCCAGAATCCACGTATGTTCCTTCAGTCTTTTTCGCGTCGACAGAGCATGGGTCAAGCGATCGAATTCGTGGTGGTAGGGGATGGACAGGCCCAGCAAGCGTTCCAAGTTCGGACAGACCATGACCACGGATGCCACCATATCCCGATAGTCCTGCCATTGCGCACTTTGTTTGGTACTCGTGAAGAGCAGATCCAGCTGAGGAACCCGGAGTTCGCGAACCAGATTGGCCAGCAACTTGCGCTCGCGCAGCGTCCGTCTCAGCAGCTTCAAGCGACTCCCTCTCTTCATACGATATTTCTTCAATTGGGCGGGGGAGTCATTTCCGACAATGTGAATACGGTTATACCTGAAAATCCATTAGTATTCCGAGGCAGAGGAGAGGGAGAAAGAAGAGAAGAGTAAGAGATATCAGGAATACTCACAGTCGACCCCGAACCGCCTTCTCCCACGACCGACAAGTCAGGGACAAGGCATGGAGATCGCGCTGGAAGCAGGTGGTACAACCCGCCTGATGCGGATCTTTGTGCAAATGTTCGAGATGGTTGAGAATCACATCGTAGACCTCCTGAGGAACTCGACGCTGGACGGGCTCTGCGAATTTGGGAAGAGAGCCGACTGAGTCAAACTGGCGATAGGAAGAGGCGGGAGAGGAAGGCGAATATGTCGTCGGGGTTGTCGAGGTGCTGTAGTTGGTTCGGTAGGAGGAAACAGAGGAAGTTCGAGATGCCACGGGCTGGATGGTTACGGGGAAATCGTTGCAATTCGGGGGGACGGTGTCTGGCACAGCAGGAGTCTCGGGTCTACTGGCAACAACACTCATGGTGACGGTACCCGCCTGGCATCGGAGGCGTCGAGATAGTCACAGAAAGAAACAAGAAATTCTTTTTAAAAAAAAAAGTCAATTCGAATGGTGTGGTGGGGGGGGGGGTTCAAGAATGTAAGGGTTCGACGTCGGGTGAATGCTGTGATGCAATGCAAGTCGGAGGATTCCAGCGAAGGTCACACTGGGGAGTCTGAGGAAAGGGATTGAGAGGGAAGAGAAGAGGTGTGATGAGAGAGAGAGTCACAAATTTGGGGATATAATTAGATGAAGGAAACAGTCAAGGTCTCTTGGCGCCAAACACGCCACTCTCGCACCCTTCGCACTCTGCCGCGATCACCCAAAGCAGACAGCGAGAGAGTTAGGGGAAGATGATCTGTCTCCACAGGAGGAATGGGAGCCGTGCAGCAGCTCGTGCTGGAAAGCGGAGAACCAGCCATGACAGGGGCTGGTTCAGGGGGTGAACTGGAGGATGGGATATACTTGAATACTCAGCCCTATACCTGCCTAGGTTGTTGTATATATGTAATTTTTGCGTGACCAGTCCCTCTCCAACCTTCGACTCTCGAGTCTCGAATCTCAAACTTCAAAAAGACTTCTATGACATGCAATTATCTGTGAGTTTACGTGCGTGAGGTCCGAGTTACTCGACGGTTCATGAGCAACATGGCTATGCCTGGCATGGTATAGTAAAGTGGGCCAAGCGGGTCTGCTCCCCCCTTTTTTTTATTTTTATTTTTTTGTCTTTTTCTTTTCTTTTTTTGCTTTGGGGTTCCCCCTTCTTTTTGGCTGTGAGATGTACAGATATAATCATCCAAATTAGCGCTGTTCTCCCAAGGTTGTGAGGTCTCGGATGAGCCATTATATTACCCGATATCTGGCTATAATAACAACCACGCTAACACTACGGAGGACTAATACTAATATTAATCACTAAAATAGACCTTCCCTAACCAAGATAATATAACATAATAAGCTGACGTCGACCATCCTGCCCCCCATTCGAAACGGCAGTAACATGGGGTCCGAGAGAACCCTGACAAGGCTGATAAGCTGCAAGGGTCGAAGTGCATCTGTTGATCGACAGTCTTGTGCATATAGATAATCCCACAGTAACAGATTCATAAGGACAGGACCCTCTCGCATGGACCTGATGGGGGAGTAAAAAGACCCTGCCACCCAAAATCATGACTGCGATCAATTGGCAACCCCCGAGATCGCGCATCTGCGTTTATGGGTTGTTATTGGCGCATGGACACCGCAGTGGCCAAGGGTTCCATTCCTCCGGGCAACCGGGGAGGACGGGCACTGTGTTGCACATCAGATAAACAAGTATGTCCAGGGGTATGCACTATGTATATAGTAAAGAAATAGACCTTCGTTCTTATAACTGCACTGTTATATATACGCCATCTATGTGCCTGAAGGTTCAGAAGATATGAATAGGTTTATTTACAGTGTCCATAATGTCAATTATGCCGGCTGACTTGCGTAACCAGCTAAAGCGAGTGGAGCCTGGACAGTCTCCATCGCGAGAACAAAAAGGGGCCAATAAACACCCTCCGATCTCGCACCCGTGGCTCTCCTTGAGATTACGATGAACAAGTTTAGGATGATTCCCTTGATGGTTCTGAATGGTACAAATCATTATTCAAAAAGGCTTTTCATTATATCATCCACGGACTGTTTGATGGCTGAAATTTGGAACTGGGGCCCACTCCATGCGAGAATTGATTCCGTGCAGCCGTTGGCTTTATGTCTTGTTTCAGCTATCGCTCCTGCGGCAATGATCTTTTACTATTTCCAGCTAGCCTGGTGAGCAGGGGGAACAATTGATGCCATCGCGTCTTGTAGTTCCCGGATTGACTTTCAATATAGCTGAACTATTCATGCCACTATTCCGTACATACTACTACTATAAACTATCTATCTACCACTTTATGTCTATACTTGAATTTGGGAAAAGAAAACAAAGGTAGATAGACAAGACAGATTTATATTCAACTAGAAAAGAAAAACTATTGTCTAGACCCACCAATTCACAACTTGGCCTTCTCATCCTTCGAGAAGCGATACACCACATCCCCAAACGAACTAGTCGGAAACACATAAAACCAGCGCAAGTCCGCCGTCCCCGTGTTGGCAATCTCGTGCTCGGAATTCGGGGGAATATACACCGTGCTCCCGGCCGTGACGGTCCATCGCCGCCCGTCAATCGTCACCTCGCCGTCGCCCTGCACGATATAATATATCTCGGCCTGTGCGTGGCGATGCGCACATAGATGGCCCGTGTTTGGCGGGCATACAGCGAGGCCGGCGATGAGGTCCCTGGTTGGGGTGTGGGGGTGCGAGAAGAGCGTGTGCCAGGCGAGAGTGCCATACGAGGAATCGGGGAAGGATTCGGGGGCGGTGGTGGTTGTGTAGGTAGGAGGGAGTACCACGGGTTGTAGAGTGGAGATGCTGGGTGTTTTCATGGTGTTGAATTCGTTCGATGCTTTCGTGTCGGGTTGACGGTTGTTGTATACTTCTTTTATACTGCGTGGGGCTGGGAAATGCCTTCTTAAAACAGATAATAATTCCCCAGTGGAAGGAGTATATAACCACGCAAATTACTCACAATAAATCTGTAGAATTACGTGCAGAAGTAGCATAGTTGCGAAGAATATGACGTGATTCAATGTCCACGGGTACAGACTCCAAGTATAATTTACTAAATCGACCCGAAGAATGGTTAGTGCGTAAGATAGGGCTGGATCGTCCTTTGACCTTGACTTGATATCGCATTGCACGAGTATAAATGCCTAGATGCTGAGACTCGACTAATGCTATGAGTATCTGCCGTGATATAGAGACACGAGGATTCTCTCCACATGCTGTATACGCTGCGAGCATGTTGAACGACAGGCTCCAGGGGCCATTCAAAGTAAATGGCATTCATTTCTGTGAGAGCTCAACTTTGACATATCAGCGAGGGTCACTCAAACTGGAATTGGGCATAATTAAAGAATAGAAATATATCCGCAGCAGAAGAGACTTGGTCTACACAGGATAAATGCAACCCTTGAAAGATGATATTAAAGCTATGCTAGGGTATTGATGGTGCAGAAATCCACCTATAGACACGGGTATGCACATATATCTTAGAGATGACATTTACCTTGCTAATTGCATTACACACTCAATCCAAGGATGTTGTGAAGAGTTTAAGAAAAGGCAGCAACATAGAAAGTGTAATAAGCTACACTGAGGAAGACAGCTGAGACTTGGCCATATTTCTGAGGTGGCAGAGAAAGAAATTCAGTGGAAGAATTATAACATTAAAAATGAAATTATGAAATAAAAGAATCAAAAAGACAAAAAGACAAAAAGACAAAAAAGTTCACCAGAGGCTTATGAAATAGACCTTTACCAGTAGACCCGTCATTAGGGTAGGACTAATTTCGACCCAGACGGCCAGCCTATTTCGGTCACCCCAGGCACAACCTTTGGCAGGTGACCCGGGCTGACTTCTAGCTAGACTATTCGCCTGGTGTTGATGATGGTGACGCCGTTTGTCCCTCATCTGTTCACTTTGCCCCAGGATTGAAGCAAGGTTCGATTCTTGCAAGCGGCGTTTCTTTTTATTTCTTTAAATCAGAAGACTTGAGCAAACATTGCTTTACTTTATCCTTGTAGAGATGTTTTGGTTCCCAGTCCCCAAAAAAGCCCCCTGGAGGCATATGCCAAAATCGGGTAAATACAATTAGTGAAGTCGAAGGGTAGATCCATAGTTAATGTTCTGGAGACACTCCGTGAGTATAGTACCAAAAGACCACCAATCCTTGTATTAATTTATTTAAGGAGCAGGTTATGATCTATAAATGCCAACCTCCCCGGAATGACTCGAGAGTGGAGTTCAGAAAATGACCCACTCGGGTCCACTTATTAGACATTGTCCTCGAGCACCATTCACGAAATAATACAAACCAGAACTCTTCTATTTTTATTTTTATTTTGCAGATATCATCCGGCCTATATCTTAACATCCTTGAACGCAAGAAAAAGACCAATAAGTGCTGTCAGAGATGGTCCTCGTATCATCGACAGATCATCGGGCCGAGATGAGAATATAGTTGCTCGGCCCACATCAATTTGAATGTTATCTACTTCTGACACATCAGATGCTCGCACCCAGATGCGCCAGGTGACACACCTCCATATAGATAGTCTCTCTCTCGTCTTTTCTCTTCCTCCCTTGATGCATCGATCCATCAAGTACTTTTGAAAGAATCACGGAGCATGAACACAACCCAGGAGACTCGGACTCAAACTCGGGATAGATAACCTAAGCCTTGGGCCGCTCCGGAATCTCTTGTTCTTTGTTAGCACCGGGGTAGCGAGAGCCCTTATCTTTGGGTTTCTTCTGCTTCTTCTGCACAGCCGGGGGCGGGTACGCCTTAAGGGTAATCTCCTGCCATTCCGACGAGGCCTGGTAGGCGTTGTGGATGGGTGCCATGAGACGGGTCAGAGCCTCTGCGGCTGCAGGCTTGAGGAGTTGGGGAGTTAACTGTTATCATTAGTAAGGCGTGCCAAATTCATTTCAAACGACAAGTTTTAGGAATGAACCACGTACAATGTCGTTTGTGTAGTCGTCTTTGAGTTGTTGGATGTCGGTGTAGACCAAGGGTTCGTTATCGCGGCGTTCGACGCGGAATTCCCGCTTGCCCGCAAGAGCGGCGGCGGGGAGGAGGACAAATTCCACCATGGCAATGATGCCATTGTTCTCGACGATCCGCGGGGCCGCTTCCGATTTTCGGATCTTTCTAGAGACTGCCTCGGGCGGATCAAGGAGATCGATCTTGCTATCTGTTGGGGTTTAGGAGGGTACACCTTCTTTGGGGAGATCATTTGGGGAGAGGTGGATTTCCACTGACCTTCAATACTAGAACTCATTTTGCCCCCACTCAAGCCTGCTACCATCGGCGTAATAAGATGAGCGCGCTGTAGAAGAAAACCGATTAGAATTATTCAAGTAGCTCCACGGTGATGGATAAGGTATAAAATGGTCCTACCTTTTGGTATCCGAGTTTAGGTAGCCACTCTGTTGCTGCCACGAAGAGCTTGCGCTGGTCGAGACCTATTTTCATTAGAAACCAGTGTACATATATAAAGAGGAGGTATAGGCTCAAACATACCGCCCAATTCAGCATCGACCTTGAGGTACTCCTCGTCAAGAACCTGAAGAATGGGATAGAGAAGGCCACTCATGGGCGCATTGTTAGATTGCTTCACAATCTCCGCACCGGCCTTCCTGCAATCATGCTCCGAGGTCAAAGCCGCGAGTCGGTAGACATCCATCACATAGTCGGGGTTTCGCTGGTAGGAGCTGCCGAGCACGAACTCCAGCTTCTCGGTCGACACGCCGACAGCCTCGAGGATGGCCGTGATAATCTTCTGGTAGTATTTGACGCGGTTCTCGACCAGTTCCAGTGGCGCTTTCATAGAATCCAGGAAGGCGTGCACGTCGGCCAGCAGGATGACCACCTCGCAATCTGCGGCGAGGAGCTGGGCGATTTTAAGTGCGGCGACAAAATATCCGGAGTGAGGTCGGCCAGTTGTAGCAGTACCTATTTGAAACCAAAAAAAGAACATCGTATTAATTGAGCCATTCTAGGTAATTGTCGAGTAGGTAGATAGGGCTGTGTCTTTACCCCAGTACACGCGGGGGTTGCGTCCCTCCGCGAGGACATTCTCAATCAGCTCCGGGTTGAGAATCTCGCCGAGATTTTCGCGGATGAGATCAAATCTTGATTTTGCGGACGAGGCCATCGTTAAATAGATCGAAAGATTGGCCGTTTGGCTTTGATGCAATAATGTTGAGGGGAGGAATCGGGAATCGGAAAAAAGAAAATAGAGAAAAAGTCAGGCGGGATAACCCCGCAATAAAACCAGCAGAATCGAACCGGTAGACAGGGCGGTCGGATGTAAATGAGTCATATCCACGTGACTATATGCGGTTCACGTAATCGGTAAGCCGGTCTACTGGATATCTGGGCAGGCAGTGGAATTACGGATATACAGTAGTCGTCACCTTGGATAGAATAAGTCCACCTGGGAACTAAGTACCTACCTACCCTTACTACGTGGATGGAATCATGGGCTATGCATATCATCGGCTACTACCAGAGAATTGGTTAAGTCTTCTCGGTTCTTTGCTGGGCTATGCAGGTCCTAGAATCTATGCGGTTCCCTCGCAGAGTCTCTTTAAATCAGAATTACCCCCAAACCCGGACAGCGTGTCCCGAAGAAACAAGAAACAAGAAACAAGAAACAGCAGAATTGCATCGAAAAAGTCTTAACGTCATAAGAAACAAGCAAGTACAGAAACAGGCGCTAGCATGAAACTCGGGTCTAATCGATCCCACAACATAAGAGTCAAGTCATCGAGATCCTGGGGGAAAAGACAACAAAAGTAACATCCTCGCTGCAACTCATCACCTTCCGATGTTAGAGGCCGAAAACAAAGAAACTCAGAAAAACCAGAAAGTAGAACAAATTTCTCCAAGTCGGGTCCATCGTAAAACGCAGATCTCCCTGGGGATTTCGTGACCAGGCAGATTGGGGGGTATGTGGGCAGGTCGAAGAGAACCTTGGAATGGGAAGAAACCAGTCATCAAGACTGCGCGAAATGCGCCATCCACATCCTCTGTCAGACAAGAAACAGGCGCAAGGCATAAAAAGCAGAACACCAGCTGGGAGGGACATAAGGAAACAAGTCATTAAAGCACGGCCGAACCGAAGGAAGGAAAACAGAAAACAAGAAAGTCCCATATTTGCGGGGCTGAAGGATGCATCCGAGGGCATGTACAGAACACAAGATGTATGCCAGATCAAGACTCCACGATCATGCAATAGGAGAGATGAGGAAAACGTAATCACATGTCAAAATTATCATCAACGTTGAAAATAGCGGGTTCCGTGCCGTCGTTCGTCTTCTGGACGCCGCTCATGCGCTGATCGACCGAGTTCCCTGATCGGTGGGACCGTTGCCACCCCTCGTCCTGGATGGGGTCCTCTTCCATCCGATCGCCCGGCTCGTTCTTGAGGTGGTGGTCAATAGAGCTTTCGTTAACAAAAGTGAACCCCTTGAAGTTGGCCTGCATTCCAGGGGACAGGGGCGTGGTCCCGACCGGCATTAGTCCGTTGGCCAATGCGGCCGCGCGGTCGTTGAGCGAGTTGTTGTTCTCCAGAGCGTTGGTAAACTCAGGATCAAAATTCGACGTGTCCGTGTCAGACTGCAGCTTCGGCTTAAAGGGTGGAATCACTCGCTTGCGGCCCAACGCGTCCCAGTCGATATCATGGAAAAACGGATGCGCCATGAGCTCCTTGGCATCGTCGTTGGCACCCAACCGGTGTTTGGGATTCCGGTTCAGCAGACCCTTGACAAAGTTCCGTCCCTCGGTGCTCAGGGCATCCCGGGGGAATCGCACTTTGCCAAAGGCGATGTTCTTGTACATCTGCTGGGTATCCTCGGCATAGAACGGACTCCAACCACAGCACATCTCGAAGACCAGAACTCCCAGGGACCAAAAGTCGACCATCTTTGTATACCCTTGCTCATCCAGCAACACTTCCGGGGCCAGGTATTCTGTCGTACCACAGAAAGTGTTGGTGGTGTCGTTTTGCGTCAGGTTCGCCTTGGAGAGACCAAAGTCACACAGCGCGATGTGACCGTTGGCATCCAAAAGGATGTTCTCGGGCTTCAAGTCCCGATATACAATGTCGTAGTCATGCAGATGTTGCAGGGCCAAGATAAGCTCGGCGATGTAGAACTTGGCCCGTGCTTCCTGGAATCGGCCTTCGCGCTGCAGGTGCCAGAATAGTTCACCACCAGACATGTAATCCGTGACGAGGTAGAGGTCGGTTGGCGTTTGGAAAGAGAACTTGAGTCCGACGATGAATGGCGAAGCCGCCATAGCTGTCCGTACCAGAATATTGCGTTCCCCCAGGGTATGCGCCACCTCCTTCTTTTGGATGATCACTTTCTTCGACAGAACTTTCATGGCGTAGATGCGCTCTGTATCCTTCTTCTTGACTTGGTAGACCTGGCCGAACGTGCCTTTGCCAATAAGCTTGAGAATCTGGAAGTCATTCGGGCCGACCTGCTTTCGGTCGGTCTTTTCGTATTGCAATTCGAGGTGAATCTCGCCCGACACCTGATTGTCGCCGGCTCCACGCGCCACCAAGGGAAACCATCCTTCTAACCGGCTGTGATCTTCTTTCAGATTGATGCCGAGTCGCACATGGCCCAAGAACATCTCCTGGCTGCTGCGATCGTAAACCGTGACATCCAGTTCCGACTGATCACCGAGAACATCACTAAGAAAAAGAAGTTAGTACAAAATCCCATGGAATTAAAACGCAGACCAAAAATCTTACAAGACAGCCTCATGATCCCAATGAGGATCTGTCACAGGCATTTTTCCTTTGTGTTCATGGCCCTCCAGGGCACTGTTGTGGCTACTTTGACGACTCCTCATGGGGATAGCCATAGGGCGGCCGGCCGCCTCGGCGGCGTCCGACTCAATTTGGCGGCGTTTCTTCTCCTCTTCACCGTCCCGGGTGCCTTTGGAAATATACTCGTTCCACTCAAAAACACACACCACATAGGGGTCAAGCCCGGGACGTAAACCTCGACCTTCGGAGATTTTCACAAACAACTTGCCCTTGAGAGGTCCCACGGGTGGGCCGGCCTGGGGGGAGGTCGTCGATTGGGAAGGGAAAGCCTCGTCAAGCTTCATCGCGATCTCGTCCGTCGAGCTGCCTCCGTCATCAGGCTGGGGATGCGACTGTGCAGGCATCTGGGGAGCCGAGGTGACGTGTTTTTGATCGACCGATTGGCCTTCGTTGGACATGGCCCGGGGAGTAAGCGGCGGAGTGTTCTTGAGACGCGACCCATCGGGCGCGTTTCCAGTTAGCTTGGCAAGGTTCTCGGAAGATTTGGAAACATGCGGCTTTTCGTGGTCGAGCAAGGGGGCTTCGGTCAAGAACAACGCATCTGAAGCAGGAGGGAGAGATGGATTGGAAAAATGTGTGGCAAGAACGGGGTCGTCAGAGACGCTGGAGACTGGGAGGCAAGTTTGACGGCGGGAAGGATTGTCTGTGGGAGCGGGTGCGGATGGATGGAGATAGTGTTTGAGGGTGGTGAAGATGGACCCCGCACCCTTATCAAGACTCGACTCAAGCTCCATTTCATCCGACTCTTTCTGCAACAGGGAGTGGGGAGGAGTGGGCGGGGTGGAATGCGCAGCCTCCATCTTGCTAGACCCCTCTTCCGTCACCTCACAGGACTCGGTGGGAGCGCCAGAGAGCTGGGTGGGGTGTGCATCCGAGGGAGGGTCCACAGAGGGTTTTGAAAGACATGACCAGAACCGCGGCAGACTCGCTTTATCACCAGAAAAAGAACCAACCTGGAAGTAGTTGTGCATGATTGAAGGCAGACGCTTGTCCGCAGGATCCGGCTGAGGCGTTGCGATGCCTGTGGGAGTGGAACCGTTTGAGCCGATTTGGTCGTGGTGGTCGTCTTCTGGCAGGGAGCTATAGAATCGATGTGATCAGCCATCTCTTCTTTTCGAAGACATAAATAAGGTGATTGTGATGATCAGAGCGACCGAGACCTCCAGTCCAGATTTTGCAGGCAAACCCCGACCAACCCGACCTGGACGGAGAGACCAGAAGAAAAACCCCATTGTATAAAGGCATTCTTTGTCGACAGTCCTCGAGGCAGTCTTTTCATGCAATGCAATGCAGTGTGTAGAGAGCGAGACCCTTTCGTTACCCGGCCACTTGCATTCCCGGATCTCACGAAGCACAAATACGATCGCAGGGACTCACCTCTGGGGTATTGGCTTCATGCCGGTATTGCCATGCAACTCGGGTCCACTCTGCGCAGCAGCCATTGTGCTTCCATCCAACACTCAGACGTCCTCCAAAGAAGGAATGCGACAGAAAAAAAAGAAGAAAACAGAAGAGTCGGCCAAGAGAGGAGGGGCAGAGTGGTGGGGAAAGAAAATGGACGAGAAGGAAAAAGAAACTTTTGCCCGCCCGATGAGCTAAGGGTGTTTGCGGGAGGGCTTCAACGGGATAACCGTGAGAACTCGAGATTCGGGGGATGTTGAACAGTCGAGTTTACTCACACAAGGAAGAGAGAGAGAAAGAAAAAGAGAGAAAAAGAGAGAAAAAGAGAGAGAAAAGACAGCATTCAAGAAGTAAGAAAGTCGAAGCTGAAAAGCATGTGAGATATGGATTATAAAATGAACAGGGCCAAAAGAGCCTGAGATGTGTTTTTTTTTTTTTTTTTTTTCTTTTCTTCTCTCGTGGTTATTTGATTTCTTTTTATTCGATTTTCTAAGCCCTCGGAACCACATCTACGTCCACAACTCATGTCTATTTCAGGCAGGATACAGACGCCAAAAGCCTTGAATCCAACAAATGAAATGACACATGAAACATGAAATATAAAGAAATGAAATAATACAATAATGAAAAACTCCAAATAAGAAAGAATAACATCATCCGGTGGAGATACCTAGGAATCGGTGAGTCGAGGAATCGCGCGATATAAAAGCAGACGATGGACTGGGCATAATCCACCGGGCCCTTTTGGCCAAATGACACGCTTCACCCAAAACCACCGTGTTAAAGGATACGTGAGGTTTCCAGGGTTCGGGGGGATGGTTCGAAACAGGAGGCGCGAATTTGCCTCCTGGATCCATTGAACCACTTGGTACATAAGAATAAAAGAAAAAGAAGGGGAAAAAAAAGAGAGATTGTTTTCCGAATTGGATTATTTCTTATATACTTCAACTTCTATATTGCATTTATATCTTTTTATTCTCTACATCGAGCTCGTACAGCCCTTTGAATCTTTCTCTTCTCCCCTTGCATCTGCATACCGTAACCTTCGCGCTACCTATGAAGCTCTCTCGATATGCACCCTCCACGGCATCTCCACCAGTCTGCGTCATCATACATCTTGAGGCCTAAATCTGATGGGGCAAGCGACCTGGTTTAGTGGATCTTCTTGCCGGAGCGACCGTGCATAAGTCCATGTACATGCCAACCGATGTGAGCTTGCTCCAACATGTAGAACAGTTTTCCCCTCACCATGATCCTTATCTGTCGGCGAACCCTATTCGATGCCGACGTGAGGATCTACAGGTGCATCCCGGTGGTGAACAGCAAATAAGCGGGGCATTGGAAAAGAGATCCAAGTTCACTCATGAAGGACAAGGTACACTAGGGATGCATCGACTTAGGTAAAAGTATTCTGCCCGTTTAATGATCCCGGACAGGAATTATTAAATAGCGCATCCAAGGATGGGGTTGGCGCGGTTGACGCCCACTTAATGCCCCGGGCGCCCTTCATGAACATAATAGGTAAGTCCGGGTGCAACTGACCTGCATGATTTGACGCATATTCGAATTGCCTTCCATACGACTGAGAATGCGGTCGGTTTATATTCGTGGGTCATCTGCATCGTGCAGTGAGGTTGTGTCACGATCTACGGCCATGCTGACAATTTGCCTCGGGAGGCGTCATCTCTTGGACCTCTGCAGAATGACTGTAGTCAATAAATGGACGGAGATGCATTCTCCAGTAGCCATGAGCTGTGTAGCACCGTTGCCTTGGGGTCTCTCGGTTCATGGACCGGATGAGCGGATATGTTGACAGGAGCTTTGCTGGGGAACCCAAGCAACTCCATGAAGTGCGCAGAGTCCAAAGAAAATACTCAAGCAGGACCATAGATGCTCCAGTCGAATTCCAATCCCGAAGCAGAGAGCGACCAAGGAGACTGGTGTTTATATGCAAATGATCATCCGGTAGCTCTCAAATTCTAGAAGCTATCCATGGATCCGAGGGAGAGTGACACCCGTCACGGATTAGAATACCCTCGGGCGATCACGGTGAGCTAGCTGACCGGTGACTCTTTGTGGTACCTGTCAGAAGTCTCAGATGAGATCATCACGGTGATTATCTCCGGAATGGCCACCTGGGGGTAGCACAATACCCTGGAGAGAAAGCATGGACCTAGCTGGGTATCCAATGATATCAAATCGGAAATTAGTGCGGATGGGAAATGTGACTGGAAATCTAGAATCAAGAAAAGAACAATGATCACATCACAATGAAAACAGTTAGAGACAAGGCCTTGGCTGATCAACAATGTCCAGGTGGTTGGTGCCTGCCCGAGATGCTCCGGTTTGGAGGGGGAAAGGGGATGATGTCACTTACCCAATTGGGTGAGATAGGGCCTAGGGCTGAGAATAGTCACACCTTGGGCAAAAACCAAACCACGATTCATGCCAAGCTCCACGTGACAACCTCCCCGGAGCAACTCTCGGCCCGTCACCGATCAACAGTGCTGCACTCGAGCACTTCGGCGTCTTGCGCTTCCGTACCGATTGCCTCCATCACCGCCATGCCTCGAAAGCTCAGGGCAGCTGCCCAAGCGGCAGCCAAGTCAATGAGTAAGTTGGGCCCACCCTCACCGCACAACTCACCACAATCTGCTTTTTTTTCTGTTCTTTTTTCTTTCCCCCCACGACCCCTTTGGACGCGTTTGCGACTGACTACCTCCAGAAAATGTGCCTGCGATTCCCGATGTCTCCGATGATGAGATGGTAGATGCGCCACCATCGCAACCTTCGTCTACTGTCGAAGAGCCTCGAGAGTCCGTCGAAAAAGAAACCGATGCTGATCCCGACGTCGAGCCCGAGCCCGAAGTCGAAGCTGAGACCGCACCTGAAACCGAGGCGCAAGCAAACACTCCTGCCGATTTCAAGCCTGAAGACGAAACCAGCGCTGCAACGCCAGCTGTCGATGACTTCACACAACTTGAAGGAGGAGACACGCCTTCCTACACGGGTGGTCGTCAATCTGCTGTCCCGCGCAAGCGTCGCGTTGGCCGACCACCGAAGAATCGCCCGCCGGACTGGGACGCGCCGGATGGGGCAGAGACTCCAATCCGAGTGACCGCCCCTGTGAAGAGAAGAAGAGGCCGCCCTGCTGCAAGTGGTGGTCGCTGGGCGCGAAATCGCGGTCCGTCACATAACACCCAGGTGCCTATCGACAAGGAAGGGAACATGATGGATGTCATCAACGACGAAGTGGCACTTCCGCCCGATGAGGAGGGCGACACCAAGGTGGACGAGAATGGTCACCTGAAAGGAGGCCGCGAGTACCGAGTTCGAACCTTTACTCTTCTCAATCGCGGCGACCGTTTGTACATGCTGTCGACTGAACCGGCGCGGTGCATTGGTTTCCGTGATTCTTACCTGTTCTTCCAGAAGCACAAGATGCTTTACAAGATCATCATCGATGACGACGAGAAGCGTGATCTCATCGAGCGTGATCTCATCCCGCATTCTTACAAGGGACGAGCCATTGGCGTGGTTACGGCGCGGTCGGTGTTTCGTGAGTTCGGCGCCAGGATCGTCGTTGGGGGCAAGAAGGTCGACGATGAGTACCACGCCCAAGCCGCCCGTGAGCGTGGCGATGTGGAGGAGAGCTGGCTGTCCCGGATGACAAGCTGCCGCCCCCAGGAGAGCCCTACAACCGAAACCAATATGTGGCCTGGCACGGTGCCAGCAGCGTGTACCACACGAATGCTCCGTCTGTTCCCTTGCCCGGTGGAAAACCTGTGGACTCCAAGAAACGGCGCGTGCCGGTGACCGACGACAACTGGATGCTTGAGCACGCGCGGGCTGCAAGGTAAATAAATACATGCGATCTGTATTCCTCGAATTCTCGTCGGTACTGATATCTTCTGCAGTGTCTTCAATTCAAAACTGGCCGATATGCGCCGCACGAACCTAGGTGGCGTGTACGACGTCCACACCAACTCCATGCAATACCCCAAGATCATGCAGCCCACCCACGCTCGCTGGGAACGGGTTCCTCCCCAAGACACCCGCATCACCGCAAGTCTGATGACGGACATGTCTTCCCTGAACATCACGAATAATGCCTCCGCCGACACCGAACCCATCCAAAACACGACCACGGAACCCCACGACTCCACCGCCACACCCGAAACCACTGAAGAAAAACCCTCTACCATCTTCCCGCCCGTCCCTACTTCTATCTCCAACCGCTATCTCGTTCAGGATGTCGTCTACGAATCGCCCCCGTACTCGAACATGGGCATTCCCGCCCCCGACGGCGACGTGCGCGACATCGGGCCCAACGGCCTGGTCAGCATCGCCAACCCAAGCAATCCGGAGTTCATGAACCCCGAGATCGTGGCTTTGTTGCCGCTCGAGTGCCAGGAGGCTCTGATCGACGCCGCCGCCCGGGAAGTGGAGTGGAAGTCGCGCTGGTCCACCGAGACTCAAGATGGGGCTCGTACCAAGCCCACCAAGAACTATGGGTGGTTCCCATGAAGGAAAAAAAAACAACAAAACGAGAGTGTGTTCCTTGCTCTTGTGTCCTGTTTGATGCAAGGACATGCTCTCCAAGGGCTATTGCCCTTGAATGTGGTTTCTTTGCTCCTTTCTTTGTTTTGTTTTTCTTTCTCGGGTCTGGTTTGATGGTACTTTTTTTCCCGGCGAAATCTACGGTTTAGCATGGACTGGGCTGGGTAGGTTGATTTTCATGGCTGGTGATCGCCATAGGAGTTGATAATGTGCAGAATCTTCTATTTCAACCTTCGGGCACTGTTCCAATGTATTTGTATTTGTATTTGTATCCATACATGGATGTATTATGTATCCGGCTCATCGCGGTGTAGTACACAAAAGTAGTCCTGGAAGAGATCCAAGAAGGCTCCTCGAACAACCCGAATGCAGCATTGATCTTGATATCCCGAACATGATCGATCAGTCCTAGTCGAACTATATATACATGGCCATGGCACAGATATTGAATTAATCTATGAAAAGAAAAATACGCATATTGAAGAGAACGAACATGCTAATTGAAAGGTTAGAATTGATTATGGCCAGAAAAGAAGAACAGCGAATCCAGTCGGTTTATGGGCGTGAAGTAAGATAAGAAGTTAGGCTCGAGTATCCAGAAAGAAACCAGGAAACGAAAACACCCAACGCGGGTAAGAGTCCTATTGCAAAAAGGGGAGCGATAAGGAAAAAAGAAGAAAAGAGGAAGGTCGGTTGTCAGGGTGCAGGAGGAAGATGGACGAGGGCTTGCTTGAGAAAAAAAAATAGAAGAGGAAAAAAGGACTTCCAGTCATGCATACATAGGGAGACGAAGAGAGATCACCACAGGAGACAAAATTGCAGAATAAAAGGGAAAGAAAGAAAAAAAAAAAAAGGCACGGTCACATAGCCATCTCCGCACGCAACTTGGCCAGCTCGGCTTCCTCGTCGTCTTCCTCGGCTTGCTTTGGCTTGTTGGGTTGGACTGGATAGAAGAGAATAGATTAGTATAATCACCAAGAGCGACTCGGCTATACAAGCAGAAAAGCAACAAGACTCACGTTCTGTACGCCCGGCAGCCGGTAATTGGTTTAGTTGCGCGTTCACCGGCACCGTTCCCGTATCGAGCATGCGCTCGTCCATGGCGGCCTGCTCCAGGCCCTCCAGCTCTTCCTCCAGCTCGTCCTCGTCGGGCTGTTCGCCCAGCGGGACACTGGTAATCGCCTGGCCAATTTCCTCGCCAAGCGCGTGCTGTTCTCGGAGTGTTTCCCTGCAATGGCTCGTGGTCAGTAAAACAGAACCGACAAAAAGAAGACAAAAAAAGTGTCGTGGTTCGGGAAGGGGTATGTACATCGTTTCGTCGACTTTTTCGATGCTCATTCCTCCATGGATCTGCTGCATCGCCTGGCCGGCCTGCTTCATGGCCTGCAGGGTCTCGTGGTTGATGTTGGCTGTTTCAATCGAGTAGATCTGTTGCTCCAGCTGCACGATCTGGGCCGTTGTTTGCTCGAGGTTCTTCTCGTGCATCTTCTTCCGTCGGAGCGCGGCCTTGGCGGCTGTATTCAAACCAAAAAAATAATGCGTCAGTTCTCGACTCACACCCAATAATGAAGATTCGAAACCACAACGCCCAGCGAAGAGAGAACGATACCGTTTTTATTTGTGTTCACATGCTTCCGTGCCGCAGCCTCCTGATCTGAGATCTGGCTCTCCAAGTATTTTTCTCGCTTTTGCAGCATATCCAGCTGCTCCCGCAGTAGTAGAATGGCGTTTTTGGGCGCATCTTTCCGCTTCTGAGCGCCAGCACCGCCAAACCATGACCACATTTTGGAGGGCAAGAGCGAAACGACGCGGGTGTTTCTCGGGGGTTTCCCAGGGAAAGGAAGGGATGTTCGATAACGATCAGGCAGCTCCGAATATTTATCAGAAAGGCTCGCCTTGCGCGCCCCACGGGTGCCGTCAGCCGGAGGGCGAATAGGCTCCAGGAAAAGCTAAATAAAGAAGAAAAGTCAAGGTCAAAGGCCACAATAGGGGCCCAAAAGACGCCTTTTCACAGAGACCAGGACACTGGGACCAGGAACAGCTTGCCTCCAGCGAGAATCGGGATGAATGCGAATGGAGGGGAGGCTTCCCCTCGCGGAGCCTATGACATCGGCCTATCGGGGGTCACGTGGCAGTATCCATCTACCGCAGTCCGCTTTTCTGTTGCTTCTTTCTTTCTTTCTTTCTTCTTGTATGTCCAGCAATCCCTCAACGATGCCGGGATCTTCGATTCCCTGACGGAATGAATGGGCCGCGTCCATCCACACGCGCGTTCCTCTCCGAACTCGCATCTCTCCCAGCGGATTCCAAGATCCGCTTTCTTGGCTGGTGCGTCCCCAAGGGCAGAAAATACAGAGACCGAAGCAAAAGAGGCCAAAATTTTTTTTTACATGTTTACAACATGAGTGTTTTCTCTCAATACTGACTGCGTCCCGCGTGGTTTATGTTTTGGTGCCACAAACAGTGTGAGGCAGTACAACATCAGCACAGGTTATCTGGTCCTGGAACACAACTATCCACGGAGTAAAGCAGAGCCCAGCGCGGTTCCAGTCGACATTAACGCGGTGCTGGAGGATTTGAGAGCCGATGATCTCCGGGTGGGCTCCTGGCTGAATGTGCTGGGTTATGTGAGAGAGTTGAAGCCGCCTTCGCCATCTTTCTCGTCGACCCCCGAAGACTCGAAGCAAACACCGGAGACACCCCAATCTACCATCTGCAAGGTGCAGTCGCGTCCGGTGTATGTCGAGGCCATTATGGTTTTTCCGGCTGGCGCGATTGCGCTCGGGGAGTATGAGCGCATCCTTCGCGATCTACAGGCAGTGGAGCGCAGGATACAGTACTCGTGATAAGATTGCTGCTGCAGAGCACTCCTGCTTTGATCGACAAAGCCACTCCATCTGTGACTGTGGATAGACTCCTAGGACTTGACAGGTCTGCAAACTCGGAACTTCGTACATCAATTTAGGCTCTATCTGCATCACGTCGCTATAGAAGCACACTTTTCTTCGTCAAACACCAAAGATGCAAAGACTCGGGTATCGTGAAATCAGTTCAAAAACAAAGAATCACACAATGCAAATCCACCCCTTAAACAACCTCGCTCTGTTTCTCCTCATCATTAGGGAGAGTCTGCTGCGGCCTTCGACGGGCCCGCTTCCCCTCCAACTTCTTTTTATCCTCCTGCATGCGGACAATCAGGGTACTCCTCATGCGAATGCGATGCCCATACTTATAAAACACAAACGGAATCGGCACGATAACAAACTCTAGCAGCCCCAGCAACGTGCCCGACCAATTGGGCCCAAGACTGGCATACATATAAGAGCCGGCCAGCGGCAACACACCGCCGAGGATACTGCGGATGACCGAGTTACCGGCCAAGGCAGACGCGGCATACATGCCGTAGCTGTAGGTGAGGTAGTTGGAGGCGTAGATGAACACGCCGGTGTTACCGGCGCCGAAGGGGATGCCGGCCAGCAGCGGCACGATCCAGTGGATCGAGGCTGGCGAGCAGGTCCAGGCGAACCAGAGCTCGCCGATGGGAATGAGGATCGCGCAGATGCACACGAACGAGACCATGGCTTCGGGGTGTACTTTGCCTGTCTCCGGGTCGATGTCGTGGCTGTTGATTAGGCGCCGGATTAGAGGCTCGCAGGCGATTGTGATCAGCACGCCGATTCCTATCCCCAGGAAGGCGAGTCCTGACAGGCCCAGGGACCAGCCCCGAATGTCCTGGAAAACGATGGGATAGGCGACGAAACACAGGTACAGAATGCCGTAGACGATGGCGATATAGATGTCCCAGAAGATGCTGCCGATTTTGGAGTCAGCTTTTTCTTTCTTATCTTAGAAAGCAATGGGCATCTTTTGAGGAAAAGAATTTACCAAATCGGCTCAGTCACAGCCATCACGAATGGGCGACTGAGATTCAGCGCCAGAATTGACACGAGGCTGTCCTTCTGGTCGTACCGCGACCACCAGCGTGATTCCCCATATTTCTTGCGCAAGCGGGCGGCTTTCCTCTGCAGCAGCGTCGGCGCATAAGTCTCCTTCAAGATACAAGCAAATACCAGAGCCACGGCCGAGAGAATGAGCGCAATCCAGTCCATCCAGCGCCAGCCGAGATACTGCGTGACGAAGCCTCCAATGACGGGGCCCAGCACTATTTTGTCCCAGGATCTAATTAGCAATCTATATATTAGATATGACGAAGGATGCATACGAACCTGGCCCATTCAGCGGCCCAATACTCCAGATGGAAATTGCCAACGCGCGGTGCTCGTCATCCACCAGATCCGCCACCATACCAGGTGCCGTGGAGATCATGACGCTGCCAAAGAAGGCGCCAATGAAACGGACAACAATCAAGGTGGTCACTGATCTGGCGAGGGCACAGGGAATGATCAACACCGTGAAAATGGCCAAGCAGATCACGCAGACCGGTTTCCGGCCATATACCTCGCTCAGCGGTGCCATGAACATGGACCCGATGGCCAGGCCGATGAGATAGAGCGTCAAGCCCAGGGTTACTATCGTGTCGGATTGGTTGAACTCCTCGGCGATTAATGTGACACCCGAAGTATAGGAAGTGGAGTAGAGCACACTTCACATCGAGATGCATTGTTAGCATGACATCTATATTCTGAAGATTCTGTGATATACAGCAAACACCAAAGGCAAAATTTACACAATCAATGTATTCCACGAGAGAAACAACAACCCCATGGCCTTGTACCGTAGCGACCAGTTCTTGGGGTTTTCGGGGTCATCCTCGCCATCCCAGTCCACCTCATAGTTGGGATCGGAGGTGGCATTGGTCCGGATGGTGGTGACGCGCTCGGACAGCGACATACGATCAGAGACCAGTGAATAGGCTGTGACAGCCTTGTCCAGTGCATGGCCATTATTATTCCGCTGTGAGTCCGACGACCGGGACTCGGCGATTGAGTCCGTGTCGTGGGACAGGTCGGTGTCCCGAGGCCATTTGTCCTCGGATTCTGATGCGGGATGTTGCGAGGACATTGCCTAGGCCAAATCGAACAATGCTTTTCGACTTGAAACTTAATGTGATTTTTTTTGAACTTCCCGCGTGGATTCTGGTGTGGTTCTGTAGGGTCGCGGGTGTAACAGTCGGAGCCAAAGCTCCTCTGTTTTGGGGGTTGAACCAAGTACTGGAGACCAGCTCCTCACTTGTTACGGAGAGCTCGAATGCAATGATCCGCTTCTGGCTTGAATAACCGGGGATGGATTTGCAGGCCTCTTCCAGTTTACTTTTCAAAAAGAGAGAAAAGGGCCCGAGGCAGACACACTTGAGTATCGGGAATCCTGCGACCAGCCCGAATCTTTGATTTGGAATTCTTTCTTAAAACAACCGAAAAAAAAAAGCCCCAAAAAGAGAGAAACGACTACGAGGTGGGGCTTTCACAAGTGATAAGCGCCTTGTGAGGAGCAACGGATAGTCGGCACAGCCAAGAAATGTAGTCCCCAAGCCCTAAGACATTTTTCGCTGGTTCTGGAGATTCCCCGTGGGTAAATGGGGTCATACTGAGGTACTATCACGTATATCATGTAGAACTACATTTATCCATGGAAACACCCAGCATGTTCTCTCTAGAGGCTTCTTTCTAGGCATATTTAGTTTCATACAGGAGGAGAAGTAGATATTGCATCCGGAAATCCCCCTGAACAGAAACATCCCGGTGGATTAGCATTGCCGAGCTGTCTGACCGTGCCGGTTTGCCGAATACACGCAGTCCCGTTGAAAAGCAGGTCGATCAAGCTGCCGCCATTTTTCGAAGCCCCATCTCCTTCAGAAGCCGTCGAATTGATATCGTTTTGACTTGATAATCGACATCAGCGAGTAGGTCTTGGTGACGCACGTGAGGGTCGGTCGTCACTCTCTCATATATTCGATCGCGATCGTCCTCATCAAGTTTGCGAGGTGCTCCGGAGCGAGGTTGTGAATGATTATCAACTCTTTTATTCTCTCTTTTGATAGTAGATCGAATCGTTGATAGAGGTATCGAAGGGTATGCTTTATGAATTCTCTTATACCCCCATTGAGCAGTCGAATGAAGCTCGCAAATGCGAGTGCGAGTAGAGGGGTCGAGTTCTTTGCGAGGCATTGGTACAGCGAGGATGCAGCGAATCGGCGAAGCAGTATATCTTATATTAATGTTATATTTATTCTATATTAGTATGATCTTCAGGGGTAAAACGCGTCGAGATGGCGTGTATACACTAGCGTGTCGAATCGTGTGAGGTAAGCAGCTCTATTAATAAGCGGCGTAGGGGTGTGGGGTAGGGTTCAAAGACTGTTGATCGGCCACTGTATATCAACAGAGCTGCAAGCAGCCAAAATTATCAAGTAGACATGTAGTCAAAATTCATCCTTAGCATTCACCTTATAAATCAGGTATTCGGAGATCCCCTCACTATCTTCCGAATATAGTAATAGTGCAATGCCAACTAAAGGGACCCTAGAGTAGACAGGCTATGCTAAGAATAGCTATTTCCATCTCCCACGTGTAGCAAGACGTCTCAGCAAACATTTGGAACCGCATCTTCCCACATAACCATGCCGAATCTAGTCGGGTCTACTTTCGAATTCCGGAATGGCCGATATTGTGAAAACAAGCCATGGCGATTAGATGTGGGCGTGAACGCATTCAATTGATCATCCTAACGGGCAGTTCTTGGCAAGTCAGCGTAGAGATCCACTCATGTCAAACAGTTTTTTGATTGTCAGATTTCCAGCTTATATCTGGGAAGCCCCCAACACCCCTCTTTCTCTCCTTGAGCAACGTCCACCATGTTCCTCCTCTTGGCTTTTCTAGGGCTGGGAGCTCTCTACCTCTACCATGTCAACCGTGTGATGAAGGCGGTGCCAGAGGAGGTGCAACGCTTATCCCCCCATCGCTGGACCATCGACGAAATCCACGCGGCCTACAAAAAGAATCTGGAAACTCCAATCGACGTGACCAAGAGCCTTCCACCGAAACAATCGCGCCGATATGTGCTCGTGGGCGGGACTGGTGCGTTGCTCATCCCGAACCCGCTGTTATCATCATCATCATCAATCTCGCTAACCCCAATCAACAGGTCTGGTCGGCCACTGGATTGTGTCGCATCTCCTGGCGCGAGGCGAAGATCCCGCCGCGCTGCGAATCCTGGACCTCTTGGCACCCGAGCAAGAGATTCTTGACCAGGGCGTGGTCTACACCAAAACCAATATCACCGACGAGCTGGCCGTCAGCACGGCCTTTGAGGAGCCGTGGCCTGCGGCCGTCGCGACACGGCCCCTGACGGTGTTCCACACCGCGGCGAGCATCAGCGCCTCGGAGCGTTTCAAGATCTTTCTGCCGCTGCGCAGCAAGGTCAACATCGATGGTACGAGGAATGTGGTTAACGCTGCGAAGAAAGCTGGCGCAACCTGTTTGATTGCGACCTCGTCGGGCTCCATCGCTATTCATCGCTCGTCGTTCTGGGTTGCCCCGTGGTCCAAGACCATTAAGCGCCCGGTGCAGATTCTCCACGATGGAACTCCGCTGCCCCAACGTCACGACGAGGCCTTTAGCAACTATGCTGTCACGAAGGTCGAGGCTGAGCGCATTGTCCGGTCGGCGGATGATGCGGCGGCCAACTTTCGCACGGGGTGCATCCGCCCGACGAACGGGGTTTATGGAATTGGCAGCGATGTCAGCGCGACCGTCACGGGCGCGTACCTTCGCCGTGGCGGCAGTCCAACGTGAGTGATGGTGACCTTCAGAAAACATCCACACACACACATATGTGTATCAAGTCAACAATGATAGCAACTAACATCGAAGAACAGATGGGTCCGACCCATGATCCAAAGCTTCGTCAACGCCGAGAACGTCTCAATCGCCCACCTCTTCTACGAGAAATGCCTCCTAGAACAGAGCCAGCCGGGCTCCACACTCCCCAACACTGGCGGGCAAGCCTTCACAGTAACAGACCCCAACCCAGCAATTGCCTTCGACGACATCTACACACTGCAAACGACGCTATCCAAGACGCCGATTTCGTTCCCGAACGTGCCCGCTTTGCCGATACTACTGCTCTCGCACTTGATCGAGCTCTACGCCCTCGTGCAGTACCGCTACCTGCCGGAACTGCTGCCGCGGCTCTCGCCCGACCTGGCCCAGCTGCAACCCGCGCTGTTCTCCATTGCCAGCATCCATTGCATTGCGGATGACTCACGCGCGCGCAAGTCACCGCAGTTGGGTGGGCTTGGGTATAGCGCGCCGCTGACTACGCTGGATGCCATGTGCAAGGAGCTTATTGAGTGGAATCGTAGGGCGGAGGCGAAGCGTGTTGCTGTTGCTGGGAAGGTTGGGCCTGTGTCTGTTTCGGAAGAAGGGGTTGGTGTTAATCTTGTGTCGCCGGAGAAGAAGTTGTAGTGCCGTGTGTGTGAAGCATGCTTTTTTGGTTTCTACTATTTTACTGTATTCTACTCTACTATTGTGTCTAGATGATTTAAATCACTATGTCCATTAGATAGGGCTTATGCTACTCGCACTGATATTTATGGATACATTCTCTTAGGATTGTTGTGATTTATACCATTTAGTCAGGGTAGCGGGGGCTTTGATTGTGTTTAGATTGAAGACCATGTCAGCTATTGACTTTCAGTTTGGGAACCTTTTATTGCTTCCAAGGTTGCCAGGTTATATGTTTCCAAGACCATTGCGAGGATGGGAGAGTAGCGGTGGTCTGCACTGACGGAAGCTCTCCAGATGCGCACTTCCATGCTTGAACTGATACTCACTCCGGTGTTCTCTTTCAGAAGCAGTGGATCTATTCAACACCGTGCCAAAGAAGCCAGTTGAGCGTGGGGGCCAGCAGAGCACGACTTAATATCCGGGCGTGAGAGCTCGCTGGAGGCAGAGACAGGAGAACAGCCAAGTTGCCTTCAAGTGGAAGCACCGATTGCTGGAGTTCCACAGAATATCCCGGAGTGACCGTCTGCGCGACGAAGGCTGGCGTTCGTCGCGCAAACTCGGCGGACATGTACTTCCTCTATAAGATAGCGTCACACGACCTGATCACAGACGTGTCCGCAGATGGGGCGAGGCCCGAGAGATTACCGCAGCTGTTGCTGAGCCACTTGGCGCCTATGTTCCAGGATCTGCATGCGCAGACCCTCCGATGCCAGTTCGACGTCGAGAATCGCACCCACTCCACGCTTCCAGGTATCCTCCAGCCCAACTAGCTCGCCCTGCCTCGTCTCCTGGGCGATCTTCCGCTGCTTGTTGACCTCCTCAGCGGCATCCTTGGTCTCGGCCAATTCCTTCTCCAGCCCGCGCAGGATATCTTCCAATTGCGCGTTGCCGATCAGCCAGGCATTCTTGCCGTTCTCTTCCAGTAGGGCCAGATTCTCGTGTCGCTTGGTCAGATGCGAGCTCGACACGTAAGCCTTCTGCAGTGTCTGTCGCCATTCGGCGAGATTGGGGGGTTCGCTGTCGGATGCGCGAGTTGGGGCTTCTGGGGCTTCGTAGCGAGATAGGTCGATTCCGCCTGTGAGCGATGCGCCGGTCGCCTTGCGCTCGAGTTCTTGTTGGATCAGGGGCGAGAATCGAGGCTCGGGGGCTTCGGGGATGAGAGGGTGAGTTGATGAGGCATGGTCGGGGGACAGCTCAGCGTTGATAAGCTGCTGTGCCCGGGAGTAGGCAGATGCTGAGGGTTGGGCGTCCACGTCTGGCCACGGTTAGGTCAGTGCTTGGACATACATGGCGGAGTGTTCCAGAAACATACAGGGAAGCGAATCATGGGATTCATTGATGAGCGGCATTTTCGAGATGTCCCAGGAATTGCAATTGAAAGCAGCAAAGACCTAAATGCCAAGTTTCTTACACCGCGTAGCTTTCTTTTCCAAGGAGGTGGACCCTGACTCAGCATGTCAGGTGATTGATCTATGGCCGTCGCGAGTCTTTGCTGTTCTTCAGCATCCACGGTATTTGATATTTTGATGTTCGCTGAAATAACGAACGATCAGACGGGTGACTTATGGCCCGAGGGATAATAACCGCTGGTCCACGATGTCGCCATAAGGAGTGGCCAAGGGTCCATCGATGATCCTCAGCCGAACTACGTATACAAGCTTCAGCTTCAGCTACAGCTACAAGCAATCAGGTACCCTCAGCTGGTCTACCTGAACAAGGATGTATCTACGTCGAGTCATGGAGCCGATCAGATCCTCCTGGAAAGCTCTGCGCATTTCGTCGGTTGAATGTCATCACCTTTTTTGCTGCGGGGAACCCTTTCATCCCCGTTCAGGTGGAATGCAGCCGATCGCATATCACTATCCCGAGGTCGCTTAGGGTGCTCCTCAGCCCTCTCTTGCATGATCGTGACCTTAACGAGGCTTACTTTGCCAAGAGTGGATAATGATCTGCTGTGCCCTCGATTCCCCTCTGCATAAAAGGACTTGCGTGCCTCCCTGGCGGGGGTTTTTGAGCCCGAGACGAGACACCCCTTCTCTCCAATCGATGAAATAACGTGCCTGGCTCTCCGTAATATTGACGCTCTCGAAAATGGCTGATCTTCGATTGGGCGTCGCCTTCGCCGGAGTCATCATCAGCGCGCTGGTTTTCCTACAGTTGCTTTCGGTAGTGCAGTATCACCATGATTTACCCCCGCCTTCGCCCAGCTTCAGTCAAGCCGCCAACGAATGGATAGGGAGAGCCAATAAGGCCACTGACAACGACCTTTTCCTCGTGGGAGCTGGCAAGGCGGATGTGACTGGGTATGGATCTATTTCCCTACGTGACCAAAACACTTGGACAAGCTTGGAAGGCTAACAAAACCCACAGTCCGGTCGTGGAAGTCGATTTCAATGGTTATGCCAGTTTGGACCAGATCGGGACGGGGCTGCGACAGAGAATCTATTCTCGCGCTTTCATTATGGCGAACCGCAACAAGCCCGACGAGACCTTTATTTATCTTGTTCTCGATACTCTCGCGGGAGATACCGCAGTGAGACACGGGGTTCTGCAAGGACTCGCTGCACTGGGCGGCGACTACGCGCGATATGGCGAGCATAATGTCGCTCTCACTGGAACGCATTCCCACTCCGGACCTGGAGCATGGATGAATTACCTTCTCCCTCAAATTCCGACCAAGGGCTTCAATAAGCAAAGCTATCAAGCAATTGTTGACGGCACCGTCTTGTCTATCAAGCGTGCTCATGAAAACTTGGCGCCAGGACATCTGTCCTTTGGATCCATTGACCTCGAGGACACCAATACCAACCGCAGCCCCTTCTCTTATGACCATAACCCAGAGGAAGAGAAGGCGCGCTATTCTGCCAAGGTGGATAAGACCCTTACCCTTTTGCGATTCGACCGGGAGTCTGATAACAAAACAACGGCGGTTTTGACATGGTTTCCCGTGCATGGTACCTCCATGTACAACAACAATACCGTGGTGACGGGCGACAACAAAGGAGTAGCAGCATATCTCTTTGAGCGGAGTATCGACGGCGATGAAAAGTTTGCCGATGATGTTGTGATTGGTTTCTCCCAGGCAAATGTCGGAGACACAAGCCCCAATATTCTGGGTGCTTGGTGTGAGGATGGTTCCGGGGAGCAGTGCCGATACTCGGACAGTACATGTGGTGGCGCCAATGAACAATGCCACGGCCGTGGCCCCTTTTTCCGCGAAAAGGATAACGGGGCTAAGAGCTGTTTCGAAATTGGGCGTCGGCAGTACTCGGCAGCGAAGAAGCTGTACGAACAGATGAGCACTCACTCTAGCCGACTCACTGGAGGCTCGAATGTCAAGACTTTCCATGTCTACCAGGATATGAATGGCTACAAATTCCGGTCTCCATTCAACTCGAGTATCCTCAAAACATGTCCTGCGGCGCTGGGGTATTCGTTTGCCGCCGGGACCACCGACGGGCCAGGGGCCTTTGATTTTACTCAAAACGCCACTGGACCGGCCACCAACAACCCTCTCTGGAAAGTGGCTCGTGCATTCATTCACGAGCCCACCGCCGAGCAGAGAGACTGCCAGGGGGCCAAGGACATTCTGCTAGATGTGGGCACTCTCACCGAGCCGTATGCATGGGCTGCCGATATTGTCGATATCCAGGTTCTGCGGGTGGGTCAGTTGTTCATCATTGTTTCTACCAGCGAAGCCACCACGATGTCGGGGCGGCGCTGGAAAGAAGCTATTGCGAAGGAGGCCAAGGACACATTGTCTGTTTCTGATCCACATGTGGTGTTGGGAGCCCCGTCTAATAGCTACGCTCACTACGTGGCCACGGAGGAAGAGTACAATGTACAGCGCTACGAGGGAGCCTCGACGTTGTATGGGCCAAACACTCTGGCGGCCTACATCAATCTGACGCTCACCTACCTGCCATACCTGGGAAGTTCCTCCGATGTTGCACGTCTCCCCACTATACCTCCTGGTCCCAGCCCGCCTGTCAACACCAACCGGTCCCTCAGTTTCATTACCGAGGTTGTGTATGACGGCCACCCCATCGGCAAGTCCTTTGGGGACGTGCTTATCAATCCCGGCAAGGGACCATACAAACCCGGTGATGTTGTTAGCACAACCTTTGTAGGCGCCAATCCTCGGAACCACCTTCGCCAGGAATCAACCTATGCGGCCGTTGAAAGACAGGACCCCAAGTCTGGTTCCTGGAAGGTCGTGCGCGACGACCGTGACTGGAACCTGGTGTTTTTGTGGAAGCGAACCGACGTGGTCCTGGGGTTTAGTGAAGTCACCATCCAGTGGCAGATCGAGGACGAGTTCTATCGGGTTGATGACCCCAAGCCCCTGCAGAAGGGCACCTATCGCATGCGATATTACGGCAACTCGAGGAGTACCGCCGGCAAGGTTTCGGCCTTTGAGGGCACCGGAGGTACCTTTACAGTGGCGTAGTCTTTGATCTCTTCTTCTTTTATCTTTTTTTCCCCAAGTCGAATTCTCCCAAATTGCAGGTTTTATGCACCGGTGCCACCTGAAGCTGTTTTTGTAGATGCGGAGCCAATCACATCGCGCGATTCCCCCGGCGTCTACTGCGACGTCTCGCGCGTTCACCCGTCTTTCTCTTTCTCTTTCTCTTTATTTTTATTTTTTCTTTGATTTCTATTTCAAGGCACCTGGCGCTTACTAGGATTTGAGTGGGACAGGCTTCTATTTCCAATGGGCGATTTCAGGCTCCAGGCCCTGATGGTTTTCTTCATAAGGCGGCGCAGGCCCTCGACATGGATTCTTTGACGTCTCAGATTGCTTCACCCTTTGATTCTCTCTTTCTTTCTTTCTGTTTTTCTTTCTTTCTTCTTCTTCTTCTTCTGGTCCTCTGGAACGCTCTAATCATCCGCTCTTTCATTGCGGCCATGAGACAAGCCACTTATCGCCAGTGATTCCCGATCTTTGCCCTCTTTCTCTCTCTCTTCTTCCCTGCTATGCGCTTCCTCGGACTTGACCTTTTCTACGAAGCTGGTACAGTCTTTTATATCTGGATCCTTTGATCTACCAGCTGGTCTGCCATCTCGCCTATTCTAACCCTTCAAAAACTCTTGTGTATCCCGACGATCACTCCCACTCGTTCGCTCTCTGGAAACATTCTCTCTTTTCCAAGAACCATAGACCAAATATTCGACATCCACGATGTTGCTCACCAAACTGGTCATCTTCTGCTTTTTCTTTTTGGCCTGGACGTGCTCGGCTGGTCCGATCTCTCGCTCGTTTGTTACTGTCCCGCTCGTTGCCTCGTCTTTGGGACTGAGGTCTGAGGTTGCCTCTCCGTCACTGTCGCTGTCGCGTACTGCGTTCCCTTATCTTCTTCCGAGGGATGGGGGGTTGTCGGTTATTCCGGTGACGCCGCCATGGGCGACGGAGTCCGCACTGTCTTCCTCGTCTACTTCTTCTCTGTCTAGTTTGCCTAGTTTGTCTTTGACCTCTTCTATTGCGTCTGTTTCGAGTTCTACTTCTACTTCTACGTCTACGTCTACTGGTTCTTCTTTCTCTTCTTCTCTGCTTGTCTCGTCTGCGTCCGCTTCGTCTTTTGCGTTTACTTTATCTATGCCTTCTTCGTCTCATGTGCCTGTGGTGACACCATCTACGCTTGCATCTCCAGACCACTCGACCCACCAAGCGGAGACACATGAACCATCATCGACAACCCCCCGACATTTGTCGTCTACAGCTCCAGTGTCTGTCGTGGTGCCATCTTCGCCCAGCTCCCCAGTACATTCAATTCCCCACACTGAATCCCTGAGAGATATACCATCGTCTTCGGTAACTGGCAGTTCTTCTACGATGGCCCCAGTTCCCAAAGCCACAGAAACGCTTTCTTCAAGCTCTATCTACAGCCCAAGACCTCCCAAAAGCTCTCCCCAACGCTCTCCATCTCACGCCCCTTCGGCTGCAACCAGCATGAGCGTTGGACGGGTCGGTCCTCTGCTCCAGGCTAGCTCAGGCGTGCCCTCACAAACAAGCTCCTTGAACTCCAATATCGTGCACCCAGCCTACTCAAGCACACCGCTGGCGCAGCAGCCGCAAGAAACAATCTTGCCATCTTCCAGTCCTCCCCTGGAAGCACCCAACAGCACCAAAGCTCCCCCTCAAAGACAACAAAGCCAGCAACCAAGCAAACCATCCTGACGGCTGGCGTCATCGGGCCACTCTCAGGAGCCAAAAACGACGAACCCAGTCAATTTACCCCATCCTCGCCACCAGTTGCAGCTCCAGCCCCGACCCAGCCCGTGGCTGCGCAGTCCGCCATCGCCGAATCTACTGCTCCAGCCAGCGCACCGCAGTCCACGGTAACCCAGCCCGTGATCGTGTACGTCACGCAGGGGTCTCCCACTCCCTACTCGACAACAGCCCTCAACTCCGGCGCGTCCATTGAACCACTTGCGGAGTCTCCAAGCCCAGACCCGAAATCCACGCCGGCATCCAGCGCCCAGGTGTTCACGGATAATACCTCTCAGCCAGCAGAGACGCCCTCTGCTGAGATCACGACCATCCATGCCACGTCGACGACGAGTGTATTTGTTACTGTCTCTCGTACGGTCTATGATACTCCATCTTCTTCTTCGTCGTCTTCGTCACCACCACCACCACCTCCTGCGGGAACGACTTCGAGCCCGGCGCCTGCGCCCAAAACCACGGCTGGGCCAGAGGTCGAGGTCTCGGCTGATGCCGATGATACGGGCTTGTTGTCTGTGGTGCCTGTTACGCCCTCTGGGTTTATTACCATCACCGAGACGACGACTGTGACTGAGAGAGTGACGGAGACGGACACGGTGACTTCTACTGTGACTCGGGGGTGATCTTTTTCTTTTTCTTTTCATCTACCTGCCTGATTCTTCTATTTCTATTTCTTTTCTGTCTTCTTTATCTCTTTTCATCATGCTTCATGTTAGCAAAATATGTAGATTCGGTATAGCTGGGAGTTTGATCATGGCGTTTGCTGGGAATCAAATATGCCGTCCCTCAAAGACATGTCCGAGCAAGTTTTTCTTTCCTTTCCCAATGACACCAGTTATAGTAGCTGTTTTGGTAAGATGAATATAATTCGCTAGTAAAACACACCCATGTAACACACAGAGGATATCAAGCATGCCAATGAATAAAAAACAAAAAAAAGGGTTGCTGCGTCCGAAGAACAATATTCTAGTAAGAGAGCAAGAGCAGAAGAAAAAGGCCAGGCTCAGGCTCAGGCTCAAGTTCTAATCCACCTACAATTCCGACAAAACACCCCCAGCTTCAGCAAACTTCTGCTGATACTCCTTCAAACTCGCCCACTGGCTCAGCTCCTCCTGGTCGCGCTCATAGTCACTCAGGTAGCTCATTGCGCGGCCGTTCATGCGAGGGCTCACGCCCTCGGGATTGGAGCCCGTGTCTGTGGCGGCGGAGTGGCATTCCAGGCGGACGAGGGTGTCGATGAAGGCATGGAGGTAGGACTCTGCTTCTGCGGGGGTGAGGGTGTGCGGGCCCGGTGTGGTGGTGTTGTGGTTGGAAGTTATGGAGGTGTCAGGGACTGGTGGAGGAGCTGATTGCCCAGATTCTGTGGATGCTGTATCTGTGGTGTTAGGAACTTCTGTAGGGATTGATGTCGATGTCGATGTGGTGTAGGCTGATTTTGGGTAGTGGGGAAGGTTGAGGAGGGTGGATGCTACGAGGCGGATTTTGCCTGTCTGTGAATGAAGTCAATTGATGTCGCAGGTTCTAGAGAGATGGACGGAAGAAGAATTGACGCACTATGCTGGCCCCGTTCGGCTCCATGTTGACTTCGTTCACCCTGCGCAGCAGCACGAAGAGGTCTTTGATCACCAGCTTGCGCTCCTCGGACATCATCCGGCCAATGGGATCTGTCTGGGCATGCAGCTGAGCTGGGGAGCAAGCATAAGAGGGCGTAGCAGCAGCGACACCCAGAGACGCGCCCGATTGGCCTTCGCTCTTGACACCCGTTGTATTAGAGAAAGATGTAGTGGTATTCGGAGTGGGCTGGGTGGGCAATTTCCCGTACTTTGAAAACGCTTCAAACAGATTCCAGTACTTTTCAACAAGGTAAGAGCGGGTGCACAGCTGACTGGCGTAGATATTGGCTTTTTGAATCTCGTACTGGATGGCGCGCCGTTCTTGGTGGATGTGGTCATCCGAGTAACTGAAGACCGAGCCGTCTTCGCCGAGTCCCGACAAGCCTGCAGGAGAAATCTGCTTCGGGTGGTGCAGCGATAACTCGACAGGCACCTCGAGCAGTGCGGTCCGCGCTTTCTGAAGACATTCCCAGATCGTGGAGCGCTGGTGCTCCCAGTCGAGAACCTGACAACTGCCAAATGCGATTTCCCACGCCATCAAGGCGTTGTACGAGCTGTACACGCGCACGTTGGCGTTGAATCCGACCAGACGCGAGACGCGCGTTGGCGGCTGCGCCTCGATATGTCCTGGAAACAGGAACTCGTCGTCTATTTCCAACGGGAGCGGTGGGTAGCGGTCCGTTGGGGTTTCGGGAGACACGAAGACTTTGGTGTCGGAGGAGCCGAGTTGGAGCAGAGTCTGGTACCCGACAAATGAGACGTAAAAAAGACGGCGGCCCAGTTCTTGGGTGATCAGGTCGACCGTCTGGTTGTCGATGAGGCTGTGGCCGGTATGATCCTGCGTGAAGATGGAGGCGGTCGACATCGGACTGGTGGGACCTAATGTAGAGGCTGGCGGAAGGCTATTGGGAGATCGACACAGATCGAAAACTTGAATGATTGTCCGGCATTCTGCCAGATAGGTACGACACCGGCGTATGCTATAGATGTAACCGGCACAAGCACCCAGGAAATAACTGATGGCCGCGTCGTAGACCGTCGCATTACGGTCAAGATACCCGGTGCCACGGGCTTGGATAGCAACATCATGGCAGCGCTTGACGAGCGCAATCGAGTTGGGAAACGCAGAGCGCTCGGCCTCGGTGTTCAGCCGCAATTTCGGGCGCCGGGGAAATGAAGCGACCAAGAACCCAATCATGGACGCTATCAGGGCCAGGAACGTGGGATCTGTGACATCTTCGCGCCGCTCAAACGCAGCCCGGAACGTCGGCTCATGCGGAACGGGAACTAGAGGGTGGATATAAGTAAAGAAGTCATCGAGTAGCAGCTGCACTGTGCGCAAGGAGCAAATGGATTCCGCTGAAGCCGAGAATACCGCGGGCTGTGGGTTCATAGGTGTCGTGGTCGTGGTTTGCGGGGTGGTTGCCGCTGGATAATCAGCTGGACTGCACGGAGACCCATCCGGCTGCGGATCCAACTTCTGTTTCTTGAGTGCCTCTGCATGGCGGTTGGGCGGACCGCGGCGTCTGCTTGGCCGTTTATAGGTGCAGGGGATATCCAAGCTCGCGCAGGACCGACAAGGCGGCCCGGCAGTATCACACTGGCATGGGTCAGTATCCTGCGAAACATAATGGTTTCTACCTACGCAAGTAGGAATTTCTAAGAGCATATATCAACGACCCACCTTCACTTTACGAATGCTGCAGGCATCGCAGGCCTTGCGCAGCCTCGTCCTTTGGTCCATCGGTGAGCAAAAGGCGCAGCCGGAACGACCAAGCTCTCAAGTGTCAGATCATGGTCATCAATCCGGAATGACTATGCTGAGCTTGGCAGAATCCACAGGAGAGGATCCAAGGTCTGCGCAGGGCACTTAGAGGATCTCCTCCCCGAACCGGCGGAGATTGGCGTGGGCCGTGCGGCATCCCTTGAAAAACAGACCTCTATGAGAAATTCACCCGCCACGCGATCAAGGTTGTCGCCCTTGCTAGCTTGTAAACCGGGGATGGATCAACTGGAGGGCGCAAACACCCTGTACTCGCGAGGTTGGCTCGCCCCGGAATGTCGATTTTGCAGCAGGCAGAGAGTCTCAGGGCGAGATGCTGCCGACCAACTTCCAGCTTGACTCGGCCCGGGAATATCCTCGGGTTCAAGAGAGAGAGAGAAAGTAGCGGAAGGGTCACGTGCAACACATAATCCAGGAATTGACACAATTCTTCTACTTGGAGTGATTTGCACTGCATTTAAGTGGTTTTCTATGGGTCGAGGGGCTATGTCCGAGTCCCTGTGGAGCTCAACTCAAAGGGCGCTGGTCAATTTTACTGGGTTTATGGCAAGATGTGGGCTCTCCGGGAATCAGGGGAACCCCAAAAAACCGGCAAGGCTTGGGGGCATCTCTCCGTGTATATTGAAAGGAAATTAAACATCAAGGTCGTAACTTGAGCCGTAACTAAGGCTCATCGTGATAATTGTCGCCCGGCTGATTGGGCTGAGCGGCAAGTTGCTGCTTGCGCTCGAGGTCCACGGCCCATAGCGCAGAACCAGCAGCCGTGGTCATCAAAAACAGCATGGAGAAGGGCGGGATCAGTTGGAGGATCAGCGCGACCGATCCGAATCTGCAGGTGGTCAGACCCGTACCCACATCCACAAGCAGACAACAGCAGCAACACTCAGAGATGGTATCCGGGGTCACTTACAACGTATATTGCAGCTGGCGCCGGCGCACACACTCTTTTCGCTGCGGCTTGGTTAGCTCCAGCAGCTGGAAATACCGCCAGTGATGGAACGGCCCCGCCCGGTAGCCGGTCAAGACCAAGAACATAGGCGTTCCAGCCACCGGGATGAAGTTTAGTGGGAGCAAGACAACAAACTCGATGATCTGTCGGAGCGAGAAGGGAGCATAGACCGCGCTGGTGGTCGGCGTGCCTAGGCGACTGGCCGGATTGCCGGGTTCCGGGTACATGACTCGCGACGTCAACACGAGCTCCTCCTGGCCCTCGTTGACCATCACCGCATCAAAAATATCCACCAGTGTCTCGTCCACAAAGAAGGCTTCGAACAGCACCGCGACAATCGCGGCACCTTCGCCCAGAACCAAGAATGCGCCGTTCACCCATGCCCCAACACCCTGGAAGATGGATAAGAAGGCAACTTGCGGGAGGTAGGCGAAGAAAAAGAGAATAAAATAGATAAAGGTCGATAGGAGGAGAATGGGAAGGAGGCGAGCTTTAAACAAGGGCCAGAGGAAGCGATGCTTTGCGAAGTAGTAGATGCCCTACGTAGAGTTAGCATCGGTGAGTGACAGAGGAGGGGTTCGAGGCCACTTACCCGTAGAGGATACAGATAGGCTGCTCGAGTCGAATCTAAGAGATGGGACATGATTGGATGGGTCGATTCCAGATTCCAATACGGCTGGCATATGCGGCATGGAAAGAGTCCAGCAGCTGTGCAACTTGGGAGCTTCGACGCGGAGGGTGTTATCGATAAGAGTCACGTGGAAGCTATATGATGACTCATCCACTGGTTATTTTCTCCCAGAAATTTCTCTCATTCTTTCTTTCTTTCATACAAAACTGAACACTCCTCCTTATTCACTCTGAAGTCCAAACTCAATGGATCTTTCTGGAGGGGAAATAGGAGGACAGACCAACTTGCTGCTGGCTTACCCCAAATTCTTCTCCTCAAGCATGGAGCGTTTGGAAATATTTTCAGCGGTACATCCTCTTTTTTTCGTCTCTTATGGATGTGGGACAGAGACTACAGCCGCCGGCCCTTGACCTCTTCCACGATGTGCTCTAGACTCTGGACAATTGCATCCGGCCGTAGGTCAGGAACCGCGGCATCCTTCCATCCAACGCCGACGCGATCGACCCAGATAGCATGCATACCCATGCTGCGTGCGCCGACAATGTCAAAGGGATTGCCGCTGATGAGCCAGAGCTCGTTCATCTGGCTGGAACTCTTGTCCACCTGCTTGGCGAGGTGCTCGTAACTCGCGCGCGAGGGCTTGTAGCTCTGGATCTCATCCACGGTGACAATGTCCTGGAAGACATGGGCGTGCGGCGAGATCTCTCGCGACCGCAGCAACGAGTTGGAGACCATGGCCTTGGTGCCGTTGGAGAACACCACGGCTCGGATGCTGGGGTCAGCTGCGACTCGCGTAAGGGCTGGGTTCACGTCGGCGTAGGTGGAAAGGCTCTCGTAGGCTTCCAGCACCTGGGTTAGGTCGTCGCCGAGTTGTTCGCCGTTCTCGGCCAGGGCATGGACTAATGCATTTCGCGTGACTCTTGCGAAGTCCTCGTAGCGCCCTGCTCGTAGATGTCAGAATTTCCCGTCAAGACACGATAACATGACTTCGGTTGGACACCCACCCATGCTGTTCAGTCGCCAAGTATACTCCAGCTGATACTGGCGCCAGAGCGCAGAGATCGACTGAGCCTTTTCATGGCCGACGTATTTCTCCAGCTGCTTGGCAATGGAGTCAGTAGACAACAGGGTGCCATATAGATCAAAGGCCACGATCGTCTTGTCTGTCATACTGGCGGGGTTGATCGTTCGTCAAGTCTGGCGATGCGAGATAATGTGGTGAGGCATGGTGATGATGTCAATCTTCGTCGGCGGGGCAAATACCCACGTCGGACCTGTCCAACCTTCACTTTTCCCTTCCTCTCGTTTCCCCCCCACGAGGCAGGTCGCCAATCCAAAGGTGTTCAAAAGCAATGACTGCGCCTCAATGACCTCTCAGGAGAACTACCCGGTCTTCCGCGAATGCCTCTCCAGCGCCATCGTCGCTCGTTCCGAACATAAGCCCAAGATCAACCGACGGAAACAAAAAGCGCGGCGCAATGGGCGCAAAGACGTAGAGACAGAGACAGCAGTCTCCGCGCCCGAACGCGCCGACCCAGAAGAGCTGGCCGAGTTCATTGATGTACATCCATCCAGACCAAGACGACCTCATATCTGCAGTCTCTCTCAGAGAATTGTCAAACAACCGAAGCTCAAGACAATGAAAGAAAAACCCAACTAACCACTGACAACGTGTCAATCGCAACAGTTCCTCGCCTCCGAAACCTTCCTCTCTTTCCCAGCAGACCTACAAAACCTTTCATACGCCGCGACACAACACGACCCGACTCTTGCAGCCCGCTACATACCCGCAGACGCAGACACGCCCCTCGACCGAGCGGTCATCGAAACCCTCAGCTCAACAGTACCCGTCAGCATCTCCGACTCATTAGCCGTTTACAGCCTCATTCCCGACGCCAGCGATCTGCCCGAGTTCCTGTCGCCGATACTCACCGAGTATGTCACAAGTGTGACAGCCGGCCCGCCGGCGTGGGCGTCGACGCGCACTGAGGCATGCGAGATCTGTGAGCGGGACTGGATTCCGCTATCGTACCACCACTTGATTCCGCGGGGCGTGCATGCCAAGGTGGTGAAGAAGGGGTGGCACGACGAGTGGATGCTGAACAGTGTTGCGTGGCTATGTCGCGCTTGTCATAGCTTTGTGCATCGCATGGCTACTAATGAGGAGCTGGCAAGGGAGTGGTTTACGATTGACCGAATCTTGGAGCGGGAGGATGTGAGGGATTGGGCGAAGTGGGTTGGGCGGGTGAGGTGGAAGGCGAGGTAGAGAGAAGCTCTGATGCCGTTGGAGCTGTTGGACTACATTACATATTGTATTGTATGATATCCCCACCATGAGATATTCCGGTATTCGCTTTATTAACCTCGGTATGCATGATCGAGGGAAGACTTTTAGTTATGAAAGAAACCCAGGCAATTCATATACACTCATTCATGACAGTGGTGCAAGAAACCATAGAGTACAAGCCCAATGCTCCGGTATATATCCAAACCGACCCAATCTATGCCGGTATTACTTCGTCTTCTTTCTCACTGCCGTCAGGGTTTGTCCAGAGGCCAACGGCCCACACCATCCATAGTTGTCGCACCGACATTGCAAGGTCTCGGGGCAGCTGGGATGGGTCAGTTACACACACACATCATACATGCCTCGAGAATTTCTAGAGAGAGGGAGGGAGAGACTTACTTAATAGAATCCATCCCAAAAACAACATGCCACAAAGACTCAAACACCCACCCCACGCCAAAACTATCGACAATCTCCGCACTAGGCCCATCCACCCAGTTCAGCATGCGCTGATAATCGCTCTTGGGCCGCTGCCTAATCCGGTCCCGACTGACCGCAAACTGAGCGCAACAGATCGCGCCCAGGTGGTCGGGGACCTGCTGCAGCGGCACGGCGAACAGATCCATGTAGATCTGGGAGACGTAGGCGCGGGTATCCTTGGTTTCGATGTCGTGCGGCGTGGGGTTGTGCGGGTGGATCGATGTGGGACAGCCCGGCTCGAACTCGCAGCGCAGGTTCACGTAGCCCTTGGCGTCGACGGCTTCCAGGCGCAGACTCTTGAGCACGGCCTTGGTGGACGGCCCGAAGAGGTCATTGTGCCATTGGTCTTCGTTGGCGTGGATGAAGATCGAGTATGCGGGAAGCTGCTCGTAGTAGTCGACGACGTACGAGAGGTATGCGGAGACTTCGCGGCCGCGTGCGGAGTGTGGAGGGAGGAAGCCGGGCTCTGGTTCTGCGTCGGCCGTGTAGATGAATGGCTTGAAGTTTGGGCTGGTACGATTGTGATTAGTTGTGGATGCCACGGGCATGACCGAAATAAAAATAAAAATAGAAGAAAGTATGTGACGTACTTTTCTTGAATCAGGTCGCGCACCCATTTCACGTCTTCGCGCCGCGTCTTGCCAAACACCAGTCCGACGTCAGCTCCTTTCGGGACATAAGTTCGAATCATCTCGGCAAGCTCTCGCGCCGGCCGATCGCGTTCTTCGGCCTCTGCCCCTGTTCAACATGTCAGCAAATATTCACATTCCAACGTGGGTAAGGGACGGGGGTAAGATCTCAAGAAAGAGTCCGTACGGAGTTGCGCTGCTTCAGCCTCATTTTGCTGGTGAAGCCGGACAGTCAGGATGAAGATGCCGATCAAGAACACCGCGATCAGTCGCAGTGGGCGGCGAGTCATCCACGACAAGCACGCCCGGCGAGAGCCGGCGCCACGACCGTGGCGGTCCATGAGATTGGCTTCAACCCTATCGCGCCGAGTTCCGGGCCCTTGCGCTGCGTAACATCCAATTAGGAGAATGACTAGGGTTTCTTCAAGGGACAAGATGATCCTCCGGGCACTTTCCAGAAAGGAATCTGGGGACTTTTGGCCCACATCGTGACAGTGCAACCTGACTAAGGCGCAGACCCGCTTCGCGCCGCAAACAGAGGATGCGCACGGTTCTATAGATCGTTGCGGGTGAGTCGACCTGGTCCCACGCAGCCCTGATATGGGTGAAATATCTAATTATCCAGCAGGGAACTTTTATCCTTTTGGTGTTCTGTGATTCTGGCTACTCGGCTATCCATTTACCCAAGTCATATTCAAAAAGTACGATGGTGAGTAAGTACTGAACAGCCTTTTTACGACTATGGTTTACACTGTTTATACCTCCAGTATCCAAAGATCAATTGAACTGCAAAGTAGTCGACGATGGGTCTGCTCAATGCTTTGAATATCTCTCGGAGGCCTTCATTACAGCTGCGGCGGCATCTTTGCTCGTTGATTCTTTACTTTGCCGCCATCAACATCAGCCCAGACACCAGACAAATCTTTCGACTCTGAAGCCAAATGATGACTGATTTTTACACCATGAAGACCTCGGAACTATGAGCGTATCCTAGTCAAGTGCGCGGGGTCGAGGGTGGCGCCTGCTGGTTTCCACGCAGTGCCTCGAAGCAAGCCCAGTTGCCTATCGCTAACATCCTCCCATATCCCAGACTGCATTCTTCACACACTTGGCACTGCGACCTCAGCCCTCAACTCACCAAGTGCCGTCGGGGTTCCGCCTGCAGTTTTACTCCTCGGGTGTCCGCCGGTGCTATCAACCTGCCTCCTCTTCTGCCAAGTACAGCCAAGCCTCTCAACGTCAAGCACCTCTGCTATTTCTTATCGCGTGAAAATGGCGTGACAGTCAATGCGATAGATATAAAACCTTTCCTGCTGTTTACCTTTGAATGGTTCCAAGGCTACTTTGATATCGAACCGTGGACTACTCAACAATGAAGTGGCTCTTCCTGGTATACCACCTGTCCGTGGCCCTGGCCGGCCGGACGAAGCCTCTGGTTTCACCGGTATGTACAAAGAAAATATGCTACCGTTGCTTTTTCATGTATACTGATCTAGTAGGATGAATTCCCTTCTGCAATTCGACTCAAAGACCTTTTGAAAGGGACCCAGAAGCTTGAGGATTTCGCTTATGCGTATCCCGAGCGGAACCGTGTCTTTGGCGGCAGGGCACACAACGATACCGTTGACTTCCTTTATCACGAATTGAAGAAAACCGGCTATTATCATGTGTGGAAGCAGCCACAGGTGCACACATGGACCAAGGCTGAGTCCTCTCTGAAGTTCGACAGCGATTCCATCGAATTGACTGCCATGACATACAGCCCCAGCGTGGATATCACTGCAGAGCTTGCAATAGTCTCGAACCTGGGGTGCAGTGCACCAGATTACCCGAACGACGTGGCTGGCAAAATCGCTCTTGTCAAGCGCGGAGAATGTACTTTCGCAGACAAGTCGACGCTGGCTGCTGCGGCTGATGCAGCCGCCATCCTCGTCTACAACAACGCCGCGGGGTCTTTGAGTGGAACTCTTGGTGGCGTGTCAAACACTTACGCCGCTATTGCGGGAATCTCCCAGGCTGACGGCGAGTCCCTACTCAACGCGGCAGGAAATGGCGCCGTGACTGTCTCTCTTGACATCGACAGCAGAATCGAAAACCGCACTACTTTCAACGTGATTGCAGAAACAAAAGGCGGCGATCACAACAACGTCGTCGCATTGGGAGGCCACACGGACTCTGTCGAAGCTGGCCCGGGCATCAACGATGACGGATCTGGGATTATCAGCAACCTCGTGGTTGCAAAAGCACTGACGCGGTTCTCTGTCAAGAATGCCGTGCGGTTTTTGTTCTGGACCGGAGAAGAGTTCGGTCTCCTAGGCAGTGAGTTCTATACCTCGCATCTGAGTCCCGCGGAACTGGCGAAAATCAAGCTGTACCTGAACTTCGACATGATCGCCTCGCCCAACTACGCGTTGATGATCTACGACGGCGACGGAAGCGCCTTCAACCAAACGGGACCCGCGGGCTCTGCCCAGATCGAGGCCTTGTTCCAGGACTATTACACCTCCAAGAACCTGCCGTACATTCCAACTGCCTTTGATGGGCGATCTGACTACGACGGATTCATCTCTCGTGGCATTCCCGCAGGAGGAGCGTTCACCGGTGCCGAAGGCATCAAGACCGCAGAAGAGGCGAAATTGTTCGGTGGCCAGGCGAATGTATCTTACGATGCGAACTACCATGCCGTCGGGGACAACACCACCAACCTCAACCATGAGGCCTTCCTGCTCAATTCGAGGGCTACGGCTTTTGCTGTCGCAACGTATGCCAACAGCCTGGCTTCAATCCCGCCGCGGAATGGAACACTTGCCAGGCGAGTCGTCAAGAAGAGAGCCCCACGCTCGCATGCTCACACCAAGGGCACGGGGTGCTTCCATTCTCTGGTTGAAATATAGATTCATGAGCGTCTATGTGTAGAGGCACAGAACTATTCGATGCAGTTTGCTCTTCTTTTCTGACCAATAACGATTGTTGTTCATGCTGAGAGAGATAGAATATTCTGTTTCAAATTGAACCAATATCTACCAGCAACGAAATGGATTATTCTCCTGAGTCTTCATGATTACTTCTAAATGCCAACGGGTTGATATCAAATGGACCATAGAGGGAGCCGACATCTCTCTACACGCCAGGGCTAAGCAAAATACAAACGAGGAACTTCATTTCTTTTTGAAAATTACTTCGGCAGTAAAAGCCGAAGGAAAGAAGATCTTTCTAGAGTGAGAATCAATATTTACATCCACTGCCATAGATACCAACCCTTGTTGTATATGCAACGCCCGCTGGACCCGCCCAGTCATCCATGGATAATATAGTACAGCCCACACACCGGATAATCAATGCTAGAAATACACGCAGTCCAATGAACCGCTCACGCTGATGCTCCAACAAAAAAACAATGCGAGAGAGCTGCCCCCCCTCTCCTCTCCAGTATGTACGAAGGACATGGGCTCATAGGTAGCGCTTCTCGAATATTTCCTCGTAGCACTGGATATGGTCGCCGACGGAAAAGTCGGCCCAATCGTCGAAGCCAATACCACACTCGGTGTCTTTGCGCATTTCGGTTACGTCCTTCTTGACGTTTTTGAGAGAGGAGATTGTACCTGCAGAAAGCAAAATGTCAGTTCGGTTCAAGCTGGAGGAAAAAAATGGTTGTGGGTTATGTGCAGAGAACTTACCGTCGTAGATCGTCTCGTCCCCGCGGATCACCCGCACCTTGCGGTTGCGGTTCATCGTACCGTTGCGCACGCGGGATCCGGCAATGGCGGTCTTCGCGCGGCCCTTGAGGGTGACCTCGAAGACCTGCCGCACCTCGGCTTCTCCCGTCACGCGCTTGGTGATGCTCGGCGGCAGGTGCTTGCTTAGGATGTCCTTGACGTCGTCGATCAGTTTATAGATGATGTTGTGGTCCATGAGATTCACGCCCTGGAGCTCGGCCATGCGCATCGTACTGGCATCGATGGGCATGTTGAAGGAGATGATGTGGCCCCTGGCACTGGCGGCATGCTCAATGTCGAACTCGGCCACCGGGCCCACGCCTGAACGAATGACGTTGGCATAGACCTCGTTGTTGCCAATGGCGGCGATCGAGTTCAGGACCGCTTCGGCCGAGCCGTCCACGTCTGCCTTGACGACGAAGTTGATCGCCTTGGGACCAGTCGGTTCCTCAGGGACACTGGTGGGTTCTTCGGACTCGGATTCCTCAGCCTCGGCCTCGGCTTTGCGCTTCTCTAGTATGTCCCGCCGCGCCTCGTTGATAGCAACAATGTCCTGGCCCATCTTCTTCGTCTCCGACCGCTCCTGGCGATACGCCACGACGTCCTTGGCCTTTTGCTCGCTCGGAGCTTGCAACATCTCAGTCCCTGCCGTAGGCTGCTCCCTCCAACCGTCAATCTCTACAGGCATTCCAGGTGTCGCCTCATCAACAGACACCCCAGCTTCATTGCGGAGCGTGCGCACACGAGCCCAGGTGGTTCCCGCAACGATCACATCGCCTGGACGTAGCGTGCCGCGGCGGATCAGAGCCGATGTGACCCGACCATAGGTCTTAGTTGTGGTCTCAATGACCCATCCCTCCACATTGCCATGGATATCTGCACGGTGATCAAGCATTTCGGATAGTGCCACGATGGCTTCTTCAAGGTCAATCATGCCTTGGCCAGTTTTGCCACTCACGGGGATGGCCTGGACATCACCACCGTAGTCTTCCACATTCACCCCATGCATCGCGAGGTCTTGCTTCACCCGATCTGGGTTCCTGCCCTCTTTGTCGATTTTGCTGATGGCGACAATTATCGGGACCTTGGCTTGCGTGGCGTGCTTGATAGCCTCAATTGTTTGCGGCTTGACACTGTCATCTGCAGCAACCACGAGAACCACAATATCGGTCACGTCGGCACCACGCCGTCGCATTTCCAAGAATGCAGAATGGCCGGGGGTATCCAAGAAGGTGATAGTCTTTCCGGAAGGCATCGCCACGGAAAACGCGCCAATATGCTGTGTAATACCTCCGTGCTCCGAAGCTGCCACCGACGACTTGCGCAACCAGTCTAAGATGGTGGTTTTACCATGATCGACATGTCCCATAATAGTGACGACGGGCGGCCGCGGTGGCAGAACGGACGTGTCCTCTGGCACCGGTGCAGCCTCGAGTTCATCCGTTGCGGTTTCGAAAATGGGCTCGAAGTTGAACTCGGTCACCACCAGCCCAGCAGTCTCTGCATCCAGCACGTGACTATAGGTAATGTCCTCGAAACCCATGTCCTCCATCCGCTGCACAAACTGCGCCGGTCGAACGTTAATAACATCCGCCAGATTGCTGACACTGATAAATTCAGGAAGATAAAGAGGTGCCGGGGCTTCTTTAGCCTTTTTCTTCTCCGCCTTTTTCCTCAACAATTTCTTGCGCTCTTCGCGACGACGTTGGTGCTCCTCCACATCGAAATCGTCATTGTCCTTGGTGGGGCGTTGCTTGCGACTATCGCGGTGCTTCGAAGTTTTCTGGGACATGTTCTCCGTCTCGGTGGCTTCTTCTAAACGTTCCAACGAAGACATATCCCATGACCACTGGTCCTTTTTATCGGTTTTGGATTCTGCCTCAGGAGTTTCGCCAGAATCTTTCACGTCAGGCGTTTTCTCTTTTCCTTCCATTTCAGACAAGAAAGATCGACCCAGTTCGCGGAACTTGTTGATTTCTTCCTGTAAAGGCGGCGCAAATGACGGTGCTAAAGCTCGGTTTGTACCACACTTAAAGCACACATTGCGTTCCTCCAAAACATGCGTTCGACATGTTGGGCAGTCCCAACCACTTCCTTGCTGTTCCGGCTCCACCGTATTTAGGGGGATTCCGGCCGAGCGGTTTTGCAGAAGGGGCACATCTCGTGTCGAGAGAAGACATGGGCCATGCATCCTGGGCAGGCCCAATCGTCGTTGTGTCGTACATGCTGAGCGACGGGTCTAGACCGATGGCTGCTTCTATTTCTCTTCGCAACTGCAACTGCGGCTGGGTCTCTTGAAGAAGGTCGTGGTTGTTCGGCTGATGGATCAGTGGCCCTATTGAGGTCTTTATCAACCCGTGTGCGACTAGGAAACTGAGATCGAGCCTTTGGCTTTCGAGGCGGCTCTGGCTCAGGTGCCGGTTGGCTTTTGGCGACTAAGGAATTGCGAAGTGCTTGCTCGGCCGGACTCAAGCTAGCCGGCTTTTGAGTCTGTCGACTGCCCCATCGGGGTGCGAATTTTGGAGTCGGAGCCCGTGGAGCTAAAGACGATCGAAAGCCGCGTCGCGACGTTAAGGATGTCGAAGTCGGACATGAAAGGCTGCACGGGCAGGACAAATCGATTCGCCGCGAGAACTAAAGAATATCATTAGCGCATCATCAATCAACAAGCCCCAGAAGCAACCTACCCTCCAGGCTGCCCGTGGGTTCATAGCTGCGAGCGCGTTGACAGCCAACACTTTTTTCCCATTGCAGAAGTTCGGGGCGATAAGATGCTTATGTCATTCTATTAAGTCATCCGCTTACGTAAATTTTCCTCGGCAAAGTCACGTGCTTCGGCGGGATCCTCGAATCAGCGGGCAGATGGCGCCATCGATAAGCGGCTTCCTGTTCCTGGTATAAAGTCTGGGGTCTCCAAACTATCAATCCTTCCCCTTGTCTTCTTTTTGTTGCATATAATTGCCGTTTCCCTGGCCTCGTCATGGAGTCCGAAGCATTTGAAGATCTGGAGAAGGGCGGTGGCGCTCTGCGCACCGTCAAGGATCTGGGCGCGGGTGCTGCTGGTGGCATGGCCCAGGTTCTTCTTGGTATGTGTGCTGCTGGAGCCCAATTCTAGCGGGAACCGGCCATTATGAAGGTCGCGTTGGTGCATAACTTTTATAGTGGGCATTTACGGGCAGATTTGAACATGTCTAACAATATCCACAGGACAACCCTTTGGTTCGTGGCCCGAGCAAATCACACCATCGTGAGTTTGGGATTGACAATTTGACAGACATTGTCAAGGTGCGGCTACAGACCACCACTCAGTACTCGAGTGCTCTGGACTGCGCAACCAAGATCTTTCAGAATGAAGGCCCCGCGGCCTTCTACAAGGGAACACTGACTCCATTGATTGGAATCGGTGCCTGCGTAAGTGGCCCTTGAGCCAGAGCTACAGCCGGCATTCTGACGCATCTAATTGCAGGTAAGCGTGCAATTCGGTGCATTCCACGAAGCGCGCCGGCGCCTGGAGGAGTTGAACAAGAAGAAATACGCCAACCCGGCCCTCTCGTACGGGCAGTACTATATGGCTGGTTCGTTCGCCGGTGTCACTAACTCGGTCCTCTCTGGCCCAATTGAACACGTGCGTATTCGACTGCAGGCGCAGCCGCACGGCGCCGGTCGTCTGTACTCGGGACCGTTGGACTGTGTCCGCAAGATGTCCGCACACCAGGGGATGCTGCGTGGTCTGTTCCGCGGCCAGGCAGTTACCATTATCCGTGAGGCCCAGGCCTACGGGACGTGGTTCCTGGGCTTTGAGTACATGATGAACCAGGACGTCAAGCGTAACAACGTCAAGCGGGAGGACATCTCCAGCTTGAAGGTGGCCACCTACGGTGGTCTTGCCGGCGAGGGTCTTTGGCTGTCCAGCTACCCGTTCGATGTTGTCAAGAGTAAGATGCAGACCGATGGGTTTGGTGTGAACCAACAATTCAGCTCCATGCGCGACTGCTTCAAGAAGACCTACGCTGCCGAGGGTCTGGGTGGCTTCTGGAAGGGCATTGGCCCGACTTTGCTGAGGGCTATGCCCGTCTCGGCTGGCACGTTCTTTGTGTACGTTGACCCGCTGTTGTTACTAACACTCTCCCTAGTCGAATAAAGCTGACTACTTTATGTCTTACTAGTGTCGAGCTCACTATGAGAGCGCTTGGATAAACTCACTGTAACTCCTTTTGGTGAAACGTGTGCTTTGTTTATGCTGCCATTTTCTTGGTTTGTGATATCCAAGACTGTTCAATGCTTACCTGGATTGAGGGCTACAAAAAGTTGCACAGGATTCTATACATGGGTCTGTATCTAAATCAAGGTTTCTATAATAGAATATCATTTCAGTAAGGCTTCTCAGCTTCGCTTCAGCCAATTTCCTACATTTGGATCGAGGATTTTCGTTTATAAATATAACTCGAGATCACTATTCCCGACAAGTAACCACTCGCCTACTACATTGCTAACGAGAAATCCCCAAAGAAATCCTGCCACGCAGTAGGAAAATAAAATAAATTCAAACCCGGAAAGTCCCACTCCGACACAAACTGCTCCGGTACAAACCCCTGCAAGTCCGCCTGAGCATCGAAGAGCTCCCAAAACGGCGACGTAGCCGAGTCGCCAGCGGCGCTACTTGGCTGTGTTTCTCGAAGGGCACGCCCATACTTCTCGACACTGACCTTCAGAATCTGGAGGTAGATATTGCCCGCCCCAGACTGGGTGCCATTGGACCGGGCCTTGCTTAGCTCGTCTACCAGGCGGTTGCCATGGTCGAGAAACTCCTGGTGCTCTTCTTCCTCGCGCTCGGGTAGAAGACGGGATAGTTTGAGGAGCAGCAAGAAGGAGAATGCGCATTTGGCCCAGACGAAGTCCATGGCGTATTTTAGCTTCGCGAGGTAGTAGTCTGGCTTGACGATGATGAGGTGTAGATGGCGCCGTGCGCTGGATTTGGCTGTTAGGAGGATGGTTCGCTCGGTCTCTGACATTGCACTTGGATTTTGTGGGTTTAGTTGATTTGTGTAGTGCTCTCAGCTATAATGACGGACATAACTGAGGGCTGATAGATGCTCTACTTACGCCACATTCTCGACGCCCATGGCTCGAAGTGCTTTGCAATTCAGCATCATTTCTGCCCAGCATTTTTGCACCTTTAGAGCAACTAGCAAGAACGGCTTTTCGCTGTTTGCAGCCGGAGAACTCTCTTCGAGAAGGTTAAAATTGGTGGCCGGGACATGAGGATAGCAGCCCAAACATACCGATGATACGTAGCCAGTCACTGTCAGAGTTAACATCGAAGAGAGATAAAGAGGATGAAGGTCCACGAAAACACTCACTCAAACCACAAATCGATATCGATCTTGGTCTCGTGCACATATTCAACGATGGCCGACCGATCCAGCGTTGTTTCCAGCCCTAGAGTGTCGTTGACGTTCGCTATAGAAAGAGAAAAGTGAGAATTATGCTTAGGGTTTTTTTTTAGGGGTTTTTTTTTTTTTTTTTAAAAAAAAAAGGTAAATTTCTTTTCACCTCTGAGAATGTTCAGCTGTTTCATAGAATGTCAGTATCTTTTCTCGAGCTTTTCAAGACTCGGACACGTCAATCATACCTCAACTTGAGACAATAACCGTAAGTCCAATATTGTGGATGCGGGATGACTGAGCAAAATCCGACATCGTCGCGCATTTCCTGCCAGCCGAATACCAGGAGGTTTCCCTCCGTCAACGCGGAATCTGCATCAAGAGAGACCTATCAGCCTTGAAAAGCAGGAATATACAGATCCAGAAGTTGTTACATGTGCTCGAGAACCAAGAGCCCAAACCACGTCCGCGACCTTCTCATCAGGTCTTGCTCCTCTTCAAATGTTTGGTCGAGTATCCCATATGCATTGTCGTCGGTCTTCATCGCGAGACGATGCGTGAGTTCCTCGAAGGCTTCATGCAGTCCCAAGTCCAGGGCCATACGAGTCGCAAAGGACAAGATTAGCAAACGCTCGGCCGAATAGCAGGCGACGATTAGCATAGTTTGGACTGATTCTAGGCAGTTGAGGTGTTTGTTCTGTATGATGACGTTGATCCATTTCTTGAGCTCAGCATGGAGCATGTCGGACATTGGGCCGCCGGATTCTGTAACAAGAGCTCAGAAACCTAGGGATAGTGAAATAGGAAAAGGAATACAGCCTCCACTTACTAGTCTCTACCATGCAGCCTATAGTGCATATGGCATTGAGAAGAATACTGCTTCGAGATCGCACTGAATCGAACGTGTCATGCTTAGGGTCGAAAATCGGGATATACCTGTCCTGCTCACGTATCAATATATCTGCAAATACTATTAGAAAAGGAAGATAGGATCACTAACACAGCCTTGGAAGAAGCTAAGAAACTATGCGTTAGCTGATTGACAAGGGAAACCCGCCAGACTCGAACATACGTGTTAAAGCAGGAGACAGCACATTTGGGTGTGATGAGCCCCTTGTCAATGAAATCCGCAATCGGTTCATCTCGGACCTCAAAACAAGAGCGCTTCCTCTTATTTGAGCGAGAATTATCTGAGCTCGAAGCCTCATGAAGGGAAGGAATGGAGATCTCATTCGGGGAGACTGCCGCCAGGGATCTCTGATAATGGTGCTCGCCAGCGTGTACTATTGAATCTGGCACCGCAAGGGTGGCAAACTCATCTTGTTTATGAGTAATTTGTTGCTGATAGTCTTCTGGCCTAGAGGAACCACTGTCTTGAGAATAAGGCGTGAATCGCGAATGACTCTGCTGGAGCAACTCCCGCATTTCATTGAGCTGTCTTCTTAAATACTGTACTTCGGACTCGACGCCTTCAAATCGCCTGGAGACATGTTAGTGGCTAGTCCCTGAGGTTCGAAGACTGGTGGGCTGCATACTCCGAGACAGGGTCTCTAGGCATTTCGAAGAAAACGCATCGTTTGTCTAGTTTTTGGCATCTTCAAATAGATTTCATAAGTTAGCTGCTACATGCAACTGCATGATGTTGAAATAAACCATAGCTTGGTGGATCGGTATATTCACCTCGTACACGGTCTCTCGCCATCGCATCGAACCTGTCAAGAAATCAGCTCATGAACTTCCCAGCGGCCAATATCGTAATCAGCATACTTTTGAATGTCGACATGCACTGCATGCTTTCTGTACCAAAGATGGCAGAGGGTCAGCAACAAAACATCCAGCCCTCTTAGACAGAGGATCTCGGGTAAAACGAACTGGAATCCGCTTTTTCCCAATTGGCGCAGGGACAGTATGCATAGGCTCGTCTGACTGCATCTCTCGGGTTTTGTATCAAGCAAATAAACCGCGCATAAGTCGAGTCTCGGTTTCCCCAGGCGATGTAGATGACGGAAAGGAGAAAACGCGGGGTTCGGCATTTGCGCCGACTCGGCTACTGTGACTATGCTTAAGTATTCGATCCCTTGAAGTTTATTTTTCTTTTCTACTTTTCTCGATAGATATCTCGGTGGCATGTACAGGGAGAGGTATTAATGCGTGGCCACTGTACTTTTAGATACCCCAGAGGACTCTGGTCGGATGCAAAACGCCCGGTGAAAGAAACAAATTGATCTATGTTGTTTCTTCCATTAGACTATCTTAAAAGGATGATAAATTTCCCAGTCATTTGGATTTTGCTCAATAGCTGCATTTAACAAGGAATAAAAAGTCCAGATATCATCACTATCAGCCCAAATCCGAGCCTGCCTAGTACACATAGACAAAATCCTCATTTTTCCAGTCCGTCAGATCCCTGAAGGCATTATCCTCAGCCATACGTGGAACAGGCATATCCTCCTTGTCAGCGACCGTAGCGCCAATGGCATGCATCGAGTGGTCCACGACTTTGGCATTCTTTCCAAGAGTCACGCGCTGTTTCTCATGCTGCTTGTTCAGGAAAAATAGATACCCCATATTCAACCTTGAGAAAAGGGGGTAGAAGAAATGAGAGTTAGTTCGGATATCCCGGGGCTGGATAGGGATGAAACTCACAGGGAAAGGAACACTAGGGCACAGAACATTGCGAGGCTATCGAACAATTAGCTCCTGTCGCAAGATAGCCGATGCATAGATAAACATACTTTGAGAGTAGTCCTCGACGGTAGAGTGGTGCTTCTGCTGTAGTGTAGAGATTTGGGCCAATGATCTGATTGATGGAACTAGGTTAGTTTCTGACATCCATGGATATCCTTCTGGCTTGGGGCTTGCTGCGCACGTTACCGACACACTGGCCCACGATCAGGATACCAGTGGTCACTTTCTTTTTGGTCTCTCCGGCTGTATTTCCGGCAGACCAAGAGTAGATCAATGGGGCTGAGAAAAAGAAAATTAGGGCTATGTTGGCGTCAACAGCTGAAGATACACTTACTGATGCCCGGATACACCGAGATCTAGTTCAAGAGTCAGTGACTTGCCAACAGCTCTCAACTGAAAACAAGAACATCAAAACGAAAAGAAAAAAAATGAAGCAAAAAGAGAGGGGGGGTAAACTCACAATATAGTATCCCACAAGCAATGGCGCCTTGTGCGCAGCATCATGGGCAATGCGTAGTAGCATCACACAGCCCGCAATAGGCGGAAGGCACAGCAACACCAGCACCGGACCCTTCATCTTCAGCGCGGTCGCCAGCCAGGCGCCTCCCATAGTGGCGACGAGCTGGACCGCGCCAAATGGGATATTGAGCAGAATGGTATTAAATTCGTCGAAGCCAAAGGCCTTGACGATCAATGGACCGAAAGTGGTGATGCCACCACTTGGGATCCTGTTTGCAATTTCAAGTTATTTCTTGTATAGCATGTGGGTATAGATGTGTTGTGGGTTCATACGAGATGGAAAACATCAGTGCAAACCAGAGCCAGGATTTGAAGTCCAGGCATGCTTCCTTGACATGCTCCCATTTCCATTGGTGGCTCTCAATACCCTGTTGGTTCATCCGCAGTCTGTTTTATTCTTGTGAGCTGTTGGCCATAATACAAGCACGAGCTGGGTCAAGAACCTTTCGATCGCCACCAGTTTGTCATCCTCGTGGAGGAACTTGGCCCGCACGGGAGAGTCTGGCATAAATACCCTGTTGTACAAAGTCTTAGTCGAGGGCCGTTTGAAGGGAGCTTGCCGAAGCCCTAACTCACAGGACAACGGTCGAGAATCCGACGGTAAGGAGACCAAAGAACAAAAATATGATCTGAGCAAAGATGGGAGAATTAGTCCCCAAAAGTCCATGGCACTTGATCTCGAACAGCAACCCACCTGGTATGGCGCAAAGACGGAGGATTTGATATGGCCGAGTCCGTATGTGATCAAGCTTCCGAACTACATCCACACAGAAACTGATTATCAATGTGTCGCCCTTCAACATCTCCAACGCGTTCTTTGTGGAGCGACTCACCATGTTCACCACTCCATTCATGGCATACCATGACCCCAGCCTCACGGGCTGCTCTCGTCGCCGATACCACATCTGAGTCACCGCGATGAATGCCGGAGCTTTGGAACATACCCCATTAAAAGATATACTACGAAGTCGACAAAAGGTTCAACTCACCAACTCCCGCTTCAAAGGCACCCAGCAGCAATCGACAAACCATCAACCCCGCAAAACTGTTGGCCGCAGTCATACACGATAGGGTAATACCCCACAGAAGAGTAGACACGGCCAAGAACTTGCCCAAAGGCATCTTAACCAGGATGTAAGCGACCAAGGGCTGCGCAACCAGCTGAGCAACGTAGACCACCGATCCCAGCCACGAGTACTGCTGACCATGGAGATGAGCCTTTTCGATGATCCCAAATACCGACGCATACGAAAGAGTGGACTTGTCTAGCTGCTGGAGGAAGTAGATGCCCAGAAGAATGGGGAGGAGTCGTAGGTCGATCTTGCGGAGGACTCGGGCGTTGTTCTCAGGGGTGAGGATTGTCGAGTGGCCGGCATCCTCGATCAGCTGTAGAGCCTTATCTTCCCTGGGTTCTTCATGGTGAGTTCGTGGCAGTTGTTGCGCAGTGTCAGCTTCAATAGATTCCACGAATTCCTCCTGTTGGCGTTTTGTCTGTGCGGCTTCTGTTTCGTGCGACATGGCTGAGACGAGGAGCCTGATTTCACGAGGTCGATAGAAGTGATCAATATGAAGGCAACTGGAAAAAAAAATCAAATAAAGGGTTTATCAGAAGAGGTACATGGTAGACGAGTACAGGCTGAGATCCACATGCATTTGCGGAGTATGCAAGAACCCCGTGGGGAAGAGAAGTTTATTACTTCGGACGAGAGAGGCCCATGTCCGATCCTCGCAACAAACAAACACCCTCGAACCCCCCCCCCCCCCTTAGCGCGTCAAAACCGCCATTTGACTCTGGGCTGCCATCCACGCGGCCGGCAGATATCGCTCACCACGGCAGCACACATTCCGGCCATGACCGGACAACCTCCGATGAGCGATCCAATCATCACCCTGGCAATGAGGAGGGGTGTTGTCGAGGAGGAGGCGGCATTTTTCAGGTGAATTTAGTTGTCGGCTTTCGGATGTCAAGACCGATCAGCGGAGAGAAGGGTGGCCACGGGCATAGAGGTAAATAGGGGGCAAATAACAGCTCAGTAGAGACGCTATTCAGGCTGTTCCTCGAGTATCTTTCCCTGAATTAAGATTCCCAGGCGTGTTAAACAGTCATGTTTCAGCATTAAATGCACAAGACAGTTCGAGGATTAGCCGTTGAGCCGGGTTGACTTGGTACTTTGAATAGGTTAGCTCGTCTAGACAGCGACATTTGACAGCAGACATACAGCAGACAGTGGATCCTCCGAGTCACGGTGGAGAACTCGACAGTCCAGGGTGTGGCAAAAGGATCGGTGATCATTACCGATCTCCGACTGTATACAACCCCACGCTGCAGTAACAGGACCAAGAATAATACAAATACAGCATAAGGTCTAGCCCAAAATTCTCTGGATAGAGTAGAGTCTTCTTTGTGAATTTCAAATCACAAACAAACCCTGCCCAATATGCCCCAGAAAGAAGTCTGCCCGCGAGGATATCAGCAGGTCCCCGGGGATGCACACACAAAGGCCTTGGTGCACCTCCGCAGCAGCTCCAGCACCAGCAAAAAACCACCGTTTGACTTCACCTTCGAGGCGATTCGCCAGAACCTGTTCCGGGTGACGTTCACTTCGTCCAGCCACCCGCTTGCGCCGTATCCCAGTGTGACGAAGCCAGAGATCAACCTGCAGAATGTCAACGTATTTACCAAGGACAACGGCTCGTCCAAGACCTTCGATGTCGGTGGCGTCACAGCCTCGCTGGACTGGAGCCACACTCCAGTACTTTCCTTGTCATGGACGGGCTCGGCGACTCCGCTGCACCGCGACCTCCCGTTGCGTTCGTATGTAGCCGACTCCGACGGCATTGCGCACTATTCAGTGCACGACCGAGATGCGCTGCATGTGGGATTGGGCGAGAAGTCAGCTCCCATGGATCTTAGCGGGCGCAACTTTCTTCTCTCCGCCACAGACTGTTTCGGGTACGATGTGTACAACTCGGATCCGCTTTACAAGCATATCCCACTGTTGATCAAAGCAACTCCGGAGGGATGCGTGGCCATCTTCTCGACCACGCATGGCCGGGGCTCATGGGCCGTGGGATCCGAAATTGACGGTCTTTGGGGCCATTTCAAGGTGTACCGCCAGGACTATGGCGGGCTCGAGCAGTACATGATCGTGGGCAAGACCATCAGGGACGTCGTCAGGTCGTACGCCGAGCTGGTGGGGTTCCCTCTGCTGGTGCCGCGGTGGGCGTATGGGTATATCTCCGGCGGATACAAGTATACCATGGTCGACGACCCGCCGGCGCATCTGGGGCTTCTGAAGTTTGCAGAGAAACTGAAGGAGCATGGAATCCCGTGCTCGGCGCACCAGATGAGCTCGGGCTACTCGATCGCCGAGACGGAGCCCAAGGTGCGCACGGTCTTCACCTGGAACAGAAGTCGGTTCCCGAACCCGGAGGAGTGGATTGCCAAGTTCCATGGGCATGGCATTCGGCTTCTGACCAATATCAAGCCCTTCTTGCTGGCTTCTCACCCTGACTTCAAGCGTCTTGTTGACGCTGGCGGGTTCTTCACGGACCCAGATACGAAGGAGCCTGGGTATATGCGTCTGTGGAGTGCAGGTGGTGCCACCGGAGGCGATGGCTGCCATATCGACTTCACATCGCAGGTCGCCTTCAAGTTCTGGTACGATGGCGTCCAGAGTCTGAAGCGCGTTGGCATCGATGGGATGTGGAACGACAACAACGAGTATACATTGCCTGACGATGACTGGAGTCTAGCGCTTGATGAGCCCACCGTATCCGAGGCAGCGAAGAAAGACGTCCAGAATTCCGTCGGAGTCTGGGGCCGTGCTATCCACACAGAGCTTATGGGGAAGTCTTCCCACGACGCTCTTCTGGACCTGGAGCCCCAGCAGCGGCCTTTCGTCCTGACGCGCAGTGCTACTGCTGGGACTTTGCGGTATGCTGCGAGTTCCTGGAGCGGAGACAATGTCACCAGCTGGGACAATATGAAGGGCGCAAATGCCCTATCTTTGAACGCGGGAATGTCGCTGCTACAGGTAAGGTGAACATCACGGAAAAGAAGAAACCACTTAAACTAACCTGCGATCCAGTGCGAGGGACATGATATCGGTGGTTTCGAAGGTATGGATGCCAGCCCCGTCACTAAACACGTCAAATGCAAAACATCAAATGCAGAGTAACCAAGGAAGCTCACCAGTCTACCATCCACAGGACCCCAACCCTCCCCCGAACTACTCCTCCGCTGGATCCAACTGGGAATCCATTCCCCTCGCTTCGCAATAAACTGCTTTAAAACCTCGCCCAAAGACAGCTCCGTCGGCGAAGTCATCGAGCCATGGATGTACCCGGAGATCACACCCCTGGTCCGCGCGACGATCAAGCGTCGCTACGAAATGCTGCCGTACATCTACTCGCTAGGACTCGAGAGCCACAGGACGGCATCGCCGCCGCAGCGCTGGATCGGCTGGGGCTACGAGTCCGACCCAGAGGTATGGACGAAGCGGCTCAAGGCCGGCGACGAGCAATTCTGGTTCGGTGATACCATCCTCGTTGGCGGCGTCTACGAGGCTGGCGTCAATGTGGCGCACATCTACCTACCTCGTAAGACCTCCTCCTCTGGCGGCGGTGACAATCACTTCGACTTCGACTATGGATACGTCAACCTCAACGCCCCATACACATATTTCGCCTCAGGCCAATGGGTCGACATCCCTGCCGAATGGAAAACAAGCATCCCCCTGATCGCGCGCATCGGCGGCGCCATCCCCGTCGGCAAGAGCGTGCAAACCCGCGTACCGGGGGACAACACCGCGGCATCGCTGGCAGTCGCCGAGCTGGACGACTACCGCGGCGTCGAGATCTTCCCGCCACAGGGGAGCTCGCATGGCACGGTGTTTGCGCGGACGTGGTTCGAGGATGATGGCATCTCGTTGCATCCCTGCTCGGCGTCGTATACAATTCGCTATAGTTCGACGGAGGAGAAAGTTTTGGTGGATTTTGTGCGCGACGAGAGCGGTGGGTTTGTTCCTGCTTGGAGGGATTTGGATGTTGTTTTGCATTATGGGGATCAGAGACGAGTTGTTTCGAGTTCGGGGTTGGTGGTTGAGGTTAAGGGGAGAGATGATCGGGGGCGCATGGTTTATACTGTGAAAGCCTAGTGGCGAGCCAAGATATCCATTAGACTATGGATTGGAGCGATATATTTGACAGCTGGTTCGAATCTGATGAAGAGAAGAACGTCACTGTTAGTTCCAGACATCGCACCCCGTCACTCGACTAGACAATGGCCTCCCGACCATCCAACTCTCGAAGCGAAATAATATCATGCAAGAGTACATATTCCGGGCAGTAGATGACGAAGCCCAGGCAGGTATATAATTGAGTGAACGTAGAACCAAAAGAACCCAATGGCTTGATAATACAATATGTGAGAACACCAGCAAGACCTGCAAACCATTCTATACAGTACAACCGGCAACAACCAAGCAACCGCAACAGTAGAACGCGCCGCTCAATTTCTTTCCTCCCGAACCTCTTCGGGGGTCTTGCCTGTGAGGGGATCCGCGCGAAGATCTTCTTCACTCATATACTGATATGTCACAATGTTTTTTCGCGCGAGCTGGAGGCGTTTCTGCTGTCCGGCCCCGCCCGCCCGGCCCAGGATTCCGGCAATCAGGGTCGTGGCACGCAAGCTATCGTCATTCGCAGGGATCGGGTAGGTTACACGGGTAGGGTCGGCGTCAGTGTCGATGATGCCAACGGTGGGGACGGTGTTGAGACCGCACTCGTGCAGGAGCGGAATGTTATCAGTCGGGTTCAGGCACACCACCAGGTCAGGCCTGAGTGCCGGGCGATCGGCCAGGTCGTTGACAAACTCGGGCATTTCCTCATCGAACTTGTTCACGACCTTGCGTCGGCAGTGGGCCAGGATCTGTTGCGCGTTGGTGAGACTGCCGGGCACCCACCGCTCGAAAACGTGGTAGCCCTTGGCCAGCTCTGCGGCCTTGACAATCGCCCGCTTCTGGCCCTTGCGCGTTCCAACAAAGAGTATCAGCCCTCCGGCCAGAGCGACCTGCTCGACCACCGTAGCCGCGCGCCGCAGGTATGCCGCCGTCACGTCCAATGAAATGATGTGCACGCCCTCACGGATACCGAAGATGTAGCGCGAGTTCTGGGGGTTCCATCGTGAGGTCGAGTGTCCGAGATGGGTTCCCGCCGCAAGAAGCATCTCTAGCGTAATATCAGACGGCTTGGGTGGGTTTCGGAGGAGTCCTTCCGGGTTGTAGGTTTCCTGCACAGAACTACCAAGTTTGTGGAAGTTTTTCCCTGGAAAAGAAAAACGCGAAGTGCGTCAGCTTGGGGCCCATTTCAATGGCCGGTCACAGAACCTCCGCGGACTCACTTTGCTGTGCCCAGTCGCCCAGCTCTTGATGCTCAGGCGTCGACCGCTGCACCCGTGTTCCGAGGACTTCTTGAAGAGGATTCTCGGGTTTGGCAGCCCGTTCCTCCGGGTGAGTCTGGACAGTCTCGGTTGAAGTTTCGGTGGACAAAAACCGACTGGAGACTGGAGCCCGTCGACTGAGGGCGAAAAGCTGGCGGCCTATGGAGACAGGGGGGGGTTAGAAAACATAATTGGGAGTGCTTGAGCAATTTCAAATAACTCACTCTGCCGCACACCGAGTTTCCGTAAAATCATGCTGGGTGGATGCAGATGAGTCTGGCAGGAGTCGGCGCTGGCGACTTGTCCGCGCGAACTTTTGCCAGGCTTGGCAATTGGTGCCTGAGGCAACTAGAATCCTCTTTTGGGGGCATGTCTCCGCAGATTTGGCCTACAATTAAAGGGTGTGCTTTAAATATTTACATGTTTTAAATAGAATATATTGGAGTAAAGTAAGGTAATAATGATATTCGGCTGATCATGTTGCAATTCTGGAGATTAGGAATCAACCACTTGGAGTGGTCCCTGGTAGTAATGCAATAATGTCACACGTCCCCTTGTCGGGTATGAAATGGAAGAAAATGAATAAAAAAACACAAGATGATCTGGTGGATACAAATTCAGGCCAACCCATTGGAAAAGAAAAGGAGAGGGAGCAAGACAAGGAAATTCATGAGCGTTCAAGTGTCATCAAATCGAGGAGACAAAAAGAAAGCTAGTGATGTCCGCTCTATTTCTTGAAGAAACCACCCAGGTTGTCCATCATCGAGCCACTGCTGCTGCCGTGGTGGGAGGGAGGACCGCCGTAGGGGCCCCCGGGAGGGCCCTGGTCCTGCTCCTTGTGCTTGTGCTTCTTCATGGCGTCCTCGGCAATGCTGCCGACGATGGCACCACCGATGGTGCCGAGGAAGCCGTGGTTGGCCTTGTGGCCGGCAAAGCCACCGGCGGCACCACCGGCAAGGGCACCGGCGAGACCACGCTCACCCTCCTGGGCTTCACCGGGAGCACCCTGTTCGTGGGATCTATGAGGTCTTGTTAGTATGTGATGGGTTGGCAGAGAGAATGAAGGAGAATGTGCATACCCATGCTGACCGTACTGCTGGTGCTCGCCATATTGAGGCTGACCACTGTACTGGTTGTGCTGATCGTAGGACTGTCCGTGGTGCTGGGGCTGGCCGTAACCCTGCTCGCCATAGCCCTGTTGACCGTAGCCCTGCTGGCCATATCCCTGCTGACCGTAGCCCTGCTGGCCATAGCCCTGCTGGCCGTAACCTTGCTGGCCGTAACCTTGCTGGCCATAGCCCTGTTGACCGTAACCCTGCTGGCCGTAGCCCTGGTTGTATTGATCGTAGCCAGACATTTTGATGAAAGGATCAAAGTATGAAATGAAATGTGATGGAAATCAAGAGAGATGGAAGATGGAAGATGGAAGATGGAAGATGGAATGAGATGTAGAATGGAGGGGGAGAAGAAGAGATGAGGGGGGGGCCTTTTATAATAGACAAACCACAGGGCTGATGCGAACCCCACATGGGCTTACGGAGCCAACATCGTGTCAGCCTTGTCCGTACGTATTACCGAAACTTCCCTCTTGGGTGAATAAGACTGGCACCGCCACAAATGTGTCTATTTCGCTCCTTCTATTTATTACACAAGTGGCTGTGTTGTGGCTCCGAGGCCTCCGATCTCGCCCGAGAATAGAAAAATGGGAGCAGCACACATCATCCCACATTATGGTGCACGGATCGGTCGGCTTCCATGGCCCTTCGAATGTTCCGTTGCATAACACTAACCTGAACAAGTCGTTGCCTGCGCTAAGCCCCCCAATTTCCAGCCCGCCCCCTCTTGAATTCGAGAAATTAAAATTAGACTTGAACCCAAAGTAAGACGGATGACGGGATATCAAACGTCAGCCGAGAAAACACGTCGACAAACTTTAGGAGTCTGCAGCCAAGGTCTGTCTTCGTCGTAGATTTCTGGGAATGGTGGAATTTGCATGTGCGCAAAAATTAGATGATCAAGTGGCGTGTCTTATGGTCCAATCTCGCCATGGGAAATCGAGACTGATGGAAATGTGAAGGCCACTTGCAGCAAATGGTTAGAAAATAAACTACCAAGTTGTCTATCTCCTTGATTAAACATGCTATGAAAAGTCCATGTCAACAAAATATATTTTAAACTTACCACATAGCTTAAGTCTATATTGTTATCAGACCTGCCACATTCACGCGATATATATACACAGATGCGATACCTTCGACACTCCACAATATTCGATCAGTCTCGGCATGCGCCATTTAGATTTGACGGTGAAGCAAACAGATGCTCTATGACGTGTAATAAAAAAAAAATATTCGGTGCCTACATACTTCGAACTTTTCGTGAACCTTGCAGCATTCTCCTGCGGCCCTCCTTAGGCATACTTAGGCAGCCAACCACATTCTGCCAACCGCCTTTTATTTTCTTTTCCTTTCCCATGCATCACATTGCTTTTGCCTTTTTTCAGATGTCCAATCGCGACTTGAGATCCACGCCATCTGTGGAGTGTGAGTGGATGCAGAAATGCCTGCAGCCCAATCAAGTCGCCAAGTCGATCACCTCGGACGAACCGTCCCATGCGGTGTGCCAATTCCCGATGTTGCCAGCTCCAATGCCAATCGCCATTCCCAGCTCTGGCTACCCACTCTGGGGATGATCACTGCAGGAATTTTGCCAGCTGACCCACTATTGCTTTCCCCCCCCCTTTCCTACAAGTCACGGCGCGAGGACCTTATGGGTCGGTATAAAGATGCAGGACTACCCCGATCGGCCATGGGGAATGTTTCGACAGACAAGACCCTCTCCAGGTTAATGTGCGACCCTGATATTTTCCCCCCTTTTCTTTTTGAAGCCCTGCAATCCGTGAAACTGGGTCGGATTTAAACGCATTGGAGGAAGCCACAGCAACCCACAGCCCACAATGTTGCTGCACTCAGTACTTTTGTTTCTGTCCCTTGTCCTGGGCATCGCGTCGGCCAGAGCTCCCCCGACTGTTTATCTTGTCCGACACGGCGAGAAACCCGAAGACCCGGACGACCATGGCCTGAACTCGGAGGGTCTCATGCGAGCCCAATGCCTGCGGGATCTATTCGGGGCCGGTTCGGGTTATGATATTGGATATATCCTGGCACCAAAAATCAAGTGGAGTGAGTGCCACGACAGCTGAAGAGTCTTGGGCCAAGGATCAACCGAAAGACTTGCATGCGAACTCCTGTGACAGATTGAAGACTGACCGAGTTCGACTGCGCAGACGGCGACCACCAACGACCTTACATGACTGCCCTGCCTCTAGCCCAGGATCTCGGTCTGCCGATCGATGCCCATTGTTCACGCAAAGATGCCGAGTGCGTGGCCGATGCTATCAGGGCCTATGATGGGCCTGGTAATATCCTGATTGTCTGGCGAAAAACGAACATGGGAGATATTCAAAAGGAGCTGGGTGTTATTGACCCAGTCGAGTGCCCAAAAGATCGGTAAGCCTTGTTATCATTTACCCTGGCATTCTGATTACTGGGGCTCGCGTTAGTGTCGGGTTTGCCGCACAAATCCCGAGAAGTTGTCGGCGAATCTTGCTTTGCACTAAGCCCCCATTGTTGCTTGAGCTTTGGGCCACTGTACTAACAGTTTCAGGTTCGATCTGATCTGGACCAGCCCATATCCGTACGACCGCATTACTAAAATTGAGAGCGAACTGTGCCCTGTTTTGGATACCCACCCTGGACTGGTTGTGCAGGTTTGATCCGGAAACATACAATGGCTCTAAGAACAGAGTATACTTGAATAGCCCAACAGAATATTTGAGCATTTTCGGATATAAGAAACCTGTATAATAGACACTGAGACTACTTACGATGATTAAAGCTGCAACACTCGCCTTAAAGTACAACGCACGGACCAATTCGAAATCGTAGTGTGGTCACGTGACCGAAGATTTCCTCACCCCATTTTTTTTCGTAGATGCTCGTGGAGACTTCACCGGTCCCCTTTCCTCCTGCAGATTGACCACGGCAAGTTCAGTCTACGGGAAAGAGCATGGATGACATCGAGGTATGTGGCCCCGTGCTTCCCCAGAGACCAGCGAGCTGACTGCGACCCAGGAACGCCTGCGCAGCCATGCGCAAGCCTTCGATGGGCTGCTGTCCTTGATCCCCGCCAAATACTACTACGGCGATGATACCAGTGTATGTGGATCCTTTGCGTCTTGTCAGTGCTATTGACGGGTCGAAGATGAAATTTTTTTTTTCTGTCCCTGTGATTTCATTGCCATGTCTGACCCCTCATCTTGGCCTCTAGGATCAATGGCAACGGAAGAAGCAGACCAAGGAACAAGCTCGAGAGGCGAAGCGGGCAAAACTCGATCCTGAGTCCGGCAAGACCGCCAAAGATGTGATGGACGAGAACGCTCGCAAACGCAAGCGGGATGACGGCACCCTCGAGACCGACTCGTCGGATGGTGAGGAGCAGTTGGGCTCCGAGAACCCCAGAGAAGGATTAAGTCGAGGATACGCCAAGCCTAAAAAGCAGAAATCGACCGAGGGCGCTGAAAAATCGGACCCGGCAGCTGCCGCCAAGGCCGCCGACGCAGAGGCTCGTAAGAAGCAGCGGGAAGATAAGAAGGCTCAAAAGAAGGCCACTCAAAAGGAGAAGAAAAAGGCTAAGGAGACAGCCAAGAAAGAGAAAACGAGACAGGAAGAAAAGCCGTCGGATAATGCCACCGAAAAGTCGGAAAAATCTGCATCAAAACCCAACCAGGGTGCTCCCGATGCACCGGAAGATTTATCGGATGCCGAGGATGCCGAAGATCTTGAAGAGGGTGATGTCGCTGCCGAGGAAGGATTTTCGCTGGAATTCAACCCCGAACAGCCTGAACAGCCATCCTCCGCTTCATCTACCCCCAACTCTTCTGGCTTCGACGCCTCAAATCCCCAGTCGGGCAGCTCATCTATTTCCTCCATTATCCCTCCCTCCGCCTCCAACGATGCCAAAACCTCCGAGTCCAAACCCCTCAAAGCCACGCCGGAAGAACTGAAGCAGCGCCTACAAAAGCGCCTGGACGAGCTTCGAGCCGCTCGCCATGCGGACGGTCTTAACGGCAAGCCTGCCCGCAACCGCCAAGAGCTTATCGAGGCACGGCGACAGAAGGCCGAGCAGCGCAAAACACACAAGAAAGAGTTGCGACAAAAAGCTAAAGAAGAGGAACAACGTAAGAACGACGAGGCCATGGCCCGCCGTTTCTCCCGGGTGGCTCCGGGTCTCTCCTGGCGTCGCCTCGCTCCCCCGTGGAATCACCCGGATCCTCCAACAACTTCTCCTTTGGTCGAGTCGTCTTCGCCGATGGCCAGCATACCGACGCCTCTTTGACCAACGTGCACGACAAATACAAGAGCCGCGGTGCCACGGATGCGGCCGCTCAGCTCAAGGTCGCCGAGGCTAAACAAGCTCGACTCGCCGAGATGGACCCGACGCAGCGCGCGGACCTGGAAGAAAAGGACCGCTGGCTGAACGCCAAGAAGCGCGCTCACGGCGAGCGTGTCCGCGATGACACCTCCCTGCTCAAGAAGGCCCTCAAGCGCAAGGAGTCCGCGAAGAAGAAGTCCGAGCGCGAGTGGAAGGACCGCCTCGACACCGTGTCCCGCGCCAAGGACCAGCGCCAAACCAAGCGCGAAGAGAACCTGCGCAAGCGCAGAGAGGAGAAGGGCAACAAGGGAGGCAAGGGCAAGAAAGCTGCAGCCGGGCCCAAGAAGAAGGCCAGACCTGGGTTTGAAGGCAGCTTCAAGGCCAAGGTTGGTGGCAAGAAGAAATAAACTTGCTTTTTAGCACACCCGCATTCCTTGGTTTAATACGCTCTCACTGTTTCCCCTCCCTCTTACTCTTCCCTTCTCTTCCCTTTCCTTCCTCCTAACTTACGCGTGCATGCCTTCGGGTCGTTCTCCTTGACAACCCCTCGGAGAGCTGCAACCCCAAAAAGAACCAGAAAGATTCCACCAAAAAAGTGATTTGAGATGTTGAACTGGGAAATATCCGTCTGGAGAACAGGGTGCCTGGTGTTGAAACACTGCCTTCTCGGGGGGCGGTATGATTTGTTTCTTTTCCTTTTTTTGATGTCTTTGCATGTCAGCATCGGTAGCGATTTGGGTTTCTCTGTGAATACAAATATCCTTTGACTGAGTCTGGCGGACTCGACTAGTGAAGTAGAATGTAGGTCAAATTCTGCAGATATTGCACGGCCTTTTTACCTCAAGGTATCCAATATGATAGTCTAGAATGAGATGCATGAGATATATATGACGGATGAGGTGAATGAAATCCGAAGTCTTTTTGATTCGAGATGAACAACACAAGACAAAAACGACCTGCTGAGATCCAAAAACAAAGGAAATGTAAAATAAAAAAAAAAAAAAAAACAAAGGAGCCCGGTTTCCAGCGGACCAGCCCTCCTTTTGGAATCGACTAGTACAGGATGAGAACACAAGGTCGAGGGCATGTTATGTACAAAGATGTGATTGGGGGATGGAGTATAAAAGAAAAAGAAAAAAGGAACAAGGTAACCCTTTCTTGTTTTTGATCATGCCTTTTTGGCTGCATCTTGAAATGGGGGATTGCGATTAGGCTGCTTCACCGGTGAGCAGTTTCCAGTCGCATGTCGAGGTTTTCATCTGTAAAATGAAGAGCCTCGATCAAATCTGAAGGCGATTATCGGTAGGGAGCATCCGCACGAGCAGCGGCCGCAATTTCCGGCTCCCACTTGTCGCCGTTGGCGAGCAGCTTCTCCTTGTTGTACAACAGTTCTTCACGGGTCTCGGTGGCGTACTCGGCGTTGGAAGCTGAAAGAAGAGAAAATCAAATTAGCCTAAATTTAAAGCAGCAATATGATAGAAATGCACTCACTCTCAACAATAGCGTCCACGGGGCAACTCTCCTGGCAGTAGCCACAGTAGATGCACTTGGTCATGTCGATGTCGTAACGGGTCGTCCGGCGGCTTCCGTCCACACGCTCCTCCGCCTCAATGGTGATCGCCTGGGCCGGGCAGATAGCCTCGCAGAGCTTGCAGGCGATGCAGCGCTCTTCGCCGGTCGGATAGCGGCGCAGGGCGTGCTCACCGCGGAAACGGGGAGAGATGGGACCCTTCTCGAACGGGTAGAAGATAGTGTATCTGACCAAGTCAAAGTAATGTCGTTAGTCCAGGTTGCTCCCAAAGAATGCAGGGAGAACGAGCTCCATCCCATCTCCATTGGCGCTGGCGAGGAACTTACGGTGGTCTGAAAAACTGCTCCAGCACCACGTACATGCCACGGAAGATCTCGGACATGAGGAAGTATTTGCTGGCCTTGTCCAGCGCGGACTCGGCACCCTGGTCCCATCGCTTGGGCGGGGGGAGACGGAAGCCGGGCTGAGGGGGGGCCCGCTGGGGTGGCTGCGCGGGACGCCGAAGAAGAGAAGTTTGCGGTCGAGCCCAGGGGAACGAAAGGCGTTCGTCGGGTGACGACCCTCGCGACCGATCGAGAGGCCATGGTGGGAGGAAGAGGAGAGGAGAGAGATTGGGGATGAAGGGAAGGGAATTGGAGGAGGCAATTGAGCAAAAAGGCAGGGGAAGAAGTCGACAGAGTTGAGTGCAGGTTTGGGCTTAGGTCATTCCTTTCTGCCGGGCGCTGATTGGCGGCAGGATTTTGCTTAGATCACTTCCGCTCAACTCGCCTTTCTCTCTCCCCGTCCACCTCATCAACGTCCTCGTCTTTTTCCCCCACCCCGATCTCGGTCCTTTTGTCTGTTTCTTTCTAGGCCTTTGCGCTTTCTCTATCGCTCTATTCACCATGTTCCGTTCCGCCATTGTGCGCTCCTTGAGGGCCTCGGTGCCGCGTGCCGCCGTCCGGACCCCGGCTCCCTTCCACATCCGCAGCTCCCCCATCGCGGCTCGTGCCTCTCAATTCCCTCCCTGTTTCGTCTCTCAGGCTGTCCGTCTCTACTCCGCCCCGGCCGGTCTCTCCAAGAACGAGGTTGAGGGCCGCATAGTCAACCTGCTGAAGAACTTCGACAAGGTGCGTTACCCTGGGATCTGTGGATTCTTGTCTTTTCTCGGATATCGCCGCCGGAGAACATACTAACTCATTGACATTTAGGTTTCCGATGCCAGCAAGGTTAGTGTTGTTGCACACGCGAGATGTCTTGGTGGAGCTGCTGCGAAAGCTCCGAGCTAGGACAGGGGGTTGATAAGTTTCATTCGCTAAACATCTGACCATCAGATCAACGGTACTTCGCACTTCTCGAACGACCTGGGGCTCGACAGTTTGGACACCGTCGAAGTGGTGATGGCCATTGAGGAGGTATGAGCGAAGAGCGGATTCCCTCGGAAAAGCATGATTTGTCGCAGATATCTAACTACAATGGCGAACAGGAGTTCAGCATTGAGATCCCCGACAAAGAGGCCGACCAGATCCACAGTGGTAAGTCTGGCCTTGCATGAACATGAATGTGTTGGCGGTAGCTGATGACTTTTTTTGCGTGAACAGTGGAGAAGGCCGTCGAGTACATCCAGGCTCAGCCCGATGGTATGTTTATCTTGCAACCCGAATTTTATTTCCGTTCATGTACTGACTCATTGCGCAGCCCACTAAGTCTCTAATTGGAATCTCGGGAACCGGATATTGGAGGGATAGAAAAAGAATCGGGGATGTTGCGGGAGTGGCTCGCAGTGCATCTCGCTGAAGATGCAACTCTGTATGCTGAAATCCATGCCAGTGGTTTTTCTTTCATCCTTCTATATCGTGTATATCATCTTGAATGCAGCTTCGAAACAGAATCTGATTGCGGCTCGTCTCATCTCATGTAATGGGCAGTTTACTACCTAGAGCCGGCTACTGCATGTGCTTGACGGGATACCTCGACACCTTTTCCATTGATTTACTGCTTTTCAGTAATTCTTGTTTCATAGATTGACTCGAGCGAACTGAGTATCCGAGTCGAGGAACTTGTGTTTTGCCCATGGCGCATGAATGTAACATACCCAAGTAAAAGACGAACAAAACAAAGAAAGCAGCAGACAGCTCTTGGACCACAGAGCCAATATTACATTTCACGGGGTTGGAGTTGTATGAACAAGGAACCGTGGAAGACCCATGGATGTTATCGGGCGCTGCGAAGAGCCACATCACCGAACTTGGACCCCAACTTCCCTCCCGAAATCCTTCCACTTTCTCTCTCTCTTCTCTTCATCTGGCGCAGAGGGGTCCTTGGGCGATTGGACAACTTGCTCGTTCATTTTTTTTTACGTTGTTTCGGCCCGTCAACCGACTCGGTGCCTTGGTTCCCCTGACACCGACACAAGAGTCCCACATTAGCAGCCGCCTTTCCGCCTTGCACGCTACCTCTGATCCTCATCCTCCTTTTATCAATCGATGCTCCCTGCGACCCGGCACGCAGATCGACTCTGAGCGAGAAAAGAATTTCTCGTTTCACCCTATACCCGGCTTTCGGTCGACGCCTTATCTCATTCCTCCCTCCCCGCCCAACTCGAACCTTTTATCCTCATGGCCTCAGCCGGGGGCTTGACTCGCCGCAGAGGTGGTGGTCGAGTCGGAGGCGCCGACGAGCAAGATGACAGCCGAGTCTCCTCGCCCGTCTCCAGAAACGGGTCTGCAATGGATAACCGCGGGCCCGAGACCTCGTTCACCAGCACCGAGAATGGCCATAAGATCGCGTTCGACCCTCGCGACATCAGCGAAACCGAAGAACGCAGCAAGCAACCCAAATTGACTCTGATGGAGGAAGTGCTCTTGTTGGGACTGAAGGATAAGCAGGTGAGTATTTTTTTTGTGACCCCCTCTCCTAGAGGAGCCAACATCCGCTTCGTCTGTGATCGCAATCGCTGATTTACAACACAGGGTTATCTGTCTTTCTGGAACGAGAACATCTCATACGCCCTGCGAGGTTGCATTGTCATTGAGCTCGCGCTCCGTGGCCGGATCACCATGCAGAAGGATTCGTCGCGGCGGCGCTTTCCTCTCGCCGACCGCTTGATCGAAGTCATCGACGATACATTGACGGGAGAGGTCTTGCTGGACGAGGCGCTCAAGATGATGAAGTCGAGTGAGAGGATGAGCGTCAACTCGTGGATCGATTTGATGAGTGGTATGGTTGACCCGACGATTTGATCGATGCGCCTTGAATTTTAACTGACTGGTTATTGTGTTCCCCCAACAGGCGAGACGTGGAACCTGATGAAGATCGGCTATCAATTGAAACAAGTGCGCGAGCGACTGGCCAAGGGACTTGTGGATAAGGGAATTCTGCGAACCGAAAAACGAAACTTCCTCCTTTTCGACATGGCCACCCATCCTGTGGCCGACGGCGGCGCCAAGGATGACATCCACCGACGCGTGCGCAACATTTGCAGCAACCGCACAGTGCTCATTCCCCCCAGTACGTGGCTCCCCGAGGATGCTGAATTCCGATACCTGCGAACGGTGACCATGGTTTGCGCCGCCTATGCGGCTAACGTGCTGGAGAACGCCTTGGTCACGATGAGCCACGAGTCGCGCGAGAGATCATTTGCCCAGGTGGACGAGCTGCTGGCCGAATACTCGCAATGGCCATTTGCTCGGAGGGCTGGCGGTTCGCAGGCCATTGGAGCGAACCTGGCCCAAGCTATCAATGAGGAAGTCAATCGGGGCAAGGATAAAGAGCTTCAGTTGGAGGTATGTTGTGATGGAGCCCATAAACTCCTTAAGATGCTAATCTCGATCCTACAGGTTGTTGCCGCATGCTTGAGCGTCTTCACCAGACTTGATTCCCTACTTTAACTGGATGTCCTCGTTTTGATCCTAATACAGTTGTCTTTTTTTTTGAGTTTCTCCCTCCCTCTCTCAACCCTTCTTCCTTTCTCTCCCTGTCCTGATGGTGTGGTCATGGTCTCGCTACTCTACACTCAGGGTCCAGGTTCTCTTTTCTATTCGCTCATGTAGTTTCTCATATGGGTTGGAAATTGGGCAGAGCGTCTCTTCTCTTCTTTTCTCTTTTCTCTTATATGGAACCATCGGATCAAAATTCATTCTTGTATGGATTATTTGCCTTTGATCTACTTGTCCAATTGCTGGGCTTTTTTGTATTTTTGTTTCTTTTCATGTTTTATCTTTGCCCGATCTGCTTGGCTTCAGCGAATAGGCAATGAGAAAGATGTCAGGCTGGCATAAACAAGTGTCTTGAGGCCGTTCGTTTGTAGTTGCTGATATCCATGAATGCTTATCGCCATAGATCGACCTCGGACGTGAGATAGCCTGCTCCAGCAGCGAGATACAACAGGATTTAACTGACTTTTTCCACTTGATGACTTGGTGAGTCTCTTCCAAGTGCAAAGGCAGCAGCTGAAATCATCTATCCTTGTTTCTCACCACCATATTCAGTCTACCTTGGACTTTCGGACAACAGTATAAAAATAACATACAATTAGATCGGAGACAAAGACCTGAACGCTGCCACCTACGGCTAATTAATCAATTGACACGAACCACCATCATCCCACCCCGTCGACCCCCAGCGGTGCCCGCCGCTCCAGCCATAAGCAGACCAGCCGCATCAACCAAATCCACGACCGTCTCCTCGCGGCCCCGAACCATATGCTCCTCCACCAAGCCACCAATCCGCGCAAGAGCTGCTCCATCAGGATTAACAGGCACAAAGCGGCTACGAAGCCCGCGCTTACGCTGAGTCGAAGGATCCTGCTCCGCAGCAGCAGTCGGCTCCTGCGCGGGACGCGCATCCACAGCCGTCAGCACGGCGCCATAGTCCTTGACAACGGAGGCGGCATGCGCTTGGCGGAAGACTTCTCCGCCGGCGCAGTCCAGAACCATGTCGACAGGGCCCCAGCGGCGGTCACGGAACATCGACCCCAGATCGCATTCGGGCTGCGTCGGAAGATGCGGGATCACGAGCACCTCGTCGACGTCCCAGTCGCGGCGCACGATTGCCTCTTCGGCGGCTGTGCAGCTGACGCAGAGCCAGGGTCGCACCGAGGCCGGGAAGAGCTTGTTGGCGCGCAGCAACTGCACGGCAATGCGGCCGACTTCGCTGTCGCGCGCGTTCGTGATGAGCACGCGCAGCGGGGGCAGTTTCTTGTGGCGCCAGCCGTTGCCGTTGCTATGACCATTTCCATTGCCATTGCCATTGCCGTTCTTATGCCCATTCTGCGCATGTCCGTTCCCATTCCCCGGTGCATCCGGGTCAAGCCCTGCATATCGAAACAGCGCCTGCCACGCTGTCAGCGCTGGCAGAGCCAGCGCTGCCGCCTCCGCGGCAGTGATGTTCGCCGGCTTAAGTGCAATCTCCTCCTCTGTCGCCAATGTGTAGTCGGCTGCCCCACCGTCGCGCGTGTAACTCACCAAGCCAAACACCACATCCCCGATCTTGAACCGCGGACCAGACTCGCGCGCATGATCCTCAGCCGGCGTGCTGATGACCGTGCCGCACAGGCTGTGCAGCGGCACCTGGGGCGTGGTTTTGGCAGGGTTCAGCGTCGCCGAGAGCCGGAGCTCGTCGTGGCAAAAGGCCGCGGCTTGGTTCTTCAGCAGGTACTGGTGGCCCGAGGGTTGGGGGGTTGGGAATGTCATGTCGAGGACTAGCCCTTTGCCGAGTCCTGTGTCTGTTTCTGTGGAGATGGTGGTGGTGGTGCTGGGCCCGTCTGGGATCGCTCCTGCCCCTGTGAGGGCTGGGTCGCTTGTTGGCATGAGCGAGTAGTACAGGGCTCGCATTGAGGCGGGCACGAAGGTTTGTTCGTTCATTGTTGCTGAGGCGGGTTTGGCGGGCTTCATTGTGAGGGGTATATGGATGGCCTCTTGTTTTGAGTAGCCTGGGAGGAGAAGGTGATATGATGATATTCCTTGTTGAGATATAAGCTAGTGTCAATCAGCAGATGGAAGAATAGCCACAGATTCTGGCTCATTCAGTTCTGAACTGGCCCTGATGAAGATCCCTAGGGCTTATGTTGGTTAGAGCCTTGGGTTTCGCCATCTGCTGTATAGATCGTCGGTTTCCTAATCCTGACGTATGACAGTTAGCTAGTCGCCACAACATTCATGGATGGATCCATGGATGTAACTTGGGTACCTGGGAAGGGCTACGAAGGAATACTTTTCCAATACAGGTTACTTTGACATATCAACTATCAATTTTGTTGGTTGTGCTCGAGTCTACAGAACTCGATGTACAGAAGCAAATAGCGGCATCCATACTTCTGAATGCAATACGTATCACTGAATTAAGTGGCACCTTGACATAGATAAGCACCTATAATGCCGAATATCAAGTAAGGCCTGTGTAGAATCATAGAATCGCGACAGACCCTGCTTATAGGCCAAGCAGCGAGCCCCCTCCCCCATCTGATTCCTTCCCCCCCCACAATTTGTCGACCAAATGCCATCCGTAAATAGTCACTGATAAATCAATATATCGAGATGCAGGTGTCTCTACCCATGATACCAAAATCCCAAAAAAGCAAACCAGACTAATAAACACCAAGCACAGAAAAAAAAAATGACATACGAACTAGCAATCGAGATCTCCGGAGCAGGCGAAGACCCCAACCACCGCTCGCATTGGGGCTTCGTGATCCACCAGCCACCACAACCATTCGGCGACCTATTGCACGTCCACCTGATCGACCTCGACAGATTGTGGTACGACTTCGAGGTGCGAGTCGGGTCCACGATACCCTCGATGCAGGCTGTCGGCAAAGTCAAGCTTGCGAGTCTGGATGCGCGGCAGCGCCACGAGGCGATCGAAGTTATCAGTGCGGAGCCGGCACCGAGAGATGGTAGGAAGAGGTGTCAGGATTGGGTGTTTGATGCGTTGCTTGCGCTTGAGGTCAATGATCTGGTGCCGGATGGGTCTTGTCGGTTTTGGAAGGGGATGGTTGGGAGGGCAGCGAGGGATGTTCGGGTTGCTGCGGGGGATAGTTGGACGAGTTTGAATTAGTTGGGGGTTGTATCAGTTGTGTGTGTGGACCGGGGGTTTGTAGTTTGGATGTCAAGTTTGGGAAATAAGGTCGTTGGTCTACTTGGACATAAAAGTCATATGCGTCGATCTTGAGCATGGATATCTTACAATAAGACATAGTACAAGTGCCACTTGGGCATATCCGATTTTCACTCTCTACTACACCTAAAGTCGTCTGAGCTAGGTGAGAGCTAGCGGTTTGTACAGTATCATGTCTTGCAGGCTTTGACTAAGGTAGATGTGAAGCCTATCTATTCTCTCGTCTCCAAGCTTTGTACAAATAGGATTAAACAGCTAGCGGAAAACATGGCAAACTATGTACGGCCTAAAGTATGAAGCAAAGCATATACACGCTATATCCAAAAACAAAATCGGTATCATCTCTACAGCGCCTGATCCTCCATACCCAGCCCATCAACAAAATCATGCAGCTCCCTAGTATCCTCAAAGATAGTCCATACATGGGCCGGCACATCCTGGAAGGCCTGCTCAAACCGCTCAGGTCGATTACGCTCCTCCATATGGGCGACATCGGTCACCTTGCGGATAATAATGGCATGGATCCAGTTCGGGTAGCGGCGGTACATGTCGGCGTAGGCCTCGGGGTCTTCTTGGGTGGAGTCGCCGATGCAGAGCACACGGCGGCGCGGGAACCAGCGCCGGATCTTCTCCATGCGGTCGACCTTGTACTCGTGCGTCTTCTCGGTGAAGGATCGGATGAGCCCGCTCACGTCCATCCACGCGTAGTCGCGGAGCACGAGCGTGCCGGGCGGATATTGCTCGCGCAGGAAGCGGTGCAGGAACGGGTAGAGGTTGTATGGGGAGGCAGAAAGATAGAACCACGCAGGAACCAGCTCGGCCTCGATATGCTCGTAGAATTGCGGCATGCCCGTGATAGGCTCGGGCTCGTCGGCGAACGTTGAGCGCAGGATCCCCGTCGGCTCGCGCGTCTGTGTGTACTTGATCGTGTCGTCAATGTCCGAGATCACCAGCCAGCCCTCGGGCGCCGCGAACGTCGTATTCATCGAAGCGGGATCTGGGCCGAATCCTTGTAGCTGTGGCCGCACCACGCCGCCATCGTCCACATCCACCGCGCCCAGATCGACATCCTGGCTGACGATGCCGTTACGGTCGGAGGGGCCCAGCGCGTGCACCTGCGCCGGTTCGTCGACTGCAATCTCCAGCGTCAGCGTCCGCGACGGCGCCACTTGGTCTAAGAACGGCTGCACGCGCTGCTTGATGTGCTGCCGCGAGTCTTCATCGGCGCCCAGCTCGCCGTCCAGTCCGATGTGGTCTGCGATCGTTGCGACCAGCTTGCCGATATCTTTCCGGCCCTCCCGCTCAAAGATGCATGCGACCACTTCGGCCCGCCATGACGGCTGCTCCGCGGTCGCAGTCGGTGATGACGCTCCGTCTGCTGCGACGGGCTGGTAGGCCGTATTATCCAGCAGCCAAACGGTATGAGTGTCTGGATCTGCAGGCTGGGCGAGCGGGTTCTTGGAGCCCAGAATGGACGCAAAGAAATTCATAAACGACGAACTCCGCTTCTCGGGTGTTTCGGGATGCGGCGTCGTGGGCTCAGCCGCTTCCTTGGGGTCTTGTTTGACGTCGGGGGCCGGAGCTTCGGCCGCATGGTCGCGCGCCATGATGGAATGAGATGCCAGCCTCGTGGGATTCTATTTTTTTAATGAGCTCGTCGCACTACCGACGAACGTCGAAAGTCGAACAACCTCCCCGGGCGGGTTCGCGTCTGTTTATTTAAACTTGAGCACGCGGTTTGCGACCAGGAACAGTACTGGCAAGGACCGAAATCGAGAAATTCCCCGACAAGCCGAATCCACATGTCAGAGAGCGGACACGAGGGGCGGAGCGTCAGAAGGGCACGATCAGGGGAAGACATGACGCTGATCATATAGCTAGCCCCGTTAGCTGGCGATCTGCTGGGTTTAGTGCCTCGGGTGTCCCTCCAAACCTCCTTGAGGAGCCTCTCCATCCCGCCTGATCCTTTTATTTCAACAGCCAAGGATTGTCCGTCCATTCACCAGGAGACCTTTGATTTGTATGAAAAAGATTTCTCTGGTCTCGGGTTCTAGAGGAAAGTAGCTGTTCTGGTGACAGCGACGCATCAGTCGCACAAGTCAGGCGAACCGGCCATCGGTTTGCGGGGCTTGGCAAGTAGGGCTGAGCGGAGGAATGCCTGGTCGGTTGGGTGTAGTCTTGCAGTGTGTTTTCTCTTCAGCTTGCAGATAGAAGTCTGCTGGAAGTAGAGGTGCAGAATAAGTCTCGTCGTGCCCAAGTTTGTGGACGGGTGAGCGTTGCAGGTGATGGGTTGGACGGTGCCGTTATATACTTCCTGACAAGCAATAGACATCCACAACGCGCCGCTACTGACCACGTAGCGATATAGTAGAGTATTTGCACAAGCTACTTGCATTTCCTCGTGGTCTCGTAGCTCTGATCAACTGTTCCGTGAAGATCAGCGGCTCTATTCCAGCAAATAGACTGCAAGAGTGTCGGGTCACTTGGGATACCATTACTGAACGTCCTTGTAAGAAGAAGTAGATGTATTTTGACAGGCTCACAGAATATAGGTAGAGCAGTGCCTTGGAACAGCATGTACGGGGTTCGATATAGGGTTGTGCCTTGCATCAGCACAGTGGGCCACCTTGCAGCAAGATATCCAGGGCTCTTTTTGGATTGCAGTTCAGAGGGGCAGCCAAGGGCATATCCCTTCCTGACCGAGTTATTTAAGTAGATTGTGTGCATTGCCTCGTGCAGAGCTTGATTAATCCAATTTGGCGTCAGACTATATATTGCTTCATGTGAAGTGGATTTCTATCTACATCTCACCCACCACTCGAACCTCACAAGCCAAAAAAAAAAAAAAAAAAAACGAATCCTCCATCTACGAATCCTCCATCTACGTCAGATCAGATGCCGTCAACAATATCACCGATCTCGGACCATCTCTTTCCATTCAGACCCTCCCTCCCTCCTGCTTGCAAGTCACGACCCAGCCGCGCAGCCATTCTTCCCAGCTACGCCCAAGCCAACCCTTTCATCGGCCATTCTTCCGCACACTCTTTGACCCATTCGTGGCCGAAACACGGTGACGTTGATTGTCCACGGTGTCATCGGCATCATAGCATCGACTTTCGAGGGCAGTATCGGCGAATGCCGCAGCATAAACAATTTGGAAGGACATGAAGGGGAGACGCAGTTTTTGTATCCATGCAACACATTAATCATTGTCAAATGTTTGAGATTGCGAGGCTGGCATCTATCGTAACACTTTGATTTCGTTCAAATTTTGAAATAGCCGTGAGAATGCAACGCACGATGGCGAAGTGGATTGCGAACAGGTATAGAGCCCAAGCCTTGATTAAGTGATCAAGCGCCCAAATATAGGTTCGCCTTCGTCGCTGCTACTTGGAGACTGTCGTAGACAGTGTTATGCTCGGAGAGAAGATGGACTTTGTCTCCATGACGCGACATGTTGGACAAATCGAGCGGCATAAGCCCAAATTGCAAAACCTCACCTAAGCACAGTGTTGTCGACACTGACGTAGACGTACTGGATGGAGCCAGGACTCTAGCCTGGTCTTATCCATCAGGCAATAGAACCAAAAAAAAAGCGAGGTTCGCAGCAACTTCAATTATTGTCCAGGGACAGCAGATTGCCACTGGGAACAGACTGTCTTCACCATCTCTTCGGCGCAGAAATCTCGGTTCGGGAAAACGAAGCACTGACGGTCTCTTTACCTCTGCGCTGTTGGATCGCTTTAATTCCAGTACGATCCGTCACTGTAGTCGCATTGATGATATTATCAAAGGCCTCATCCTCGCTTCCAGCCGACCCAGACTCGGCATCTGAATCGACATAGACCGGCTCGGGCCGAGTAATCTTCTCTGGCTGCTGCTTATCTGAAGCAGATGGATTTTGAAAGGATTTCGAGTTGAGAATCTTCTGTCGAATCTCCGCCATTTGCGCCTCTTCCTCGGAATCATCCGATACCGCAAACGGGTCTTTATCTGCGTCGTCTTCCTCCTCTTCACTGCCCTCCTTGCTGTCTTCGTCTTCGCTGTCGTCTTCATCATCGTCCTCTGAATCCTCGTTCGCCGGCTTCCGGTTGGTATTTCCAACAGTCCACATGTCATCTGCTCCTTCGGCGCGGCTTTCCTCGTACTCTCGCTCGATTTGGGAGAGCCATTCCTCCTCAGTCTTCTTCACTTCTTCTTCCGTCTGGCAAGCGGCGTAGCGCTTCAGCAGTTGTGAGTTGATATCCAAGAAAGCTTCTCCGTATCGGAAATTCTTCAGAACATCCTTGGCCCATTCTTCGTGGCCGCAAATATAGAAACAGGCGGCGAGCGCTTCGACACAATTCAACCGCCATGGCTTTCCGTAGTTGACCGTATTTGCGGCAATTAGATAGGGCACTATGAGGAAAGAGTCAGCGACCAATGCGTCTTTCCAGCAACATTCCTCGCGGCAGATATCACACACAGAGTCTTTCGCATTTACCGCCAATTCGTGACCAGGGCACCTCCTTGACTCGCACCCAGGAGCATTCCACCACCGCAGCACCGTTTTGTTCCAAAAGCTCTCGATCCGCTGGCGATACAACATGTTTGGCGTTTGGACTACCCACGAAGGAGTCAGCATATCAACAAGATCACGTATTTCATGTCGGCACAAACGAGATGATCACGCCGGGGAATCGCTGGCCGATATGAAGCTCGCGCATCAAACCCAGCTTCATCAATCGCTTTCCAGAGCAGCGCTTAGGGTCACAGTGGCCCAGATCCCAGCATGCGGCTCTGTAAGGAGGGCGCGAGGAGGCGGCCTCTTCGCCATCGCGGGGCACTGGTCGCGGGCGGGGGGATTGGAGAATTTCTTGCCTCCCCGAGAAAAGTTGTCTTTTTTATGACGGACCATTGTAGCAGAGTATCGAATCTTCGAGGCAAGTCAAATTGGCCAGCTCAATCAAAGAGAGCAGCGTTGGAGAGAAGGAAGGGAAAAAAAGCCCAAGTCAAAGGACGAGCGCCACACGTGCAAACTAAGCGGATCTCCGCCCGCTTCAACCCTCTGATCCATCTACATTTCTCCACGCGGGCATTGTTTCTCGATTCGCAACGGGAGCCAGTTTCTTTGTCCGTTCATTTACTCTATTCAACCTACTAGCTCTCTCTTTTTCTTTGTTTCTTCGCCATCCTGGAGGCTGCCTCAGCACGCATGGCGGCCAGGGACCGCTTCAGTGCCTACGTTGAGCCGGGTCTGTCACCGTTGCAGCGGGCAATTCGTGAGCGCACCCCTTCATTCGTGCAAAGTCAAGTCATGTTTCTCCTAACAGTTGACTGTGTCCAGGAAATGCATGCGACCCACAGAACTACGAGCCCAACCTGGCCCTCAACCTTGAAGTGGCGGACTTGATCAACTCGAAGAAAGGCAATGCGTGAGTCGGAACGCCCATGTCAGCTGGGCCCGCGCATGCTTATAACCTCACTCGCAGACCCCGAGAATCGGCATTCGAAATTGTCCACTTCATCAACTCCCGGAATCAGAATGTCGCGTTGTTGGCGTTGGCGGTATGTTGGGAAATGACAGCTGGCGTGCGGGGGGAGGCTAACACCACCACGATTAGCTGCTCGATATCTGCGTCAAAAACTGCGGGTACCCATTTCATCTCCAGATCAGCACAAAGGAGTTCCTGAATGAATTGGTCCGGAGGTTCCCTGAGCGGCCGCCCATGCGAGCCTCGAGGGTCCAGCATCGCATTTTGGAGTCGATCGAGGAATGGCGGCAGACCATCTGCCAGACATCGCGGTATAAGGAGGACCTGGGATTTATTCGGGACATGCATCGGCTGCTGCTCTACAAAGGCTATGCATTTCCCGAAGTTCGTCACGAAGATGCCGCCGTATTGAACCCGAGTGATGTATGTGTATGGGAATAATCACCATGGTCTCGCAATGCAGCTAACATGTCTAGAATCTTCGCTCTGCCGAGGAGATGGAGGAGGAAGAGAAGGAAGCACAGTCCGCCAAGCTTCAAGAGCTGATCCGGAGAGGTACTCCGGCAGATCTTCAGGAAGCAAACAGGCTCATGAAGGTCATGGCGGGATTCGACAATCGACACAAAACTGACTACCGGGCGAAGGCAGCGGAGGAGGTGGCCAAGGTGCAACAGAAAGCCAAGATTCTGGAAGAGATGCTGCAGAACCAGCAGGCTGGGGGAGGTCCTCCCGAGGGCGATGTCTTCGAGGTAGGTGGTTTGAAATATTTTTCTCTATGGGATTGGCTCTTACAATTTGACTTGCATAGGACCTTGCAAATGCTCTGCAAAGCGCGCACCCAAAGATCCAGAAGATGTGCGAGGAGGAATCGGATGACCCCGAGGCTGTCAATAAGTTGTTAGAGATCAACGACAGCATACATCGCACGATTGAGCGGTATAAGCTTGTTAAACAAGGCGATTTCGATGCGGCTTCGAGGATTCCCAAGGGCACATTGGGTACCACGACTGGCGTATCCAAGAATGCGAACAACGAGCTGTCTCTGATTGATTTTGATCCGGAGCCCAGTTCAAATGGCAACGCACCCGAGGCATCTCAGGGTGGAAGCGCATTAGAAAATGACCTGCTCGGTCTGTCAATGGATGACCAGGGTCCAGTTCCTGGCGGTGGGATCTCGTTGGGCCCTTCCAGTACGTTTTTACCGAGCAACTGTCTTCCCGGAGTTTTGTTATTGACTTTAATAAAGTGAATGCCCCTCCAATGTCGTCAGGGCCGTCGGTCCCTGCTCCATCAACACAGCTCGCATCGCAGGCGCCGGCGGCATTCAAACCCAACTATGATATCCTGGCTTCCATGAACTCATCGCGGCCTACCTCTCAATCTCCCACACCTGCCGCCCGGGCATCACCCCAGGCCCAGTCTTCGTCGACTCCGCCACCGGCTGCTGACCCGTTTGCGTCGTTGGTTTCTGCTAGCCCGCGGGCCACGGCCAGTCCCTTCCAACCCCCGGCACCGCAGGGCCAATCCACCCTCGCCTCAACAGCTCTCCTTGATCTGGCCGGGGGGACAAGCCCGGCGCCAATACCTGCAGGACAGGCCACGGCTGTTGAGGATGACCAGTGGAACTTTGCGTCCTCTCTGCCACCCAGCAACGCTCTCCCCACCACGAACAAGATCCAGGTGTTGAACTCGCAGCTGCGTGTTGATTTTATTGCCCGGCGGGTGCCCGGTCAACCGCGCCAGATTCACATCGCCGGTGTTTTCTCCAACGCGAGCAACCAGCCGATCGGAGAGCTGCATTTCCAGGTTGCAGTAGAAAAGGTAAGCTCATCCGCAGTGTCTATTTCCCACCTGGTGCAATCGAAGACTAATTCCGTGGCAGTCCTACACACTGCAGCTTCGACCGCAATCGGGCCGAGATATTGCTCCTCTGCAGCAGAACGGCGTGCAGCAGGAGATGCTCCTGGACGGCATCGACACGGGTAAAGGCAACTCGGTAAAGCTTCGGTTCAAGGTATCTTACAAGATCGGTGGCGAGGCCCGCGAGGAACAGGGGATGGTGCCATCGTTGGGCATTTCCTAGTCTCTTGGCCTTTTGTTTCTTTGCTAGTTGCTGGTACCGGCAAAACATGTGGTTTTCCTCTTGACTTGTTCACCTACGGGTGTTTACCGAGGATCCCAGCACTGTTTTTTTTTTTATTCCTGTTAGAGCGTTTGACTTCTGGTTGTCGGGCTGTTTGGCCCTGGCCCGTTTGCCCTGTTTCTTCCATTCAGCGCCATCGTCGGCTCCCTTTGTTTTTCTTTTTACCATTAAGAATTTAGCGTCTGTGCCATACTGTTTATAAATATGTCATTGACTCGCATTGCCTCTATTCATCTACGAGGAGCAGAGAAGTGGGTTATTTCAACGCATTAGTTGGTGACGCTTGCTGGTATTTTGGCAAAGACAGATCCTGAGAGAGTCAAGACTCAAGGGATAAAAGAAGAGATTATCGATGCAGTGTGATCTATGAACTGCATGTAGCTGCTAAATCGATATCCCTGCCGGTACGTAGGGTCTAAAATCCCCTATATCTGTTCTGGACTTTGCTTTTTTTTTGCTTTCCTCTTTTCAAGTTTCTTCTCAAAACCACCTGGCAATATATAAATGACTCAATCCAGACGTTCACTCAGGCAATCCGCTTGTCGGAGTCTTCGATAATACCTTCTTTAGAAGACTCAACAACTGGGATTTGCAAAAGGCCTACATCTTACAAGCCTGTCTCGTCCACCCAAAACTATATTTCTCTCACTTGTAGCACTGATCATTGAAGACCCGGTGCTCTGTGTCTGATGTTGGCGAGGCGAGTATCGGCCCAGGACTACATGCCGGCGATATCATGCCTTTAGAGTTTCGAGAACTAGAAAACTTGCTGCATACAGCCGGTTGCATTGTAATTTTAAGCGAGAGGAATTTCACAATCTCCATATCAAGTGAGGATGTATCCATCTGTAACGATATATGGATTATGGATCAAGGCATTTCATGTGTGGTTCAAACAAACACCAAATACCAAGTAAGGTGAATAGAGACACAAAAAATCAGAAATAGGTATTTCTACTATTCCTCGGCCTGATTTACCAGTGCTAGCCTCCCTTCATGGTCGTCTTCCGATATACCTCAGCCGCAAGCATACTAGCAAAACTGTAGATCATGCATCACAACCCCACGGAGCAAATTTGACTGACCCAGACCTCGTATCTATTTCAACAAATGCAGTACTCCCTTCGAAGGATACAGCATACTTCCCGTATATCCAAGGCTACTTACTTTTTCCGCCCCTCGCCCGATCACATCCACATCCGTATATACTTAGCAGCAAAAAAACGGGGGACTTACGCAGAGCAGCAACGTGGAGCGGAATACGAGGTGCGCGTGCACTCCCTCCGGGGATGTGAGATCTCCCGAGATCTTACAGAAAGTAGAGTACGACGGCGGGCACAGAATGGTTCCAGTCACCGTGGCACCAGCTCCACAGGGACTCTTTCCGTTCCGAGAAGGTGATTTTGTAGATCGGTGAGATCGACGCTGATCATGCTCTACTGGTTTTCTGTGTAGACTTTTTTTTCAAATGTTTTTTCTTTTCTTTTCTTTTTTTTTTTCAAATTTTTCTTTCCCTTTCTCCCTGATTCATGCAATTACTTGGCTCTTAGCATAACTTGTGGGGTATGAACTCATCTCTAGTCATCATTTTGGAGTGGCGGAAATTCCGACGATTATCCGGGCCATTTGACTTGAGTATCTCCTCGGAGATGGACTGGATGGAGCTGCCTCGTTGGGTAATTAGGCGGGAGGTTCCTTCGATCTTTGAGTTTGCATGTTCGCGGGGGTTTCTTGAGAATGGTGAGGTTGTAAGAAAACTAAGATGAAGCTATACACTATACCCCTGTACTCCCTAGATCTCATAGATCCAGATCGGTAGTGGAGAAGATCTACCTGCTCTTGCATTGCAGTATACTCGGTGTCTAGCTATTGATATTTTCAAGCACACAGATTGTATGAAATCCCAGATTGTATACTAGGAACACAGAATCATCTCGACAAAGACATTCATCCAAGACTACACGGGAGCTACCATATCCCCGGTAATCCCCCTGGTCACTCCCTGGCAACTACTCCCTGGGAGTATCGCAGTGGCGAACAGGTTGAACTTCGGATCAGACTCGGCCGGCGAGCGATAGATAACATGGAAGCCGTGAATGATTTCAGCGCCATCTAGACCCCCCACGGGCATTGGTGGCGACAGCCACAAGGATCCAGGCTGAATCCAGGCTGGAGAGATGCCCTAGAATCAATGTGAAATAAGTCTGGGCGAGGGAAAGCCGGAGAGCCAAGTCAACCTTGGTTTCAACCATCCTCTCTCTCCCCACGTAAATCCTTCGCAGATGTACATCTCCATTCCTCCGTGGATTCCCCATAGGGTGATTCACACTCTCTTTCCCAGCCTCGGTTCACGATTTCGTGGCGGTGCCGCGGAGTTTGTTTTCCGTCGGTCCGAGACTGCCATGGGAATGTGCACGAGTGTGATCCCTCGGTCGGGGTTTTCTGCCTCCCGTAAAGGAGTATGCAAGATGTGCAATGATTATCGTTGAACGTGGGTTGATGATTATATGGCTTATCAAGTTGGATCTTTTCCGACCGAGTGTCTTCCGAGCCTCAAACGGATCCCTGATGATCGACATGGCGATCCGATCGCGGGTCCTGCAGCGATACGATCCTCCTGCAGTGCCCCTGCAGGAACCCTGCTAGGTGCATCGCTAGATGGTATTGCTTCTGAAAAAATAGCAACTCTCGCTGAACTGAGATTCGCGGAATATCCTGAGGCACCCTTGTCGCCTTCCTCATCCGGTTAGTCACGTGGAAAGCCCTACGTCCGGGGGGAACGAAGATTTTTTTCTTTTTTTTTTTTTTCTCTTAGGAAGACAGAAATGCTTCGGGCAGATGATCGACACTGGGCACAGTAGCATCACATCGGGGTCTGGAGTAGCATCTCCACCAGAAAGTGACCGCGGGTCTAGACTACCAACTTCTGACGGGGCTACATGGAGGGAAATGGGCTGATAACCCATTTCTACTCACAAGATATCAGGTATTCTGCAGGACCCGGAACAAGTCTCCGGGTCCGGACGGTCGGTGCTGAATGGAGAGAATGTCTCGCCATAATCTACCCTGAAAGAACAAAAAAAAAAAGGCAAAGAGAAAAGGAAATCCGTGGCGTCGAACGGGCTCGCCGTTGAGCGGAGTCACTGCAGACCCATGGCTCCATCGACCGAGACTTTGCGCGGCCAAACTATCGCAGTTCCATGGATCCGCCCTCAAGCTTTGGCAACGGGCCTGACAGCTGCCCCCCTCTCCCTGGAAACTGAGTATTTAACTTGCCCCTCGCCTCTTTCTCGCCCCTGCTCATTCCTTTATGTGAGAAGTATATTGAGCTACTTTCTGTCCCCATTCTGTATTTTATCTTGTCAAAATGGGCTCGCCAGATCTAGATCAGGATATCTCCCCTATCCCCAGGTCTCGGGAGGAAAACCAGGAGAGGTATGTGTTGTGATGTGAATTAGGGATCGAACACAACTGACCCTCGCAGAGCCTTCATTGCTGCCTCGCGGCGCAAAGACCGGAGCCTGGATGCGCGGCTGGAATCGGCCAACCGGGCGTCGATGCTGCACAAGAAGCGCACCGGCAAGGCTTTTCACATCACCAAGGAGATTGTCGAGAAAGAGGCCATGTACGAGGAAGTCGACGAGCGGTATCAAGAGAAGCGCATCCGCATGCTGCAGGCGCAAAACATGCAGATCGAGGAGCAGTTCCACCGCCATCTACTGGCGGCGTTTGCGGCTCGTGCGCATGGCTCGCACTCGACGGGCTCGTCTATTGCCAGCCGTCGCGCCAGCATGACACCGCGTTCCTCAGTGGACGGTGGCTCGCGAAAGATGACTATCGACTTGTCGAATATTCGCAGCTCGTTCCCGCCGGCTATGGGCAGCATGGAGTCTGCGTCGATGGCCAGTCCTAGTACCGTTGCCCCCAGCGATGGCTACGTGCTGTCACCTACGACAACGTATGACCCCAATGCGCAGTCGTACATGACTGCCATGGATGGCGCGTACGAGCAGCCCGCACCACTCATATCCGCCACCACGGCCGCTACCCCATCGACCCAGGTCCCCGCCTATGTGGCCCAGCCCACGCCAGCCTGGTCCACCCCATCGTGGGTTACATACCAGCAGCCGCAGCAGCCACAGCAAGTGCCGACGCCCGGACAGACCCCCACAGACGCCCACGCAGTGCACCTGTGGCAGCAGCAGATGATGCAGCAAGCGCAGATGCCCGCGGACACGGCGACAACCATGCACATGCGCCAATTCCGCGACCGACTGGCTTCGGCACCCGAACTGCCGCTGCAGCCGTCAGCGGTCTCCGCCTCGGTGTCGGGCCCCAGCCGCAGCCAGGGTCACCGGGCGAGCCACGGCCACTCGCGCGGCCAGTCGCAACCGACCAACCCGTTCCACAACAACTTGCAGCTCCTGACGCAGGGCACACATCTGGCCCAGATGCCGCACGCCTCCCGCCCGGCCTCACCCAAGGTCGAGGCCCTGTCTGCCGGCACCAAGTCCACCCCAGACTTCTGCCCGACCCCCAACACTCCCTTGTCCCCGACCACGGCCGCGCATGCGATGCCGGTGGCCGCGCCTGTCTCCAAGGAAGAAGGTGACGACGGGGTCATGGTGTCGCACGAGGATCTGGACCCGGACTTTAACGAGTTCAGTCAGTTTGCGCTGGGGCTGGGCAACACGTCCTTTGGGGATCGTGAGACCTTTGGCTTCGATGAGCTTGTTACTCTCGAGGACTTTACGACTGTGTCGTGCTGATATTTTTTTTTTTTCTTTTCTTTGTCGTATATTTATATGAACCTTTTATTTTCTCTTTGGATTGACTATTTGCCATGATCGACACCCCTTTGGCTTCTGTGGCTTGTTTGTATATGCTACGTGTCGCTTTGGACATTGCTGTGTACTATATTTCCTTTCTCTTTTCTCTTCTTCTCTTCTATTTAGTTAATGTCTTGACGACCTTGGGAGGATAGGAGTTTGATTTCGGGAGCTGGTGGATCTACGTTGCTGTCTCTTTTTCCTTTCTCTTTCTCTTTTCTCTTCACTTCTTTCTATTTTCTCTTCACTTCTTTGAACCTTGAATGTACAGTCTCCATCATGAAGCAACGAATGAAACCCCATCAACTGGAAACTTTCAAAATCAAATCAAATCAAAGAAAAATCTGTTTTCACGGTTCAACACGTAGGGTTCAGTTCAGGATCTTCTCCCCGAGCGTTACATTCCCTCGAGTCCACATTTCCCAATCCGGCGAAATACCTCTCCCTCTACAGAGCTGCGCGATTATTGCTATAGGGGAGAACCATCCCCCCCGATGCCCAGAAAAAGAGAGAGAGAGAGACAGAGACAGAACCAGACCTTCAATCCTCCCCGGACCGTGCCCGCCCGGCAGAGCTGGCAGCTGGCAGCTTTCTCCAGGCTCCACGGACCCAGAAGCACCCACCCTAGGTAGAAGGATAGAGGGTAGTGGAGCTACAAGAGTATCTCTCCTATAGGAAGGGATGAATGGAGGTGGAAGTAGAGAAGCGGGTTACTGCATTCGGCGTACTCCACTGTGATTTCATACAAGTTGAGAATTTTCATAGCTATGCCATGATATCTACCTTGATTGCAGAGCAATACATAGATAGAAAAAAAGATATTATTATTCAGGCATAGTAATTATTCGTAGCTCACTGCTCTCAGATCCACGTCTTCTTTACCAAATCTTGTAAAGGGTAGGGAGGCTGTACATGGAAGCTATCCAATGTGATTGGCATATCACCCGACTGGGTCCTAGATGTCGTGCGCGCCCAGAGACAGCAAGTCAGTATGAATGGAACGAGTACTTTTGCACGCTTGGCGGGAGAGAAAAGAGGGGGGAAGAAATAGTTACTCTTGGCCTCATTCTATTTGAGTTTTCTTCCTCGTGTTGAAACCAAGAAATAAAGAAATAAACGAGAGTACTTACTTGCTAGTGTGTCTACTTCTACATAGCATGTCCCGTGCCTTGTCAAAGCTCAAGCTCTCTCGAGCCTAAACGAGCAAATCATCACCCAGTCCGGCAAGTATGACAGAACTCGGGCCCAGCACAGTGGCTCGATCAGCGAATCCCGGGCGCTGGTCTCTTGAGCTCTCTTAACTCAAGTCAACCTAACCTAACTTTTAATAACCTAACTTTACTTTTCTACCTTCCACCTATGTCCGTGCAACCACTATATATTCTTTGTGTATGTGCTAGGGGCCCTGCAGCGATCCCGATTGCGGGGTTAAAGTTGCAGCCGATCGGCGCTGATTGGCTCATCAAATATCTATTTCTCCACTTTATCCATATGCTGGGGTCCCTTTTCTTATGGCTGATATCTCCCTGCTAGCCTCTACCTATGGCTATCTATCGCTCTATCGCTCTATCACTACCTTACCCTGTAGCCTAGGGCAGAACGGGGCTTGGTTCCATGGTTGACTTCTCCCCTTCTCCCCCGTCACCCCCTCCTTTTTTCCCTTACCCGTGGTTGGCCCCGGCGTGCAACCCGTAGATCAGGGTGCCTTCGCTGCAACAGCAGGTCTGATCGGTGATGAGTATCATATCGGTCAGAAAGGCAGAAAGGAAAAAAGGGGGATATCACATTAGGGAGTAGGCGCGGCAATTTGTGGGAATTGTGGACTAAATTAGGTTTGGTCTTGCCACTTTGTCGATTAAAATTGCAAATGGTCTGATCTGTATAGACTTCCACCCTACCTAGACCTTCTACAGACATAATAGAGAAAGATAGGCTTGGTCTAGATGCAGTTATTACTAAAATATTAGCGATGATCTATATCCACAGGGATCAGCGCACACGTATAAAATAGATCTCTCGGTGACTCTATAGAGAAGTATACACCCTCTCCAATATAATAAGATCAGCAATGTACCCACTTAGATGCAGAATTCAGAGGCTAGCCTAGACTAACCCCCCCCCCTCCAGAGCTAATTTAATAGCTCCTTCACGAAAGGTCACCCGCCTGATGGGAGCCCCCACATCGACGATATACCTTTGAACGCAGACCTACCAGATCGACCAATGGAACCCCTGATTGCACCCGGAGATGGTTTTCCGGCATCGTTCCCTGGCTCTTTGAGGCGCAGGTTGCCTAGATCGGTCCTCCACGAAGATACCGGGGAAGTGAGGATAGGGCAAGCGCCATCGAACAATAAAATACATACAATACTACAATAGGGAGGAAGTCATTTGATTGGGTTGCAAATCGTAGGGCTGGATTGTGTAACTTCCGAAGAAAGAAGATATTTGTATGTGGGATGATTTGAAATATCCAAGAATACACTAGATACTCGACCTATCTTTGGGATATACTCCTTCTCTCATCCAACTAGTCCAACTATAGTAGTAGTACCTTTTCAAGTCTACTGTACTAAGAGGCAAGTGATACCCTTCACCAGAAACACGGCCCAGAAAGAAAAGTCCACAATAGCACTAATTCCCCGATCCTACGAACTCAATCATCCTTCCTATACCTGAAGGAAGCACCTCGTAAGGCCGAACACACACACAACACCTTACGCAAGCGCATAGAATAGCAGAAAGTTTGGTCACAAGCCCAGGAAAAAAAAAACCATCTGATCAACCAGTCCACGCCTAGAACAAAGTGTGATGGGCCAGTCACACAGCTCCCCCAAAAGCCGACACGGATTTTGCGAGGCTCTGGGGGTCTCCACCTGCTGTGCAGATGACCCACACAGCGCATCTTGCAGAACTATGAAGAAGTGCGGGTGAGTGGGTGAGCCAAGGGATGTGGATCAAGCGGCTTCGACCGCGCCAGTGGATGCTCATGGGGTTTAGATGGCTCTTACAGGCTGGCTACATTCGCGGAACTTTGGCGCGCACTCTACTATCTGCACACCTGCCCAGACTTGGATCTGTGGTTGAACGCTGATCGGCGCTGTGGGGGTAGCTTTTAGGCCCGGTTGGTGGACTCCCACCTTATACTAGCACAGTGGCGAATATCAAGAAAGCATTTGCGAGGAATAGTAGCAGTATATACTCTGGAATATAGAGGGAACTTAGACAATTTGATCACAAAGGCATATTCAATTCATTCACTGGTTTGTAATGCTATCAAGAGAAACCACAAGGTAAGATGAGCGGGATGTAATGGATATAATGGACACACACCTCCTGCCATGGCAGAACAGAGAATCGAAACAATGCAGTATCAGCCTGTGCTTGTAATAACCAAATTGCTCATTTGGCATGATATATGCCCGTCCATATACAGAGCACTCGGCAGTGCTTCATTGTGACCATTGTTCGAAATAAAACAGTTCACCCGGCTCATCAGTATGCCCATTAAGACCTCTACATGCCGCCACGACTGAAGAGTTCCCGGCCAATCTCACCACTGCGTCGCACGCTCAAGCCCGAAGAGCTGCTGCGGCGTCGGCGGCTTCGTGACTCGGCGGGGTCGGCAGGGCTCAGCCCGCTGGCCCGGGCGTGCAGGTTCAAGATGTCGGTCAAGCTGACCACACCGACCAGTCGCCCAGACAGTCGGGCCCCTGGCAATGCAGATGCAGGGATAGAAGGTGCCACGCCAGGTGTGGCGTGGGGGGCCGGATTCGTGTTAGTCAAAGACTGAGGAGTCGGTAAATGGGGAGTAGTATAGCTGGGAGGCTGCCCAGCTGGATTCATAGTTGGAGGAAGAGGAGATGCGGGCGGAGACAGTGCACTGTTAGACACGGCAGCTGGTTGGCTCATACTGGTGGCCAGCGGGATGTGCGCGGTGGAATGGGATGGGGTTGGTGGCCCTGATGAGGATGGAGACAACGGATCCGTTACCCAGAGCCTTGAAACTGTCAGTCTTGTCCCATGTTGCCTGCCTATGGCCATAACCTACCGATGTGATCGGGTCGCCACAAGCTTTGCGACTGTATGAGCCAGCGTCGATCCCGGGTTCACATGGAAGACCGGGAACGAGTCTTTGCCTTCGACCAGGCCCCTGGTGGATAGGATGACGGAGATAAAATGCGTGCAGGTGTTTTGAAGAAGCGGAAGTGATGAGGATCGCGTCAGAAGCTGGAAATGTCAGTCTGTGTATGTCCTGGCATAGCCTGTTTGCGAACCTTGACATCTGCTGTAGAAATATTGCCGATCACGTTATAGTGATTATCCACAACGACGATGGACGACACGCCCTCGTTGTTCAACACCTGCAGAGCTTCGCAGAGGGGTTTATCCCCGCTATAGGCAACCACTGGTTAGACTAGTCCTGAGTGATTCAAGGCCGACAACTCACTTGATGGAGATCACTTCGTGGGACCCTATCTGAAGTTCGCGCAGAGGTTGCGGGTAGAGTTCTTCAATGACAGGGAAACTGCGCCCATTCTCCCAGAGGAACTTCACCAGTCGGAACTGACTGAAGATGCCCACAACCTCCTGGTCGTTCGACTCCTTGATCACCACAACCCGGTGTACTCCCCCACCAAAAGTCTCGACAGCCGTCAGCACATTGGTCGACGCCGGCAACGTGACCAGTGGTTCTCTTTCAACGCCCAGGGGTTTGACATCTTTCAACGGAATCTTTCCCCCTTCTCGAGCCTTCCTGGCCAGCTCCTCATACGATGCGCGATGCTGCTCGTCGGGGAATGTCAGCCCCGCCGCCAGGAGAAGATACGAGTTGAGGTCAGAGTAGTCGAAGGTTCCGACAGCAGAGGTATGCTGAGGCGTTTCCCGGACCAAAAGCACTGGCGCCCCGGAATCGATCAATGTCTGGAAGAGAAACTGACGTCAGCGCAAATCAAGTAACAGCTCGAGTCCAACTCACATTGGTCGCCTCCTCAATGCCGGTGTCAACCTCGACAAACCGCAGATCGTCCGGGCTGACAAGCTCGCCAATAGAGATCTCGCGCCAATCGCGGCCAACAAACGCTGGGTCGCCATTCTTCGGAGGCGGCGGGTTGTCGATCAGGCTCTGGATGGCCGACTGGGTGGACGGCTGTCTGCGCGTGCGTGGAGACCCCGGGGGGCCGCGCAGGGTCTCGCTCAAGCTCTGGCGGTGCTGGTGGTTTGATGTAGACATGTGCGAGACCCGCAGGTTCCGAGTGGATGGAGATCGGTCGGTGCTGGTGTGAGGAGACGCAATACCCCCATTGAGGGAGGTGTCAGAGCCTTCGCGGGGGTGCTGGCGATCCGCCATGGAGAACAACTCCGAGTCAGTACGTGGCCAGACTTAAACGCAGGACGATGCTAGTTGCTTTGCTTTCGACGTGATGGAAGGCGCGGGGTCACGGGGTCCGCCAATCAGCGCCCTCCCTTTTGCATGCCGGCATTGATGTCATATTAGTCATCCGATCTATGGCAACGTGGAACTGGGAAGAGGGAAGAGGTCGATATCAAGCATTAGTGGAATACAGGGATTTAAACATTCACATGAGTGAAATACAGAGCAATTAAGTATTTTCATCAAGATAATTATAGCCTATTGGGAGAAGTGGAGGCTGCAACATAAGAACGCTCGGGTATACCCACATAAACCAGCTGTCAAAACACGCGATAAGGTCCATAAATCTCATCCCAGTCAGAGAAACTCGCCCAAAACGCTCGATATATCTATTCCCCGGTCCTTCATAATTGCCCGCTTAAACCGCGAACTAGCCTGTTCTGGCGCCGCTCGTTTTCTCTGACTACCAGGAATTGGGGTGAAGAACACCACCGACTTGGCCGTATACCGCGCCCGGTAAGCAACTTTGTGTATGTTACTGTGATCCACGAAAGGCAACTGGAATTGCAGCAGCGGGGAATTTGTGTCCAGCTTGGGCGGGATGGGTTTCTGTTCATGAGCAGCAAAAAGCGGAGGATGGGCCGACAAGCTGGCGTTATAGACATCCAACAGTGGGCCAAGCGGGGATATTGCTTCTTCTTCGCCATGCTCCTTCCACACAGCATCCAGCCGGTGTGCCAGCCACCCGTATATATGAACAGGGCTGTTTTTAGGCATTTTATTTGGGCACTGCTGGATCTCCGCTGCGATCTCCGGGCAGTCATAAGCCACAACCAGCTGCAGCTCAGGAAGCGCACGCAACTCCCGAAGTGCGGCTGTCTTCAAACTGCGTTGGTGGTAGATGCGCAAAACACGCAGATGCTGCAGCGTCCCCGCCGAGTGGACCATTTCGAGCCAGCCACGGACAGTCCCAGCAGTCAAAGAGGCGCCTTCACGGGCAACTCCCTCGGAATTGGTTAGACTGTGCCTCCAATCATTCTTGCCGATCTCCAGAGCCACCAAGTTGCGAATGTTAGCGAGAGCTGTGAGGTCTGTGGCATCGCAGCACTGCGTTCCGATGGTGAGTACAGCGCGCCACCTGTTTTCGGGGCTGTTGATCAAGTCGACGTAGTGCTTCAGAGGCTCAATGGGACGGCCCGTCGACAGGCAGTAATACGGACTCAGGAGACGAAATTGTGTGGGGTACATGGTTGCCATGATCTTCCACATATAGAGTGTCTGCTTCTTGCTGTGGTTGGTTTGGGATTGACCTTAATGGTAAGGTAAACTTGTTCGAAAAAAAAAAAAAAAAAAAAAGTGAAAGTTCATGGAGAGGGAGATACCCACCATCTACCTAGCGCATCCCACAGGTACTGAGCAAGATACCACGGGACATGCTCGAAAAGACCCGGCTGCAACGCCGACTGGTCCTGCAGCAGGCCCTTCATGGCGGAGTGCTTGAGCGAGGGGGCTCCCAGCTCATTGGTGGTTTCCCACCCATGCATCAAAAAGGGAATTTCGTGGAACCAGTTTGGGCCTCTCGAGGGAAAGCCTTGAGGTATTTCGTCGGAGAATGTTATAGACATGTTGAGACGAGGACCAGTAAACAAGGGCAGGGAAGAGGAGATAACTGCGCCAGCAGATCGCGTTTCATCCACTCGACAACTGCCTTTGATTCAATTCAGTACATGCGATGAACCGTAGCCCGGACGATTGGCTGCATTAGAACATGGTGCATCGTCTCTGAGTGAAGAAAGTGAAAGGTGAAAGGTTGTTGATCGCGATTTTAGTTGAGATCCACGTGACCATCTATATCAACAAAACCCAACGTCAACGCCCGATCTCTAATTGCTCTATGCTATGAGTATTTCGAAAGATATCTACATAGTAAAGGCACGGCCAAGCTGCAATGGCAGAGTAACCTTGGCACCTAAAACCGTGGCCGCATTGAACACCCAGTCAGGCTCACGTAGAAACTGTCGCGCCATCAGAACAGCATCAGCCATAGGCTGCGGTCCTGAGAGCATAGAGTCCGCTAGTCTCCCCTCATCCTTATCCGCATTCTGGACAATTTCACTGGCTCTGTGGGGCTTTGTAATTAGGCCCACAGCTCCGACCAAGGTCTTTTGCCCATCAGCCCGGATTTCCCGGCGAATTTCGCCCGCAAGGCCGACTTGGTAGTCGTTGTGCATGTCGATTTTCTGGTCCTTGCTATTACCACCAGAGCTGACATCGAGGAAATCGATGCCGAGCGAGGGAAGTAGCTTTGCAAGCTTCACTGAGGATGTAAGATCCCACGAGTCGGAATGCAGATGCTCAAGCCATTCCGTTGCGCTGATTCGAAGGAATAGAGGCATCCCTGCTGGAATGACAGACCGGACGCTGGAGGCAATTTCTCGAACGATTCTGATCCGGTTTTCAAACGAGCCTCCAAATCTATCCGTTCGTTGATTCGTAACAGGACTGAGGAATTCACCGATTAGGTATCCGTGTGCGCCGTGAATCTCAATAACATCCACGCCAGCCTGGACAGCCAGTGCAGCGCTCTTCGCAAACGCCTTGACCACGTCCTCGACCTCAGTAGTGCTCAACTCACGGGGAGGCCAGAAGCCATCTCCCGGGGCCCATATCTGACCCTCACCACCGGATGGCCCAACAACGTTCGTGGGCCATCCACCGGCACTCTCGTCGGCCCTCAGGCTTCTTTTGCCGGCTTGATTTGCTATCCAAGGCGCCATCGTACTGGCTTTCCGTCCAGCATGGGCCAGTTGGATGGCAATCTTGGCACCCTGACTATGAACAAAGTTCACAATACGCTGGAGTCCTTTGAACTGCTCTGAGTGAATGCCATCTTGCCATAGACCCGAGTCATTTGGCGAGATACGTCCGTTTTCCTGAACAGCGGTTGCCTCTATCATGACCAAGCCCACGCCCTTCAGGGCAAGGTGACCAAGGTGGGCCAGATGGTAGTCTGTCAAGGCTCCAATAGACGGGGACGATGGATTGGATTCCGTGGAATACATGCACATTGGGGCAACCATGACTCGGTTTTTGAGGGTCACATCTCTGATTTGCAATGGCTTGAAGATCGTGGGTGTATCTGGCTTCTCGTGATCTAGCGCAGCACCGGCGTTGTTGCTAGGAGTGAAGTAGGGGATGCCGGCGTGTTGAACCACGGAAGGAGGGACGTTTGAGACAGTCATGCTAGGAAATTTGGTATCAGAAAAGGGTAAGATGATAATTGTCTGACTTTTGGAAAGAAAAAGATAGGAGAGAGAAGAGAAAACAGAAAACAGGCCAGGAGTAAGAGTCCTGACTGTGGGGAGCCCGTACCTGTCTAGCTACTTCGTCCACTATTTGCGTTGATTACAAATCCAAGTACGAACGGACAAATCCCGATGGTAAAATAAATAGTAAAATATAATATTCGTCCATTCTGATCTAGGACACGCTCGCGTTTTACCGAGGGCATAAGATGTGGACCTTGGGTTGAGTCGTTGAGTTCACCCAGCGTTGCAAGTAGGCAGGGCGTAGGGCGTACATATCGGGAGAAGTGATATGCAAACCCCGGCCTCCACGACGTGATTTGAATTTAGCAAAGTGTCAGAGAAAATACAAGCGTAGAGTACTTTTTTTTTTTCTTTGTGTATGTATCTGGTCCATTCATAATTGAAATTTATCAAAACCCCAAGCAGTTATAACACCTGGGTCCTAAACATGAGCTTGACACATTCACTGATGGCTAATGATATAGTAATTTATTGCCTACGTGAAAGCAACCGCCATATAAAATTGATACCCATGGATTTATTAAAGCATGTACAAGCCAGATAGCCTGCAAATACCCGTGGATACATCATAGCCTCTCCTTTTGGGGCCAGGAACCAATACAAGCATTCCACTGTTCATCAATAGCAACCCGTTCATGGTGAGGAACCGCCGCCCAGGCATTCAAGAAACGCGACGTGCGAATCTCCCACATAGCCAACTCAGAATCAATGAAATCTGCACTTGTCTGTGCAGTTTCTTGAACACGCTCCATGGGAACAAGATGCCCACAGGAAAGCACAAGTTCTTTGGCTCGTTCTTTAGATGCACCCGCACTACCACCCACACCCGTGCCAGTATCCACCGTTCTTTGCAGCCGTGTAGACGGACTGGATAATGCCGATTCACTGCCAAACACATGAAGGACACCAGGCTTGAAGTCGGGCAGACGCTCTAATATCTGTCGAGGCTCTGGGTGGTAGAATGGGAAGTCGTCGATATCATCTGGATACATTTCCTTTTAGGGCAAGCTTGGCACGGAAACCGGGGAATCTCCAATTTGGAGAACGTGTTTGGCCTCAGTATTATTTCCATCGTATTGATGTTTCGATAAACAATAGCTTCGAGAGCTAATGGTGCCGATATTTTGCCTATATATCTATAGATACACTATACACTAGCTGAAGGAAGTCAACCCTCGCTCCGGGCATACCGACTCCATCGGCGCACAACCGGCCCCCATCGATACAACACATAGGGCACTGGCAAAAGGACCGTAGCCAAAGCCCCAAATACAGACAAAGTCCAAGCAACACCAAGATGTCTATACATCTTCTCCGAAACGACCACCATAACGCCGGCAGCAGTAAAACGAAACACCTGAATAGAAGCCAGCGCACTGGCAGCATGGTTCTCAAACGCGTCAGAGATATACTGGTACGACGAAACAAAGACACAGATCACCCCAAAGCCAAATAATACGGACGACGCAAGCGGGAACCACACCGAGATGGAGGCCCGCGCTGTCCAGCCCATCCAGAACAGGGCGAGCGGCACGGCGGGGGCCCCGAACATCGCCATATATAGCCCGATCTCGGGGCCTGGACGGTCTTTCCCCTCGGCACGGCTGCGGAGGATATCTTTGCGCAGGAGTTTCATGGCGAGGGGCACGAGCGGTGCGGCGAGCCAGATGCCGACTGCGATACCGAGGAAGGCGAGGCCTGTCTGGCCGGTGTTGAAGTGGTAGATTTCTTTGTAGATGTGGACGTAGCCTGCGACGAAGGTGTAGAGAATGATGAAGATGATGGAGAGGTACACGGCGAAAATCATGATAATGGGTTCGGTTACGAAGAGTAAGAACGGGCGATAGAGTGCGTGTGCCACCCGAAGTATGAACGACACCCGTTTGAACTCTAGTGGTGGGCGGTATCGAGGGTCGCCCGTTAGAAGACGGAGTTGTTTTGCTTTCCAGTGTAGTATGACCGGGCTATATGTCTCTGGTAGACATAGCACCACAAGTGTTAGTATAACCCCCGCGAAGATCATCGTCATCCAGTCCACGAAACGCCAGTTCACGGCCTTGGCCATCGTGACGAAGGAGCCTGGCGTCGGGGACACAATAGGCCCCATGAAGGTGAGAATGGCGTAGATCGGAAATGCGTATATTCGCTCGATGCGCGACCACAAGTCGACTAGAGAACCGCCCGCGCATACCAAGGGAGCTGACCCAAAAAACCCGGCAAAGGCACGGCACACAATCCCCTGGGCTATATTTTGTGACAATGCAGACCCCATCGTGAAAAGGATGAAAAGGGTCAGCGAGGGAATATACACGGGATTGCGCCCAACGACTTCGGAGAGAGGTGCTGTTACTACGCCGCCAATGCCGACGCCGATGAGATATAGAGCTGGTGTCAAAGAAAAGAGACCTCGTCAGTTGCCAGCAAGGTCGCGTGAACATGAACCCCCCCCCTGCTGTACATACCAGTCGGGACTATCTGGAGCTCGAAGCTAGTGCCATAATACCACCTTGCGGAGGAGAGCGCAGCAGAGTAGATCGTCGACGCCCATAGAATGACAGACGCAGTAAATGCCACCAGCACAGTGCACCCAAACCGGCACAAAATGGGCCAATTATGCGGATCCATGGGATCACAGTCGCCCTCGAAGGTGACCACGACGACTTTATCCTGCTGGGCTTTCCTACCGCCACCATTGGCGGTCCCATCAGGCACATCGTTAGGGTCATCGGCTTCCGGCCTGCACCTTTCCAGGCCCGTCACGATCATCTCAGGCGTGTCTCCCAGCGTCTCCGCCGAATTGATGGTCTGAGGATCGCCCTGGATTTGCGTGTCGTAGTCCGCCCGTTCGACGTCTCCGTCAGGCTCCAGGTGCGTGGCCGTCGTGTGGCGCGGCTGGAGAGTCGGGCCTGAGATACGAGTGCGGTGGCCATGCTCGCGCCTGCGGGTCGCCGGCTCACCATCGTCTGGCTCGCGCGGCTCCGATTGTATCCTGCCGCCTTGGTAAGAGTAGCGCCGCTCGCCAGTCCAGGCCTCGTCGGGGCTCTCGTGCTTGACAACCAGTTGTTGCTTGAGTTGTTTGCAGATCCGCCGATATTGCAAAAAGGACTGCATCGCTGCATGCATTGCTAATGGGCATGTCGGCTGCAGGAGCGATATTCAACCCACCGCTGGTGGAGGCAAATCGGACATGACGATTGCCTCGAGGTTATCTCTCGCCATCACTCGGTCGGCTCTCCCGCCAATGGATTCTGGATTCCTTCATGGCCGGTATGAGAGAGAGGAAAAGCATGGGGAAATTGTATCAACTCGACACGAGACTCTTTCGTAGAAACAAGGTACAGCGATCAATGGAGATGCGCGATTGTCTACTGTGATGTCAGAACCACCAACACCTTTCGTCACCATAAAACCATTGCGATTCCACAACCCAAGAACTATCGATATTCCAAAAAGCAACAAATCACAGAATCATCAAGAATAAATCACAGCTGCACCATAAACCCCCGGGGCCAGCGACACACTGAGAAACACCAAGGGATGACATTACATACAGAGCAATACGTTACTGAAAAAAGCAAGCTCGTTCCGGCACCTAGAAAAACCTCATCGCCCTTTTTGCTGTTTTCAACCACGATTTACATCACATAGAGAAGGTTCGTGTCTGCAGACGCCTGTCAGAATTTGAAACCGAGAGATGGATGCGAACAGAACTTACCGAGGGGGTGGCTGCAGCTCAACTGCGGTTTTTGGGTATATTTGGTGGACAGTTCGTCACGAATGCTGTTCAGCAGCTGGACATAACTCTGCTGAGGGTTCTTCCGCAGTGCGGCGATGAAAGCCCAGGACATGGCACCGGTGGCTTGGCCAGCAATCTGAGCATCTTGACTGGTTTGGTCGTCCTTGCTTCCAGACCACATGACAACATCCGCGGGACTGGTCTTCGTCTGCTTGTTGCGCTCGTACACCTCGTCACCCTTCGTGGCCTTCTTGAAGAATCCCATGGCGGTGGACATCATGCCACCCATATCGCCACGCGCGTATGCGGACACCACGCCAAGCAGACCCTGGCCCGCCTCCTTGGCCAAGTTGGGCTCCTTGAGCACACCAGAGGTGGAATAGATGTAGGGAAGATCCAGCGCGGATCCAGAGTGGCAGGAGTCGAAGATCGCTGTGAGTCGGACACCAGGTCGGAGTGACTGGACCATGATCCGGTGCATCTCGTCGTCCACAATGTGACCCGCGGCCCGGAAATCTACTGGGTAGATGACTTCGTCATATCCGTCGTCTTCGTCGCCGTCCAGATCAGGTGTCTGACCGCCGTGGCCTGAGACGGATTGTTAGCTCATCGCCGCGATATACAATTTCCACAAGGGGACTCACCGGAGTAGTGGAAGAATAGCGAGTCGTTGGGTTGAGCATCCTTGACCAGCCAATGCATAGCCCGGAGAATGTTCGCCTTGGTCGGCTGGCTCATGGGGTTTTGCTGGTCATCGGTCAAGAGGACCATGTCCTCGCGAGCGTAACCAAAGTTCTGGTTCAAGTATGTCGACATATTCTTGACGTCGTTGATACATCCACGCAACTGACCCTTTTGGCCGAAATAGTTGACTCCAATCAGCAACGCCTTTCTCTTGCCTGTGCAACGCGAGTACTGGAAGTTATAGCCTTGCGGGGCACCGTGACCGAAAGAGACTGGGTTACTGGGCGGGGCCTGGGGGCCAGGGCCGCCTTGATAGGGATTCGCTATAGAGGCATGTTAGTCGATGTTGACAAACACGACGTCGAAAATTCCATAGAATGGGGCGACAAACCTGGTGGCCGGCCCTGATACATGGGTGGCCCGCTGGGCGGCTGTTGAGGGTATCCGGAGGGCGGCGGAGCCTGCGAATCAAAGCGACACACGTCAGAATCTTGAGGTTCATTTCGAAAGCCTAGTCACATACATTATATCCGTGAGGTGGGGGGTGGGATCCGTAGGGCTGTTGAGGCGGCTGCGGCGAGTGGCTGTATCCGTACGGGTTGGACGGAGGGTGCTGCTGGTGATACGACTGGCCCGGGTATCCGCCGTAGGAAGGCTGCTGGTGGTGATGCATCGGTCTGCGACATCAGATCAGTTAGTCCATGATTCAGAAAGAAGAGAAAACACGGCGTACGGGTACTGCTGCTGCGGGAGGTAAGACTGCTGCGAGGGATACCCCGGAGCGCCCGAGTACGGCGGATAATAAGACATCACTGGGCTCTCGGGCAGGGTTCACACGCGTAGAGGGAGAAGAAGATGCTCCGAGGAAATTGTGAAAGGAGGAAGAGAAAGAGAAAGAGTGGGTTGCTTTGAATGTGGAGAAGCGACACAACAGATCGGAAGACCGGAAAGTGCCAAGCCTTGCCAGACACGAAGACAGTGTTTCTTCGAAGGATCAAGACAGAAATTTCCCGCAGATATCAAAGGAAAGAAAGATGGAAGCAACGTGGAAGCGAAGAAACGAAAGCAAGAGGACGAAAGCTCCAAATAAGATTAGGGGGAGCCCCGAGTAAAGCCGAGAAGATCAGGGACAGATCGGGCCTTGCCACTTACCTGGAGATCTCCGAGGTATACTTTCTCCCTATAAGGTTGAATGGGTAGAATTGACGAAATACAAATTATATCAAAACAACAGAAATATAGAAACAAAAAGAAAAACAAAAAAAAAAAAAGCAACGCCGGTCTGACCTTATATCTGACATGCGTCCCTCGGCAGCTCCGAAAAACACCCCTGCAAGTCCAATCTCGCCAAGAGTGCAGGGCATTGGGTGTTGATGAGCTGAGATGATTTGCAGTGTACCATTTCTTACCAATCCCCGTGGATAGGGCTCGAGAGCCGTGCTGCACCGAAAGACAGATCACAAAGTGCTGCCGGTGCATGTACAATGGGTTACAAGTATTCGATCTTGAAACCTTTGAGTATTCCATGTCGGTCTGCTAATCTAAAATGGACTATCGGTTTAATCGCATATTTCTAACTGAGGAATGAACAATAGGGTGGTGTTGGATAGACCAGCGTTTTAGGTAAAACTATAAACTCCCGCATTCCAGCGCTCGCTCGCCACGAAGAAATTACACGTAGAAAAAGGAAGCCTTGAATCTCGTTCGCATACGATCGATCGAGATCCAGGAAGAAGCAATACTTTCAAGCCGGCTACCTAGACGTATGTACTGGGGAGGATAGGGGGAGATTGTAGTCTACAGGTCTTCTATTCTCTCCCCGTGCAGATTCAGGGTCATCTCGCAGATCCGCTTTTTGAGTCACAGACAATTTTCTTTTTTTTTTTTCTTTCTTTTGGCTCCGGTGGGAAGGTGCCATCAACCATCATTCTCTCATGGTATTGACTCGTTTATCCCCGTCGGGGCATCCCGCGGCCGCGGCCCCGGAGAGCCCGTTGCGCAGCACCCGGAGGCAGACCGCGTTGCGGGGCCCCAGGCTGGGCAGACTCCTCGTTCTCTGCAGGCACGTCAGTCAGAAGCTGCACAGGTTTGAAAAATAGGAGGCAGGTCACTTACTTATCGTCTCGTCCACACTCAGGATCAGGCAAGCCGCTTCCACCGCCGCCTGGATGGCGTTGACCTTGACCAGACTGGGCTCCCACACAAAGGCGGCCATGTTGTCCCGAACGCCCTCATTGTCAAAGTCCACACCAGCCCAGACATTGCCCTTGCGGTGCTCCACACGCAACCGGTTGAGGATGTCCGTGGAGTCGAAGCCAGCGTTGTCGCACAGCTGGCGGGGGATCACCTCCAGGGCCTTGGCGAACGCCTTGACCACGGCCTGCTGCTTGTGCGGGACGTTGCGGTCGGCGAATCCGTGCATGTGGCTGGACAGCTCCATCTCGCAGGCACCGCCACCGGCGACGATGGTGGTGTTGCGCAGAGCACGCTTGACAATCATAATTGCGTCGTGCAGACTTCGCTCCACCTCGGCAATGAACTGCTCCGCGCCACCACGCAGCACGAGGGTGCAGGTCTTGGCGCCGGGGCACTCGGAGAAGATGTTGAAGCGCTCCCCACCAATCTGACGCTCCTCGAACGAGCCACAAGTGCCCAGGTGGCGGTCATGGATGTCACTGCATGTCGACTGTGTCGCGGCACCAGTGGCCTGGCACACACGGTCCATGTCGTCGGATGCAACGCGGCCAGCACAGAAGATATCCCGGTCCGCAAAGTACCTGCGCATCTGTTAGCACTGTGCAATAGCTTCAGGAAAGAAACAAATCAACACATACTGAGTGGCAAGGTCACCAATAGGCAACTTGCTGAGAACCACCTTCGCCCCCGTCTTGTAGATAGCCTCGAGCTTGTTGTAAATGATCTGCCACTCGGCATCGACGATGGCCTGGTATTCGGAGACCTGCTCTACCCGAACTTCGGCGTTGTCCTTCTCGCTCTTCAACTCCAGCTCGACGTTCAAACACACAATCTTCGGGTCCTTGAAGTACTTGGGCTGTTGCTCGAATCCAGCGTAGGAGAAGGTCTTCTTGAAGGCGACACCGTTGACGAAGAGGGATTCCTGAAGTCCACCACCAGTTACCTTCTTCACACCAATCAGCTTCTCGTTAAGGTCATCCTGGTCCAGCGAAAGCACTGCATCCACGACCACTGAAAGATTCTTTTGTCAGCTGGGGAGGGATCCCGAAGAGAATAGAACGTGTGGTGGGTCCTCACTCTTTGTGAAGAAGTCCGAATTGCGCTTGATGAGCTTGCTGTTCATGGCCGTCGCGGCTAGCCGTCGGAGCGTCTCAGTCTTCTTCTCCTCGTTACCCGCTGCGTCGATCATGTCCACCGCGATCTCCTTAATCTTGTTGACCGCCATGGCGCTGGCTCGCCGCAGACCCTTAATGATCGTCTGCGAGCTGACACCCTGCTCGACAAGTTCCCGCACCTCCTTGAGAATCTCACCAGCCAAGACCACAACGGAGGTTGTTCCATCACCGACTTCGGCATCTTGGGATCGGGCGATGTCCGTAAGGATGCGGGCGGCGGGGTGCACAATATCCAGAAGCTATCAGGACAGACGCACACACAAGTCAGAATGACGATCCGAAGCCATAGCATCCATCAGTATAGCAAGACGCACCTTCATCACCGTCGCTCCATCGTTCGTGATGGTCTGCTTGCCATTGGCGTCAACCAGCAGCAGGTCACCACCGTACGGGCCAAGAGTGCTCTTGACAGTCGACTGCACTGCAACACAGGCGTTGATGTTGGAGATGATCTGACCCTTTCCTTGAGAAGCATCCGTGCCTATATAATGCGAGATGGGCAGTGGTCAGCACGAGTCCAATACATCCCACTTAGCGGGACCGGGGAATGAACACGGACCCTCCTTCAGCACGACAATCGTGGGTGTTTGGCCGGCGAAGGCCATGATGGAATCGAGAGCGAGATCGAAACTCGATAAGAAAAGAAAAACAAGCGACCTGAATGAATCGGGAATGTCAAGGGTACGGGGGGATCGGAGGGGTTCGCTGATCTTCGACCAAAATTTCCCAGAGCTTCTGTTTCCCCCAAAACCCTCCATCGCGCAAGGCGGTCAGGGCTCCCCAACCCTACACAAGTCACAGCCAAAAGTATCATGAAAATAACACTAATTACTACTACTGAGCTTGAGATTCTAATGAAATGGTCAGGATAGTCTAAGTAATATGACATTGGGTGAGAATGCAAAAATAATATGCAGAGTATATGCCGTCAGCAAGAGTCTGCTCCTTTCCACAGTACACAAGTATATAATCAGTTTCCAGATCTAAACCCCCGGTCCCAACGCCAAAATATGGGAAGATAAAAGATAACTCAGTTTAAGGCAAGTCATAATTCTCCTCTGATGGGCTGCCATACTCGTACTTGGCGAGCAAATCTGGATCATGGTGCAGGTCGTGGGCGGGTGGATTCACCAGTCCCAGCACCTCCTGTCGAAAGGGATCCGAGCCGTCATCGACCATCATTTGATAGGCATTGCTGGCAGTGTGGTAGCGTATTGCATCGTCAAAATTGGTCATGCCAACATTGTGTGTTCCGGGCGCATACGTATTAGCCATGGCATTTTGTTGCTGGTAGCGCCGTAGCTGCTGGTGCAGCTGCATGATTTGGGGATCGAGGGGCATCGGCGTAAAGCTTGCCATGGGATGTACGGTACCAGGAACGGGGGCGGAGACAGGTTGGTTCATGAAGGGGTTGTGGCTCGGAGATTCGTCGGGCGCCTCGTCCATGGCCTGCGGAATATCGGTCGGTTCTTTGGATGTCTGGTCGGCTGTGCTCTCCGTTATATCCGACGTATCTTCGGTGATCGTCTGATCATCGTATTTGGTTCCAGGGATTGGCGGTATCTTGAGGGTTTCTTTGCATTGCGGACAGTCCCGAATTACTCGATTGACCGTCTCTTTGATCCGTACCCAGTGATACTTGACTGCAATGGCGGCAGTGGTTTTGTTGATTCCGGCATGTTGCTTGAGATGAACCTCTAGTGCAATGTCATACTGCTGTTGTGGATCGGAAACCACTTCTTTATCCTTCAGCATCAGCTTCTCGGGTTCACCATCATCGCCCCCGGATAGCTTATAATGTGTTGCCGCGCTGCGAAGCCGGCTCTTCTCAGCACGGTCAGCACCTCGGGGGTACTTGGAATGTTTCAAATAATATCGGATCTTTTCGAAGCGGTCTTGTGAGACGGAATCTTCGCCGTCCAAGCTGAGGCCTCTTCCATAGATGATCGCATCCACAAACTCCCCGGGATTTGATTTTAGCTGGCCCCCTCCTGGGACTCTGCCGATTCGCTTAAAGCCCAAAGAATCCCATAAGCGGCATGATGCCACGTTGGTCTCGTAGACCAGGTTGAAGACCGCGTAAGTGTAGCCCTAGGGCGAAAGTTAGAAACTGATAAAATAACGATTTTAACCCTAGTAGGATGCATTTCAAGATCACTCACTAGCCGCGGAGCCCATTCCAGATATGCTTCGCCCATCAGTCTTCCTACACCCTTGTTTCGGGCAGCATCCGTGACGATAAAGGTGCCATTGCAGACATGGCTACTCCGGCCAGGGTAGTTGGGCCGGATGTGAAAACCACCCAAGCAAACCTTCGTCCAGTTGACACCGGCACGGTCCATGGCGTGCGTCTGCTCGGCACTCTGGATGTCGCCGAGGAGCATAACCACACCAAAATTGGAGAACCAGTAGCGACCAAATTGCGCCAGTGGAATTGGCTCGGTCATGGCATATGTGTCTCCCTTTTCAATTTCTTTGTTGAATTGATCCGAGAGATACTTCAAGAGAGGCCGGGGCACATCGTCTGCCGAGGCGAAGGGTACCAGCGTCGCAATGGTGACCCGATCCCGGAGTGTCACCTGTCGTGTTGCAAGTGCAAGGGGATACTCCAGATCAGGGCCCGCTGGTACAGGCTCTGTATCTCCATGTACCTCAGACATAATGGGATAGCCCTCTGGTGGATTGACCGGTCAGGAGACTGTATGGCATGTCAGTTACTGGTTTCATCAAATGGCCCCAGAGGAGTATGAATGGCATTGTTGAGATATCATTCTCCAACTACTATGGTGCCTGGACAAGGTAACTAACTGACATTCTGTGCTATTCGAGGACCGCGTGTATTCTCGAGTCTGCAACGGGTCAACTGGCAGTCGTGGGCCCCGCTGACTCATGGTTGACTCATCTAGTCAATGTTTCAAAATTGCTGCCTTAGGCATGATGTCCCAATACATGCATTGCAGCCTCAGGCCCCATCCTGCCTGTCTGGGCACCTGTTTGTGTACCTCCATCGGTGTGGATGATCGCTCCACCATTCTGCAGGTTCTCTTTTAGGGCTTGCATCACCTTCCGTGGTGGATCCCATATGAGACCACCAATTCGTCTCCCACTATGTCACTGTGCATTATTCGCGCATGATGCTGGATGAGCTGAGCCAAGTCCCCACTGCCTTCGGCTGTTGTAGCAGCCAGGCCAGATCCCCCGCCAGAGACAGGGGGGTCATTGCACCTCCCACCTTGCCTTTGCTCTAGCACGCCATATCCGCAGAAAGCAACATTAGAAGTGCATCATGGCGGAATCCCGTCCTCAGTACTATGAAAACCCCCTGACCCCGCTGGTAGTCAACCCTGCCACTCTTGGGGAGTCTCTGCATGAGCTACGGACTGCTATCCGCAATGGAGCTAAATCGATACACGCCAACGCCCCTATGCCCGATACCTGGGGACTCAATGGCATGTTCAAAGGTTTCCCAGGTAAATAAGCTAAAAATAAGCTCCGATTTACACTCATGCCTAACTAATTGCAGGGATTGCCTTGGCTTTGTTGCGCCTCGACTACCAATCCCCGGTGTTGATCGAAGAGGTTGAAGGTCCCCCAGACTATCGTCAATTTGCCCTTCAGCGGATTCCATCAAGCCTACCAGAGGCGCCTTTGCTGCCATCTCGGCTGTCTCCCATTGGCTCTTCCTCGCCTTTGACTGCTGTCCTTTTGCGCTTTCTGGCTACCATGGCAAAAGCCAACTGGAAAGACGGTACCAGCCCCGGTATCGCTAGTGAAGATATTGATATCATGCAGGAGGCTATGAAGCTGGCATTGGCAAACGGGCCCCTTGTCGCCCATGATGGCCGAAGAATGGGAGGGGACGATATGCTTTTTGGTCGACCGGGGCTGCTCTGGATGCTCTTGAACATTCGTGCCTATCGGTTCAATGAGGAAACCCAAAAGGCCCTCTTGCCTATTATGCAGTCCATTCCTCAGCTGCTTGATATGATCATCGATGCTGGACGACAAGGCTCCAAGGATTATACCGAGAAACATGGAGAGCAAGAAGCGCATCCCCTGATGTATGCATGGATGGAAGGCTATTATTTCTTTGGGGCGTGAGTATTACCCATGACTCTATGTGCAAGGAAGAAGAGATACTAACTACCATTCAATAACCAGTGTTCATGGAATAAGTGAGTTCGCGGCTGTGGGACCATGTGACTTGACCATACTAACCAGTACATGCATTACTAGCCGGAATTTTGTCCATTCTACTCTCATGCACACAAGAAGAGCTCGCCCCTTACCTACCTGTGATTGGAGAGACTGTCACCGCACTCTGCAAGCTCTCCATCGAGAACAATGGCCATCTCCCAATGGCACTGCCTCCGTTTAGTTACGGGCAAGCTTCGGAGTTTGTTCAGCTTTGCCATGGTAGCCCAGGTTTATTGATCCTCTTGGCAGCTGCCTTGAAGAATGGACCATTGACCCAAGAATACTGGTGTCCCGAGTGGGATCAGGCGATCTACTTGGCTACTGGGCGAATCTGGGAAGAAGGCCTCCTTTCCAAGGGAGGCAGCCTGTGTCATGGCATTGCCGGCAACGGATGGCCGTGGCTCTTGTTGCATGACAGTTTCGAGTACCACTCAAAGGACATCGATCGTGCCCGGCAAAACTACCTACAGCGCAACCAGGTGGCAGCGATACCGGATACAGACCTCAGCCAGAAACTCACACCGGATTTCTTCCTGTCGAGGGCGCTGGCCTTCATGCTGCATGCGCGTGAGACTCGGCCATACAACACCTCACCTTCCTCCGGCGGGAGAGACTATCGGATGCCCGACGATCCTTATTCGATGTTCGAGGGTTTAGCCGGCAATGTGTGTGCATGGGCTGATACGTGCGCGACGCTCCAGGCGAGACTGCGCCAACATGAATTAAGTGAACAGGGACTGTTGTCGGTTTCCACCTTGGAGACTGATGCAGTTTTCCAAGATGCCATGCGCAGCCAGCTAGGCTTCCCTGTTATCGGAGGAAATGGAGCGAGAGGCGTTTTCTAGAGTGCATTGAGTGGAACTATTCATGTTTATTCATCACTTACCCGATGATGTCATAAGGCACTACAGACGGGTCTACGTCTCGGGCCCGAGTAAACTCATACAAAAGAATATGCTGCATTTATTGAGACAAACCGCACGATCTACACCTGACATCATAAAATACGAGGAACCATTATACATACAGGGAGTAGTCCTGTAGCACAGACCAAGTCCACAGCCTTCGCCAGTCAACTCGTCGTGGCTGAGTCGGGCAACTCACGGGGCGATGGACGGGCCTTGGCATGCCAGGATTCAAGCTTAGATCGAAGGATGCTCGCCTTGATCGCACTCTTGGACCCCATCTTGCAGCGACCATGGATTTGATTCCACCGTCGTACAAATCCGCAACAGACCGCGATGCATGGGCCATCATCGCCCACTACATACCCTCCAGCGACCTCTGCGCGGCGTCCCTAGTCTGCCACCGATGGCACGATCTGTTCATGCCGTTTCTATGGGGTGATCCGGCATCGCATTTTGGAACAGAAAATGATGCGGTCTACGGTAGACATGCTAGCAGTGTTTCCAGGCAGAACCATCTAAAGGCTGACCAAAACATAACCAGTGGCCCTCACGCGGTTCCGAAGAACCCTGAAGTATGCCCGGCCCGAGGTGCGGGCTTTGACCCATACGCTTCATCTGCCACCCGCTCTCTCGGAGATCTATGGCGGCCCGCGACCCGGGTGGTTGCGAGACATCCTGGAATATCTGCCATGTCTGCAGTCTTTGATGGTCTCCAAGCTGCCTTTCTTCGATCACAATGCCATGAAGGCGCTGAAGAGCCAACCGAGGTCGGCCCAGTATAGCGTCCGTTTACTGTTGGCGGACCGCGAGCCTAATACCACGTCTTCGAGCCTGGCAGAGACCCTGCTCCGGTTTCCGCTGCTGGCATATTTGGATCTCTCGTATACCACGTCAGCGCGAGACCGGGGAGTGCTGTCCACTTTCTCGGAGCTGGAGCATCTGCAGGTGCTCAAGCTCTGCGGTCTCGGATTGAAAGACAGCGATGCCGAGTTCCTGGCTAATGCCATCGGAGTTCGGGTCCGCTGTCTGGACCTGCGGAAGAATCTGCTCACTGACATGGCAGTCCGCTCTCTGCTGCAGGCGTCGTTTATGTCGCCGGGCAACGCGGGATTACCGCAACCCGTACGAAATCGTGGGAGTTCCCCAGACGGGCTCAGGCAGTCGGCCATCCGAGATCCTGACTCGGACTTCTTTAAACGGCCCGACCTAGATGATCACTTGATGAAACAACTGGCCCAGCCAGCCACAACCCACACCTGGGTGGAAGATTTGCCACCAATGGGTATCACTCATCTCTATATTGCAGATAACCCCATCTCGGTCGAAGGTGTGGCGAGCCTCTTGGCTTCGTCTCGGTTACATGTGCTTGATGTGGGAACAGTCAATACTGCCGATGCTCTACACAAAGCACCAGCATTGAAGACTGAAAGATACCCCGGCGCTGAAAAGCTGGTCCCGATATTAGGCAAGATTGCTGGTGACCATCTGACATATTTTCGAGTGCATCACGCAGTTCTCACTGCTGAACCACCGAATAAGGACGCTGCATCCACGACCGATTTTCTCCCAGAACTCCAATCTAGCGAGGTAACTCGCGAAGCGGAATTGGACGCCTCTCAGGAGATTCCCGAGTTGCCTGGACGGGTCCAGCCTGTCTATGAGCTGCCAGATACGTCAATAACACAGGATTCTGGCTCTACAAACACGAGAACGCAAGTACCGCGTCTTACGATGCCCCTCGAAGACGAGCAGCTGCCTGCTGTAAGACGTGGATCAGCTTTTGCTCCCGAGGTTGTCCAGCCTATCCCCCAACGTGGTGATAGTGGTGGAGGTAGAGCCCCAGATGCTACAGGAGCAACTGTCTCAAAAGCATTGCAATCCGAGGAAGGGAACGCTTTGCCATGCGATACCTCCCATGCTAATTCCTCCCTGGAGCCGATTCCGATATGCGGCTCACCAATATCAACGGATGATCCTCGCGCACAAAGAATCCAGGAACTCCTCGCAAAACGGCCTCGAAGCCAGTCCATTCCTCTCTTGGGCGGAAAAGAAAGCCGCTTCCCCTACTTGCATCCATCGCATGTTCCACATCTAGAGACCCTCATTTTGACCGACGTCCCTTCCCATGTCGCACCCAACTCCCTAGTCCTGTCTACCCTTCTCCGATTCATCACTGCTTGCTCCAACGAAGCCCTGCTAGCAACCCTCCAAGCCGGATCAGACTACTCCCTTCCACCCGGGCAAGCACGGATACGCGCCGAGCAGCAGCGATCTCGATCTCTCTTTGGGCTGCGGCGATTAGTTATTGAAATCACGCCCGTAGATCAATCATCGCGCTTGACACCATGGAAAGCGGCCAACGAGAACTCGAGCACGGGCGACCCGGACTCAGAGAACCTGTGGGCCGCCGCCACGCACGACTTCAGCTTCTTCGGCGAAGACGAGTGCGGTGTCCCCGAGAATGACACCAGCAAATACTTCCCCATGGCCGTGCTGAACGAAAAGGTCTCGCTCATGCCCTCGGACGATGACTCCAATCACTCCGGCGCCGACACTCCTCTCCAGGGCTGCCATCGCTCCCGCCAGAGCGTCACCTCTGCCGCTTCGGGCACGCCTAGCCCGCCGCAGACTGTTGGAGAAAGTCAACCGTCGGCCCAAGTGCCGGATGTTGATCTCGTTGCCGAACTGGCTGCTTTCCGCCGCGCTAAGAAGGCGGAGTATGAGCGGGTGGTGCGGCGGGAGAGAGGGCGGCGGAGCACGAATGGCACGGGAGTCTCGAGCCTCGCTCCGTCAATGCCGCAGATCTTCCTGGCACATTTTGTCGAGGGGCATTGGAAGGGCGAGGTGAAGATTGTGCGGAATCCGACGCCGAAAGTGCGAAGCGGTACCGTCGACATGTATGGCAATTATTTTGAGAAGGGATATCTATACCCATGATCGGATCGCTTGGGCTATTCTTTGAGACTACCCCTATATCTATTGCATGCAACTCTGATTTGGTTTTTGTGCGAAGTTTTTGTTCCATTTTGTAGTCCTCGATCCGGACGTTTCATGCCCTCTATATCGTGAACGCTTGAGCCATCGTTCTGACTCGTAGCATCGACGGGCAAAACATAACTCGAATGGAACACAAGCCAGGAAAGAAAGAAAGCACCAGAGGTCTTTTGCATATCCTCCGATTCCCTTTCCCCCTTCTCCCAACTCGCCCTCCATCGGGAAGCCATTCGTTGGCTAATATTCCATCCCCAGTGGAGCATTGCGAACCCGTTTCCACAGACGCAAGCAAAGTACCAAAACACTGCGATCCGTTCGACAACACCGATTCAGGAAAAGAGGCAAACAAAATAAAAAGATTCATTTCAAGACTAGTTCCATTTTATTTTGCTCGTTGGACGACATACCCTCTCCTTACATAGCCTTGGCGGCCTGAGGGGGGTTCAGCTTCTTGCCATCCTTGTTGTAGCGGATGCGGGGAGGGGGGGCACGGTTGCGGCGACCTTCGCGGGAACGGACGCTGTAGATGAAAGTCAGTATACGAGTGATTCAATTTAATTAACAAGTTCGGGCGGGCTTTTAACGTACCGGACGATCTTGCCGTGGATGGCGCACGAGACGCAGTACTGGAGCTTCAGGTACATCTTGGGGACGGCGTATTCGGCGAAGACGGAGGCATCCGAGATATCACCTGTAGATTGAAAAAGTATCGATTAGTTTGCTGCTTTTGAATACCCATTTTTTGCCGGGCTTCCATCGATTCATCAATTCCACCCGAATCTATTATGCTGGGTGTGGAGGGATGGCACGTACGGATGGCAGCGGACTCGACCATGTTGCGGATGGTGAATCTCTTGATTGCCTTGTCCTTGGGGGTGCAGCGGGCGCAGTTGGAGCAGCGCACCGGCTTGACGTGGCCGCGGCCATTCTTGTTGCGACCGCTAAAGAAAAAAGATTAGTGACCGCATTTTCAAGGTTGTCGTCACGATTTCAGTTCCCATTCGAATCGTCCGGCAATGCACGCAGGTCGTTGTCCATCTTTCGGCAATTTCAAAATGTAATGTGCTGGTGTGTGGTCGCTCCGTCGGCGTCATTGCGGAGATCATATCGAATGGGACAACTGTTTCGCGGACTTTGGGAAAAGAAGGTCTGGTCTTACTTGTTCGCCCGCTTCTTGACCATTTTGACGGATTGCTCTGTGGATGGTCAGGTCGATCTGCGTGGAAAAGGAGAAAAAAGGAGGGGGGCGTACGGTTGACTTGTCGGGGGTGGGTTGTCGAAGCTCGCTCACACAGAGACTCTTTCGGGATGGTTGTGTTGTGGGTAACCCTAACCCTTAAGCGAGACTGGGTCACGAGAAATTTGATGCCTTGACACCTGGGCCTTGAGGCTCCCACAATGACATAATTTTTCTGGTATCACGTGGAGGGTCACGAGCAGGATTGACCCAAAGGGGGTTAGCGCCCGGATCGTACCGTGCCAGCGTTGTTTACGGGAGAGAAAACACCCCTGTCCCGATCGTCTATTGACTGGCCCTTTCTTTTTCTTTTGGCTGGAAACCTCCCTTGCTTTTTTCTTCCATACCAGTCTCACCTTGGGCTCATCCTTGTCTTGTTTGCTTTGCTCTGCCTCCCCCTTCCTCTCCATTTTTGTTGTGACCTTCCCCTTCGGGCAGTATTATGTCGGCCACTGGTACTTTTAGGGGAACGCCCAATAAAACCATCGGGAGAGGAAGGCTGCCCGATTTTGACAACGCTTCCTCGAGTAGCTCCCACATCCCCCGACCCCGACCAGAATCCGCCGCCGCTCACTCTTCTGCTGCCCACACCCCGTCCAGCGACGTCGGAGGTGGCACCATGAGCGCCGCAAGTAGTCGACAAAGACAAAACCAGTCGAAGCGTGATGAGGTATGTGAATCGTGATCCACAGTATTGTTCCTTTCATTCTTTTCTTTCAACTTGGTCTCCGTGGTTTCGGCTAACTGAGCGGCTTTGTAGGCTATCCGCCGCAAACTGGAGGCCGACCTCAACAAAAAGAGGCATCACCCGACAAAAGCACGGAACTCCCGAAAAGCCCCTCCGGGCACAGTGCTCGCCCTCAAGCCTAGCCAGGCTCTTCAGATCAAGCCCGCCCTCAGCATCGCCGAAGCCTCCCAGTTGATGGCCGCCAAAAGAGAGGACTGCGTGCTGGTTACCGATGACAATGACCGGATTGCTGGTATCTTTACGGCAAAGGATCTGGCGTTCCGTGTGATCGGAATGGGCCTGAAGGCGCGAGAGGTCTCTGTCGCCGAGATCATGACCAAGAACCCACTGTGCGCGAGAACGGACACAAGTGCTACGGACGCCCTCGATCTGATGGTTCGGAAAGGATTCCGGCATCTGCCGGTCATGGACGAAAACCAGGATATCTCTGGTGTGCTCGATATCACCAAGTGCTTCTATGATGCGATGGAGAAGTTAGAGCGCGCCTACAGCTCGTCTCGCAAGCTGTATGATGCTCTCGAGGGTGTCCAGACGGAGCTTGGCTCAAGCCAACCCCAACAGGTTATTCAGTACGTGGAGGCCCTGCGACAAAAGATGTCGGGACCGACCCTCGAGACCGTTCTGGATGGAATGCCACCGGTGACTGTTTCCGTCCGAACTTCTGTCAAGGACGCTGCTGCGATCATGAAGGAGCACCACACCACTGCCCTGCTTGTGCAAGATCAGGGCTCCATCACGGGTATCTTTACCAGCAAGGATATTGTCCTTCGTGTCATCGCTCCTGGCCTCGACCCTGCTACTTGCAGCGTTGTCCGTGTCATGACTCCCCACCCCGACTTTGCTCCATCAGACATGAGCATTCAAGCTGCGCTTCGCAAGATGCACGGTGAGTGGCTTTACAAACCTGTATTTTGTTGTAAGTTGACTGATTCTTTCCCAGATGGTCATTACCTCAACCTGCCCGTCATGAACGAGTCTGGTGAAATCGTCGGCATGGTAGATGTGCTGAAACTCACCTATGCCACCCTCGAACAGGTGAGTGTGCTTCAGAGCACCATTAACGAAACAATCGCTCATTAGTCTCAGATCAACACCATGCAAACCCACGATGACGAGGGCCCCGCATGGAACAAGTTTTGGTTGTCGATGGACCATGAGTCAGACTCGATGGTTTCTGGCAGCCAGCAGCCGCATACCCCCCACCGCTCAGCAGTCATGAGCCCCGACCTCACCCGCTCAGGCTACGATAATAGTGTTCTTCCGAACGAATCTGCATCACACCACGGCGATGGGCATTCTGAGGTCGTTTCTCAGCACCATGAGGAGCACCACAACGAGCAAGCGCCCTTCCCCTTCAAGTTCAAGGCTCCGAGTGGCCGAGTGCATCGCGTGAATGTACTTGCCTCTGCAGGTGTTACCGATCTCGTCTCACAGGTCACGGCCAAGCTCGGGAACGAGCTTGAGGCGGTGGGCGGCGAGTCTGTTGTCGAGGAAGGCCGCCTCAGTAACACTGGCTACGCTCTCAGCTACATGGACAACGAAGGAGACACCGTCTCCATCACCACCGATCAGGACTTGACAGATGCCATCAATCTGGCCCGCCGCACCCGCCGAGACAAGGTCGATCTCTTTGTTCACGACCCTGCCCAGCCTCCCATTCCTGCCACTGTCGAACCCCAGCCAGCAAAGCCTGTGACCCCTCCCACAGAACACAGTGCCGATGACCATCCTGAGGAGGAAGCTCTCTTGAACAAGCCCCACCCCCAGAATGCTTTCCCGTCGCACTCTCCGGAGGAGCAGTTGATCTCGGGTGTTCCTAACGACCTCCTTCTCCCCGGTGCTATTGTGACATTGGCCGCCGTCATTGCAGGCGTGTTCATTCTCAGCCGTCCCAGTGGTCGGTAAATCTGCCTGTCACATCTTTTTCTTTGATCCTTTTTTCTTCTTAAATGGATTGACCTCCCCATACTGTTGAAAGCGTGTTATAAACACAAGTCAGTCTCGTGTCGCATACCCCATTCTAATATTGATATTCTGAGTCGCACACAGATACCGCTGTTCATTTTGTGATCAGTTGCGGTCCTCGTTAGCCTTCAATGCAAATATTGAAACTGTTTAGCCCAGTATCCACCCATCTCTAGATCCTCATGCGGCGTATTCCTTGTGGCCTGGCTGCCTAAAAATTACCTTTTTGGGACTAGTTCCCGAAGGATTCCTGGTATCGTGGGCTTCTTTTTTTTTCCTTTTTTTTTTTTAAACAACTCGTAATATTTGATAGTTGTTATTCTTTGTGACACCCTCGCTGCACCAAGCATACTTCTAAATCTCTGCTCTACGCTCGCTTCCCTTGTGGCCTCGGGGATGTGCTGGAGTTGAGCATATCCATCTCGCGCCGACTGAGAAATCCATCGTTTTCCCCTTCCTCCCCGCCCCACCAAAAACAAAACTCCTCCCCTTCCCTTTCCCCTCCACCCCACCATCCTTCCAGTCGGGTTCACGGGTTTTACGGTCGAGGGTTGCTTGGATTTGCCTGTGCGAATTTGGGAACAGACACGCCCACCATGTCCATGCTTCCTCCCGAGGTCCACAATGCGCTGTCCCAGCTGCTGCGCGCTCTGGGCACGCCCGACAACGCTGTCAGATCCCAGGCGGAAGACCAGCTGAACAATGACTGGGTTCAGAACCGACCAGATATCTTGCTGATGGGATTGGCAGAGCAGCTTGGGGGTGCGGAAGACACAATAGTAAGTCCTCCTTCCCTCCCTCTCTCCTCTTCGGAGGGAGATCTTGAACAGGTGGAGGGGTGCCAAAAAAATTTCCCCGGGACTTCAGCAAGACAAATCCCTCAAAGGTGCCTGGTGACACAACGCTGATCTGAAAAAATCACGGACAGACGCGTGCTTTTGCTGCTGTTCTTTTCCGAAGAATTGCAACCAAAACCCGCAAAGACCCCGCTACCGGCGAGGCCAAAGAAGTTTTCTCGAGTTTGTCCAACGAACAGCGTGTGGCGATCCGCGAGAAGCTGGTGAGCTGCTTGACCAGTGAGAGCGTTACCGATGTGCGCAAGAAGATCGGAGATGCAGTCGCCGAGGTGGCTCGGCAATACACAGACAACGGTATGCGACTTGGACAACATCATGATGGACGTGGGATTTGAGTTGATTCTGACGGTTTATGCTTGGGGCTATTTTAGGCGGCCAATGGCCAGAGCTTCTCGGGGTCCTCTTCACGGCCAGCCAGTCTCCGGAGTCTGGTCTGCGGGAGACCGCATTCCGGATCTTTACGAGCACCCCGGGTATCATCGAGAGGCAGCACGAGGACACCGTGTTGGAAGTTTTCACCAAGGGCTTCAAGGATGACAACATTTCCGTACGTCAAAATGCGTCTGTGAATCTGGCGCACAAAAGCATCATGCTGACTACCCTAGGTGCGAATTGCTGCCATGGAAGCCTTCTCTGCCCTGTTCCGCTCGATCTCCAAGAAATCCCAGCCCAAGTTTACGCCTCTCATGCCGGACCTTCTCAACATCTTGCCCCCAATCAAGGAATCCTCTGAAAGTGACGAGCTCTCGTCGGCATTCCTCGCCCTGATCGAGCTCGCTGAGATTAGCCCGAAGATGTTCAAGGGCCTGTTCAGCAACCTGGTCAAATTCAGCATCAGCGTCGTTGCCGACAAAGAGCTCAGCGACCAGGTTCGCCAGAATGCCCTGGAGCTGATGGCCACCTTCGCCGACTATGCACCCAACATGTGCAAGAAGGAGGCCGAATTTGCGCAGGAAATGGTCACGCAGTGTCTGAGCCTGATGACCGATGTCGGGGCAGATGATGACGACGCCGAGGACTGGAATGCATCTGAGGATGTAAGTAGAGAACTCTTGTTCTTTGGACTTTTTTGTCGCTGACAACCACAGCTCGAACCCGAAGAGAGCGACCTCAACCACATTGCCGGCGAACAGTGCATGGACCGTCTGGCCAACAAACTGGGTGGCCAGGCTATTCTCCAGCCCGCCTTTGCTTGGATCCCCCGCATGATGTCGTCCACTGCCTGGCGCGATCGCCATGCCGCTCTGATGGCCATTTCCGCCATCTCGGAAGGATGTCGGGATCTGATGGTGGGTGAGCTGGACCAAGTTTTGGCGCTGGTTGTTCCCGCTCTCCGCGATCCCCACCCGCGAGTCCGATACGCAGCCTGCAACGCACTGGGTCAGATGAGCACCGACTTTGCCGGCACGATGCAAGAAAAGTACCACGCCGTGGTTCTGAACAACATTATCCCTGTACTCGGTTCGGCGGAACCACGTGTGCAGTCCCATGCGGCTGCTGCTCTGGTGAACTTCTGCGAGGAAGCCGAACGTAGCGTCTTGGAGCCCTACCTTGGAAACCTTCTGAGTCATCTTCTGGAGCTCCTGCGTAGCCCTAAGCGCTACCTGCAAGAGCAAGCACTGTCCACCATTGCCACAATTGCCGATTCCGCCGAGACTGCGTTTGGCCAGTACTACACGACCCTGATGCCGCTGCTGCTCAATGTTCTGAAGGAGGAGCAGGGCAAAGAGTACCGCCTTCTGCGTGCCAAGGCCATGGAATGCGCGACGTTGATTGCGTTGGCCGTCGGCAAGGAGAAGATGGGCCAGGATGCTTTGAACCTTGTGCAGCTTTTGGGCAACATCCAACAGAACATCACCGATGCCGACGACCCGCAGTCGCAGTACCTTCTGCACTGCTGGGGCCGGATGTGCCGTGTTCTGGGCCGTGACTTCGTTCCGTATCTGCCTGGTGTCATGCCACCCCTGCTGACGGTGGCGGCCGCCAAGGCGGACATTCAGCTGCTGGATGACGAGGATCAAATTGAGCAGGTTGAGCAGGATGACGGCTGGGAGCTGGTTCCGCTCAAGGGCAAGATCATTGGCATCAAGACCAGCGCTCTGGAGGACAAGAACACCGCCATCGAGCTCATCACTATCTACGCCCAGATTCTGGAGGAGGCCTTCGAGCCCTACGTCCTGGAAACCATGGAGAAAATCGCAGTCCCCGGTCTTGCGTTCTTTTTCCACGACCCCGTCCGGGTGTCGGCTGCCAAACTGATCCCGCAACTGCTGAACTCGTACAAAAAGGCGCACGGTGGCCAGTCGCCGGGCTTTGGGGAGATGTGGAACAAGGTGGCGGAGAAGATCATCGAGGTCCTGAGCGCGGAGCCCACCGTGGACACGCTGGCCGAGATGTACCAGTGCTTCTACGAGTCCGTGGAAGTGGTTGGCCGAAACTGCCTGAGCCCGCAGCACATGCAGGCATTCATCGACTCTGCCAAGTCCACGCTAGAGGACTACCAGATGCGCGTGAAGCAACGGTTGGAAGAAAAGGCCGAGCTGGACGAAGGCGAGGAGGAGAACCTGGAATACGAGTACGCAGTGGAGGACGACCAAAACTTGTTGAGCGACATGAACAAGGCTTTCCACACGATCTTCAAGAACCAGGGTACTACGTTCCTGCCGGCCTGGCGGCAACTGATCCAGTTCTACGATGCCTTTATCAGCAGCGATGACCCCACACAACGGCAATGGGCGCTCTGCATCATGGACGACGTGCTGGAATTTTGCGGGGAGGAGTCGTGGGCGTTCAAGGACCACATTATGCAGCCTCTGGCTTCTGGTCTCACCGACGTGAACGCCGCCAACCGCCAGGCCGCCGCTTACGGTGTTGGTGTGGCCGCCCAAAAGGGTGGTGCCGCCTGGAGCGACTTTGTCGCGGCCAGCATCCCCAGCCTGTTCCAGGTGACACAGCATGCGCAGTCCCGCACCGAGGAGCATGTCTTTGCGACGGAGAACGCTTCGGCCAGCATCGCCAAGATCCTGCACTACAACGCCTCCAAGGTGCAGAATGCCCAGGATATCGTGGGTAACTGGATTGAGACGCTGCCCATCACTTTTGATGAGGAGGCTGCTCCGTACGCATATTCGTTTGTGGCACAGTTGATTGACCAGTATGTCATTTACTCTTTGGTTCACATTATATCAACCCCAAACTAACATTCCCTAGACAAAACCCCGCCGTCTTCACCAAGGCTGACCGCGTGTTCGGCTTCATCGTGCAGGCCCTCGAGGCCGGCACGCTGCAGGGCCAAACTGCAGCCCGCGTGGCCGAGTCGGCCAAGCGCCTGGTGACTTCGACGGGAGTCAACGCGGATCAAATCTTGGCGGGAGTCAGCCCAGCCAGCCAGGAAACCGTGCGCAAGTTCTTCCAGTAATAGCTCGGGATCTTGTTTTTGTTTTTTTGTTGTTCTATATCAGCGGCACATTCTTCTCTGTTTCCCCTCTCTTCGTTCCACCATTCCCCTTGACCATATGGATGTGATGCTAGTAACGCCTTCCGGAACGATTCGTTAATTCTATTGTGTCTCGCATGAATGTCACGAGCTAGAAAATTACTGTAGTTCCTGAAACTATCTTTCTGTTAGGCTTTTCTTAAAAGAAAAAAAATAATAACAAAGTGTATATATTTCACAGCGAGCCCACTCGACGAATCTCATTCGCCACAACCTCCTGCAACCCCATCGTGCCCGGCTCCCCAATTACCCCGTTATCCCGTTGCGCATACAGCGTGCCACCCTCCGTCCAGATCCGGCGTAGTGTCAACACCGTCGCCGCGGGGTTCCCGGCTTCCCATGCCGCGGCCTCCAGCTCCCGGAGCCATGCAAGTGGCGTGCGCGATACGGACTCCCACGGCTGTCCGCCGGTCTGGCGCTCAAACTCGGCGTGGATCTCTGCGGGGCTGGTGGTGAATGAGTTGACGCAGAGAGCGCGGTTGCGCGTCTCGGGGGAGTCGGTAAGTAATGTACAGAGAACGAGAGTTCCGACGCTGGAGGAATTAGCAAGACATCAACAAGAAGGACCAGAAGAAAAAAAACCCACTCCTTCATTGTCGTCAAACTAATCTTCTCCGTTCCCGCATCCCCCAGCAACACAGCCCGCTGCCTCTTGACATCCCACCCCCCGGCCTCCTCCACACCCGGTGTCTGATGCAGGTACATTTCAGCGAATGGACCCGTCACGACGTACGTGTATTCGAGATCCTGGCGCGCAATCTCAGTCTCTAATACCGCGCGTACGCGCAGCTTCTGTTGGTGTGGTTTCTCGTGCGCCGACTGTGGTCCATACGCGATATCAGTGCCGTACTCTGAGGGGAGGAACCATTTCACTGAGGATGAGGCGGCTGCGAGGCGGATGAGGGGGATTTGTTGGGCTAGGGCGTTGCGGCCGAGGGCGGAGATGACGGTGTTGATTCCTGTGGTTTTGTGGTTAGCTGGAATTTGGTGAAAGTGTGAAAGACAGATACAAGATGGAAAGTAAGTTGTAGGTTGGATTGGGAGTTGGGATAGAAGTATACCTTCATACGCCTTTTCCACAGCCTTTCCATCCTCAATCTCCCCGACAATGATCTCGATGCCCTTTTCTTTGAGCGGGTCGAGGTCCGATGCCTTGGTCTCGGCTGTGCGAGGTGATGTGTAGACGACAATGCGGCCGAATTGGTCGCGCGCAGACAAGATGGCTGACAAGATGAACGAGCCGATCTGACCGGTGGCGCCGAAAAGAAGGAGATTTTGAGGGGCCATGCTTGCTGTCTATGTCGAGAATATATACAAGGAATGAATTATTTGTAGAGACAAGATGCTGACATGAAGAATTGGAGAAGTGAGGAGAAAATGGCCCCGCATTGCTTATATAGCACCATCTCCACTAGTTAGTTAAACGGGCATGGACTCAGCCCCATGGTGGCACTCGACCTTGCGTGAGAAAATAAGGCAACTTAGCTTCCTCTGCGGCATCCAGATTTCAACCGAAAAACTTGCCCTCAAACATAATTCACGTGACCATGTATAGATCAGTGCCTAGCTGCCTTGGTGCCTCTCTCTTATCCGAACTAGGAATGGTCCAGGCGATGTATGCAGAGCCGCCCTTGTCCCCTCATCATGCACTCCGGCTGCCCTCCTCACTTCTGAACATCACCATTTTTTACCAACCATGACTCCCTGAGGAAACAAAACACATCCTTTCGCTATCACCGCAGTGGAACCAGCCACAGGCAAAACAGAGAGCTCTCTACCCCCCAGACCAGAGCCGCCAGTCCACATTTTGGTCCAAACCTTGACCCATTTGGTTTCCGGAGAGGACGGTTTCGATCGAACTTTTTTTATATTGAACCTGATATGCCAGCATCGCTGGGATTGCAATTTCGAGGCCCCGAAATTCCGCTGGACCTCATATAACGGCCAATTCGGGCTCAACAATCGACGCTGCTTCTTTCTAGTCGATCATGGTGAACCAAGAATAGCGAAGATGATGATAATGTGCCTGTTCTATCGTACGAGTGGATGGGAGAGACTCTGTAAGCCCTCTCGACCCATCTATGGATCTAACACTATTTTGTTTATATAGAAAACTATCACCGCGATTAGCCAACCATCCTGAGATCCAGGCGGAGCTCAAGAAAGATGTTCCTAAGATATTCTGCGGCTGAAGATGGAGTATATGAAAGAGCATCTGGAGGACGTGGAGTGGCTCAATTCAAATGTTAGGCCGAGGTTCTGGCAGACATTCGTGGCTGATTTCAATGCTAGCAAGTCCCTTGGTGCTCCAGATCTTGAAGAATAGCAGTTCTTTTTATTTTTATTTTTATTTTGTTTTTGGAGCTTTGATTACTTGTAATAAGTTCATGCCAAGTATCATTCCCTTTCTGCGTATTCCTAACCCATTTGTCTTTATTAAAAATATACTAATAAATGAAATATTTGTGTAGAGGTAAGACGTTTGTCTATGTACCGGATAACTCCTGACACTTCTCAGCTTCTCCGTTCCATTTTATTAGTTTTTAAACTGCATTTTAATTGGATAAATTCGAAGATTAATTGTTAGAGTGAGATTGATCCTTCCAACGTTGGTCTGATGCAAAGTCAGTAGTTCCACAATCCAACAACTCAACCAACAATTCCTGGGGCCAATTTCGTATGCTGATAAAGCATACAAAAGGAGCCTAGCAAAATAGTAAGCTATATAAGCGCTACTCTGCTCTTTCATATTCTTCGATCCATCAACATGTCTCTTCCCAATACTGAAGAGGGGTACCTCCCCTATTTGCTTCTCCTTGTAAGCCCAACTCCTTTTATCTTCTAATCCAAATCATAAGCACTAACCACGCCTTCTTTTCTTGAATAGACCGGCAGTGCGGGAATCACCCACAGCATAGTCACCTATCTCAAGCCAGCTACATCTCTGACCCAATTCTCGGGTCCAGCAGCCCCGCCCCGTGATGCTCTCACTGCGCACCTATACGGCTTCAAGAACATCTATACATGCCTCATCCGGCTGTACACCGCTTACCACGTCTCTAATCCACAACTCTATGACTTGGCAATGTGGACCTGGGTGGGAGTCTTTGTGCTTTACATCAGCGAGCTACTTGTTTTCCGAACGGCGCGTATGAAGGAGGCGACATATCCGTTGGTGCTATCTACGTTGGCGTTGACCTGGATGGTTAGCCAGAGGTCGTGGTATCAAGGTTGAGTAGGCACCGAAGTGATGGGAAAAAAAAAGACTAGGGTTTAGTAAAATGTTGATCATGACTCGATTACTGGCGATATCCTCAAAAATTACTAAAAAGATATCTCAAACCACCTTCTCTAAGATCTCCAGTACCTGCGACTTTTCTTTCAACGGGATCGGGTTGGAACGGCACCATCGATCGTGTAGGCTGTTGGCTGCCAACATATCCAACTGGTCCCGGCTGACCCCGACGTCCGTTAGAGACCGCGGCATCCCCAATTCGCGGATTACGGCATCCAACACATCGCCCAGATCTGCGGCGGTGACATCAAGGGCACGTGAGTACAGGACCCCGGCCACTATAGGGTCTTGAATGAGGAATTCTCGAACACGTTCTTGCAGCTCACGGTTGGCGTTGTGTGCGGCATTGAACTTGCATACGGCTGGCAGGAGAACGCAACTGGTCTCGCCATGGCCGACACCTAGGGGGCCGAGCTACATAGCAGATTGTCAGAATGCGCCATTGAAAAGAAGAAAAAAAGTGAAAAATGTCAACGGAAGTACATGCCTGATGTCCAATACCATGGCTTGCTCCCAGCTGCACTGACCCGCTAGTACAAGCCGCCATGGCATCCACCGACCCCAACTGGCACTGCAGGTGCGCGTCAAGGTCGCTGCGGTCTTTTTTACACTTCAATAGACCGGGCACTAGTAATCCGAGTGCATGCTGGGCCAACTTGTCCGACTCGGGTGTTGTACCCACGACCGCGCAGAGCGTCTCAACGCAGTGGTCAATGGCTCTCACGCCACTGCTAATCCACAACGAGTCCGGAGTCGACGACACCAGTTCCGGATCCAGGATCACGAGAGCTGGCCCGCGCAGAGGTGCCTGGAAGCTGTACTTGCGGCGCGAGTGGTCCTCAGTACCGCCCGCAAAGTTGGAGTACTCGCCAGCAGACAGCGAAGTCGGCACCGAGATAACCGGCACGGATGGCGGCTGAATGTCAGCTCGCTTTTTAGGTCCTTCGGCAAGGGTTTCCAGATCGTCAGCGGTACTGATTCCGTTTGCCAAAGCCTGCGGAAAGGAGTTACGTCAGACAGGAAGACAGCAAGAATTTGAGAAGATCGGTGAGAAACAGACCAATGCCACGATCTTTGCTCCGTCAGTCAAACTCCCCGCTCCGAGGGTCAGCAGCAGATCCGCCTGCACGTTCCGTGCATCTTTAATCACTTCTAGTAGCTCGGACCACAGGCTGTGTGGCTGGAGCCCGACCCGGCACCCAACAACATGGTTCGGGCCCAGTGCAGCTGTCAGTCGTTGGAGCGCGTCGGTGTTGCGGGCCAGCGATGCTGAAGACAAGATGTAGATGCGCGACGCGCCAAAGGTCTGAACTACATGCCGAGCGGCGGCATCGGAGAATGGAATGCCCCAAGAGAGGAGCGGCTGTCGATCTTAGTGAAATGAACAATTGCCACTTCATGGAACCCAACTTACCTTTTCACGGCCTTCGAAAGCTGGACGGAGGGTTTCTGGCATTGTCAAAGTGTGCAACGTTTGAAGTTGGATTCGCAGCATTCCAGCTTCCAGCTTAAATGGTGCCCCACGTCATTCGGCGATGTGGAGAAGTGTAGATGTGGGGCGCTGCTCCTGGTGGGGCTGCGATGAGACCAGGCCGAGAAATTAGTCAAACAAAAGATAAATTACATATTCAAGATGAATGATTTGCTGTAATCAGCTATATTTCTCAAAATCTCTTGGTTGTTCTCCTTATGACGCTGTTTGTCGACACAGAGCACTCTTTGCAACCCTAAAAAAACTTTGTTTTGGTTATTTGTAGCTAATATGGTAAACTACAGTCGATTTCTATAGATTTGTCGTGGGGAATAACTATTTAATTTTATACCAGGCACTATAATCAATAAGTGATTGGCGATGATAAGCGCGGCTATTGAATCTCCTGTTGTGGTTAGTATGCGAATGTGTCTCCACCCTCGACTGGATCCATCTGCACGGGTCGTTCAATATTTATACTGTCTGCCAGGTCCTTAGGTCACAATTCTGTCGCTTGTTTGACTTCCTCCCCACTCTCTTTCTCTTCTCGCAACCTCCTCCACAAACACAAAGCAGCGTCACCATGTTGTCCAATATCGACGAGAAAGAAAACCTGGCTCGCATGAAACGAGGCGAGCTGTACTACGCCTTCTCACCAGAACTGGTGGTTTCCCGGAAAAGATGTGCTAATGTCGTTGGTCGACTAAATACCGCTGGGGAGTTGACCCGGCGAGAGATAGCCGAATACTGGAGGGGGTGCGTCAATGTATATCAACCCCAGAATTTTGAAGTAGTACAGTTGAATTGACAACTACCCCAGGATCACAAATGATGAGCGCCCTCTACCTCCCCCAGGAGCGACAGACGAGGAGGAAGATGCGATTCTCCACGAGTATCCATGGATCGAACGCCCTATCAACATCGACTATGGAACCAATATCAAAGTTGGAAGCAATGTCTTCATCAACTTCAACTGCACCTTTCTCGACACTTGTACCGTGACAATTGGATCCAGAACTCTTGTCGGCCCCAACGTGTCTTTCTTTAGTGGCACCCACCCCCTGGATCCGGATCTGCGAAATGGGACGAATGGACCCGAGCTTGGTCGTCCGATCACTATTGGTGAGGATTGCTGGATTGCGGGCAATGTGATTATTCTACCGGGTGTAACTATCGGAGATGGGTGTACCATCGGTGCTGGGAGTGTGGTGACAAAGGTATGTATTAAAAGAATATGACTCTTGGGAGTATAAAGCTCGCTTGCTTACATGCTTCTTTTCTTTAGGATATTCCGCCGTGTCATGTTGTGGCTGGCAATCCTGCCAAAATCTTGCGCAAGATTGAGCGTAGCGGCCAATCGAAACGTGAAGCTTGACCGGATCACTCTCGTCAAACATGAAAAAAAAAAGATTAAAGGTGCATCCAAGTATGGCATGGCTATCGATTCAAATATCAAATCAACGGTGTTGCCCAAGAACGGATTGGGAAATTTCTACCATGGGAATTTCTGGTTCCCGGACTTCTTAAAGTATGTTTTATAGATCAAATTTCAATCAAATATTCGGGTCATATGCATCCGTGGTAGCCCTATAGGCCCGTGGACTGTCCGGGGCACGTGATGCACGATGCCACCTTTTACCAACTCCACTCCCACTTATACCCTACTCTTTCCAAACTGAATATGCGAGGAAATATCACAGAAGACGCGCCTCGTCCCATCAGGCAAAAACCAATCCGATCTCGAACTGGCTGCCAAACATGCCGGCACCGAAAGAAGAAATGCGACGAAAAACACCCGATTTGTGGGGGTTGCCAACGAAACAAAATCGACTGCCAATGGAACTCTGATAACGCACTTCTTAAACCGAGACGTCAACGTCGGTCGTGTTTTCCTTCAAAGTCTCTTCCAAGGGAAGCCCAGGGAATGCTGGGTGTCTTCGCCGTTCCAAGGACGGACATTATCACTAGGTTGCTCAATCACTTCCTTCATTCCAGCCCGAAGTGGTTGTCTACTAGGACAGGCTCACACAGAACGGAATTCCTTGGGTGGTTGTTGCCTGCCATGGCTGAGAGTCCTTTGGTTCGAAGCTGCATTCTCACGATATCATCAACCGATCTGGTCAAATATGACCGCAGTGACCTGGAATTACAGCATGTTGCCGTTGAGTACTACGGACAAGCTGTATCTGGACTGCGAGAAGCCATTCAAGAAGAAAGTAATAGTACTATTGTCTTCAATATGCCCCTTTCCGGTGCGGAAAACAATCCTGTATACTTGATTGACACAATCACAATCATCTAACACGTTTCACTAGACTACAATCCACTCGCAGTACTACTGCTATGTCTCCACGAGGTATGTTGCAAGACTCCATCTATCTATGTATAGATGTTTCAGAATTGAAACCAACTACAGACCCAAAACTTCACGGCCAGCGAGCGAATACTGCCTCATCTCAACGCTGCCATCTGTCTACTACAAAACCGGCTCTACTGCCAAGGGCTCAACTCAACATTGCGGGGGTTTCTTTTTGAACTGTTCTGTTACTTCTTTGCTCTTGCAACCTACTCACTCGGCTCCAGACTGGCTCTCTATCAAGCTTGCCGCATTTTCAACTCTCCTTCAATCACCCAGTATCTCCAGAATGGCCATGTCATGGGCACCTCGCAACATCTATTTTTGACCATCTTCCGCATATCCATTCTGGTGGAGGATATGACCCTTGGAAGCGAGGATGTCGCGGCAAAGGCCAGGTCGGAGCTAATGGCATTGGAGGAGCAGCTGGATGCCACCCTGACACAATCTTACCATATTAACGAGGACATGGATATCGGATGTCTGAATGACGCAGTCACTTCTGAAATGTACCGGCTAGCATGTCTCATATATCTCAAGAAAGTCCTGTGTCCCCCGACGCCGGATGAAGATCCCACCATTCAGAGCCTCGTGAATGCATTTGTCTATCAGCTGGGTCATCTACCCTCTGGCTCGCCATCAGACACCATCCTGAGCTGGCCTCTGGTAGTGACAGGTCTTTGTGCAACTATGAGCACCCACCAGCGGATCATCATCGCGAAGCTTAATCAGATATTTGAAGTGTGGCAGTCTGACATCTTCTCGCGTGGCGCTGAGTTTCTACGCGAGAAGTGGCAAAGGGATCGAGATGCGAGAGCGATAATATCCTCCGAGTCGCATCAGGCGAGTGGGATGATTTGGACTCAACTGCCTGTTATTTTAGCCTAGTTTCCCTCGGTGGATCCATTGTCCTGCTCTTGGGTTAGCTCTTTTATCACATTGAGATCCCTTGTTCCTGGTAACTACAACGGGTGCCAAAAGTGCCCACATGAGATTATCTTATATCCTTTAGGGCCTCATCGCGGCCAATTTTTCTTCCTGTGCATTATGCCCTGGGATTATTTGTTCGCTGGAGTAGGAAAACTTGCGAGAACTAAGCCATGTGATTGCATCCAAACCAAATTCCGTAAATTTGCGATCTTATACATAAGTAACAGCTTCCTAGGAGCCACTGGCAATAGATAGTAGGCTTTAGGAACAGGCAAATTACCAGGTTGGGTTTTTTTGGTTAAATTCCCCATATTTAGTAGCTCTGGGAGACTTGCTTCTGTTTCAGATCAGAATTCTGAAACGGACTTCGGAGCTTGATCCAGAAATGGATTGTTCTGTAGATTTGATTGAGTATTTCCCAGCTGGAGTCTGCCCCATAAAGCCAACCAGCCCATTGGTCTCACCAGACTTTCTCAAAGGCCTTTTCAGTTATATTGCTCTACACTTAGCCAGAATAGTTGGGATATAGGACTATAGTTTTTGGGAAAGCTGTCAGCCTGTCAATACTTATAGAGCCTGCAACTACCACCTATAAGCTTTAATTTTAGCGTTACTGATTCTCATCTTTTTAAATCATCTTGCAGGCTATAGTGCAGCTTTCTTACTATGTTTTCTTTTTGTTAAATTACCTGCTTATCTTAAACTCTTGCAGGAGAATGAGTTAACAGAGGATAAAAAGAAGGAAAGCTCTTGTAACTTGTAACTCTGATGTGAAACCCTTGCTCTCTTCTTTTGCCTTTTGTGAAAGCTAACTATCTATGAATCTGATTTAGTGCAGCAAGATAATGAGCTACGTCGCCAGGTCCTGTTAGCCAGGGGATATAGTTCTGTATCCGGAATGCAGTTTTCTAGACAAGGTAAATCAGGACTGTAGTGCAAGCGAGAACGGAGTTGATGTTCTATGCTAGGTAGGTAGCTCGGATCGGGTAAACAGTCCTTTATTACTTGATATGTTCCTATGATTTTCAATACAGTATGTAGTACCTTTGTTCGTTTCTTGAATATAGCGGGAAGACGAGCCTGATGGATAGGGTCCCTGGACCAGGAAGATTATACAGTACGACGGTGTATCCCTAAAAGAAAAACTAGCGTCTCTCACATAATCAACACGTATCCCAATATGTGACAGTGCACTTTATCTTAGCTTCGGGAATAAGAATCGCCCAGCATGTAGACTAAAGCTACTATACAGGGAGAATTGAAATCAGGTTCACCACTTGCACACTGATATTCTTTCTCCAACCCTCTTTCGAGATATAGTATCCCTATTATGGTTACTCTATCCCTGACCCCCATTCTTGGCAGTTCGTTATATTTGTAAATAACAGTTTAAAAGTCGCTCTTGTATTCAGTTTTTATACACGAGTGATGCACATGTGGTATATGGTGCAGCTACAGGGCTAGACGTTTTCAATATCAGATAGTACTAATTAAATTAAACATTTGAAGACACCTGGGGATCTGGTCTATGGTGGTTATCCTCATATCAACATTGAATTTTCTAGATGATTTTCCGATTGCTTTCTAGGCTGTTCCTACAGTCCCTGGCGAATTTTTGTGACTTGCTCATACCGAAGTTCCGAGTTGACCCATCTTTTTCAAAAGCATTTTCTTCGACTTAGGCATGGAAGCAAGGCGTTGTTCATGCCTCAAAGCTTCTAAGGGCTTCTCAATTTTATCTTTCCATCGATAAAAAGATTCCTCAAAGCCGTAATCCGGATTGCGACAGTTCTCCTTGGCCTCTTGCAACCACCCTTCATATGCCGGCGTCGCCGGTAGCAATTCACCTTCCTTGATCCAGTCAACCTCGTGCGTCACGCGGATAGCATCACACAGAGGTTGAATGTGGTGGTCGTTCAACTTATTTTCAATCCTCGTTACCTCGTATCGGCTCTTCATGTCCCAGATTCTGGATGGATGGACTTCGGCGAGGGACAGGACAAAATAAGCGAGATTGAGAACGATATACGCGAGTCCAACGGCGATTTGAATCTTCCAGGTGCAGTTACTGAAGAAGATAATCGAGGCCATCAGACACACCGTGCTGATTAAGAGAAGAGATTTGTGTTTCACACCCTGGTAGACGTAGTCGCAGAATGGGGTAGAGAAGTATAGCTCCTGTGCGACCGCTTCAGTACAAGTGACGCAGACGATTGCTCCATCCAGCGTGCGGATGATCACGTCGCCAGGCTCTTGTGACCCGCTGAACTTCATTCTTGGATACCATCCGGCTGATAGGCAGGCCGTGCTGGTTGATATGCACATAGTGCCCAGGCCAAGGAGAGCAACAGCGTCGTGCTCTATGCCTGCATAGACGAACAGTGCGATCGTTATCAGGACCGAGACCAGTGTTACACAATCCAGCGGGTTGAAATTGCACAGAGGGACCTTGGCCGAGATTGCCAACTCTGGATTTCTTGCTTCTCTTCCCTTGACATACTGAAGCGACTCGACTGCAGCTACAGTAGGGTCTTTCTTGTGGGCTATCCTATATGCCTGGAACTGATAGGGCTTCAGGGAGTCGATGCCATGCATCGCATTGCCGAAAAAGCAGAGGCCGTCCTTTTTCCTTCCGGAATAGATGCCAAAAACGGTCGCTTCTTCAAGGGAAGGTAGTCGGGTCGGTCGGTTGATGTTGAGCATCGTCTCGGGGGCAGGCATGAGCCGAGGAATGCTCCCAACGAACGATGCGGTGATAACATACGCATATTTTTCGATTGACGCTCCTCCAATGACCGCCAGTAAACCGACGATGTCGAAGCCCCAAGTGGGCTCAGCCTTGTCCACTTGACGCGGGAACCAGACCATCTTGGTCTGTTCGTGATTGTGAAAAAGGGGGTATCTGAGGGTCGGGATATCGGGGCGTATGGTCAATAAGTATCTGTGCAGGGGCCAAACCGACCGTCTGTACTCGCTCGGTCGAATGCTACATGTTCTCCGAGACCAAATGGTCAACGCGAATAAAAACTCCGGGAAGAACCCACAATTTACGGCAGCTTCTGCACTGGCACAATTGGAGCAAGATTTGCATCGAGCCGACCCCGTGATAAGTGGGTTAGTATGTTGATCGGAATACCCCAAAGGCAATGGTGACAGCTCAGCCACCTGAGCGACCAGGGACACGGTAACCAACCATCGAGTCACTGTGAAGATGGTCGGCGGGAATCTTGATGTGTTGTAGCTGAACTGTGGATACCAATAGGGTGGGTCCAACCAGACTGCTAGTCCCGATGGGATATCCAGTACTCGATTATCTCAAGTGCTGCATGAACTTGAGATGTTGTGACACGGAGCGGAGTACACCGAGTGCTCGTCAAATGACCATATTTCCTACTAACCAACATACATAAATGGGTTGCTGTTGATAAATATTGGCTCCAGTTGATCATGAAAAGACTAACATCGTACGGAGTCCGTGCCTCCAGCATTTCAGCCTAGATTGTCGACCTTTTGAACTTCCCGTGTTGTAGGATCCACACTGAGCAGACGAGTCCCAGCCTTCAACCGCGCTAGTGTGGTGGGAGACTGGAATAATAAGAGTGCTTTTCGAAAACCATTAATCCGACAGAAAATATAACGTGTCAATTTACGCTAGAGTTTACTCACATAGCTCATTATAGCTCATTATCATGTTCGAGATAAGTTGACCTGAACACTCACTATGAAAGGGGACAACATTGAAATGACCTGATTCGTCCACCCGGCCGACTGTTGGAGAGTTGACTCGGTAGCTTAGTGGATGGATAATGTCAATGCTTCGGCAACTTCGCCGGGAACTGTGTCGGCCTTCGATACGAGACACATCATCCTGGATAATATTGGTTGCATGATATTTGAAACCTATATCACGTTGTTGAGTGACTTTTCAATTATATCTACTAGTGAGACTGGGGCTTTCTTCACGATGCATCGACTAGTGCAACAGACTGCACGCACTTGGTGTAAGTTCCATAAGCACGTAGACCAGTGGGGGAAGAGATTTATCAGTATTTTGTACCAGGATCTTCCCAACGGCCAGTACGCAAATTGGGAGGTGCATCGGTTGTTACTTTCTCACGTTCTATCAGCAATGTCTCAATAACCAAAATTCATAACATCTCTAGTACAATAGGCCACACTCCTGTATAGAGGTGCGTGGTATGCGTTGGAAAGCAGTAATATTCCAGATGTGAAAGGAATGGAATTACTAGTAGTTATGATATTGTTTTCCAATGCAGATCAGCCACCTGAAACTACTTTAATCCAGATGCAGATTTGCGTGTTACGGAGTAGGGTTTGAGAAAGAATCTTCGTGTACAAAAAACAACATTTACCACCATCGGTCTCTATGGAGAGATACAAGCGCGGGGTTACAGAGTTACCCCACCCTTTTCACAGGTTCAAGTGGAGACAATGACAGGCCTTCCCAGGTGAGGCTCAACGCTCACCGTTCAGGCAGCTTGGAACAATCACAGTGGATCAAACCATGTATCTAGGGCATAGTAGTTGTATGCTGCATATGGCCACCAGCGAGAGTCAGCGTAAATGAAATCATCATCATCATCATCCTGTACACAAATCTCTGGATGGATTTGTAAATCACGGTGACATTCCTAGGCTGAAAGGCGGAATAAATGCTCTTTAACATCATATATATCTAGTAAATAATATACTAGCTATTGAAGTCATACCACATAGTATAGAGGATTATTGCTTCAACCACAGTAGACTATATCACTATAGAAGTAAAGGCGGCGTTCGCAAGTCAAAGCAGCCCAACATCAAAACGGACCTAATAGATCCAAGGAACGCAGAAACTGACATCCAGTAGAGGCTTATATAAGGGGTGAACAGCGGTAATAGTTGTTGGGACTGGGGTTCCGCCAGCGTTTCTCCACCGCCTCCCTGACCGCCCGCAGCGGACCTGTAGACAGCAGATAGCTTCTCTTCTTCTCTCTCCTGCAGACAAACAATTTGATTTTCTCTCTCTTCTGCTCCCTTTCCTCAACAGTTCTGCTCTCCCCAGCTTCCCATTTTTAGGCCTCACTCAATCAATATACAACATTCACTAGGGCCCAAAGATTTGGTGGAACATTCAACCAAAATTTTGGGCCTCACTCAACTGTATCCCCCATTGATTCTATGTTCCACTGAATTCATCATGATCTTCTCTGGCACGGGCTTGATCTCTCCATTTATCTTCGACCGGAATGCATGTTCCACCGAATTCGTCATGATCTTCTCTGGCACGGGTTCAATCTTTTCATGCATTAGCCTTGAACGGGAAATCAGAAATGTTTGATACTCTTACAAGCTAGATACCAAATGGTTAGAAATTGCTTTCATGATGGCGTTCTTGTCTGTATTTATGCAACTTGAATCATTGGGAAGGCAATGCCAGAAGCTGAGAAGGGTCTGATAGAAAATCCACCCAAACGATGCAAGAATCAAATGGTATATTAAAGCCTCATCAGCCACCCTCCCTTCCAGCCAGGATCCAAAATCACTATTGACGTTGCTCTTCTTTCAGCCTGCGAAAATAACTAGATATAGTAGCAATTGTTCCCCTCCTATCTCTTTCAATCTGATCAAGTCGCCATGCTTTACGCAAACGATACTACCCCAGCTGAAGATGTCAGCCTCGAGCCCATCGCAATCTGTGGCATGGGTAAGTGTGAATACCAAAGAAGTTCAATGATCCACTAACCGTAGTGCAGCCTGCCGTCTGCCTGGCAAGGTCGACTCCCCCTCGACCCTGTGGGATCTGCTCCTGAGAAAAGGCACCGGGAACACTATGCGAGTCCCCAGGTCCCGGTTTAATATTGACGCACACCTTCACAAGAACGGTGACCGCCCTGGCAGCATGAATGTGGGCGGTGGTTACTTCCTCGACGGCCCTGCAGAGAAATTCGACCCCACGTTCTTCAACATGACACCCGTCGAGGCCATGTGGCTGGACCCACAGCAGCGAAAGATCCTCGAGGTCTGCTACGAGGCACTTGAGTCTGCTGGTCTGACCTTGGAGCAGGTTTCCGGCACCAATACGGGTGTCTTCGTTGGCAGCTTCACTGCCGACTACCAGCAGATGACCTTTCGGGATCCGGACTTCCGCCACAGCTATGCGGCCACTGGTGTTGATCCAGGTATTATCAGTAACCGTGTAGGAAATGTCTTTGACCTGAATGGGCCGAGGTAAGGATCCGTGCTTCACAGACATATGGACGGAACTAAAACAATCGAAGCTTCACTATCAACACCGCATGCTCCTCGTCGGTGTACGCAATCCATCATGCCTGCCATGCACTGCGTGCTAGAGATTGCGAAGCAGCTCTGGTTGGTGGTGTCAACTTGATCCTCACGGTTGATCAGCATATGAACACCGCCAAACTGGGTGTGCTATCGCCGACCTCATTCTGCCATACGTTCGATGCTGCTGCCGATGGATACGGCCGTGGCGAGGGTGCTGGCGCTCTGTATCTGAAGAGACTGAGCGATGCTATCCGCGATGGCGACATCATTCGAGCCACCATTCGCTCTTCAGCTGTTAACACGAATGGTAAGGTTCCGGGCTATGGTATCACTTATCCGAACATGAAGGGCCAGGAGAAGGTCATCCGCGCCGCATACAAGCGCGCCAGTCTCGATCCAGACCGGACTGCCTATTTTGAATGCCACGGGACCGGTACACCAGTGGGAGATCCTATTGAAGTCCGTGCTGCGGCTAGTGCTATGAATGACACTCGTTCAGAGGATCGACCCCTGATTATTGGCGCTGTTAAGCCCAACATTGGCCACAGCGAAGCAGCCAGCGGAATCTTCGCCGTCATGAAGGCTGCGTTGATGGTGGAAGCGGGTGTGATTCCCGGTGTCGCTGGTCTCCAGAAGGTTAACCCGGAGATCCCCGAGGAGGAGTGGAACGTCAAGGTTAATCGCGATACCCTGCCTTGGCCCGATGAATTTGAGTCCCGCAGAGCCAGTATTTCCTCTTTTGGATACGGTGGCACCAACGGCCACGTCGTTGTGGAAGAGGTAAAGGCACAGTATCCGCAATATCAGCACGGGGCCCGCAAGGCCCTGGCCCACTATGACCACTCATCCACCAGGCCGCTACTCGTCACCTTCTCGGCGCACGAAAAGACAACCCTGATCCGCAACATCGAGGCGCATTCCAAGGTAGTCAATCAATACTACCTCTCAGACTTTGCGCACACCCTAAACAACCACCGCAGTCGCTTCGCTCAGAGGGCATTTGTTGTTGCTAGCGAGCCCACAGCGGCGTCTGATATGGCAATCGCCAACTTCAAGTTTGGCCTCTGCACCAAGCCTATTTCCAATCTTTCCTTCATCTTCACCGGACAGGGTGCGCAGTGGGCAGCGCTCGGTCGAGAGGCCATTGAGACCTTCCCCGTTTTCCGCGACAGGATCCGACGCTTGGATCGGGTGCTTAAGGGCATCAATCATCCTCCCACCTTTTCGATCGAGGAGGAACTCACGACTCCAGCAGGGACGAGCCGAATCAACAACGCTAATATTGCTCAGCCGACGCTGGTGGCCACTCAAATCGCCCTCGTGGACCTCCTGGCATCGTGGAACATCGTTCCTATTGCTACTGTCGGTCACTCAGCGGGTGAATATGCAGCGGCGTATACTGCTGGTCTGGCCTCTGCTCCGGAGACCATCATCGCCGCTTACTACCGCGGCTACTCACTGGCGCGTAACGCACCCGCCGGTGGTTCAATGATGGCGGTAGGCCTTGGCCGTGATGAGGCCGAGCTATATCTCGCCCGCGTCAGCAATGAGCTCGTAGTTGCCTGCGAAAATTCCCCCTCTAGTGTTACTCTTAGTGGCCCGGTCGCCGCCATACATGAGGCCCGAGACCGCTTTGCAGAAGACAAGATCTTTGCTCGCGAGTTGCGGACTGGCATCGCATACCACTCGCCTCATATGGAGCCTGTCGCCGGCCCTATGGTGGACTTGGTCACCAATGCTTACCGCAAGCTGGACAGCTATGACCACCAGTGGCGCTGCCCACGCAGGACTATGATTTCCTCCGTCACCAGCTGTCCCGTTGCGACAGGAGACATCACCCCAGCCTACTGGGCGCGCAATCTCACTGGCCGTGTACTGTTCAACACCGCCGTACAGACCCTCGCAAAAATAGACGATCTTGAAGATATTGGCGGTTTTGTTGAGGTGGGCCCTCACTCGGCTCTGTCCGGGCCCTTCAAGCAGATCTGCCAGGCGAATGGTTTCAACCGTTACGCGTATGTTCCTACTCTGATCCGGAACCAGGATGGGGCGCATTCGCTACTTAAGACAGCCGGTGAGCTCTTCCTCGCAGGATATGCCGTAGACATGTACAGGGTGAATCGACTAGACGGTCCTTCCCTGGACTTCCAGCTGGACTTGAAGGGCTCTGGCAAGCGTCCGTTCACTCTGACCGATCTGCCCCTGTACCAGTGGAATTATGACAGGGTCTACTGGGCAGAGCCTCGTATCAGCGCCGAGTACCGTCAGCTCACCCATGCGCGCCACGACCTGCTGGGTAGCAAGATCCCCGGACTGTCATCTCATGCAATGGTCTGGCGGAATATTCTGCGCATCCGGGACATCCCATGGCTTCAGGATCACAAGGTAAGTTCATCTCTCCGTAAAAGAGCAGAGAGCAGAGACAATTACTAATTTAAACTACCCAGCTCGGAGGTTCCAACATATTCCCCGCGACGGGACATATTGCTCTTGCCATCGAGGCGGCGCGACAGCACTGCGAGATTAGTGGTGTCAATGTTTCTGGAGCTGTGTTGCGCGATGTTGAGCTGAAGACCACGCTGATTATCCCGGACTCAGACGCCGGCATAGAAATCCAACTACGACTGTCCCAGAACTCCTCATCCAAGTCCCCCTCGTATCACTTCGCCGTGGAGTCCTGTACTGACAACAACTGGACGATTCACTCCGAGGGCACAATTCTTCCAGTTTCTGACCCTCAATCGGCGGATGTGCGCTCCCACTCCGTGAATCCCGGGGTCCTCACCCACCGACACGGGGGTAAGCGGTGGAACGACACCTTCCGTCGAGTGGGTTTTGAGTACGGCACCTCGTTCGACACCCTCGACAAGATCAGGACGCACGAGAAGTACTACCAGGCAGCTGGACAAATCCCCCTAGCTACCAGCAGCCGACGCATGGTCGACGAGTCCCGTTACATGCTCCATCCCTCCACCGTGGACTGCCTTCTGCAGCTCGTCAATATATCCATCCATGCTGGTCTTTACCAGACAATGCCGTGGGCGGCTGTGCCTATCAAGTTCGAGGAAATCACCCTACTTGTGCCGGGTGATGAAGCCGACACAGTCGGTCAGGCGGTGGCCTGGAACGATGTCCGCGGTGAGCGCGCTCGTTACTTCAACACCGATGCCCAACTAGCTACCCCCACGGGACGGGTTATCGTAGACATCAAGGGGCTTCATACAGTAGCATACGAGGCTGCTTTACCCCTGGGAGATAAGGCAGCTGCGAATCCAGCACCTTATGCCGCAGTGGAATGGAAGCCCGATTATACACTTTGTGAGCTGCAGAAAGTGCCCCTAGGACCTGACATGCTGCCCGATGTCATTTCCCTTCTGTGCCACAAAGAGCCTGTGGCTTCTGCTCTGCTGGTCGCTTCAACATCGACTTCTGTCGATCCCGAGAGTGTGCTTAGCAGACTTCCACCGACGGCTGAGCTTTCTGTGGCAGGGCAGACGTCGGAGAAATCCTCCTCGCGCATTAAAAATGTCGTCATCCCAGAAGGACCGCTCAACCTGGCCAAATTAAATGTCAAGGACCAAGGCCTGGTTCTTATCGCGGGTGAGGATGCCCAGCAGCTGGCAGAATCCGATATGTGGGCTTCTCTGAAGTCTATCCTCAGTGCTACCGGCATCACCCTCGTCCTGGTTGATAGCTCTGTGGCACCCACGGTCCAAACTAGCATCAAAAAGGCCGGGTTCTTCATCATGGCCAATGTCGCATCAGAGCAGACGTTGTTGCTTGTCTCCCGCTTCATGGAGGAGGACTTTTCCAGCAGCAGCCCAGATGATTGCATCAAACTAGTCTACTCCCGTCTCCATTCAGCTCCACCCCTCGCTCTAGCAGGCGCTCTGCGACTTCAGGGGATTGAGGTATTCGTCAAGACTCTCGAGGAGGTGGATTTGACCACTGACAAGGAGCTCGTCCTATTCAACCCATGCGCCAATATTCTCTCCCAGCCGGAAACGACGTCGTTTGACGCACTTACACAGATCATCGCGTCTGGGACGTCTGTCCTATGGCTCACGACAGGGGTCAACGCCTGCACGTCCACCGATGGCGGCATGGTCCCAGGTTTCCTGCGGGTGCTGCGGGAGGAGCAGAAGATGTCCAAGCTGACCTGGTTGGATGTGGATCAGGACGAAACGTTTGAGTCCATCGCACAGAAGCTGGTGTCCATCCGTCATGGTTCCGCCAGGTCGGTGACTGAAAACGAGTACTGGCTGCACCAAGGCATGTGCCATATTAGTCGGATTGTGCTGAACGATGAGCTCAACGCCTGGATGGTCCCTGATGAAAATAAATTGGCGCAGATGCCCCTACCCAGTGGTCAACTACTCCAGGCCAATGCCGAGCAGGGTAAGATTACCTTTACCCACAGCAACCGCTTTGATGGCATGTCTCTCCAGCCGAACGAGATCGAAGTTCAGGTTACCTCCTGCGAGGTATTCAACCAAGACCTGCAAGCTCCGGCCGAGGGCCCTCGGGTGGTCGCTGGCACCGTCCTCAAGGTGGGAGACAGCGTGGATCAAGATCTCTGGGGGAAGACGGTTGTAACCTACGTGACGAACCCGCTCGAGACTATCGTCCGAGTGCCATGGGTAATGTCAGTCCAGTGCGATCCTGCCGTCGAGAATCATTTCGTTTCAGCCCTGCCAGAGCTGTGCCGGGCTGTCGACGCTGTTTCGAGCGTCTCAGGCTCCCTTACGGAAAAGCATGTCCTCCTCCTTTCTTCATCGAAGTCCTTCTCCAACGCTCTCGCCCAGATCAGCAGGGCCTTGCACTTCCCGCTCGCCGTAGCTGAGGACATGTCTCACATCCGCCAAGTTATGAAGATAGCCGGGTCCGCGCTGGTCGTCGTGGCTGAGGACTTCTCCGGTAGGAACCAGAAGGTCTGGCGTGAGATGCCCTCTGGTGGATGGTTCATACTAAGCAAAAATGTCCACGGTGCCCTGTCTGCCCCATCGGATGTCACTCCATTCACGCGCGGTGTACGCTTCGCTGCGACATCAGTCAAGTCTACGTTCAACATTGACAAGACGGCACTGGGCAAGATCATGCGTGCGGCCGTTGCATCCATTGAAGGACCAATGGAGCCTGCCCTCGTCTACAGTACCAACGATGTGAACCGCGCCACAAGTATCACCGCTAAGAGATACATCATGACATACAATTACAATAGTGACGTTGTCGAGATTGCCCCATCCACCCCAAAGCTGCACTTCTCCTCTAAGGACATCTACCTATTGGCTGGCTGTCTAGGCGGCCTCGGCCGCAGTCTCACGGCGTGGATGGTAGAGCGCGGCGCGCGCCACTTCGCCTTTATCTCGCGCTCCGGAGCAGATAAACCCGAAGCCGCGCAGCTGATATCCTCTCTCCGCGAGGTGGGTGCCCACCCCCAGGTCTTCCGCGGTGATGTCTCCAATGTCTCCGACGTAAACAGCGTCATCCAATCCGTCACGTCCGGGCTCAATGGCAGACGCATCCGCGGCGTTGTCCACGCGGCCATGGTGCTCCAGGATGGCATCTTTGGCCCCCAGACATCCATTGAAAAGTTCCAAGCCGCTATCACGCCTAAGGTGAACGGAGCGCTCGCGCTGCATCATGCGCTCAAGGACCACGAACTGGACTTCTTCGTTATGACAACCTCCATCTCTGCTATCGTTGGCCAACCAAGTCAGTCCAATTACGCCGCCGCCAACAGCTTCTTGGATAACCTGGCCTGCCAGCGCAATCGCATGGGTCTGCCCGCTACATCCGTGGCGCTACCTATGGTTCTAGGCGTGGGTGTCGTGGCGGAGAACGACGCGTTGGAGGACAAGATCACGCATCGCGGTATGTATGGAATCGACGAGCGCGAAATGCTTCGCGCGTTTGAGGCAGCCATGTCGTCGCGGCCTCGGTTGGATCCGAAGTATCAAGACGCTAGTATCTTGTTGGGTCTGGACCCGTCGCGGTTAGCGGGGGCATGGGCGGCTGCCAGCAAGGATATCGATCTGGATTGGGTCGAGGATGGCCGGTTCATTGGGCTGAAGGCACTGGTCGAGGCGGCGTCTGATAGAAAAAATGGCGACGAGGCCAAAGATGGCGGCGAGGGGGTGTCGCGACACAGGCAGTTGCAGCTGCGCAGAGTGATGGTGTCGATGCCGCGGTGGGTGTCGTCGCTGCGTGCCTTATACAGAGGTGTGCAGGTATCTTGATGATGTCGGTGGAAGACTTTGCACTAGAGGGATCTAGCGTTGCTGGGTATGGGTTGGACAGTATGATTGGAACTGAGCTGCGCAACTGGTTGTTCAAGACGTTTGGTCTTATTATCCCTTTCCAGGAGCTGTTGTCGACGTCGTTGACGTTCAAGGGGTTGTCTCTGTTGGCCTTGGAGGCTTTGGGGGTGAATGTTGGCTAGCCTAGGGATGTGTGTTGCTTTAGTTTGAGTGATGTATGCTACTTCCGCTAGTCAATAGTAACCACCTATCAATGATAATGAAGGATGAGATACTGGAGATCGAGGCCAATTAATCGTGATTGGTAGTGCTTTTCGAAAACCGCGCCGCTAGACTGGCCAAGCACCCTTTGCCGCTCGTGGCTGGTGAAATACCCTGTGAGATGAAAGTAGGTCTCGATACAGAGTATTCGGTTAAAAAAGCGAGAAGAGTTTCATCAATAGCGTTCAATGAGTAACTAACGATTGACTTCATTTGCAGTCCAGCGGCGGAAGTTGTAGTATCCGATGTCATCTTCGAATCTAGCATCTCGACCCAACTCTTTGAGTGCCTGCCAGCTTGATTCTGTTGTAATATATCATATTGTACCGGGATCAATTCCTGACCTCATGGAATTATCAGCTATGGTTGGAAATCAATCTGGAGGTTGCATGTTGTACATAAATCGTCAAATTTCCTGTCTGAAGAATAACAAGCAATCTTCCTCTGAAAACAACAGGTTTAATATCCGGCTCGTGGAGCACGGCCCAGTTGTGCGGTTTGAGACGTTGAAAAATCTATGAGATATACTGAATAAGTGCTGTCTTAGGGACTACTATGCTTCAAAAGAGAACTTTGAGCTATACGGTTCGAAAGGCCGTGCTGTATTCTTGGTTACTGTCGGATCTCAGCTACAGCCACACCGGAACGATTATCGTCTCTGCATTCAGTCTGTATGTAACAAAAAATCACTTCTATAGGTGCCTGGGTCGCTAAATGAGTGCGTGCGGTCAGAGTCTCAGTCGTGCCGACTATACCGCTGCTGAATAAGGTATTGTATGAATTATCTTGATACGCCCTCCAGCTGCAGCCGTCGGTCTTCTCTCTCTCTGTGTATTTAAGGCTTTACACCACTCTTATCTTGAGCCTCTTCTATTGATTGAGTGGTGGATATTCTGCATGACCAACTGCCTGATGAACTGCTGATATTTCTAGCGGGGTAGGAGCTTGGTGAGCCTATCTGCCACCATAGTGGCTGTTGGAACCCAGCATACACGGGTTTGATCATCTCTGACCTTCTGTCTCAACCAGTAGCAGTGTATATCAATATGCCGCAGCTTAGTGCGTAACTTGGGATCTTCCTTAGTGAGTAAGTGTCTATCTCGTTTAGAACAAGCTAGAATTGATGACGAAGGGACTGGAAATGATATCGCGGCGCTTTAAATACTGCTAGGAGATTGCGAACATAGACGTTCTTCTACTGTAAACTGAAGTTGTGTCGATCTCGTGCAGGCAGAACTATTTCTCAAAATGACGGAGCCCGCAGCTTCTATCTCGGGATCTTCTCTATCATGGGAAAGCGATCTACATTCGTAGGAGGACTTGACATCGAATTTCTTTTTCAAGAAAGTGAATTGGCTGAAGAGAAAATCCATCCCATTCTAGGACATGGATGTATTGCTATTCAAAATCTGAGGTTGGTATTGGCTACAGAACTCCACGTCACATACATATGTAATTGAACATACGCACTAGAATGCAAGGCTGAGAACCGGGGGCATTTTGGGGGCGCTCGAGGCGGCTCTTAAAGTGACCCAGTCCCCATCCGGCAAACTTGATACATACTGAAGCTCGGAAATCTTCTCTATAATAATACTATTTATTTAGTTAAGGATTAAGGCTTTCTGTTACAGACCCAGCGGCACGAGACGCTAGCAGGGATCAGATATGGAACAACGAGGGCTAACCAGTTGGTCAAAGAGGGCACCCAGCTAAGGGGGGCCCAAAAAAATGCTAAGCGGGGCCTAAATTTTGACCAAGTTTTTGGGCCCCCGTCGACTCGCTTAATCGACCGGGGCCCAAAGAATTCCTTATTGTCTAAGCTAACTTTATATATATAAATCTTTTTTTATCTTTTTTTATTCTATATCTACTATATTATAGTATCTTTATAAAATATTTCTATAATCCCTTATTTAGACCCTAATTCTAATTATTATAAGAAACTACTAATATAATAGTTAATAATAACTCTTAAGGAAATAGAAAGGGTATCCTATCTTAGAAAATATATAAAAACCTATTATATATCTAAAAGGCTACTACTAGCTAATTTAATAGTATCTCTAACGAGAGAAGGAGACTTTATAAATATCTTAAGAAAAAAAAGGTCTTGGCTATCCTAGAAAGACTTAGATAATAGATTAATATTCGTAAAGACCTATATTAGAGTAGAACCCTCTAATATAGTAATAAGATACTAATTACTATCTTTAACTACCGATAATATTATATAAGAATCTTATAATATACTGCAATCTATAATACTCCTTTCCGAAGCACTATTTAATTTTTAAATTTACTCTAAAGTAGTGGCCTCTTATTACGCGTCGCCTCTGCGTCACTGAGAGTCTTCTGCTAATTAGGGTATCTTACTTTAGTTATTATAGAGTATAATAACTATATATACGGAGGTAGCTAGTTTCGGCCCCGTTAGTATAGACTTTGATCCTAAGAGTATCTCGTAACTATATTGTCGCTATACTAAGTCTTATATAGGCTCGGGTTTTGTTGAGTATTTTACAAGATATATTAGAGCGTACGCTGAGGAGGTTAGTCACTAAATAGGTATATAAAGTAAGCTCCTCTATTTATAGGATAATTATTATAAAGGTAAATTGAGAATAAGGCTAAAGGTAGTATCTAAGTGATAATATATAATTAATTATAAAGAACTAAATATATACCGAGGGAGTATTTCTTATATACCTAGTCCTTCTCGTCGCCCGATAAATCCGGAACTTATCGCTTAGTAGGATCCGCCTTATCGCCCGATAAGTCGTCCTATATTCGGTTCTAGTCATTACGTGACTTCTTACCAGCGAAAATCCGATACGTATAGACGTATAAATAATAGATTTCCTCTTAGGGCATATATTCTACTATCAGTTCCCGCCGGCGCTTAGGCTCGTGCTCACTAATCGGTTTATTGGCTCTCGGTGGCCCATCGTCAAGTTGTGGGGTCCTCAGATAACTGGCGTCTGCAGGATCCGTAACACCTTCCTCCGAACAATCCTGTCACCACCAGAACAACAGAAACCTGTGTGGTGGTTCATCTCTCTTGGACCGAATGTCCTTTCCTTAGATCTCTTCCCTAAGGCTCACGCCTTCTTCGAGAGCGGCCGATCGATCAGCACACTTGTAGCCCTGGTGCCAGGAACAGTAGCCAGAGCAGCAGCTAGAGTTCAATCTACACCCTGTTTTCTCGTTAGCGGCTTGCAAATACGATAAGGTAGCTCCTACTTACTGGTGTTATTTGGACGGCACATAGGCTCAATATCAGGGCCCTTCTCTGGAAGAGGACCTTCCTCTTCGAGAGCGGCCGATCGATCAGCACACTTGTAGCCCTTGTGCCAGGAACAGTAGCCGGAGCAGCAGCTAGAGTTCAATCTACACCCTGTTTTCTCGTTAACGGCTTGCAAATACGATAAGATAGCTCCTACTTACTGGTGTTATTTGGACGGCACATAGGCTCAATATCAGGGCCCTTCTCTGGAAGAGGACCTTCCTCTTCTTCGAGAGCGGCCGATCGATCAGCACACTTGTAGCCCTGGTGCCAGGAACAGTAGCCGGAGCAGCAGCTAGCGTTCAATCTACACTCTGTTTTCTCGTTAGCGGCTTGCAAATACGATAAGATAGCTCCTACTTACTCCTGCCATTCGCACGGCACATAGGCTCAACCTCAAAGTTGCCAAAAACATTGACGACGACGTGGCCCTGGTCCGAGTTGGCCATCTGCTCAGGGGTCTGCTCGGGCACCTTCATGTCAACGGCATTGTCGTTCTGAGTAGCGGGTGCTCCGATGGCGGAAGCCGCCAGGGCCAGGAGCAGAAGGGTAGGTCGAGGCACCATGATGGCGACTTAACAATGGGACAGATATAGTTTTTGGTGGATTGGGACACGATGTAAAACTCGTGAGATCGTGGATGGAGAACCGGAAGCTGGGAGAATTCAGGGTTTATATAGCAAAAATAGGACACCACAGGACGGTCGAACCCTCAGCACACTTATCAGCCGTACTCGATTGCATGAGGGGATACAAAAGTCCGTGGCGAGCTGCGCTGTGCCATCACATTAAGCGCACACTGCCGATCCCGTTCCGATGTACAGATAAAGTGGAGGAGTGGCCCAATCCTCCCGCGATGTAGATAAGGAAGATCGATTGATGATGATGTTCCATTGGATTGGGCTTACCGTATGATGCAGATCTCAGCTTTAGCGAGAGGCGAGCATCTCGGGTCGAGATGAACCTGTGGAGAATTTGTGATGTAATTCAGCAATCAATTCGACCTATGGCTCTGCAGGGTGCGTCGATCCAGGCAATCTCTCTGTACTATCCCCGCTGTGTCGGGGTTATAGTGCACCCACAATACATGTTTGCCGCTAAATCGGTGGGTCGACCGGGGAGGTTAATGCGAGTAGCCCAGGGGGGTGACTGCGCTGAGGACAGCATTTCCGAAGGAGAATGTAGCAAAAATGCCGCACAGTAGCACTGATCGACAGAGCAGCCAGTCGAGGCAACCTAGGACTCATTGCCGTCCCGGTGTGGATAGTGAAGCATAAAAAGACAGCAATTCTCTGTGATACTAGCCTCCTGTCAGGTACGATCGCTTCCCGATGGCGCAATCTTCACTTTATCTCATTGTTTATCATGGGATTGCAAGTCCATACCCGCCCTTCTCTTGGGGGTTGGTTGGGGGGTGGGGGAACTGCATCGGAAAACGGGGTTGGAGATGAATTGGCGATGATCGAGGAGTATCTTGTAACCAGCGATCTTTTCCCCGCACGTTCATCGCAGGGCGAGCTGAACACGATCTGTATATGTGATATAGACGTGGGGCCAGATGGATCAATAAATGTTGAAGAAGGGAGGAGGAGGTGCATTCATGGTGCGTCAAGATGCGACGGAAGGACCGAGATCCACTCGGTAGCGGAGAAGGATGGGAGCATCGAGACGACGATCTATCATGTTCCCTCGGGCGCAGTGGCCAAGGCTTATCACTTACTAGTTATGTTTCTGAGTGCGTCAAGGCCTCGTTCTTGTCCTGTGGGTATTTTGCACTTCATCGGTTTCGTCTCTCTTGGCCAGAACCCACCATATTTCTCTGGAGTTTATTATTGTTTCACCACCTGCCGTTCCCCGAACCCTCTTGTTGACCCTTTATTTTTTTACCCATCGACTTTGTATCTCCTCATTAACAATGTCCTATACACTATATTTTCCCGGCCATTCTACTCTTTCGTTATCTAATAGTTGTATACAATACCCTAGCTAGTATGTATTATTACTCCGTTGGATATATACGTATAGCCGGTTTTCAGCAGTGCGAACTTTCGCCGATAAGATAAATAAGCGATAATAGTGACAATAGAGTTTTGGTCTTTACGTCAGTGATTGTGTGTTCAACTAAGTTGAAACGAAAAAAGGAGGAGCTGAAAGAGGAACCTAAACTTCCGTTTAAAAGTGAGGCCGCAAACAAGTGGTGAGAAGGTACTAGCTTAAACAACGTTCTCTTTAATGGTATATAGAAATTTATAATTTTATAAAGGGTCTACCAAGATGGTGAGGCATGAGGTTATTCCCAACTAACGGAAGGGGTTAATCAGGTGATATCATATGATTCACCCCTTCCGTCAGTTAGGAATAACCTCATGCCTCACCATCTTGGTAGACCCTTTACAGTTTGATATAGCCGAGTCTAGACTAAAGAGTAATAGTGGCGGTAAGGTATCTTTATACCCGAAAAGGTAATAAACACGCGATTCTAAGAGAACAAAAGCAAAAGTAGAGAAAAGGTAAATCAATCCGAGGGAAGAAGAGCAAAAAGATGGGGAAGGTAAGTTAAGTCGAGTACACACGTTAGCATTCTAGGGATATACAGGAGTTTCGTTCGGGTAAAGAATAAAGGGGCGTTCAGGATAGATAGGACGCAAAAAGACGAATAGAAAAGAAAAAGAGAAAAACATACAACAGCCAGGATTCGCTGGTGGTCACCCACCCAACTACTAACTAGCCGGCGTGTGGCTTAAGTACGGCTGAGCGGACGGGAAGCCCTGTTCTCCACACCCTGTGGTCGTATGTACCTGAAATAACATCTTTGTAGTTTATATAGCTGGAATATGTAGAATCTTTTTTATTCCACTGACTTTTTTACCCCTAACCAGATCAATGTTAAGAATCTATTCGAGGCCAAATACTAGCCCACTACCTATTTAGGATTCTAAGAGTGTCCTTTCTTGATGGTGCGCTGGATCAGTCTGTCTCGTAAATACAGCGCTGACGATCAATGGAGATGTTAATTTGTTAGATGGACACTGCTTCTAATAGATTTCTCATTAAAGTAGATGGTATCATTTCCGCTATGGTTTCGAGATATTCCGCTGGATAAACCTCACCAATGCTTCTCTTCCATCAATCTTAATCGGCGCTTCGATATGCATCGCTCTCGGCACATCTTTCCTTGCAATATCCAGTCCAAGATCATGGCCTCTGCTCTCTAAGCGACCCGCCACCTCCGGTGGAACGACCTCGTCTTGTTCGGGAGACAAAATCAAGATTGGAGGAACCGATTGATCTCCTGCGGTGCGATCGCGATAATCAGCAAGTTGCTCCAGCGCGGTAGCAGTGCACCAGGTATTCCACGAGAACGGCCAGAGATACCGATACGGCAGCCATTTTTGAGGATACAGCCCGATCAGCATATCTTTGATACTGGAGATGGGCGCTTCTAGTATCAGTCCGGCTATTGGTGCTAGCCTAGCCGGACCCGTGGATTGTTCCGCATGGCGACGCGTGAGATATGAAGAAAGCGCGGAGCTTGCAACGGCGCATCCGAGGCTATGGCCCCAGAGGATAATCTGCAGGTCCGTGTCTGGTGCTGAGTATGTTTCTGATACCCAGTTCAGAAATGCCTGGGCATCGAGTTCGATGCCTGATTGGGTTGCGCGACCCGAGGATGTCCAGTATCCGCGGTACGACAGTGCAACAATGGAATAGCTCGGGTCATCGGGTGTTGGTTGGGACTTCGTCGCGATGGTTCGCAAAACCTGCGAGAGAAGCGGGAGTCGAAGAGGTGTCGACCCGCCATTTCCTTGGAAATAGCAAATCACAACTGACTTTTTCTTCATTTTCTCCCTTGAATCAATTGGCTTCTGGCGCTGGTCTTGGACTGGGATGTGTCCTTCGCAGACAGCCAATTTTGTCCCATCGAGACTTCGAATTCGTTTTTCTTGCCAGCGTACGGGCTTGCATTCAGACTCATATTCGGAGATTTTGTCTGAGCGTGAAAATGGTGGGAGCCAAGAGAGATACAACAGTTTGTTCTGCATGACAATGATCCAGAAACATTTCCACGTCCAGAGGCCGAGGAGGAGCCCAATGAAGATAACGGGTGGGAGTAGGAGAGGTGGGATGGAACTTGTGAATAACGTGCGTGAATGTTTGCTGTTACTTGGTAGCAAGATGTTTTTCTTTTGATGGATGCTTGGCCTTTTTATTGTCGGGCCGTAAATATAATATTGAGGAGCCTCCCATCCTCGAATGCCATTGATGGAACCGGATGTGTGAAACGGATTGCGCTGAGCGCGCCTTATAATCAATCTTCTCAGCATCAAAGAGAATTAGGAATAGCCATAGGCTGTGAAGGGTCCTCTAGGTGACTGTAGATAGGAAGAGAATCCTCAAGAGCCGCAATAAGAGATCGATAATGATGCCTTGTTTGTAAGGCCCAAGATGTCATGCCGCTGATCATGTGACTATACTAGAGAAGAACATGTCGTTTGCACCTTGTATGCGAACTTATACGCCCTTCTACTCCACACCTTACGCGACATCAATTTGAGTTGACACACCGGTATGCAGTTTATAGTCAAACCCATTTTAACTCCTGAGCCTTTTCTTGCTTCCAAATCCCTAATAACATTACGCCTGTTTCTATCAGATCAATCTTTTTATCTATGATCATTCCTGATTATTTCGCCCCCTGATCGACAAGGCTCTCTACTCGAATAATGTTTAGTGCAAGCAAAAAATACTGTGAAGTGAGAGATTGATTTAGGATTTGATAGCACCCCTCGAGGTCGATGCTAAACCGGGCGAAGGCATTTATCGAGGTAGAGGGCTAGTATACTAAATATCATTTATATAGCTACAGGGAGGCTTAGAACAAAGAGTTCCAAAGCTTTCTGATATTCATCAAATCGTGGGTCAGGGGGCCGGGGAAAGGGGGGCGAGAATGTACAAAATCAGCCTTGTTAGACTTCATGAAACATTGGCAAGAGAGGCTGTTGACCGCCAAGTCCATGACCAAGACTCATTAAAGAAAAAGTACATACACTCTCTTGCTCCACATGCACTGAGGACTGGGCGTTGTTGTGGAGTTTATTGTGCTGCCTTCCAGGCTTCACTAACCAGGGCGAGGAAACCGTGTTATCATACCAAGGTTTCAAACCCTCCGAGTGTAGGTTCAATCACTTTAACTTCCAGGGCGCAGTACAACAGGATAAACTTCGGCCATGGACTCTGCTTGCTTGAGTGCTCAGATCCCAACATCTACCTCCTGGGGATGATCATTCCCCAAACAGTATCTCATGTGCATGGGGCCAAAAATCCTGGGGTCGGATATACGTAGAATAATAGCACGGATCCTTGTATTATGCAACTAAAAATAAGTTTCAGCGATTGCAGACAGGTCCATTGCTATATATTCATGCCACAATCACCCTACTAAAAGATCCCGGGGAACAATGAGATATCATGGTAGCGAAACTCCAAACTGTCTACTCTGTCTACTCCCCTGGTTTAGGGTTAATGCTACGAGGATCGGCTCGGGGTTACGTGGGATCGGCAAATAGCCTTAGGGTTGGTGGCTTGGCTTTGGAGTGTTGCCGCTCATGGGGCGGGGGGTAAAAGTCCTGGGGCGAAATTCAGTTTATACGTACCGAGTCATTGATTGGTTTGGTACAAATCAGTTAAAACAAGGGGGCAGGGCTGACTGGGGCTCTATCTAGAGTTCTAAGTATATAAGAGTATCCTGGGTTATCCAGAAAGGACTTGCTTCGTCCTCAATCCAAGTTCCCAGAAACCGCTCCCTCCCCTTCTTGGCTTCTGAGGTATTTCTTTCTTTCTTTCTTTCTTTCTCTCTGAAAGCCTCTTGAGATATCATAGGGTCCACGAAACTGAGCTCACCAATCTACCACAGATCCTCGATCCACCATGCACGCCCGTTCCATCCTCGTGCTCGGCGCATCCCTCGCCGCCTTCGTCACCCCCGTTGCCGCTAGGCAATGGGCTTCCTTCTTCCCGGATGACACCTGCAAAAAGGGTACTGGCGGACAGACGGTCCGTATGGACAAGGACAGCTGTCTGAGGGGGCCCCCATATGTACCTCAGGGTGTCGAGTTCTACGATTCCAAAGGCTATCCGGGCGACGATCACAGGTACTATGCTTTGGTTGTAGCTTCCGAGGATTGCAAATGTATCGTTTCGTGCCAGAATATTGATATGGACGCGGACAAGGATGACTGTCACGCTCTGACCGGTGACTGGGGTGGCGGTAGAGCCTACTGGTTCTGGACGCTCGGCGACGGGGCCGGTAGCTACACGGATGTCTGCAACAGCCATGCTAATGAGATCGACAAGATGCGGTGCCAGTGATCCTTTTGTGCTCCAAAAAGGAAAGAATGCTCGCCCCGGATGACAAGAGATTTGGGAGCAGGCTGGGTTTCTTGATCGGTGGTTTCTGTATAGTTTCTTTGTTTGTGCTTGCGAAACAAGGAAGAGAGAAATGATAGTTCATCTAATATTGCTTCTGTCTAATCAACTTGGCCTACAGCTACTGAGTGCCTGGGGGAATAAGTATCTTCTTCACATTTTTAGCGGGAGGTACTAAAGGTACACAAAACGAGCGGGCTGTCCACCTACATGTCGCGCTAAATGCGCATATCTACCTGTTTCAATTACCTACTATGCCACCAATTCTAAAAGAAAGTTCGGAGACCAAGCAATTAGGTTATTATTAGCCATTTAATTAATGGGGAGTAATGGATTTTCGAATTTGCGAGGCTAAGAACTAATTTGATATATAAATGGTGTGGCACTATATAATTGCCAAAGTAGCTAGGCTCATGTTGATATTTACCTTAACAACTTCATATTGAGCAAATTGCTTCATCTGCAAACAAAGATACCCCATATTCCGACAATAAGGTGATGAAAAAGGGTACGGCTAAGAAGTGCTCTGAATCTTGCCCGTCCTTGATTTTATAGATCCACATCACGTGCATCTCCGCACTCCACTCATTCCAGGTGCGCCGTATCCTATTGCCAGCAATTTCTCAACCAAACCAACACAAAATGGCTTCCATCCGACCAAATCCCTGGCGTACCTGCCAGGGCCTCGCCCGCCAGAATTTCCGCACATCCCGACCGTACCCACGACATCTCTCCACGACGAACCGGCTCCAATCTGGCAGCCATGCGAACCCTCTCCGATCCCAAGGCCGCGCCCCGGATAACCAGCAAATCAGCCAGTACCGACGGTCAATGATACTGTCAGCTGCAGGTATCGCTGCATGCGCGGTAGCCATGTACGGGGTCATCAAGCTGGATCTGTTCGGGCTGGAGGCTGCGGAGGCCAAGAAAAACGCGGAGTCGCAAGAGCAGACGAACGAGGCCGCCACGGCAACCTCCCCCAAGAATGGGGCTATGAAGATGGACGGGCCGGCTGGGTTCCCGAGTGACGGCGGGCCATCGGTGATCCCAATCAAGGGCCAGGACGGCGCCGAGCAGGTCCCCACGGGGAATAGCACTGTCCCTTACTTCCCCAGTACGATCCGGCTGCCGTCAACCTCGAATATTGTCAACAACAAACCCGCCGGAGATCAGGAGCTGTCCACTGCCGACGGAGACGAGTACCAGCTGCTGGGGCTGGGGATCCGCACGGTGTCGTTCCTGCGGATCCAGGTGTACGTCGTGGGGCTGTACGTGGCCAAGTCAGACCTCACGGAGCTGCAGCAGCGCCTGGTGCGCACGGCGATCCACCCGCCAGCCGATGACTCGATGGTGGTCTCCAGCGCGGGCGCCGACTCGGCGACCTCGCTCGTGCCGCCGGAGCGCCAGCAGCTCAGGGAGCTCCTTCTGGACGCGGAGCGCAGCGACGCCGCCTGGACGGCGCTGCTGAAAGACGACGGCATCCGCACGGCGTTCCGCATCGTCCCGACCCGCAACACCGACTTCATGCATCTGCGCGACGGCTGGGTACGCGGCATTACCAGCCGCGCGCAGCAGCAACAGCAGCAAAAGAAGCTAGCAGCGCCAGGCGCTGAGCCTGGCGAGTTCCAGGACGAGGCGTTCGGCACGGCCATGAATGACTTCAAGGCTGTCTTTGGCGGTGGCCAGCGCAAGAGCGTGCCCAAGGGCCAGACCTTGGTGTTGCTGCGCGATGCCCGCGGCGCCCTCGACGCCCTGTTCCAACCTGACCCGGCTCAGCCGATGCGTTGGATGGGCCGCGTCGCTGATGAGCGCATCAGCCGCCTAGTGTGGCTGAATTACCTTGCCGGCAAGACGGTTTCGAGCGAGGGCGCGCGCCAGAGCATTGTGGATGGGTTGATGACGATTGTTGAGCGGCCGGTTGGCACGGTTGTGCAGAAGGTGGTATAAGAGAAGGTTAACATCTTGCCTTTTATTGACCTTCGCCATTTCTTCTCTCATTTCTCCGATTCTATCCTGTCTTTACTACTCCCATCCTGTTCTGCACCTGTGGGCAAGTGTATCAGTGTATCTTGGCTAGGGCCCTACGACGGCCAGACGAAGTGTTTGCCTCACTCTACTCAATGCAAATTCCAGGAGAAAGATCAATCTATCTCCCAGCTACACCAACTCCACAAAATCCATACGTATGTTGTATCTGCCAGACAGACAAATAGCAAAGAGAAGGGAGAGATCACTAGGGAGTCAAGGAATACAAGGCTGTGCAATTCGGAATCTAATTCTTTCGCAGTAGAATCTTCCCTGGAAGAAGGGGAGATCCGATACGCAAAAAGGAGAGAAAGCTCAAGCCCTCCTAAAAACCATCTAGAATACACACATAGAAAGAGGGGGGAGGGGAACAGCGCTTACAGCGCACCAGCCTCCTTCAGCAGAGCAGGGAGATCCCTCTTCTTAGCCTGGAGGTCGGAGTTGCCACCAATGTGCTTCTGGGATATGAAGACGTTGGGCACGGTGCGCTGGGACGAGATCTCCTGGAGGGCAGACTGGATAGCGGAACCGTCGTCTGTTACATGGACACACAAGAGAGATTAGCATAGACCCAATAAAAATGAACGAATGAAAAGAAATGAGGCAAGAGAGCATTCGCTTCTTCCAGAACTTGATATCTTTTACGGAAAGAAAAGCACGAGCAAGCAAACTCACCAACTTGGTCCAGCTCCAGAGCAGTGTACTTGGCACCGAGCTCGTTCAGCAGCTGCTTGGTGGCATTGCAGTAAGGGCAGTAAGACTTGGAGAAAACGACGACGCCGTTCTCGTTGATCAGGGTCTGGGCCTTGGTCTTTGCGGCAGCCATGGTGGAGGGGTTGGGAGCGGCGAAGGAGCCGAAGAGGCGTTGGAAGATGAACGAAATATTGGGCTATTAGATACAAGCCCAAAAAGAAACCGAGGGTAATACGGTCTCTTTTTTACGGGGGAGAGAAGAAAGAGGAAAGGGAAGAAAAGAAAGTTATTGACAAAAGATGGGAAGGTAGGAAAAGATAGCCGTGGATCCGCGTTGGGACGAGGGGATTCGGTCATCGGGATGGCGATGATGTCAGGTGATAGATTTGATTTGTCAGCGTATACTTCATCGAGGGTGAGCACGCCATGAGAGGACCGAGGTTTCTTTTGGTGTAAATATACCCTCAGTGTGAGATGATGGACGAGGTCAGTAGTTTTGCTTCTAGATCGCTCTGTCTTATCTCTGGATCGATCCATGTTTGATTACTCGGTGTATACCTGTGCGCTCAACTATAGGTACCTAGCCTGGGTGCCCGTTGAGGTGTACAACCCGGCAGAACAGGAGACAAAAAAAAAAAATAAAAAAGAATCGCTGCAAAGCTTGGGAATATGGCAGAAGTGGCTGTAAATGTTCAGAAGAAAATGCAGAAGAGAAGGAAGAAAAGAGGGAAATCCCCATGACAGGCCAAGGAAACTCAGGGAAGATGCAACCAAGAGCCATAGCCAAATCAGTATGACCTAGTGCTTTCCAAGGTTGAACCACAATTGCCTGTCCGTGGGAGTTTCGAAGAAGGGTTTTTTTTCCCCCTGCCTCGCCGGCTGGAAGCACTTGCAACGATCACAGAAAGGAAGGACAAAGAAGGGATGCATGCAACAGAAACTGACCATGCTCCGGTGGGAATAATGACACCGAATTAAAATAATTCTGATAGACGGGAAGAGAAAAGGGAAAGGGCGGATTGAAGGCGAAGTCCCCTTCAAACACGAAAGACCAAAATACCGACAGAACACCATCCCGCCGGAGACGCTGGAAAAATCAACAGAGAAAAAGGGAATAAATCAGAGGGGCAAAGATTCAAGGTATCTTGGGAGTAGATAAACGGGGGAGTTCAACAGAGATGAAAAGCGGGAAAAAGAATGGGGAAATGGAAAGAGTGGGCGCCAAAAGAAAACATCCATCACATCACAATACAGCATCCACAGCCCTTCTCCTTTTTGATTGATTCCGGAGCTGAGACCACGGGAGGGTTCCAGTTGGGATTGACTCCCAATCCCAACGGGGGCGTATCCTGCACCTTGGGCATAGTACTGTAGCCGGTGCTCGTGTTCGGCCGCGGTGGTTCCGGGCTCTTGGGCGGCTTCGGAGGTTCCTCTTCAGGTTTCAGAGGTTCAATAGGCTCCTCGGTCTTTGCTGGGACCGGGGGCGCATCCTGCGGGTGAACCGCAAGAGGGGCGAAGTCGCGATCGTATGTGGTGGGAGTTCGGCCCTCCTTCTCCCACTGCTCTTGCTGCATCTTCTTCGCCAGCGTGGGGAGCATCTGCTGGTCCGGCGGGAGGCGAGGGTCGGGCTTGTACATGGTCGCCAGCCACGGCGGGTCTCCCTCGGGTCGGTTGGCCGCGGTCGTTGGTCGACTTTCGCCGGATCGAGTAGTTGGTCGTTGCGACGAATTATTGCCTGATACGGCACGCGAGCGAGCGGTCGTCTTTCTGTTCGTTGGCGGAGCAGAAGTCTTCCGGTTGGCAGAGCCAGTGGCTTTCGCAGGCGTCTTCTTAGCCGGGGTGTTGGGGGTAGTGTTGGCCCCGCGACTGCCCGGACGGCTCTCGGGGGAGGGAGTAGACGACTCTGTCTCAACAGCGATAGGCTCGCTGGCTCTGCGGCCTCTCGGGGCTTGGCTCTCGTCATTTTCATCTGTCGCAGCCCGGCTCCGTGGCCCGCGGGAATCACGGCCTACGCTGGGCACGAGGGGAGCAGGACTGGCTGTCGAAATGGGTATTCGGGAGGAGCTTTTGCGGAGACCCGGGTGACTGTAGATACTCGAGGCCGCTTCGTCGGCAGCAATTTCTTCTGGTCGGCGGAGGTCCCAGTGCTTCCGCTCATCATCCTCGTCGTTCGCGCCATCGGCTTTGGCTTCTTCACGCAGTTCCGGCCAGGGTTCCGAGTGCTCTGCAGTAGGCGAAGTAGTCGAACCACCTCCGTTGGTAGCGCTGTGCTGGGAATCATGGTTCCGTCCATGCCCCGCGCTCGACTTGCTTTCTGCCCTGATTCGTCGCTGAAAGAGGATGGCAGCTTGATGAAGTTCCTCACTCTCGATTTTGGCCAGCTTATCCCGGTGTATCCAGTTCTCTTGGTTCGTTTCTTGGCCCGGCGGCACGACCGACCCGTCCTTGCTCTCTCCGTGTTCTCGGCGAGCCGATTGTTCGTGCCCATAGGCCTCTCGCATGCTGCCTACCTCGCTTCCATGCCGGTTGAGACTGTGATCCCTGCGACCTCGACCGGAAGCCATATAGGAGTCGTGGGCGTGGACATTTCGAGAGACCGACGAGCTTCGGGAGCCATTAGAGTTACGATTCCGGGAAGAACGGGCGCGGATCGAGTTCGAGTCGTGGGAGGAGCGTGGTTTTGACTGAGGAATTTCCTGCGGGGAATGTGAGATCAGTAAATTTTCTTCTGCTGACAGTGCCCACGAGACTTCGTGTAGCTGCACCACACAATCCGCGAAAGGTCAAGCGTACCTCATAGCCAATCGGGACGGCATAATCCCATTGAGAGCCATCCGCAGCGCCAGATGTCAAGGCATCTGCAGAATAAGCAGCGGTAGCGACGCCCGCCATTGGGAGTCCGGAAGATTGTAGAAAAAAAAAAAAAAGGCCAGTCCAGCTGGAACCTGTTTTGAAAATAGGAGAGATCGTCACAGTTCGATAAGAGTAAGTCGGCTTGTGGTTAATGCTGGCCCGATCAAGCCATCCCAATCTCTAGCCGAAACCCGTCACGCACGATGGGAGCCGGGATGGAGAAACGGGGGCAAGTTTGGCGGTGGTAAGGGGGGGCAAAAGAGGAACCGCACACCGCAGTGGAGAGGACCCAAAGTAGTAAATTGTAAATACTCTGCAGGGGGGTGTTTTTGCGGTGGAGCAAACCCAAGGCAAACTCGCAGGGTCGTACGTGCCTCTCGCAGGTGGGCAAATTGTGGTCCCCCGTCGCGATCCACGGGTGAGGCCTGGGGCGCGGGAGATGGTTCCGTGGATGGAGAGAGAGAGTACTGGATCCCACGCTAACAATCACAATGCTGGGAGAGAAAACAGGGGATCGCGTCCGAGTCTTCAACCGGGGGAGTCGAGAAGTCTTTAAGTACTGTAATTCAGGGAGCCACGAGGGGTGTGGGTTTCGGTCAGAATAAGGAGGGGGAGTAGAGTAAAAAGAGCGCAGTAGGAAAGAGATAAAAGAACGGGGCAGACACGGGGGGAGAGAGAGGGAAAAAGAGAAGAAAAAGAAAAGAAAAGAAAAGACACACGATCTCCGAGAGAGAGAAAGAAAGAGAGGAAGAGGAAGAGGACAAACTTGGAACTAACGAAACTCGGCCCAAGTGGGAATAGCACGAGAGGTTTATAGGCCACAGTCCCCAGGCAATGATACGCAGGAGTGCGAATACGGTGTTATTCTCATATTGTAATAAGTATCTATCAAAGGGCTTTTGATGTTTACTGTATCTTATTCTTATACATATGCTCGCTCTCCCTCTGCCTATGTATACTCTCCCTCTTCCCTAGAGAAAATTCAAAAATCCAGCCCAGTCCCAGTGGACCGTGCGTGGAGAAGATGCCCCTGAACCATGCCGATCGCTACGAAATAGATCCCACTAAAAAAACGTAACGGGCGCCGTAGAATCATCACTAGTTCGCGTAACCCCCTACTGAACCTCGAGAATCGGAAGATTTGACCAAAAATCAAATTGATACAAGCTATATAGACTATAGACTGCGGATGCTGATAGATTCTGACAGATGCATTTATTGGGTCTGAGCGGGAGACTGCTCACACAAAGGCCCGCCGATCTCCCCCCCCCCCCCCCCCCCCCAGACTATATCTAGTAGAGTTCCCCGACAGGTGATACGTCCAAGCACCAATTCCAGTAAATAGCCAGGTCTATATTCATGCCAGTTCCCGATTTCCCCGCACCGTATGCACAAAATGGGGTATAGGTCAATTCACACTCTACAGCTTCTCGACCTTGTCCAACCGGTTCAGCGTGGCTTGCGCTTCCTTGATGAGGGCGCGGCGCGCATTTCGGACAGCCTCGTTGCCGTCAGGTTCAATCCCATCTGCCTTGAGCATGACCTGTGCGAGAATGATCTCGCTCAGCTTCTTATATTCAAAGTCCCGCTTCTTGGGCTCGGTGGGCGGGTCGGTCACGTATTCATCACAGAGGGGAATCAACTCCTGCTGGAGGTAGGCTGTCAAGACATTGACCTGTTCCAGCGGCGCGCGGAGATTTTTCAGGCTGGGAGCCGGGGATGGTGTGCCCGATCGACCCGAGGACGTGGGCCGCGGTGGTGCGAGCCTCGATGGTCCCTCTCGAGAAGGCGGCTGGAGGCCTTCGTGGCTATCATTTCTCTCGTTCTCGTAGTCGGAATCATCGCTCGGTGTGCTGGCGCCCACTTCCGAAACCACACAGAGCACTTCGGAGTGTTGCTTGAGCCCCTCGGTCTTGCATGTCCGTGTGTCATCCTTGAGCAGCTTGCCCTTGTACAACAATCTGACGCAGTTCAGTTGCTCTGCTCCCATCTTTGCAGCAGCCTCCTGGCGTAGGCCACCGACGGTCAACTCGCCATCGTCGATCGCATATGCGGGGAAATGCAGTGGGTAGATGGTCCCACGGTTTCGAAGACACAGAATGTCGGGTTCGGCATCTGCAGTGCCGCCATGGTGGCCACTGTATCGAGAGACATGAGAGGGGGATCGACGATGTCGTCGGGTCGGATATAGCTAAAGTCGTCGTCACGGACACGCGGGGCAGATGAGTAGTTGGGCGAGCGGCGCCACAGGTTGCGCCAGCTCATCACGATTAGGGAGAGCACACAGACAAGAACAGCCACACAGAGAGCAGTGGTCTGTTCGTCGGCGTCAAATGGGAGCGCTTGCGCCAGCGAGCGGAAGGGTGTGGGCAGGTAGGTCAGGAGCGGGTCCAATCGAGGACGGAGGGAGTGCAGGAACGGGGGGAAATGGTCGGTGACGTGGTCCAAATAGACTGCGCACTTTTCGCCCAAAGTGGAGTGAGCGAGAGGCGATGGCAGAAGAGTCATGGATTGAGAGAGCGGCAGCGAGGACAAGTGGTAGTGAGGTCATGCCCCCAAGCTGATCCCCAAGCAGGCAGATAAGGCGGAGAGCACCTTTTTTTTTTGCCATTTTTATTCTTGCGAGCAATTGTGTGCTCGTACCCTCCGATAGGCGGCGATGGCGTAGTTTGTCGTCCAAATTTCCCTCATTTTCCATGACCAGGCCTGGCTACATCAGATTCATCAAATGAGGAGTCAACGGGTGCCTTGTGTACCCCAGTGTTGCCTATAGTGGCTGCCAGAAATTTTACTGGCTGGTAAATTTAGATAAGCGCCAATTAGCCATGAATTGCCTCTATGGTCTAGTTGGTCATGACGCGGGTCTCATATCGTATGACGTCTCTGGTAACAGAGTTGAAATCCCGAGGTCTCCAGTTCGATCCTGGATGGGGGCATTCTTTTTATTTTATTTTTTTTATCTCCACTTAACTTAGTCCATCTCTAGCTCTATCTTGTCCATACGGAGCCACACTATTTTTTTTGGGGCCATGATTTTCACTTGATCCACTGGAGTATGCTTGGTCTCTTACTAGCGCTTTCATGAATGTCTTGACTTCATACACCTTGTATAGTACTTCAAGCCAGGTTTCTTTAATTATCGATCCATATTAGTGTTGCAGTTTAGATATTACTTTTGATTTATAATTTTTATTCCAATTGAATGTCCTTATCGTTATATCCTGCTGGTTGATACACCCCGATTCGACTGTCAGGGTTGTAATCTGGTACACATATACTAGACAGCAGCAAGTGCACCATGTGGTATCACAGCGTTCTTGTGATTTTCGCTGGTGAGAATCTAGGTCATATATAGAACCTGGAATGGGATTGACTCCATTTTAATTCCTTTTTTCTTGATTTCTTAGTGGGTACTGTGTCCACTAAATATGTCACCTCGACTTCACTCCATAGACTATTCAAATTAGACCATTTAGATACTAAGACCAAAATGGACCCAATTTCAACCCAAGAGCAACATAATGCATACGACAAGATCACAATAAGCACCTGTTAGCCAACAGCCTCCAGAGTGACTTCCATTTTTCCCTGATAAAATACCTTAGACCTGTTGGTTGATATTCGGTCAATCCAAATAGAAAATGAACAAACTTGAGGAATCAAGTGTTTTTATTGATAGACAAAACATATGAGCCCGACGTAGTAACACAAAATATAGGGGTTTTAGAGAGGCATTTTATAATAGAACCACTATTGCCTCAACAAGTAAAAGGTAGAGGATCTTCTCTTGAATGCACCTACAGGGTATAGGTATAGCTAGAATAAAACAAAAGAAAGATAAACATTAGAGGACATTTCAAGGAGGAGAGAAGAAAGAAAGAAAGACAGGAGGCTAGAGGCTAGTGGCCGAGTCCGAGACCTTGGCGTGTACCTCAAGAGATACCTTAGAATGCGTTTGCCGCTTCTGAGCTGGTGTCTCTATTGATCAATAACTGCGTTGCCATAGGCACAATACAACGTGCCACCCCTCCAATTTTGGTGTTCCATATCAAGCCAGTTGCATAGTAAGCTCTCGAGAATGGCATTCGAGTCTCCTTCGATTGTAGAACATGTCAGACCAATGGGGTCTGCTAGATATCCTCTATATACAGATCAGCATTATGGGTAAGGGCACACAAATATCGTCGCATGCCCTCCTTGTAAGGACAGAGAAAACTACAAAGAATAGCTCATCTCGGGCCTCAATATCAATTAGATTCTTGTGCAACACATTGACTGGCTGGCTTGTGTCCAATCAGAGCGGAGCTATTGCTAGACAGGTATTTCAGCCGTCAATATAAAACCCAACGACAAGCAGAAGCCGGCAATTTGTCCATCCAAGAGCGTTGATGCTGCGCCAGCACTATAGGTGGGCGGCAATCATGAAAAACCCAAGATGGCAAGGGCTGCAAGCCGGAAGGAATGACATTAAGTGTATTCTCATGAATCTGCGAGCAAAAACCCTTGGATATAGGGGCCTAGTGAGGGAAAAAGAAAAGCATTTTCAAAAAAAAAATTCTAGCAAGAAAAGCAAAAAAGCTTTTGAAAAGCCTTCCAGGGCCAAAAAGAACTGCCCCCATCCAGGATCGAACTGGAGACCTCGGGATTTCAACTCTGTTACCAGAGACGTCATGTGATGATATGAGACCCGCGTCATGACCAACTAGACCATAGAGGCAATAGATGGATGGGGCGGCGCAGAAAGTGCTCTCCAAGGGGAATGGGGCGATCAGAACCTTTGAGTATCACGTGATATCATATAGATATGCTACCTTTTCTGCCACAGGTGGATATAATTAGTATGGAGCAGAGAGGAAAGACTCAAGTACTGCTTTAAAGTCATTTGAATACTAACTTGTCGTAGGAGAGGTTGGCTGTGGGAAGGAGAAGGGAGGGAAATGGAGTCTTGTAAGGTGAAAGAAGCAGGTGACGGTGAAATATTTCTGCGTCAGACTTAAACCAAGTTTTTTACTCTAAAAGAATCATTCGAAGTGTTTTATCCGGCTTTTTGTTATATGAATAGCGATAGAAATACCAAATGCCCCAGCCGGGGCATTATCTAGACCAAGGAAACCATGGTATGTACAATCATCATCCTATATTACACTGTCCAGCAGCCAAAGAAGGAACAGACCCAAACACCACACAATGCAAAAGAAAGGGAGGAAAGAAAGGAAAGAGGGAACATAGTCTATAAATCAGCATTGGGTCCCACCTACCCCAGTCGCAACCGGCCAGGCACTGCCCGACCACCAAACAGTCTTGAGATACCTCCCTCTTCGGTGGTGGTGGTGTTGTCGCCAGACATCCAGCGCGGCAGCCGGAATGGCTCGCCTTGGAACCATTGTGGCGTGTTGGCAGTCTCGAAAGTGTTGCGCACGCGGTGTGCAAAAGACTGGAAAAAGTTTTCGTCTTCTTCATCGCCGTCGACAACCGTCGGTGTAGCTACTGTTCTCTGAGCAGGCCGCGGAGAGCGAGAGCCATCAGCAGCCGCGACACGTAGCCGGGATGATCCGGGGGAGTGTTCCTCACTGCGATCTGACGCCCAGGTTGAGCGGCCACCGCGAGAGGATACGGCCAGAGACCCAAAGCCGTTGAGCTCACGGTCGATGAGGTCGCGCCCCTCGCGCCAGCCGCCCAAGCCATACCCAGCCGGGTTGTTCTCCACGTCATTGTAGTCGTCCTCATCGGCGAGTCCGAATCCGAACACGTTCTTGATGCGGCCGTACAGGTTGAAAAGGGTGGCGCATACGGGCAGGAGGATAAAAATGGGGAAGATGAAATCAAATCCTGACCAGAGTGGCGTGAGGTTGATGAGTTGACCCAGGAAATCATAGAAGGTCGTGTTCCGGCGGAAGTCCTTGGGCAGGAAGGTCAAGAAGTTGTAGGCAATTGGCACGGTAAGCCGGGCCACCAGACCAGCGTACCAGCACGCGCTCTCGCCGTAGGTGTTGCGGCGGACGAGAGCCCGATTTCCCCACACCTTGACATCGTTGACACCCACAAGCGCAGCAGAACACATGTATAGCAGCCAGGCGGAGGCTGTGATCTGGCCTCCAAACCCGACGTCTTTTCGGTTTGGAACCACGGTCAAACTCACGGCGGACAACTGGGGCGCCAGAGATTTGATCAATTCCGACCACACAATGCACGCAGATGCTGCCGCAAAGAGCGCACCGAACGCGCGTCTCATAGCGGGAATGACGTTGGAGTGTAGTTGATACCGCAGGTAAGGGTTCAAAAACTTCACACGAGGAAGGAAAGATGATCGGCGAGGAGAATGACCAAAATCAAGCTTGTTCGAGGCGGAAGAGTTGATGATAGTCTGGAGGTCCGAGGCAGACTGAACCAGGCGATCCCACTCATCCACAAACCGAACTTTCATGTGCCGCGCACGCTGCAGCCGCCTCGTGAGATCGGCGAGATAGCGCTCTGTGATGATGGAGGGAACTGTGCCGGATGTCTCTGGGGATTCGAGGATAGGGGCGCGCACGTCGGATTGACTATTTGAGCCTTCTGAAAGATCCTCGATCCAGTCCTGGAAATCGCGGGCGGTGCCGGTTTTGCGCCGTTGCAACTGGGCGACTTGCGAGTTCAGGCTTTCCAATTCATTGACCGCATCCATCAGGCGATCATGGATCTTGGGCGCATGGACTTGGATTCTTCGCAACCGACCACTCACGTCGGCGTTCCGGAACAAGTTGCGGGGGATGGATACTAGGCCATGACCCATGAGGTAGATGGCGAGAACAAGACCCCACATGTACGCCAGTGCCATGACGAGACCCTTGATCGACGTGAGTCTGAACCCGTTGGAAATGGAGACGTAGACCAACCCCACTATCGCACAGCACAAAACAATCAATTGATACCGGGCGTTGGAGCGGAGGGAGTACATGAGGCGTGCTTTGGGTTCGCGGTACCCTGAGTCGACGTATTCGCCGAGCAAAGGAAGGATGGCCCTGACAAGACATGAAAATCAGTGACAGGTCCATCACAGCCATCAAAAAGTTGCCGAACACTTACCAAGTGAGGAAAAAAATCAGCCAGTAGGCGATCCGCCAACATACCAGGACCATTCGGTCCGGTAGCCATACAGCCCAGGGGCTAGTACCATCGCGAGAGCTGGATGCTAGGTCGATGGGAACGAGGAGAACGACGCTGGCGGGCAGCGCGAGCGCCAGAAAAACTGGCACAATCAGGTAGGCGGGGGTGGCGCGAAGGGTCAGAAATCGTCGCAGAAGCAGTAATACCAGCGCGGAGATAAAACAGAGGGCGAAGGCGAAGAAGACGTTGGAGCCTACAGAGACGGACGGCACGGAGACAGAAACGGACAACATGGTGACGAGGAAAAAGGAGAGGATTTTCAGCCGTTGTTCATGGCGAGGGGGTTGAAGCCACCAAAGAAAGAAAATCCCGTAGAGGAGAAAGAGAGAGAGAAAGTGAGTGAGTGAGTTGAGGCAGTGTGGCTGTCGCTACGCTATCTATGGAAACAGTTGACGTTTCCAGGAGGGCTGACTAAAGCTCTGACTACGCACCCGTGGACGACGTGCTGCGAAGTACACCAAGTACCGGGTACTTTGGATTGCGCGGACGCCACAATACCGAGTGGAGTACCCAGTACCACAATATTCTCAGCCAATTGGCCGGATCAGACGAAGACCCAAACGGCTTGCCGGACCTGATCAAAGTATGTCACAGTGTTTGAGATACATACACTTGTATGAGATTGAGGGTGTAGACCGTGGTTGGAGACATGATTGGATAAGTAGTGAATAGACTTATTGATCTTATATTCATGTACATCATACATCATGAATGAATAAACAATTCAAACAATCAACAATAGCAGACCAGTAAATAATAGGGTGAAGAGGGTTACACATTATGGCGAATGACCCCATGTATGACTCGTACCTTATTGTACATATTGTCAGTACGGATCTGGTGTCCGAGGTACGTGGTTGGCAGTGAAGAGTACCTTGCGTCACCAAGTACCCCAGGTACAATGTCGGGGCTGGTGTGACAGGCCCGTACCATACAGACACACCCGTCAATACCATTCATTCTTCTCATTCTTATTGATCTCCAGGGCTTTTGAACTGTTGCTCTTTAGCTATTCAGCTATTTCGCTATTCGACATTCGATTATTCTACTATCGCATTATTCAACTCTACCCAAGCTACTTTTTCCTTTGATCCCCATTTCTTCCCTCTCTTCATCGACTCTCCATTCTCCCCGGCCCACATCTCTTCCCTCCCCGATCTTGAGAATCCGTGCGCACCTTGGTGTCTCAAGATTCCAATACATTTCCAACCCTCTTCTTCTCTTTGATTTGATTCTCTCCTTCTTCTCAAATCCCCGACTCCTCCCTTGTGTTATCTTTCCGACGGGGGCCCCGTGCGACTCAGAAGCTGCAGCATCCCTGTCACGGATCCCATCCACCTGCGACTGCGCCCGTCGACCTCATTCGCTCTCAGGCCACAAGGCCTTCGTCAGCGAATTGGAATTCCAATCGCCGCTGGTGCCCGAACGCCTTGCTTTTCCGCCGCGTTGGTCGCTCGTTGCGCTCCTCCACCTTCCTGCCCTCCGTTTGGGCCGTTTTGAATTCATCCCCACCCACCCTGATCGACTCGAATCACTGCGGTTCCACACCAGCACCCGTTTCTTTTTTTTCTTCCCCTTCCCGCTGATCTGCGACATTCGGACGAATCCTGCCCTGCATTCGCCTCTCTTTTTTCTCTTCTGCTTTTTACTCCAATCCTCGCGACACCTGCCAGTTGCGCGAACGTGGCAAACCTAGCGAATGCTGACCACAACGAACTCTCTTCGCGGATTGCTTCCTGATCCCCATTGATGGGGTTTCTGTCATGAATCCTGCTCATTTCCCCAATCCTGGCGGGGCCATGCCCGGTGTGGTGAAACCGGGGATGCAGCCGCCGCCAAAGAACGAAAATGCCCAGGTCATTATGAACCATGTCGCTCAGGTGTTGTCGAGCCAGGGACCGTACGTGGGATGGAAGACAGAGGTTCCTATCAAAACTCGGGCGATGAATGTGTACCAGATGTGAGTGATATTTTCCTGATCGCTTTTCGCGTCTTCCTTCTGGCTAACTCTGGGCGCCCATATAGGATCACCTCTCTTCGTTTGATCCAACCTCGTATCGATCTCAACCAAGCTGCTCAAGCCGCGCTGAGCTTTGAGCACAAAGCATTCCAAAAGGCCACCGAGAGGGTTCGTCGCGTCCTTGTCACTTTATCCCCGAGACTTGAGACAAGCAGGTGCTGACCATGGGACACCGTCTTTTTCTTTTAGAATGATTACGATAAAGAATGCACGGAAAAACTCCTTCACATCAAAGACACTCGCCAAAGACAAGCCGCGGTCGCGTACCAAAGTGGAATCATGCCCCAGGCGGGCGCGGTGCCGAATCAAATCCAGGGCGGTTTCCCACAACAGATGAACCGGAACCTACAGACCTCACCCGTCCCTGGTCAGCCACAAATGGCGATGGGGATGAATGATCCGAACCAGCAGGCAGCAATGCAGCAGCGCCAACAACAGTCAATCCTCCAACAACAACAACAACAACAACAACAACGGGCTCAACAACGCCCGGGAAATGGCGTCCCGCTTCCTGATGATTTGAACACGCTCTCCGCCCAGGACCTCGACCATGTTTCTCGGTTGGCGAGCTCGATGTTGGCCAAAACCTCCCCGGAGGATATGGAAAAAATTAAGATGAATCTGTCCAACATGACACCAGAGCAGCGACAGTATTTGGCCCGAAAGAACATGGAGCCCATGACCTACTTTTTCCGCTCCCAGGCTCTCAACCAGTTGAGGAGACACCGTCGCGCCAGAATGGAAATGGGAGGTGCACCTAACGCCGGAGTCGAGCCTAATGGTACCATGATGGGAGATCCCATGATGAACCCCCAGCAGCGTCAAGTGTTTCAGAACATGATGAACCTCCAGCGCAACTCGGCGTTTTCTGGGAACCCTGGCCAGAATCTCGAAACCGCGTTCATCGGTAATGTGGAGAACATTCAAGGTCAGCAAGCGGACGGGTTGCGTTCGCAAGAAGCTGGTCAGCTTGTGGTCCCTGCCAGCTCATCGCAGATGAACCAGCAGCCATATCCGAACGGTCAAAACATGTTTCCGCAACAGATGGGTCAGAACGGCCAGGCCAACATGAATGGCGCCGGCGTCAACCCCCAAATGTTTAATCAGCAGCACCTTCAGAGCGGCTCAAATGTTCCCCAGGACCGAATGCAGTTCCAGACTCAACAGTCTCAAGCTGCACAAGCTCAAGCACGTTCCCAGGCGGCTCAGAAGGCCCAGATGGCGATGTCGGGACATGGTGGCCAGGTGAACCAGACACAGCCGCGGCTCACGCAGCAAAGCCCCGTCATGCCTATGCTTAATCAACCAATGGCTCCCGGTCAAATGTCTCCCGCCCAAGTTCCAGGTACAAACCGACCTCCGTCCCGACCTCCGAATATTGGCCAACACCCGGCGGGTCTCCAGGGTGTTTCGCAGCCGGGAGTACCAGGGCGACCGCAGATCCCTCAGGGTCTCCCGCAGTCGGTGCAGGAGCAACTCTCCCGGATGTCAAATGAGCAGCTGCAGGCTTTCCTGATGAATCAACGTCGTGCCGCGCTGGCGAACAATATGGCTCGAGCCAATGCGGCGCAGCAGCCTGCATCCATGCAACAAAACCCTTCTCAACCCGGTCAAGGCCAAGCAATGCTTAATGGACAGATGGCCAACAACCCCAGGCTGAGAAACTCCATGAGTCTACCACAGGGCATGACGGCAGGCGCACCGCCTCAGGGTCAGCCGCTCAACGGCCAGCAGTTGACTCCGCAGCAACGGCAGCAACGCCAGAATGAGTTCTACAAACTCCAGCTCCTGCGGCAGCACAACAACGGGATGGAGATGACACCGGAGCAGGGAAGGGATATGGACCGCATGGTCTTCCCGCCATCCATCTTGAACAGCAACCCGTCCTCGGTGCCTAAACACATCAAGACTTGGGGTCAACTCAAACAATGGGCTGCTCAGAACCCACAACTGTCGAATGGCGTGGACTTGCCAAAGCTGATGACACTTCAGAAACTTCATCTTGCCCAGATTCTCACTGCTCAATCGAAAGCCATCGGTGGTCAGGGTCCTGGTATTTCTCTACCCACCGGGCCCCAGGGCCAAATGGCGAACACGCAGGGCTTCCCAACTGGTCAACCCCAGCCTCCTGTCAATATGCCTGTGATGCGACCGATCACTGTCCAAGATATTCAAATGGCTCGTCAGAAGCTGGGCCCTCAATCACCTAATTTTACCGATGACCAGATTCGCGAGATCCTCCACCGAAACCGCCAAAAGCATCTCATGCAGGCAGCGCAGAACCGAGCAGCGCATCTCGATGGGAACCTGCAGCCCGCCCAGCAGAATCAACCAGGGCCACAGCCGCCCGTTTCTGCGCCGCAGCCTGGCCCGCAAACTCAACCGGGAGCTCCTTCCCAAGAGCCGCAGTTGCCTGCTGGCCCTCAAGCCTCGAATGCAAAGCCGCAAGTGGGTGCCGCCCCTAAGGGAGGCAAGGCTGCTCCTGGAAAACAAGCATCGAAGAAGCGGCCTCATGCAGACGAGACTGGAGAGACTCGAGCCACAACGACCCCTCAGCAGACGCAACCGACGGCTGTTCCCGGCGCTCCTACGACTGCTCCGCCCCGGCCAGCTCTCCCCTTCTCGCAGGAACAGCTTGCCGCGATGAGTCCCCAGCAACGACAGGCCGTTGAGGCTCACATACGGAAACAGCAGGGCCAGGCTCGTGGTCCCGTAATTAGCAGGGCGGCTGCGGAGGATGCCTGGAACAGGAACCTTCCGCCGCAGGTCATGGAGGTGTACAATGATATCTCAAAGAATGCGCCGCTTGCGCAGCCTATTCCTGTGTCTCCAGAGCAGAAGGCAGCCATGGCACAGCAACTGCGGGAAGCCTTGGATCTGCTTGGCCGCCTGGATGTCTTGGTGCAGTGGTTTGCGAAGGTTCAGGGCCAGGAGAAGAATGTCCGGAACCTGCTTGCGATGGTATGTTGTCCCATACTCGTCTTTCTCGCGATCATTTTAAATTCTAACTCTCATATCGTTCTAGCGCATTCAACTGATGCAACAATTTAAGCCTTCGCCAGAGTGGATTGTCAAGGATCACTTCACTGTCTCCTCTGATTACTTGAGCGGCGCCATTCTTTTCATCCGGAGGTTGTTCCAGCTGATGATCGGCCGTATGAGTCAACAGCAGAACCAACGGCCCAATGCTTCCCAGGCTCCAGTCCCTGCTGCACAGACCACGCAAGCAAGCATGCCGGCGTTGAACGCCACCAATCTCCAGCAGTTGCAGCAACAAGAAGAAGCCCTTCAACGGGCCCGACGTGCTTCTAGCCAGTCTGCCGCAGCAGTGGCACCTGCACCATTTGGGGCACCGTCTCCGCAGGGTGTGCCGCATGCGTATGGTCCAGGTGGGCTTGCACCTGAGATGCTGAAACTTCCTCCGCCCAAGAAGAGAAAGCAGTCACATGCCGGCCCCGGTGCTTCTCCTATGCAGGCCAGCGCTGCTCCGGCTAATGCGGCCAGATACAAGCAGGCAACGAACGAGGCGAAGGCTACGGCCGCAGCTCTGGCCGGTGCTTTCAAGTGTGGCGTTGTTGAGTGCCACCACCACTACCAGGGCTTCCCAACCCAGGCCGCGTTGGACCGACATGTTGAAGATAGTCACCAGCTGGAGGAAGAGATTATTGAGGATCCCCTTCAATACTATCTTGACAGTATCTCCATTGGCCTGGGCTTGACATCCGATACCTCCACCACCAAACAGGCTGCTACGTCTGGCCCTGCGCCTAGCAAGCTGGGTCCTGTGGCCTCTCCTGCTAAACAGGGGATGCCCACCCCTGCTACCACCAATACACCCATGGCTCGCGTTGCTAGCCAGCTCGGCACCAAGTCCGCGTCCCCAGCTGTGTCTGCGCAGCAGCTCACTCCCCGCCAACCGTCTAGCAAGGGTATCCAGCCTTCTCCTAGCAAGGACGTCAAGAAGGAAACCGACAAATCCGAGCTGCCCGGCAGCGAGGTTAAAGACCCCTGGGCAGACTGCCCTATGTCCTTGGAGGTCCTCCACGACACCTTCTCCCCGATCCTTGGACGTGACCCCACCTTCGATCTCATGGATGATTTCTTCATGCAACAGACCGACCAGTTTTTCCAAGACCAAGGAAAAGACACTCCTGACTCAGTGGACCTTGCGTTGGCGACGAAGACCCCGGAGCAAGACTCCAAGGAAGCTGTTATTGTGGATGACTTCTTACTTCCCTGGGACGAAGACGCTGCTGCGGAAACAGCGGCCTGGATGGCCATCCCACCCGAAATTCAGAATAACTCTGATGGCGAGATCCACGGGGTGCGAGTGGACTGGGATCTCCTCGAACGGCAGCAAAAGGAACTGAATCTTGACTCCGGCGTTCCGGTTATTCCCGCCCTGTGATGGGCTCCGATACCACGATTGTTTTTTCTTGCTTTAATGTTTCCAGATATTCATTTCGGCGTACATAGGATTCAGGAGCGATGCGTGTACACTACCCGTTGCGAGGGTCCTGCCTGGTTTTCTGCTTTTTCTTGTCTTTTTTTTTTTCCCCCTGCTTGAATGTTGTCCTTGAAGCTGGACCAGCGATGGCGTTGAAGGACAATGGACATTTCCGGAAGTGTATCAATCCAGAGTCAATTCCATGTGAATCGGATGTCAAGTGAGCCCCATAATTTTGTAATTCTGTAGTCTCCATAGTGAAGTATTTTGGGGACCACCCGAGAAGGTACCATACCACCCTGTGGGGCCTTGATGATGCTATCAGCTGCCTTGATAAGACCTCCGCTTTGTCTCCTCGCCCTCAATAGCCTTCTCTCTTCCTGTGCCTTTGGGCTCATCCCTCCTTCTTGGTCTCTGTGTATTTCTCTTTTCATAACCTATACTGGATCTTGTGTCTGCTTTCTCTATTTACCATGGCGAACACCGCCCTCATTCCCTTCCTGGTCACGATGATGCTCGTGACCGGGGTGTGCAACACCATTCTGAACAAGTACCAGGTAAGGCATACAGACCACTCGACTCGAAGATGAAAAAGCTTTCTTGCTAACATCTCAATCTTTCTTGTCTAGGATATGCAATGTGTTCGGAACTGCGACTCCCCCGACCGCAGTCAGTGGAAGCTGTTCGAACAGCCGGTCATTCAGACGTAGGTGTACACAGCCGACATCGATTTAAGGATGGATATGGATATATGGATACAATGGGCGAGGATGGTAGCTAACATTACCTATTTGTCTCTTTTGATTAATAGGGCGCAGATGTTCGTCGGTGAAATGGGCTGCTGGCTTGTGCTCGGGCTATCCATCCTGTACCGCCGGTACATCGCACCGCGTCTCTCCCGCGAGCCCGAGCCACTTCTCGCGGGCGGATATCGTCCTGTGAATGGCGAGGATGAGTCGTTCGAAGATGATGAAGACCACGCGGTTGACGGGCCCGAGGCCGCGCGCAGGGACGCCACCAAACCGTTCCCAGAAGACGACACCCGCATCCCGCTGCGCGGGTGGAGGATCTTGCTCCTGGCCGCGCCGTCCTGCTGCGACATTACAGGCACGACGCTTATGAACGTCGGGCTTCTTTTCGTGGCGGCGAGCATCTACCAGATGACGCGTGGGGCCCTTGTTTTGTTTGTCGGTCTGTTCAGCGTGCTCTTCCTCCGCCGCAAGCTCTATCTCTACCAATGGTCTGCGCTGTTCGTGGTCGTCCTCGGCGTGGCTCTGGTCGGTCTCGCTGGTGCACTCTTTGGTGGCGAGTCGGGCCATGACCTCACTCAGGAGGATGGTGCCTCGCGCATGATGCTGCGTGCACGTGCCATCGCCGGTACTCCGGAGGCAGTGCAGACGGTCGTCGGCGTGCTGCTTATCGCCGCCGCCCAGATCTTCACTGCCTCGCAGTTTGTTCTCGAGGAATGGATCCTGGAGAACTACGAAATGGAACCCATCCAGGTCGTGGGCTGGGAAGGCGTGTTCGGGTTCTCGGTCACTCTCGTCGGCATGATCATTTTGTATCTGGCTGTTGGGCGGACGGCGGCTGGCCGCTACGGCTACTTCGACATGAAAGAAGGATGGCATCAGATGATTAGCCACCGAGCCGTGGCTGTATCCAGTATTCTTATCATGATCAGCATTGGGTATGTATCTCTTTCCCTTTCCCCTCTATTATCTCCATACGACTCTATGTCTGCAACTGCTCACTGATCTCTTTCTCCAGTGGATTCAACTTCTTTGGCCTATCCGTCACCCGCTCTGTCTCTGCCACCTCTCGCAGCACCATCGACACCTGCCGCACGCTCTTCATCTGGCTGGTCTCCCTCGGCCTGGGCTGGGAGTCCTTCAAGTGGCTGCAAGTCGTGGGTTTTGCGCTCCTCGTTTACGGAACCTTCTTGTTCAATGACATCGTCCGCCCCCCGCTCAAAGCTTGCTTGCCCCGTGAACGGCGCGAGGGCGAACTACTGCTTCCCGAGGAGCCGATTGAGCATCTCTAAGCAAGGTTGCTTGATTTTTATAGAGCTTACCCGTTTCTTCTCTTTGGTCTTCTTTTGTTGGGGCTTGGGGTTCCTCAAACCTTTGCTCCTTGCTCTATCTCTCTCTCTCTCCCATATCTATCCTCGTGACCTTTGCATCTCATTGTTATCCTCTCAGTTCTGTTTCTGCTTCGTCTTGGGAGTAATATAGGTATACAGACCTTGATTCGGGATGGACTGAGTCCATATCGATGGGAATATAGAGCCCCTGCATTTTGCTAGGATGTTTTTCTTTGCATGTTGGCTTGTTTTATCTGGCTTTATCTGGTTTTTCGGTTAGGATGGAATATAAGTAGTCATAATCTGGGAAATGTAGCTACATCAGAATACCACCCTTTCTTTTTCTTTTCAACTATTCAAAATTAATTTATCAAGCAGGACTAGAGGTTGGGATATTGACCTTGACGCAAATAGTCCGGCCGTGGCTCTAAAAGCTGGATATCGGATATCTATGTCCGTGCCGAGTGAGGTAGAGGAGAATCCGCACGAACCACATTGCTCATACGCTGAAATTTTTCATCTGCTAATGAAGCATGTACAAGAGAAACCCCCCAGAAAGAGAAAGGAAAAAGGGAAACGCCAAAAAAAGGGAAAGAATAAGTCTAGGTAAGGGGATAGAGGTAGGGTAGGATCCAAATAAAGTGACTATGGGTGTATAAGAACGGGGAGTTTTGGCTGGTGTGTGTGTGGAACATGAGATAAAAAAAAACCATACTCGTCTGCTAGAGAACACTCGGTCTTCAAGGTCGCTCTACTTCGCTCCCGCTTACGGCTCAGTCCAGTCCACTTGGTCGGTGACGGGGTTTGCACCGCCCCGGCTGGATGTGATTCGGAGACGGAGGCGGAGTTTGGGCGGAAGGGCCTGCAGAGAAGAGATTCAGTTAGCAAATACTCGGGAAATGCGAGATGTGTATGAAAGACAACTTACTCCACTCACTGCCGTCACGCGCAGAGATTGTGTGCCCTCATCGCCCGCATCGAGATCAGCCTTGCTGATGGCGCTCAGCTGGAGCCGCTGGCTCTTCGGCACGGCAGCTTGCAAGCCAACATTGGAAAAGCGCTCAAAGTTGGACTCATTTCGGAAGCGAGCCAGGATCTGGACATTTCCACTGCCGCTGCGTTGCACCTGCAGGGTGAGCACGAGGCCATCCTTGTTGAGCGCAGTGTGTGCAGGTGCCGAGGCGGCAGCAGGGGCAGGCGAGGTGGATGGCGCGGGGCCTCCCATGCTACCGCCAAGAAGGTCCATGGAGGCAGAGGCCGGTTGTGCCGGCTGGGGAGATGGTGTAGCGCCATTTGAACCAAAGAGGTCCATGATATCGCTGGTGGTTGTGGGTTTCTGGGCCGAAGGCGCCGGGGCCGGCGACGACATGCCCGAATCTCCGCCAAGGATGTCTGCCAGCAGATCGGCTGTGTTGGATCCGTTCGCTGTCGGGCTGGTGACGGGCGCATCGGAACCACCCACCAGATCAAGGAGCAGGTCGTGCTCGGCAGGCTTGGCAACCTTGGTCGATTTGCCCCGGAGAATCTTGCTCTGGCGTTTCTTGGTCGGCGCACCCAGCACCCGCTGTTCCTCGCGGATCTCGGGAGGCGGCATGCGCTCGAGCACACCGCGGCGGATCTGGTCATACCCAAACAAGTTGGAGTATTCGACTGCACGCTGTTGAATCTCAACGCTCAAATCGGCAGTGCGGCCGGAGAGGAAGCGACGCAGGCGTTCAATCTGTGAGGGTTCAGACATGCGCACAGTAAGCTTCATGGACGCAGTAGTGATATATTCGATAACGATCTGAGAAGCATAGGTGCTGTTGAGGATGTTGGTAAAAAGATCGACGAGATCGCTTTCCCGGACTTCCTTGACCAATTCCTCTTCCTCGTACTGGCCACCTTGAAGTAGGCTGTCGGCATATTCACCGATCGTCCACGTCGCAGCCAGCGTGAGACCCTCCTGCGAGATATCCTCCTTCAAGGATGAATAAAGTTTCTGGACCGCGTAGGTCTGCAGTTCGGGGGTGGTTGCAATGAGGCGGACAAACGACGACAGAATCTGTTCCTTGACGTAGTTCCCAGCCAGCTTGAGAACCCGCAGGATCGTGTCCATGTGCCAACGCTTGTTAGGTGCAAAACGATCTGCTGCAATACCAATCTGCGTGGTCATCACCGGCTTGAATTCGTTGTCGGCCACCTCCAGGAAGGCCAGTAGTTCCCGCACCAGCACCCGGACATTGCTTTCATTGATCAACATGAAGCTGAGATCGAGCGCTCGCCGGCGAATGCTGATATCGGGATCCCGCAAACACTCCAGGATCGTGTTGCGATGTCTCTGGACCGCATTTGGTTCAATGGCGACGACCTTATTTAGCGTGTTCAATGCAACGTATCGGATATTGTTGTCCTTGTTGGACAGGAACTTTCCAAGGATGTTGACACCCAGCACTCTCAGACCCGAATCGGCTTCAATATCCAGGATCGTCAGTACGGCCTCATACAAAATGGAATTCCCAACGTTCTTCGACGAGTCGGTGTTGGTGGCCACCTGGGCCAAAATGTCGTTGATCAACTCGCTGGTCGCCACATCCCCTCGGCCCAGCACTCGCAAGAACCGCAGAATCTTCACCTGAAGGAAGGGATCCGTAATACCGGACACATCGTGTTCGGGTGCATATCCAGAGGATGTCAGGCCCTTCAAGGCGCGGACCAGACCTCCCGCCATCGGACGGAACATCTCGATCACACCCTCGGGACCTTCCTCCTCTTCCTCCGCTTCGCACAAGTCAATCGCCAGGGTCAGTCCACACATCAGAACACCATGGTTTCGATCATTCAACAGTATTTTGGTCTTCTCCATGAAGTGTTCGTAAAGATCCGGGACTTTGCGACATATCCGCATAGCACAGATGGCGGCTTTTCGACGAATGTAAGGGTTGGCCGTTGACATGAGCGTTTCTACTTCGGGGAAAAGATCACGCGACATTTCTATGGAGGCGATATTGCCAAGGGCGCAGAGGGCGAGACCGACGATATACTGGTTGGAGTGGTTGAGATCACTGCGTCCGTCAGCACGTATTCTCTCCTGTCCAGAACTGCCACAACCAACTTTTTGAGCGAATTGGTCACGAGTGTTAACACCTCCTGGTTTTCGTCGAGCAGCAGCATGGTCCCCAGGTACCCCAGGCGCTTGTCGGCGAACCGGTGCGAAGCTAGTAATTTCAGACATTCGATTTGGCCGAAATGAGTCCGTTCGCCGAGCGTAAATAGATATAGCAGCTTTGCTACATTGTTCCTCCTGCAGATATGCATTAGACGCTTGACAGGTGTGTGTCAATGGGAAAAGCTGCGGGGACTAACCGGATGCCGGAGTCGTGGCTCTCTTCTCGAAACGATGCTCGAATGGCGGCGCTTTCTTTCTGGATAACTGCTCGCTCGTCGGCGATGGTTTTGGCAGATCGGACATTCCGAATGAATTGCTTGACTGTTGATTCGAGGGGTGATCAGTCTCGAACTTCAGGGGACGATGAGGGGCGGCGGGCAGCACTTACGGGAAGCCATGGTGGCCACGACCCCCGACGGGGTGAGGAGGGCGAAAGGTCAATAGGGGAAGAATAGGGAGGGCTGAGGGAGAAGGCCCGCAGGATGGCTAGCACTGATGAAGACCTCTGGAGCACAATGTAATCATGTCTGGACGGGCCTCATTTTGCTTGGGGATGTTTCGACCTGGCTTCTTGGCGTGGGTGTGGCACTAGTCCCAGTGTGGTCTAGTGCGTATTGCGGTGTGTACCTCATCACATGATCATGACTTTGGGCCTGAGGCATTAGTTTTCACCTCAGGCAGAACTAGGCTTCAGAATTCTGGTATATGCTGTTGAGCTGCCCCAACCCGGTGGTCTGAACATAGAACCTACAGATCTTGCTAAATATGAGGGAAAATGATATTTTTCTTGCTTTGATTGGGTATTGGATGCATATAGAGTGACAGGGTGGGCATGACCCTGTATGTACATTCGGTAGTTAAGGCTGACCGTTGACGTAGTGCCAGGCCCCATTGTTTTCTTGGGTTCGGAGACTCGACCTACATCCCCCTCATAAAACCACCGTCGCTCAACGGTGGGATTGTGTCTTTGTTTGTGAATTCAACTCGTCGGATTTCGATGTCAAAATTTCTTATTCTTGCACTTGCATCCTCTCCCCAGGATGTCTAGCGCCGTTGCCCAGAATGCTTCAGCTGTACGGCCGCGCGCCGCCCCCATTCAAGTCGACTCCAAAGCAGAGAAGACTCTTGCTCCCCCGGTGGGAAAGCTTGCTCTAGATACAAGGTAGGGTGTTGATCTGGCAATTTTAATGTTTTATGTGCAATGGCTCATGCGATGGCGAAATGTAGTGGCCGGTCCACCCCAGTCCCCGAAGATGCACCCCCCTCAGCGCATTCGATCTCGACAGCCAGAAAGCAGGTGCGCGCACGCAACCGCCTGTTCTATACCATTGACTATGTGCCCCGTGTGTCGCACTTTGATCCTGACAGCGACTACCATAATTTCCGGGGTTTCTTCATTCTCTTCTGGATCGGCCTGGCCATCATGGTGGTGACCACGGCGCTGCGCAATATTAAGGATACCGGCTATCCGCTGCGGGTGTGGGTGTGGAGCCTGCTGACAGCCAATGTGTATGAGATGGCACTCAGTGATTTGGCCATGGTTGTGACCTCGGGGCTCGTCTTGCCTCTGCACCGACTGTACCGGAGCGGGCCACGCTGGTTGCAGTGGTCCCGCGGGGGCATGGTGGTGCAAAGTATCAGCGAGGCTCTGTGGTTGTTTTTATGGATCAAGTAAGTTTGGGCTGTCTTGATTGGAAATTGTTTAATCTTGCTGACCTTCGGGAAAACAATAGCTGGCCGTTCATGCGCCTTTGGACCTGGACTGCCCAGGTGTTTTTCACTCTCCACACTTTGACGATCTTGATGAAGCTTCATTCTTATGCCTTTTACAATGGACACCTGAGTGAAACTGAGCGTCGTCTTGCTGGTCTCGACAAGCCTGGTCCAGTGTCGCCGGAGTCCCCTGTTGCCGTTCGATACCCGGAACCCCACCGACGCCGGCCGTCCATGAAGCTGCAGCACGAACCCGACACCCCGACTGAACCATTGCTCCGGCTGCGCGAGGATCTAGCTACTGAGCTGACCTCGCCTCTGGGCAACATCTCGTACCCGCAGAATCTTAATGTACGGAATTACATTGACTACCTCTTCTGCCCGACACTTTGCTACGAGTTGGAATACCCGCGACGACAAGAACGACGTTGGGCCGAAATTACATACAAGGCCATGGCTGTGTTTGGGTGTATCTTCTTGTTGACCCTGACGAGCGAGGAATTCATCGTCCCCGTCCTGAGCGAGGCCAACGCCCAGCTGGGGCTCTTTTCCAGCACGGCAGACAAAGCGCTCATCCTGGCTGAGACCATCAGCATGCTCCTGTTCCCGTTCATGATCACATTTTTGTTGGTGTTCCTGGTCATTTTCGAATACGTGCTGGGCGCGTTTGCGGAGCTGACTCGTTTCGCTGATCGCCACTTTTACTCGGACTGGTGGAACTCGTGTGACTGGTACGTTGTAGGACGATGGGATATGCCACTTCTTTGATTGATCAATACTGACATTTATGTTATTGCAGGCTCGAGTTCTCCCGCGAATGGAATGTTCCCGTCCACCACTTTCTGTTCCGTCACGTCTATTTTCCCTCGCGGTCCCGCTTTTCTCAACCCGTGGCCATGCTCATTACATTCTTGGTGAGCTCGGTCTTCCATGAACTGGTCATGAGTTGTATCACCAAGAAGCTGCGCGGCTATGGGTTCCTGGCCATGATGCTGCAGCTGCCCATAGTTGCGGTGCAGAAGTCTCGATTTTTCCGGGGACGGACCACTCTCAATGTAAGTTGGCCTCCCCCAGTCCCCAGTTGTCGGATGTTTTCCTGATATTTATTAGAATATCTTCTTTTGGTTTTCAATGATTCTGGGTTTGTCGATGGTAAGTGAGAGTCCTTCAGCGACGGGGTTTGAACTTGATTCTAACGAGTCATTTTCTACAGATGTGCGTATTCTATGTGCTGGTTTAAAGACATAGAATCCATGGGACCGCCCCCTGAATAGATATATGACCGGGGGGGGGCGCAAGAAATCAGGGATGAATAGGGTTACAGGCCGCAAGAGAGCAATGCAATATCCACAGCGTACAATGTATATAGATGCAGTGTCCAGCTTGTACAGAATCGTGATATTATTCCCTCAAAATCAGAAGCGGTTTTAAGAGTGGAATTATTCACAATAGTCCTTGGTTCTGTAAAACCAACCAAGTGGGTACGAATCGAGTCAGTGTTGCCCCCCTCCCCCTGGACGAATTGTGTAGGGCAGCCACAAGGCTATTGCAGGATTTCGGCCCATTTGCCCGGCTCACATTGAGTTTCTCCTCTCCGAGATACTGTGCATCCCTAGGTGTATGCGCCAGTATAAGTAATTACCTTCTAGTGAAATACAGTACGGGTCGATCACGGCTTGGCTGAATACTGGGTGAAGTAGTGATCCGAGCCTGAAGAGTAGCAGAGTCAATAACCGCCATCCAAGCTCTCTCTATCCTGGAAGCAGAATTATATCGGACGGGTTCCTACCAGTACTAGGTGATATACTGGGGGCTATCTCAGACACGGCTTTGCTTCCTTAGATAGTCCCAGGGGCCCCAAACAGGCAAAAAGCGACTCGTAGAAGGATCAGGATTAGACTGAATACTGTATACCTGTTGCCCGAGTGGCTCGAAACATGAAATACAATACTGTATTCTAAGATAGGGGAGAGTAGCAGAGTAGCCATGGTTCAATAAGAAATTATGTGTTCAAAATGGGATGGAATTTATTTCTTCCCTTTTAAAAAGAAAAAGAAAAAGAATGAGGGTCCTCACACTGGCTCCTCTCTATCTTTGCTATCCTCTCCTTTTATTTGCCTCCCCTGCTTTCTCTGAAATTACCAAGAGAGGTGTAACGATTGACGAGTCCTGCACGACGCCCGCACGAAATACACGCCGCTCCAATTCATTCAGAGATACCACCAGGATCACCAGACATGCCGTGCACTCGCTGGACTGGTATTTGGATAACTGGGACAGGAAAGGGATAGACCAAGACCGGCGCCGTACTCTTGAGGGGGGTCTTGCGGCGATGTTTGGACAGCGTGCTATCCTGGGGTCATCGCACGATGAGGACAGTGTTAAGGATCGATTGGATGATATGGCAGGTATTCATATCTGTTTTTTTTTCCTTTCTTCTTCTTCCTCTTCTCCTTTTATTCTTCTTCTCTTCTAATATTGGTCTTTCCATAGAAAAATTCGACAAAGTATTCACCTACACAAAGTCCGACATCCACATCACCTGCAACCCTAACTGGGCCAACGAAACCCACGACGGCAAAACATACGACGAAGACCAACAAAAAAAGAACAAGCGCGCACCCAAGTTCTGGCGCTGGGACACCATCCACGAGCGCTGGCGCCAGTTCGCCGTCGCCAATCTCTGCGCCGACCAGCTGGGCTTCACCGACCACCACAGGAGGCTGTCGCCGCCGGATGTTCTCACGCTCTGTCCGGACCTGTGGGATAAGACAGATGCGGCGAAGGAGCTGCGGAACTGGCGCGATGAGATTACACGGTGGGCAGTCTGCCAGCGCGCGGGAGTGCATTTGAATAAGTTGATTGAGTCGGTGACTTTTACTTTTTGCATGAGATGTTCCATACGACCTGGGTTGGGGAGTGTATGTTCCCTCTCTCTCTCTCTCTCTCTCTCTCTCTTCTTGTTTTTCTTGGTTTTGACAAAGACTAACATCTCATACTATCTTACAGTAGAAGACAGAAGAGTCCAAGGAAAACCCGCCTACGAATATGCCGACGTCAAAAGGCTGCTCGCGACAGCCGCCATCCAGACCTTAAGCAATGTCAACAACTATGTATATCTTGCCGTGGGTATGTATATCCCTTATATCCCTTATGGTATTAGAACAATACTTTTGTCTACCCACACACACACACACACACACCTCTCTCTCTCTCTCTCTCTAACTTCAATCTAACAATATCTTGCATCTACAGGACTATGGTTCGCAGACGCCGGCTGGACCGTCAACTGGGACTCGGGCTGGATGACCCCGCCAACAGGGTGTGATGACGGCAGAGCCTCTTTGCGCCAGATTCCGCGAGAGTGTCTGATGAGGGATGCGAAGAAAGCAAGTGAACATCCTAGTAAGGCTTGTTTCTGTGAGATCAAGAAGATATAGATGTATAGATATAGATATAACGGGGTTGAGGGGGTTGAGGGGATTACTTTGGGGAGGATGTAATGACTCAAGATATGTCAAGAAAGAGGGGGGAGTGATCGTTGGTTTTCATTGTATATAGTGCTAGAAGTAGTATACCATACTTCATCAGAATACTTGGGCTATTGAGGGCATGAAGAGTCGGGTAGTAGAAGACTGTAGATGTGTAATAGGGCTGAATATACCTGTATATACCAGTCATATGCGTAGTGCTGATCATTTATACAGCTACTAAAAGAACACGCAAAAGACTTGAGCAGTAAGCAGTGTAGAGCTATACCAAACTTAGCAGTATTCAGCTACTATAGTTAGTTGGAAGTAGTCGGATATATTGGAATATCAGGTAGACACCAGTCTGCATGCGCCACATTGAAACAAAGAAAAAACACACAGACCAAGACCGTCCCAATGCTTAGCGGGAATTGGATGTCCCTTGAAATACGAAACTCTTGACTAAGAGTTTCATGATAAACAAAAAAAGGCCACTATGGCGAGAGCCTTTATGAGAAAAGGCGTTAGGTGGTAACTGCGAGTAACAGCCGCACAAGTATTGACAAGAAGGAATGTCGATGAAGATGGCAAAATGATAAAAAAGACAAGAAAAAAAAAACACAAATAGAAAGAAATCATAGGAAATGCACATGCGTAAGAGCTGTCGTGGAAGAAGGTCGTAAATCAAGCATGGGCTGACTGGCGTCGGCCCACAGGAGGATGGTGGTAGTCGTCGTAATAATAGCGCGAGCGCCCTGGCGCAATGGTGGCATCGCCCGGCCGGATCTCGCGAGTGTATTTAACATCTTGGTCCTTGACGCGCGTCGTATATTCCACATCCCCGTGAGCGGGCCGTGACGGCCGCGAGGGCCGGACTTCGACCCGGGGAGCTGATTCGGGGATGTACGTAGTGTAGCTGCTGCCCCGCTTGGGGTGCGGCATCCGTGCGGATGAAGCACTGCGTTCAACGCGGTCGGGCGATGTTGACCCGCGGTACTTGGACGACTTGGACAAGAGAGGTTCGATCACATGGGCTTCGGGCTCGGTCACAATCTTATAGCGAGACGTCTTGGGGGAATTGCCTCGCGGGGGTGGCATCTCGGGTGTGCTGGGGCTCGAATACCCGGAATCGTTCCGCTCCCGCAATTTCGACGGCCGCGGCGGGATGGGTTCGCGGGACATGTTGTAGAGATCTGGGTCTGGGCGACTGGATCCCTCACGCTTGGGCCGGGTAAAGCCTGATGCGGACGTGGTGGCGGATCGCGAAGACAAGAACGCTGGCCGGACGAGGTTCTTGAGGCTGGGCGACGTCGTTGCGGTGGGCATCTTGGGTGGTTTCTCGTAGTTGCGCGACTCCAGATGCTCGTAGGAATCATTGCGGGATGAGGAGCGATGTCGGGTCGAGCGGGTGGACCGTCCCGAGCGCCGTGAAGCCGACGACTCTGGTTCCGTCGACTCGTAACCACGGTGCCGGGGTGGGGACCGAGACAGCCGTCGTCGGCGATCAACATCGAATTTGGAACGCTCAATGTAATCTTCCGCGTCGGCACGCATGTTGTTGAGTTTGGATTTCAGCTGGTCTCCGTAGTCATCGTCGAAGCGGCGTTCGCGTCGACGAGTAAACTCCGCGGGACGGGATCGCAACTCGCGTTCTCGCCGGGATGCCGAGGGCCGTTTCGGGAGATCATAGGCAGAATCACTCGAGTCAGAGCCGTCGTCGCTGGACTCTTCATACGGACCGAAACGGTCGAACTTCTCCGACGCCTGTCGCCGGCGCTCCTTGTCGCGGTGTTTGGCACGGTCGGAATGTGTCGCTTTGGCCGTTTCACGGGCCAATTCCTTCGCAGCGCGGTAGCTGCTGGTCGGCGCCCGGGGTTTCTTCTTTTCCTCGGCGGCTCTGGGCTTGGGTCGCATGCCAAACTCGTCGAATTTGCGGGACATGGGACGGGGCGAATCGGTGAAGCGCATGGCTTCATCCAAAAAGACCTCGGCGGGCACTCGTTCCTCCACGATTCGGCCTTCGCGATATTCACGGGCACTGGAACCACTCCCTCGCGGGGATGAATACGCCGAGTCGGCCCGCCTGCGTTCCAGAAGCTCGCGTTTCAACTCGGCCAGTTTGGCTTGTTGATCGTATCGGTTTCGTCGCGTGTCATCCGACAGCAGTTCATAGGCCTGCTGGACTTTTTGGAACTCATCCTGGGCCACATTCCGTTGCGACTCATCTTGGATCTTGTCGGGATGGCATTTCAGGACCCGTTTGCGATGGGCGGCTCGGATCTCGGACAGGGGGGCTTCTTTAGAAACACCGAGGACGGCATATGGATCGATATCGGGGGGTGATGACATGGTCACGGACAGGGTTAAACAGGGAATTGAATTGAGGGGAGTGAGAGACGGAAAGAAGAGGGGGCAAACAAGCGGTGGAGCGAGCGACGTATACGGAATGCCACGACCTGACGTTGGGTGACAGGATCCCAACCACACCGATGCATCCAGAAGGGTCTCGATGGATTGAGGCGGAAGATGTGAGAATTGAGAGAGAAAGAGAGAGAGAGAAGGAAATAGGAGAATAAGGATGGGCAAAGAGGCAAATTGACAGGGGAGCAGGAAGTGTCGGCCCCAAGCCCAGATCAGCGCATGGCAGTAAGGCAAAACCGAGTGGCGCGCTTAGTCAAGGTGAGAGAATTAGAGGAAATAAGTCAATAAAGAATAAGTAAGAAATAGTAAGAAAGAAGTAAGAAGTAAGAAAAGAAATGAAATCATGGCGATGCCCAATACTAATAACCTGGTATAGCCCTCTTCTATATTCCCCCATTCTGACTGGCTTTGTGTTTGAGATGGCTTTTTTCTTTTTCTTTTTCTCCTTTTCTCTTTTTCTCTTCTTCCCTTTGATTTGTCTCGAACTCTTCTCTCTCTGCAATCCACAGGCATTCCAGGTCCCATCCCCCCCCCGCATAAGTGGTGTCTCTTGGGAAGTGATTCGCCCACAGCCCTGCCTCTTTGCACGTCTGATACTCCATGGAGTAGCCCGAATTATGCTACGTTCGCCAATCAGCAACGCTAAACTGCGCTTTTTTTTTTTTCCAGATGCCTCACTAATACTTGCCTAACGAGGTAATTAGTGATTTTTCTCCCCCATGTTCGCCCTGTCCAAGGCTCGCCTTGGGCGCCCGATTGGATTTCTTTTCTTATGGCCCATGGATCCAGCGGGCTTCCCGACCGTTCCGTACTTTATTCCTACCTAAGTAATACACAACTGTGGCTGAGGCATGAAGAAAAAAAAAAAAAAAAACCACTATATATAGAGCAAGGCCACCGCATTTTTTTACTCAGACGATCCTAGGCGATTCGGGAGAAAAATGTGAAATAGAAGACAAAACCGATTCTTCGGATCTTTCGCACTGCCCAGTCCAGCTGGCATTCTGTCCCACCGAGAGACCCATGAGAGACCCATGATCCAACGTGTCCGCCACTCTCTGATAGTCACAGTCATTTGGACCCGGGGCTGCGGTCCGCGCGGCCAGAGGGGTTTTCCCATCCTTTCTCTTTTTCTTCTTTTTCTTCTTTTCTAGATTTCTAGAAAATCAAAAAAAAGAGAAAATTAGAATTATTTCACTATTGATTCTACTTGTCATTTGACTACCGCCCACAAGTGTGATAGTGATACAGTCGACAGAAGTATACTCCTTAGGGTATAGACTATAGACTTTGGAGTATCCCCAAGGAGATCCCTTTCAATCCCACCCAGACCACCCTAACTTGACCCATAACCCTCCGGTCCCATCAGCGTTGCCGGCCATGTTGCACACCTTTGAAACAGAGGCCACACCTTGTTCATTGGATTAACCCTAGAGCCAGAATGCCAGGTCGGTGAATACAGGATTGGATATGATGGAAAGACAATAAATAAATCGAACAGTCGACACTGTCGCAGATGTCAGCACCCACTCTTTACTAGCAATCGAGTGGCTTTCGGTCTCGGAACACATGAATCGTCACCAATCCAAGTCTCCTGTTCCACTGACCTAGGTAAAGATTCCCCTCTTTTCTCGAACGGCAGTTGTGTGAAGACGTCCGCGTGGGTAAATGCAACACCCGAATCCCCCTGAAGAAAAGAAAATAAATAAACGGGATCGTCTTTGCATGGTCACACATGCGTCAGAAAGAGGGTGGGAGGGCCAGGGACTGGTTGGGTCATGGATTATCGCCCTCCACACAACCGGCCCAGGATCCACTCAGCGTGGGGGAGCAAGCGCCGAACAGAACCAAAAAATAATAAAATAAAGGAGGGAAAGAAGACGGGCAAATTCGGGAAACCCTTGGCGATCTTGCAGATGACGGCCTCGAATCTTTTTTCTTTTTACCGGTGAAGGCTCCAGTGGATCTCTGCTCTTGCAAACAGGTGATATCAATAGTTTCAGATGGGCCCCTGCATTGCATTTGCGGGGTATCCAGGGAGATAAAGCGATGATCGGAAGTGTTACGTAGGATTCGTGCAGATTTGGCTGATTGCCTGTGATTTCGTACCCGAGGGACTGAGATAATACCTCTATACTCGGATTTATCAAATGTATACAAGCATCACTCGAGGCTGTCAGCCCACTGGTCGAATGATGTAAGCCCTGCTAAAGGCTGACAGCATTCGATGGTATCGATGCACCAAAGCGCCCAACCATAAGCTTCCGCAGGGTCAAAGCTCTTCGCAGAACAGTGGATATCACGGTGGGGGGGCTGTCGGGCCTCAAGCCACAACGCATAGCATGACACCATGTACAATTACCATGTGTCGATCGATTTCCTGACAGGAAAGAAAAGCTTCTGATCACTATACCGAGTCACAGACGCACTGCAAACCGCCTTTCCGCGTGGTCAGCCTCCCACACCGGAAGCTCCAGGTCCACGTCGATCGGCGCGTGGAATCGTTTGCCTCCGCGGTGCGGCCAGCTGGTAGCCATGATGGCCGCGTTGACAATGCAGGACTCCCGTCGCAGCGTTTGCAGGGCGTGACCACCCCGACCATGGTTACCTGCGCTCAGGGACGGGGCAACTATCGGAGATCGTTGACTTGCCGTTTCAGGCACCGTACCCGCAGATGACCCGCGTGAGGCTGATGACTTCGATTCAGTCATCGACACCCCATGCATCGCTTGTCCAGACGCTGCTGCCCCCGTTTCCCAGTCAGATCGACCAAGCTCTGTTTCTTGCTGCCCACGGGCGGCAGCACGCCTCGAGTAATGACACCGTCGACGACGACGCAATCCGCCGTGGTGGCTCCGGTCTCTGGAGGTGCCGGTTGCCAGCGGACTCTTTCATATCCTCGTCCCTCATGCACATGGCCGCAAACAGCTAACAGCGGCCTAATCTGACTTAAATTTTGCCGCAACGCTGCACACCCCACGGCCATTCCGCTCGGCTTCTGGTCACAGTGGCCCTATGGTGGCGTATGCGTTACGACAATGTCGGTGTCGAGGGGGATCTGGCTCCACAGCGCAGCTGCATCCCTCGACCAATTCCCATGAAACTGGGCATACGGCGACCCAAAGACTTGAAAACACGTCTGTGGACCGTCTGCTCGGATCAGATGAACCAGGGCTGACTGTGTCGAAGCAAGATAATTGAAGGTGAGGCTCCGGTGACGATTTCTATGTATTGCTGAGGGTCTTATAGATGCTGCCCATGGAAGCTCTGCCCGTGCTTGGCATGGAAGGCCTCGGCCAGGGTGACATCGTGGTTTCCTATGGAAAAGTGGTTAGGGAACTTGTCCTCAACCAATTCAAGGACACCCGCAGCCCAATCTTTTCCCGAAGCCGAGGATTCGTCAGGTATTGGTTGTGGATAAGGAAACTGACCACTAACAATGATTTTGACTCCAAAGTCGGCCTGGGCGATCCATTCCATCGTCCTATGGAGTTCTGCCATGCTTCCATTGTTAGTCAAGCCCTCCGCATGGATCAGGACATCCCCTGCTGGGAGGCTGAATCCTGCTTGCGACGGCGTCTAGCCATGGGTATCGGAGACGCAGACGAAGCGTGTTTTTCGACGCATGGTTTGAAGACGGGCTCTCTCCTGCTTCAAGTTCCAGAGTGGATTGTAATCGAGACTATGAAGTGCCGCCGATACCCAGTAGCGGCGTAGCCAGCGCGAGCGAATGGAGTGCCTCGTGACTCATGAGTGACAAAAAGATGGTATTGCTTGCAGAAGGAAAAAGCCAGGGAAGGATCAGAGATACTTGTATCCTTCAGATGTATCTGTCCGAGAGACAATAGGATTAGTCATCGGGCCGTTGATCCGATGTTATTAGATGCGATCAAGGCTGTTGATTTGGGGTGTGTATAGACGACGGGCCAACCCAGGGTGATCCAAACCAACACTTATCTTTCTAGAAGTCAGGATCGCAGCCCTAGCGGCATGCCCTAGGACCCAGGGACTCCAATCGTCGTGGGCGCACAATTGGCGGGTCGACCAGAACGGCGATTACCTCAGCCACCAACCCACGTGACACTTCCATATCTGATTGGCCAGGCTTAGGGCTGCGGCCCTTACGGTTAACCCGCACAACGCAGACCGCTCGCTTAGCCCCTTCAACTCCGACTTCGTTGTGTGCGACCTGACACCAACGACAACCACCGCCGACAACATCCAACCCAAGGGACATTTCCTTTTCACACGGTGACAGAGCAGGATGTCCTCCTTCGAATCAGTGGTACGTTTGTGGTTTCTTTCTGGTCGCTCCCGATCTCAACATTCCCCGACCCTCATATCTTCAATTTGTGCAATCGGGCTGACTGGATATCGCTTGAATAGGTCGTCATCGACGGCAAGGGACACCTCCTGGGTCGCCTGGCCAGCACTGTTGCCAAGCAGCTGCTCAACGGCCAGAAGATCGTCGTTGTGAGATGTGAGGCTCTCAACATCTCCGGCGAGTTCTTCCGTGCGAAGCGTACGTTCTACCCCGGTCTTGATCTTTTATTGTTTTATTCCCCAGTGTGCGATGGAAATGGGAGAAAGAGGCGCAATGCGAGATGCGATATTGGAGGACGATGTTTTTATGCAGCAGAACCCAGCAACTGACTTGATACCCGACCTACAGTCAAGTACCACGCCTACCTTCGCAAGATGACTCGTTTCAACCCCACTCGTGGTGGTCCCTTCCACTTCCGCGCTCCTTCCCGCATCTTCTACAAGGCTGTCCGCGGCATGATTCCCCACAAGACCGCCCGCGGTGCCGCTGCCATGGAGCGCCTCAAGGTCTTCGAGGGTGTCCCTCCCCCCTACGACCGCAAGAAGCGCGTCGTTGTTCCCCAGGCCCTGCGTGTCCTGCGTCTGCGCCCCGGCCGCAAGTATTGCACCGTCGGCCGTCTCAGCCACGAGGTCGGCTGGAAGTACCAGGACGTTGTCGCTAGGTATGTACCTCATCGTGGGGGTTGTCCCCAGTGCGAAACATGATGTGAGATGTGATATGGAAACTAACGGGTGTTCTCTTCCACAGACTCGAGGAGCGGAGGAAGGTCAAGAGCAAGGCATACTACGAGCGCAAGAAGGCCGCTCGCCGCAACCTCGCCAAGGCGGAGCAGGGTGCGAGCGTTGACAGCAAGACCAAGAGCCAGCTTGCTCAGTACGGCTACTAGATACCTGATAGCGCAGCCGGTTGTTGTGTCGAGTGATGGATCTGGGTTGGGATCGCGGACGGTTTTCTTTCAGCGAATTTGAACGGCAAGCCGGATCGACCTTTTTCTATGTGGCCTGGTCTTCCCCTCCTTTTTGCCCTCTCATGAATCCCATAACCCTTCGCTGTTGTGATGCACATGAAAGTCCAAAAAAAGGGGAGGACTGGGTTTCTTCGGGATTCTCAAAAGCAGAAAAGACGGAGTCTTTTGGGATGAAAGGTTGTTCAAAATAGCTGGCCGTTGACTCGCGCCGTGGCGGTTTAATCCAAAACAACAATTTCCAAGAGTTCAACATGATCTTATGATGAGGTTCTTTTTTTTTCTTTCCACACGTTCCAGGATGTCCACGTAGGTGTCCGTTGCCACTCCAGTAGTTTTCGAATAACTGCAACTATGGTTTATGCCTCTATGGAATGACCATGTGTATTTTGCATGGCTATTCAAATTCAACATTAGGCGAGTTATGAGTTCATTGATAACCACTTTCTCTATTTACTATCCATGAATGCTCTGTCTACTTACTAGGTAGAACCACCGGTTGTCCGTGGTACCCCGCGCCGGGGTACCGGATACATTGAGTTTCGCTGCTGGCAGTGTGGGAATCGTGCAGATCCGAGGGTCGTTAGTGTCACCAAGATCCAATTTCGAGTACCCCTTGTGATCCCGCAGAACCCGCATACCTAGGCTAACCGGTTCCCCGCATTTCTCCAACATCTTCAAGTCTGCTGGATATTTCTCTCTACATAATTCTTCCAACCCAGAACTATCCAGAATCCATTTCTGTATCATTAATACTACACCCATCATCATACAGACAGATAGACCATGTCTGGGGTCAAGTCTCGCCTGTCGGGCTTACTCGGCCACTTCTCTTCTTCCCCGGCCCCGTTCGAGCATCGCTTCAACAACCATGAACTGTCTCCGACGTTCTTTCTTCCTCGTGCCGCTGCCATTGAGCCTGATGTAAGTCATGAAGGATGAAATCATTTGGATCATCCTCGTAGATATTAGGGTCGATATCTAATCCAAGGGATACTCAGGCCGAAGCCATATACCATGTCACCGCCAACAACAAGGTCCTGCGCAGAACCTACAGCGAAACAGCAGATCGCGCCCGCGGCCTGGCATACTACCTGAAGAAGCATGGGTTCCAGCGAGTAGGGATTCTGTGCCCGAATACCCCGGCATTCCTGGAATCGATTTTTGGGATTGCTGCAGCTGGAGCACTCAACGTTGGTGAGATTCCACAGATTAGCCCGACAGAAGACACACACACACACACAGAGAGAGAGAGAGAGAAAACAAGAGAACACAACTAACATATTATCAGCGGTCAATTACCGACTCAAGCCAGAAGATATCGCATATATCTTCGAGCACGGCGACGCAGATGTAATCATCGCAGACCAGGAGTTCGTCTCGCTCCTCGATACATATCGCTCGCAACATCCCCATACCCCCATTATTGTAGATACCGACACCGACGCCACCGAGGGCCAATTGACTGGCCCCTTTGATGATGCTGTTCTGGAAGGCTTGACGCATGATCGCGATACTGGTGCGCAGGGCTGGGATGGTCTGGAAAGTCAGACTGCTAATGAAAACTCGACAATTGCCTTGGCATACACTAGTGGCACGACTGCTCGGCCTAAGGGTGTGGAGTTTACTCACCGTGGTTGTTATCTGGCTGCGCTGGGGAATGTTGTTGAATCGGGACTGAATTTCCATCGTGGACGGGCGCGTTATTTGTGGACGTTGCCTATGTTTCATGCCATGGGTTCGTTCACCTTCTTCTTTCCCTCCTTGTTCTCTTCTTGCACCCGAACAAGAGTATTATGGAATACTGACACCTCGCAGGATGGACCTTCCCATGGGCCGTAACGGCAGTACGCGGTACCCATTACTGTCTCCGGAAAATCGACTACCCAGAGATTTGGCGGTTGCTGAAAGACGAACATATCACGCATTTCAATGCCGCGCCGACGGTTAACACGTTGCTTTGCAATGCCCAAGAAGCCGAGAAGCTCCCTGAGCCCGTGCAAGTTACCGTGGCAGCAAGCCCGCCCACGGCGCATCTGTTTGAACAGATGACCAAGCTGAACCTGCACCCCGTCCATGTGTATGGCATGACTGAGACATACGGCCCCATCACCAAGGGCTACTACCTGCCAGAATGGGATCGGATCCCGCTCAAGGACAAATACCAGAAGATGGCCCGGCAAGGCCACGGGTTCATCACCAGTCTTCCTGCGCGGGTGATCAAGACCGAGGTCCCCGAGGGAAGTATTGTCGATGTGGACCGAAACGGCAAGGAGATTGGCGAGATCGTGTTCGTGGGCAATATTTGTGCCCGCGGTTATTACAAGGACCCCGAGGCTACCCGGAAGCTTTTTGCTGGAGGTGTCTTGCACTCTGGGGACCTGGCTGTATGGCACTCTGATGGCGCGATTCAGATTCTCGATCGCGCCAAGGATATCATTATTAGTGGTATGTGCCTCTTGCATGCCTATGGAGTAGACTTGCTAATAGATGCAGGTGGTGAAAACATCTCCTCTGTCGCACTCGAGTCCATGCTAGTCACACACCCGGACGTCCTTGAGGCTGGAGTTGTCTCCGTGCCAGACTCCCACTGGGGAGAGCGACCCAAGGCCTTTGTCACGGTGAAACCGGGCAAACAGTTAGTCGGCGAGGACGTGATCAAATGGGCGAGGAATGTCTCTGACATCAGTAAATTTATGATTCCTCGAGAGGTAGATGTTGTTACCGAACTACCCAAGACTTCGACTGGGAAAATCCGCAAGAATGTCTTGCGTGAGTGGGTAAAGAAATAGAATGATCGTGCTATCGCTGATCTACTCAAAGAGTGTATAGACGATGTTGCATAGAAGAACTTCTGTACATTCCACAAAGTCATTTTCTTTCTATTTCTGAAGCATTTTTGACTCCTAATCTCTGATTTCTAATCTCTAATTTTGTCATTTGATTTTAATCGTTATCGGTGTCGATCGTAGAGGCTTCGAGCACCGGTACTCATGTACATGCGACTGATGAGCCTCACGGGACCACGTCAAGCGACGACGGCAAATTCCTTTGATCTCTCCGAGGTTGACCATCTACTTTTCTTTTCTTCTTTTCTTCTTTTCTTTGTTTCTTTGTTTCTTTTCTTTTCTTCATTTCTCACACCTCATGCCCATCTTATCAACCCTGTAGTTCTCGATAAGCCCGCTTGGCGCCCACTCCGCAGTGCTGTGAAACCGCCCCATTGCGTTCCCCCTCCATTTGCCGCCTTTATCCCTTCACGCACCCTCTCTACATTGCCCTGCCTGTTTGGGCACCCAGATCGTCACTAACAAGGGGTGCTCAACTATGATCTAGAAAAAGGAGGTCTTAATTTGACCCTCTTTAGATCCATCCCGACACCCGTCAGCCGCTCAGCTCTCCCTTTGCCATCCGGTTCCATTACGCGCCGAGGGCCTTGTCTCACTCCGCCTTCTTGCTGCGTCCACCATTTCTCTCGTACCCGGGTGGCACAGTCACTTTCCCTTGACCACTACGGAACGAAGTCTCGGGACGGTCGCCCAGACTCTGAGAGAGAGACTGGCTGCGGGACCAGGAACTCGCCCCGACCGAAACCTTCACATGCGCACTCTGCTCATGCAGATATTCCTCGCTTGAGTGATGAGATTTCAACCCTACGACGACCCCCAGAGTGTATCGGATCGGATTGTAAACGCGGACCCTCTGCCGGCGGCTAAGATGCCTCGATCCCGCCAACCCGCTCGTCTGCCGAGCGAAGCCCCCTCCGAAACCTCGTCGTCAACATCTCCGGAACGCACTGCAGACGATGACACAGACTTCTTCATGGCCCAGGCCAACGACTCGCAGTCCTCCGTCGGTGTCGCCAACTTCCGCGATCCCCACATGCAGAATGGTCGACCCGTGCCGCTGCCGCCGATCGGCCGCCTCCCGCCCGAGATCCTGATCGCCATCTTCTCGAAGCTGGTATCGCCGGTAGATATGCTTAACTGCATGCTGGTGTGTCGTGGATGGGCTGCCAACTGCGTGGGGATCCTGTGGCACCGGCCATCGTGCAACAACTGGGACAATCTGAAGAGCGTGGCGTCATCAGTCGGGGCGCCGGAGAGCCTCTTTACCTATGCAGACCTCGTCAAGCGCCTGAATCTGTCGGCTTTGACGGGCGATGTCAGTGATGGCACTGTCGTCCCCTTCACACAATGCAAGCGGGTCGAACGCTTAACTCTGACCAACTGCTCTAAACTCACGGACAAGGGCGTGTCGGATCTGGTGGAGGGGAATCGGCATCTGCAGGCGCTGGATGTCTCGGAGCTGCGCTACCTCACAGACCATACGCTGTATACGGTGTCTAGGAACTGTCCCCGCTTACAGGGTCTGAATATCACGGGCTGTGCCCTGGTCACGGATGACTCGCTGCTTGTTGTATCGCAAAATTGTCGCCAAATCAAGAGGGTAAGTGCGTTTGAATGCTGGAACAAGAATAAAATTGCTAATATGGCTGCAGTTGAAACTCAACGGCGTCTCCCATGTCACTGATCGATCGATCGTGTCTTTTGCAGAGAACTGCCCCGCTATCTTGGAGATCGATCTACATGACTGCAAGCTTGTCACCAGCCCATCAGTAACTGCGCTGATTACGACGCTGAGGCATCTTCGGGAACTACGGCTTGCCCACTGCACTGAAATCAACGACTCAGCCTTCTTGAATCTGCCAGAGCATATGACCTTTGATAGTCTGCGCATCCTCGATCTCACCGCGTGCGAGAACGTCAAAGATGATGCAGTCGAGCGCATTGTGAATGCTGCTCCGCGTCTACGGAACCTGGTTCTGGCTAAATGCCGCTTTATCACGGATCGCTCGGTCATGGCTATCTGCAAACTCGGGAAGAATCTTCACTATGTCCACCTTGGCCATTGCTCTAACATCACCGACTCGGCAGTAATTCACCTGGTCAAGTCCTGTAATCGCATCCGGTACATTGACTTGGCGTGCTGCAACCGCTTGACGGATACCAGTGTGCAGCAATTAGCCACCTTGCCCAAACTACGACGTATTGGGCTGGTCAAGTGCCAGTCCATCTCGGATCGAAGCATCCTGGCTTTGGCGCAGCCGAAGGTTACACATCCCTTGATCAGTTGCCTGGAACGGGTACATCTCAGTTATTGCATTCTTCTCACACAAGGTGTAAGTTTTTTGTTTCTTTCTGTTTTAGGGCAAGTGCTAATTCAACCATCTCCAGGGAATCCATGCCTTGCTCAATAACTGTCCACGGCTCACTCACTTGAGCTTGACTGGTGTTCCTCGTTTCCTACGAGCAGAACTCACAGCATTCTGCCGGGAGGCGCCCCCGGAGTTCACACAACAGCAACGGGATGTTTTCTGCGTCTTCAGTGGCGAAGGGGTTAAGAGGCTCAGAGAGTTCTTGAACCAAAACCATTCCCCGCCGCAAGAAGAAACCGAAGCCACCATGTACGATGACGACGAAGAGCTGGACGAAGACGAGGGCCAGATGACAGGTCTTATGCATGCCACTGCCATCAACGACGAAGATTACATCGACGTCGAGCCCTCCAACGGTTGAAATGATACCCCCCCTATTCCCCGTTTTTCCTTGCCCACTTTTTTCCCAAGTCGGTTCACTGTGATGATGGCTCTCTATCCCTCCCCCCTTATCTGCTTTTTGTTTTTCTGTCCTTTTTTTAAACCTGCTCTTTTTTTTTCCTCATCTTTCATTGCCGTGGCCCTTTGGTTCTACACGCCTCTGGATCGCAATGCCCGGCTTGGTCATATTTCTACCCATATGAAGCGAAGCTTACCCCCTCCCTTCCGTCACTCGGTGTCTGTGTCATTCTGGGAAATGCATTGATTGTGCGCTAGCGGTTACGGACTTGGGTTTTTTGTATGTTTGTCTATGTCGAATTACGTCGCATTTATGCAGCTTGACCTCTTAACCTTGGTCTCTCTTTGTTTTGTATACTTGTACTATCATGGGTCTACGCCTTGGTAGATCTATAATAGTCACTCAAAAGTACTTGACCATTATGTTCCATTTTTATAATTTGAGTTTGTAGTTCGATTAAAATGCCGAGTTGGATGGATATAAAGATGTAAGAAAAACAGTGAGTAGAGATAGTTAGTTGGAGACATCTGTGAATACTTGATAATCACTATAAGGCAAATTCGGAATAGCAAGCCCAGTTGATCATATTTGGGAAGGATGCGAATTATCTTTAGGACTTTGCTCAGCAACAGCATATATTGACCTTGATACATATTGTCTATCGTACATCAGAACTACAGTATACTTGGGGGTCGGGAGATGAGGTATATGAATTTCACATAAGTTACCAAATATGCCACCTAGGGAGATGAAATTACTGTCATAACAATACATTGCGCTGCCCCCGCATTCTTCTTGCGACTCCAACTCGCACCTCGCCCTTTCTCTCCCACACTTTTTTTTAAACCCTTCTGCTCCAATCTGGACCAGGGCGATGGCTTCTCCCAAAGCCAGAAATCCTCTGGCTTTCACGCCGTGGCCGGTAACCATCCTCACCACCGCGGTATACCTCGCCCTGCTCATCCCCGTGCTGGTGATCCACCACAACGTCCCATCCGCTCCGCGAACCAGCCCCAACGGCCTGAACCTGACCGAGGCATGGCAAGACCTCCAGACCCTGACGGGGGGCTTCCATCCATATAACTCGCACCGAAACGACCTCGTCCGCGCGTGGCTACTCGAACGGATCGACGCGATCACGCACTCCGCACCCTCTGTCGATGACTTCCGCCGAGCGCGGGAGGAGAAACCTGACGTCTATGTTTTTGATGACCTGCAATCGAACCTGACCTCTGTTGATGGCCGCGTCGGGGTGTATTTCGAGGGTACCAATGTCCTGGTGTATGTGCGCGGCTGGGAAGACAAGAAAGATAATTGGTGGGAGGTTCCTGGCAAGGTGCCCTCTGGCAAGGGAGGAGTGCTGGTGAATGCACACTATGACAGCGTCTCGACGGGGTTCGGGGCTACGGATGATGGCGTTGGCGTTGTGACGTGTCTGCAGCTCCTTCGGTACTTCACTACCCCCGGCCACGCGCCGCGCCGCGGGCTGGTGGTCCTGTTCAATAACGGAGAAGAAGACTATCTGAATGGCGCGCGGGCGTACAGCCAGCACCCCATGGCTAAGTTTGCCCACACGTTTCTGAATTTGGAGGGTGCCGGCGCCGGTGGTCGAGCGACATTGTTCCGCAGCTCCGACACCGAAGTCACTCGGGCGTATGCGAAGGCGCAACACCCGTTTGGATCGGTGTTGAGCGCCAACGGGTTTGAGAAGGGGTTGATCAGCAGCCAGACGGATTATGTGGTTTTCGACGGCATGCTGGGCTTGCGCGGCCTGGATGTCGCCTTCTTTGAGCCTAGGGCCCGATATCACACTGATCAGGATGATGCGACGCACACCAGTATGGACTCCCTGTGGCATATGCTCTCTGCGGCAGTTGCAACCACGCGTGAATTGGTTTCTGACTCGAGTGACCAATTTGATGGACATCTTCGCGATGACGGTATGGTTCCCAGCGGATCAGGCTCTCGGGCTGTGTGGTTCGATGTGTTTGGGAGTGCCTTCGCCGTGTTCCCTCTGCACACGCTCTTTGCATTGTCGGTTACGTTGTTGACGGTCGCTCCGTTGGCATTGCTCGTCACCAGCGTGGCTCTTGCCAGAGCTGATAAAATGTATCTGTTCCGCTCGTCGGTCTACTATGAGGCTAGCGACGAGAACATCTCGCTGCGAGGTCTGCGCGGCTTCTTCCGCTTTCCGTTTCTTCTTGCTATCCCTACGGGGGTGACCGTTGGATTGGCTTATCTAGTGACTAAGTTTAACCCTTATATTGTGCACAGCAGTGCATATGCCGTGTGGAGCATGATGGTCTCTGCCTGGATCTTTTTGGCCTGGTTCGTGTCCTGTGTTGCAGACTTTGCTCGCCCATCGGCCTTCCACAGGGTGTACACCTGGACCTGGCTGTTTGTTCTCGCGTGGGCTCTGTTAGTGGCTGCTACCGTCTTCGAGAATGAAGAAGGTCTGGCAGGTGGTTATTTTACGTTTTTCTACTTTGCCGGCACGTTCTTGGCCACTTGGCTCTCTTATCTCGAGCTCTTCTCGCTTCCCACCAAGTCTGACTACGCGGCCCAGTTCTTCCAGGGATCCCGGCGCCCCAGCAGCTATGGCAGTCGGCTGGGGGCTGCCTCGGGGGACGAACACCAGGACGACGATGGCGAGGAGCCTACAGAGTCGACCTCGCTGCTGCGAAGTCAACCGCGGACGACCTTTGCAAACTACGTCCGTGTCTCGGGAGATAACTCTGTCCATGCCCTGCATGACGAGGAAGAAGAGACGGACCCTAACGTGCACGGCCACGAGCAAACATGGAGTGCCTCGCTGCCGAGGTGGACCTGGGTCGTGCAGCTGCTTCTTACTGTGCCAGTGGTTCTCATGCTGCTGGCGCCGCTCGCGCTCCTGATGACCAGTGCACTCTACCAAACCGGACAGGACGGCAGCCCACAGCTGATCGTGTATATTTGCATTGCAGGTCTTACGACGCTTCTCTTTGCACCAATGCTGCCCTTCATCCACCGCTACACCTACCACCTGCCAATCTTCCTGCTGCTCGTCTTGGCCGGGACCCTCATCTATAACCTGGTCGCTTTCCCGTTCTCGGACTCTAACCGCGTAAAGGTGTTCTTCTCGCAAGAAGTCGATCTCGACCGCGGTGTATCTATTGCCTCGCTGACCGGCATGCCGCCATACGTGGGTGATGTCGTCCACGGCCTCCCCAGCGCAGCAGGCCAACCGGACTCTTGCCATTGGACGCTCCGGGGCAAGAATAGTGTTCAGAGATGCCCGTGGAATGCACCGGCACCGCATGTCGTCTCGAGCGACTCCAGCTCCTCCCTGTCCTCTGTTGTATTCAAGAGCAACGACTTAGTCCACATGTCCCCCGGACCCTCCCCGGACTGGGTTTCCTTTGATATCACACGCCCAACACCCAAAAGCCCTTACATCCGCTTCGAAATCTCGGGTCAAAACACGCGCGCCTGCCGCATCACCCTTGACAGCCCCTCCTCTCTCTCAAATTTCAGCATCGTCGGCTCCTCCCCACCCGATGACCGCTTTCTGCACCCGTCTCCACACGGCGTGCACGAGATCCGTCTCTGGAGCCGGACATGGGGAAGTACATGGACCGTAGACGCCGAGCTTCTGGAGGACGACGAAAATGAGGACTCCCCGGCCGACGACTCCCCAATCAAGGGCCGGATCTCTTGTCTCTGGAGCGATAATAACCGTCCCGGTCTTATTCCCGCTCTTGATGAGGTGCGCCAGTTCAGTCCGCCCTGGGTGGCGGTGACGAAACTGTCGGATGGGCTGGTCGAGGGGTATCGCGAGTTCGAGCTGGCGCGGCCGAGACGGGCTCGTTGAGATTTGTATGACTTATGATTGATTTTTCCTGATTGTTGGTTTATTGCCCTTTTTACCTGGGCGTGCTTTTGTATGTTCTCTGCGCTATTCCTTACTCGGATCTGGTGGTTTTTGTCATGTTTTCCGTGTGTTAGTCATACCCATAGTTTTCACTCTCATAATGTTTTCGGTGATTGGTTGCATTTTTCATAGTTGAAGAGGGAATCTGATTCAGTCATGACTGGTGAAATACCATTGGACAAGATATCAAAAACAGCATCTAGTATCATTCTCGAGCTTTAGAAAAAGGCCAAGCTAGTTCTATAGATAGAATCATGCCCTTCCATTCATCGATTCTTCTATCGTTTATTTAAACACAACCAGAAGACCGTCGTCAAGGGTTTAATATTGTTGATGTTGCTGCTGTTGCGATACTGGCAACTAGACTCCATTTCCAGAGATCCGAAATTGCGGGCGAGTATTATCAGTGTGAATGAGTATTCAACAAAGAGTAAACAGACATCTCTGCATTAACCAGTAGTACAGTATTTATGTCGAGGGAATTAAGGTTGAAACCCCACGGGGAAGCGGAGAAAGGAATGTGGCAAGCACCGACAATTCCCCGCAAGGCATCTACGCGCTGATCGGGAGAATCACTGACGAGTACGTAGTAAGTAGTAAGTCAAAAGAAGTATAGAAGAGGGGTAGGGGTAATCAAACAATAGAGTAGTAGAGTAACAGAGTAACAATTCACAGGGTATAATCATATTCAAATCACACATGATCCTCCACATCAGCCTCGTTTATATACAAACAGATGCAATAGGCATCCCAGCCCCGTCGCCATCTAACCGGCTAATCACCCCCCGCAACCCTTCCACGGGCCGGAGTCCACGCGGCGGGGGTGTAGCTCGGCGGTAATTTCTCCAATGTGGAGAAGCTGGGCGCGAAGCCCAAAAGGGGAGGGGGAATCACAAGTCTCACAGACATATCTCGTAAGCCATGATTCGTAAAATGAATATGCAAAATGACACATATATATGTATAAAGGGTGGGAGAGCAGCATATACCAGTGGCTGCTGCTCATCCCGGCTTGCTGGGCTTCTCTGACAGACCAGCCGGCTTGCGCTGATACTGACAGAAAGGGTTGGTGAAGTCGATTGGGCTGTGATCACGGCGATGGATGCGGGTCTCACTGCTCCAGGAGTTGGAGAGGTCGGAGTTGCCGGTGTGGGGATCGGACGGCGGAGAGTGCTCGAACATGGCAATTGAGATGTCGTCGGCATCCATCCAGGACGGCCCGCGCTGTTGATTGGGAGGTGCAGCATGGGTAAGGTCGGATGTGACGCGCGTAGCATCGACGAAATCCGGGAGGTCGCGCGGCCCCGAGAAGGACTCGGGCTTCCAGATGTGGTTCTGGACGAGGTGGATGAGCTTACCGAGCACAGCGAACTCAAGCTTGAGCTTGATGCTATACACGGCGCCCTTGAGCATAGTCTCCATGATATAATAACTCATGTACTCGGCGACAAGCAGGCCCAGATCCAGAACGATGATGATCAAGTTGATGGTGAGCAGCTGGTACTGGATTTTGCGCTTCGAGCGGTCCGGGTCGAGGCGCAGCATGCGTAGTGTCTCCCAGATGTACAGGCCGGAGATGATGAACTCTTGCAGACAAAACCCGGTCATCTGGATCTTCTCCATCTTGTTGTAGCCGGAGATGTAGGGATCGGCCTGGGTCTGCGGGGTGGCCAGGTTGCTGCCGTAGGTGAGCACGGTGGTGGGCACATGGAGGATCACGGCATCGACCAAGATCATGATCAGCACGCGACGAAGAACGCGCTGGTTGGACAACACCAGGTGCAGTCGTGAGTACAGGACGATGGACTGGCCGGTGACCATGCACCACCAGCCCACCGTTAGAAAGCTGACCGGCAGCCATGTAATGTCGGTGAGGCGGAAAAACTTGAGGAGAAAGCCCAGCGAGTAGGGGATCAGGCCCAGGAACGACGAGATCAACAGACCCCAGAAGTAGAGGCCGCGATACTGGGCGAAAGTGACGAAGACGAGGATGATCAGTTCAAAGGCGTTATACCAGGTGATACCGCACAGGGTGGCGATGGTGATCTTCATGCCCAGCGATGAGCCCGTATAGCCGCCGGTAATGCCATCGCCAGGGGCGTTGATGCTGGCCATGGCGAGGAACGAGGATCAGGGGGGAGGCAGATACATGGCGTGGAGGAAGAGGGAGAGAGGAGAAAAGAAGAAGAGTGGAGCGAGATGGAGACAGGGAGATCAGATATATGGGGTATGGGGAAGATGGAGGGCAGAGAGAGAGAGAGAGAGAGAGAGAAAGAGAAAGAGAGAGAGGCAGGGAACAAAGAGATGTGGCTTGACATGTGCGGGGGGGCGACGATCGTGTCCCCGGATCTCTCTCTTTTTCGTAATTGCCAGGATTCTGGTAATTTAAGAGATGCTAAGGCAGGATATAAGATCCCGGGGTATTGTCACACTGTTGAGCCTATAAAATGGCCCGGCGTATAAACGGGTCTAACGAAGGATTTGATTCCTGGTGGTGGGGGCTGTTATTGGGCGTGTGCCCTCTCGCCCCCAGATGGCCCAGCTCCACGAGAGGGTGCAGTCAGCGAGGATACAGCGAGATTACATGTAGAGAGTATTTCCTATATTTCCTATATGATTCTATTTCTGTAGAAGATTTATTCATCGATTCATCGATTCATGTATTCATTTGTTGGACATCTCGAGTCCAAGTGTCTCACATCTATACTTGGGTCAGGGACAAAGAAACAAAGAGCGAAAATGGAAAAACGGGAAAATGACTTCATGTAACAAAAACTCCGGGGGCCAAGGCCTCCGATCGGACCCTGGAAAGGTCCAGTTTCATTGAGAATCCGAGCATAAGATACTAAGAAGATCTGAATACGATATACACTGAGCTATACTATACTGCTGTACAGTATATTATCCATATATCCTTACATCCCTACATCCCCAGATGTAGAGATCTTCGTGTAGTTCCCAGTATTTCCCCGAGACACCATCGAGACAACTCAACTCGGGAGGCTCCGGGTCCACTCTTCTCGCAACGGTCCAATGCCCTAATCCATGGATTGTCATTACTACAGTATTCTGCTACGTTACCTAAGTGCCAAAGTGCCTAGTACTGTACTATGAATATCCATGGCAGGGCCCCGGATTCCTGGATGTATACTCTCAGGGGGATTCACTCCCATACTCCCCAGGATTGATAGGATCTGGGGTGGCACAGCGTCCATGGTCTGGAGCTCGTGTGGAGACTGTCAGACTGGATCCTCTGTGCATCCTGTGCCGATATCCCAGGACTCCTGTACAGTATTATGTGTGTGTATGTACAAGTGGAGGAGACGCACTGGCCAGCTAAAAAAAAAAAAAAAAAGCACGGTAATTGATCCTGCCTGAAACAAACCCGAAGGATGCCCCAACTCGAAAGAAACGCCACTTACACCTCGCTTGCCAAATGCGAAAAGGCCCCAAAGAAAAGACAAAAAAAGAAAGAGAAAGTAAAAAGTAAGAAAGGAGAAAAAGTGTAAGCCAAATCCTCCCACTCCCCCGAGAAATCCCGCCCCAAATTCACCAAAACATCAAATCCTTTGGCCGGCCCCGGGGGAGCCTTGGCAAAGAAAGTGAAAAATGCAGGATGTGTATGTGGCCTGGAAAAAGACAGCCACACAAATCATGACATGTTGAATCCGTTTTTTCCCCTTTCCCTTTTCTGGCTTTTCCGGGCTGTCATATTTGTGCCCTTTCATTTCCCTTTCATGTCACATTCCCTGCGCCCCCCATCTCACCGAAACGAGGCCCATCCGGCCGATCGCACTGCTCGCCGCCTCCCCCCGTAGCGCTCACAACACGATCGACCTCGCCGCGACACTCGGGCATGGCACTGCGCATCTCGCGCGCCAGCACATCCCGGAACCCAGCAAAGGCCTCGCGCTTACCGCGCAGGTCCTGGTTACCGCGCTGGACGAGCTCGACGAACTCGCGCGTGTAGATGTCCGGGTTGCGCGCTGCGTCCACGTAGTCGATGATCTCGGGCGGGAGCTGGATGCTGGCTAGCGGCGGGTTGGACGGGTCGCTGCTGCTGCTGCTGTTGGCGTCGGCTGACGGGGCCGCCGGGTCTTGTGTGCTGGGGAGTTCCGTGTGGTTGGAGAGAGCGGAGAGGGCGAGAGTGAGGTTTTTGCTATTCTGGGGGTTAGTTTATTTGATACATCGTAAATATAATTCTTCTTCTTGTCAATGTCACCCATAGAGAAGGTGGGAAGGGCAGGCAATGCGACTCTCTCTCTCTCCCTCTTAGCGGATTCTCTCAGCTCGAATACCGCTGGGGCCATAAAGTTTTACTTTCAACGTACATCTTGCGCACCAATTCCTGCTGCGTCTCCGGTCCCAAATAGCCATGGACCGCCGATTGGATCTCGAACAGGTGCTGGATCACATCTTTGAGGTCGTCTGCACACCGGTTAGTCGCCGAGGGCGAGGGATTGGGGAGGGGGCCGGGGGTCATCTGGGATATCTCACCATCGACCGTTTTCAGCGTCACGGGGGCCATGGCTTATTGCATTGAAGCAGGGAAAATCACAAGGCGTGGCGATCCTTTGCAACGATGATCTGGAGAGAGCACGCGTGGTGGAGAAGGCGGTGTGGCAGGCTCGGATCGATGCGGCCACTCGGGACATGCAAGTGGGCAGGCGATTTTGCAAGCGCGTAGACCGCTGCCTGCTGGTGGCAACATACGGTGAAAAGAGCTATTTGTAAGGCCGAATGGTGGTGTTCATCAATGTCTCTTTAGTTTCTATATATATGCATGCCTCGCAGGAACCATCCCGTCCCCGAGACCCCCTACACCAAAACCACATTGCTCTGTACGGTAAGCTTAGACTTCTACACCTCTCGCGTCTTCAAGCTGGGGTATTTCGCGATCTCAATCTCCGTCTCCATCTCGATTCCAGACAGGCTAGGGAACCGCCGGCTGAAATTGGCTTCCCAGTCGTCCCTGGGGCTTGCCGGGTTCGCTTGGTAGCTCGGTTGATGGCCGCTGCCCGGTCGGGGGGATCCTGGGCTCCAGCCCGCAGATTCTTGGGCTTGGGCGGCGCAGCAGGACGTGCAGCGGGCCGCGCTCCGGCAGAGTAGCCCGTCGACGAGGTGGCGGTGGGCACAAGTCTGGCAGGAGCACTGGCGCCTTCTCGGCGGTCGGGGGGAGCCATGGACCCCTGACGAGTGCTGTAGATAGGTCCTGGGGTGCGGGAGGCGGGTAGCCCACCCGATGTAGGGGATTGTGGCTCAATCTGCTTTGCCTGCAAAGCAGTAGGGGAGTCTTCCGTAAATCGTCCGTACCCGGTCGCCGTCTTTGGAGCAACCGGTTTGCTGGACTCGCTGAACAATGTCTGCACTTTGTTCTGGATCGCGCGAGACCGAGGTCCATCGTTGTTCCCTCGCCCTCCAGCGTCACCACTCTCGGCGACCCGGCGCCGGTATTCTGCGGCTGCGTTGGCAACTCGCTTCTCCTCCTGGGAGAGACGACGGCGCTCGAGCTCCCGGCGCATCTCTGGGGAAATGTCATCGCGGTCCACATCCTCCAGAGCAAAATCCTCATCTGGTGATAGCCTGTCCTCGGTCGAATCTGACATCTCAGGGCTGCCGAGCAGACTCTGCTGCTGAGGCACCTCATCTGCCGACGGCGTCGCGGGTTTGTCCTGATTACTTCCTTCGAACCGGCGGAACGCCTCGCCGAATCGACCAGCGAGTAAGGTCTTGCTTCCGGAGAGTGACAGGTTCGACAAGCTGCCGCGCTTGTTGTGTTTGGGCCCACCACTGGCCCGTTTCTCGCGTTTCCGCTGACTCTCTTCCTCCTCCTTTGCTCGAAGGTAATCGACATCCGAAGAGATGTTGGCGCGCTCGTAGTCCACCTCAGTACGTACCGGCCGTAGTGGTGCCCCGCCCTCGTATTGCATGCGCGACAAATCCAATGAGGAGCGCGTAGTCTCGGAGTCGAGCGGTAGGTCATATTTCGCCCCGGGCTGCACTGAGACGGGACGTGGTTTGGCGACGGCAGACTTGGACCGGCCGACCGGGTCGCCCACTTCCAAGGCCGACGGTCGTCGCAAGGTTTCCATGGAAGGACGTGCGGAGTTCGACTGGCTGGATAAGCGATCCGACGATAATAATCGGGGGTCGCCCTCAGGCTTCAGGCTTGATATCGGAGGCGACGGGACCTTGTGAGACCCCGACGCTTTTCGTTCTTCGTCAAACACTCTAGACTGGCTGGACGGTCGTCGTTCCTGTTCGGCTGCGGGGAACCGGTAAATGGGACGGCTGGAGAGCTTGGGCTCCTGCAGCCGAGGCGTCTGGGAAGGCGAAGTCATGGTCCCCGTCGAAACAATAGCAGGCCGCCGAGGAGTCGGCTGGTACAGGGGGGCTGACTTTCCAGGTTGTACTTCGCGGAGGTTGGGTGACCGCGTGGGAGAGGCTTGTGATGGTTGGTTGACCACTGGTTTCTGTTCGGCCTCAGACGCAGGCCGCTGGGCGAAAGCTTCATCTGCCAAGGCATTGGTGAGCCTCTGGGAGAGACCTTCTTCCTCTGATTTGGGCTCCGCCGTCGCCTCAAAGTCGAATTTGTCACCTTTCTCGTGCAAGATATCGAACTGATCCAAGGTCGGGAATCGATTTGATAGCTCGTCTGCAGACCTCCTCCCTCGAGCTGCACCGCCATCCAGAGCGGCGAACGGATCGGTGGATGAGCTCCCCGTGGTTCTGCGGTACGGAGACGGACTCGGCTTGGCTGAATTATTCTGCGATGACTGGGGTTTCCCGGGTCTACCCCGTCGCATGGGTGCAATTTCGGGAATAATTTGAGTTTCCTGGATTGGAGGCGAGAATACCGCGCCCACCGCCGGGGCTTCAGTGGGGGTGGGGGCAACTCTTGGTATCGACGGGCTTCCGATACAGAGCGATTAGAGTATATCTAAGACAGTCAATATGAAACTCGCCAAGGGCAAGGACTGCGAATACTAACGTCTCGAATAGGAACCTCCTTGCCCTGCATTTGGCATGCATCACGCACGATCTCGTATATGTTGGGGCGTTTCTGTGGATTTTCCTTGAGCATTGATGCTGCTCTAGTGATTAGCCAGCTGTTCGAATTCACATAATCCGTCTCAAACTTACCGATGAGCATCTTCAGCCGGTCCGAGAAAGAAGGATAGGCGGGGAATTTGAAGCTCGCGTTGAGGATGGCCATCTGGCCCACCTCTTCGAAGGGGGTGGTATAATAGCATAGTTTGTACAGAAGAACACCAAGGGCCCAGATATCACTCTTTTCATCAATCGGCTGTTTCCGGTAGACGTCGATCATCTCCGGGCTGCGGTACTGCAGCGTCGTGTGTCGCTGAACATCGTCCTCAATCAGTCGACCCTCAGCGGCAGACTTGGCGGCTGGGCGCGGGGGCGCCGAAGAACCAAAATCGCACAGTTTGTAACAGGACGAGCCTCCAGAGCGCGAGATTAACACGTTCTCAACCTTGAGATCGCGGTGGAGTAGAGGTGGCTTGAGGTAGTGCATGCACGCGACTCCCTCGGCGACATCGGCGAATATCTTGATGATCTCAGGCTCAGTCAAGCGGTGCTGGAGCCGGGTGTTCATGAAGTCGATGAGACCGCCGCCCCCGCAGTACTCCATAAGCAGGAAAACCTCATACCCGCCACCGCGTAGCTGCGAGGCATGAGAGTCAATGTATTTGACGATGTGCCGGTGGCCCTTGAGCTTCTTCATTGTTTCCACCTCGGTGCGCATGCTAGCCAGGGCCGCCTTGTCGGGCACGGCCACCCGCTTCAGCACCGCCGTCTCCGAGCCATTGATCGGCTGCGGCAACCGCACCACGTAGACATGAGCAAATCCACCTTCAGAGAGGTATTTGTCAACAACCACGCGGTGGCTGCCCACCTGGACCTTGGTTCCCGGGAGAAAAGTCCCGGCGGGCGCTGTCACGGCGGCGACGGGGTTGTAGGCGGGGAATTGGCGAGACGTTGCGGAGTGACTGTGGTAGGATTGGGAGGAGGACATGGTGCACGAACGCCCCTGAAGGGCAGGAAGTTGATCAACCGTCGAAGGCTACCGCGGCATAGAGAGGGAGAAGGGGTGGGTGATGGTGGAGATGGATGCCTGGGAGAAAGCCAAGAGGACAGTTGGCGGGGGCGGAGAATCGAGGTGGGCAGTGCCTGACTACTGCAAGAGCAACACAGACAAGAGGAGGGTGGACCGAAAAGAAAGAAAAAGCGATCGAAGTCCGAGTGAAGCACCGGGCATCTCGAGTTGGAATGCGGTCCAATCACCGGGTGCGGGTCACGTTGTACGTTCAGGGCTGAAGACGTCCACGTTGCAGGGCGCATCTTCTGCACGTTCAACCTGTCATCCACCATACTTTGCATATATCGTGGAGTGTTTACAGTATCCTCGGTTTTCTCAATATCTCCCTCGAATTCGCAATGCACCTGACCAGAATCTCCCGCATGGCCTGATCATGCGACATTCCACGCCCCCCAGGGTGACGACATGGGCCAATGACTACTTCTCCTAGTTTGACTACTTCAAGTTGGCACATGGCCAAATGATTCAATCTGGGGCTTTGTAAAAGTTCCATGGATTCCTCTGGAAGAGGATACCAGCACAATGATCCTGTTCCGGAGTGACTCCGAGGCATCACGGACTCGAGTGTCCTTATGGACCCACCATGTTTAGGCTTGCCACCCCATCTGCTTGACCGTAAGACCAGGATGAAAAAAGACGCCATGAGCCCTGATAATCCGAAACGCTTTGAGGGGGGATTTTCGAGTCACTATGCTGGGCCTTTGCTAAGCGTGGGATTTCCAGACATTATGTGAGACTGAACCACACATGGTCCAAGTGAAGACCAGACGATGTCGAACTCTGAAAAAGTGACAGACAGATCAAGCCAATGCCTATACGCACATCTCAGATCAGCGTATAACGGGCATAGTATCAAAACGTGCCTCGGCTTCTGAGACCCCTCGTCGCAAGCACACTGATCTGATTCAGTAGCATCTACTTTGAACAAAAAGTGATTCAATCCGATCCGCATCGATCGTATTGGGGTCAGACTCAGTATGTACGGTTTTGGCAGGCTATCGGAAAGATGCAGGGCCTTTTCGTCCGGCACCCTCACGAGGCATTTCGTCTGTTGGCGTGATTGCTCTCCATGAGTGCAAGCATCGGTGGCCGCAATAACCAAGGTGCAGACCAAGTCTTGGTCTTGGAGAAAGATGCTAAGATTATGAAAGACATGGGTATCAAAAAAGCCTGTACCCAGATGACTTTTCAAGTGTTGGGACTAATCCCAATACATTGAAAATGAAGTGGTAGACTAACTTTTTTTTAAATGGTTCTTTTGATATGTCTTTCATGAGCTTATTGATTACAAGATTCTTTTACGCAGGCAGGGAGTGGACGGATATGTTCCAAGAGGAGCTTGCACCTCTAAAAGAGGCAGGCGAAGAGGTTTACGGTGATAATTATATACAAAAACAATGAAAAAAAAACCCACACAACAGACACAACAGACACAACTCAGGAACAACACTATAAAAATAAAAACAACACAACAAACCCTCATCGCCTCCCCACAAGACCAGTCGGCCGCCGAACCGGAGGCGGGCAGCGGCGAGGCACGCGGCGGCGGCGGGGCGGGCTGGGACGAAGTCGAGAGGGTCCCGAGCTCCGTCGACGGCGTAGGGGGAGCTCGGCGGCGGAAACGACGGGCCCGCAGCCAGAAACTGCGCTCTTCGGGCGTCTCGGGGGAGCGAAGAGGCTCGGTGGGCGTGTACCTAAACGCATTCATCGATGAGTACATCCATCCTATGTCTCTTGCAACGGCAATATTAACTTACTTGTTCAAGGCCCACACGCAACCGCAGCACAGCACCAGCAGAGGCACCACGATCAAAACAATCCCCAGGGAGCCCCAGAGGACGGCATCCCGAAGCTTCGCCCCTCGACCAAGGGCCTTTTCCAGCCCACTAAGGGCGGTGGCGGCGGCATCGGCGGCAAGGTTCATTTTTTATTTTTGAAAAAAAAAAAAAAAAAAAGAAGAAGTCAAAAAAACTTTTGAGAGGCGGGAGGTCTCGGCGGTTTGGGGAGAGAAGGGAAAAGAAAGAGAAGAGAGAGAGAAGAGAGGGGGGGAGAGGGGGAGAGAGGGAAGGGAAGAGAGAAGGAAAAGCGAAGGAAAAGAGAAGGAAAAGAGAAGGAAAGGCTCGAGTAAACAAGATCTTGTAAGGAAGGCAGGACCCTCATCCTCCAAGCCTGAATCCCCAGATGTAGGCGTTCAGGATATGAGCACTATAATTATCCATAAGGAATGGATCTGCGAGCTTAAAGGATGGTCGATATAGCTTTTCCTGTTCCTCATTCAAAACAAATCCACGAGCCTCGAGACAGCAACCACACTGTTTAGTACAGTGGCCATGACCTCGAGGCCGATCAAGGCCTCGTGGCTTCCGACAACATCCACAGACACGGGCGCAACAGCCTCCCCTTCTTGCACAATCCTCACAGAGCCAAGGCAGCAAGTACCATTGAGGGTCTTGCCGGAAGTCGCGATATGCCCGGTTGATAATTGGATCAGGGCAACGTAGGTCATTCGCATAAATCTTCCGATCTGTGCTCCAGTACTCCTGATTGAGCAGACTTAAATCTTTGCTGAGTTGTTTCAATTCCTCTTGTCGCTCATCGAGCTCGTCTTTTCTCGGTGGTAAAGAAACTAGTGTCTTCTCGAGTTTCTGATATTCGTCTTTCAGAAACGCCTCCTGCTGAACAACTTCGCAGAGATGAATATCCAGCTCAACCACGGTTTGTTCCCAGAGCCCAAAATCTTCGGGCGATTCAGAGAAATGCAGAAATACTTGCCATAGACGTAGCATCTGGACTAGATTCCAATATCCTCTCTTCTGTAATTTGTTTTCCATTCGCATAAGGTGTGGCTCCAGGATTTTTAATGCTTTCTTTCGCCAGCACATGCTGTCTGTTGTTGACACGGGTGAAGAATAGTGTATGAGATATGAAGGAAAGATAAAACGAAATGTAAGTGAGTGAGCAAAATAATGAGAAAAGAGAGCACATTTCAACTATATCATAATTCATCATTGACTGCTCTATAGGTAAATTAATACATGGATAGGCTTAACCAAAGATCACAGGGCATTCTCCAACGGAAGGCAAGTTTATTAGAAATAAGCTTAGCTTCTTGGTTATTGGTGGCTCTATTGAGTATTCTAGTATTGTCCTGCTTGATGTCGTCCCCTGAGGCATCCTATCCAATGTATCAATAACATCCCGCCAGCTGATCGGTATAATGTTTCGAGTTTCAGAGTCCACTTCTTGTTGCTACCGTTGCATCATCGGTGCTGACAAGCTGCGCGCCCTTGGGCTGGAGGATTACATCGACAACGAGGCCATCGAGTACTGGGGCGGCTTCGGCATCGATAAGATCGCCATGTCGCCATGTAGTAATGGGGAGCTGGTCTCCTGCTACAGCTTCTATCCGGCCGAATATAATGAGCTGCGTGAGGACGGGTGGAATAGTAGGGCTACACCACAGCAGTTGGTTGATGCGTTTCCCCGGGTTGGATGAACGGATGAAGAAGTCGATGTGGAATGCGAAAGGTATCAAAGATGTGGAGGTATATGTTTGTTTCTCCTCAGGGAGACGGTTGGGGAATGACTGCTCACGGGTACAGTGTATATGCATCAGCCTTATCCGTATTGGATTAAGGGAGATGTGCGTTTGCTTGGTGATGCTGGTACCTAGTTCAATGCTGTATAGTATAGTCCTATAAATAGATTGGGCGCCCGGCTTGGGGGCGACGTGCTTGGCTGGATCCTGGATCAATCTTATTTCCCAGAGTCTGGGGATCACAGATGTGCCCGAGGCCCAGTAGGTTAGCGAGATCTCCTTTTTGAATGAGGAATACATTTAAGAGTACAGCGAGAGCGGGGGTTTTTATGACGTACTGAGCTTTGTGCTGAGCAGCTGGGTGATAACAATACAGCGTCGAGAGACGAGGAGAAGGACGGTGAAGATGTTCGGCTGATCAGCATCCGACACTACATTATTCAAATTTGCATGCCCGTCCCCTCCTCGTATATCTTATAGCCTCTTGATATTATCTGTTTTGCGCCTTAAAAAAAGGATACAGTAGCTTGGTTGAGAAGCAAATACAGTGTGGCATCAACTATATCGATAAATTCGATTTCCCCGTAGCATACCTATACGCTCGCATGTAAACTTTCGATAAAGCTGAAACTATTCAAAATAGCTTCGTAGCTACTGTATTAGTCCTTTTTAATCCAGATCAAGTGCTCAAGACGCTAGATATTCAGCTTAAAATACCTACACCTCCCAGGAGCAGCCAAGGCAGTCAAAGTAGTTGATTCACACCAAAAACGCCTCGAAATTTAAAATAGTCACAGCGCCAGGCTTCGTCGATGAAAGCTTTACTAAAGCAATGTTCTCGCAACCCATCAAGCCCAACTAGCCCAGCGTTAAACCAACCTATCAAAGGCTGCCAGCTAGCGATATATAGCGCTGCGATCCTCGCGCAAGAAAACAAGGATTTACACGCAGCCAATAAGAAGCAAAAGCCAAAGCAAGCTAGATCTAATAGGCAGATACCTCGAGAAGGCCTATCAATTCAGAAAGCTCGTGGGCTAATGTCGACGTCAAACCAAGCGTATGAAGCCCAATCGACTGCCCCAGTAGACTTTGTCAACAAGTCGCAGCTCTCTACTCGGGCGCCACCTCGCTGTAGCGATTGCCGCTAATTAGGACATCGAAGATTGCAGTGCCCAAAACGATAGAATGAGTTATATATATATATATAGCGTTGTGGCGAAAATATATCGATTTGAAATCTATGCTCAATATGCTGCGGCACTCGCGGGTCTGACTATACCAAAATGAGGCTCTAAGTAAATTCAGCCTGAGGCACTAATGCTGATATCAGCAGAATCGCTCTTACCGTAAACGGCAAAACCACAACAAACACTTGGCTGGCGACCGCTGAGCTCTGCTAAATCCCGAAAGAACCCATCAATCTCTGAAAAAATAATATGGGAATTCTGTGATCTTGTAGCAAAAATCATGCCATAGCTTAGTCTCGACTGTAATCTCAAGAATGCAGTCAGGGTGGATTAAGATTGTATCCCTTGATGTTGTGCCACTTCCCCCATCAAAGGTAGGGCTTTCAGTCGCGTGGCGGCCGAAGAATGCTACATTCCACGATATAAGATATCAGATTGTGAGATGGAAATTTTGGAGATGAATTGTCAAGATAGTGAAATAGGAAACCCCGGGTGCAGATTGTTTGTGTTCAAAATGTGATGACCACGTCTGCGCTGCATGAAGAGTTGGCGCCGATCGCTAGCGCCCACTTCTCCCAAACAACTCTCCCACGGCAACAGTCAGATTCTGGCTTCGTCCCTCGACCTCAACTGGGTTCATTTCTGAGTTTGAATTTGGATTTACAAAGAGCGACGTAGCTCTTTGTGATCCCTTTTGCTTTGATTGGCACTCGACACACCCAGGCACTGAGCGCCTAGGGCCTCGGTGCAACTTTGATGTTATTGTGAATATGAACTGGCCATTAACCCTCAATCGCGCTGAGAACCGATCCATCTAGGATTGATCAGGCATTGCCGGTATTGGGAGAGCTTGGTTTGATCGCAGGAAATTATCCAAACGACCAGAGATCGGACGACTCAATTAGCGCTTCATTTGTCGCAACTTTTTCATCTCGCAAACAGTCTTCCGTTTTCTTCGCTGTGTTCGGATCGCCATGGATGGGCCTCCTCCGCCACCACCGCCTCATGGCGAGAACCCTCACACCACTGAGGGCGAGTATCGCAAATCCTCCGACCTGCCGGAAGGCAACTACGACATTTTCATCGTGCCGCCACACTCGTCTGGCTCTGGGTTCGTCTATTTGCCATCATTGCAATGCCACCGAAACAGCTTTCTTGCAGGCGTTGGGAGTACACTTCTCGTGGTCCTGCTGTGGGTTCTCCTCGCACCCATTGTGAATGCTTGGTATACCGCCACCGTCGCTGCCGGCGGTGGTAGCATAGTGATGATGCTGCTGGCAATCGCGGTGGGTGTGGCTGGTTGGGCATTCGGTGCAACACAGTCAAAAGGCAATAACGGCAGTCATGATAATGGAAATTCACGAGGTGGAGGGCGCTCTGGGTCAGGGGGTCCGGTGGACCTGGAGCTACTGGGACAAACGCCCACAACCAGTCTTCCGGCGCCAATCAGGGGAGAGGCTCGAACTTCGGCGGCAACCAAGGTGGACAGCAACAATATAGAGCAAACTTTGGTGGTGGATCGAACCGCGGCGGTCAGTATTCTGGGAACCAGTACAACTCTGGGCCTCCCCCGAACACAGACCGAAACAACGCAAATGAAAACAACCATGGGCCGAACGGAGCCGAGTGGGAGCGTGCGCGGGAGGAAACAAGGCGCAAAGAAGAGCTGCGACGAAAGATGGAAGAGTTCAAACGTAAACGAGAGGCGGAAGCCAGAGAGAAGGAGAAACAACGCCAGCGAGAGGAAATTGAGAAAGAAAAGAAGCGTGAGCGTGAGGCTATGGAGAAGGAGCTGAAAGAGCGCCGCGAGCAGCTCGAGCGTGAGATGGCTGCCGCCAAGGCAGCGTCAGAGAAAGAAACGCGTGACCGAATTGCAAGAGAGGAAGCAGAGGCCCGCGAGAAGCAACAGAAAGCTGCGGCGGAGGCCAAGGCACGGGCAGAGAAGGCCGAGGCCGAGGCAAAGGAAAAGGCAGCCAAGGAAGCGGCCGAAAAAGAAGCTGCGGCAAAGGAAAAGGCCCAAAAGGAGGCCATGGCCAGATTCGCGGCTCTCAAAGAGGCCGCAACCAAGAAGTATGCCGAGAAAAAGGCCCAGGATATCAAGAACGAGGCCAGCGCCAAAGCATCCAGCAAGCCTGCCAGCACTGCAAGCGCACCTCGAACGCCATCCCCCAAGAAACCACCAGCTCCGACAGCCAAAACAAGCATGGAAGAAGACGATGCATACTCGTTTCGGCCATACGATCGCCCACGGCGGCCATATGGTGGTGCTTCGGGGTCCTCGGTTTATTCTGAATCCTCGTACACACCCTCCCAGTCGACAGCGCGTACTACGCCTCCACCATCCCACCGCAGCGCTTATTCGACCAAGGATCCAGACAAGATTGTGATCCAAGGTGTATACGCATTCAACAATGCCTACCTCAAGACCCCTGTTGCACAGCTCGTTGCAGGCCAGGGTATGGTGACCGACGGGCTTGTGCTGCGGATCACCACCGAAGGCCTGTTCATTGATGACGACCTGCGTGGGATCGGGCAGCGTGAATGGGACGTCAAGGCTTGGACGCTGAAGCTGGCCGAGGTCTGGTGTCCCCAGATGAACGCCACGACCCCGGCCTCCAAGCCCGGGTCCAGCAACCCCTTCTCCTTCCGACGAGGTGGTTCTGCACACTCAGTTCCCACCAATGAAGAATCCGACGCATTCCTTAATGGCCTTCTTAAGGTGTGTAAGAATACCTGCCGGTTGGCGTCTCCGAGTGCATTCTTTGCCCGCAGCGCAGCTGCCAGTGGCATCAACGAGGGTGGACCGGTGCACCCTCCGCAGTCCGAGTTCCGCGGTCTTCATGTTCTCCGCGCCAGCTTCCGTGACCAAGAGGGCAAGCGATACTTCTTCGTGTTGCAGGACACCGAGGCCTGGAAGGTCGCTATCGGCCTGCAGCGACTGCGTGGCGGCGCGTTGGTCCGCGCACTTGGCGTGACTGCGCTACCTGCCCCCGAATGCAAGAGTCTTCTCGGGACACTGGGCTATATCTGAGATGTTTGAGACGCCGGGAGCTACCTCAAGCTGGTAGAGCGTCATCTTCCTATATTGCGATTTGATTTTCTGCTTTCTTCGATTGGAGCTTCATCCCTCATTAGCGGCGGAGTTTGCTGCATGCTCTTTTCTTTCTCCGGTGCATTTGCATTCATTCGTTGCTAGCATTGCCCGGGATTTATTTTGAGATTCCCCCCGATTTTGTTGATCTGTTTGTTTTGGTGTGAGTATAGTTGGCCTGTTGATGGAGAGTACATACCGCAAAGCTGTGGAAGTCGGAGATGGCCGTTTGTTCGCAATATATAGTTTCCTCGTGCATATTAAGTACAAGTATATCAAGTAATATCCATATCCATATCCATGGTTGAGCTGGGTCTGAGTGGGTGATGACGTCTGTGTTGTGTATGTATTCAAGTATAGTCTTGATTGCCTCTGCCAAGTGAGATTATCTCTTGCTTATATACGAAAGTAACTCTTAAGTGTCTATCTATCTCTTTCCACTCAGAAACATGCCTGGCTCACCCCTTCGTCACTCGGTCAGTGCCAGCGAGAAAGATCCCAGCGCGAGCTCAACAGACATCCAGGACAAGAGATGCACCCGACGATGCTGGCAGCAGATCTGCATTTTCACGACTATTAAAGTTACTCTCGTAGCTGGAAGTCTGATCTTGCTGTTGTGCATGATGGGACGATCTCAGCTAACATATTGGGTGTGTACAGCTCTGCCCTCTCCTTTACCTCTCTACCTTTACCTTGGTCTATACTTCAGACCTCCTCCCTCCCTCACTCTATGTCTATTATATCCACATCTACCCAAGAATCAAAGAAAAATAAAACTCACCTTGGAATAATTCAGCTCACCAACCACACCGACCTCCCCACCCCCCAAATCAAACCCGACACCCCGCCCCGCGAAATATTCATCAGCAAAACAGGCTCCCAGCCCATCCACGGCGCGTTCCCGCTCTACGACGAGCTCTCCCTCACCACGGTAGCTGGCAATATCAGTGCCACTATCTACCCGCAACCCGCTCGTAGAAGTCATCCGCATATGCCGGCTCGAGTGCGGATTCGGTCTGGGTCGGGGAGTATACAGGTTTCGTTTGCTGCGCCGGCATCTATATCGGCGATGTCTCAGCAAAAACCACAGCCACAACAAGAGACAGAAAAAGAGGAAGAAGAATGGAGTCATGCATGTGGTTATACCTCTTCTCATGCGCAGTGCAGCAGAGACCAACCCCAAGCCAATATCTTCTTCTTCGAGTCCCTACCATCTCGTCACTACGAGGTTGATATCGAGACAGACTCGGGCTCGATCTCTGGTATCTTTGTTTTCTCGAGTCATATCCGCCTCGTGACAAGGATAAATAATTATACAGAAGGATACAATGACAAGGGAGAAGATCGAGAAGAAAGAGTGCCAGACGGTTCCATCAACGCACTTCTAATCCCATTCATCTCCGACACCACCGCCTTACCCCCATGCTCACACTCATTACTATCATACTCGGACGGAACTCGTAATACCTCTGCATCAATTCTCACGCAGACGGGATCCGGCAACCAAAGTATCCGACTCGCAGACCCGGTCACTGCATTTGAGGGCAGCAACAAGGAAAACAAGAGAAACAAGAACAAGTCGGAGACCAAAAGATTCGCCTATCTCTCCATGTGGACTCTCTCCCCATTCCCATTCCCATTTTCCAAAACGGAGACTGCAGCCGTGTCCCCGCCTCCGGCTGTCGCATCGCATATCAGTTCTTCTGCGGGGAATCTCAATATCACGTATCCGGGCTTGTGGACGGGCCATGTACGAGCGCGTTCGGGGTTAGTATTGTCTGATGAGGCGGCTCGGATTAGTGGGTTGGGGATGGAGGTTGTTAATGCTTCGAGTCATAGTGCTTTTGCTCAAAGATATATTGGACAAAGGGAGAAGAAGAAGAAAAGGAGTGCAAGTGCTGGAACTGGGTGGTGGGGTAGCAGGGGGGATATGGATGTCTCGGTGTGGTCGGGACGAGGGCATATTGTCTTTCATGTTGAGTGAGAGAGTATATACGGCAGGAAGGAGGAATATCTTGACGTAGAAGTATAGCGGAAGTATAGCGAGGGCTATAGTACAGGCTAGGGAATAAATCAGCAATGCACTGCATGAGTATATATGAGAACTCCATGATAACCCATGATATCAGACAAAATGCAGGTCATGATCAATTCCAAACCCGGCACTCATATACACAAAAGCCAGGTCAACTAGAACGAGCAGAAAGAAAAGAAGAAAGAAAGAAAGAAGCATGTCTATCATATTGGGAATCATGTTGCTTCCACAATTGGAAGCATAGAGACAGAGAGAGAGAGATAAAAGAAAAGACATTCACACATGGCCGAAGATCAAAGATGTCCCATGTCCGGTGCTTTTGTAACTCCGAGATTCAAACATCGGAGCAGAATAACCCCTACAAAATAGGGTCAGAACACAAGGAAAGACACGGGATAAGGACAAGAGCCAAGCGAGACCGCCTGGATGGGAGAGAGCGGTTGAGGGTATATAGCTCGAGTGCAGGGCCATCAATTGGCCCTTTTCATCCTCCACTTTCCCAAAGAGGGCAGGGGAACGAGCTTGAGAAGACGTAGGGGCATTTTGTGTGGCAGGGAGAAACAGATAAAGAGCTCTCTTGTCTCCGTCTAGAAGGGGAACCCGCCGGGGAATCCTCCACCGCGGGGTTGGCCGCCTCCGAAGGGGTTGCCACCGGCAGAGGCGAAGCCACCGCCACCGCCGCCGTTCATCATGTTGAAGAGAATGTTGGGGTCGATGTTGATGTGCGTTCCACCACCGCCCATGCCGCCCATGCCGCCCATGCCGCCCATTCCTCCCATACCGCCCATTCCTCCCATACCGCCCATTCCACCCATGCCTCCCATACCACCGAAGCCGCCGCCGCCGCCGAACATGTCGGACGGGTCAATCAAGTCGTCTCCATTGTCGTAGGCAGCACGTTTCCTGAAGAAAATACAAAGTTAAAAAGGAGCGGGAAGGTGAACTCTGTCGGCTGCACTTACTGAGGATCAATCAACGTCTCGTAGGCCTCGCCGATCTCCTTGAACTTCTCGTCGCCATTCTCGTCATCCCGGTTCTTGTCTGGGTGGTATTGGATAGCCATCCTGCGGTAGGCCTTCTTGATCTCATGATCAGTGGCATCCTTGCCCACTTCCAGGATCTTGTAGTAGTCCTTGCGCTGGGCCTTCTTCAGTTCAAACTCGGCGCGGCGGATCTCCTCTTGGATTCCCTTCTCGCCCGGGCTGTTCTCGGCCACGCCCTTGTAGTCGCGCACGGCATCTTCCCAGTTCCCGGCGGCGCCGTGGGCCTTGGCACGCATCTTCATGGCCTTGACGTATGACGGGTCGAGACGCAGGGCCTCGTTGCAGTCTTGAACAGCCGAGTCGAACTCCTTCAGGTTGATGTAAGCCTGGGCACGGTTCTGCAGGATCTTGGCGTTCATATCCTTGTTGACGGGGTCGACTTCCAGGGCCTGCGAATAGAGGTCGATAGCGTGGCGGTAGTCCTTGGCCTTGAAGGCGGCATTACCCTCCTCCTTGGTGCGGCTGAGCTTCTGCACAATGCGCAGCAGCTTAATAGCCTGCTTCATATCCGGGTCCAGCCCGAGACACATCTTGAGCAGCTTCAGCGCCTGGTCGGTCTCGCCCGAGGCGTAGAAGGCGCGGGCGCGGATCAGCATGGCATCCGGGTCCTGGCTGTTCTCGCGCAGCATGCCGATGGCAATATCCTGCGCCTTGCCCAGCGAGTTGCTGTTGTTCATCTTCAGCTGCGCCTCCGCCGCCAAGAGCGTCCACTTGCGCGGCTCCTTGACGCCCTGGCCCAGCCCTTGCCGCGCCTGCTCCAGACAGAAGATCACCATCGACACACCGCGGTCCTCTGAAAGGGTTTCCTCGGCTTGCTGCACAAACCGCTGCATCTTCTCTGCGGGCGCGCGGTCGGTCGCCGTCGCCGCGGGCTGCACCCGCGACAACACATCCAGCGCCTCGGTCGGCCGGCCCAGGTTCGTCAGGATCTTGGCCCATCGGTGCATGATCTTGGCGTTGTTGGGGTCCAGCTCGTTGGATCGCTCGATATCTTCCAGCGCATTGAGGTATTGTTTGGCGGACATGTGCGCCGCGGCTCGGTTGGACAGGTAGGCGGAGGAGTTGGGGTTGATCTCGATGGCTTCAAGTCATTAGTGTTGTTGTAACAGATAGATAAGAGAAAAGAAAAAGAAGGGAAAAAAAAAAAAAAAAAAAAGGTGGAAGTGGGGAGAGATACCCTTGTTGTATTCCTGGATCGCTCGGTAGTAGTCGCCATCCTTGAAAAATTTGTTACCCGCCAACTTGAACGAATCGGCCTCGTCAGTCGACGAAGAGTTGGACCGGTGCGGCGGCGGAGTCGGACTGCGTTCCTCGCCGTTGACGCCGTTCTTGTTTTGCTGAGTCTCCTGGGGATCGATGTCCATGGAGCTCCGCTGGTCGTCGCGAGCGGCCATGGCGGAGAGTCGACGGCGCAGCTCGTCGGGCGGGAGATTCAGCGGATGAGAGTCCTGGTCACGAGAGGACCGGGTGAAGCGAGAGGTGGTCGGGGTGGAGGTTGAGGAGGAAGAGCGAGAGTGCGAGAAGCGGGACTTGGAGGGAGAAGATTTGGGAGAGGATTTGGCGGGATGAGAGGGTTTCGAGGATTTGGAGGATTGGCGTGCGGAGAAGGACGGAGAAGGACTGGAATCTTTCTCTTTTTCTTTTTGTCCTTGTCCTTTTTGAAGATGTGGGCGAGTTGGACCATTTGGTCCTTTTTTTTTTTCTTTGGAAGGCCGACGAAGGCGGTAGAAGCACCGAACCGATGAGGGCCTCACCCACGAGTATAGGATATGGATATATGAAGATGGGAATATATGAGAGACTCCAGAAATGCAGAAAATGTCAATATTTCATGATGTGATCAGCGTGCCAGTCGAGTCATACTGAATAGGGGAAGAAAAAAAGCAGTGATGTTTTTTCAATGCTGGGAAATCTTCGAATGCGATCACTGGAGAACCAAGGATAAAAGGACAACAATAAGAAATAAGAACAAGAAATCAAAAAGACACCAAAAACAACATCAGCTGACACAATGAGATTGTTATAGTTATAAAGCTACGCATCCAAATAATCCAGAGGCTGGAGAGCTGCTGGTCTGTGTTAGCGCGCAAGAGAACTGGAGCAATGGAGTCACTAAATCCTCCAGGCCAACGCCCATTCGCGCGCAGAGACAGTGCTGGATTCGAAACGGTTCCCCGGTTTTCCTTGAATTGATGCAGTTGCTATCGCATAAATCTCTCATCTTCTTAGCTTTCTCTCTGTGTCTTGAAGGCTGAGTTGCCAGCAAGGATACGCGAGTGGAGTCGAGATGCAGGTTTGCTCTTAAGGGACAAGGGCCCTGGTCAAATTCTATGGAAATGGCAGTTATGGAACATGAATGTTGACTGAATGTTGACTCGGACAAGTCCCCAAGTGTCTCGGGAATAAATCCTGGCAAAGGACAGAATGCAACAAAATCTTCGACCCCCTCTCCAGGGACATGGTCCCCACACGACACGGAGGGGGTCGGGGGGGTATCAAAATGTTCGTGAATCGTTGTGAAAGGCTTTTCGAATGGAAAGGCAAGATATGGAGCCGGTGATGGTGATGGTCAAGGATGTCGCCGGTCGGAACGTGGTGAACTGCCAAGAATATATCCATGGATATTATATGTCCTTGGCCCAAAAAAAAAAAAAAAAACCAACCAGTTGACTTCAGTTGACTAAATGAAGTTCACCCCCCAGTCGACAACTGTCGCACCCGCCGAGCCATCGCCGACCAGCCCCAGACATCATTATTCAACCGGAAGACATGCGTGGGACTGAACTCATGGCTTTCATAAGTTGGAGGATGTTCCTCGCGCTCGAGATCATCGTCCGAGCGTTCCAGCAACCGATGATCTGACAGCGTGGGCAGACACAGAGGCAGCTGGTGGCTGTCGCGGGTCTGGCGACGTGACAGGGGCGCCGAGTCGGCGGCAACCATCCAGCGCTCCTCGTTGTCGAGCCAAACAAGCGAGCTGGCAGTGCTCACGCGGCGGGCCGCGGTGTTTTGCGGAGAGCAGGGCGAGAAGGGAAGCGTGGTGCAGGGTGAGAAGGGGAGCGTGGAGCAGGGAGATATGGGAGTCTCTAACGGGGCATGCTCTCTTTGCTGGTGCTGCCCCTGCTCTTGTGCGGCAGGGAGCTCGCCAAACTGCAACTCCTCCGAGAGACTCCTGCGCCCTCGTTGAGCAGGTGTTCGCTGCAGGGCACCGCCTCTTCGCGAGAGATCCGAGGAGCCGTTGCTAGGCCGGGAGGCATGGCGATGGGCGGGGTGGCGCTGGGAAATGGACCTTGTTCTGGCAGGCTGGGGCGGCAGTGGTTTGGGGTATGGGCGAAGATTTTGGTTGGCTTGTGCGAATGATGATGATGACGGTGATGGTGATGGTGATGGGGGGTGATAGGGCACGCGAGATGTTTCCTCGGCGGGCGGGACGATGTACCGCGGGTCGAGCATTGGGGGCCCCTCCAGAGATGACAGATCCATGGCAGGCGTCTTGGATGAGGGCTGTTTGGATGTTGATGAGGATGAGGACTGTGATGAATCCGGGCGTTTGCGACGTCTCGTGCAGCGAAACACGGAGAGGAATGAGACGGTCATTATTATTTTATAAGCACGAACACACACACACACTCGATGGTGGCTTAGCAAAGCCCTCCCTTTCGAGTATACTATGTTTGAACACGAGATCGTCGGGCAGGGCTCGTATCCGAAGGTTGATCGAACAAAGCCTCACTTGGCCGTAGATCCGAATATCTGAGTATATCTGAGTGTATATGAGGGTATGAGGATGAGGTGAATACTATGATGAAAAGGAGTGTCAGATCGAGGACTTGAGCCTATTATATCGGTGTGCAAAATATAGTAACAAAACAATGACAAGGCCCCCTGGGGGCCAACCCGTTCGATGGGGGCTTTTCCCCCCAATGGGCCTGGCGATTTTATTACCCAAGTGGGATCTGATTTGCCAAGGGAGTGAGAGTGCCCTGAAGAAAAAAAAAATCATTCCCAATCCTTCGTGGACTTTTTACGATGTGGATTTGCCACTAACTCGGGGAAGGAAGAAGCAGTGGGACGAGGGAATCATTCCAGTTTCTGGAAGTAATGATCCGCGTTATAGCAGTAAAAGAGGAAGAAGGAACAAGATAGCCCATAGTTAGCAAATGTAAAATTAAAAAGAGGGAAATCATGTCTCCGTCAGATCTCGAGGATCTTGATGCGGCGCGAAATGTTGGGTTGGGTTAGGGCACGGAGCTCGCCTGGTGGAGTATGAAAGGGGTCACGACAGATATGCCTAAGAATGGGAGTTAGATTGAGTGATCACATCCAATAGCCCCTATAGAGATATAGACATATGGACATATAGTGTAATTCAAGCTCACAATGCAGCTCTTACGCAGGGTGCCCCGATCTCCCCTTGAGGTGTTCGCAGGGCTACCCACCCGAGGCATCCCATCGCAAGTTTTACGCCAAAGTGGATCACGCCTATTTTTAGGCCGACAAATCAGCCACGCCGAATGATGGATGAGGCGTGAGATGATGATGGAGTCGGCAAGTCAATAATAACTAACTTTACCCTAAACTAGGAAAACTGAACAATGAATCAACACATGACAAATGATCTCGCGTGGGGAAGTTTATTAGGTCAAGACAGGGTCCTAACTAGAGTACCTCTATCTATCTATGGATGTACACAACCTACCCAAGGGCCTAAGGGTTGTGTGTGTTTCTCGGGAATCTTCCGATTGTATGCACATTTATGTACCTCGGATACTCGGGTTAAGCGAGCCTCTATTCTTTTCTTTTCTTTTCTTGCCAAGAGTTTAAGAGGCGTATATAGCGCATACAGGAGAAGTAGCAGCCACTCTAGTGATAATCTTGCATTAACCAACAAGCCCATATGCCAGCATCTAATACATACAAGCTCAGCAAATATGTAACTTGAGCATGTTTCATCGCAAGATAATATCTCCATATCCCAGCCAAGGCTTACCTCAAAGACCCTGATCTTGGTGTACAGTCAACCGGGTCGCGTAATGCGGGGGGCAATGTTATTTATGAAGCACGGCGCGGAAGAAACCCATTGACACCGGTCTTCGGTGTTCGGCACTCTGTGCAGGCTATACATAATAATGGCTAACGGCTGATCAATACGAGTGGGAACTCGGGAAGCACAGCACCTGGCCCATAGTACTGGGATATATATGCGCAGGTTATTTACGATTGAGGCGCGGTCCAACACTGATGTGGACGATCAGGGGCCATGACGGATTACTATGAGAGGTAAGAAAATCCACAGAAGGGGCAATACTAACAAAGAGTGAGATTGAAAATAAAATCAAACTTGAATGAGATTCGGATGCAAGGTATCAATCAACAAACAGTAGATAAGACATGCAATGAAAGAAAAAAAATAGAGCCAAATAAAAATAAGGATGGATACATTGAAAGGGTTACGGGATATTCACTGGATAGAGGGAGAATTAGAATGTGAAAGCTCTCATGGTTTACATTAAGGTCGTGCTCAAGCCACCAAGCGCTTCACACAACTCCGAAGCTATCCAGGAAGCCCAAGAAGAGGAAAAATATGTATAGAAAATCAAAAAAGGATAGACATATCCAAAGCAGAAAGCAAATAAACACGAGGCGGTTAGGGTTTGGTCATCACCAAGAGAACCCAATTTAAATCACAAGAACTCTGCTCCATCCTCTTATTCCGTTCCAGTCATGGGGAACAGCGGACTAGTCAGCAGGAGCTAATTAGATACTGTTCATCACGAGAGAAGTGGAGTCATTTAAGCCAGGAGGAAGGCACCCAGGGCGGCAACACCAGCGAAGCTGATGGAGCCGGACAGGGAGCTAGCGGCGCCGTAGGACGAGCTGGAGGGGGCAGCGCTGCCAGTGCCGCTATGAAATCGTTAGCAAGTGATCGACATGAATTTCGTTCGAGGTGAACTTACCTAGGGCCGAAGCCACCCTTCTGGGAAGAGGTGGGGACGTGGGGAACACCACCGCCGGAGCCGGGGTTGCCGCCAGCAGAACCAGCGCCGGGGTTGGAGGGGGCGCTAGCGGTGGGGGCGGGGACAACCGAGGTCAGGACAGTCGGCACGCAGGTGGTGATCAGGACAGTGGAGCCCTGAGCACCGCCAGCGGGGCCGCTGGACTGAGCAGCGGGAGCGCTGGGAGCCGGGGGCTGGGAACAACACCGCTGGAGGGGCCAGCAGAGGGGCCGGCAGCGGGAGCCGAGGGGGCGCCCGAGGGACCAGCAGCGGGAGCCGAGGGGCCAGCGGAAGGACCGGCCGAGGGGCCAGCCGAGGGACCAGCAGCGGGAGCCGAGGGGCCAGCAGCAGGGGCCTCAGGGGTGGAGGTGGGCACCACGGGGGAAGATTCACCAGCACCAGCGGCAGGGGTGGAGGTCTGACGGGCCGGGCAGTTGGTCACGGTAGGGTGGCACGAGGTGATGGTGACCTCGTCAGTGGAGGTGACGGTCTCGGCCGGGTTGGGGAGCGCGACAGCAAGGCCGGCGAAGAAGGCAACAGAGGCAGCGGTGAAACGCATTGTGAATGTGGGTTTTGAAATGTACGGAAAAGCCGTCAAGGTGATTTGTGAAGAGTTTAAAAAAAAGCGTAGGCTTTTTTTTTTGTAGAAAGAGAGTGGTGGTAGTTGGGTTGAAAGAGTGGATGACCGAAGTCGAGAGAGTGACTGATGCGAATGCAACGAAGATTGGACTTGGAAGAGAAAGAAAGAGAAAAGGCTGCACGGGGGGAGGCCAGGGGCCTTTGTATTCAACGGGGAGATTAGCCCTGAGGATCGGCCTTTCTTTGGCCCCGAAAAAAGGGGAACCTCACGGAGTACCGGGTACTTGGAAGGGTGCGGTGAGCCCCCTCTCACCAGAAGTCACTGTACCTACAGTTTGGACACAGCCCTGAGCGCGCGTCACATTGATTGGGCCAGAAACCAGTGTTTTGTGACGCGGTAATTTTGGTTGCTAGCGTCCACTTAGCGCTGGTCGATCGCCTGGAACATAACCCTAACTCGCCTGAGACAGTCCTTGCTTTGTCTCGAGTCTCTGCTGTTCTGTTTATTTTTTTTTTGTTATATTTTTCTCATATTATTTTCTCTATTCTTAGCCTGCCTGTTATGTATGTCTACTTCTGTGATATTGCTACACAAACCGGTTTCCCTCAGCTCCATCCACCGCCGATCCACTACCCGTTCCTGACGCCGTTCATCCAGTACTGGCTTCGTCCGTGGGTCTCTGCTCCACTTACCCCTGAACAGCCCGTGGATTTGTTTCCACTTGCGTCGCAACAGAGTCTCTCCTCCAATCCTTGTGGCGTAAGGGCATCGGGGCTCATGGATAGTCCAATGAAGATGTGCACTTGGCATACGAAATCTGGTAGGTTCCTTACTCCGGTTGTTTTTTTCTTTCTTTTTTCGTTCTTTTTTCTTTTTTGTTTTTGTACTGAATCAAACCGTGGGATGGGTGGGATTTCTTTTTCTCGAGCGAATCGCTCAACAGTGGGCACAGTGGATCTCACACTGTGCTGTATCTTCCGTGGCGCCCGGGTACTTTGTCGTCTGTGGCCATGGTACAACCTGTTCTACAGTACTGTACAGCATACATTTCTGGGGTTACTTTTGCCCTAATTTCAGATTTGATTTGACCCTGCACAAAAAAACTTAGCCCCCGCAGCGGGAGGCTTTCACGCCGTTCAAGAAGCCGGCGCCACGCCTGCCCTGTTTCTGCCTAGAGCGCGCGAGAATTCCATGTGTCAAAGGTGCTTGACGGTGCTTGATGGGACATAACACACTGTGTGTAAATATACATCGAAAACAAAATCCACTAGCCATCCCTGAAGATTCAAAATTACTGCACCTCGTCCCTGATCGGCACCACACCGTCTGCTGGTGCCGATTGCATTGCAGTCGACTCGGGTCTGGCTGGTGCGAGAGTTTCCCCTGTAATTTTCTCTTCTGTTACACTCGCCATGTATGCAAACTACAACACAGCGCCTTGCCGATCCTCATGGGAGGCTGGGTGAGTCTCGACCGCGGAGGATATCCTTGAAGGGGGTGTCGGACCATCGTAACTTCTTTTCAATGTCAGGGGGCCAATGAAACTGGCTGCTTCCACTATGCTTGGAACTTATTATTTCTTTTACCCGGGCTCCATGATAGGGGAACAGTCGTTCAGAGAGAGTTGTGGCCTGACTATAGCCTCGTGGCGCCCCAGACTCCACATTCCGCGACTATCGACCCCCCCCCCTTTTTTTTTCTTATATTACTATTATTTATTTATTGTCTTTTCTTTTGCGGTTTCAATAGATCGTGGCGGATTCTTATCTCAACTTACAAACGGCTCCTCGGTGCTGTGCTATAATAATTGTTCTAGACTCAAGTATGAAAAAAAAAAGAAAGGGGATAATAATAGATAATCATAGCTCACATAGTGGATTCTCTTTCCCCCTTCAACCAAATCATCTTGCCAGGAACAGCGCATAATTCATGTATTATCATCATTATCATCATTGATAATTCTATCGAAAGAAAGGGGGAAAGCATTTTCTCTCATTCAAGGATTCTAGACTGGCGCTTTTGAAAGGATCTGTGACTTTCGCATTTCTCGGTGGAGTCTTGAATTTTTCTTTTCTTTTCTTTTTCGAGGAAACGCTTGCGCGGTCCCAGGACTTCGTTCAGGGGGAGGACGGGGGTTGTACTGCCAAGAGAACTGATTAATTATTGACTGTCTGGACTGACAGTCTGTGGTCCAGACATCAAGACCGTTTTTAAGGAGACAAGCCAAAAGAAGCTCTAGACGCAGTCTACAGACACGAGCGAGACCGAACCTCAAGTCCTGACCTGTCCAAAACACCAGTTGGACACCGTAGATGCATTCTCTCGCAATGTATCTTACGACCCAATCTATCTGACGATTTCAAGGTGCCTGATGCCCCGCGGCCCCCCGGGTGGCCCTTCGATGCAGCCAAGCCCGCCAACCCTCAGCCCTAAGACTCAGCGGTCCTCTCAGCGTTACTGTGGCCTTGTTCTAGCCGAAACACAACCTGGCTATCAAGGCCACTTCTCAATAGCACAAGTCGGAATCCTTAGGGGAGTGTGTTGGTAAAAGCAAGTTTTCTGTTCCATGGCTGATAACCTTGTCCAATCTACCCATGCATGGCAACATGGGGTTTATTTATTTATTTATTTTGTTGTAACAAGAAGCGCCCCTTTGAATTGGAGATCTGACACTCGTAAATAGACTCGGCGACCCATATTCATCTCATTAAGAAAGAAGGGTGTGTGTGTTCGTTTTCCACCTACCGATTACCATCGAGTTGCTTTATATAAGGAACTGCGAAAGATTAATGTCAGATATCACGGTTGGTTCTTGCTAGGACTCAATTTCCGATACTAAGAATGTAATGGATTGCATGTATCACGTATCACGACGGGAGGGCATTTTCCAGGGCTACTGGACTTGGACTTGGTCTTGAGGAAGTGCCCATAATTTCTTACCATTTCTTATAAACCAGTAGAAAGCATAAGCATTGCCATTGCTATCTGATGATGGCTTGGTTAATCAATATTGTATAGCATTATCTCCTCAGTGTAGTTGAGGCCCTAGCGAAATATTGAGTCAAGTGCGGAAGATACAAATGCAATGACGGCGCTGTCCACTTCTATAGTATTCTGTCTTGGTCCTTGATTAGAGGGACGAAGCACCTTGGAGTGTACACCAGAGACCTACACTGGCGTTGGTTTTGGTTCAATTGCAATTTCTCTTGTACTGCTCGCTCATTCCAATGCCAGCCAGCTGGTCAGAGGAATGGACCTACGGAAGGGCCGTTGTATAATCGAGAGAATGCAGCAGGTGGATTTTAGGGGCATCTGTAAGGAATATGTTTACAAACTACTTAAGATAGCAGAAGGAGGGATAAATCAAGCGGTTCTATTGAATAGCTGTTTTCTTTCATGATTATTACGCATTGAAGCTGAGTTCGGCTAATCGGGCTGAGAAGCATCGGTCCCGAATTCCGATGGGTTCAATAATAAGGAGTAAGATGGCCTGCCGCCAGTTGTAGAAATGGAACTAGGAATACATTAGTACAAATGCCATGCCAAGCATTTCCAATTTCCCTTCGAGTGATCCGTACAGGAGCCTGTCACAATCCATGAATCTCGAGTGTTGTGACGTGACGTGAGTGTAGCGCGCGTGTGAACCAACATGTACCAGTGCTGGGATTGGTCCGAAAAGCCGATCGCTTTCTACATTCATCGCGCTTCGAAGCGCCAATGACGTCGGATCCCTTGAGCGGCCAAGAAGGTGGGTTGTGGCTGAGCCGCTCTATACACCCCGGCATGAGTTGGATCTCACATTTGCTGAGTTCCAATTCATCCCTAGGGGGGATGTGTCGGACGCACAGTGTTCGATAAATGAGGAAGTTTGATACGATCAGAAACCATGTGAGCATTGACTCGCCGTGTATCATACTCAAAATGGTAGTGTCCGATGAAGTGGGGGGTTTGCCCGACGGCCTTGAATGTGCGTTGGCAGAATGATGTCGACAGGCGCCACCATGTCTCCGTGTGAACGAAGCAATCAGAGACCACGCCAGTGCCCGGTGGAACCCCGGAAGACCCCCAAGGCAACAACATGGCTGTCTGTGCCCGATTCTGAGACCGTTGGAGATGAGTGGAATATCGGGAGAATAAACTGGAGAACCATGGTTCTGCGGGAGAATTCAATTCGGGTTTCGTTCAGCCCTTTTTCAGCCTTTTCAGCCTTTTTCAGCCCTTTCTCAGGAACCCGGGGGCCGACGGCGTGCTTCAGCTCTTCCAGTAAGAAAAAGATTAGTATGTTAGTATCCAAAGAGAACCCTAAAAAAAGCTGTCCGGGAATGCGATGTTTCAGCTGAGGCGCCTTCTGAAACAGTGACTGCCCCACCAGGTAGGACCTGATCTCTCTGCCCATCTGTCCCACTTGGGCTGGAGAATCTATTAATATTTCGATTTTGACGGGAATCATAGTGTGGCTGTGGCAGAGCCTAAGGGTCTGAGTAACAAGGCAGAGGGAAAGGCAGAGAGAGAAAGACAGACAGAGAGAGAGAGACAGAAGCCAAGTGGAGCACACCTCAACGTTCCCCAAGTGCACCGGGTCACCTGCTTCCCATCTTCTCTTCTCTTCTCTTTCTCCTCGGCAATTCTCCCATTTTCACTCGTTTTATTTTGTAACATCGCTTTGGACATCGTTCATATTCTTTTCCTCCCCTCTTCTCTTTTCTTCTTTTTAATCTCTCGCCCCTCGCTTGTGATTAGCCGCAACCCCTCTCTCCCTCTCTCTCTTCACGATCGCTTCACCCCCCCCCCCCTCCGTCGACAGATCCAAAGTCGACACTGTGGCGACCCTGGCTGATCCCAACGAGTTGTTCCTGCCCGGGGAAAGGCAAAACAACTCTGCCATGTCATCTCCCGTCCCGCTTCTGCGCCCGCCAGTCCCTGGCTCCCGCAGCAACAACAGCAGTCCTCGAGCTCCGAAACTCACATTAGGCATTCCCCCATCGCCCAACAACAAATCTGTGAATGGCAATGGTGTCTCGGAAGCGCCCCAGCCTCACCGTCCCTCGTCCCGACCTGCTCCCCCGCAGCTACGCCTGGCAACGCCCATGCCAAATGGTCGCCCAGCCGCGCCCCCACTCAATCTCAACACGAACGGACTGGGAGAGACATATGCCCAAGTCGGTGTGGATGGGAAGGGAAGTGGTCCCGGCTCTGCCAACTCATCATACTCGGCGCTGTCCTTTGCCATGGGTCTGCGACAGCCCGCCGACGGCGCCGATCCCTCATCGGCCATCGGCTCGGTGTACTCAGACCGGGATGGTGGGGTTTCGATGGAGCGCGAAAACAGCGTGAATGGGCTGCTACCTGATTTGGATAAACTGAGCTTGGAGAAGGGCCGGCCCCTCGATGTAGATGATTTGGATGATGAAAGCTGGCACGCTGCCAGCGAACAGAAGAAAATTGTCGAGCTGGGCAGCTTGGGAGAAGGTGCGGGCGGTGCCGTCACCCGGTGCAGATTGAAGGATGGGAAAACGGTCTTTGCGTTGAAGGTGAGTAGTCTCTCCCCAAGGAGTCTTCGGGCACGCGAATAAGAGGCTAATATTGAACTTGCGCCAGATTATCACCACGGACCCGAACCCCGACGTGAAGAAGCAGATTGTTCGGGAACTCAATTTCAACAAAGACTGTACCTCGGATCACATTTGCCGCTATTACGGTGCGTTCATGGACAAATCCACGGGCACCATCTCCATTGCTATGGAATTTTGCGAGGGTGGCAGCCTTGACAGCATCTACAAAGAAGTCAAAAAGCTTGGAGGCCGCACGGGCGAGAAGGTCCTTGGAAAGGTCGCAGAGGGCGTCTTGAATGGGTTGACTTACCTTCACAGCCGAAAGATTATTCATCGAGGTACGGGCCATGCCATTTCCTTCGAGATCCATCGGACACCAAGACTAATGTTCGGCGCAGATATCAAACCTTCAAACATTCTCCTGTGCCGTGACGGCCAAGTCAAGCTCTGCGATTTCGGGGTGAGCGGCGAGTTCGGCACCAAAGGAGATGCGAACACCTTCATCGGTACTTCTTACTACATGGCTCCTGAGCGTATTACTGGTCAATCCTACACAATCACTTCCGACGTCTGGTCCCTGGGCGTGACCTTGCTCGAAGTCGCGCAGCACCGATTCCCCTTCCCCGCGGATGGCACGGAAATGCAGCCTCGCGCTGGGTTAATCGATCTCCTCACCTACATCGTCCGCCAGCCAATCCCGAAACTAAAAGATGAGCCAGACAACGGCATTCGCTGGTCAGAAAATTTCAAATACTTCATAGAATGCTGGTAAGCTTTTCTTGCTTTTCCCCTTTCTCCTTTTGACCTTTATTGACGACTGGCATTAGTTTGGAGAAAGAGCCGCCTCGCAGGGCGACTCCCTGGCGGATGCTGGAACATCCCTGGGTGTTGGACATGAAGAATAAGAAGGTCAACATGGCGAACTTCATCAAGCAGGTCTGGGACTGGAAGGAGTAGAGAAATTGCTCTCCTGCTGGCTCGATTGGAAATTCTTTGCTTTTTTGGGTAGTGGCTGGACCCCAAGGATTTCGACCTGGATATATCAACGCGACGCTTGAACACGACCACGATCACGACGCCTCATTGTTTTTGTTTTGTGCTTTCTCCCGTGCCGGAACTCGTGGAGTTTGATCTTTTTTTTTCCCTGTTGTGCTCTCATACCCTGTCCTGTTTCTTCCTGCTTAACTCTACTATCCTTGACCACACTCGCCTCTTTTCTCTCTCCTACCCTCCCATTTTTCTTGCCCCTCGAGTGTTTCTCAGTGGCGGATCATATTCCGCTACCGGTCACGCTCGTGGATTCCCTCTCTTCCTTCTGCCTTCCTCGCTCCCACTGTTCTTCCCTCCCTCTCATCCATCGTCCTCGTTTCTTCGTGATCGTGACCCCCCTTCCCTTTTCGAGCTTGGACATATCAATCATCTTCGTATATCGCTTTTTTCTTTTTCCTTTTTCCTTTTTATCATTGTATAGGCCCGGTCCCCCCCCCCCCCCCCCCTTACATGTTTCTCTGTTATTTCGCTCGCGGCCTTGGTTGCTTGTCTCTCGGGCGCTGGAGTTGTATGCACTGCATTCGAGACCTCTTTTCGAGGTATTGCTAGGCACCTAATACCATTCATCGTGTGCTTTGCGCCGGACTTGTGGCTTGTAGATGAAAGCAACTAAACGGATAGATGAATGATGGGACAAATTCTGGAACAGATCCTTATTGTGATAGAAATCATGTTTCTTCTATCTGGGAGATACTTTAGACATGTCGGTGTGTATATGCGAAGCTTATCAATTCACTATCTCGTAGGACGGCGATCTTCGACTATTACCTAAATCATCATGAAACTTTGGAAACTTCACATAACACGTAGGGATAATAATATCTACAAGCGATTTAACCACTTTAAATTCCGTACGTCCCCCGTTTACAGGATCGAGACAGATCAAACGCTGGAACGGTAAAGATTGGTATTCCCAAAATTCGACCAATATAGCTCAAGTTACCGATTCACAGGCTCGGCTCCCAGAACCCAGCCAATGCCACTGGCCAGGCCGCCCGTCACCATGTTACTAACCATATCTCTCTTGCGAACACGGCCTTCTTCGGTGTCCGGGGAGAGTGGGCGATCGTCCTCGTGACGCTCGGCGCCACCAGCAACCGGAGACTCGGGGGCAGCGGCAGCACCGCGGAGAGGGAAGGCGTTCTTGTGCAGAGCGAGAGCAGCGCCTCGGGCGACTTCAAAGAGACCCATGGGGGCTTCGTGCGGATGGGAATGGGGCATGGCGGCGCGGGCACGAGCGCGACGAGCGGCACGCTGCTGCTCGGTGTCGAAGGCGTCGCGCTCCGAGTCGGAGGGTCCGAAGCCGCCGGGCACGGAGGACAGGCTGTCGCCCTTGGCGTCCCACATTTCTTCTTCCTGTTGTTCGCGGGCCCGCAGCGAGCTCAGCTCTTCGTCGCAGCGGCGCCAGGCGCCCAGGATCTCGGCGAGTGGGTCTGGGGATGGGGCTAGGACGAGAGCGAGAGAGAGAAGCTCCATGCGTTGGGAGAGGTGGGTGATCTGAGACTGTAGACTTGGAGAGGGCGTGGTTGGCGTGGTGGAGCGGTAGCGTCCGGCGTTGTAGACGGCACGCCAGGAGATGTCATCGGGAACGGAGGGTGTGGTAGGCAGCGGGGAAGAAGTGGAGAGAGAAGGCGGGGTGACTCTCGTGAGGATGTATGAGTAGGCAGTGCCAAAGTCATTAGATGTCAGGGCAGACGCGATCACTAAGGAGGTGATGCGACGTTCGGCAGTGACAAGGCCACTTTCCTTCGACAGCTGACCTTGCGATGGTCGGTCATCGGCATCATCTGAAACCATTTTGCTAGGCACACCGGCAGTGACCAGGTTCCGTCCGATGGAAAGGAGATCGTCCAGCTTTGTGTAGCTCTTAGAATTCTGGTCAAGCACTTTCTCGATCAACGAGAGAGGGTCGTGGTGCACGCGAATGCTGACCGGTTGAAATGGGACACCGTGTTGCAGAGTCAATGAGTAGAATGATAGCGCATGCGTTGCCGAGATAAGAGCGTGGATCTGCTTCAATGCAGTCGACTCTGGGAAGTGCGGTTGGAATGTTTGCAAGCTATCGTCTGGTTAGGGACAATTCAGTGGTTGACTCTCCTGTATTGAGACTCACATATCATAGGCTCTCTTCATGCCCCCGCGTGTCCGGTTTCCGTTGCTTGCGTTGTCGTATGCGATGAAAATGGCCTCTTCAACAGCATATTCCACTTGTGATATAGTCAACGGCGACCCTTGAGAAGTATAAAGATCGACCGCCAATTTATATTCTGCAGATGGTGTCAGTATTGGGGGAATGGGTGTGAATGCAAAGGGGTTGAACACACCTCTGACCCCAAGCAGAGCCTTCAGAATCTCCGTCTCAATTGTGTCTCCAGGAACTCTCCAAAATAGTCCATGATGAGAGGCGGGTTCATCCCAGCCACTTTCCGAGCGATCGGCCTGCCAATCGCGAAGCCAGAGCAGTTGTTGCCGCACTTCTTGCCAATCCTCATTCGACCGAGGTTGTTTCGCAGTAGATTTCACCACTTTTTTGAACTCTGCCAGTTGCAGCTCCTCGTTGCTGTGAAGGCATATATTTGCAGCAACTCGGCAAGGAACAGGGTGGCCAAGATCGGTCAATATGCGACGGGAGAGTAATAAAGCACTGAGAAAAGAAATCGAAGCGGATGATGGGTGTGTCAAGGGGTTTGCGGGTGTTAAAAGAGAGTTCTGCAACAATGATGCGCGGGATGTGGAGGAAATTGAACCAGTTTCATAATCGACAGACGGAAGTATGGAGGTAGGGGTGAGGTATGAACTCTCCTCGAGATCGAGCCGCTGAGCAACACGCGTCAGGACCTGGAATGATCCTTCCAGGGAAGCTCTGGACGAATCCGCATGCGCGTATACCACGGCGAGGCCGGATTGACCATATCGATCCCGTAAATCCTGCACCTTATCCGCGGGTAATTGCATGCCCTCTTCTCCATATCCTCCGAGATCCACGTCTTCGGGCCCCTCCCAATTGGCGAAGGCACCGACAACATTGTCATAATCCACTAGACTCCGCGACAGGAGCCATTCATTCACGTACTCCCACCCGACCAATTCGGTCAGCTCGGTGTTCGGTGTACCCTGGATAAGAGAGATTGATCTTCGCCGGTTTGTGTCATTGAGCCTCCGCCGTTTCGATCGCTTGCTACCATAAAGCCAAGGACCGACGAGTCCCCTTAGATTGTTGACCAGATGCTCGGTATCTTTCTTGGAACCGATGATCGATAGAAGAACGTTGATAGCCGTCTGGTCGTCCATTGACTCGAGGGCCTCTAAAGAAAGCGTCTCCTCGCGGTTGGGATAATATTCGTAATTGAGTCGCAGCAACGGCAACAGGCTGGAGATGAGCCATGTTCGGATGACGGGCAAGTGTTCGTAGAATGGCAGGAGAAGGTCGAGGATGAGCGGTTGCAGGGCGGTTTCTGAGTCAATCAAGTGTGCGCGGTGAATAATAAACTGGGTCAAGGGGTCCGATAACTCGTCCTCTTCTCCATCATCGTGCTTCAGCGATCGCAAACGAAGCTTCCGCACGCGCTTCCTGGCTACCGACTCGGACACATCTCGAACGGCAGAGGCATCGATGACGCGGTCCACAGATGTTGTAGGAGAGCTACTAATCAGCTCCAGGAGTACAGGAGCATAGTAGGAGGGTTCTGTGCTCTCTGGTAAGAAGGTCAGGATGATGCGCAGGAGGCGCTCCAGCGGGAAGCAATGGGGGAATTGAGCCTGCAGAGCGGGCAAGTCGACCACATCGCCATTTGCACAAAGATGAGTCGCCAGGAGAATTGCATGGGCATCCGACAGCCCATCGGTAGCAGCCATAGCGGGAGAGCAAGTCGAGGCAGGCAGAGTGAAGGTGTGGCCTTGTATTTGACAACGTCAATCCAAGTCGCCGAAACGCACGGGCCACGTCGGAAACGAAAGGGAAACTGCGTCGCATCCGCCGGCACTTCACCACCACCTTCGTTGCGGTCTGTCTACCCCACGACTTCCCCAATTCCTTTCCTTGTCTTCCACAATGGCTTCTGGCTACGGTCTTACTGGTGGTATGTTGTCTTTGTCTCTTTTCTTCCCCTGACCGGAGCCCGCATTTGCCCCCGGGCGATTCGGTCCACAGCTTGCGCAGACTGTTCTCTCCCTCCACGAGCGATCGCTGGTTAACCCACTATGTTTCTTTCTAGGTCCCTCTCGCTGCTATCCCTTCTGGCAGGAGGTTCTTGGCTGCTATGTCGTGAACTCGGGTGATGGCGAGGCTGGCAAGAAGAAGTGCACGCCCGCCCTGGAGGACTACTACGAGTGCCTCCACCACCGGAAAGAGGTAAGCAACGGTTTATCCCCGGTCGGATATGAGAATTTTGTCTTCCAAAGAAACCACCAATCTCTGACAATGGCCATGTGACCATAGGCCCTCCGCACGATGAAGATGCAAGCTGCCTATCGAAAGGCCGAGGCCGCCCACCCACGAGAGAATGCCCCCAAGGCTGAGCAGATCCGAAGCTTGGGTTTGCTGGGGAAGGAGGAAGAAGCTGCCTCGGTGCTGGAGCAACGGTGAAGACTGGAAAAGCATGGGTACATGTAGGGCGCGGTGGTTTTTCTTTTTCTTGAATTGCGTGTGATTCTGTGTTTCTGCCCCGGGAATTACTCTGGGTGCCTGTCACCTGTATAGAAACGCTCAACTTGTTGACCTTTGGGTCTGTCTTCTGAAATGATACTCCGATTTCCATGACCGAGGGTTTCGCCACTGGGTGAAGTTGAGTTCCAGTATTTTCCTCAAGTTAAATTTGAGCAAATGCCATCATCAAATGCTCTATCCTCGGATTAAGTGAGAGCTGAGAAAATCGGTGGATGAGGTATGGGGATACTCGGCAATGATTATTCACAGTATATAGAATGGTTGGGATTGGCTCTTGCAAATGCATCTAATGCACCAGCTAGGTTATTAAGGATATCAATGGAATATCAACTTTACAAGGAGATTGTCGAGATGTATACGCAGCTCGTCTATTGATTATCTGTCACTTGCTCCGTCGTTATTCATGATTTCAGTATTCGGGATGAAAACTGGCTCTTGAACACTCTAAATATATACTTCATGACTAGCAACACTAGGTCGGTATTCAGTGCAAGCCAACCTTAACTACGAGCCTCTCGAATTTATTTGATCTGATTGTTATATCACCAAACTTTCAGCTCTCATACACTGAGATTCCCCAGAGAATCAAATCAGCTGTCTGTTGATCTTCTCGCCCTGTTGCAATCCTTCAAGTATGAGGCCATCTGGCATGTCTTGGCATTGTCCCGTTGTAGCCGCTGCCTGAGGCAAGAGTCTGCAATCGGAGCCTCACTTTTGGTCATTAATTATCAGTCGCTGACTGCTGTTAGAGAATTGAAAATAAGAATTCTTCTTAAGAGAATGTTCTTATATTGAATATTTTTTCGAGCTGATCGCTCTATACCATCGTAATCGTCTTTGATCTAGTGCATTCACGTGACCTACAGAATCCTCGCGTGAGTGGAGCATCACTCGCGCTAAGCCTAAAGCAGCCTAGTGCCAGCGACCCAAACATGGGCCGGCGCGCCCCCCAATGATATAAACCCGGCTGCGTGACCTCGAAACTCGCTCTCTACTGAATCCATTCCTCCCTGCTGACTCAGCCTTTCCGGTGTTGGGCGTTGTTTTTTGCCCTTTTTGTTATTTTTCTTTCTTTTTTTCTTTTAATTACTTTAGAGATCTTATACTCTCTAAGCTTTGTGAGTGACAACTCTGATCAGCGCGTTTTGTCGCGCTTTCGCTTTTGTTGTGCTGTTCAGCACCAAAGTGACCCGCCATGGCTTCCCGGTAAGCTCTCTGGACCAATCATCACGCGTCTGTCATGTGTTAACCTGCATTTAGTCTCGACCGCCTTGTCACGTGAGTAAAACACCACCAACACGTGACCCACATCCAACTAACCAATCACTGCAGGTTACTCGAGACTGGCAGCACCCAGCTGATCAGGAACACAGCTGCCCAGCAGCTGGCCGATGTGCAAAAACAGCACCCAGATGAGCTCTTTAATTTGCTCGGGCGTATCCTGCCCTACCTTAGATCTAAATCCTGGGATACGAGGACAGCTGCTGCCCGGGCCATTGGGCTGATTGTCGTCAATGCAGACCTCTATGACCCTAATGAGGATGACGGTCTACAAATCAAATCAGCTGCAGATGACGATGATGTTGAGATCAAGTCTGAGATCAAATCTGAAGATCAACCCTCTCCGGAGGACACGTTTCTCCAGCTTGGTACCCTGGACATCGCCTCCGTCCTCAAGTATGGCAAGCGCTTGCTCGGCAGTGCAGGCAAGGAATATGAATATTCCCTGGCGTCGATGGACCCCACAGCACGGCTGCAGCACCAGAAGAAAACTCTCACCGCGCGCCTTGGTCTGGAGGGCGAGTATGTCGAAGAAGAGCTGATTGAAGATGCCGATCTGACCCTGAAGGCATCGACACCCGCTCCCAAGCGGGAACCTACTGTGGCTCCCATCTCGCGCGAAAACAGCTCGCAAGATGTCCCCTCGCGACGACCATCGTCTCCAAGTGAAAATGCAGTCAAGGAAGACACCGCGTTGAGCAAGCGACAGCTAAATCAACTCAAGCGCAAGAACAAGCAAAATGCCAAGATGGGCGCCAACAAAGTCCGCGTCGTGGATCTCTCGTCTCGACGGACGTCAGACAACGTCACCACTCCCGCCGCGGCCACTCCGCATCCCATCAAAACCGAGAATGGCGACGAGCAGAATGGCGAGACTAAACCTGACTATTTCTCTCTGGATCGGTCGGGCGATGATGACGACTCCAAACTTGTTTCCGAATTCAAAGGCCCTATCGCTCCGGAGAAACCTGTCATTCAGCCGGACATGGTGGACGAAGGTTCGAGATGGCCGCTGGAGCACATGTGTGAATTCCTGACGATGGACATCTTCGACTCAAACTGGGAGGTCCGTCATGGGGCTGCAATGGCCCTGCGAGAGGTGATCAGGGTCCAGGGCGCCGCAGCCGGCCGGATGGAGGGCAAAGATCGGGCTGGAAACGATGGGCTAAACCGCCGATGGCTGGATGACCTCGCATGTCGTTTGCTGTGTGTTCTCATGCTGGATCGATTCGGTGACTACATCTCGGACAACGTTGTTGCTCCTATTCGAGAAACCGTGGGCCAGACCCTCGGTGCCCTTCTCTCTCACCTTCCCCGAAGATCTGTGCGTGCGGTCTATCGGTGCATGTACCGCATCGTTATGCAAACCGATCTGGGCCTAGATCGTCCAGTATGGGAAGTCTGCCATGGTGGCATGATTGGTCTGCGATACTTGGTGGCAGTGCGCAGGGATCTACTGATCAAGGACACGGCCATGATGGATGGCGTTCTTGAGGCTGTTATGAAAGGTCTGGCGGATTTCGACGATGACGTGCGGGCTGTCAGTGCTGCTACACTTGTCCCCATCGCCGAGGAATTTGTGACCTCACGGTCTGGTACTCTCGGTCCTCTGATGAACATCGTTTGGGATTGTCTATCCAACCTGCAAGACGATCTGAGTGCCAGTACAGGATCTGTCATGGATCTCTTGGCCAAGCTATGCACATTTCCTCAGGTCTTGGAAGCCATGAAGGCTAACGCTGCGGATAACCCGGAGGCCTCGTTTGGAAAACTGGTCCCTCGTCTTTACCCATTTCTACGACACACCATTACAAGTGTTCGCTCGGCCGTGCTTCGGGCTCTCATGACGTTCTTGCAGCTGGAGGGAGAAGGCTCTACGGACTGGGTTGATGGGAAAGCCCTGCGTTTGGTCTTCCAAAATTTGCTTGTGGAACGCAACGAAGGTGTTCTAAAGCTGTCTCGTCAGGTTTGGTCTGAACTTCTCAAAGCCGTCGAACAGCGCGGATCGTTCGGGTCAGAAGCCGAGTTGTCAGAATCCGTTCAGCCTCTCGTGACCCTAACCCTTGGCGCCTTTGGTGTTCCTCGATACCCGATTCCCATGAACGCATCGCTCTTTATTAAGCCCTCTGGGCTACCCTTCTCCACGGCCGCTCCAGTCCCTGCGAAGGCCTCTCCTCCTGCCGCCACACCTGGTGGTACTGAAACTCCCAAGGTAGGCCGCAGGCGAAAACCGGAGAAAAAGGAAGCGCCCCCCGTTTCATCCACCCACAACGTCGACGGGCATATGTTGTCTGGAGATATTGATCTCGTCGGCATAGACACGATGCTGAGATCGAAGATCTATGCCTCAAAGGCACTTGGCGAGCTACTTTGTTTTTGGGACAAGCATGAACTGCCGAGTTTCTGGCCGACAATTCTGGATGCACTCAACTTTTCTGCCTCCACCTCGCAGCTCTCCTCGGCAATGGTTATCGAAGAATATGCTCGTCATTTCGGGACTGGGAGCAAGTACACTTCATCCCTATGTGAGCGTCTCCGGCCCATTATCGAAGGCGAGCGTCCCTCCTGGTACTCCGACATTGCAAGCTACCTCCATGTGGCGCGTGCGCAGTGCCACTCATTGCTGAATACCTTCCGGGACCATGCGCATGTTCCACCCTCGCGGTTGCCGACGTTGGCTGTCGTCGTTCAGGGTGACTCCGAGGCCGGTCCCAACGCATTTTCCTTGGCTGATGCTGAAAAGATTGTTGGTCCCGACTTTGACCGGTTGAAGAAGAACCTGACTCCCGCACAACGGATCACGGCGACTCAAGTTCTCACAGACACGCGCGTTACGGCACAGTCTGCCGTCAATGAGGCCAAGGCTATTCGAGAACAACGGGACATGCGTGTCCTGGCTGCAGCTGCCGGTGCGCTGATCGCCTTGCAGGATATCCCCAAGCGTCCTGGCCACATAATCAAGGGCGTGATGGACAGCGTCAAGAAGGAGGAGAACGTTGAACTCCAGCAACGCTCCGCTACGGCAGTTGCCGGTCTGGTTGAATATTACACGGCTGCAACAAAGCGAGGACCGGTCGACAAGATCATTGGAAATCTGGTCAAGTATTGCTGCGTGGATACCTCCGAGACGCCCGAATTCCCTCACAACGCGAACCTCGAGAAGTCGATACTGTCTTTGCGCAAGGAGGAAGACCGACGAGATCACCCCGATGCAGCCAAGTTCGAGAGAGAGGCCAAAGAGGCCAGGGTTATGCGGCGGGGTGCCAAGGACGCTCTGGAGCAACTGACTGTCAAATTTGGTCCTCAGCTGTTAGAGAAGGTCCCCAATCTTGCGTCTCTGGTTGAACGACCACTCCGACATGCTTTGACGGGCGATCTTCCCGAAGACATCACCAACCCCGAGAACGAGCTTGGCCAGGAGATTGTGGATGGCCTCTCCACCCTGCGGGCTCTTCTCCCCAAGTTCGACCCGGGTCTCCACCCGTGGGTGGTTGATCTTATGCCCATCGTGGCCAATGCGTTGCAGTGTCGCCTTTCTGTCATTCGCTACGCCGCGGCGAAATGCTTTGCTACAATCTGCAGCGTTATCACAGTGGAAGGGATGACCATGCTGGTAGAGAAGGTGCTGCCGACCATCAACAATGCCCTGGATGTTCATCACCGCCAAGGAGCCATCGAGTGTATCTATCACCTGATCCATGTGATGGAAGATGGAATCTTGCCCTATGTGATCTTCCTTGTCGTACCCGTGCTCGGGCGCATGAGTGATTCGGACAACGATGTGCGGCTTTTGGCGACTACTTCGTTCGCGACCCTTGTCAAACTGGTGCCCCTCGAAGCTGGCATTCCCGACCCCCCTGGCTTCTCCGAAGAATTGCTCAAAGGACGTGATCGGGAGAGGAAGTTCATGTCTCAGATGCTAGATGTGCGTAAGGTGGAGCCATTCCAAATTCCGGTCGCAATCAAGGCCGAGCTCCGACCATACCAGCAAGATGGTGTCAATTGGCTCGCTTTCCTCAATCGCTACAATCTCCATGGTATTCTCTGCGATGACATGGGTCTCGGCAAAACTCTTCAGACCATTTGCATTGTTGCGAGTGACCACCATATGCGGGCCGAGGAGTTCGCGAAGAGCCAGTCGGTGGATTCTCGGAAGCTTCCTTCTCTGATCATCTGCCCGCCCTCTCTTTCTGGGCATTGGCAGCAGGAAGTTCTCCAGTACGCTCCATTCCTGAAGTGTATCGCGTACGTCGGACCACCGGCGGAGCGCTCAAGACTTCAGGGCATGTTGACCTCGTCGGACGTGGTTGTGACTTCATACGATGTTTGCCGCAATGACAACGATGTGCTCAACCCCATCAGCTGGAACTACTGTGTGCTCGACGAGGGTCACCTTATCAAGAACCCCAAGGCCAAGATCACCACTTCGGTGAAGCGCTTGGCGAGCAACCACCGCTTGATCCTTTCCGGTACTCCAATCCAGAACAATGTGCTTGAGCTGTGGTCCCTCTTCGATTTCTTGATGCCTGGGTTCCTCGGCACAGAAAGGGTGTTCCTGGACCGGTTTGCCAAGCCGATTGCAGCCAGCCGGTTCAGCAAATCGTCCTCGAAAGAACAGGAGGCAGGTGCTTTGGCGATTGAGGCATTGCACAAACAAGTGCTGCCGTTCCTGCTCCGTCGTTTGAAGGAGGAGGTTTTGAATGACCTGCCACCCAAGATCATCCAGAACTACTACTGCGACCCCAGTGAACTGCAGAAGAGGCTCTTCGAAGACTTCACCAAGAAGGAGCAGAAAGAGCTGGCAGAGAAGGTGGGCAGTGCAGAGCGCTCCGACAAGGAGCATATCTTCCAAGCTCTGCAGTACATGCGTCGCCTGTGTAACTCGCCCGCCCTGGTAATGAAGGAGGGCCACAAGCAGTACAATGACGTCCAGAATTACCTTTCCGCCAAACGCTCTACGATTCGAGATGTGTCGCATGCGCCCAAGCTTAATGCTCTCAAGGATCTGTTGGTTGATTGCGGCATTGGCCTCGACCACACGGCTGAGGGCGAGCTGGACACGGGCGCAAACTACGTCAGCCCGCACCGTGCGCTTGTCTTCTGTCAGATGAAGGAGATGCTGGACATTGTTCAGAACGATGTGTTCAAGAAGCTGCTCCCCTCGGTCCAATACCTCCGATTGGACGGTGGTGTGGAGGCTACTAAGCGCCAGGACATCGTCAACCGCTTCAACACCGATCCCAGTTACGATGTTCTGCTTTTGACAACTAGTGTCGGTGGACTGGGTCTCAACCTGACGGGAGCCGACACTGTCATCTTCGTGGAGCACGACTGGAACCCCCAGAAGGACATACAGGCCATGGACCGTGCTCACCGTATTGGTCAGAAGAAGGTTGTGAATGTCTATCGCCTGATCACGAGAGGTACACTGGAGGAGAAGATCTTGAATTTGCAACGATTCAAGATTGATGTTGCCTCCACAGTGGTCAATCAACAAAACGCTGGCCTCGGCACGATGGACACAGATCAGCTCCTGGATCTCTTTAATCTGGGTGAGACCGCAGACACCGCCGAGAAACCTGGTGACCAGACCGGGAACGAGGTTGACATGGTCGATATCGACGGCGAGGTCAAGGAGAAGGGCAAGAAGGGCTGGCTGGATGACCTGGGCGAGCTTTGGGATGACCGCCAGTACCAGGAGGAATACAACCTGGATTCATTCCTGGCCTCGATGAAGAATTGATCTTCTACCTCGCACTGCATCAACTTCGACCCGATCACCTGAGCTTCTTGGTCTGCTCCCGAACTACCTGAAGTAGGGGCAGCTCGTATCTCCACTTGTTCGCGGCGTTGTTGAGCTGTTTTACTTGGCCTTTGATCCGTCTACATCATCTACAATCTCGTTGACACATCCTTCTCCCACACAATCGTCATGCTTTTCACGCCCTACACCTATCCTCACCCACCTCCTTACCTTCCGTTACCTTTGCGAAAACAAAAGCTCGCTACCTCTTCTGCATGTTTTGCATTTCCACGTTGGGTCCTAATCATCTTCTACTTCATTGATTTTCATGATGGACCTGGCCTTTTTTTCTTTAGCCGTTTCTTTTTTCTCTTTTTTTTTTTGTTTCACTCGAATCCCTTCTCCCTCCACTGTTTTTATCCTTATTCCTTTTATTCCTTCCCCTTGACCCCTTCGTGTATTTCTAGCTTTATCTTTCCCCTCTTCGATGATGAATGATGCATGTACATAGAGAAAGAAATGGTTTCTGCCTTCTGTCTATCTTTGCTGTAAGTTTCTCTTTATTAGTTGATGCTCGCAGATATTGCTGCTGGCTGCTGGCTTGCGATAGGAAATGTCTGTCGACGTGAGGTTTGAGCTTCCATCCATCCAATCTGCGCAGACTCGACCCCCAAAAAAAGCATACGTAAATCTCGAACAAAAAGAACAAGCAATCATCTCATTATCTCATAACATCCAAATCAAACCAAGCAGACTGCCTGCGCAACCTCTTTTTTCTATCTGTCTTCCGAAACGAGTTCGTGTCTTACATTGACCCTAGTCAGAAAAGCTTGCTAACACGAGGGTCGTTTTGAGAGCAGTTCTAACGATGGAACCTGGTAGAACTTGTGCCCATATCCACAAGGAATAGGGAAGAAAGAACAGAAAAGGAAAAGAAATCTCGTAGCAGCAGACAACGAACCCAATCAAACATACTCAAAACAAGAACACCCCATGTTGCGCCCTCTAAACGAGCATCGTCTCGAATAGAGATAAACCATAAATGCGCCGTGCCAGAAACAGACCCTAGACCGAGATGAAGAATGGAAAGATCTCAACCTGACAGAGGCGAAGAAAAAAAAAAGGGGGGGGAAGAATCAGACATGGAAAGAAGAGAAACCAGAGAGCCTCAAGGACCCGGCAAAAGAAATGAAGTAGATACACAACAAGATGACATGATTCGTTTCCACCGCGGGGAAAAAGCCATAGCCATGGGCTGACTGATTGAATGGTGGTGGTAGAAAAAAAGACGGGGTAGAATCAAAAATCGAGTAGCAAGTCGGCCGTGATCGCCGGACAAACACACCCTAACCGTGACTCGATATGCGGCCCAACGCGCCAGGCGTTTGCCCACCAAAACAAACGCTCTTTATGCGCCTGCCCGCTTGGGTTTGGCGAGCATGTTCAAGCGACTCAGGCTAAGAACGCTGCGAGACTTTTGCTTACTAGCGGGAGTACCGAGGCGACCCGAAGCAGATCGCACGGGCGTGTTGACGGGGCGGGTTTTGACAGGGCTAGGGGTAGGCGGGTTGGCTTTGTGTCGCTTGGCGCCGCGCTCGTCGACTTGCGCATCAGCTGGCGGGACGTTCTCCGCATTTTCGGCGTCCGGGACATCGTCATCGTCCACTTCATCTCGGTGCCGCTTCTTGTTCCCAATCCCATGGGCAATGCCATGGGCTACCACAGGGAGCTCAGGGTATGTAGCGGGTTGTTCGCAGGCGTCAGACTTGCGGACATGGCGAATGGATGGGGATTTGGAGTGGTAGGCATTGACCGTTGTGACAGTGGAGCTCTTCTCCGGAGTGAGTGCCGGGAGAGTGGGATATGTCACATTAGACACAATAGAGTGGGGAGGGGCGGTCGGGATCTTTGAGGGAGAGGGAGAAGCTTGAGCGAGTTCATGACGAGACTTGACGCTGGGGGTGAATTCAACGTGCTTCTTCGGCGACGGGGTCGGGGCAGAGTCAGTCAAGTCCGCAGCCGTGCTCAGCAAAGAGTCTGGATTGAAATCGGGAGCTGCCACATGGGTACCGGCCGCAATCTTAGACGGATCACGGGAGAACAGAGGCTGATGCCGCCGGAGAATGGATTTGAGGTTGCCAAGTGTGGGCAAGTGACCCTTGAGACGTGGGTTGAAATCGGTGCGTGGAGTTCGCGGCGAGGCCACAGCTTTGGCCGCGGGAGAGTGGGTGATGGACGGGATGAGTGAAGTCTTTGGTGCTTTGACGCTGGCCGAACGTGCTGCAGACGCGCGAGTCGGGGTCATGAGAGAGCTGCGGATGGACGGGCGGGCGCGTGGACCGGCTGGCTTGCGAGAAGTTTCCTTCGTCTCGGTAGGCGGGCGACGGGTCGACGTGTCGTCCGTCGGGGCATGCTTGACGCGTTTGGCTGTCGCCGCGGGAGTGGAAGAGACGGTCGAAGGCTTGGGGGCAGATCGCGAAGGCGAGGAATTTTGACTCTCGGGCTCGTCCAGCTGTGCCTTTGATTTGGTACGTTTCAAAGACTTGTTCACGGGTTGGAAACGACCAGGTGTACCACGGAAGGAAGAAGCGTGGCCGGCAATGGAGTCCATCTTTTTAAACTCAGCGATGTGCACGTCACTGAATCGGCCGGCCTTGCCCTTGGGCTTTGCAATCTTCCGGCCTCCAGGTGCCTGTTTCTCAGCATCCTGATCTTTTTTCTCCTGCTTCGATTTGTCTTGGACCATCTGCGACCGGATCCGCACAACATCCTCGCGAACGCTGTCCATCAATTTCCTGGCCTCGTCACTGAGTTGAGACTCCTGGCCGAACTTGAACTCGAAACCGGGGTTCCGAACTGGTTGTGTCCCGGGGATGCCTTCGACTTGGAGGGAGTGTTCTCAACCATGCAATCTTTGATCAAATTTCCAGCCGAATCTTTTTTGATGGGGTTGAAGCCGAGGATCAGACCTGAGTCGGCTTGCTTGGCGGTGCTTGGGTGTGCCTTGCTCGGATGCATTTCTTCCATGGGTGGACGGGTCGCATAATTGCTTGTTGGAGTTCGTGCCGTGGCAGATTTCTGCTGGGAAAACGCGTTGGGCGTTCTGTGGGAAGGTGTTTTGGTGACGGGAGTTTGGACGTGATGCTGCTCTTCAAGAATTTCATCGCCTTCCACAACCGAGGGAAGCCTTGAAGCAATGTCTGACTGCGGAGTAGGCTCCTGAAACTGTAGGGATGATTTGGTGTCAGTCCGGATACACTTTCAAGGATGGTAAGATCTTCAACACCTCCCACAACAGGCGTTGCTAGGCCACTTACCTCCGGAGTCTGGGAGCTGCGCAGACGGGCAGAACGGCGAACCGCCATGGTTACAACGAGCAGTAGTTTTCAAGAATCAATTGGCGTAAATAAGGTGGTGAGGAGGAGTTCGAGACGATTGCAGGGAATGGGTGGGGGAACAGAAGAATGTCGAGTGAAGCGAGGAAGCACAGGCGAAAAGTAAACAAACGCGCTTGACGTCACCTGACTAAGCCACAAACTACACAACTCTGGAAGAGACAACATATCCATTGATTTTTAATGCTAATAGCGAGAATCCCAATAGAATTTACGCTTAGAAAAACCGTTTTCTGTTTATAACTGGGGTCAGAGTATTCGATTGCTTACAGATCACCGCTCGTGGAGAATTTGCCGAAAAGATTGATTGGAGTGAATACTGCACTCGACTGACATCGAGATCAACGAGCACTTGTTTATCCGCTTTATAATATTTGCTTTTTGCAAATCGTTCAGCTTATTCATATTTCCTAATTACATTTTTACATGGCTCTTGGGTGATAGGATTGGTGCCTGATTCCCGAGGCTATGACGGATAACTAGCCTCCGCTTCCGAGTAGATCGCCTCCACCCCGTTATCCGACGGTCTCCAACTTCTTATCAACCCTATGGGTCTCGCTCTTTTAACATCCCTTTCACCGGCATGATATATTCAAAGTGATGACTGGAGACAGACAGATTAGTCTGGCATTAGAGCGTGCCTATGCACGTAGACGTGGGCGCAAAACCACATCCTGCTCCCAATGCCATTCTCGCAAGCAAAGGTGCAACCGGGAGCTGCCATGCTCTCGTTGCATCCAGCGTGGAGTTCCTCAGCTATGCCGCTGGCCCGACAGAGAGAGGAATCCTGGGACATCACAGGAAGGAGCCGCGGCTACGGGTAGGATACTAGAAACTGGCTAAGTTGAAAGCTATACTGACGAGAAATCAAGACACAGCTGATTCACAAGGAACGGAACTGGGCCAACTGTACATTGCCCGGGGTGCGCCCAGCTTCTTTGGCAATTCATATTTTGGCCACCAGGTGGCCGCGCGCATGATCCACGAATCGGCTCCAGATCTGCCGCCGATAAGCTTGCTGTCTAGCAAGGATTCATTGCAATCCTTTCGAAACGACTCTGGGCCTTTTTCCCAGGTGTGGGATCTACTTGGCCTATTACCTCGAAATAAAGTGACTGTTGACCGACTCATTGAGCGATTCTTGACGGAAGTCAATTGGGCCCTCGATGTGGTTCACGCGGAGACCTTCCGAGGCCAGTTTGCAGAGTTCTGGGGACGCAAGTTTGGATTCGACGAAATTGCTGGGGTTGATCTTCGCTGGCTGGCTCTGTTATTTATTATTCTTGCCTTCAGCGTCCTTCTGGACAGTCCTACAACCCCTTCACCGGAAAAGAGGAAGGAAAGCGAAGAGGCATCTCTTCGCTTCTACTGGGCTGCTCGGAGAGCTATTGTGATTTCGCCCTCTTTCCATGGCGAGAGCTTGGATCTTGTCAGGGCAGGACTGATGGTGACGCGTTATTTGCTTTATACGAGGCAAATCGCAGAAAGCTGGTTAACCATCAGTTTTGCTATGCGCATGGCCCAGGCGCAGGGCATGCATATAGATGGGGAGAAATGGGGCCTGTCGCGCAGAGCAACCGAAGCCAGGCGACGGCTCTGGAGCAATCTCTACCTCCTTGACAAGACAATTGCGCTGGCCCTCGGCAGACCATACGCGATATCAGACCACATGTGTCTAATCAAAGCACCCGATAATATCTGGCTCGATGGTCTGACCGATGAACAATCCTCAGTGGCCACAGCAAAACCACTGAGCGATCCGACCCCAAGTGCAGTCACAATTCTCGGCAATGGACTGGCTAAAATTGCAGGGGAAATCCAAGACCGATGTTTTGGGCTGTATCCAGCATCCTACGAGCTAGTGGTCGAAATGGACGAAAAGCTCGTGGCGTGGAAAAAGCAACTCCCTCCATATTTTGCCTTGGACGACCTTGATATGGTGCTGGACGAGTCGCATGCATTTTTACCGTGGCATCGCCTTTACTTGCATTCCGCATTCCATTTTGCCCGAATCACTCTCCACAGGCCTTATCTTCTGCGAGAGTCCATCACCAACCGTTTCAGTCTGAGCCACGAGGCGTGCATTTCTTCGGCATCATCAGATCTCAAAATCCGACTGCGGTCATTGAATTATGGGACAGCGGAGAATATGAGATGGACACTGGGGACCCACAACATGTTTAACAGCGCCCTCATCCTTGGTATCATTGCTGTCCGCCGCCCCCATGCACCGCAAACGGCAGCAATTCTTAACGACCTCGAGGAATACTGTGAGAGACTGAGAAAGGATGTGTGGTTGAACGAGTTTGGTCTTGCCGAAGTCAAGGTTGTTGAATTGTGCATTGCACGCACCAAGGGGTTTGCGAGGACTACCGATCAGTTGGGCGATGACTCCCAGCTGAACCCAGATGATATCTTGCCTGGTTTCCTTTCGCATGAGCGTGATAGATCCTCTATGAACCCGGCAGATGGCATGTCGCTGGGATCTGCTGCGTTTGATGCACCGCCGAGCCAGCCGCCTGGCTATTCCCCTGACATGATGTGGCCTGCAGTATGGGAGGACCAGAATTTTGCGTTCCCGCAGGCTGCCGATCTCGAAACGTGGGAGCAGATGATCTCTGAGATTGCATATCACAACTAGCTGGGCTAGGGAAACTGACGAATTTTATCACATTAACCGATTCTACAATTTTGTGTTTTATTGCTTGAAATGGCTCTCTATTATAGAGGTCATGTTTTCTTTACAAAACTCGACCCCTTATTGCAGTCATGATACAGACTTGATCACATGGAATGATGATCTGAGATTATTACGACAGCAAATAGTCTCAATCATAGAAGAATGTCATGCTAATATAGTAATCCTTGTAAGGTTGCCTAGCCCTGGAGATACTGCCTTAGTCTATACTCAAGGATAATAGCGTCTCTCTCTCTGTGGCAGAAATTACCCCTACGCCCTCCCCATTACCCAGACTCCCTTCAAAACATTCTACAAGCCCTCTAGAAAACCCACCTAAACAAACATGTACATGAACTTCCCCACATTGATCTCTGCTGGGCAATATGTGAATTATATCAAATTCCTCAATACGGCTAACTACCACATATTATATTCCATTGGCGCATAATTACAATATGTACCGGAAATCCGGATGAAAGTCTCCTCCCCTCTTCTCATACGAAGCCGAATTGATAATGACCTCCCGTTCCTCAGCGGGCATGCTCGCCCGCTTCTTGTTGTGGTATCGCAGCAGAGTCCACATGGCGATATTGCCAAAGAATGCAACGCACATAGCAGCGAGCGAAACAGAATGACCAACAACATACCGGCCATTCGTTGTCGATTTATAGATTTGGCCCGCCTAGAAGAGGAGAGTATATGTTAGCTGGAGACTGCACATAATGGAAGATTCAAGAGTCACTCACGATCAGACCGGCGCAGTTTCCAATCGATTGCTGGAGACCGACAGCCATAGTGCGTTTATAGTATCCGGCATGGCTGTTCGCATTCCACGACACACCGAGACCGACCACACAATATATACTAGACGAAGAATTAGTACGTGAAGTTCCATCATACCAACAAGACTTTGGTAGTTGTGAAGGGATAGTACGCACCCAGTAACACAGACATAGGTAGCAAAATACAGCGGCCCCCGAGCGTGAACATCCACACCCAGTAGCATGGCATAGCCGATGGTACTAACAAGACACAGCGGCACCATGAAGACAGCTCGCATACGCACTCTGTCCGACAGATTGGCAATGACCAAATAGAAGAGCGAAGCCCAGATATAAACGGGCACCGTAAGCAGTTGCGTCCTCACCGAATCATAGCCAAAGCCCTTGATGATTGTGGGCAGGAAAGTGCTGAACCCAAACGAGCAGATATTTATGGCGATTTGGTTCAGGGAGGTGAGCCAGCTTTTGGGGTCTCGCAGCGTCTTCCAGACCTCGCGGACGTCAAAGGCTTCGTCATCGGCGTACCGTGCAGAGAGCTGCATGCGCATCCGCATTAGCTCCTTGTCTTCCTCGTTGAGGAAGTACGCGGTCTCGTAGTCATTTGGGAGGAGGAAGAATGTGGCAATCCCGACAACAGCGCTCATCAGCCCCTCGACAATGAAGAGCCATCTCCATCCTTCGAGGCCGCCGGCGCCGTCTAGTCGGATGAGTCCAAATGCCAATCTGCGTCAATATTAGAGATATTCATTGAAGACAAATGTTTTGAAAAAAAAAAAAAAGAATGCTCCCACGTACAGACCACCAAATCCGCCACTAAGTGCGGCAGACACGAAGAGGTATGAGATTCGCTGAGCCTGTTCCTCTCGCTTGTAGAATGTGGTTAGGAGAACCGTTAAGCACCTGTTTTCTGGTTAGAATTGACCCAAGCTGGGAAAACAGGATTCCCTTACGGAAACAGTCCGCTTTCAAAGACACCCAAAAGCAGTCTGGTGATATAGAGGCCAGCAACATTTTTCACGAAGCCAGCTGACAGCACCGAGGCACTGAATCCAATGATCAACGCCGAGATCAATCTGTTTGGGCGCAGCTTCTTGAGAAGCATCGAGAACGGAATCTCGAAGAACACGTAGGTGGCATAGAACAAGGATACAGCATCTGGGATTGATGTTAGGTCTTGGATTGGCTCTGTTTGCCTTGGATCAGACTCACTTCCAAGCTGGTTTCCCACCAAGCCGATATCCTCCTTGCAAAAGAGAGTGTGTCAGATACTCTCAATCCCTTCCTTGATTCCAACTGAACAGTATCACTTACGGGCATCCCTGCCACAGCCGCATTTCTGTAAACAATCAGTAGCCGATCAACTTTGTATATGATGCACGCCGCACTTACCCAACATTACTTCGATCCAAGTAAGCCACCAAGAAGATCAGCATCACCAAAGGACATATGCAGAGGTCAAGCTTTAGCAACAGTCTTGTCTCTCTGGCAGGATCTATTAAGAGATGACCCATCTGCACGTCTTGCTCCGAGAAGGCCTCGGCCTTGAACTTGAGATCTGCTTGCTTGGTTGCCATGGCGGAGAGGTGAATGCCAAACGAAGGAAAACAGATGTGCAAACTAGCAAGGTCATCATCCTTGTCGGACTTTAAATGCCATCCAACACCCGCGAGACTGTTATCGCGGGTCGGGAAATGCGTCGGGATATTTTCGAGATTGGGGAAGGGCGTGGGGAATTGGCCGATGGACGTTGCTTATCGCGGCCTGGGTCCTTGTGATAAGACTGCCTTGGCGTTTAAGCGATGCGATTGGGGCGATTCACAGTTGGAGTCATTCCATGCTTGATGTATTTGGCCATTCGTTTGGTCATAGAAGTTTGAAATCGGGTCTCTCTAAACTAAACATCCGTGCAAGACATTTTGCATTTTCCTTCATCTTGAAAGAAACAATTCGCACACGATGATATGGATGATCTCGAATCTCTACTCCAAAAAATAAGCTAATGCGATGGAGACTTCCCCGCGCTTTATCGCCTTGGCATCGGCAAAAGAATCCTTCGAGCGCTCTATCTACGTGAATTCCCCGACACAATTCCCGACAGACTATGTCGGCGTGGGGGCGATGGCGACCATTGATAAGCTGGCTGCGTGGTGTTGGCAAGGTGCTTTTTTTGCTTGAAAACGAGAAGGGAATTCTCGGAGTTCTTTGTGATTTGCAACATGGCGATTTCCAACGGTGCCAATCATGAAGCAACCAGCCTAAAGCCTACATCTGGAAGGCAGCATCCAGTATGTATTATATTCTGATTCATTTAGTACTAAAGACATTTTTTGACCAGCGGATAGGCATGGAAACGATGGGTTCGTTTCAAAGGCACCGATGGGAATGTATATGGCGGGGAGCCCGTGGACATAGGAATGGATGGTAAGCCTTGCCGTGTTCCAAAGCAATATGGGCAAAGTATTGACAGCAGAACTACCAGTTGGCCTAGCCATTGCCAGAAACGAAGCTGTGCCAGTGAAGGTCGTAGCCGGTGGATCGGCATTGGATTATGACGCTCCATTCACTGGCGAGGTGAAGCTCGTTGACGAACTGTTGTCTCCAGTCTCACAGCGAGAAGCCGGAACGGTTCGATGCATTGGCCTCAACTACAAGGAACATGCAGCGGAGATGAAAATGGCTCTGCCCAAGATACCCACGTTTGTCTTTTATTTCTGCTTGTTTGACTTACATCTGGCTAATTGGACATAGAGTCTTTCTCAAAGCAAATACGTGCATTGCCTCGGCCTCTGAACCGATCATGCTCCCTTCCAACGTGGACTGCGATGAAGCCGACTACGAAGTGGAGCTGGCGATTGTTATCGGCCGGTCATGCAAGAATGTTTCTGTTACCGAAGCCAGGGATTATATTCTCGGTTATTCCACCGCTAACGATGTAACGGCCCGAAAGCACCAGGAGAGAACGTCGCAATGGTCCTATGCCAAGGGAATGGTACGTATGAAAGACAAGAGAAAGATATACAAAATATACAAAATACGATCTGTTCAAGGTACTGATATCCTGCTTTTAGGATGGTTTCTGTCCACTCGGCCCCTGTATTGTCTCTACCGAAGAGGTTCCCGATCCCGCAGTGTTACAGCTACGGACATCTCTCAATGACAGAATGATGCAGAATGGTTCTGCAGACGACATGATTTTCAGCATCCCAGAAATCGTGTCCTATCTATCACAGGTATTTGCCCTCGGTCGAGTTCTCGAGTGTTGACATCTGACCGAGAGAATCGCAGGGACATACCCTACCCCCAGGAACTGTGATCATCACTGGTACGCCTTGTGGCATTGGCGTGTCCCAAAACCCACCCAAGTTCCTTCAACCGGGCGATAAGCTGAGGATCAGTATTAGCCACGGTTTAGGCACTCAAGTGTGTGAGATTACAAGAGTTTGTGTTGTATGAGGCTGAAGCTATTCTAGAAGCCAAGGGTTTTGTGTGACAACTTATTATCTGCGATGGTGACCGCAAATGTCTGACAGAGAAGTTTAATCTCGACGAGATATTCTTTGTAATATATGAGACCTTATCCACAATTGGTACGTGAAGTAGAGGTTGCAATGAGGTATGAATATATATAGATAGACGGGAGAGACATGAGATGTTCGAAAACGCCATGCCACGTAAGATGATGAGTGAGCCCATTAAAGAAATCCAAAGAAAAAAAAAGTGGACATGATCAATGCCAACCATAGCCATTTCCATTGGTGGGGTGGATAAGCAGGATTTAGGGGCCAACAGAGGGACCCTGGGGCCTTGAGGGTTAAGAACCATCAGGGACCTGGCTATTGCCTGACTCGGGAAAGACCACCCGCTGTCAGCCTGGTGTGTCTGGAAAGAAAAGAGGAATTCTGGTCGAAGCGTGGATGGGTCTGAGGACGGCATTGGAGCAACAGAATGAACAGTCTGGTTGCCTGAAGGTTGATCAGCGGGATGTTGTCCCCACCCGCGACACTTTCAGTCTCCACTGTTTCCCACTGGACGTCAGGGGGATTGCGAATTCACTCGGGCCTGCTTCCCCCGTTCCAAGGATGGGCATTTCGAGGGGTTTTCATTTGGCCCCCAAAAGAACGTGTGTGAGATGGGGTGGGGGGGCCACGCCATGCAGGGCCTGATACTATTCTTATGGTTGATCCTTGAGGCTCGACCCCTAAGCCGATAGGCTTATACGCGACCGACTGTTGGATTTTCTTCATTTTCCCCATATCTCTCATCCTGCTGTGTATAGCTAGACCTCATACTCGCCCTCATGACCAGTGGCCTGGTAATGCACGTTCCTCTCATGACTCGGTCTTTGCGATAGGATTGAAGACCTGAGCAGGGTCCTCGATATGCTGTCTATCCGCTTGCATCGCATCCAGCGATGGCTGATGGTTGCGATTCAGTCATTGCACGTTGCGGCCGCGAACCGAGTACAGTCATTACGGGCGGACACGGCGAATGCGACAGAGTCTCTTCGAGGAGGAACCTATCATCTGCCATGGGCCAAATACCGCTACCAGATCCTGGACGATGCGCGAGAGAAATCGACAATATACTATGCACAGGCCCGAAGAAGACCATGGGTGACCGCAGCATTCGCGACTTTTATCCTCCTCATCCTGCTCGTGCTAGCATCCGGCCCCTCAACGCCTGCGACCTTATACAAGCCCTTTCTCGCCTTCGATGACGGGTCCTGCGATCACCCTGTTTTTCGCATTGCGATGGAGGCCCAGAAGTCGTTTAATGCGACGTTGGAGAAACAGTCCCAGTCGCTCGACGAAGCCATTGCCGAATACCAACGCCGATATAGAATGCCGCCGCCGCCGCACTTCGACAAGTGGTATGAATTTGCCAGGGAACGGAAAGTGGTCCTGATCGACGAATACGATGGCATATACCATGCGCTGCTCCCTTTCTGGGGTGTGAGCCCTAGTGTGATTCGCGCACGCACGAGACAGGACTTGGGATTTGCGAACGTGATGATGGGCGTCTCGGTACGAAACGGCCGGGCCATTCATTTGTTTGATGGACAGGGGGAGTATCAACAGAGCGCGACAATGGCGATTCTGGAAAAGTTCTCCCAGTGGCTGCCGGACATGGATCTCGCGTTCAACGTTCATGACGAGCCGCGCGTGGTGGTCCCCCACGAGGAGCTGCAGAGGATGGTATCTAGTGGTCGCGAGGCCCATGGCCGTCTAGCCCGCAACGTGTCTTTGATCAACGAATTTTCGCGCTCCAAGGATGTCGTCGATCCTATCCCTGAAGTCACGACGTCTCGGTACAACAACATCGAACGCCAGGAAACCTGGCTTGCATCTCGGCTGTCATGCCCGCCAGATTCGCCCGCTCGCAGTCTGGATGGCGATGCTCCCGACGACACTGCTTCCTATGCGGTCGAGCCACTGGGGTTTGTGTGGAACCAGACGGCGTTCAGTGACATTTGTAAGAACCCGTCGCTGCGCCATCGTCTTGGGGTCTTTGAGCGACCCAATGCCTTCAAGATCACGAGTGAACTCTCCGCCGTTTTTTCTATGTCCCGGCCGTCTTCCTTTCAGGACATCGTCGTCCCTTCGCCGTGGTATCACCAAGATGTCACCGCGTTCGATGAAGGACACTCAGTCGCGTGGGAAGACAAGATCCACGATCTGTATTGGCGAGGAGGCGACAGCGGAGGCCATAGCCGAGGCGGATCGTGGCGGAACCTGATCCGGCAGCGGGTGATTGGGAACCTGACGCATCCAACCTCTCCCCGATACATCCTGCGACCGAAGAACGAAACATCGCTGGCGTCCTGTACCTTTGGAGGCAAAGGTAACGGCTGGGAAGCGCACAAAGTCCGCGCAACGAATTCATCCCGGTTGTTCAATACCAAATTCACCCGTTTCGAGAACTGCGACGACGACTGTTTCGAGGCGACCGAGTTTCTGGGCGAGGCCGAAAGGGACAGCCAGGACGAGGCATGGAAACACCGCTACCTGCTGGACATGGACGGCCATGCGTACAGCGGCAGATTCTATGCGTTCATGCGCAGCAAATCCCTGCCCATGAAACTGTCCTTGTTCCGAGAGTGGCACGAGTCTGTCTTGATTCCTTGGGTTCATTATGTTCCTCTCAGCAAGGATACCAACGAGTATACAGAGCTCCTCCGGTATTTTGAAGAGGATGTCTCTGGACGGAACATGTCAAAGAGCATCGCCCAAGAAGGACGAGACTGGGCGTATAAGGCTGTCAGGAACGAGGATATGGAGGTTTATATGTTCCGACTGTTCTTGGAGTAAGCTCTATTTCCATTTATACATGCTGAGAAAACACCGCTAATCGCAAATATACAGGTTCGCTCGTGTGCAGGACGACAACCGAGAGTCGCTTGGATACCACATTGACCCATCTCAACCTTCACCTGATATCTGGGAACCATAGCGTTTATTATTATTGTGATGCATATATACCCCAATCGATTGTCAATTTATCTCTGCAATTGTGATGCAATCAATCTGGAAGTGCCTTCTTTGGAGCGAGCTAGGCGTATCGGTAGATCTGGGTGATGCGATAGGGGCTATGTGATATTGAACTATTACTTTAGTTTGACATGTTAGAATCGAATATTATCGATGATTGCGGCGAGATATCAGATTCCAACCCAGACAAGTGGAAATATAGGGCTAATGTTGGGACTGGGGCTCTGCCAGCCTTTCTCCACCGCCTCCCTGACCGCCCGCAGCGGACCTGTAGGTAGCAGATAGCTATTCTTCTTCTCTCTCTTACAGACAGACAATTTGATTCTCTCTCTCTTCTGCTCCCTTCCTCAGTGTTCTGCTTTCCCGGCTTCCCCTAGTGCTCCCTGAGAGCTAACCTGGGGCTGTGTGGATGAATAAGGCTGGGCAGATCAGGGTCGTCTGAGAGAGAGCGCGTGACGGAATGATCTTCTCTCAACACCTAAACCCTGGGAAGCAACAATGCAGAAGACCTTTTACTTCGTGGATGGGGTACAGCCCAACAAGACCTCGCAAAAATTGATGCGCCGGCATGTCATGAAAGGCAAGAATGCTGGGAAGAAGATTCACCGACCGTCAAGACTGGGACTCCGAGCGAAGGCGATCGACGCTCGGGATTCCAACCGCGAAAACCGCCCAGTCGGACCACATCTGCCTTGCAACACGGTGGATAGGAGCTTTGGACATGTGATACTTGCCGCCTCTCTTCCCACGGTGGAAATCACTCCCGCCTCCTTGGAAACCATCAACCAGTGTAAGGATTGTGTTGCTAATTTGCAACTTATGCGATCTAACCAACACCTTTCAAGTCTTTGACCTGACCACCGATCGTCTATGTCCCGTTAGGCTGGGTATCTCATTAGATGAGGTCAAGTATTCATGGTTTCAGATGCTCTTCACTGACGAAGCAGGCGAGTTTGCACATGCTCACATCCATAAAGATCCTTCCCTTTCTTTTCTAACATCATTCCCAGCCTACCATTGCAATCTTGGCCTGATGCAAGCATGCAACGGAATATTTTTAAGCGATGGCAACAGCCCTGCGAAAGCATTGTATCATCTATCTCAAACATTCTTCCGAGTCCAGGCGAGACTGGAGAGCGATGATGCTCTGTCGGATTCGACTCTAGGACTGGTAATTTCACTCGTGCTCCAAGAGCAGATAAGAAACCAGCTCCCCGCCGCTCAAGTGCATGGTAGGGGTTTGCAACGAATGATTCAGCTCCGAGGAGGACTCACTCAACTGGAAGGAAATGTTGGTCTTGTATTGAGAGCTTGCAAGTGAGTATGCAAACACCTGGCTGCGAATCCGTATATTAACTTGATGGCTCCAAGGGCGGATATAATGCTCGCTTTGCAGCATGGAGGACCAACAATGTTCTTTCGAGACCGCATGCACGAAGTTTGGAATATAATCGCCTCCAAAGGATATGATATCGACCACATCCCGGCTGCAAATCCAGTGCCAGGCGAGAGCATGGACCCCCATCTCCTTGCTATATTCTCCGACGCCAAGAAAGTCTGTTGGCTAGTGAACCACAACCCGGATCACCCAGTGCTTGACTATTTTGTTTTCGAGGAGGTTTTTGTCTCATTATGTTATCGCCTACTTCGTTTCCGATCGTTGAATGATTTGAGGATGCAGCCCGACTCACAAACAACGTGTTACCTTGGATTGCTCATGTTCATCATGACGACCTTCTTCCAAATTAACCGGAACCGGATTCTGGAGTTTGCCTTGTTATCTCTGTGCTTCAGAGATTTCATCGACAACAAGCTACATCAGCCCAGGGATGGATCGGCTCTTTGGGTTGTGATCGTTAGTGGCATATGGAATCCGGGAGATGTGAATTTCGACCAGATCGCCTCGCAGGTACGGCAATTTGCTCAACAACGAGGAATGGATAGCTGGGACCATGTTCAACGCTATTTATGTCACTTTCCATGGATACAAGCTCTGCACGACGAACCCGGTCACAATCTATGGAATCGAGTATTGTACACTACATAGTCAAATTTGACGCAGAAAGCACCCCGACATTTTCACATTGATTCAGGTTGAAGAGCAGAGAGTTTCACTAGTTACATTAAACCAGAGTGCATGCGCTCACCAGGCAAAGCTCTGCCCAACCAACCTCTCCGAGATCTGCCACAGCTTCTCAGCCTCGTTGCTAGAAACTGCGAGGGAGTGACCTTGACCACTGATCTGGCAATCATCAAGATACGACCCCCAATTCTCGCTCCCATTCCTGGTTTCACCAACACCCTGTGCAAGCTTTGGGTCCAATGCGGCAACCATGCTGGTCGAAGATCCTGCGCCCAATGTTTTGAAGGTGAAAAGGCCTTGTTCGAGCATCTGCCCAACTTCCTGCAGCGTCTCTTCTGGCAGAGTCCGACCCAGCTCTGTCGCAATCACGCCGGGATGCACAGCCAGAGCCAAAATCCCGTGTTGACCGAACAAGCGCTTGTTGGCAGCGATGCCGGAGAGCACATTTGCAACCTTGCTGCGATTGTACCCGTCGAGAGGAGTATACGTCATTTCTTTCAGACTCGTATATCCCCACAGCCGAAACCACTCGTACTCCGGCTGTTCTTCGATGGGGAGATCTTTGTTCTTCTTCTCAAAGTTCATGTCGCTCCAGCGGATGCCGGAGACCTGTGGCGAGGCGGATGTCACATTGACGATTCGCGTGGCGCCCGCGGGGTTCTTTTCGGCGGCTTTGATCAGCTTTGGCATGATCAGGCATGTGAACAGCCAGTGGCCTATGTGGTTTGTTGCGAAATGCATCTCAACGCCGTCCTCGCTCAGGACTCGTTCCTTTTCACCGCTCATAATGCCGGCGCTGTTGACGATTATATCGATGGTGGGCACATCGCTCCAGCCCATGACTTTGGCGGCTGCATCTCGGACGGACTTTTGGATGGATAGGTCCACCTGCAGACCATGATAGGTCACCTCGGGCCATTTCTCTTTGAGGGCATTGATTGAATCCTGGATTTTGACCGGGCTGCGACCGGTGATGATGAGGTGGGTGGGGGATTGAGAGGCCTGTTCGGCAATTAGTATGATTGTGGTATCTAGTAGTTGAATGGCATTTACAAAAGCCTGCGAGGTTGTGAATCCGATTCCGTTCCGGTTCACGCCAGTGACAAGGACTGTCTTCCCACGGATTGCCTGGGGAAATGCTTCTGCAACCTGGAAGGCTTCGGTATTTGCGTTGAACTCCGGATGGGTTGTGGCAGCCATTTTTGTCTATTCCGGGAAGGTCGACGGAGAGAGTGAGAGTGGTAGAAATAGAGAAAAGCTGAAGCAGTAGAAACAAGCGAATTGTTGAATCTTGTAAACGAGGGTTGAAAGGCTGGGACCAGAGGGGTATTTATATTATCTTTGAGGAGTCTGCCAGAGCGTAGTATCAATCCATGGAGCTTGTGTCTTCTACAGAATATTTCGAAAGACCCAATGAGAGATTCATTACCTGATTTGGTCCAGGCTACGAGGCATAGATGGATGGTCGTGCTCCGCTTAGGATGAGCTATATCTAATGGGAGATATATTGACTATTTTGGTTAGTACGATGAGATGCTTAAGTGGGCCTTTTTCTTAATGAAAATATTACTGATGCTCCATACTCAAGTTATCATGCCCAGTGAGAGACTTGCTACTTGATTTGGTTAAGTCGATGACTGGTCTCCGTGGAGAATCCCCACAGTGTATATCCACACCAAACCGAGTATATCCAATGAGAGATTTGGTACCTGATTCGGTTTAGGGGATGCCAAGAGCAACCATCTCAAAGTCACCAAGCGTGGAGATAAATGCAAGTACACCAAGCCAGACACTGGAGTTGATCCATGCTCTGATGAGGATTGCGGCGAGATCAAGCGAACTGTCTACAATCCTAGCAGTATGAACCGGGTTTTTGATTGTCCAACCTGCAGGGTAAGTTCAATATACTCCTTTAAAGAGCGACCGTCTAACAACAAGTAGGCACGTCACAACTCCGAGGGCGTCTCTTCATCCGGTGGCTAGGAAAAGATGGCGAAGTATATGGTTTGGGGCCTCACTGGCCGGAGAATGTCCGGTCCTTGTATTCCATAAGATATTTTCAGGCGGCTTCTTATAAGATGATCGGTTACCCCTGGACAAAATGAATTCAAATCATCTCTACAATCCAGTTCTCTTATTCCACCAGCTTCACCGATTTTAACGTTCTCATGGCTTACCCAATACTTCTTTTCCTCTTGCATAGATAACGCGGTCTCTTCGCTGCATCCACTCAAATCATGTCGAAGCGAGCTTTTTAGAACTTCGGTATCGTTTCAAGAATCGCCACAAATTATCCCTGAGGAACAAAAGGCGACCATAGGTCGTCGAACACCAGGAGGATAGAGTCATTCTCTTCGATGAGCTTCGAGAGGGAAAGATTCATTTATCGACCTCTACCTAAGCACAAGGACATTCTCGACTGCCTCGACATAACCGAGACCAGCATTCGCTTCCCCTATATGCACAATGGGCACCTTCGTGGCTACTTTCGGAAGAATTCCTCTCATGTCGATGATCTGTCCAAAGATACTTGGATACAGAACGCTGTCAATGCAGTGCAATTTCTCCACGCCCATTCCAATATACACGGAGATATCAGTGCTCGTAACTTTCTTGTTGCGGATGATCTATCAATCAAACTTTGCAACTTCGCAGGCTCCGGCATCGGCAACCTGTCTCCAGTTGTCATGGAAGAGGACCGATATAGAAAATCTCCCGACTTGCCTCGATCGTTCCAGAAAGACTTATTCACCCTTGGCTGCCTTATTTTTAAGATTATGGTTGGCTCACGCCCTTACGAGAAAACCAGCGACGATTATTGGGAAATGATTGCAGAAAGGTATGATCGTGGGATTTTTCCGCATGTGGAGGGTCTGAAATATGGAGACATTATTTATAAATGTTGGACGTCCCAATATGCGGAGGCCAATCAAATTCTCTTGGACATTGGAAAAGCCGAACACAGAGAAAAGGAGCGAAGAGTGGATATTCTGTCTGCTTTGCTGAATCTCCCAATGCAAGTTCTTCTGCCATTGGGGATACTGCCAATCGGCATAGCACTTGAATAGCCTAAGTTCCAAGGAAAACCCGTGAAATTAGGATCACGAATCTGATGTCCCAGCGAACCCAGAGTCTATATAGCAGGCAATTACGGACGGTAGTCAATTGTAAGGTTAGAGAGAGGGAGGGAAAGATTGCAAGCCGTGTAGACAGTGGTGCTAAACATCGGTTTGTGGAGGAGTGTATATACTTGATCTGCAAGATCTTTATTATACTAACGGCTCGAAGCGACCCTTGACTGACGACCCGCCAGTGGCAGGCCGGGCTAAGCCAAACGAACAAAAAAAAAAATGAAATGAAATGAAAAATGTACAACAGCCAAAAGTATGGTGGTGATTACCTAGCGCCGCCGGTTCCGTCGTGGGCGGCTCGCCGCCCTCTTTAGTAGACCTGGATAGACCCGCGGACAACCTATATGGGTCGACCCGTGGGTCAGCCTATAGACGGGTCGTGGGTCAGACCTCTTGACCTATAGACGGGTCAAGATTTTTTTAACCTGTCCCGTGGGTTAATAGGTTAATCTATTTAATCTATTTAGATAGATACTTTATTAACTATATAATTTTTATAAATTATATTATTTTTAATTATATTTTTAGGTATTATATTTATTTTAGTTAAATAATTTTTTATAGTAATTAAAAGAATAATTCTTAAAAAGTAATTCTAGAGAATATTATTTTAAATATTAATTAATTTTAATTTTAAAGTTTATAATTATTAAATACTTATAGATATTTATAAACCCTACTAAAAATCTATAAGAGACTATAATTATTAGATCTATAGTATCTTTCTTTTTATTATTACTAATTAATATAATCTTTTTATTAGTTTTTTAGGTCTTTTTTTTCTTTTATATAATTTCTAATTTATTCTATTCCTAAAACTCTTAAATAAATATAAGCTATTTCTTCTTAACTTTAAATTTAATAATATATATAAATATTATTAGATCCTATATAATAGATATATTTAATATCTTTTACTAATAATAATAAATATTATATATAGAATTAAATAATTACTTAATATTAGCGTTAATAGCTAAGATTAAAAAGAGATTATAAATAAGGCTTATAAATATAAGAAATTTATATTAATAATCCTTCTAGAACTAATAGAGTAAGATTAAAATAATATCTAGATAAAGAATAGATTATAATAATTAGTATAATATTTAGATAGATTAGAACTAATACTTTTATTAAAACTAGGGTTCTAAGATAAGCCTTAAAACCCTAGTTCTAATAAAGATAGAAAGATAGAAACTTAATAGATTAGAACTAAGGTTTTAAATAATTATTTAGAACCTTAGTTTTAATAGAGATATATATAGAAACTTATCTTTTTTAATATATTATATTACTTTAGATTAAGAGCTTAAGATAAAAGAATTAGCTATTAAAAATATATTAAACTTATTAGTTTAATAAGACTATTTTATTTTAGATAGTAATTAAGAGCTTAGAATATTATTAATTTAGTAGTTTAGAAGCTATTTTTTAAGATTTTATTAGTATTAGATATTATAATCTATCTAAAGATAATCTTAATCTTTAGTTTAAAAAAATTTAATTTTATATTAAAAGACTAAGATAATATTAATTATATAGATATTACTAAACTCTTTATTATCTATTATAGAGTAATATTTATAGAGTTTATTTTTAGCTAATTTAAGAGTTTAATATATCTATTATTTCTATCTAATCTTTTTTTATTAAACTATCTAATTAATCTCTTAAAATAATTAAATAGCTTATTATAGATAGTAAAGATAATATAAATAATAATAATTTTTATTTTTAAGAGGACTATAATAAATTAGAAAAATAACTAAATAATATTAAGAAGATAATTAATCTAGCGTTATTTATCTATATTAATTTTAAGATAAAGATAATTATATTTAAAATAAAATTAATTAAAGACTAATTATAACTATTTTATATATTAAAGTATTAAAAAAGTTAAATTCTATCTAGTTTAGATATCTTAAATTAGAACTAATTAAAGATAGTTAGATTAGAGACTAAAAAAAGACTTCTAATATTAAGGGCTTATATTAATAAAGATTATAAGGTTTCTAATCTAAAATATAAAATAGATTAGTATTTTAACTAATATATAAAGAGTATAGATATATATTTTTATAAGAGTTATTATAATATCTCGTTTTTATATTTTTTAATAAATATATTAGATATATTCTTTAGATTAAATAGTCTTAATTATCTTATTTTAAAGGTTTACTTTTATTTAGCTAAGTAGTTATTTTAATTTTAACTAAATTATATATATAATATATAGAACCTAAATAATTATTATCTTAGAGTTAATATCTAATAATTAAATAGAATCTTAGATATTTAAAATAAAGATAGAGTTATTTAATATATTACTAGTTATTACTATAAATACTTAGTCTTTAATCTAATATTTCTAGAGGATATTAAAAATAATTATATTAAGATTTTATCTAGAGTATATACTAAAAATAGATTAGAAGCTAAATAAAACCTTTTAATAATTCTAGTCTATATTAATAAAATAGCTAGAGATAGTTATAAATACTTATTAAAATAATAATATCTAATAGTTAAGATTAATAAAGAGCTTAGTCTTAGATAGAAGCTTTTAAAGTAAATCTTTTTATTAATCTTAGATTATTCTCTAGATTCGATATTATATAGTTTAATAAGAAAGGAAACTAGAGATAAATAATAATAATTAGATTATTTAAAAAAAGGCTTAGAATTTAGGATACTTAATAATTTAAAAAAAAGCTATAAAATAGTTATTATAGTAATTAATTATTATCTCTATAATTTTTAAATAACTAGCTAGGCTATTTAAAAAGAGTTTTTAGCCTAAGAAAGATTAGCCTATAAATTAAATAATAGCTATATAATATACTATATATTCTATAAGATATTAGATTATTAAATATTTAGTAGTATTTTAGCCTTTCTAATATATACTCTAATTCTAATAGTATTAGAGATCTATTATTCTATTCTTAGTATAGATTAGATAATCTATAATCTTATTATATTGTTTATATAAAAGCTTTAGCTCTTTATTATTAAATATATAATTTAATTAAAATATAACTATATATTAATCTATTATAGACC